CCCCCATTCTCCATCATCCTCATATTTTTATCTTTCTTGTATATCGAATTATCTTTCTGTATTTACCGCTTTTTATTAAAGATTTTTTGTTCCATTTTTTTCTATATCTTGGTTTTTAGATTGCAGAATAGATCAGTGCCGGGCGTTGCTATTATAACGGATTTCGATTTTGGTACAGCTTCTTAGGTATAAGGCAGGGTTTTTTTAAAGAATGTGCTCTAATCTACGTAGTAATTGGAGCCAAGCTCTGCCTGCATTTTCATAGCACCTTTTTGCATGACTCTTTTGTCACCCTGCTTTGTCTCCTTAATAATAGAGTACTTTCCGGCATGCTCCTTATATCAACTCTTTTGGCTCTCTTCTTTCTAAATGATATTAGACCAAAAATTTACCATGTTATAAATCGTTGCTCTGTACTTATTAGCACCCGTTCTAGTCTTTATATCGACTATGATTTGGATGCTTTTTCTAGGGGCGAATCCTTTTCTGTAATTTTTCATGGGATTAATCATATTTCTGTTTTCATGTCTTAGATGTAGTTTATTCTTGATTATCACTCTCGCTCGTTTTCTCTTCGTGTTTTCTCTCCATGTTAGGTTCGCTGTCTTGTACCTCTAATTGTACGCCTTTGCTTTTTTTTGTGGGCATCATCATACCTTACGAGGTTCTAATCGGCAATTTTCATATGTTTACACTTTTGATAGTGAATCTTTCCTTTATCGTTCCTGTGCTTGAGAGGAAATCTCGAGCCGCTATAAACCAATTTTGGCTTTTTCCGCCCAGCGAAAATCTGGTTAACGTATCATATACTGTAGCAATTCTCCCGCGACTTGAGCGAGTGTATCCCATTTGGGGTACAGGGTGCTTCCCTCCGATCGAATCTCGATTGCGCGCAAATCCGTTCATGAGCATATCCACATACGAAACCGATAATCTCTCACTTCGAGCATATTTCGACGGATGCCTTTGGCACCTGAGAGCACCCATGGAATTCTCAACGATCCATGCACCTGTAGAGTTGATCGCATCTTTTTCAATCGGACCGCCTCGGATGCTGTAGCCACGGTTGGTTCTTTTCTCCAGTTCATTTTTTTGACGACAAATGTTTCTGACTGGATTTCTCTTTTGCGGAAATCCTCTCTCTGCAAGGCACTCCGCCTTCCCTATTGGTGCTAAGATTTCGTTCTTGGTCCGCATATCAAAACAGCCTCCCCCTGGATCTTTTTCGGTTCGGAGAATCCTACTACGAATAATACTCGTAAAAAAAGTCGCAAAGTGTCTGCAAGGCATCTCAGAGTTGGTCTCCAGTATCAGCTCTCCCCCTTCTTTGCTTCGCAGCGCATTCTTAGCAGGCAACAGCTATAGCATTCACGCGACTATCTTTCAGAATACGTGCTGCACTTGTCCATACGCGGTACAGTCCTTCTGCATATGGCATGATACCTTCCGTGCTGTCAGAGCCGAGCGCTGATCCCCATATCTTGCGCAAAAGTTCAACCCGCGCAGGCCACAATACAGCATGTGCCACAGTGTGCGATGCATAGGTCCCGTAGCAACTAACAAGAATTCCGTCTACCACAAGGCGCCCTGAGCGCGTCAGCGGCGCATAGAGGCCATCACTCGTAACGAGAGTGTCAATTGCCACCACGGGGTCCGGCAGGTGCGCAGCAATGTCGAATAAGGCGTCGCCTATGCGGATATCTTCTGCGAAAACCGCTTCACCTACAGACGTCTCCAGTTCGAGGATCTTCTGTATGTGCTGCTCTTTCTCATGTGAAAGACTCGACACAGCTGTCATTTTGCGGCCCGGGACTCTCGGGTTCTCGTTCATCCGGTACACCAGATGCTGCCTCGTCAAGCGCAGCTCCTTCCCCGAACGCGTCTTGATCAATAGGATTTCTGCTGTGGCGCGAGTCTCTTTGTGCAACCACCCCAGAACTGTGTCCTCGACCAGTCGCCCACGTGAATCGACGCCGATTACGGTCATACCCGGGCGCAATTCGCTTATCCGCCGCGTCTTGCCAAGACCATCAATAAGCACCGAAGCACCCGCTGGGAAGCAGACCGCAGCGCCGCCACCCACAGAAACCTGTGTAACATTTGCTGTCGGTGAAGGCGTCACTGAGACGGTAGGCGTAGGCGTTGCTGAAGTTGTCGGTGTTGGTGTCGGTGTCGGTGTAGGTGTGGGTGTGGGTGTTGGCACAACTTTCGGAGTCGAGATCGCCACGAGACTCGCTCCACTTGGCAGGATACTTGGAACGCTACTTGTAAAATTGGTAGAGATCTTCGTCACGTTGGATACGAGCGCGGTAGGTGCTAAGATAGAGATATTGTAGCTTGCATTCACTGCTGATGTTGCGCTGAATACACGTTGAACGTCGAGGCTGCTTCTCTCGTACCAGTCGGCGAACCGCGAGGCTATTGACACGAAGATACTATCGCAGTTATCCGACACAGTGACGTTCGCTCCAGTTCCATTCAGCTTGGTTTCTAAGTTATCCTGGAGAACGACCGCAACATCAACACACACGGTCTTGTTCACCACACTGACCACCGCAGAGAATGCAACACCGGCTATTGCCGGGGTAGGCGTAGGTGACGGTGTTGCCGTCGGCGTAGGTGTTGGTGTAGGTGTCGCAGTTGGCGTTGGTGTCGGTGTCGCAGTTGGTGTTGGCGTCGGTGTAGGTGTCGGTGTCGCGGTTGTCGTAGGCGTAGGCGTTGGTGTTGCAGTTGGTGTAGGTGTCGGTGTAGGTGTCGCGGTTGCCGTAGGCGTAGGCGTTGGTGTTGCAGTTGGTGTAGGTGTCGGTGTAGGTGTCGGCGTTGCAGTTGGCGTAGGCGTTGGTGTCGCAGTTGGCGTAGGTGTTGGTGTCGGCGTTGCAGTTGGCGTAGGCGTTGGTGTCGGTGTCGGTGTCGCAGTTGGCGTAGGCGTAGGCGTTGGTGTCGCAGTTGGCGTTGGTGTCGGTGTCGGTGTCGGTGTCGGTGTCGGTGTTGCAGTTGGCGTAGGCGTAGGAGTTGCAGTCGGTGTTGCAGTTGGTGTCGCAGTTGGTGTTGCCGTCGGCGTAGGCGTAGGCGTAGGCGTTGGTGTCACAGTTGGCGTTGGTGTTGCAGTTGCCGTAGGCGTTGGCGTAGATGTTGGTGTCGGTGTCGCGGTTGCCGTAGGCGTAGGCGTTGGTGTTGCAGTTGGTGTAGGTGTCGGTGTAGGTGTCGGCGTTGCAGTTGGCGTAGGCGTTGGTGTTGCAGTTTGCGTTGGTGTCCGAGTCGGTGTCGGTGTAGGTGTCGGTGTTGCAGTTGGCGTAGGTGTAGGCGTTGGTGTCCCAGTTGGCGTTGGTGTCGGCGTTGCCGTCGGCGTAGGCATAGGCGTTCGTGTCGCAGTTGGCGTCGGTGTAGGTGTCGCAGTTGGCGTCGGTGTAGGTGTCGGCGTTGCAGTTGGCGTAGGCGTTGGTGTCGGTGTTGCAGTTGGCGTAGGCGTAGGCGATGGTGTCGCAGTAGGCGTCGGTGTCGGTGTTGCGGTCGGCCTAGGCGTAGGTGTTGGTGTTGCCGCCGGTGTCGGTGTAGCGGTCGGCGTAGGCGTCGGTGTTGCGATGTATAATGTGAAGAGGTCGTTAAGGGGACCTGTGCCGCCTTCGCCTCCGAACAGCACCGGGTCGTTTTGACCGGTATTCCAAAGAACTGCATCAGCTCGCGGAGGTGGAAGCGTTGTATTGCTTGTCTTGTTAAGCTCGCCGTAACTATAGGCTCCATCCGTTGTATTGTCACCGTCTACCCAAGTCCATTCAAGACTCGTAATATTGAACGTCCACAGGTCGTTGCAGAAACCGGATGAATAACCACCGAAGAGATACAGAGTATTTGACGAGTCTACAAATCCAGAGGAAAAGGATCTGTACCCCGGAGTGTTACTCGATGACGGCACTCCTTTCTCGCCGTATACCGACCCATTCGAACCAACACTGTCATTTCCAGACATCCAAGTCCATTCTCTGGAGCTGATATTGTACAGCCATAAATCATTGAGACCGCCAAATGTTTCAATCTGTCCGAAACCTCCAAAGAGCCAAAAGTTCCCATCAAGGTCTCGCCACGATGTGGCTCCGTAACGTCCCGCGGGATAATTGCTCGGCGATGCCTGGCGAAACGCACCATAGCTTCCGGAGGGGTCCAGCTCTTGGGTGCCACCTATCCAGCTCCATTCGTTGGTCACTGTGTTGTACTGCCACAAGTCACCGTAAACAGTTCCATTAGGACCAGATCCACCAAAGAGATAAAACTGGTCATCCAAGCCAACCCAGGTCGCCGGTTGGTAACGACCGCCAGGCGTGTTGCTTGAAGACGACTTCCCAAGAGGACCATATGTCGGGGAAACGTTGGTCTCGTTGGATCCCTGCACCCATGTCCACTCGCCCGACGATACATTATACATCCACATATCACTATAGCCCGAGCTCAAATTACGGCCTCCAAATAGCCAAAGGTTTCCGTTGCTGTCACTCCATGCAGCGGATTGCGTCCTCGAAGGCGGATTGTTGCTTTTGTTGGGAACTCCGAGGTAGCCGTATACCCCTGCAGAGTTGAGGGATGCCGAGCCTCCAACCCAGGTCCAAGAGAACGTGCTCAGATTGTAGTTCCAGAGATCACCGAAGACGCCGTCCGAGTTGCCACCACCAAACAACCAGAGCACTCCGTCAGCGCCGGTCCAGAAGGCCGCACCGTACCGCGCCGGAGGCACGTTGCTGGTGTTCGGCACACCCTGAACACCGTAGCTACCTGAACTGCCGGTAGAGTTACTGCCACCGATCCAGGTCCATAAAAAAGTATCTTCGGAGGACAAAACTCCACGAACTGCGTGCGTTCCCGACACAACCAATACTATAACGAGGAGTTTCAATATAGAAAAATATCTTTTTCGCATATAGGATACGAAAGGGGTTCTGCACCAGTGAAAAGAAAGCGCCACTGAGAGAAACGAGTTGCTTAGAATCTCCAGGGATAGGAGAGACTCCAGCTGCTGGTACTGTTGTCACTGCTGTCTCCGTCCTTACCACCACCACTCTCAACGAAGTATTCTGAGGTAAGCAGCACGGGAGCGCGTCAAGCACCGCCTTCTGAATGATGCAGATCTGCGCACGGCGCTCCCGAAACGGGACATTTCTGGCATAAACGGACAAAGATATTTTGCAGCGTCTTCTACCGAGTTTCATGATGGCGCTCTCGTAATGGCAGTACAAGATAGCAGTCTACGCCGCAGTCGTGTTTCAGATACACATGCAGAGTCCAAATATCGAAAAAGGCTAATGGCGTGCCCGTCGCACATTCGGACCCGGCCCGCTATGACGCAGTACGAACAACTCCCTCTTACTGCACGCCATCTGCATATTTGTTGGCATCCCGTCTAGGGGGAAGTTTGGTGTCCAGATACCCTCAACATTGGATTATGGGCCGCCAACCCGGACTGGAAGGTTGCGTGCATGCACGTGCGAACTATATTACACAACTAAGATCCTCATGGAATCAATATACCAATAACTGAAACATAATTTAGTTCTGTGTTCGCGCGCGGGGCCGTACGGATAGCTGGCGTCAACGCAGTGGTTCATACTGAAGCACTTGCTGAGGCACGCGTCGAGGTCGACACCAATACCGACGCACCTGGAGACGCAGTTGCAGTCGCAATAACGGCACTCGGAGTCGGCGTAGGTCTAATCAACAATCACTCGTTGCTGATGCACTCCTGATCAGAGCGGCAGCAACGCACCTTGTTCACAAGGTTATCCGAAGCGATCAGGTATGTCCCGCACTGCTTCGTAGGGTCCTTGCACACACAGAACGACGGCAGCAGCGCCTGTTGTTGCTGCTGTTGTTGCAATTGCTGCTGCTGCTGCTGGTTGTTGTTGTTGCTGAAGGGGTTGTACGTGCAGTTCTGCGTCCTGGCGTTGCAGCACTCGGGCCCGCATGGAATATACGTCGAGTTCGATACGTTCCCGGTCGTGCTGCTCAGCGAGTTCGAGATGTACCCATACGCCTGACACACGTGCTCAGTAACCGGCTGGAAGCACTCGTTGCCGAGCTCCAGGCAGCAACCAGCCTCCAGACACTGCTGCGGTGAGTAGCTCATGCGCAGCGTCCCGTGCTGCTCTCCGTACACGAGCGTGTTCAGCAGACGCACAAACTGGCTACTGTTGATGTTATTGTTGGTCAGCTGCTGGTTCTGATTCAGCGCGTTCGTGCACGGCTGGCGCTCAAACTCGCCCACCGCGCACGTCTTCTCGGGCTGGAAGCAGTACGGGTTCGACGCAAAGTCGCTCTGCTGCTTGCCGTTCTGCACCCACTGGTTCTGCGCCTGCGAGTCGTAGCAGCAGCCCTGGGCATAGTAGGTAAACTGGTTGATACCCGCGTTGCCGTACGGCTGGTGATGCGCTCCCGGTGACGGGCAGACGGGAACCGTTGCCTGCACCTCCTGCAGCGCTACAGAAGCCTGCGGTGCATGGTTGATGTCGTAGTAGCACCAGGGTGCCAGGATGCCGTTCGCTGTGGGCTGCCAGCAGCATCCCGGTATCGCAGAGCACTCGTCGGGGTAGATATAGCTCCAGCCGCAGGGGACGCGCTGCGTCACTGGAACAGCGCTGCACGCCGATGAGACGCTCTTCAGGGTGCACGCGTTCGTCTGGGAGCTGAAGCAGCACCCGACTTGCTCGCAGCGTCCTGGTTGATGCACTGTCCTGGAGATCCGCAGAGCTCATTGGAGCAATGGGGTGGGTGTCCGCGTAGGTTTCGGTGTTGGAGTAGGAAATGCTTTCCTCAACGCATAGACATCATTGATAAAGTCACTGCCGCTCGTGTTTATGTATCCATTTCCAACAAATACGATCGGATCAGTCCTACTAGTGTCCCAGAAAGCTGATCCATAGCGAGTACTTGGTACACTATTCGGGCCTGACTCGCTCAATGCCCCATATACTGCTAGAGTATTCACTACCGAGCTTCCATTAATCCATGCCCGTTGACCCAGTTTGATATCGAATACCCACAGATTGTTCAAACGTCTGCAAGTTCGCCTCTATTGCCGTATCCTTTATGGCAAAAAGAGTTACAGATTACCCAAATAAACGCGCTCTGCCCTCTTGAACGACCACAGTTAGCAGTCTCTGGCGCATTCGATACGAAGTAGGTCATAGCTATAGCTATATCAATCACTACTTCAGTACGCTTCATGACTTGCGAAGCAATTTTGGTTCTCCACATCAGGAGGAGTGCCCACCCATCCGTTCAATATCCGATCGTGACTGTGGGATGCCGTCTCATCGGTACGCTGTTGCTCCCACATTTGTCTTTGAAGCAGCGGTCTGCGCTTTGAAGGCGCATCTCATTTTCATCACTAACAAACCTTAGACAGGGGCCAAGATAGTCGACTTGAGGCCTCGCCTCCGTAACGCCTGGTCGATCAGATCAAGACTCAGTTCGTAAAGCTGATCTGCCTTGTCGATTTCGTACGTTGGTTCAATAACCTGCGGTTTCGTCTTCTCTCGACCTTCGGTATATTTGCCACGCCACTGATAATACGAGCCCGAGTCCGAGAACTGTCCCTGGGTCGCCACTTCGGCTACGCGGCGGCCGGCCTCGTCATTCGGAAGGTATTGCCGAGTGATATACTTTTGAAGAATCGGAAAGAATACGTACCGGAACCAGCCACGCTTTTCGCGGAAGAGGTTGCTGTCGGCGACACATCCCGGAAAATCGCCACAGAGGTCACCCCGTCGCGGCCGTATCAATGACCGAGCGTCTTCATTGATAAAACGTTCGCGGCTTTGGCGTCTTTGAAAGCTGTTGTGGGCTCAAACGGGCCACTGTCCACCATGCCCGTCGTCTGCGGACCGAGCCCCGCGGCTAGACCAGATAAATCCCCGAGACGGGCCTGCGGGAGGATCTTTCCCGGCAGCGAATTCGGCGAGTGGGTCTGAGTCGTCAGAAACACAATGTGCCTGCGCGATATTTTCATCTTCGGCAACAGCTCCCGACATAGAAGCAAATGGCTCAGATGGCATACCTGCATGGTTTTCTCGATGCCGTCCACCGTGAAACGCGGTTTCTTGTCCCGCGGATGCCATATTGTGGCATTGCAGATCAGGGTATCCAGGTGATCGACGCGCGCCACACTTGACAGCTCTCTTACAAACTTCAACACAGAGGCGAAATCAGCCATATCACAATGCAGCACGGTATAGGCGTCCTTTAGAAGGTTTACGCTGTTTGCTGCGCGCTCCGCCCGGTCGACGTCACGACATGCCATGACGATGTGCCAGTTGCCCTTGTTGATCAGAGCGTGAGCTGCATACAGACCGACTCCAGCGGACGCGCCAGTGATCACAGCGATCTGTGATTGCTTCGGGCCCATACGAAGATGCAGCGCGTGGTGCCGGCGCGCCCCAGGCAAACGCAGCACTACCAAGGCAGCAGATGCTGGCAATGGCGACGATGTCCCGCTGCGAAGCACCCGTCAGGTGCGGTACGCAGCAGGAACGGTGCTCGAGTTGAAGCGGGCGTACAAAGAACGTGCCAGTCCATTTGCAGGGGACAAGAAACGAGCAGGGCTTGCGTTTTCTAGATTTGATTTTTTTCCGGTGCGAAGGCTGCCAATGACCTCAACAACAATACAAATTCGCTTAAGCATGCGTATCCATTCAAAAACCTCTTTTGCGTAGCTGCACGAGTGATCGTCCGTCCATTGATGCAGATGCCAACCTCAATCTCCCGTAGACTGTCTAACTTTGAGCACAACCCACACAATCGCCGAATGTCCTTTTCAGAAACTAGGCAAGACTCCCATTTTTCTCGAGCAACAACCTCGTCAGTGCTAGTCGCTAAGCGCTCCGCAGTGCTACGCTCAAAGAATACGAAGTTCGCAGATGAACTTCGACAGAGCTCGCCAACGGATACCGTAGAGGAGGTATAAGGGAATTTCCTCCGGTGGTATGTTATTTATGGAAGCGCCTGCACGTCAGTTGGACACGTGATGTGTAGGGCGGGTCGCTCGCCACTACTGTGGAAGGCCGGCGACAACGTTTTTCTTTTCAAAGGCATTTGTTGTTGACTGTGTCGCTTCCGGGCTCGATGGACGGGTTAGGCTCCTCAAACTAACCTTATAGAGTAGATCAAAATGCAGTATGTCCTTTTGTCGGGTTCCTCGATCGTTCCAGGCTAGATGCAAGTCTCAAGCTTCGTGGAAGATATGGACGCAACATGTGTGCTATGCCTCTGCCAAGATCACCAGAGCTAATCGACGTAGCGGGAGCCAGAAGTTAGACAAAGACGGTAGCATGGCAATGACTTGAGCTCTCATCAGTGCCAGCCCATGACGTACGACAGAGGCACAATTCAGGTCAGTTCCGTATTCCAGTGTCCGTGCATGATGCATAGCAAGCCTGGGGAATAAACGTATATCCATGTTCGAGAACACTACCGTGCCTATTTTGGTTACGATCAATACAACTGAAGAAACTCTTATTGAGTAGAATATTGCATACCTTATCCACACAAGTCTAAGCCGCAGAGAAAGATACGCTTTTGATATGAGCATCGCGGGGTTTCGTGCCAGGCCCTGCATCTCCACGTATGTCAGGGCGGTACTGCGATGGGCAGTAGCGTCGGCTCCAGCGAGAGAGCCTACAGCAAGAGATCGTTCTACGTGAGTTTGCGATCTACGATACTTTATGTTTTGCGGCAGTGCGATGCGAACACGCATGTGCCAAGGCGGGGTGTCGGACACGTGTCCTTCATCTACCTGAGTAGCGTCGCGCGCAGTGGATGCATTGCGCTAAATGAGCGCAACTGGGTGATCAGGCAGTCAACTGACACGATGCGCATGCCGTTGTTGAAGGGAAACGCGATCTCGATCAGAAGCGTGTTGTTCAGCTGCAAAAAGTTGGATTTCCGTTGAGGACATAGCAAAGTGTAGTTTTCTGTTCGTTTTTGTTTCAGCCCTCGAACAAGTCTAGTCAAGTATTTTTTCGGAGTATATAACAGAAGCGTTCAAAGAGCGTTGTTTTTCAAAAAAAAACTAAAAAAAGGAACCTATGAAAAAACAAGTAGACGATCCTGGAGGCCCAGGGTCGTCGGCTGCTAGAAAAAAACAAAAAACATTGCCGAGCCCAGAAGAAAAGGAGGATGACAAGGACCGAAGGGGGTAGGTCCTACGTCGAAGGCGGCAAGAGAGACAACAATACAACGAGATGGTAGTAAAAAACCTGTCGTCTTGGACATATTAAGGATCCGTATAGGGAAAACTTACATGTCGCTATCAAAAAACGTGTTGCGTCATACTCCAAGAGTATTGTCAAGGCGCCGTCTGGACTCATGCATTTGGTGACGGAGATGTATCGCGACGTTACGAACATCGTAACGGTCGAGATTCCGGACGAGTTTTTCGACAAGACCTTTTTTTTTCGTCACATGATGCACGGTACAGGGGAGGCGCGGAAGGAAAATGTGCTAGTAGATGCCTTTCACGAAAAGCATCCCTTTTACAGATTCGAGGGTACTCGGCACAAAGGTGACCGGGATATTTACACATACAGGCCGATAAAGTACCTCACGAATCTGAAGAACCATTTCAGAGTGAATCTCGAACGTTTCATGATCTGCGCCGTGTTTGCACTCTATCCGGGCCTATCTCGCAATGCAAAATGGACGATGATCAATGGCATCACGAACGATCGAAACTATGGAAATGGGATCGAATTCGTCGGAGAGAAGGCATCAAACGAAAGCGCGAGCGAAGCTTCCGTAATCCGTGCGGTTATAGAAGAGCACCGTGCGGTACTGTGGTTGGCGAATCCAAGAGACAAGATATCAGAGTTGAAAAAAGATAAGGAAAGATACTTTCGCCTCGTCCTGCGCTACTTTGTGTTTCTGGACCGAGAACTTGAACGCAAAGCGGAGATGAAGCTGATTGAGGAAAAAAATGAAGAGTGGGAGAGACGGAAGGCTATCCTTATGGGGAAGCGCTTCAACGTGGTTCTAATGAGCAACATCAAGTCACATTTTGTTACTATTGACTCCGGCGTCCTTCACGGCATCATGCAGGAGATCAGTCCCGAATTCAATGATAGTATGGACGACTTCACCGGTGAAAACCGGGAGACGTACTGGAAGAGTAACTTCCAGTACAAACGTCTCAAAGTCAGCAAGCAAAAGGTATTCACTGGGATGATCGAATCAGATGGAGTAGCCTTGTGTGTACACTATCGGCGGTTGAAGAAAGATCGGCCAGTCCCTTTCTCGGCTGCGCCCGTCACGAAGGATGAAGAAATGGAGGAGACTGGTCTTGCGACGCAGAAAGTGCAGGATAATGTCTTTCTCGTTGACGCGGCGAAGGTGGAGAGGAGAAGGAGGCGGAACTTACGACGCAGGAGGTGGAGGATAACGACCTCGTCGTTGGCGTGACAAAGGATGAAGATGAGAAGGAGGCGGATCCTGTGACGCAGGAGATTGAGGGGCACGAACTTGTCGTGGACGTGACGATGGATGGAGATGAGAAAGAGGCGGGTTCTTCGACACAGAAAGTGCAGGATAACGACTTTGTCGTTCGCGCGGACCCTGGGAACCCAATTATCATAACCATCGCTCTACCCAAGCGTGCGGAAGATTGTAACGACTGTAACTTGCGTCAGAAAGACATGCGTCTGTTGAGATTCTCGAGAGCAAGATACTATCGAAAATCCGGTATAATGAATGCTAGGAAGAAAATTGAGACGTGGAATTCATGAATGAAAGAGCACCTGGGAGCTATGTGCGAGGTGACGAGTCGCGTAGCGGACTTGGAAGCTTTTCGGAAATTCGTGGAAGTTCGTGTTGCCCATTGGGATGCACTGTGGGAGGAGTATACAAAGCCCCGGTGCGCTCGTCCGCAAATGAATCTATACGGCGGAAGGCAGCTGGCGTTTGCCAACTTTTTCAATCAGTTGGGCGCCTTCAAAAAGGACAAGAGTCAAAGACTAGTAGTAGCGTACGGAGCAGTGCGCTGGGCGCCCAAGAAAGGCACTACGCCAGCTCTAACGACAAGAACGTACAAGGAGTGCGCAAGGCGTTTTGTTCCAATACCTGTAGATAAGTTTCGAACATCGTATACACACCATGAACTGGGGTGTACACTTGAGAGAGTGGAGATGGAAAAGTGCCAACGGAGTCCTGAGAATAAAACAAAGTACGGACCGCTGACGGAGGAGGAAATGGAAAGGAGGGCAAAAGTGCGAGGATTGCTTGCACTGGTGAGTACATCCAGTGATTGCAAGAAACGTATGGAGTTTAGTAACCGAGACTTTAATGCCACTATCAATATATTAGGAGATGTGCGATGCTGGAGAAGAGACCTCCAGAATAGTCAAGATGGAACTTTATTGGACAATCCTGCAAAGCCGCGCTATATGAGAAATAGTTGGAAGCACTAGTAGGTGGCCGGTCCAAGAATACTGGGAGGCGTCTGCACATCAGTTCAGGACGCTATGTTTAGGGCGCGATTGCTGCCACTACTGTATTCCGGTGACGTCGTTCGACTTTTAAACGGCGTTCGCAGCCGCTTCGGTCTAAGCGTGTGAATATAATTCCCCTGGGAAGCGCCAGTTGTGGACACTTGCAGATGGCAGGGTCACGAGCGAGCAACCTGAAACAAACCCGCGAAAAGCGCCAGCGCGCTGTTGCGTCTGCTTCTGCTGCCGCTGCTGTCCGCTGGGAAAGCATCGATGCGGCACTCTGCGAGCAACGGGCAACAGCGGTCACTCGTAGCCTGATCTGGGCCTACCTTATTCTCGCTGTGGTACTCGTTGTGTTCCCTGCCCTCTATACGCACGCGGAGGATAGTGGCCTGCTCTCCAGTGCGCCGCGGCTATTCGCCATGGCCGCAACAGCGATCACGCTCGTCAACATGCTACTTGTTTCAACCAGCGTCGTCTTCATCGGGGCACGCGTGTCTGCAGCACGTGATCGGCTTCGCCGGTGGGCTCTCGAGCAATCCCGTACCCGAGCGGGCGCGGACGACTCAGAATCGGTGGCGGCTGCGTTGGCAGCGCTCGAGCGCGAAGTCATCGGAAGAGGCGACGCGCTGCGGTTCCCCCTGGTCGCTTCACTTGGCCTGATAGCACTCTTCATGGCCATTCGGTACCTGCCGCAAAACGTTGTGCAGCTGCTCATCGGGATGTACGTTGCTCTAGCCTCGCTGGTCTCGATGACGAGTATCCTCTCGCCGCTGCTGGACCTGCTGGAGCACCGATTGCGGCAATCGCCGCGCACCAAACCGTTGGGGATGCTCATGGCGCGGCGGTTTGGACTTTTCAGGGATACGCTCTCGGTACACGGTCGAGATGTGCTGGGCATGGTGCTCGCGCTGCCGCTTCTCTACTGGTATCGGCAGTCGAGCGGTCTCGGCGCTGCGATCCTGAACAATATTTTTGCGGCAAGCCTGGGAGTTGCGGGCATCGACCTATTGGCCATTGGTGACTTTCAGACGGCTGTCGTGCTGCTTGTCGGCCTTTTCCTCTACGATATTTTCTGGGTCTTTGGCAGCGAGGCCGTCTTCGGCGACAACGTGATGGTATCGGTCGCGCGCGGCATCGACGGTCCCTTCAAATTCGTCTTCTACCGTCTGCGAGCGCGCCCTGATGCAGCGCGCGATATGTCGATGCTAGGACTTGGTGACCTGGTGATTCCCGGACTCTTTGTGGCCCTGATGTTGCGCTTTGACCACCGTCATTTGGCGAAACCTTCACTGGCGCCCAAGCATCCCTATTTTTCTGCTACATACATGGCCTATGCACTGGGTATGGTGACAACGTTCGTAGCGATGGCGGTGTCGAAGGCGGCGCAACCTGCGCTGCTTTACCTGGTACCGTTCTGCCTGGTGGCACCGCTGATGCGAGCCTGGCGCCTGGGCGAGCTGCGCTCGCTCTGGTATTACCGCGAACACGATGCGGAGCTTGATTCGCATCGCGAGCCGCACCAGTCGTCATGCAACGATACCTAGAACCGGAAGCGGGCCGCATCTAGCAGCAGTCGCTACCGCATCGATACTGGACATGCCATGGAGCGATTGCGCCCTAAGGACACGCACAGAGTCAACGACGCGGTGCATGCGCGCCATCATCCAGCCAGAATGACCAGCGTATGGGCAGCGCGCTCCATTTAACTAAAAGTTGAATGACCGCAAATCCTGCCAGCTGCTTGGTCGGTGCTGTGCCTGTTCGTTAGCGGCATCGTGCATGCCGCCGTGTGCCACCAAAAGCGCAATGCATTTGGGTATTCGAGGATCGCCCGCACAAGGCATGCGAGTCTGCGCTGAGAGCACCATTGCGTCGATGCAATTTCAGCAGCGGCGGCTGGCAAAAGTCCAGACCCAGGTGTGCTGCGGCTCAGTATCTATTGGTCAAGCACTCGGTGCACGCCGAACTTTTACACACTGTAAAGAATATCCCTCTGGACACCAACATGACCTGGAGGCCACGCACCACAAAGGCTCCTGCAGGGAGCCTCTCTCTCAAGCGATGACTCTGAGCAGCGCTATCCCGAACACTTGATCTACTGCCGAGTCTCGTTACCCTGTAGGGCATCTTAGCTCCCAAGTGCGCCTCATATTCCTGCGCCCTGAGCGCAAGAGGTATCGCTCTGGTGTACTGGGTGCCGCTCGTGTTTCTACGTGGCATCCAGCGTCGCCGTCGCGATGATCATTTCGATCGCGACGTGTCCGCGCACGCATCGCCGCCGTAGATGGTGCGTGTCACACAAGTTGCATTGGTGCATGCAGTGGACAGCGTTTTTCTGCGTCAACCGCTGTGAGTACTTTCCTGGTGTTTATACTCTGGATAGCGATACATGCAGGGCTTCTGAAAATCTTATTCGGTTACGTGGAGCAATGCGGGTATCCAGGCTATGGTGGTCGTCATGGGTCACGAGCAGCAGACCGTGTCCATCTCTGCATGGACTTGGGCTGGAAAAAGACCTGTCAATGTGTGTTGTCATATTTTTGGAGCAAACCTATACATATTATATATTGGAAATATTGCGTATAGGGTCGAACCCTCGCGTCGTGTGGCATCGCGTCGCGTAGGATCGTCCGAACAAAGCAGCTTCACAAAGAACGTGAAATGCATGACGACTAAACTCACGATCACGCTCTTCGGCCTCGTTCGGTTGCTCGGGAGCAGCATCGAGAAGCCATGCCAGGCTCAAAACAAAAGGATGGGATTTGGCGTATAATTGCTTGCTTTTGTTCTGTGACTGGACAAGAGCATGCGACTATCTTATTCAGGGAATACGGTGCACCGCTGCACTGTAATCTGCGCCATCCCGAATCGATGGGTGGCGCGCGCTAGCGCCTCGTCATATCGTGTGCGAAAAAGTTGGAACTTGCGCAGCCACCATCCATGAGCGCGGATAGAGCCGACGCTCTTCTGGTCCAGGTGTCGCGGAACGAATGCCCGGTTTACCACGAGATGTACCGAAATCGCCTTTCCTGACCATGATACGCTCACACGACATATACCCGGAAATAGAGCGTTCATACACCGGGAATCCTATCAATCACGGGATAGGAGAATGCAAACTCGGAGCATATCATGAACGCCGCACGAGACCCCTTCTAAATATTGTGTATCATTCGGGGGTGTCGCCCTGCCAAAGAGCTACGGCGCGTCCAGCTATGTTTCGAACGAGGTGGTCACGAATCCAACCCTCCATTCGGGGATACGGAACTAGTTTCGCAATATCTCCCACGAATCCATACAAGAGCAATGTTCTTGCTTCATCTCTGGAAGCTCCTCTTGACTGCAAGTAAAACAGTTCGACCTCGTCCAAATGGGCAGAGGCAGCACCATGGGTGCAGGACACATCGTCATTCAGAACCTCTAGGAACGGCATGACGTGCACACGAGAACCATCGCTCAGAAGCAGACTCCGGATTAACTGATGCGCATTGGTGCCGTCCGCCTCTCGCTCCACGTACACTGTCCCTCGGTAGACTGCAGTGCTTCGGTCGACAACCACATTCTTGTGAAGTTGATTCGACTCACACTGAGCGACATGATGACTGACTCGAACCTGCACATCGCCAAGAGCTCGATCCTGAAGCAAGGTCAGGCCGTTGACGTTACAAGAGGCCCGGCGGCCAACTAGATCAACGCCCATGACAAGCCGCCGCAACGCCAAAGAATCCACATTCAGATTGGTCGCGGTGAACGAGGTTCCTTGCTCGCAACGAACTGACAGACCAGTCATGTGGTAGAAACGATGTTGGTCCTGACGGACCGACTCCGATACGGATTGCGAGCCAATAATACTCAATTTCAGGCACGCATCGGTCTCCAGATGCACGTTGACACACTCATTCAGGAATGTGGCATCGTTTGGCTGCTGGGGCGCTTCAGGAGACGTGGCCCCTAGCGCAACAAGCCGAAAGGATACGGACGCCATTGCGCCGCGGTCGAGAAAGATTACAGTTCGAGGATTCACAGCGACGCCGGCGTCGACTACCTGGATGATTTCCATGGGGCGATCAATCGTACACCCCGGTGGCAGGTATACCACGAAAACGCCATCCCCGTCGCCAGACATTCCTAGATACACGTTCAAAAGGGTGAAAAAATCGTTCACCTTGGCGATGCCACTCGAATAATCGTGTGTCCGGGGCTCTTCACGAAACGGAACGACACCCAGGCCTGCTTCAGGCGGCGCGGTTCGAATGACCGATACGATGCGTTCCTGAAGTGCGCCGTCAGTGCACTCCTTGAGGTTGCCGACGTAACCTTGTTGAAGCGACGACGTGTCGCGAATCTGGGCGAGAGAGCTCAGTTCCTGAACAAGCCGGCCGTTCAGTAAAACAAATCTCAAGGGTTCCGTTTCCGAACCTTGGGTCGGCGTTCCGCACACTTGCTCCGCACGGTGAAGGGCATCACGTAGCCGCTCGAGCTGTGCGCTTGTGTACGGCTCCCGAGGCGTTCGCAGCCTAAAGTCTGTCTCTAGCAGCTCTCTGATATCGGTGAAGCGCCAGGTCTCCATCTTCCGATGCGGCAGGCGCTTCTCAGCTGCGGCACTCCCGAGACGCGCAAGTGCTATATCGCGCAAAGAGGCACAGCAGCCTGAAGTGATGTCGCTGGGTGGCGCCTGCGCCAGCAGTCTCTCCATGAAAGAGGAACTCCTCCAAAGGCGCATCGCCTGCACTACAGCAGAGAGTTCTTCCTCAACACTCTGACTGCGGGGCTGCATACCGCCAACATCCGAACCGTTCATGTCGAGCCTCGCTGAGCGTCTGACCTGCGCGGATCGACAGCGACTCCCAGCGCGTCGCTGATGAGCGCAGCTACCAACAACGGTAGCGTTCCAGCCACCTCGGAAGGCGCCAACGCGTCCTCCTGGAACAACAAAGGCAGACAGTTTGTTCTCTCTTGCCTCGATCGTAAGCATTTTATCCCCAACTAGCGCCTTGCGCAACAGTACCAAACCACGAAGAGCGCTGAAATAGTTGCACAGCCCGCGGCAGGCCCGGGGTATGCGCGTGCCCCCGGCCTGGTGGCTGCCAATCGCTGGCGGATCGCCGTTTGATCGCCGCCGTCGCTGCCACTGCAGGCACGCTGTGCGGGATGCGGCGCAGGCGCTGTGGCGCGCCTCCCACGCGTGCCATCGATCCTGCGGTGCGCTATAGGCGCTGCTGTTGCTGCCGCTTGCGGCAGGCTCGGCACACGATAGGACGTATGAAACGACCAGAATATCCGAGATGAAGTATAGGTAATGTAACTCGGAGGTAGGGTGTTTGATAGATACCTCGTCGCGCTCTGAAAAACCCAAAAAGAAAAGAAAAATGCGCATAATCGGAGAACGCTGGCCTAAGTAAAGGTTTTGTCAATGAAAAAAATCGATCCTGCGGTTGGCATCGGTGGCGCTGCTGCCCTTGAGATGCTAGACGTCGTCCAGTTTGCGCATCGCTGTTGTTGCTGGCTCGAGTGGGATCTCATATGGCCTGTCTCATTGCGTAGGGCATCTGGGTCCGGCAAATTTTGAATTTCGTGGGATCAGGTACACAAATCACCTGTTTGCTGCTACTGGGACTGCGATAAAGCAAGCGGAAAGACGTGATTCCCTGATGCACAAGTGCTGCTTCCAGAAACGCTGCGATGGGAATCGAACATTTCTCCTGAGCCGCTCGCATACCCAGGTGCGGTTCATTGGTTGTTTTGAACATATAAACGTCCTGATTCGACAGGTTGAGGGTACAGCGCAGGCGTGCAAAGCGCTCGCTTAGAGCGTGCACGCAAACCGGACACGCATGCGAGATGAGACGGAATGGCAGTGCGCGCTCCAGGGCGTAGCGCGTTCCGCGCTCTAAAGATGCACACTCGGAGGTTCTCGCGAAAGACTGCTCCTGGAATGCCTCCGAGTGCCACCGTATCGAAACTACTGCCATCACGGGAAGCGCCGTCCACGATTGTTGCGCGAAACGGATACGTCAGACCATTGCCCACACGTGCTACTCAAGAGTACCTCAAGACTCTGCCTAATCGTCGAGAAGCTATCGGTGCCTCTTGAGAGCCCGTCTTTCAGGGTCGAATGTTCAAGATCCGAGCTTTACAAGCTGCTCTGCATTTTGTGGTGTCTCCACACGCATCGGAAAGGATTTGGAGTACGTGGGTGTGTGCTTCAGGATCCAGAGCACCGCCTCCTGCGACCGAGTTTCGTCCAACATCAGCGAGCTCACCGAGCGCAGATGCTGCCGCCGCCATCTCAGAAGAGCGACTGTCATCGACAATCTACACGTAAGCTGCTTGCGGCACAACGGAATCATCGATCTGTGTCTTTTGTGGTAGCCCGCAAGTGCACGAGAAAGCCGTGCTGTCTCTGAACAGCGACGCTGGCTGCGCAGATGGCACCGTAGAACGCAATTGTGACCAACCTCGCACCCAGACCGTCCGCGAACGCATATCTCCAACCTGTGTCCCTCAAGGTTGGGCGGCTCCAGGGTCCACGGTGAATTGCTTCTTCGTCCGGCGGACTGCGCTCTCTCCCAGGGCTTGCTGTCGTACTCGTGCATCCGCGGGAGTCTGACCAAAATCATCGATCATAGACGATTACAAATCGAGCGGTCGCCATCGTTGGCGAGGAAATCGCTTGGCGCTTTGTTTTGATCGACGGATCGTGTACATTGGCCCAGGGATCTCCATCTTCGCAATGCTGATCGGCGTCTTGGAGAGCTTCCATCACTTCATACCTGATGCAAGACCTACATGAGATATCGAGTACACGCACAGACCGGACACGGCCTCGATGCAGCCACCAATCCACAGCTACTTCGAGAGGTGGCATAACTCCGTGGCTCGGTATCCAATTTGGAGGCGTTTGTTTGGTACACAGGACGTGTTTGTCGACCAGGGATCTCGGATAGCAAGATGGATATCGGCGTACCGGGCAGAGTCCATGATTCAGCAACTGACCTCCAAGTTCTACCAGCCACTACCAATACTATCATCCCGAGGAATTACTGGTCATTCCGTATGCTCCAGAGATTGCTGAGCCTGCCGTGAACACCCCCGATGGCACAAAATAGCGCCTATGCCGACACCGCATCGAGACACTGCGGGTTCATCACACCAGTGAGGGCGCCGGCTCGACGCGAGGTTCAAGCGACACGAGGGCGGAACTAGCCGGTGTTCTGGTATCCAGCAGAATGCACAAAGAGACCTACTGCGTCCAACAGCGCCAGGTAGTATGCCAGGAGACCATCAAGACCAGGGCGACAGCTAGAAGCAGCCTACTCACTTCTAGCCCCAGAAAAAAAGGCCTTGAGGTCGAGCTGCTCAGGTAGGGCCACGGCAGCCGCCACCGGAGGGCACATGAAACGTGCGGCACGAGCCTGGGAGAATCGTACAGCTCGCGGGACCTTCTTCTTGCAGGGTAATCTCCCGATTACGCGGAAATATTTTCCCGTGCTCACTGGGTGTGGCGAAGCGAGAAGAAGCAGTTAAGTGGATGCAAGTTTTTTGGATGTATTCTATCATGTTTTCTGTTCTCGCTGATGAGCGCCTCGAGTGCCTCTCATTCGAAGCTACGGTACGTTCGCGATAGGAGCAGTAGCGCTCGCGGCGTTGGTCTTCTTCACCAATGCATGTCTAATTGTTTGAAATGGCTATAGCGGTACACAGCATTCGTCACCGCTTGCGAGGCGTTGGCGTGATTACATGGCATACCGTGGACTGCCCTGTACTTCAACGCTGTTGTCTACCACATCCATGTGAGAATGGTACAGGGCGGCTTCCCGAAGCACGGGCAGGCATCCTGAAAGTTCTCCTCTCTTTCCATTGCCATCAACACCAGGATTTGCAGCCCTTTTTACTTCTTTCTTTTCTCCTCTCTTACCTGCGGCTTTTTCTCTGCAGATCCCTACCGTCGCTCCAGTTACGTTTTCAATACTCGAAAGCAGTTGATTCCAGCGTAACATTCCCGATGACGCTGCGCAGACTGTTCCTCAAGCATGTCATGGCAGGCAAGCGTCGCAATGTACACTGTGCTTGAAATTCTTATCACCTTCGCTTACAGCCTTAACGTGTTTTTCGCATCTACGAAACTTGGCTGTGATTAGGGTCGCCGCTAAGCTCGCTGCTCCGTCTTTACCGGGCCCTGTCCTGCGGCGCGTGGGCGCTTGCGTTACTGCTCCAGACTTGTCTTCGACGAAGACAGAAAACTCGCTTTTGTGCTCTTTTCTTTACTGGGAGAAGTGAAGGACCCCACGTTACCGATTCTCTTTTGGGAGATAGCCTCAGCGAGTACGCGACCCGCTGCACACACGCGTGCACGCTGCTCCCTTCAGTAGAGGATTTTTGGAGCGGAATGTTGTCTATGATGAAACGAGTAGGAAGCGGCGAACCAAACTGGAGAACTATTCGAGAAACTTGAACCCAGCTACGCTCCATTCTTGCAAAACGTTGACGCACGCCTCACCAGTAATGATCACGCAGAAGACTCAAGTCCCAGTCCATGACCGTTTTTCACCAAAACGGAAGAGGCGTGAGCCACCGCGAGCATATCCCGAGAGATTCATGAGGCTGCAGTGAAGCGCGGTCTTCCCTACGGCCCGCAAGAGAGGAGGATTCGCCTTTCGAGCGGAATCGATTATTTGCGGCGACAAATTTAGTCGACTCGTAATATGCTTTCGCCCGAGGACTGCCATTGGACGACGTCGAGTGTTTCTCATCGTCAATCCAGAAGCGAGAATGGGCGCGCCAACAAGTTGGCGTGGAGCAAACCTATCGAAAACTTGAAGAATGCATCACATCAGCATGCGGCACAAAGGGGACGGAGAAGACGGGGAGGTTCTACCTACATACCTAATAAAATTATGAGTTACCTTAGCGACGCTTGCTTGAGAGGGTCGCGAATCATCTCGCCTCTGGTTATCGTTCGAATGCAAGCGCCAGTGTCGAAGGAGCCTACCAAAAAAGACAACACTGAATGCTCCAAATTCGTCTGAATCCTATATTCCATATCTCTCCACTTCGAGTATCGAAGTTAATCCCCAAAATATTGTTATGGATAATAATCAACTCACAGGGACGGAGCGAGTACAGCATTCTTCCATTTCATCGGAAAAAGGGTGTTGGACGCGCGTTCCACGCTGGCGGCAGGAGCCCATTCTTCGACGCCCAGGGCGGATCGCGTCATCCATAGCGAAGCTGTTGCTTCAGGTACCTGCGACTGGCGTGCTTCCTGATAACATTCTTTTCTTCGGGAGTTGGTGCAACCACCCACCATAAGTGGTTGTAAACCATGGAGGATCAGCCACGGACTGGGACACTCACGTCCAACGATGCTGCTGCTATACCGCTACGAGGGCGCCCATTTGCGTACGAGTACGCTGCAGTCAACGCGCTGCAGTTGGTGCCAGAGTTCAAACAGCTCTTGGAAGGCAGCAATCTTCTCGCTTTTATCGCGTACCTTCGGCGACAGACGATTGAAAGTGGCGGGAGACCTGGACGCGTCTCCTGGCCAGTTTGGCTCCAGGCCGCAGAGGATCTCGGTCTAGGCGCCACTCGTGCGGCTATTCTCTGGAGAGGTGCACAGTTTGCGGACACGGACCGCGGCGCCTCTGCAGTGCAGTCTCTGGACGTTTTCAGTGAGTACGACTCTGTACCGCTCGCGCGCCTCGGAGCACTTCTGTTTCTATCGAGCGTCATTCCGCGGCCACTCGCTCGGGAAGTGGATGCGGCCTGGCTGGACTTTCCGTCTCCGACAACCATCACCGAGAGCGTTCCGCAGTTACTTAAGGAAGCAGCACGTTGGGAGACCCAGACCAAAGTCATCGACTTGCAAAGTGGGGAAGTCACGGAACACCTGTCCTTTGAACAGAAAAGCATTAGCGATGTCATGGCGGTCACCACGTCGAGCATGGAAAAGATTCTCGGAATGGTTGAAAAGGGTAAATTCTACCCCGCAGGATCGTACATCTCCACACTGCGACGTCTACCCGCAATTCTTCAATACAATTGTACTTTCCAGACAAAGATTCTGGTGGTTTCGCTTGGACTCACGTTCACCAATGGTGACGTATGTGCAGATGTCATCACCCCGTGGAATCCGAAGGGTCGTCCCGATGCAAATACTGGGACAAAATCTGCTGATGATATCGACTGGAACGATATTTGGATTCCGCTTCGCTGTATAGAGCACTTCCGTTTCCTGTTTGAATTGCCCGATGTGCCGCTGACATTGGGCTGGGATGCCACCCAGATTGTGGAGGGCATTTCCGAACCAGCAGTGAAATTTGCTGATTCAGTTTCATATCTATTCGATCTCTTCAATATTCTGCTGGGCACTTGCTTCATCCGGAACAAGAACCTGCCGTGGGCGCATATTAGGTCGATTGCTGGCCTACGGGCTGTGGCGTCACTGCGGCCGTACCGCTGGGAGGTATCCGCACTCGTTCGATCGACGTTGATCAAACGTATCGACCACGAGGATACCGCCGACATAGATATCCGAGGGTGCAAGGATTGCCGGCTCGAGTTTGTTCCGGGAGACGCTACGACGATCGCGCATGTTACAATAGGCCAGTGCGTAGACTGCACCATCTTTGTGGCAGCTTGCAAGACGCTCATGCTGACCACGAGCGAGAGGGTTACCATTCTTGCCGCCGTGCACGCAGAGTTGCGAATCATCAATTGCCTAGAGTGCCAAATCTATATCCTCTGCAACGAGCGGCCGGTGGCTTACGGAGACAATCGGCTCGTATACATTGGACCCGCTGCATACAATTTCGACGGCCTCGATAGTATCCTGAGCAGGCATGGGATTCGTACGGACTCCAACCGGTGGAGCGAGCCCTATGATTTTGAACGGGACGGTACCCCAACGTCCAACACGGTTGCGCTGATTCCGCCGAGCAGTTACTGGCCCCCGGTGCTTGCGTGGAAGAACGCCAAGGACCTGCGCTCTTGTCCGTGGCAGATCGAGAAGGAGTACCTGGAGGTGTTCGAGCACAGATCAGCCAGCGTTGATCGGCTGCGACGAAGCGTATGCGACAGGTTCGGCGATCGCAAAGATGCCATGTCGCAGCTGCAAGACCTCGTCCATGCTCGATTTCGAGAATGGCTCGGGAACGGTAATCGGATGCGCTCCGTTCACGATCTGCTCCGTATGGAGAGGACGGAAGCGAAAGAGGCGCCCAAAGACTCGTCAGAACAAAGTGCATCTTGATTCCGACAGCCGATGGCATCGGGATAAGCTCGCAAAGCATCTCGTACTGCGCTCATGCCTCAGCGCAGGCTGATGTAGAGCTCTGTGCTCCCAAACGGCAGCGTTGTCGACGAAGCGCTGCTCGCTGCGCGGAACCGCACCGGCTTGCACCCTGTGGCACACCGGGCATTAAGAGCCGGACCGTATCTAGATGGAATTTTTCAGGTTCTTTGCGATACGCGGCTGGCAATGAATCTATCCATCCGAAGAAGGTTGCACAGTGCTACCCACAGAATCAGTAGAATAACTGATCGTACGGAGCAGTGTGCGTGCTTTGCACCCTGCATGAAAATTCTAAACCTTCCTCGATCGGGGCCTGCTCCAGGCTGGCACTGGACCAAGTTTCGGTTTCTCCTCGATAAGACCGGCAGAAACCAGCGCTATCGCAGTGGCGGCGACGATCGCTGAGACTTGAGGCACCAGGAGCACTCAGGACCCACGCCTCATAGTTCAGGTTCTGAATCAGATCTGGTCTGGAGTACATGGTGAAGTGCTAGTGATCCGAGTCTAGTCTTACTCGGGACTAGAGCTGGTACATAGGCGACGTGCAGCCTTCAAGCACCAAGCACGAACCATCTCCTTGTCGTTCTTTATCCGCAAATGATTTCGAGTACCAGGCATCTGTATCACAGTCCCTGGATCCGTGCCCTGGATACCTAGGCGCACGGCTCTGATCGTATGTGCTGCGGAGGCATGCGCCGGGCTCCCACAAACCGAAGACTTCGTCATTCTCGGCTTCGTGCGTAGCCGGGTGCATGTGCCTCTATGAATGCATGATCACGCCGCAGGTCTGCGCATCGAGTCCGCTGCGCATTGCTCTCTCGTTGTAAACGAGCGCGCACCGCGTGCTTCCGTTCAGACAGTGTATGTTGGTTTGTTTGTGTGTCGGTAGACTGGCGCGATAATCGACTGAGGCGTCGCATTTCATTTAGGCGATGTCGACGCCCGGTTCGCTTTCGCCTGCTCTATACGCTCCAGGCTCAATCGTAAGCTCTCTCTCTGCCGGATCAGGTGCGGGGGCATCGAGCTGTACACATCGAGGAACATGTCGAGTGGTGGTTCCTTTTCCTCTTGTTCAGCGCTAGATAGTGCATCAAGAACCAGAGTGCGTTCGCGTTTACGCATCGCCTGCTCTTCTGCAGGCGACACGTTCAGAAAGCGTCCCAAACGGGCGATCGGGTCGGCATAACGCATGAAGTAGTCAATCTCTTCGAGCGAACGGTACTGGGAGGAGTCATCCGATGTCGAATGATGCCCACCTCTGTAGGTCAGCAGCTCCAAAAGCATCGGTCTACTCGTTGCCACAATTCGATCGCGGGCATAGTTTGTGGCAACGTAAACAGCCAGGGCATCGTTCCCATCACAACGAATCGCGTCCATACCATAGCCACATGCCCGTCTGGCAATGCCATCCCCGCGGAACTGTTCGGTTGCAGGCGTCGAGATCGCATACCCATTGTTGCGGCAGATAAAAAGCACCGGGCAGTCGAGTGTGGACGCGAAATTCATGGCAGCGTGAAAATCGCCTTCGCTTGCAGCGCCCTCGCCAAAGTAACATGCTGCGATCCCTTTGCCATCAAGTTTGAGCGCATATGCCGCGCCTACAGCGTGGGGTATCTGCGTAGCCAAAGTTGATGAAATGGTATGAAAATGCATATCTTTTCGGCCGTAGTGCACGGGCATCTGATGGCCACGCGCAGGCTCCTTCCGCGTGCTGCAGCATTGCTGGCAAAAATCGTCATACGTGTAGCCGCGCCACAGCAGAACGCCTTGCTCTCTGTACTGCGCGAAAACCTCATCATGGTTATCTAAGGCCGCTGCGGACGCAACAACGGCAGCCTCCTCGCAAAACGAGGTCAAGTAGAAAGATATTCGGCCTTGACGTTGCGCGGAAAACAAAATCGAATCCATTACGTTCAGAGCAACCATGCAGTCATAGATCTTGCGCAGCACTGCCCCGCTTACTTTTTCCTCCACTGACTTGGAGTCAACTCCATCGACCAGTTCACCGTTGTTATTCAAAAGTCGGAAAGCTGGTATGGGCAAGAGCTTTGCCGCTTCTTCAACGACGAGCTTGTGTGTGTACGGCGCTGCAACCGCCCCTGGAAAGTGCACTTCCCCGCCCGGTGAAAACCAGCTCACAGGCCGCTCCGTCCCACTTGAACAGCAGCGAGCTTGCTGTCCGACAGCGGCGTAGCTCCCTGAGCAGCCCTGCTGGTACGCGTTTCCGATGCGTCGACCGTGGTGCTTTTCAACTTGGGCACGGAAAGCCGCTCGGTACGCGATTCGAACAGAGTCTTGTACCGCACGCGTCAACAAGACACGCACGTTTTTCAAGTACGACTTAGAGTGATACATTCGTGTCCGAACATCTCCAATTCCTTGGCTCCGAGCGCAACAGTGCCTTGCTATGGAACGACTCCCGACCAAGGACCAGGCGCGAGGTACAGACCCGTCGTTGAGAGCGCACGCGGCAGCGCCACTGCCTCGCAGCTGTGGAGCCAAGTATCGCACTGCGGTCGTGGAGTCATTCACCATGCGCTGCTGGATTCGCTACCCGCTCCAGTGCTACAACGACCATATTTCATTGACAGCGTTTGGGGGACACGTTGTCGCTAGGAGGCACTGTCGTTGTATACTTGTCGGATCGTTGATGAGCAACACAACGAGGTACATACGGAACCCGAGCGCTCATAGAAGATCTAAGGGCTCACGCTTGTCGTGCCTGGTCGAAGCCCGCAGGGGCTCGTTCCCGGCGGAGAAGCACATGGTCAGCACTAGTCCCTTTTCTGAATCTGTCCGGGCGTCGGATATGCGCTCGTGAGCTGGGCGGCACTCGGCCTGCTCAATGACAGCGTGCGCTTCGCATCACGGACGGGTGCCACATGCAAGTTAAGTATCCCGGTATCGAAGGCTTCTCGAAGATAAGCAGTGCAGACACTGCATTGGGCTTTGGAGCGAACCGATTGTCTAGATAAGGGCGATAAAGGTACCTCAAGCTATTCTGTCTCTGTACAGCGCCCGCAGCAAAGCCGCAGCCAATGCGACGCATCGCGCCGACGGTAGCCGCGGCATCCGCAGGGACACTGGGTTGCTCCAGACGCTTTCCCTACGAGACGACAAGCCTTAGATTCATAACACCTGGAGGTATCCGGAGAGAAGCGCTCGTCTCTCCTATAGCTGCATATAGAAACCGCGATTCCCAGCAGGCATGCGGTGAGTTGGCGATCGACTTGAACGAACGCAAGCGGACGTGTGCGTCGCGCCACGTGTCCAGCATCGGGTGCTTTTGCGGCGGCGCGGCTTGGACCTCAGGTGTGTCTGCCCAGGAGCCTTGTGACATGGCTGGTGAACTGAACCGACGAGTGCTGCAGCTGATTCCCTCTGATCTGGAAAATGATCCGAAGTTTTTAACCTTTCTCGCAGCGAACGTGCCAAAAGCAGAGCTCCATATCCACATTGAAGGCGCGCTGGAGCCAGAGCTCGCGCTCAAGCTCGCCGCACGAAACAACGTCACCGAAGTGCTTTCGAAATATGATAGCTCCGTCGCAAAGCTAAGAGAGTCCTACAACTTTAGTGATCTACAGTCGTTCCTCAATGTCTATTACGATACTATGCAAGTGCTACGGACAGCTGATGACTTTTTCTGTTTGACAAGAGCGTACCTGGAACAGGCCCGAATACAGCACGTTCGCCACGTAGAGCTCTTCTTCGACGGACCGTTTCATGTAAGACGCGGGGTACGGCTCTCAAGCGTGATTGACGGGATCCGCTCGGCGTTAGAAAACGCCGAAGCTGAATGGGGCCTCTCCTGGCGCCTCCTCATGTGTCTCCAGCGAGAACTGCCACCGGAGGAAGCGCTCCATTGCGTCCGTCAGATTGGACCCTACCGACCATGGATTCATGGCATTGGGCTAGACGGTGCCGAGAAGCCTAACCCTCCGGAGCGATTCGCAGATGCTTTCAATCTGGCGCGCTCTATGGGCCTGCATTGTGTCGCCCATGCAGGAGAGGAGGGACCACCTCCATACATTTACACGGCGTTGAACGTTCTGCACGTGGAACGTATCGATCACGGCGTTCGTGCAGTGGAAGACCCCTCACTACTGGAGATGCTTCGTGTGAGATTGGTGCCACTGACGGTGTGCCCGTTGTCGAACTGGCGCCTCCGTGTGGTAGAGAGTCTGGCACAGCATCCGATAAAGGAGCTCATGGACGCCGGGCTGTGCGTTACTCTGAACTCGGATGATCCAGCCTATTTTGGTGGCTACATCAACGAGAATTTCTCGGCGATGATTCACGAAAAACATCTTAACTGTACGCAAGTCTTGGGGCTTTTGGAAAATTCATTCGTCGCATCGTTCCTCGAGCCAAACCAACGAAATCTTTTCTTGGGCGAGCAATGCTCTGCAGTTGAGTCCTGTGTGCGTACGTGGCAAACAGACCCAAATCGCCATGAGAGCGTTGTCTCCACAGCATAGACGAGTTGGCAGCGTGTCTGGGCCAGTTGTATGCCATGGAACGATTCCTTCGATGATGTTTCTCCTCAAAAAGTTCATGCGCTCAGACGCCAAGCATCCGCTTAAGATTTGTCTGCACAAATATGCTCAACGGGCCCAGCATTGGCAGTATCCTGGCGAGTACTCAGCATTTCGCATTGGAACAGGCACGTGCGGGAAAGAAACTCTCCAGTATGGAGCGCTCGCTTCTGCACGCGCTTCCTTGCTCTTCGCAGACGCTGTCGAGAGGCCAGATGCTTTCTAGTTATAGCTCCGCAGGCGGCCTTCCAATTCTTCAAATCCACTTTAGTACTAGTATCAAGAACAGCACTACACACCCCAGTGCCAGTATGAGTGTACAGTAGTGGATCCAGCCGCGTTTCTGCGTTCTTCGCGCCCGCTGCAACTGCTTTAAAGCCTGTTCTGCCTCCATGTCAGCCTGCTCGATGTTATAATCGATTCGGTCTATAATGCTGCCTTGTTCTGTAACAAGCAGCGAGAGATCTCGCATGATTCCCGAGAGCTCCTGAATAGAACGCGCGATGCGGCGAGCCTCTTCGTATCGCGCGCCCGCATGCATCTCCGCGTGTCGCCACAGGGCCAACTGTGATTCGTTGAACCCTGGGTCATATGTGCTGAAATTATCTGGATGGTTATCATCCATGGAGTCGTTAGCACCGGCTTTCGTTCTAAATAGCGCTCCGTTAACGCGGAGAGCGAGAGCGTTATCCGCATCCGCTTTGCGGAGACGATCCAGGAATCGGCGCTGTTCCCGTCGAAAACGAATACTCAGTTCCTGGACTTGCATGGCATGCTTCTTCTGAACATTTTCTCTTATAATGCGCTCAGTTCGAGAGAGGCTGATTTCGTGCACGAGCTCGCTCAATTGCCGTACTTTGGCTTCGCAGCTCTGGAACAACCTCGCCACCTCTGCCGTTTTTTTGTCGACCACGTACTCTTCTTCACTCTTGTCAGCAAACTCTGGCAACAACAGTTTTCTGCGCATATTTTCCAGCTCATCCATACCAGAGCGTATTGTAGCCAAGTCCTCTTGGATGGACTCGTGGAGATCCACCCACCGCGGCGGCAACAGGGCGACTCCTTTGGCGACCTGGGTTACGCCCGCCCGCGCAGCAGCGGGTGCTTGCTGCTTCTCGCTTTTCAGTTCTTCAAGCGCGCTCCGTTCACCGAGAGCAAGACGAGCCTCAGCTCGGTAGCGCTTAAAAACCGACGTCCTGTCGCGGCTTGTCATGTTGCGCGAGGGAGAGCCTTTGCTGAAACCAGTTACCGCTCTTCGAACTAGAGCTCCTGGTCGCTATCGTCCAGTGGACGCGAAGACGCGGAGCTGAACCTCGTATGCTTCAGGAGGCTTTGACGCCCCGCGTCTCGTTCCAGGAAACACGTTCGAGGTCTGGGAACGACCCGCAACTAGCACCGTTCTCTAGTGCTGCTTACGGACGCTCGCCTGCCCGCCGCGCGCGTCGACACTTGACACCGCATTGAGCGCTTCTCCGCAGACAATGCCTGAAACCGGGGACACCGACGGGGCTGCTCTCAATCAAGAAGAGAGGGTACCAACGGAACTCTCTGAAAATGAACAGGAAGGTGGTTCGGCGAGTGCTGGAGAGAAGCTTCGCGACCCAAGGTATCCGCTCAAGGTAAAGTATGCCCCGTGCGGCCTGCCTCCCGAGTACTGCGAGTTCCACTCGCAGGATGAGTTGAGACAGTGTTTGCCTTGGCTCGCTACGCACTTTCCCCATTGGTTTGAGTCTCGAGACCAGGAGAGATCGATCGATCCCCAGAAACAAACACGAACGAGCGCGCCCTTGCCACCAGAGCAGCGTTCTGAGGGACTTGAAGAGATCCGGGTTGATTTCAGCGCTTTCGCGGACGCTTTCGCCGAACTCAGAGTGACCGCGAAAACGAATGCTGTGAACAAACCGGACCGCAAAGAGTCTACCAAGCACTCGGGAGGCAAACAGAAAGGCAGCAAGATCGATAACGTGATCATCCACGTGAGCAAAGTCAAAGGAAACAAACAAATGACAGCAGTTCATGGTCTCGAGGCATTCTTGGAGCGAGGCACCATCAAGGATATGGCAAAATTATGCAAAAAGCGGTTCAGTTGTGGTGCAACGATTACGAGAACTGAAGCTCATGGAGAGGCCCTTGAAATCCAGGGCGATCGCTCGACGGACATTGCCGAATGGCTCCGAGACGAGTTCTTAGTACCAGCGGATCGAATTTTCTTCGCAACCACGGGTGATCTGAGGAATAAACAAGCTGCGTTTCCTGCTTGAGCAGTTTCGTTCATGTGGAAGGCGAAGAAACCGGCTGTGTACCCAGACGCGATGCCGCGAATGCGGACGCCGATTGTAATCCACATGGGCAAGCGTTTCGGTCACGACTCGACAGCGACACCTTTAGAACAGAATCAGGTTTTCCAGACGACGTCGCCGTACCGCAGTTAGGTATGATAGACAAGCTCGGAAATCGCAATATGTCTGCGGCATGCAGAGGGTATCGCAGCTCCGGGGATATGGTTGTTTTTCGTTGAATAGGAGCACGATGGCGCGCTCATGGTTGGTGAACGCCTCTGGAGCAAGTCGGCACGAGCTCGTTAAGCGTCGTGTCTGTGTGTCTCGCAGAAGATGAACTTTAAGGTCAGAGGCATGCATGGACCGGGGAAGCATCATGGCTGTGCATAGCATAGTGGAAACGGTATCACGTCTTGTAGATGCACTTCAGTCAGTCAGGTGCCGAAAGTGTTTGCGTCGCAGCGGATGCTGCACATCTGTTTACAGTTTTTGTTGACAGGCTCGCGAGACATTACCAACGGCGAACGCAGCACGGCAACGCTCTGTGCTGCGCTTCCTCAGAGTCGATTTACTGGGCTGTGTCTGTAAGCGAATGCCACGAGCATCGAGCTTCTGGTGCATGTGTACCAAATCCGACATCACTCCGTCCTGATCGTACTGCTCGACGAAGGTCTCGTTGCGCGGAAAACTGTGCTGTGGTGTTATGCATAGCGGTATCCTCAACGCAACGCGGGGATTCGTGCACGGAGCACGACAAGTTCTTCGACGCCGACAGTCTTCTAAATGGCAGAGCATTCCTCTGGCTGCCTTCACTGCTCGGGTCCTGATCACGAATACCTGGAGTATGAACTTGACTCTGTGCGATGTGGCGCTTTCGTCCTTGATCGAAGCGAGCAACGGTCACCAGCAGCTATCAAAGACGAATGCACTGGACGGGGCGCACAACATTGACAAGTCCAGCACGCGGTCCTTCCTGGATGCAACGAGTTTACTCGCGACATGATCCGCGTATCGTGCATCGACGATGCACGAGAGTCCGCCACTTGAACGCCAGACAGGTGTCAAATTAAAATGGAACATTGAGCTCCCTGCTCTGTTCCTGCTTTTCGACTTTGTTTGGGAACTTGTCTACGCGTACAGCCTCAATACTCGAATTTCAACAGTAAGGGTTTCCGAACTTGTACCAAATATAAGGATTATAGTTTGGTTTTCGGATTGGCAGTTTCGACGCTTTGCTCTCTGAATGCGTGACGTCATCGAAACCAAGATGAATGATGACGCCCTTGAACGAGGGTTCGTGAAATAACCGATATCGTTATTCAAGTAATAGGGACAAGCTTCTAGGCGTCTCCGTTCTCTACTAGTAGCATGCTCAAATCAGAGGTTCCTCACGTTTGCAACCGTTTTTTCAAGGCAGTATGCGGGCACAGCAATTCGTGCGCTGCATTGACGAGACCAAAAAAATACTCGAGGTCGTCCCATGCCAACTTGTTAACGAGCGTATTCCTAAATTTGACTGTGTTTCTTTCGTCAAATAAAACAATCCGCACGAAGAACAGTTCCTGTTCTCTTTATGGCTATCGAAGGGACCGCGTTCTATAGCAACATGATATCTTTCAAAGGATACGTTCGCAGAGGCTACCGTTCTATTTGGACTGTGTTTCTTTCGTCAAATAAAACAATCCGCACGAAGAACAGTTCCTGTTCTCTTTATGGCTATCGAAGGGACCGCGTTCTATAGCAACATGATATCTTTCAAAGGATACGTTCGCAGATGCTACCACTCTTTTTGGACTGAGTTTCTTTCGTCAAATAAAACAATCCGTACGAAGAACATTTCCTGTTCTCTTTATGAGTATCGAAGGGACCGCGTTCCACAGCAGCACGGTATCTTTCAAAGGATACGTTCGCAGAGGCTGTCGCTCTTTCTGTTTACATGGAAAAGCGTATCGGGCACGGATTTGAGTCAAAGCAGCGATCGCTGCCAGCGGAGAGAGCGTAAACGCTTCGCACGAAGGCAACGTAGATGGATCGAAATCTCTCCGCATGTTCTTCAGCGTGGATCGCCTTCCAGGACTCGTTTCGTCGTGGATTGCATTGCGTTCGACAAATCCTATGTCGAATGGAATAGCGTGCGTTTGCGCTTGCACTTGCGGCGGACACAGTACTAGCCGTTGTGATCGTGAAGAGAGCAGGCAGCGGACACTGGGTACGGCGCCGGGCGGGAAACATTGGAGTGCACCGCGAGGAGCCCTCTTTACCCGCCGAAGGCATGTACCGAGCAGTGAAGAAAACGTTGATGCGCCACGGGCTGCCCCTGGAGTGGAAGGCGCGCTAGACGTATAGAGACTCTCTTCTACATCCAAGAGTGTTCATTGCGAAAAGCTTTCCACTGCTGCATACAAAGAAAATGACCACGGTAAGCGATACGTTGGTCGCGACTACTCTCTATGTATCAAATGCATCGACAACTGCGGAAACCGCAAAATCATGACTTTAAAACTGCCATCTACATCCTTCCACTGCTGATCACGGGGCCGGAAGGAAAAGACAGATCATCGTATTCAGAGCCGGAGGTAAGAGACAGGCAAGTATGCAGGAGTGGGAAAGCCCGCAAGTACTGGTGCTGACGACATTAAGAGCAGGCCCAAACTTTAGAGTCCACACTCGTGTTAGGCAAGTGGACCTCTTGCATGACAGCCGGGCACGGGTGTAACAATATGTCCGAAGAATCCACAGGCGCTCACGAATGAACCAGACCTGTCTGGATTGTATGCCCATCCGAATCGCATGCTTCCTCCGTCGAATGTGTGATCAGCTCGACTTGCCCGTCAGGTGCATCCTTCAGGGCACTCATGCTCGGCTGGTGTCGTTCGTCGGAAGCAAGCTAGATGCTGTTCGTGGACGAACGCTGCGACGCCCACCTTGCCGGGTCGGAACGCGACTCAAACGATGCACACCCGTCAGCTCCGATACGTTCCAAGACAGTCTCGCATGTGCATCAAGTGTTTTGCTTAGACGCCCTTCTTCGCCTTCGTCGCGTGCGGTCATTTGTTCCTTCCTCCGCCTCGAGGCTCGGTACAGGTTTCACACGAACCTCTTTCAACACCGGTTCATGGAGCGCTTCCGTATCCCCGGCTGCGGTGCCAAGTGCCTCCGTGGGTTTCTCTTGAAGCTGATGAACGTGCTCTGCATTTCGAGAAAACTCGACTCGCTTCTGCGGCAAAAGCCGTTCGGCTGCGCGCAGTCGTTGGCGGAAGTACAACCACGTACCAGCGAGAAGCAACACCGTCACCCCGTACGATAGCCATACTTCGGGGTACGCTCGAGTGATGTCAAACACACCGATTCGTGTTGACTCAGGCTCGTTACTCGGATAGCTTGAAGGCTCTGCGTCAAGCGGTGTGGCGCCCCGCTCTAGCGTTGTCGCAGCTCCAGTGCGGGTCTCAAGGGGGCTACAAAAAATGAGCCCCTGCCCTAGAGCGAACTTTTTCACAGTACAGCCGGCTTCGTACATATACGACCAGAGCGACATGGCCTCGATCATTAACTTACGAAAAGGTCACCAGACCCTATCCATATCTTCGCTCGTAACCAGCCAAGTGGGTGCGTTCTGCGAAAGCGTTTGTCACTGGCGGGCAGCATCATCGAAAGCGCCGCTGTGGCGTCGTGGCTTGCAAGTCCTGTTAGTGTCTTTCAACTCAGTATGTGCAAGCACCACCCCTGTGGTGTACAGTAAGAGATCGAAATCACGATGCAATGTACCGCATAGATCGTAGAAGAACTGCGTGTTGGATATCTATTCTTTACTGAACAGTGACGGAGGACTGCATTCTCCTCTGAGGTCAGTTACACTACAGCATTCAGGTGGTTGAGGACCACTGAAAGAAAGAAGCATACGCGCTCCGCATCATAAACCGATATTCTTAATGAATGCATGCTACCAGTCGTAGAAAACGACCGACTGATCACTTTGCGTTAGGCGAAAGCGGCGATAATAGACACCATGGGCGCCTCTGTTTCTCAACAGCTTGTTCGTGTGATCCTGAAAACACTGGAATACGGTTGTGAAAAAAGCGTCCTAGTTCACGTCCGCCCATTTTCCACCGAAATCGCAACGACAGCGTTCTTGGAACGTCACTATCCATATGAAGCACAGGAAAGTCGGTTTCGTTTTTTTATCGATGATACCTTCGTTGGGCGATTCTGTTGTAGCGTATATGGGTATTCGCGGAACAGGGTGCCCGTGTTATGCACGACTGAACTCGAAGAGAACGACGACATCATCATTTGTTGGAGCTGTAGTGGAATTATTTGTCGGCCTCAGTTCCGCCCGTAAAGCAGGCCCGTACAACAGCACCAACGACTTTGTCGAATCATTGAGGACGTTTTCCTGACGTCTGGCGACGCCCTTACATTAGGAAAAGGTGGTATTTCACCATTACCCTTCGTGTTCGAGCTTTTGCTTACTCTATCGGGGTAGAGCAGCACTTCATTCTTCCGGACGCTCCGTGTTTCAACTGCATCGGATCAGTGTTCTCCATCATGAAACATAACCATCGCTCCACTGGGCGAATCGCTAAATCGTCCAGCACACGGTGACATGCTGGGGCATATTTCCTCATTCTCGTGCAATCTCTTCTTCTTCTGGGAAGATCGTCACCTACTGGCATTAGAAAGTGCAATCATTTTCAGAACAAAGGAGAGAACGATCTGGGATGTACACTTCAGAGCGTCGAGAAGGAGACAAGGCAGCGGAGCGCTTTGGTGATAGAGAAGTATAGAGAGCTCGCAATGCAGCAAGTGGCACGGAGGGCACGAGCTCTACCAACCCCTGCACTGACGAGTTCCACCAAAGGCAATAAACGCATGGAGTTCGTGCACTAAGAATTCAACGCCGCCATCTATATCAGACGATATGCAATGCTGAAGACAAGACCTAGGGGCGTGACGCGAGCCAACGTTATGAAGCAGTCTCTCAGGCTCGAAGTGTGTCTGGATGAAACCCGAAACCGATAGCATCGATCTGGTCGAAAAGTGCTGGAAGGTGGCGTCTGCGCGTGGGTATGCATTTACCCCACATTGTCGTACAAAATACTTGCGCCAATCATATGTAGTTCCCTTGCGCTTTCACCTGCTCTCTGTGGGCTATTCTTCGAGCAGTATGCATGGGGGTCTGGTCGGACTTTCGAAAATTTCTTGAAGACGGTGCTTTCTTCAACCAGAATGGGTTTAAACCCGCCTGGTTCGTATACGTGGTGCAGCTCTGGAGCCTCTTGCAAGCTTTCATTCTACCAGCTGCGCAAACCTTGGCGGGGTTGTTCGCGCTTCGTGTTGCTGCTGGAGTTTTGAGCCGTCTGCGGCCTTTTTGTAGACTGGCTGCTCATCATCTACCTAGTTTGAATTCTCTCTGGAATGATAGGCACAATGGTTTGCCACTGGGCACGGACGCGGTCGCACTGCGGAAACGCGGTGCTGTCACCGACCGTGCTGCGGCCCTGGAACCGCTCGGCGCCAAACTAGCGCACTCCAGGGCGGAAAACGCTGGACGCTGCGACACAGTGGCTTGTGAAGCTGGCGGTGCACCGCGGAACGAGACTTGTATTGCTCGCTGTCGGTCATTTCTGGTAGAGCTACGACGAAAGCCTCAGCTTGGCTGGCCGAGGCTTCTCTATCGCGTTCTGCAGCTGCTCATTGTGCTGCGCGGGCTCATGCTTTTCAAGCATCTGGCGCTCACGAACGAGCCACGGACTTATTTTTATTCGACAAGTATCGTACCCCCTCCGTTATGCCCACTGAATGACCTGGAGCCCCTTATTGAGAAGGAGTCTCGTTTTCTGCAAGTGGAGTTACCTCGTTATGTCGCGCAGGTCCAGGAAGCGCTTTGGCAAGATGCCAGACGCTATGGTGAACCAGGCATCCGGAAGCATCGCATTGTGCTGTACCGCGCCAGCTGCGACGGCTTGGGCAACCGCCTGACCGGCCTTGTATCAGCGTTCTACTATGCCTATATGAGCCAGCGTGCCTTTCTCGTAGACTGGAACGGCTGTGCAGCGGTCGTGAGCGGCACTCTCGAAGATCTGGTCGATCCTCCCTTCGCATGGAGTGCACGCGACCTACTCCGCGTCCTCGGTGCAGACGATCGCCAGCATGCTGCTCGAAGAAGCGATCAAGATACGGATCCGGTGCTCGTCGAATTTCAACGTATCTTCGGTGATGCCGGTGTGCGGCGTCTGTCGACTGCATACTGCAGGCCGTGTCCGGAGCGACGCCCTCTGCGAGACCTGGAACATATGCTGTGTGAGCGTTTTGTCGATGACTCGACCCCCGTTGTCGACTTTTACGGCACACACTGGACTGGAGCGACCATTCAGCATAATCCCTATTTCCGGACTGCTTCTTGCAAACTCTTCGGCAATGATGCCTTTGGCATCCTTTCGCGTGCGCTGCTCAGGCCAAATGCAGTGGTTCAGCGCATCGCGGCTCCGGTTCTTGAGGAAATGTCAAGGGCGGTTCTCACGATCGCTCTGCAAATACGACGACGTGACAGCTACGGCATCTCGGCGGCCATGGAGGAGGTCATGTGGCGCTGCGCACAACAGATTCGAGTGCTTCACTTTCAGCGACGAACACTCGGAGACCGCTCGAACAAAGCATCGACACCCGGCCATTCGACTGGCCGAAACGAGTCCGGGATCGGGAATCAAACTTTCTACCGCACGCTTTTGTTCATCGCGGCCGATAACGATCGGTCCCGCAAGCGGATCGAGGACGGCAGTAGCAAGGAGCACACTGGCCTCCATGCGATCTATTTGTCAAGCCCGCTGACCAAGACGGAGCTAGTCGGGATACAATACGCTTTTGCGGAGATGTACCTGCTGAGCAAAGCAGATGAGATTATTATCAGCCCGTATTCGAGCTTTGGCAGTTTCACTCATGGCTGGTCCAGTAAAGTACCATGGATTGCGCTGCGTTCGGGGAAGTGCATGCAAACGACTTCGAGCATGCCATGCGATGTGTATTGGTTTGGAGTGCAGCGCCTGTCATGTTTCAATGCGAGCATGCTGAGTAGTGAGATGGTGAACATGGATTCATGCTATGGTTGAGGCGCACTGCCTTGTGCTCGACGCAGACGAACGCTGCCCAGACATGACCGGGTGTATCCGAATGAATAGGAGTCGTTCAAAACGTTCTGCGTAGAGCTGTGAATTCGGGGACACCTGGACTAGGACGCCTGTTCTGGTCCTGTTTGTTTTCTTGCAGGTACTCGGTAAAAGGAATGTTTCATGTTGATGGGAAAGAGGCTGCCGAGAGACTCTGTGGTGGAGTCACCGCCGGCCTGTGAAAACTGACCTTACCAGTCTTTCTCAGTATTGGAAGGGTAAGCGGGTGTATAAGCCACGCTTCCCGGAGTCCATAGTCTGAACATGGTGTACCCCAATGAGAATGTATTAAACTCTATCTACACAGTTTGCTCCTCGTCAGCTCATTACAGTTTACAAATTTTTCTAAGGTATGCTGCGAGAAAATGCAGAGTTTGTGAAGTTTCCGTATCTTTGGATTGAACATCGAGGAAGCGACGCAGGTACGCAAAGCCAAAAGCACCTATCTACCGCAGACTGTCGCGCGTTGCACAACTCAGTATCAGCTTCATAGGGAAACACGAGTGCTTACACTAGGTGCGACGGGCGTTCATCTGACTCGAGGCGACTTGATTCTAGAAAATGCTAGCCCTTCACACGGGTAATCCAAGTAGGGCAAACGTGGGTTGGTAATGAAGAAATAAGCGAACATAGCGACGACAGCAGTCCGAGCGGTGATTCCGTCGCATGGTCTCTTACAAATCCGCACAGAGACAGTGTTTCTGAACACCGCGTACTTCGTCGAGGCACTGACCGTCGATTCTCCTTCGCATAGAGTTTTGTGCTGTTCTCGGACAGTGTGGCTCTCCACCTCTCAAAGTCGGCAAGGCGTATTCAGCTAGGATTCGCGTTGAGATGCTTTTCGTGTCGACCGATTTTCTCTGGTTCAATCCAGTCGAAGAGGTATTCGACTGTTGGTGTGGAAAGCCGTTTCTACGCTCATGTATTGAGAAAAGTTCCGTCTGCATACGGGGCACCTTTCTTCAACAAGACGTTCTTCGGAACCTTCACCAGCATTGAACTGATTTTTTGCGTTATTGCTCATGCGTGGGCGGAACCAGAAAGGTGCGCTTCGGTCCGAGCGCTTGCTCGCTGGGAGAAAATCACGAAACGCAACGTGGAGTATAGTAGGTAAGCAGATGCAAAATGATACTTTCAGTCGGGTCGTCCACCCAGAAATTCGGATTCCTGAGAGAAACGGATACGGGTTACAGTGACCATATCAATGCTACACTGCCAAATAGAGGAGAAGGAGAAGAAAACGCCGGGCATAGAAAAGATACGATCCTTCCAAAAAGAAGACATGGAGGAACAGGAAGCATGAGCTCGCTTAGAAGCTGGGCGCAACTATGGGTCGCAAAGCCTCTTACTCGAGGAACGCTTGCCTTGCGCCACCCGCCGTGAAGCAGCTCGGCGAGCAACTGGTCACAGCAGTTCCAGTCACGTGGCTACAAGCTATCCATATTTCTCACTAATTTTTCGATGAGGCCTATGTGCGACAACAACAGCTGCTTTTCGGGGTGGACGAAGCGAAATGGCCGGATCGTTGGATCAGGGATTTCCTGACACAATTTCCTGGATACTTTAAAGCGTCACCGTGCCCCGCTGACGATCGGAATATATCCAGCGCAGGTCGGAAAAGTATCAAATCGATCGATGAGATTCGTTCTGAACCGGTCAAGATGTGCGAACCGAGAACCTTTTTGATGAACTTGGATTCCAGGCTGAAGAGTATACTGCCCGTTCCGTGAGCTCCACAGCACAAGGACAATGCCGAAGATCTGAACGGAAACCATGTGAAGATGCTCTGCTACTCCAGGGCTCCATATTCTCGGAGTTTATATCTGACAGACACCAGTCAACATTCCAAAATGTGGAATGAAGGCGTCAGAACGCATGCCGACACCCCGTGCATCGTTTCGAGCGGAGGGCGGTGCTTTGTTTGCATCATTCAGCGAGGACGTGAGCTTCCGCATCGCTCATGCGGATGACCCTTGGCAGTGGTATCTGAGGGTGCGCGGGGGTCGCCCGCGGTGTCCGTTGTACGGGAGCGAGTAGCTTGCATTCACCAATTTCTCCAACGGGTTGGAACGGGAAACGACGCACAAGTTGCGACGTTCGGTGGTATCTAAGGGCGCTGGTCGTGTTGGTGCGCGCCTGGGATGCACCCCTGGTCCATCGCCACGCTCGTGTTGAGAGCTCTGGGATTCATGCTCTCCGCTGCCAATCGACGAATTCGGGGCGGTATTCACGCATAACGTGCACGGTTGCACGCTGGAACTACGAGAGAAGGAGAGCGTGAAACGTAGCCAGCTGATGGAGATGGTGCTCGGTAAGCTAGCCAAGCATTACGTGGCGAGGAGTTTGAATACGATTGGCTTGCAATGACGTGATTCCACCATCAAGAATGCACCCTAGAGGATTTTTCTCTGGGGTCTGAACGGTTCGAGCAGTATCCAGAAAAGTCTCGTGTTTTCTGAGCGTGTGGCGGCTTTGAATTTTGCAAAGTCTCGAAGAAGTCGTTTGGAGCTCGATTTGGGCCTTTTCTGATGCGTTGAAAACTTTCGAAGAAAAAAGGCAGTGCTCAGAAGCAAGAAAATTGGTTTCTCACCTAGTGCCCGGCACTGGTAGAGCACGGTCAGCGATCGAGCAAGGCTGGAGCACCCCATATATATTCCGGAACCGGATTTTCCTGACGATTGGAGAACGCTAATAGTGGTTCATATTCGATATTACAGAGTATACGCAGGGCCTGGAAAAGGGTCGTCTTGGTTTATAACGCGTTGGGTGAAAATGCTCAGCTTTGTATGATTGCCATCACCCGCCTAGGCTCTGCGGGTCGCGCAACATACTCGTTAATGCCACGTTCCTCCGGGGGATTCCGGATAGAAGCATTCATCTATTACCATCAGAGACACCCGTTTCTTCACGCAAGCCGACTAATTTCGGAAGCATTAGCGCGACATGTAGCTTACCATCGAGCGCGATACCCCAGAGAACACACAGCTCCGAAAACTGCAACCAGAATAGAGGAGAGGACCCGATGCTGTGGTGGCGCGGGAAAAGCGTTCCTCGCGCCTTCCTCACAGAATACGATGTACTAGGATGTGAGGCACAGGGGCATCTAAAAGCTCGAGCGCAGTGGCGTCAGCACGCATGCGAGCGAGCGTAGGCAGCATGAAACCCGGCGTTTCAGACTACAGAGCCCAGCATTCTATTTGCCTGTCTGCGCTGTCTTGGTGCATAGGCATTCCAGCCGTGAACGTTGCACTGCTGTGCATAATTGAGCGGTCCCGCTGCTTCAAGAATTTCGGGGAATACCTTGCACGGTATCAGCAGCTGGAGACTGCGCCTCGTATCCCGCTTCCGTACCCAGGAATTCGATTTAGTTTCCCTCACGAATATATCTCGCATGACATCCTCCAGTCTCGCGTGTTAAGTCTACGGCGAAGCGATGCCGCTGGCAGCTCGTGCTCAGGCTGGACGAAGCGTCAATTTCTCGCCGAGCACGGAAACCGCATCAACCAGAGCATCTATAAAGCGATCAATGTCTGCCGAGGAATTATAGACGTAGACAGAAGCTCGGGCACTCCCTCCGACGCCAAGAGCGTCCCGGTGGAGCGGCTGCGCGCAATGGTGTCCTGCACGAATCGCGATCCCATCTAGGTCGATGATGGTAGCCAAATCACTTGGATGCACACCACGCACATTGAATGCACAGAGGGCCGCTCTCTCGAGACCGAGATCGTTGTCCAGGGGCGGCCCATAGATCGATATCTCTTGGAACTGTTCCAGGGATTCGTAGAGATATCGGGCAAGCTGGAGCTCGAACTGGTGAATGCGTTTCATGCCGCCAAGGCCATCCTCCAGGTAGTCTATGGCTGCGCCTAGTGCGACTGCATCGCCAATCGAAGGAGTTCCCGCCTCGAACTTATGCGGCAAATCTGCAAACGTACTGTGGTCAAGAAACACTTCCGCGATCATCTCACCGCCACCGAGAAAGGGTGCCATTTCTCTGCGAAGCACGTGCTCTTTCCCATACAGGATACCGATCCCCGTCGGGCCGCACATTTTGTGACCACTGGCCACGAGCCACTCGCATCCGATATCCTGGACGTCTACTGGCATATGAGGAACCGCCTGGCATGCATCGACGAGCACGGAAGCTCCTGCTTGATGAGCTAGCTCCGTTATTCGTCTGACGTCCTGCACGTACCCGAGAACGTTGCCAACATAGGCGATTGCCACCAGCTTTGTTCTCTCCGACAACATTTTCTCGAATGTATCCATGTCCAAGGCTTGTACCTGTGGCAACAGCGGTATGTGCCGTAGTCGAGCTCCGGTGCGCTGCGCTACAAGCTGCCACGGCACCAGGTTGGCATGGTGCTCGGCCACCGAGACAATGATTTCGTCGCCAGGAGTGAGGTTCCCGCCCAGCAAACCCCATGCGTACGCTACAGTGTTAATCGCTTCAGTCGCATTCCGGGTGAAAACAATTTCAGTATCCTTTTTCGCGTTCAAGAATCGAGCGACTTTTGCTCTCGCGCTCTCGAAAGCCTCCGTTGCCTGCTGTGAGAGCCTGTGCGCCCCGCGGTGGACGTTCGCGTTTTCGTACCGATAGAAGTGCGAGAGCGCTTCGATGACTTGCAAAGGCTTCTGCGACGTCGCAGCAGAGTCCAGATAGACGAGTTGCTTACCTTCCGTGGTGGTTCTCTCCAGGATCGGGAACGAGTCCTTGTCCAAGGCAGCGATCGCAGGACGATTTCGGCGGTGTCCAGGAGCTTCAACAGATGTGCCAGCCTGTCCGACACTGGAGGCTTCAGCCTTCAGCCTGTATGCCCCAACCCAACGAGCAGCTCCTCTGTGATGAGCGCAAGTTCGTCCAGCAGCACTGAGACACGATTCTAGAGGTGCCTGGTCACGAGTCTTGGCACCGGAAAGCTTGCCGCTTCTACCGAAGCGTGCAGTACCGACGGTGTGCTGCACAGTAAACATGTGACCCGAATCCAAGGCTGTGCAAGGAAAAGAGTTCCCGAGTTCGAGTCGTATATTTTAGACAGCTACGCAACTTTGCAGAACGCAGCTGCTGACCTTCAGTATAGAACCTGTTCTCCGACGCTGGACGTGAATCACAGCGGTCTTGGAGCAGATAATCGTAGCGTGCGGCGAGCGCTGCTGGACCGTCATGGCACTTGGTCAATCTCGAAAAACAGTCCTCTTCTTGGTTCGATTCTTTATTTGGTTCACCGCAAGCCTGGAGGCATTGTCCATTCTTCCGTTCAGCATCTGGTGAGGTTTTTCTGGGATGCTTCTGAATGTCTGCAGAGTAGACGCCGTGCGCTCGCGGTGGGCGGACATCAGCCTTTAAGATCTCGCAGAGCTGTTGCTCTCCAGTTGACGGCAGACGCCAGGTTGAAGGTCGCGGGAAATCATCTGCTCCGGGCACCAGCGAGCTAGAGTTAAAGCGTCTCAGAAGTACGCTTAGGGCAAAAAGATAAAATCGGTTTGAAGACGAACACCACGGAGCCGGTTTTGAGAGGCTCGTGGAGTCGAGTTCCTTGCGCTGGGTTTCGGCTGGGCATAACATAGCTGTGCGAACTGTATGTGGCGGTTGGCGCGCGAAGAGGCATGAATTGCTTGAAAAAATGCTAGCAAGGGGTTCGATTATGCAACCGCTCGTTGGAATCCTGCTTCGATGGTGACGAGTGCGGTTTTTCAACACGCTCAGCAATGACGCTGCTTCGCGTGCGTGGCGCTGCGTCCGCACGACCGATGCAGGGATCCAGACTCTTTCCCCGAAGCGTCGGACCCAGACTTCGCGTAGTTTCGACGATTGCTCCTCAAGCCAGGTTGCCGAAAAATGCCTGCAATGGCGCCAATTCCGAATTCAGCAGCAATAGGTGAATACTGTGCTTCGCATCGCCTACAGGATGAACTGAGGCATCCGATTCGAATCGCAGCTTAGGATCTTTATAGTGTATGGGGCCACTGATGCTTCATGGACGTCTCGTGAACTCTCTAGCGAACGCTTGCGCAATTCGACTCAGGAAGAGCTCGTTCCACTTCACCGGTCTTGCTCTATCGCATGGGATGCGCAGATTCCGCCACCATGGTGCTCGCCTGAATGGATTCTTCGAAAGCCGTATTCACTGAACGCCTCGGATGTACTAGGGTGCTTTGTACAAAGGATCTTGTCCCAGAAATAGACAAAAATCCTGGAGCGGGTCGAGCACGCGTTGCCCCGTCGGTAACACCATCGTTGCTGTCTAAGTGATCCGCAGTACGAGCGAAGAGCGCAAAACTCGCGCAAACAGGAATCAAACGTCACGAAATTGTACAAAAAGTGTCCCGGAGGCGGTGTCCGTGTGATTGCGAACAGACCCGCCCCGCTGCTCCTGTGTGCGCACGCATGTACGCGTGTGCGCCTCGGGTACTGCCATCGCTCGCCTAGCGGGGCAGCTTTGTCCCGCGGACCTGCGTATGCGTATTTGCGTGTTTGTGTGTGTTTGTGAAATCATACGGTGCATACATGCGACATCAGCATTCCAAGAGCATGGCTGTCTATATGAAGCACGCAGGCGAGGCGTGCGTGCGATCGAGCGTTGACAACGCGGTGCCGACGCACGTTCTGCATGCATGCCGTGTCGGATGCGTGCGTCGCAGGCATGCTCTCCCATCTCCTAGGCGACAGCAATATGTTTTGTGCTGAATCTTGGGGTTCTATTTTCCAGTTGCGTCTGAAACATGAGCGAAAACCGTTTCAAAACTGCAAGCATACTAGGGACGAGTCGGAAGCTCAGTGCGCCGGACCTGCTTCGTGCACTCGAGACCAAACATACGCCAGCGTCAAGCGAATCCGCAAACCGGACTCTTTATGGACCAATGCCTCTTTCAAGAGCACTGCTTTCTAGGCAAAGGGCATCGTCGCGTCTCGCAACCGCGTCGATGACAATCTATGCCCATGCGGGCCAGTGTCGGCTGCCGAGGATGCCGCTGGAGCTGTGGCAGCGAGCGTTTCGATTCTCTGAGTTTTTCGACTTTGTCAGCTTCTTTATGGGGGCTATGGAAAATCCGTGTCATGCGTGTTGGGTTCAACTGCGTGCGCTCTATCGAAATCTGTCCTCCGCTCGACTCACTGCGACGGAACGCTTTGTTTTGAACCTCGTTTGCCGGGTACACCCAAAGATGCGGGCACTTGATGGGTCGGCGAACCGCAGGTCGCACCGCGTGAAAAGGAAGTGCCCCTCCAACATAGGCGACGAACCTGTGCCGTTTGGCCCCGACTGCAGTGCCATCGCTGTCGACGTCGCGATCGTGAATGCAGAGCGACTCGGTGTGCCACGACGTCTCATAGAGTCTGCTCTCGGAGATATCGCGTGGAGGCTCAATTTCGTTCACTTTGGACAGATGGTTTCCAGGGTTTCTAATCTAGATATGCGAGCGAACATTCTTCGCTGCGTTTTTGCACGCCAAAGGGTCGGTCCGCGATCTGCTGCCGCGAATGCCCTAGCAGCGCTCGAGACGGGCGCCGCTGACCGAAGCCTGGAGTTTCTGTGGCGCGTCGTACGCGACTGGGACACGGCGCGACGGGCGGAATTTATCGCTGTTGTGCACGCAGCGCTCTCGGATCCGCAGCGTCTTTGCAGTCTGTTCTGCTCAAGAATAGATGGAGTGCCGGGTTTGATCTGATGAGAATGGCGCTTCAAGCCGAGTTTTCTGATGCGCTCGAGGACGATGACCCTCGCATAAGTCACTGTCTACGCTATACTCGTGATGAGCAAGTCATTGTTTTGCGAAGGAACTGAAAGTGTACCACAGAGACGCACCAGTGTTCCCGCTTTCGGGATGGCAAGATTGGATCTGGGCGATGATTGGTTTTCGCGCATCCAGTGAGCAGAGTTACCTGCATTCACCTCTGTTCCTCCCTGGATCTCAATTGCATGCCATTACAACGTCCGATGTCCTCGAAAACCCGTTCAATCGTGGAATGAGTAGTGCTACAATCACACCCGTACTGTGATCGTCGAGGTTCCTCGGACCCGAGATGCCGTCGCCGCGCCCGCCCGATGCGTGACGGTCTCGGCCTTGCTTTTCTCGATGATGATATCGTGATATGAGTTTTTTGTAAGGTTTGCAGTCTGAAAACGGGTACCCATGCGAAATCACAGGTGAAACTTCAATTTGGCGTCAATGGGCGGCGCATGCAACACCACGCATCCTCAACGTACAAAGCTTCCGTCGGCAGCTTCTAGCCACGGGAATGGACTCTATGCTGATTTTCCGCCAAAACTGCTACTCGCCCGCCGGCCTGGGCGTTAGGTGTGCCAAATCACGACCGTCAGAGCGATACCATAGAGATCGCGTAACTCCCGGAGACACAGTGAAGATGTATTCATCGAAGGCTACCTCATGGGCTAACTACCAACCACAACGGAGCGGTATAACGCATTCTGGCGCGTACAGTTTCCTCCAAAGTGCACGGTTCTCCAGCATGTTTCAGTTGCGCGTTCTTAACGAGCACATCCACTGGAAGCGAACCCGTCACCCAGGTATCCGCAGCGTTCAGCTGGCGGACACGCTCGCCGACGGTTTGTGACTATAATGGACATTGATGCCCATTTGCATGGATGCGACGCCATGAGCACCTCCGCCGAAGCGCACACCATCGTCAATTGTAGATGTTGGCAGACGTGTTCTCGCCCCTGCTTCGAAAAGGCATCGTGCCTCGTCGACTGTCGCCACGGGCTCTAGTGTGTTCCCGTCGACGCAATAGCTAGACCCGAAAGGGCCTCAATGCAGTCCTTGGAATGAGAGTTTGCTCATAACATGCTTGGGTAAACGCTTGTTCATGCCTTTTTCTCACAACTATGGGGGTTTGCTTCGCCCGAAAACGCGCGTGGTAGCGCTGGCTGACTTCTGGCGTTGTACAGCGCTTGTCGTCCTAAACTCTCCAGATAGATCACTGTCCAACGAACAGGTGCACGGTTTGGCGTCAGCCTGCGGTTTCGTCGTTGCAGCCGACGGTGGAGCGAACTGGCTGCGCGGAACCAACGTCAGACCCAATGTTCTCGTGGGCGATTTGGACTCTGTAGAGGACGAAACTAGGAGTTTTTATGAGAAATCTTCAGTTTTATGTCAGAGTGATCCAGATGAGAGTCGAAACGACTTCCAAAAAGCGCTGACTTGTCTACCGGACGCGTTCCAACGAGCGGTTGTCATCGGCGGTGATGGCGGTCGCTTCGATCACCTGCTGGCAAATATTCATGCCATGTATGCAGACGCTATGCATCATCAACACCGAGATGTTGTTCTGCTTTCGAGTAAAAGCATGGCGTTTGTGCTGCGGCCCGGTGGCCATACCATCCACATCGATGAATGTGTAGAAGGTCCCTCATGCGGCATGTTCCCCATGGGCGGGCCCTGCAATGTCCGCACGCGAAACTTGCAATGGGATGTCAATAGCGAAGGGTGGAATGGTCGTCCTTTAGAGTTTGGCTCATTCATAAGTTCGTCGAATCGCATTCTCGGAAACTCGGTATTGATTTGGACGGACGCGTTCCTGCTGTGGACCCATGAGGTGCGCTGGCCGTCGCCAGGTGGATAGCGGCTGGCCTGCAGTCAAGCCCCATGCGGTGCGTCGCCACTCGTCCTGAGTACGACAACTAGGACCCAGTGAAAGTGCGTTCCGAGGCAATGCTGTGGATACGTGATCTCCGATAATGCCGAATGGGACTTGTGAGCCTCGTCTTTGGTGTGCCAAAGAACGCCCAATTTTTCGAGATAACGCTTCCTTTGTTTGGTCTTGGATAAAATCGAGTAGGATGTATGGGCCTCGTCTCTGGTGTCTCAAAGGTCGCCGCACATAAGCATCCATTGGCAGAGAACGCGCTCGAAAGCCCGGCCAATACCGGGAGCCAGCCTAGAGTGTTCAGCACAGTGGCACCGTGGATTTTATATTTCCGCAACCGAGACATTCGACGTTTGTTTCCGGAAATAGATTCATCGCCATAGTCCCCTTACTAGTCATTGCAGTGAGAAAAGCTTCAAAGGAGATTACATCGGTCAACTGGAATAGAAATCAAGATCTCAATTAGATACGAGTCCAGAGAGATTTCCTCGACAAGCCCTCTGCGATATGGCAATCCTGAAGTTGAGGCGCCGCGAACCATTTCTGCGCACGCTTGCGTATTCATTCCATACAGGCCAGTCATCGCGTACGTCAGTGGAAAGACCTATCCTCAGGCTCAAGCAGGGCGCCGCTCAGACGCACGCTCTCGTACAGGGAACCATCTCGTTTTACCTACGCAGTGTGCACTGACGTTATCACCGGAAATGATATCGTATTTGAAGACCGGCATGAGCACACATAATGACCAAGTGACGATTTTCCTCAGGCCGCCGGCAGGTGCGTGTCTATGTAGCGGAAACTACAACATGTTGCAGCCGCCTCTGCTCATTACGGGACGCCATGATGCGCTCTGAGTTCCCCCAACACATCCCTGGCACGGCGCTTGTCTTGGGAGTACTCTCCGACCAAGGCATCTCACGCAAGCTTCCACATCCATGTACGGGATGCTAGAGGGAGGACACATAGTGTGGTTGTGAAAGAAAGCAACCACCGCTCCACCACTAGAACCGGGGGATAGCTCCAACTGCGCTCGAATCTCAGCTCACTTGCAAAATCTTCAGCGTATAGTGTAGTCTGATCTGCCACGTTCGTCGCCGTGCTTCGAAACAGACTGTCACTTCATCAATCGCTCGTAAGCTCGTTGACGCTCCAGTCCTCGTACGCGCCGTTCGGCAAGTGTCGTCGAATCTTCAACGGTATCTTCTTTGCACGAAGTTCTTTCTCCGCTATCAGCAGTGGATCGCTTTCACCCTCGAGGTCAACCAGCACGGGGGCTCCCAAACTGATCTGCAGAGCACGCGCGCCAAGCACGCGTGCGCGTTCGTACTTGGTCAGGAAAGGAGTCGTCACTCTATTCTTTAGGTCCGACTGGTCTTTGCTCCAGTGGCTTGATTCTCGAGCAACCTTCTCATTGTCCCCAGCGTATATCGTTGGCTTTTGCTCCTGCTCCCCGTCAGGGAGTACTTCGGCATCGATCTCTGTTTCAGGAACGGACTCTTTCAGCTCCTCTGACTCTTCCTGAAGTTCCTCACCCTCATAGTCATCGCCATAGTCATAGGGCAACTCGGGTTCAGCTTCCTCGTCTTCGATATAGTCATCTACGTCTTCCTCATCGGCTGCCATTTGCAGTTGTGCAGTGACGTGCCGCAGCAGAAACCTGTACGCTCGATGAGACGCAAACGTTTGTCTGTGGAAGCTGGTCGGCACGCTGCGACGTCCGCGCTGGCGATGCGCCCCGTGCTGTGGATGGCGCCCGCTGCTGCGCACTCAGCGACTTCGCATCTTCCACCACCGAGCGTCGCCAGTGTTGCCTAACGAACGTTTAATGACGAAAATTTCCCGCAAAATGTGGATAGCTAGCAGCCTTGTGTCCGGAACTCCGATGAAGAGCTTCCTGACGCGGAGCTTCCAAGCGAATGAGGCCCGGTGAGCCTTCCCCGAATAAGAAGCTTTAAGATCCCAAATGACGCCCTGTATATTTCCGTTTCACAGATGTGAACAACTCGTGTCATGATCCTTGAGCGTAAAAACCGATTTTGACAGCAGGAAAGAAGCCTAGGACATGCCTGAGCCAAAGAGAATAGGCTGTACCGAAGAGCGACTATACGCGATCCCCAACTGCACACTCCGTGACGGATTTCGAGGGACAGACAGCATCGGTATCTAAATGCACGACAGAGGATTACGGGAAGGAAAAGCCACAGCGAGTGCCTCGACTGAGGATGCGGGATTGAACAGTTCTGTTCGTGTACCGGCGTGTAGGCATCTACGCGATTGAATCGCTGCCCGGGCTGATATTGTCGTCATTCTCACTTGTCGCTTTTTTACATGCAGCGATTCGCGGTGCCTTCAGTACCCATATTCAGTTCTACCATATTTCCCGAATGATGTCTCATCGACTGAGACGAGCATCTGTCCTTTCTATTATCAGCGGTCGCGTCTCATTGCGAAATCGAAAGTGCGCAATTCGATGCGAAACGGTAGTCGATAGAAGTGTGCTCTTTCTTCGTCCATCTGCGTCCCTTCATTTCGGCTCGTATCAACATTGCGGAAGCTTCACATTCAGTAGCTCCTTTGATAGTATTTCTTATGAAAGATATGAAGTGGAACGGATCGAAGAAGATACAATCAAGTAAGTAGAGCTTGATACGTTGGTTTTTGAGTGCACGACGATCAGAATAGGTACAGCGAGAAGGATCATGTACAGTGTTGCTGCAGTAGAAATACTGATTTGTTCAAGAATCATCGTTTTCCCGAGCTCGCAATGTAAGCATACAACCTTTCAGCAACAATTCTCCAATCTACAGGACAGATTCCTTGTATTCAATATCAGCGAGAGATAGAAACACAAACAAAAAGGGAACGCAGGTCCACGTACTCCTGAATTCTCTGCTCTATTTAGCAACCGTCGGCCTCTTTAAAATAAGTTGCACTGCTTCCTCGAACCGCAAAAGCAAATCAACGACTCAGCCGGTTCTCCCGGTAGTTTCGACCACGGCTTCAAACACGAGGAAATTTTGCCTCAAAGCGGCTGCTCCAGCCGCACCGCAAGAGGCGCACCCCACGGAGCTTGCAACCCTTTTGGACGTAGCTTACAATCAGTTGGCTCGGACTTCCTTTCGGTGCAGCTATTCCCATTCTAACCATGGCTCGAGGCCGCATCCGCTCTTGTATTCTCTAACTGCACTTGAGTTCCACCCTCAGATGCGTATCATCAAATGCTTTTTCGCAGTTTATGGCGGATGCATTCGAAGTGCGTTCATTTTCAAACATAAAAAATCCAAGGGAAATCTATGGACATCGAAGGCGGGGATCCTCAAGGGCCGTCATTGCCGAGTCCCAGAAGAAAAAACGAAAAAACGTCTTATCGCCTACCATCGAGTAAAAAAAGCAAGCGACGACGGCGAAGAAGAAGATGGGAAATAGATGAGAAAGGGTGCTCGCCCGACAGAACGATGAAGAGACTGTGGTAGCACTGAACCCACCACTTCGAGCAGTCCGTGTAACGGTGAGTCCAACCAGCAGTGCCGCACGGAGGAAGCTCGTGAACCGGGACATTAACGCTGCCACCAGTACCAGGACATGTGCGGTGCTGAAGACGAGACAACAGGAGCAGATGCGATCCAACTTTTTGGGGCCAGACTCATAGGGTCGACGTGTGCGCGAGGAAAAACTGAAACCAAAAGCAGGCGGCTCGTACAACTGCCTGGGAGGCGTCTGCGCTTGAGTAGATCTATATTGACCCTCCGTGGTGGTGAAACGTTTTCGTTATGCTGACAAATATAGGTAAGTTTCGTTGAGTGGAGGATCAAACGCGCAATCTACGCAGATCAACGGGGCATGCGTCGCACTTCCACACGGGCGTCACCGGAATGCGCGCCATTGCGGTCGGAGAACTCCACGTTCCGCGTGCAAAGGCGGACGCGTTCGCTGCGCTCCTGAGTGCTCAAGTTCCGCAACTGGTTTAGGAGCCCTTTCGACGTCACGCAGGCTCTGTATTGGAAAGAGCTACTTCTAGGGCTGTCCAAGAACTTCCCATGGATGTACGTGAAGCGGTTGATCTGCTGACGCCGTTTCGCGTACTACACCTCGTTGCAGCTGCGCTTTGTGCACAGGTGCCATGTAACCCACAGATTGACGGAGCAACTGGAACTAACGCAGCGGTGCAAGAGCGACGCGCCCTCACCTGCTTACACTTGCTCCATGTCGCTCGTGCTGGCCCAGCGGAGAATTTTGACTGGCGACTGAGCAGTCCTGACACATACTTTCCAGCACGCTCTGTACTAGACAGGTTGCCGTCGGCTGAGAGGGAAGAACTCCAACACTTTGCAGACCGCTGGGTAGAGCTTACTCGGCACGTTTTGAGCGAGTCTGTTGACGTTCTCTACGACGCCTTTGAGGTGCTCTTGGGTGACTTGTTCGTGAGTGTGCCGCTCTCACTCGGTGATGTCGTGCTCGGTTCGCTGCAGGTTGACGAGAGCTTTCAGTCACATGAGCAATCAGATACATTTGAGCGCGGTATATGCACTGATAGAGTGCTCCAGCGAAGTGCTTTCGCCGGGGGAAGCGCACTAGGCACTTTTGTACGTCGTTGTCGCGTTGCTTTTGAATCGCTTCCATTTGAGGCCGTCGCTCAACTGCATCGGGAAGTGACGCTTGACCATACGAAGGCACCAAGCACTCATTATGCAAACGTGGTACATACCTCCTTCGACTTTAGTGCAGTTCGACGCGCGGCGCATCGTGCAGTGCGTGCGATTGTTATTGCTGGTGGCCCGCCGCATCCGCGGGACCGAGCGCTTCTGAAGGCATCCACTGACCCAGCGGCTGAGCTCTTCCGCTGGGTTGACGCCGTATGGAGGCGGAACCTGAACGAGGCGAATTTCGCCCTCCGGCGTTACAACGATCTGGCAATAGCCCGATGCAATAGAGGTATGTTCGATAGCGGCCCTCAGGAGGCCGCTGTTGCGGTTGCGGGCATGCTGGTACTGATGGGACACCCGGTGCAGGCGAGAATTGCACTAGAAGAGAGCATTCGCGTTGCGCAGCAGACCGGTGATCATGTAACGCTCTCGAGAGCCTTGACGTGGATAAGTCGCCTCACGGAAAATGAGCGCAAGCGGCTGCGATACCTCAAAGACTGCTGGACGCGTTCTCCAAAACTCAGCCAAGAGAGCGTATTAGCTCGCTTGGCAGCTGCGCACACGCTTCTGAATATGAATTTTCCCCTCGGAAATCATACAGCTACCAAGTTTCGGAAATGGCGACGAATTCTTCGGCACATGGAGTGCGCATACGCTGCGAGCGTGAACTCTCCAGAGGACACACATCTGGTGCTCGCATCGATGCACACATTGGCAGTCCTGTCTGGACAGCCGCTTGTCCTTCGAGAGTCGCTTACGGAGATGCGGCTCCGGTCGCTGCTCCCAAATATCAGGGAATTTACAGAAGATGGAGATCACCGCACTCACGATGAAACTACCTCGAGTCTCTCGTCTGTAGATCATGATTCGTGCGAATCGAACGCAAAGAAAGCTGGCGCCGGCGCAAACTTTGGAGAGCATGAACGCTCGAGGCATCCTCTTGGAGAGCTCCCCGTGCAGTTACATCAATCCGCCTCGATTGATGATGGACCGGAAGATGCTGCTCATGTCGATGCGAATTTTCTACTGACCTCGAAGGAGCTTGGATTAGCCCCTACCGAGCATCTCGCGAGAGCTTTGTGCGCTGCAAGCGCCGAAACGCTCATGAGGCATGGCATTTTGCGAGCTTCCTGGACAGCTGCTTTGCCGCTTCGGAACGCTTGCGCTCTTGTACGAGCGGCTGACGATGAGCCCGAATCGTCGCCCGTTTTGCGCATTTTGCACCAGTGCCTCGCTCGGATCGCGTTCGAGTATGCGGTCGCCCGAGAGGAATGGCAGATCGCTGCCGCCTGCCTAGAGCGTCTAACATCATTCGCACCTCCTATCGTGCAAGAGAAGTATCCAGATTTGGCCGGAAACTCCGCATCGACGGCTACCTTGAACGCCATATTAGATGTGCTCGACTGTCATGCGCGATTCTGGCTCTGTCGTGCACAAGTCTCTGAAGCATTATATTTCGCGGAGGAATTCGCTCAAACCGCTAACAAATATGCAGCCCTTGGTTGCCGCTCGCGTCTCGTTGACGCTTTGCTTCTGCAAGTTGAGTGCTATCTGAGCGCCGAGATGAATGCGCGGGCGCTGGCGGCGTCGCTGGCAAGCATATCTCTCGCTGAATCCATTGGCGACGAGCCGCGGCGTTTTCGTGGTATTCTGTCCCTTGCACAGGTCCGATTAGCAATGCAAGCCGTGGACTCCGCATCTCGGTTGCTTGAGTCGGCAGACTCTATGCTTCTGGATCAGAAAGATTCTGCGTCCCTCGGTAGTGCAGCTCTCTGGAAGTCTTTGGTCAGTGAAGAGAGCTGTTTGTCACATTCAGATAGGGCTCGAGTCTGGATGATGTTGGGCGGAATCGCGCTTGTCAAGATGCAGTCGCAGCAATCCGTTAACACCGGAGAGGCAACCAGCTGCTTCGAGATGGCGTTCAGGACAGCGGACTTGGTCGCCCTTCAACGCGAGGCGTTGTTCGCGCTCCTGCATACCCGCGGTGCCAAGACGGATATCGCGGCCATGACAAACTTCGAATTTAAGATGCAGTGCGTACGTCGACAGCAGAGCAGCTGGGCGGAAGCTCTGCAAGTTTCCGGCTCCACCGAATGGGAGCAAAATGTATGTTGCTACCTCCAGCATACCCGAACAGAATTTCATGAATCCAGGAATTCAGAGAGCGATCTTTACATGGAAGTCGCGGCGGCAAACCGGAAAAGCGAGTGTTGAAGCGTACGGAGCGTTCCTCACGTTCCTATGAAGGCCGGCTTGCTGTGGCCTGACAACAGGACTTTGAACCTATTTCCAGTGGGTTCCAACAAGGGCTCTGCATCCTTCGCCTTCTGTTTCTGTAGCTTCCATGTACAAGTAGCCGGAAATTTCGTATTTCTGCAACTAATCATCGGCAAAAATGTGCCTGTTGCAGAAGTAAACACACGGATGATCGAGAAGACAACTTGTATACATGCCATACATCCACGACTTGAAAGTGAAAGGGTGCGCGATACGTCAATCGGCACGCGCCCTTGACGCGAATCTCATTCCTGGACAAGCGCAGAGTACAATCCGTTTCGCCGAAATTTTTAGCGGCGACGGCGACGACGGCGGCAGCAGAAACCCCTGTAGCAATACTCGTTTGCGGATAGCCGCACAAGTTGAGTCATGACAAACTTTCCCTCGCGCCCACGAAGAAAAACTCTAAGCGGGAGGCCATCTTAGGATAACAATTGCTACACGCTCAAACATGCGCACTCTAGTCGTGATCAGAAGCTGCATCCCGCAGCCAATGCCAATTAACGGCCGCATTTTAAGCTGATATCCGCGCTGCAGCCAATCCAAGCACAGCGCTCGAAAAGTAGAACGCGCTCTGCGTCCACGTGGCGCTACACAGAACAGGAGTGGCATGCATGAGACATTTCAGACAAAGACATCCCTGAGTGCTTCGAGGGCGAGCGCTCTGGACGCGCGTCGAGCCGTACACGCTGCATCGCCAGCCTCGTCACATGAGAAACACTGTATAGCCTGGGCAATCCACAAGTGATGCCCCTGCGTGAACCCTTAAGGCATGCTGCGGTAAACCGACATTCAGCCGCGCGGTTGCCGCCGTTGAGGCTATTGCGGCATGCCACAGCGATATTGTCAGCTACGATATCCCCGCACGCGTCGTGGCACCGTGAGAATGTGCGATTCCTTATGTGAGACGCATTCACCGCGGATTTCAGTGCGAACGGTATCCCCAAGCAGCGGCGTGGAAATGGCCCATCGTTGCTCGATCGACTCGGAAACCTGGTGGCAACTGCACTCTGACGGGTTCAAAAGCCATGCGCGGCGCTCCGGCCCCAATGCCAAGTAAGCCGTATTCGCCGCTACCCGTGACGTATATCTCGTTATCGCTCACTAGAAAAAGTGTGTTCTCGTGGCCACAGGCAATGCCAGTCACTCTGCGAGAGGCAAGTGGTGAATTCCTAGTGTTGAGAATTTGCGGAGTCGGCGTCATTGTGATACTCTCGCCCAAGCCAAGCTGACCACTCATACCATGACCCCAGCAGATCACTTCACCTTGATCACTCAAAGCGACCGAGTGACGCTCCCCGCAGGCAATCTGAGCAATGCGGCGGCCGGCGAGCGCGCCGCCTGTTAGGAGCCGAGGCTCGGAGAAAACACACTGCTTACTCGTGGGATTCTCTGCTGTTTCCTGATCGCAGGACATGGTGATGCCAAGTTGGCCGTATTCATTGCTTCCGAATCCATAAATGCGACCGTCATCAGTCAGGACGAGCGTGTGTCGGTCACCGCTGGCCACTTTGATGATTCGAAGATTAGGCAAAGCGTTCCCATGTTCGTCCCGAAAAGTGACTGCCAAGAGCGATGGTTCGTCGTTGCAGCTTCCGTGACCCAGCTGGCCATAGGCACCCCATCCGCAAGTATACACCACGCCGATAGCGCTTAAAGCGACGGAGTGATGGTACCCGCACTCAACAGCGACGATCTGGCATTCACTGGGGATTGCTAGCGAGCGACGAACATTGCCTGGTTGGCCCGGGACTTTCTCCTGGACGGTACTCACGGGCCACGGTAGGAACGACCTCAGCTCTGTTCCTGTACCGAGGCGGCCATTCTTCCCGCCTCCCCAGGAGAAAAGCCTCCCGTCGCTCGAGACTGCGAAAGTGTGATAGCGTCCACAAGCCACGGCCTCTATGGGCGGCAGGGCTACGGCAGAGCTGCGACCCACGTTTGTGATCGCTTCTGGACCTAGTACGCCTCGTACGCGAGTTGGTAAGGAAACCCTACGTATTCTTTGCCCAAGACCTAGTTGTCCGTACAATCCGTGACCTACTGTGTACAAGGCGCCGTTCCGCAACAGAATTGCAGTGTGACTGCCTCCACAAGCGACCTGCAGAACGTGGTTGGGCGTCCTTCGATCACTTACCAGTCGATCTAATACAATTTTTGGAAGTTCGCTCGGCTGGAATATGTCACCTTCGGCGTATGGAATGCCCAGTCGATGGTTCTTCGCTCTTCCCCACACAACGAGGGCTGGTTGCAGCTCCGAACCTTCCTCAGTGCCTCTCTCCAAACCTTCTCTCCTCATCCAACCAGCTGCCTCGTTGCCGACGAAGACGCTTTATCCCAACAAACCGGTGCAAGCACACCCAAAGAGCGTTTTGCACTGAGGTTAACCCTGCTTCCAAGTCCAGATGCGTCTACTTGACCCTGCGACAAACTCAGCATTTGATTGGCGCTGCAGTAACCAATTCGCGTCGCCGGCGCCGCAGCGGCGGGCGGACACGCTGTCTGAGCGCGAAGGCTCCATTTCGCGGGGGCGAAGGCGCCTCCAGGTACGCGCACGTGCACGATGCCCCGGGGCAGTACCGACTTTGTCTGCTGCACGATCGAGGCGTGCGAAGGAAAACTGATGCAGCTGAGAATCCGATTGCGTCGTTCGCGCGCGACGCTCGAGCTCCAGTTTGGCGTTTGTATCATGCCCAAGCTGGAACGACGCGAATCGGACCTTGGTTGATGCAGACGCTCTAGAACGCTGGAAGACGCTTTCAGTTGGTTTGTAATAAAAGTTGTGCGTTCGGAGGCACTTGAACTGGATCATTAAGGGCTGGTGCGACCCGGGTGGTGGCGTTTCTTCTTTAAATAAGTAGGTGCCTATCGGTGACAACCGTATCAGATTCGAGTGGAAACTGAACTGATCGTTCTGTTCCTGCCTTTGGAGTCTTTCCGAAGCTTTTTAGATATGCAGCTTCGAGATTCGTAGTGCAGCAATATGGGCTTACGTACAATTGCTTTGGTGTAGGATTTCTGGTCATCTTTTCGAAGTGGCAAGTTCCACGCTTCGCCGCTGGCGTTCGGTATATCAGCGTAAACGAGATGTTTCGAGATTTCGCTGAACAAGTGTTCGCAAAATAACGGATATCATTATCCACCTAGTATAAACAAGCGTACACTCTTCCCCGTTCCTTTCGAGTATAATTTTCAAAACACGCAAACCTTGAATTTTCTACATTTGTGTCCCAAAGCGGCTTGTGGGCGCAGCCGTCGCGCATATAGTTCCCGGAAAGGTACAAAAGCACCGAACCTCGCTCCGCCGTTTTCCGGAGCCAGCGGAACAATACGCGCAAGCGGACCGGAACAAGGCACTGTTTGCTGGAAACAGTCCTCAGAAACACAGTACAGGTCTTGAGCAGCTGTCTCTGGCGCACGCAAAGCACCCCAGAAAGCGATGACCCCATAAGAACCGAACAAGCTCTCCGAAGTATTGCTCGCATTAGAGCTGGAGGAGCGCTACAAATCGTGCGCCAATGATCAAGAGCACCCACAAAACCAGTCTGGAATCGGATAGATAGACGAATAGATGCGCCGAAGAACGATATAAATGTGGTCCCGTAGTTTCGTGTCCTTGCAAGTGACTTCACCGGTCTCGTGGTTCACGATCACTGGCGTGTTTTCGATGACCAATCGCGTCTCGCTCCTTCCCGTTACTTCTACGGAACCGAATCGTTCGGCAAGCAGCCGCCGCGTAAGACGAAGCTCACGCAATGCATCCTGATCTGGATAACCCTTTGGAGGCTCATGAACAGAACGATCAGCTAGGAAGGCGATCAAGGCGTCCACAATGGCGTCAGCCTGGAATGACGAATCCCACTCGAATGTGAGGAACCGATACCCAGTTTTTGGCTCTGTCCCAGATATACGAACATGGACGGCACCCTGGACAAGAAAGACTCGTTCTTCAGAGCCGCACTCGGTGTCTTCGGTCACGACCTTGGAAAACATACCCCGCAGTTCCTCTTCAAAGCTCTCGATACCTCCTCCGAGACAAAACGGTGCCACGAGTCTTTGCAGAATCCGTGATGTTTTCATCGCTGTGTATTGCTCCAAATCCGAAGGTTCCAGCAGAGAGTACTTATAGTCCCGTTTCAATAAAACGCCCGATGCGCGGTGTCCAGCTTCTGGGCGGCTCTTCGCAAATTTGCCGATTGCCTTTCCAATGACCTCACCCTGGAATCGTAATAGAACGGCTTTCGTATTTCGAGGTGTAAAAATCCGAAGACGCTTTGAATCGTCTTGGTTCGCATCTTTGACACGCATTGTGTCGCGGACACTACCAGTCGTGACCCCCGAAAGCGGCGCCAGGTTGCTCGGAAGTACATCAACATCTGGCTCGTATACGTCTTTCTCATTCGACCCCACCTGGACAGCAGAGGCCTCCGCAATGGCGGCCTCAAAGGTTGCTTTGCGATTGAACCGGCTATCTAGCGCTTGTGCCAACCGCTGCATTTCAGATTTCTCCCCGTGAACGAGGACCAGATTCGATGGCCGGCACTGCTCGATGAACTCGCTCGTCTGCATGAAATCCGAATGAGCAGAGAAGGTTATATAGTCCACAGAGCATCGCAATGGAACATGTTGTCCATCAAGCCGGGGTACTGTCGCCGGATCCGTCAGAATGTACTTTGCAAGGGTGCCCTGCACAGAGTATCCGGGCAGAATGACGCCATTCCGTCTGTCGCTACACCACTTCTCGAAGAGGCGACGACTCATGCCGGACTGCAACATCCCGGGTGATGCCATGAATACACAGGGCCCGGAATCCTCGAATTCATCCAGCGATCTAATGTTCATCACATACTTGAAGGCAAAAGGATTACCGAATCTCCGGTAGCGTTGCTGAATATTCTGGTTCATCTGATGGATATACGTGGAGTAGATGGCCATACAACGCTTCGCGATTGATGACGAATAATAAATCGGAATCTCTTGCAATTCCGGATGGGCGTCCCAGTATTCCTCCAGGATGAGCAACAGCTCTTGAGCCCGACCGAGCGCAAATACGGGTAAGAGGCATCGACCTCCGCGCTTCACAACTTCTGCAACCCGTTGCGTGAAGCGTGCCTCCCGGACTCGTCGCGGTTCGTGAACCTGCACGCCGTATGTCGACTCACAAATCAACACATCGATGTGAATGCCTCGCGGTATCTCTGCTTCCATCAAGTGGCGGTCCTCCTGTCGTGAGAAGTCTCCTGTGTACAGAACTGAAACACCGGCGACCTCCACGAGGAACATCGCGGCGCCGAGCACGTGCCCGGCGTTGTACGCGCTTATGCGCACACCAGAGACATCGATATGCTGATGATAATCGATGCATTCGATACGTGCCATTGTCTGGTTGAGGTCGGACTCTGTGTAAATTATACCAGCGTAGTCCGACGAGCCCACGCGAACAAAATCACCTATCAGAGAGCGATACACTGCTTTCGTCGGATGCGTCATAAGAATCCTCGCACGCGGGTTTAGATTCGTTTGCGTGACGAGGTACGGCAGACCAGCACAGTGATCCAGATGAAAGTGGGTTATTAGGATCACATCAATCTCACTGGGATCGATCTCGTCGAAAAACGGCAGAGCAGCAAGTCCGGAGTACGCGGGATGCACGCCACAGTCAAAGAGAATCGTTTTCTTTTTAAACTTCAGCACTATACAAGATCGTCCCACCTCGGATCCTGCACCTAACGGTATAATAGAGAGCGTGTCATCGTCTGTCGCGGGTGGCATCGCAGACACTCGGAGAGCCACTTGCCCGCCCAGAACAGGTCGTGGAAAACAACAGCAGTTGTACCCCTTGCGAAACGCGAGCCGAATCCACGGCTTGAGATTGATTGATCGATCGCACTGGACCTGCCCCGACGTGGCGACCCGGTTCTAGAGACAACGAGCGGCGAGGAGGAGCGCTGGCTGCAGCGCACAGCCGGTGCTGGGCCTTGCTTTTCCGCTGATATCGAATAGACGAGTCTGTACCCATGTCAGAATGGAATAGAACAGACCCTTGATGCTAACTCGGAAGTGCACTGTAAAGTAATAGTCTCTTCCCTATGTCAGCGACACCGGGCTTCGGGGAATTTTTCTACGACTGCTTCCTCTTTCTCACTTTTATCTCCGGGTTGAAATCTGCCGGTCCATTCTTTCCCTGTATCCCCATGGTCAGCACTTGGTGGATGTGGATTGCAGCGTTAAAGTTCCCGTTTCGCAGATTCCGGCTGTTGTAGACGCATTTGATGTTCAGGTGGTGCTTGGAATCCGCGCACCTCCTGTAAAGTTAATCTTCTTTGTACATAGCATCCTCTTGAACTTTGGATCGGTGCGACTTTGCCGTGGTCAGGTGTTCTGACACATCCACCATGCGTCGTCCGAGTTCCAACGTATCGTGCGTGAACGCTCGCACCATCGCTCGGATTGCACCCTAGACGAGTCCATAAGGCGCTCATCGATGCCCTCCTCGGTTTCCGTACCTAGTTTAGTACCCTACGATCGCATGCTACTTCTTGCCGATTTGCTTGGCGAGAACTCTGTCCGCTAGAGGCGCAAACGCTTCCTGTCTTATTCGGTAAGGGATTTGCAGCGCGCGATCTTGTAAATAATGAAACGAGTTCCGGACGAAAATTTCGGGCTGAATTACAAGTCAGGCATACTCGATCCCTCTACGCTTCCTTCCCGCAAAGCGGTAACGCAAGCTCTACTGGAAGCGATCGCTTCAGTGACTGAGTTCCGAGGTCAACACATTGTTCCATGCAAATAGCAGAGATAGACCTCTTTGGTACCGGGTCCCGTTATAGGCCCTTGCCGGTGCCGGATTCCGTCTCGTCGCTGGCCAATAACCGCGATGGATTCGTATTCCGAACGTAATCGATAATTCGATGCGACAAGGTCACTAGTATTTCCGCATAAACGTGTAAAGTTGGCGTCAACGGGTCACGTCGAGTTCTCTCCTCGTCAATCGAGCGGCCGAATCGCTGCGGCGACGAGTTGCCCCGAAACTGAAAGATCGAAACCGTAACCACTTCGTGATTTGAGCCTGGTAAATGTAAGGAACGAAATCAAATCGAGATTGACACGCACGAATTTGTCGATCATAGAGGTCATCTTCAGAAACCGAAGTAGAGCGCATCGAGAATCATCTTCATGCCGGTTACGCGGAGAATTACTCCCGCAAAAGATTTGAAGGAGCCACGCTGACCAGGCAACCAAACATCCGAAATCCTAGTAGGAATCGATAGGCCCTTATTACTGGGCTTTGAATGTCGAGGCTGTATATTCCAGAATAGTTCGGAAACAAATTGAAAGGCGGGAACTGAGCGAGGAATTCGGTGTTCCATTTTTGTACAACGTAGGCATAGTGAGACGTATTTGTCCACGTGCAAACTTCGTCCATTTTGAAGCCCTTGAGGAACTTCAAACAGAAACGGAGACATATCTTATAATGAACACTGGCGGATTTTGCATCGAGACGTGTTCGACGCGCCCTCTCGCAGAGAACTGGACCCCAAAAGTACCGTACGGGTTATCCAATTGATGCTCAATAGCACAGCAAGTGCGATACGAGTATCATGGGCACTTAATTTGCGCTGGAACCTTGCTCCACTTCGAAACCGTAATGATCAAAGAGCCACTGTCTCTATGCTTTTAAAAGGATGAAAATGTGCGTACAGCTGCTCGTCAGATCGCTGAGAACAGCATGCAATGGTATCGTCTTAGATTGGATGCAAAATCTGAACCAACTTATTCTTCGGGAAATCCTCCAATCCAGCGCGAAACTTCGGCATCTAGATATGCGAAACTTCCGAATACAAGAGATAGTGTGGCGCGAGTCTTCCGGCCTGCAGGTCCGGACCTGCGTAAGCCTTGTTTTGCGCGTCAAACGATCTGTGAGCGCCCCAAGTATAAAGTTCGGTGCTCTCGTGCAGCACACATTCTTATAGGACCCTTACAGACCCGATATCAATTCTTTGTATTCATCTATCTATTCATGCTCTATACTGGCGCTTTTCCATGCTATGAGAACTCTGAATACGACACACAATTAACCAACCTCAAAGTTTGAACACGTTAGCGTGAGGAAGTTTCCAGTGGGATGCTGTGATTGGAGCACGCCTGGAATATATTAGTGTGTACATACCTAGCATATTACTCCAGAGTCATGGACTGGCTCAGAAACACCACTCGATGGGGTTTTCTGATATGAACGGATATCTGCCTCATCGGCAAGATATTGTGCTTCACATGTGATTCGCATACGATATGCGGATCGTTAGGCGCGAATACGCAAATGGGGAGGCTTCAGAGACGCCACTAGCTGGCTCTCGGTGATTATTACAACGGCCGTGGCACAAATTTCGCGGAAAATGATTCTGAATTCGCTTCCAACAGCTTCCTGAGCGCCAGTCCCTAACCAGATACGAGCAAAGTGCCGCCTGACATATGCCGAATATTCTCTAAGCCCGCAACGGTGCGATCAAAATGTCCTTCGTCGCACGCGCTAGTTGCCAGGGTGCATTGCGCGCATTTCCCAAGCCCCCGACTTCGTGAACTGCATCGAAATATTTTTTGTTCTTCAAAATTTTTGGATAGGAATATGAGCGAGGCAGCGAAACTTAGTTTTCCGGGTAGTTCATTCAACAAGTAATTCTAGAACATTATAGGGTGTAAGTGGCCATGAAGAATAACTTTTGCGGTGGACTCTGCCTAATTCTGGACGATCGCGCACCAATATATTGCGTCGGCCGCGGTCAGGGGCCACATCGGAAAGTGACTAGAACTTATCGGTGTTCCCAAAGAGGCGTCCGCTCTGTGGAAACCCGAACGTAAGGGCTCTCGAGCGGGGTGGTAGATGCCCCTTTACTTGTAGGCAAAAATCGCGCATCCGATCGGTCTTTTGATAGTCTCACCGATCGCACGCCATGAAAGCAACTGTCCCCAGGTGGTACTTACATCCTGAATTGGCCCATGAAACCGGAAATGTTAACTCGGAGGCCCTGCTCGAATTTGCTGTGTGCTCAGCGGCCAAAGCGAATGCTCGCTCACCACACTGGGTGCTTTCACAGGATACTGAGTGCGTCGAGTTCTTGTTTCGGTTCCCTTGCTACACTCAGAATAAAAACAGAGAATAAGAGACCAGAGCAAGCCTCTTAACGTGAAAGAGCACAATTTTTTCTCGGAACTCTTCTTGCCCGAAGGGTCCAACGTAAATCATTGTCAAAAATACTCAGTGCCTGTCTTTCATAACTGAAAGAAGCAGATTGTTCTGGTGCAACTTTCCCTGTTAAGACAGTATCCCCATGCGACACAGCAACACGGCTGTCGATGAAACTAATAGTATCCATACCATAGGCAATATCCGAAACTGCCCCAGGTCAATAGCGTTACTCAGACTGCTTCCAACACCACCGCTGTTCCATATGCAGTTACTTCGTTCATAAGATAACCAGCTCCTGAGCCAAACTCACTCGAATCGAAGCGCATGGCGAAGACCGCGTTTGCCCCCAGGGACAGCGCATGCTTTGCTAGTTCCTGTAGAGCGTCATCACGTGTGGCAGAGATCATTTTAGTGTACCCGGGCTGCTTTCCACCACGCACCGCACGGAAGCAGCTCACCCAGTTGCCCCCTATGCTGCGGGTTCTCACTGATGTTCCGTAGACAGGACCGATGACACGAAGAACTCGCATGCCAGGGCAATCATTCGTGGTAAGGATGAGACACTGCTTCTCCGTCATAAAAGCTCCAAAGGAATGATCCGTTTTCCCGTTAGTGCGGGCGACTTGCTAACCAACGGCTGTGACCGCAGCGCCAATCTGCATTGCGCTCGGCATTACTGGATCTCATGCGCAGCCCAGGATTCCGCATCTCGACGAGATGGATTTTTCCATCAACGCAGAGTTTTTGATGTATTTTTTTCAGTACATGGTCTCCCGAACGCAACAATGGTGCGTGACGGACTATGGTGTCGTACCCAAACTTCTGCACTCGCATCCAACAAAGGAAAATGTATTGCTGCAGTTATTGCGTTTCCGAACGGTGCGGGTGGCAGAAGATCGACGCGTGTTTGCTGTACAATTGAGTCGCTGAAAGGCTGAGTGCTCATTTGATCAACAGTATTATCGATTATCCCGGAGAAATTGCGTGAAAATTCTGGAAATGTGTGAGTTCAGGGGCCTTAACGGAACCCTAACGAGAAAAATGCATCAAGGTTACGTTCCAATTAGCGCTGCTTGGTGCAAGAGCGCTCTAGCCCGAAAATGTCAATGAGCCAACTAGATGTCTCGCAGTCTGGTGTCTAATACCGGCTCAATTCTCTGTCCAGTTTTCGCACGTCGGGCGCAGAAGCCGGTGCAGCAAAAGCTGCCCCATTCTACGCCATGGGAATATATTACTTTTGCAGTTACTATGAACACACTGGCTCGAGACGCATGAGCATTCGTGGAAACTGCTCAGAACCCCCGAATGAGACAAATTTTTCTAGTTCTGCAGATGCTCCGAACGACTCGTAAAATGCCCTCGCTTGCGGTGCTCAAATCGAGTGGAGACATGCTGCCGACGGATAAAAAAATGGTCAAGGCCATTGATCCAATGTACCCCTAGTGGACCTGCATGCTTGTTTCGTACGAATCCATACAATAAACTAATAACGTGATTGTGCCCCGATCGAGAGCCATAATCAGAGGGAATGGCGATATTCCCCCAGATAGTACCAACTTCCATGTAGAAGCAAAAGCAATGCCCACATACGAGTATGGTTTTGCGATTCGCAAGATTTCGAACCTAGCAGTGAGCGACCTATGCATGTAATTTCGAGTCAGCCGAATCTGTATCATTGCCATGAACTAGTTATGATGTGTTTACATAGGTAGCTTATTCGTGTAGATCGGGAATCGCGAAGCGTTCTAGACGACAAATAGTTTGTATAGGCTCGTGCTCTACAGAGCTGAACAGGTCTATGAAGTCTATTATGGGTCATCTGAGCAGGTTATGAAAAGGCGTATGAAAGGTGCCTTGCGAAAAGGGTCCGGTGGTGCGGAGATGGTTAAGGACTTTGCTGCTGGAACGTTTAGGGCCACTACACGAAAGCTTCGTGGATTGTACCTACTGGTATTCTTCGCCTGGTTTCGCATCATGCCTATACGACAAGCAATACGTAATTTATAACAGAAAAGTAAATTGAATTGAGCTCATTTGCTGAAAACCTTTCTATGAAGAATACTATGTGGTTTCAGATGACAACGTTGAAGCGGTCGCTGTAAACAAAATAAGGCCTTTGTTAGAACGACGACTCTTGGTATCTGTTAATGAGGTACCACCTTTCAAACTCTGAGCGGTTTCGCTTATCATGCTCTCAAAAGCATTTAAGGTGGGTGCCGGCATTGACATCGTCTGTGTGAATATTTGCATTTTTCGTTGGACATAAAGGCGGCGGTCAATGATACAGACTGCTTCACAACTGTGGAGGGCAAATATGTCTCCCTACCCGCAGACCCGTCTCGCTCTTTTTCAACCGGCGTCTTGCTATTGTTTTCAGCTTCTCCTTTTAACCTTCGAGTCTGGGAGACTGTCCGACAAAGTTGTCTCGCGTCAGCTCCTCGGGGCCCGACTTCAGCAGTATACATCGTCGGCTATTGATGGAGGCTTGAAGACTTAGTCCACGAATTCTATGCGTTCACTGCCTCAGGTGGAACTCATCTATGCAAGGATTGCTCGAACTCGAGCTCACTTTGCCGCCGCGGCCTCGTTATTGTCCAGTCGGGCAAGCCCTCTTTCACGACTTTCTCTCCCGTACTACTTCGTCGTCGTCACTCATTCGTCTTCGCTCGATGGTTGGCAAGAAGAGGATTTTCGTCTTTTTCCTAGTCGCACGCGATGACGGCACTCCAGGATCTCAGACTTCCATTCCGAGAACATTCCCTTGGGTTTTTTGTTTTTGAAAATGAAATCACTTCGAACAAGTATGCTATAAACCTCGAGAAAGCATTTGATTATGCTCACCAGGGGGTGGGACACAATTGAGGTGGAGGAATAAAATCCCTTCGTGGACGAATATCCGCTAACGGTTAGAGCTAGAATAAGAAAACCAATACGGAATTGAAGCCGTAAATGCCAGTGCATACTCTCCGATTCTCCACGCTTGATCCGCTTTTTCGCCATATGGAAACGCTCCGAGCATATGAGAAAAAATTGCTTTGCGAATGGCCATATCGAAAACGTTCCGAGAAAGCGTATCTCCTCAGGCGCTTAAACAGTTGTCTGAGAGCGTAAGACTACCACATCATCCCATTTATGCAAGTACACTACAATGGGAAGCTTTTTACAGCATTCCGGTAGCTGTCTCGCCTTGGATGGTATAAAAATGAGCAGTCGAATGTACGTGCTTCATCAACGGCAAGTACGCTTTGGAATCGATAAAATATATAGCAAGTAAATTCTGAGACTTCTTTATCGAAAAGTCGACAACCCGTTTTTCATTCTCGAATATACGATTCATTGGGTGTTTGCTTCTGCGAAGATATGAGCCGATTAAAATGCACTCTTCCAGGGAACTAAGGAAGATGGAGAAACCCAATCAGCGGGCGACAGCTCGCGTTGGAGAATTCAAGACCAACTCAGAGGTTTTTCGCAGATCCACGTCACGACCAAGGCGCACTAAAAACAATTCTGAGAGCGGATTAAGAAATAAATGTTTCTCTTTGATGGAGTTTTTCTTGATCACTGAAATGCCGACCAGTGCCAAATAAAACATACTCCCGAAGGTGAATTCGTCAAAATTCGAATTCTAGCGGCAGGTACCGAAATATGAATCAGCGTTTTGGTGTGGTGCAAAACATATTTGTCTTTGGCTTCAAAGAAGAATTACCATGCCATGAAAGTGACCGTATTCAATACATCGGCCGCAGGCTCTCTTATTGGGCAGTCACCCGAGATAAGCGGAAGCGACGCGAGGTCGGCCGCACTGTAAGAGGTCCTGCGGATAAGCTCCGCCAGTTGCAATTAAATTTACCAGTAACTGGCTCGGCAACTTGAACGATCGATTTTTTCAACGAATAAAATGCTCGATTAAGCGATATATGCTGGTATCGAGTACTAATCGTTTATGGAGCGCATCACAAAAAAGGATGCGAAACCGGTTACTATAGCAAAGAGATTACAGTCCGAAATATGCTTGAATACGCGCATGCTATTTGTATCAAAAATGAAAAATAGCTCTAGGATCTAGAGCGACACGGGACAGAATTCAGGAAAAAAGTAAAGCATTCCAGAGAGTTTCCCATTTTCAACTGAGAACCACCACCCAGAAAATCATTCGCGTCAAGTCGATCTTAGGCTCTCGGAGGATCTCCTGTACCAATACTTACATAAATTTTGAAAAGCATTCTTCACGATCATTTCTTTCCATTAAATTTCAGGCTGTGAAGTAAATCCATACCCAGCTTTCTCTTGCCTCGACTTTTTCTGCGATACTACTCATCCACAGCCAAGAGATTAGTGAATACAGGACAGCATTTCATCGAGTGGGGACGGAATGCATTCCAGCCAATGCAGAACAAGTTACTTCACGAGGATGCTTGAATTGTTACTCGCCGCTTGGCGGCAAAGTCCCTGGTAGGGTGTGTCTGCGCGTCCGAAGGCATCGGGTTTAAGAAATCGGGATCGGCCGCTACAAAACATCGCGCGTGCTCATCGAAATTCTATGTAAAAATTTGATTTAAAAATTCCCGGTGCCATAGCTTCGAGCAAACCCATACGATTTATTACCGCTAAACTGGTTCGATACAATGCCTTTGATTTAGAAATCATTTTACGAAAAGGACGGCTTGTTCCCTGGGCTGCGGGCTTTGAATATTTCGCTGTTTTTTGGCAGAGTCGATTATCACATGCTGCCTGGATCACTGCATTTCGTAGGGGTGCTGGCTGGATGGCATCGTACTTTCTGTATTTAACCTGGATTGGAATAGCAGCGTGTTATTCACTTCGAAATGCTCGGGACGCTGACTTTTTTATGCACTCGTTAGCTGAACCACACGAGTTTTTAATCTTCCTCTTGCGCATATACTGGGAGTGCTGCATAAATTGGGGGACGTTCCGATCGCCCGCAAAGCGACCAATTAATCAAATCCGTCTTGTGATTATTTATGGCGCCGCTGCAAGAACTTTTGAAGTCGAGCGGCGAGTCCGCTAAGCGAATATCTGCTCACAGTCACGTGAAAGGTCTTGGGGTTGATTGTGAGACAGGAGTTGTGAGAGATGTCGAACAAGGCTCGGAGCAGTTTTGCGGACTTGTTGGACAGACTCCAGCGCGCGAGGCAGCCGCTTTGGTCGTGGACTTGATCAAACTCAAGAAGATGGCTGGACGTGCCGTGCTGCTCGCAGGGCCGCCTTGTACGGGGAAAACGGCTATCGCCCTTGCCATTTCACGGGAGCTTGGGAGAAGGGTTCCCTTCTGTGTTCTGAACGGCGCGGAAGTGTATTCCTCCGAGGTGAAAAAAACGGAAATTTTGACGAGCCACTTTCGAAGAGCGATTGGCGTGAGGGTCAAAGAAATAAAAGAAGTCTACGAGGGCGAAGTGACGGAGCTGGCGGCAGAGGAGTCTCCAGTTCCTGACCCAGCGAGTGGTTATTCACGCTCAATATCGCGGGTCGTAATTGGCTTGAAGACCACGAAGGGCACGAAAACGCTGCGGCTTGATCCGAGTGTACACGAAGCCATTTTACGTGAGCGTGTTGAGGTTGGTGATGTTATCTATATAGAGGCATCGTCGGGTACTGTGAAGAGGGTCGGTCGCTGCGAGGCCTATGCCTCTGAGTTCGACATAGAGGCTGATGAGTACGTGCCGCTTCCGAAAGGAGACGTACACAGACGCCGTGAGGTCGTGCAGGACCTCACGCTGCATGACTTTGACGTCGCGAACTCCAGACCAACTCAAACTTTTTCAGAAGATAACGACGTTATCGCTGTGCTCAATAATCTAAGTCGGCCGAAGAAGACCGAGATAACCGACAAACTTCGGAACGAAATTAACCAGTTGGTGAGCCAGCTCGTTGATCAGGGAAAAGCGGAAGTCATACCTGGTGTCCTGTTCATCGACGAGGTGCACATGCTGGACATTGAGTGCTTCACGTTTCTGAATCGCGCTCTAGAGAGCAATTTAGCACCCATTGTGATTTTTAGCACGAATCGTGGAATATGCACTGTCCGTGGCACAGACATGCAAAGCCCGCATGGGATTCCCTACGACCTATTGGACAGATGCATGATTATTCGAACTGAGCCATATTCGAAGAACCAAATTCAGCGCATTCTTTCTATTCGTGCCAAAATAGAGTCCATTTCCGTCCGCACTCTTGAGCCATTAGCATGCGAGAATGAGAACGGTGAAGAAGGGGAAAGTTCCGCTATTCCTGATGATGCTCTACACATTCTAGCAACTGTTGCTGAAAGGACATCGCTGCGATACGCATGTAATATCCTTACACCCTCTTACATACTAGCGAAGGTTGCGGGTAGAGACCAAGTAACTGCTCAGGATATTCACGAGGCGAATGCATTGTTCTTAGATGCGAAATCATCAGCAAAGTTTGTAATGGATAGATCGGAGAATTACTTGTCATAAAATGAATCTTCGATCCCCCGATCTTTGATTGTTACCAATAGTTCTCGTTTGCCTCTTGCGGTAGACAAGGACCATATTCCAAGATCCCTCAGTCGACGTATTGCCCTTTGGACCCGAGATTCTAAATTGTACAGAATCCTGTCCATGCACAGAAGAAATTTTTGGAGAAGCGTCTGTTCAGGTGGCAGGTTCCTACTGATAGTATCAATAACTGTCGGGTTCGATCTGGGAACGCCCACATCTAGATGATTCAAGCTAAGGCGGTGCGCCGATTCAACCTTGCCGCCGGAGGCATAGGCATAGATCTCGTACTTTCCATCAGAATACATATGCCCAGTTGGTTTCATCGCGCGCCCGGACGGAAATGCAACAGAATGCCGCCAAAGGCGAACATGGTTTCGAACGTGGTTTTTCAAATACCCAAAGCGTCGTATCCTGTATACGTGAGGAGTACTCGTCCGAGCGGAAGAGGCAGGAATATTCACAACAGAATCCATTTGGCGGCTGTCATCTGCTGCATCGAGCTGGAAACCCCCGTCTGTGTCCCTTGCAATCGAGGATGCTCTCTGGTTCGCCTGTAGAGGTTGATTGATCAGCTCTCGCCTTATTCTGGTTCTCGACAATGCCCACGTGGGATCGAGAGGAAGCCTCCGACGGTGAAACCAGTCCATAATATGCGAGTGATAGCGAAGAAGTACCCGAGTATCGTTGCTCTTTGTCACCAAGTGTGAGTTTCGCGTTTCCCGTGTACGTCGTCCAGATGGAAGCAAGAACTTTGTAGTATCAGTGTTCTTGCTAATCGTAATAGAAAGCGCGGCAGTACTGAGCCCAACAACGCCGGCGTTGACTGCGTCCATTCCGAGAAAAAGAAAAAACAGGGTGCTTAGAGCGATAGCAACTGGTACAGCTGTAATCTGGCCTCGAGTCGTTGACGGTAAAACGCGATACGTATTAAACAGCCGCGCATCTGCGTAAGTCTTTCGCCCCGATGAGTGTACGTGCAGTGATAATCGCTTACGAGACAAACCCGTAAATGCTCCAGTTGTAGACTGTAATTGTCGAAACCACATTGAGAAGCGGCTAGCAGCAGAGATGAGCCCCGAAGCTGGCTCCAGAGCCTCATCGTGCACAATCAGGTTACTGTTTTCCGATGGAAGGTGGCCCCGAATCGACCCTAGAAGTTCGCGATGACCTGCTACATGAACGAGATGTTTCCAGGATATTTTGATATTCAAATTCGATGGATCGAGTCGCTTGAAAAAGAATCTGGAAGCCCACGCAGCGTAGCGCACTAGTCCATTCATTTGCGATAAACGAGGAGAGTCGAGGTTCTCTCCGGAGACTTCGACTGCACTTTGTGCTCCATAGGTAGTTCCGGACTTTCTCCATGAAAGCAAATGATAAAAGTGACGTAGACTGGGCCCTAGTCGCTTCGAGTCACTTCTTGCAAGCTTAAACGAGAAAGTTAAAGATCGAGCGACGAGCGTCGCACTACTGAGCGCAACTCGCAGCCATCTAGCCACACAAGCACTGTCGTTCACTGCACGCTCTTTTGTATGATTGTATATTGCCGACAACGCTCGGAAAGAAGCGCTTTGGCCAAAGCTTTTCTCTCGAGCGGAGCCTATCTGCTTCGAATCGTTTGCCCTTGTTGGACGAAAAGGTTCGCCCTGCTTTTTCCAGCTGTGCCCGTCATCTCTCTCAAGTGCGCACCAACTCTTCCATGCGGGTTGTTTTCGATTGCTTAGCCCTGTAGTCCCAAGTTTTCTGGCATGCCTCCGTGAAAGATCAGGTCCACCGGACGTTCCGACAAAGAGCACGGCTGCCGGTGTAGTTTTTGTCCGAACTGTCTCTCGTCGTAAGTTGGTGCGTTCAACTGGAGGAACTTTGTTCCTTCGGAACTCACCCTGGACTCCGTTGCCAGTCATATGCTCCCGAACTGCCAAAACACAACAGTATTCATTTCAACGTTGCCCTGAGAACACAACCTTTATGAATGAACTTTCGCTGTCGCGCTACGATCATGTTGCCGCGCACACACCTCGCGACGAGTCGATCGCGGTCGAGACGAACCGGAAAAAGTTCCTGCAGACGTCAGTGCGGATGTTCTGTGATGGAACGCTGTCTCTGGTCGGCGACCATAGAGATGCATCCGGTATCACCACAGGCTGGTCCCCGGCATTGTATTGTTTGCATCTTGGCGAAAACTGGATATATTCATTGCCCTTATACCATGAAAAAAATCATCATTAGCGCTCGCGCTAGTCTCGATTCCCAGAAGCCAGCTGGATCGGCCCGAGAGACTTCATCGCTTTAACAACATGGAATAATCATCGCAGGCCCGCGCCGTGGATCTCGCACCTAGGATACCTTTGGACGAGTCATCCGTCTCTTATAGACTGGATGAGGGCTCTGGATGCAGGGAAGGGCGATCTCTATCGTAATTGCTAGCTGTACAAGCGCAGCTACAGGATGATGGTTAGGCTCATCGATCTTCCACTATGCGAAAGCGCTATTTGGTGGCACAAGAGACTGCAAATTTATATTTTACGTTCATAGCGTGGCATCAATGCATCTAATCTGCATTTTCTCTGGCAAGGACAAGGGAGAAAAATTTCGGTTGTACGAGTCACTCAAATAGAACGCAGGCCCGAGCTTGTATGTACGTCGCTGGACCTAGATAAGTGGCAGCCCATCCAGTGCCATCCTGCCTGAACTTTGCTTCAAATGCCCGCACTTCGAGTGCTGCCCAGTAACCGATATTGCCCCAGGGCAGCAATCCTGATGGATTAGATCTAATTCAGAGACAGCGCCGAGCGCATCGCAACGCACATCTTGTGGAGGCAGGACGGCCCCAGCATTTGGAGGTGTCCGATCGTATACGACGTGTAAAATTTTGTCGCTGCGAACGAGCGTAGCAGCATGAAGCGTCCGGTGTCTCGAAGTTGTGCGTTCGCGACGCCATTGCGAGTAGTTTGTGTGAGACACGGTTTGAGTTTGACTCACAGAGAAGGGTCGTATGGCTGCAGAGGACCCGCTCGGTTCTCAGTGCGCGTGGCGACGAGTATGTCGCTGGACCCTGGCATCGTTCACAAGCTACAGTCGACACAGGCGGCCTACGATGATTTGACGAAAAGTCTCTCCGATACTGCCGTTTGCGCTGATGCGGGGGAGCTTGCCCGGTTAATGAAGGCACGTGCGAAACTGGAGCCTATCTGTGAAGCGTACGGTGAGTGGAAAAGGCTGCAGGAAACTATCGCTTCGCTCTCGGAACTTTTAGAGGACGAGGAGCTTCGGGAGCTCGCGCGTTCCGAAATGCAGGAGGCAACGTCAAAGCTGGAGGAGACTGAAGAACGGATACGATTTTTGCTCTTACCCCAGGATCCGAATGATGAGAAAAATATCATGTTAGAAATACGAGCGGGCACTGGCGGTGATGAGGCGTCCCTCTGGTGCGGTGACCTTGTGAACCTCTACACGCGTTATGCACAGTCGAAAAAGTGGTCGGTAAAGCTAGTTTCGGCAAGCGCTGCAGACGTAGGAGGTTACAAGGAGTGCATTTTGGAGATTTCTGGAGACAATGTGTACTCTCGTCTCAAGTTTGAGGCTGGCGTCCATCGAGTCCAACGTGTACCGGCCACAGAAACAATGGGTCGCGTTCACACGTCGACTGCCACAGTCGCTGTTATGCCTCAAGTGGATGAGATCGAGGTCAAAATAGACCCGAAAGATTTGGAGATTCAAACAGCGCGTTCCGGTGGTGCTGGTGGCCAGAACGTGAATAAGGTCGAGACTGCTGTTGATTTGTATCACAAACCTAGCGGAATTCGCGTTTTCTGTACCGAGGAAAGAAGTCAGCAGAAAAACCGAGAACGTGCGCTGCAGATTTTACGAGCAAAACTTTATGAAATTCAGCTCAACGAACAGCGGGAAAAGATTGAGGGCTTGCGAAGATCCCAGGTGGGCACTGGTTCCCGCAGCGAGAAGATTCGTACCTACAATTACAAGGACGCTCGAGTAACAGATCATCGCCTTTCGCAGAATTTTTCGCTCGAGAATTTTCTGCAGGGTAAGCTCGATGAAATCATTGATGCCCTCATTTTCGAAGACCAGCAGAGACGCATCGAGAGCATGATGATTGATCCGGGCCCTGCAGCAGCAGATACAGACATGATGCGGAGCTCGAATGCCGTGCGTCGCTAAAACCTAATCGTAAAAGAGATGCACGAAACGATTGCAAAGCCACCCAACGGTGCTATGGCACAGCAGCCTCTCCGTGGCACGACCTTCGGAGCCGGATCACTGAAAGTGACGAGGAACGATCACAAGTGTTACCGTTTGAAACTAAATACGAGCCTCTTGGCTTTCCGGGACCGACCAGAGAAGATGAATTCTGACGAAAACCCAGTATTGGAGGAGCGGCGCACTCAGAACAAGACTTTGCAGTGGCATCTGCGATTCGGAGTGCGTATCCATGTGCCCTACATATGAACACGAGTGACGCGAGCCATATCTTTTCATAGTTTTGACCAAGGGCGCCGACAAGAGGTTGTAGAGAGAGAAAGAGAACGAGCGCATGGCAGAGCTTTGCATAGAAACAGCGGCGGCAAAGGCCAGTCCTCGAACTGGTGGGCCCTGCAGTTGTGCCCGCCCGTGAGCAGCGAGCATTCTAATAGGGGAAGAACGAGGAGAAACTAACCGCTAACTAGCAACTCGATAACAGTGCTGTTTGACATTGATAGTAAGCGTTGAAAAGGGGAAAGTTTCCGTATCTTCGAAAGCTTACCCTATAGGCGGAAGGTCCCGCTAGCCGGACGAGTCTCCAAGGATCGTGCTTTATGCTCCTCCAAGTGGAAGGTGCTGTATTGAAATCTGAGCGGATCGTCCGCAACGCAATTCATTCTGGGACTAGGAGCGCGTATGCTGCGTCTGGGCGTCGCCTTGGTCGCAGTGGGCTCTTTGTAGATCGGTTCGCGCTATCGCAGGCTCCCAGAATAATTATGTACTCCGACGTCGTGTCGGATGAATTACGCCTCGAGCCGACGCCCTCAGTGGAATGGCAATGCCGTCCTGTATCCGTGCAGCATCTGCTTCAGCGGGATAAGCGCAACGGCGGGTGCTCACGGCAGGCAGTCGTCGCAGGACAGAACGTGCGAGACGACCAGTATATCCGAGAGGAAATATCGGTAATGGAACTTGAATGTAAGTGCTTCATGATGCACGCCTTCCCGGAAGCCAGTCTCCGTTCCGAATTCTGGGATCCATCGTAAATGTAAACTTTTTGTCATCTGCAAAAATCTGCGATTCGGAAGCATCGTCAATAATGGACGCTTCTTTTGCTAGTGTCCTGGGTAGATAGCATCGTCGCTCTCTGAGCATGGCGGTTTTGATGTGGTACAGACTGTCGCTATGGCGCTGTGTGCCTGCCTGGATCGCCTCTGTTTCATTCAGCGACAGTACGTCTTTGAGTCCTTGTTCGCGTGCCACTGCGGGCTTGCGTGAAAGACTGAATATGCGTTTTCCTTATGTTTTCATAGGAACGCGCCCACTGTCTTTTTCTTGAGCGCTTGGAAGACTTGCTACACTTGTTGCAAAAGAGGGAACACTGTTTCGGCAAACCGGGGAAAACTTGCTGGTTATGCCCACACAGCGCAGGGACCTCGAAGTGCAGCGATCCTATGTTTTTTTCACAGAGCTTATTTCGCATGCAGAACTATATTCACCACCTCTGGAGGTTACCAAAGCGCAAACTTTGATTTCTGCCGTTCAAGATATCCTGCACAACGTTCGCGCTGGTGATTCAACGCTCGCCGCAATACTTTGGAAAACAATACCGGTCCACAGTCGCTTGTCGGGAGCGGCGCACTTGAACGCTTTATCAGGTCTGGCTGCGATCCTTTCAACGATACACTTATCTTCGATAGCTCACAGCTCGCACTTGGTTCGCTCCTGTTTTAGGCGAACTATTCGAGAGCTCGAATCATTTGGGCCGAAGAGCCTAAACCGTGGAAGTAAGCTCTACTCAGCAATAATTCTTTTCGGCATGCTTATTCACGAGCGAGTGATCAGCGCTGAGGCGCTGCTGGTTTTGTGGCAACATCTACGGGAATGCTTTGTTCGGATACTGGGTGCGGGACTGAGTTCCCCGCAGGAAGCGATGGACTTGGACGCCGCTGACTGGACGCTACATGCTGCCCTGGATATTGCATATATAACTGGCGATATTCTTGCAAAAGAGGAACCTGGGTCCAAAATTTACACTGGCCTATGTCTATTCAAGGAGCGCCTTCGGCGCGCAATATGGGAGGGCGTTCTAGAGCATCACGCACAACCGTGCCGTATGTGCCACATATCCTCCGAGCGCAGCCTTGCGGAACGAGCGGTAATCTTTGTCGAGGCTTTGGATCGAAACGGTGCTGGAGTTCTCCAACGGAATGCGCATCGGGCATCCACGGATCTGCTTAAAGAGATATGTATGCCCCCTGAGCTCAAACAAGGTGTCCACCGTTATCCATGCATCTCATTACCCGCATTTCAGAATAGAAGGGAACGGGTCTTGTAAATCGGGCTTACATGCTAAAATTTGGGCCTCTTCCGACTATCGTCGACTCTAGCGGTTGCGGGCTCTTCTTCCAACTGCGTCTTTCTCTTCTCTCATATCGCCCGCCATAAATGCGTCGATTTTTACTGTAACTCCAGCGCTGTTTTTGGCAGTCGAATGATCTTCACTTCAGGCTGAAGTTTCGATTTCACCGCTTGCGGTTGTCGTTTACCCATGGCGCGTACAGGCGATAGTTGAGATCTGCGCTACGCTTGCGAATTTCATCTTATTCATATAAACCCTGTGTGTGGCCTTCACAGCTTTGACACTTGAATGCAATCAATAGTTTTCATGTATACACCACACTCCCCGTACCGCGGGCTGCCTTCTAGCAGAAGAACGCTCGCTTTATCGCCGGGTGCATGCCCGCGATGGCAAGAGAAGGTTCGCATCGATGCTCTATTTCGTTTACGCTCCTGGTTCCGTACTCTAAGATCACAGCTTCGTCTAAACAATCCTGTTTGCAACTAATTTAACCGCTGCTCGTGCAAACGCATACTAATTCATTCGATAGGTCACTCCCTGCTTCCCATCACGTCCTTGATTGAGTTCTAGATTGGTTTGAACCATAGTCAAAAAGTTGGAGAGTATGTTATCACCAATCCTCTGCTCATTGTTGTTTCCCGTGCAGTTGAGTACTTTTAAAATGCAACGTTACCAATTATGGAACAAGCATCGGAAGGAAGATCCAGGCTGGACATCAAGTCATGAAAAATTCCGTCCGTCTTAGCTATTCTCTTGCAAATCCGTAAGGCATGCTCCATTGGAAGCGCTTGCTGCGATGTTTGGAGTCCGGGCCCAATACCACTTTCCATGCAAGTAGAAGCGACGGAAGCTTCTGGGAACATGTACCCTAAGACGTACTGCGCTGCAGCGGAATATCGTTCTGTTACTAGCCGGAAAGGGAGAAGGAGCTGGCATTCGAAACGAGTCTCGTACATTACCAGAGGAGGTCTGGGAACTTTCTGAGTAAGATTTTGAAGATTTTATCAAGGTCGATATCGACTGTTTTCCTCATCAATATTGCGGAGCGAATCGCTTTGCCTACGAGTCCCCTGAGGCCGAAAGATCGAAATTTTGAAGAATGCGTGATTTGTAATTGCTGAACATGAGCAATATAGAAGAGTGAGGCTTGTTGAGAGAGTTGGATAATGTTTTCGGTAATTTTGGGATCCCTTGTTCGTGGTCGTCGCGAAACATCTGGAGTCCGATGACTTGACAAATTCTGTCGGCAAAGTGTTGAAGGAGCCAACCTCAAAAGACAGCCGAGATTCTATAACGACGTATGAATGCCAGAATCCTTCAAGTCTTTCACCTGAATTGCGTTCCAGCCTCAGGAGACTACAATCAAATGCTTTTTCATGGTTTATGGAAGATGAGTGCGAAGTGCGCTCATTTGAAGAAATAAAAATCCAAGGCAAAGGTATAGAAGTTGAAGCCCACGATCTTGGGGGCCCGCTGGCACCGGATTTGGAGAAACTACGAAAAAAAATCCTCATCTCGCCGACAATCTTGCGAAGAATAGCGAACGACGAAGAAGAAGAGAGGAGGTAGACGAGAAAAGGTGTTTGCCCTACTGGACAATGACGAGACTGTAGTGGCATATAGGTCACGAGTTCTAGCAATCCTTGCATTGATGAGTTCAACCAGAGGCAATAAACGTATGGAGTTCGTGAACCGAGACTTCAGCGTCGCGATCAATATCAGAACATGTGCGTTGCTTTACACGAGTCCCGAGAAGCTGGCCCAATTCCTTCTTCGTGGGACAACTTCTCAGGCTCGAAGTGTACAAGGAGAAACTGAGACCGATAGCACTCGACCGGTCAAAAAGGACCGGGAGGTGTCTGCGTGTGGATATTAGTTACCCTACACGGTCGAGACACATTTTTTGTTTCGTTGGCAGTGAACTGCAGGAATCGAGCGAGTGGTTCCGCGCTCCACTCTTATTCAAGACAACGTTCCTCGCGGATTCCCAATCACAGAGAACGAGAGGTTGACAAGATTCAAGTATTGAAAACTGTCGCTCCTTACTTAAGCACACACTTAAAGCTCGAAGCCTTTGAGTGAACGAAGTGCAGAAGAGTCTGTTTGCCTCTATGAAAGGAGAACGGAAACGCCCTCAGAGGCACGACAGGGACGCAGATAGAGAGCTGGCGTTGCGCCTCCACAACGAAGAAAAACAGGAGCTTCGAGGTTTGCGTCGCCAGACCCGAACTTCTGCGGATAAAGCTGTTGTGGAAGACGCAACAGTGATGGGTAGACCATGTGAGACAGTCACTGGATTGGATTCTTTTCTGAGCTCCTGTCTAAACGAAACAGGCCGACATTCACGCCCCCGAGCGAGCAGGAAAAGAACAGTTGAGAACGCTTTTGAGCATTTTTCTGTCGCAAAATATACAGAAAAGCATGCAAAACTCGAACCTCGCAAGCAAGGTACCAGCGCCCTACCCATAGACGAGATTCAGACTGTGCCAATCAAGGACCTCGATCAGTTTCCGAGCTGTGTTGGAGTTGCAGAGAACCAGAAAACCTCAAGCAGTCTTCGTAGGCAGATACGGGAGCAAATTAGGCGCTTGAATGATGGATACTACATCAACTGTGATCTTCGTTACTTCAACCTTGCGTACTTGCGTGAATGTGTGGGGAATTTCGACGTGGTGCTCATTGATCCCCCGTGGCGCATCGCGGGCGGCCAGCGAGCGAGCACGCCGAATGGACCCATGTTCACCAATAATCACTGGGCAGTCAACTATAATACGTTGTCCAATGAAGAGATTCTGGATTTGGACATTGGATGCCTCTCGAATAGTGGTCTCTGTTTCCTCTGGGTCGTCTCATCCCAGCTGCCAACAGGTATGGCCTGCCTCTCGCGCTGGGGCTACGAATACATTGACAAAATCACGTGGATCAAGAAGCGCCAGGGGAAGCTCCACGTGAGCCACGGGTATCATTTCATGCATTCATCTGAATTGTGTCTCATTGGGGTCAAGCGGCCCTGCGAATTCATTGGAAAAGTTTCAAACGATCTCATTTTCGCAGAGGTGCGTGAAAAAAGTCGCAAACCAGATGAATTGTACCATGTTGTTGAGACAATGCTTCCAGGTACTGCCAAGATAGAGCTTTTCGCTCGGAACCACAATATTCGCAGAGGCTGGCTGAGTTTGGGTAACGAGCTCGGTGAGCAGTTCTGCGACTGGTTCAATGACTTCGAATGTGACATGTGCGGAGCACGCATTCATTTCGGTGAGAGGCGGTACAAAGCGAAAAATCGACCCAATTCGGACTTTTGTCGGGACTGCTATCTGGAAGCAATTTCCGCAGGAGTGACAACGGAAACAGAGTGGTTCGAGCTGGCTAATGATGCCGCAGATCCTGTCTATCATGAGTACTACGAGTGCAATCATTGCAACATCTATCCCCTTTGGGGAGTCCGCTTTCATAGAGACCCAGACATGGATCTTTGTGAGCAGTGCTATGATGAGCTGGTAGCCAATGACGCGGAAACAGAGGATGCGTCCAATAATGCACGCACCAGCAGCCCTGACGACTGGACTGCGATCGAGTCTCCTATTTGCGGCGGCTCGTTACCTGTCCACCGCAATATTCGCTGTTCATCCTGCCTCCAGTGTCCGATCATTGGATACCGCTTCTCATGCACCTGCTGCGAGAATTTAAGCTTGTGTCAAAAATGCTTCTTTCAACAAAAATGCCCCAAAGGGCACAATGCAGATCATGACATAGTGATCATTGTCGATTCTGAGGCCGCACTGAACGCGCTTGTTCGGTGCGATGGATGTGGAATTCGCCCCATCCTTGGTACGCGATACAGATGCAATACCTGTTACGCCTTTGACCTGTGTGAGACGTGTTACAAGAAAGTTGAGCAAGGAGAATACGATTTGCAACAGGTTTCTCAAAAGAAGTTAGCGGAACACAATCGATCTCACGCGTTTTCAGCGATTCCCGTCTCAGCCTGAGGAAGGCAACTGACTTTCTCGATTTCTGAGTTATCTCTTTTCGGCATGATGCAACCCGGAGAAAATCTTGGAATCCCTCTGGTATGCTGATGAATCCTGTCGAGGGAGCTCCACGCAAGTTTTCGAACCTTCAATTCGCCTCCGGATCTATACGATAGATCTGGATCCATCCGGACGTTGCCTACCTGGAAGCACGCACGTGTGAAGCGAGCGGGTAGTCGTTTCCCACACCTGCTGAAAGGCCCTCCACGTAAACGTACCATGAATGATGCACTGCTCGCGACGAGATCCTTCGCTCGTTTCTCAGGAATCCTTAGTTCAGTCGCTCGAATTTGCGTTGCCGGCGATCTCATGATCCTGATCTGTACGTTACAAGCCGATGAATTCGCTGCGATAGGTAAATTTCCGTTTTTTACTAAATACCGAGGAAGCGCTCTCAAATATATTTCAGGACTGTGACGTGAAACAAACCTCACAGGTCCCCATTGCGACCCTCTTTGCACAACGCCTCGTGATCCACCGAGCACATGGTGCTGAGTGTGCGTGCTGGCGGCGTTGCGAATCACCGAGCAACAGACATTGACGCCCGCAATGTGTCGCGGTGTCTAGAGTGAGGCGCTCTACGCGCGAGGACGTGCGCCAAAGATGCTAGCAGCACGACTTCAATCAGAGCGCATATATTCATTGATTTCGTCCCCAGATCATTCAGGAAACAGCTGACTTCACAGCAGTTTCATTTTTCTGAGAACTTTCAACCTTTTCATCCTTTTCTAGAGACCCCGGATTCCGTTTGTGAAGGAATCGCGAAAGATGCTGCGGCTTGAGAGTCCAGACCGCCTGATTGCCTACCACGACCGTTTCGAAATAGTCATTGAGCGCAAGTGTATGCCGGATCGCGCTTTTAATCCACATGTGGTCGTGGACATTTGGATGCAGCTCGAACACGCGGTCGACTATGTCGTCATAGAGCATTCTATGCCCCTCCGCAGAAGCGATGAGTTCACCGAGGTATTGTGGCAAGTCGTTGATGAGGCGCTGAGAAATCTTGCTCTCCGTAAGCGGTGCTCGATGCCCTCCTTGCTCACTCTGAGCCATAGTAAGAGGCGTCTTGTACCGCAAGTCTGCACCGCCTAGTTTCTTCCTTTTCCGAGGTCCAAGTCCTTTCGCGCAAGGCAGGAGAAACCAAAGCGTACAAGAGCCGGCCTGCAGAACGTCCTGGCTTCGAAGCTGAACAGGTGCGCTATTCGGGCAAACGAACGATCCGTTCACTTCCATCCCGTTTTTCCCCTGAACAAATAGTTCGAAACTCTGCATATCTACGTTCAACGCGATTGTTGCGTGGATTCGGGACACTGCACGGTCCCGAGAGGGCAACCATAAGGTATACTCCGAAGCCAACCCAGCAGTTTTGTTGCTGCTTCGACCTATGGTCAAAGTAGGCTTGGTCATATAGTGACTTTGTGACTCGGTTATGATTTTCGCATAGAGTATAGCTGGAACTTTCGTCTCTGCTAAGTACGGCATTAGTGCCCTCGCGAACGCCAATGACTAAACGACAATTGGCACTGTATATCGCGGTTTCCATGAAAGTGCTCCAAAGCTGTCGCTTCGGCCAGTTGCGAAAACTTTTGTTGATTATCGTGCTCGCTATTTACATAAGAGCGTCCATAGGCCTCTTCCCTTACTCTGGAGAGCACAGACCTCCAAGATTCGGAGACTATGAAGCGCACCGTTACTGGAGCGCAGTGACGCTGCACATGCGGCCAGTTGCGAACTGGTATACGCATCCCGGTGACTACTGGGTTATAGACTACCCGCCCCTATCCGCTTATTTGGCTTTCGCTATTGGCATTTGCGCAAGACTTTTAGATTTTGAGGGCGCGGTGCAAGCCGACGCCTACGGTTACGAGAGCGAGTCGAGTCGTGCTTTCTTCCGGGGGACTGTGCTGCTTGTAGACTTGCTGTTCTTTTTCCCAGCAGCATATTTCGCGTCTGGTGGCGATCTCAACCGCTTTGCGTCCCTTACCCTGTTTCAGCCCTGCTGGATTTTGATCGATCATGCCCACTTTCACTACACATGTATCCAGCTAGGTTTCATCCTATGGATGATCGCGCGATATCGCACAATCAAGCTCACTATGATAGCGACAGCGGTGCTCTTCAAGCAGACATCCATCTACTTCCTGCCCGTCCCTGCAATGGACGCGCTGCGACAGGCATGGAGGCGAGCGTTCCCAGACAACGATGTCCTTTTTTCCGTTCTTGTTGCTCTTTTCATCCTGTACCCGTTCAAGTTGGACGCTTTGTTAAGGAGGGTGTTCCCATTTCATCGAGGCGTTTTCGAGGACAAGGTAGCAACGTTTTGGTGTACAATATCGCCGCTGCTGCGTCGAACTGGGCTCCTACGGAGCAGGTTTCTGCCCCCAGCCTGCGGGCTCATGACCCTAGTGGCAGTTATCCCGTTTCTTATGGGCTCACCGGGTCGTTGTATTACGGAAAGCGATCGTCTTCGGCTATGTATTCGACTCACAGGGTGCTCGCTTGCGTTCTATCTTTTCTCGTACCATGTTCATGAGAAGCATATTCTCCTACCACTTTTGCCGCTATCGTTATGTGCCCATGAGTATCCTGATATCATCATTTGGGCCACTTCCACGGCAGTATTCTCTCTCCTGCCTCTGTTTTTGCATGAAGGCTCAGCGATGGCGCTAGTAGCGCTGATAATTTGGACGTGTTTAGGAAGAGGTCGCCGTCCTTCTGTAGCCTGGATGCTTCTCGCCCTTCCTCTTGGAATACTTCTCGCTGTTGACGGGAATCCTTTTCGGGAACGTTATCCGTACTTGCTTCCTTACTTCGTTGCAATCTTCTGCTTCCTGAACTTTCTTATGCTCCTGCTTTGGTGTTACAAAGAGCACGCAAAGTTGTCGGGTTGCTCTTTCACTGTCGAGGGCGCTCGGAACTTGTTGTTTCGCTCCTTGAATTTTTCGAGGGCTCCGCCACAAAAACTCTCATAACGCTATGAGCCGGCACTACAGTGAGCGAGAAGCGTCGTTCCTGCCAAGTTTGGGGCGTAGGACACCATACCTCTTCCACCGCATCGTACAAGACGAGATTCTTGAGACCGTCGACGCAGTAAAGCCTTCCTCTCACGCGCTGGCGCTCGTCCTGGAGCAGCACTAGAAGTTCACGGTGAAGCAGTGACTCAAGGAACGCCCTTCCTTCGTTCGCATTGTGGACGCCCATGAGTTTGTAGACGTCTCACCTGTAAAGCGAGATGCAAGAGCCTACGCAGCTACCGCTCTCAAAGTGAAGCACATAGCTTGACGGCTAGCGCATTAAGATAACATTAATAGTTTGGATCTCTATTGTATGGGAACTCCGACCAGACGGAAGCTGCACACAAGCAGCAGCACACAGCCTGCCGTTCCTTGCACTCGAAAAAAACCTCATTTGTCTGCAGTGTTCCACGGGGGCGCCAGCCTCCCTCGTGGAGTGCGCACCATGGTGGCGTTCGCGAAAAACTTAATGTCCTCTTGTCTGAAGCCTGAAATCCCGTGTATTTATGGTGTATCAGTGCAAGTCTGAAAGGACATGCCCGTATACGCAAGCTCTGCCCGTGGTTAACGAGTGAAACTATGTTGTTTGACGCTTGCGATGGCATTGTTTAGCCTCCCTTTCACGGCCCGATCTAAGCGACTGTATCCCAAGCGCTCCAGCGAATGCCTCTGCTACGCCTGACAAACCGGGAAACCATGTCGTTAGATTGATCGAGCCTCCACATTCTCGGGTTTCATCATAAACTGGAACCGGTGGCTCGTAGGGACTCGTGTCAAGGTATTCATCCAGCCTTCACGCCGGGTGTTCATCTCCAAATGGAATTGGTTGAACGGAGGAGCGTCCGTGCTAAAGTCGGGATCTCCCAGTCGCTTTTATGTAGAGGAGTGAAATGCAGAACACGTATACAAGCACATTCCTCTCGGTCTTATTTATTTTTCCCATTGGTAGTCAACAAAATCACTGTTGCGTTTGTACTAGAGAAAGACTGCAGAAAGACCTGATGCCCTCATTGCTGGACATCGAACAAACCGGCTTTACCTCTACAAGCCAGTTATTTGATGCTAAGCATGTGGACCTACCGCCCTTCTCGTAGTCCTCATTCTGAGCACCGAGCACCAAAAGCAGTACTCATCAGTCGCTATCTACACGACTGTCTCCTCCTCAATCATTTCCACTCGATTCTTTTTCGAAGAAAGACTACTGAGGAACCCACAAAACGGTGATCACCCTTTTCGTCCATACGAAGGAGACAAAGAAACACGGACTGATAGCAATAAAATCGCGCTTCTAGAGGAGACCGTCGAGGTTTTTTGCAGTATGCTGTCGCTTTGCGAATGAAATGAGAACGTTCGTTACGGTACGGACGGTTGTTCGTCTCATTTGATGCGGCTTCATTCAGGAGAAATGCTAGACCTATTAATAGGTAATCAGAAGAGTGCAAGCGAATGCTATTAAAGCCGAGAGGAGCGAGAAGGACGATAACAGCTCTAATCGCGATTCAAACATATGGTTGCGTCCAAATTGTCCAATGGACATTATTGTGCAGCACCGTATCCTTCACTGAAGCACTCATCCAGTCTTTCTTCATACATTCTTGTGTCCTGCTATCAGACAGCATCGATTCCCTTGTCTTAAAAGAGGGCAATTGTACGCAGGCAGGATTCGCACTCAGCTGCTCTTCGTCCCAGCATATTATCCCTGGTTGTGTCATGTCGTCAGCATTAACCACCTTGTCAAACGACACTTCTACCCTACAGCTGCAGTAGACGAGTCAATCGCAACTGTTGCACCATTCTTCGAAGAGTCTTTGAAGGAGAATTTGTGTCCAGTGTTCATTTGTCCTGAACTGATTTGTGGCTCCTCTGCTTGTCGCCGGGAAAGAGCCGAAAGGCTCGCAAAGTTTCGATATCTTTCTCGCGATGTGGTAAGTGACGAAGATATTCCTGAAGATTGATAAGCTACAGCGTTGGACATGATGGAGTGCGCAATGCCCGTGCTCATACTCCTTCCAAAAGAGCATAGAACGTGTGAAGAAAATCTATTCTCTACGATTTTCATCGATGAGTTCAGGTTGACACACGCATTACGAGCGCGGATGCACGCTGAAACTGATACGGAAGTCGACAGTGCAACAGGAGCCGATACACGAGCTGTTGTATGGTAAACTGACCAACAGCGAGATTACGAAGCCATCAAAGGCAAGAGACTTGATATTACGTGATTTCAGTAGTAATTATGCGCACGAGCACCTTCTGCACAGAGACTTGAAAGCTCTGATCAAAATCCGGAAATGGTCCCGGCCTCCAGAGCGCCCAGTTCCTTTATGCCAAGCGAAATTTCGAGCAATTGTTTTTTGCACAGTGTGGTCACGAAGTTGAAACGAGAATGATTTGCCATTATAAGAGTCAATTGCAAAGAGAGAGGACGGTGGATTCTCGCACGGAGTGAGGTACTAGAATGGTACGGTCCACATTTCAAGGCTGGAGCGCTATTTATCCAACGCAAATGGCGTCGCTGGGCACTTAGCAGACGATAATGGTGTTCATTTGTTCGATATTACTGAGCATGCATATAGCTATCCCTGATTTGGCAAATTTTAATTACACTCATCGATTCTGCAGCCGAAACTCTACGACATCTGGCCTTCCCAAAGCGCGCGCGTCAGTCATATTATCGAAAAGACGCTGGTCTGCTACAATTTGGCTTGCTTGTTCTGCTCCCCGATCGAGACTCTTCGTAAGAGTTTGCTCGCAAATATCAACCGCTCTGGCTGTATCGAACGTCGCTTTGGTACAGGCGTCTATGATGTTGATGTCCGCAAGGCCCTGCTAAGCTAAAACCAAACGTTTCACGACGATCGAGGAAAGCTTTTCAAACGAAACGCTGCATATTCGTGGGAGAGTTTGTATCGAGATTAGGCGTATTGCACCGATCGAGCATCGAGAAATAGACGACGCCCTTTCAGAAAGACATCTGCTCTATATACCCCATCCAGATGGCCCGTATACTTCACACCTTGCTCTTGCATCTGTCGGCACTCGATTACAGTTTGCTATATTTTTCAGACCTGCAGCGTTCCCCAGTATGGATTTGGGATTCTAAACCAGGACCCGCACTTGAATTTGTTCATTTAGGCCAAGAATGAAGCATGCTATTTCGATATCTTCTGGTTACCAGCCGACAATGAGCTCGCAAGAGGACGACGGCCGCAACCAATGATCACATCAAGCAATACACTTATAGGCAATGATCCCCGTAAAGGCATCCCGTCGAGGTGTTCGATCGCCTCTCGTGCGAAACATATGCAGTTTATGAATGGCATAGTCGAATGTAGAATTTCAGTACAATGGGAATTGGTCGACATTGTCGGTAAACGCCGTGCCCGCAAGTCCGCCAAGTATCCGGAACGTGATCGAGAGAAAGCTTTTCCACGCGTTCGCTACTGTATCATTAAGCTCGATGGCAACACGTGATCCGAAACACTTTTCTTGTGCTTCCGGATGGTCCGGTCGGCTTCATGAATCCTGCATCCCTTAACCCAGCACGAGTGCATTGCGCACAGCAGACGCAGCATACGAAATTAGGCGCAATGCATTCATGATATCTGCGAAGGTCTTTCTGATCCTACTGGCAACTTACTCGCGCAGGCGAAGCCATGAGATCGCCAATAGGCCCAGATTGCGCTTGAAACCGACAAGAACAAAATTGAGAGGACGTCAAACACAAATGAAACGTTTGGGGACCGACTGTGCACAGGATGAACACACTGATCAAGGAGGCGTCCAGTGATGGAGTCAATCAGTCGTCGTGTTCTGATTCATGCGTTGCATTCGCCTCCTCTGGTCGATTTTCATACGTATGCGAGCCCAAATTCCTTTTTGTCATTTCCGAAACCTTCGGGCTGCGTTCTGGTGGGCTGGTGGATGAGGTTTGCAAGGGGCCCAGCGTTCTCAGGTGTGGAGACCTTGCTGAAATCCGGTACAGTAGCGTAGGATCCCTAGTCGGTATGAGTATGATCAAAATCACGCTTATAGCGCACATCTAGACATGCTTGCTTTGATCGCGCGCTCGAGAAGAACCAAGTGCGACTCTAGTACCCACCGTCTGTGCCCCCACAGCGCCGACAATGGCTCGGATGATTGACTGCGTTCGCCTATGATGATGCAGTAATCTGAGGTTTCCCTCAGGTGATAAACCGATAGTTGGAAGCCGCGTGAACCAGTGATGCTCCACATCCTATGTCCGAAATGATTCAAATTCATGCAATCATCATCTCGTGACGTGTATCGTGCGAAACGGTGCCGGGGAGCGCTCAGAACATCGAAAATTGTATCCGCAGCATACGCTGCAGATGCGAGAAAGAGGGGCCCTATCATATCACTTACGTTATTTTCACCGCTGTCCGTTGCAGCGCAATAGCTAGCCAATACTTTGGAATCGCTCTTTCGCAGGAGGAGCGCCCGTCTAACGTTTCGGTTACGAAACGTCTCGTCTATCCAGCTCGCGAAAATTGAGCTAATATCGTGCTTCCCCTCCGATGAGGCCTCTGACGAAGTTTTCGGCGCGTCTGCGATCGCGTCCCTACTTTCAGCGGAGACTTGCGAAACTGACAGACCGGTGCAGTGCGCTTTCGTTTCGCCCGGCAGCTCGTTCGCCGGCTCCTGCTGCGGTGCCTGAGGTGTGTCGTTACTTAGTGCTTCGAGATTTGCTGGTAGTCCACCACGGTTCTCAGTCCCAAAGTCCCTTTCAACGGCCAAGCAGGGAAAACAGGTCCTGAGTAACCGCGAAGTCATGCTGAGAACCCGCTGCCGACAGCGAACGCCTTTCAAAAGAAAAACGTTGCTGCCGGCGGTGGACAGGAGCAGCGAGGAAGCCGCCCTAGACAAGACGTCTCCAACTTACGTACAGACGCCTCCCAGTCTCTTTCGACCGGCCACCCACTACTGGTTCCAACTTTTTCTCATATAATCCTACCTTAAGCGGTTGTCCAACAAAATATTCTCTTGTCAACTCCGGAGGTCTTCTTTCCATCACCGCACATTTCCTTATATTGATAGCGGCGTTAAAGTTTCGATTCACAAACTGCATGCGTTTCTTGCCATTGGTAGTTGGACTCACTAGTGCAAGTAGTCCACGAACTTTCGTCCTCCTTTCCACTTGCTCTTTCGTCAGCGCTCCGAACATTTTTATATCCTCAGGGGTCTGCTGGCACTTTTCATCTCCAATCTCTGACGTTTACACCCCAATTGGTGGTGTGTATTGGTCGTTCGGAACTCATCTATCGGTATCGTGACGAAACGGTATGCGCACTCCTTGTACGCTCGTGTCGTTGGAGATGGCGCACACCTTTTTTTCGACGCCCAGCGCCTTGCTCCGTATGCCACTACGAGCCTCTGACTCTTGTGCTCCTTCAGGGCGCTCAACTGATTGAAAAAGTTCGCGAGCGCGCGCCGCTTCCCACAATACAGGTTCACACGCAGAGGAGCCCACCGGCGATTTGTATACTCTTTCCACAGCGCCTCCCAATGAGCAGCGCGAACTTCCATGAATTTCAGAAAAGTCTGAAAGTCCGCTCCGCGGCTCGTCACCTCGCTCATAGCTTCCAGGTGGTCCTTCATTCCTTCGTTCCACATCTCGATTTTCTTCCTCGCATTCATCATACCGGATTCTCGATAGTATCTCGCTCTCGAGAGCTTTAAAAGACGCATGTCTTTCTGACTTAAGTTGCCTTCAATGCCTCTTCCGCGCGCTTGGGTGCTGCGATGGCTATAATATTCGTGTTTCTGGGGTCCGCGCCAACGACAACGTCGTTCTCATGTACTTCTCGCGTCGCATGACCCGCCTCCTTCTCATCTTCATGCTTCGCCGCATCAACGACAAAGTCGGTCTCCTGCACCTCCTGCGTCGCAGGTTCCGCATCCTTCTTTTCTTCATGCTTCGCCGAGTGCGAAGCCGAAGACGGAACTGGACGATCCGCCTTCAAGAGCCGATAGTGTGCACATACGGGTACTCCATCGCTTTCGGTTATCCCCGTGAATATCTTTTTCTTGCCCTTATTGAGACGTTTGAAGTCGGATATAGTTTTCCAAGAAGTCTAGAGGTTTCCACCAATAGATGCCTCCCCGCTTACATCTAACTCCGAACTGATCTCCAGCATTACGTTGTGAATGTCGCTGGCGTCGATTGTCACAAAATGTGACTTGACGCCGCCGAGAGCAACGACGCTGAAGCGCCTCTCCGGAAACACAGCCATCCGTTTCGCCGACTCTCTATTTTCCCCCTACTCATCTGCAGTTCGGCCTTGCGTTCGAATTCTCGGTTCAGGAACACGAAATAGCGCAGGATGAGGGGATAATATCTTTTTCCATATCTGATACCTATTCTGCTGGGCTGACCAGCCCCAGGACCGCACGGTGCTCTTGAGCAGCCGCAGGGATCACAGAAGCTGCATTCGTGCTCTTGGTTGATGTCTTCTTGTCGACAAATTCGATCTCCTGTCCATTCTTACTATCGTTCGTGATGCTGGCAATGATGGTCCATCTCGCCCAGTGTGAGACGCCCAAGTAGAGAGCAAAATTGGAGCGTTTCATGAAGCGTTCCAGGTTCATGGCCATATGGGTCTTTAGGTTCGTGAGGGACTTGATCGCCCCGTATTCGTAAATACGCGAGTCACCCCTCTATCGAGTACCGTTGAAGCGGTAGTTGGAGTGATGTTCGTGGAGGGCATGTAATCGCTCATTTCTCATCGACATTTACCCTGTGCCAAATATTAGGTCACCAATAAAGGTCTTGTTGAAAAACTCTTCCGGAATCTCGAATATTTTGATGTGCGTGACGTCGCGATACATCTCCCTCGCCATATACATCAGTCCCAAAGAGGCGTAATTAACACTCCTGGAGTACGACTCCACACGGTTTCTGACGGCCTTTTGCGTCTCTTGCTCGTAGGGGTCCTTGATATGTCCAAGAAGACAGGCGTTCACTACCATCTCGTCGTACTCTCATCTTTCATGCAGCATGTGACATCGGACCTCCTGCATCTGCTTCTTCGTTTTCTCGTGTTCCTCTTTGCTCGGCGCGGTTTTTCTTTTTTTCCCGGCGGCCGGCAACATCGGCCCTTCAGGATCCCGACTTGCATGTGCGCTGCTTTCCTTTGGCGTTTTTATTTCGTCAAGATGATCGCACGTCTTCTTGCTCTTAGATGGGGCCTTCTCGGAGGGAGGGGGACTTTCGCAAGAAAAGCGACATGTGCCCCCATGTTTTAGCGTGTGCAGAACGCTCAGCGATTTACCCAGCGCAGTGTTCATCAAAATTCTCGATAGAAAACGCTCCTTAGATGCGGCCGAACCACGGCGTGTACGAAGTAATGAGAAGCAACCCTATCCCTACAGATTCGGCAAAGACTCGAACGCAAGGGGAACGGTAAAACATCACGTTGCCCGACAGAGGGATGTTTCCAGACGTCAGGGGAAGAGTCTGCAATGATTCGACGCAGTGGTCGGTACCGTTGTATGACCGCTATCTACGAGCGAAGCTGAGGCCACCAGATGAATCCACTCCACCCGTACCAGATGATATTCTCGTTCTCTTTGAGTTCGATCATACACACTATGGGCGCCCTGCTCCGCGAATACCCATGTACGCTCCGACAGTATCGTCCGAAGCAAGTCTCATTGACTAGAAAAACAAATCGATGCCCCTGCGCTTCAAACCGATCGCGACGATCCGAAGACGCTGTTGTTGCGATGTCGTTGGACGATGGCCGAGCGTGAAATTGGTATTCGTTTTTCCGACTGTATCGCAGTGATTTCAGGACCACACGAACAAGCTGGTGAGTAAGAGAGACACCCGTTGTGGCTTCTATCATCGCTTTTGCCTTCCACGCGGTGATGAATCGGTTGTTTTTTACCACGGACCCCAAGCACGCTTTGTGAATATCGGTTTTTTGATACGGAGCGGGTGTAGTGGTTTCTTTCGGTGTTCCTCAACCAGCTGAGTACTCTCGAAAGACTGACCTGAAGGAGGAATACATTACTTGCACGCTTCAGTCAAGGATATATATCCTACATGCAAATCGCCTATGTTCTATACGGTACATTGCAGAGTGATATCGATCTCCTCCTATACACTGCAGCAGGGGTGAAACGTAATTGAGTTGAAAGAGCGCAGCTGGGAACATCGACTGTGTCGCAGTTCGCGCGCCCTGTACCGCCATTGAAATCATCGCGATCGCCGCGCTAGCGCGGGACACCATCGATCCGATCCGCATGGCAGCTCGCGGGACGTCATCGATCCAACGGAAAACTATTTTTCGACGGACTGCTCGCATCATGAGGGTCTTTGAGAGCCTCAAATATTAGGCTGAAGTGAAGTTTCGCTAACAATTTGGGTCCTTGCTGCTTTAAGTTGAGGTGTTTTGGTTTAGTGAGCACCTCATCTTGGGACGAATTGGATGATCCCCCGAAAACTTCCAACCAGCGAAACTCGATCGAAGCCTCCGAGCTTCGGCCATAGAGCTGGACAACGTCACCGCACGCAGCTTGTGGAACGTCAGGGAGGTCAGGAGTGGAAACACGATCATTTGGGAGAGTCCACAGAAGGCCGGTCGGTTTGTTCCTGTGAAGCTTGCCGGACACTGAGCCTAGCCGGTTTCCCGAACAGCAGCAACAGCAGCAACAGCAGCAACAGCAGCAGCAGCAGCCTCTCTGAGCTCGAGGACCGTCCACAGTGTATTGGTGGCTACTCTAGTTCTAGTGGTGGGGCCGCAGAAGGAGTCGATCAATACGTATGGGAACTGCATGAGGGTTTCAATATGGGGACACCAACCCAAACAATACAGCGTCCTGCTGAGTGTCCTAGCTTCGGTTACGGTGCTTTTCGTTCCAGACGAGCAGACTCTGGAAGCGAGCCCCTTGCTAATGAACCACTCGAAACCATGCGGGACCTCTCCATTCATGATGCCGCGTCTCATGATACGCAAAAGCTGCCATCGATGAAGCACCGCGCTGGAGACGTGAGCTCAGTTACTGTTCCGTCAACGAATGCTAAATTTGCGGTAGCAGGGCATTCGGATGCACCGAAAATTTTCAGTTCTCCTGAGGCGGAAGCACGCCTACTGCCCTGTAGCTCATACGCAGACTCGGCTACAACGGGCTCTTCTTCATTGCATGAAGGCTTGGTTCAGCTTGATGTTGTCGATTATCGAATGCGCATAGTCTCGAAACAAATTTCGAGCAGCATGCCTGTCTACGAAACTAGGCAACTCTCAACGTCCCGCGCGAGTTCTCGGAACACGGCGGTGCTTGGACGTCTCTGGTCAGTCGCGTCACTTGGAGTCAACAGACCTAATGAGGACCGTTGGCACGTAGAACGCCAGCGTCTGATATGCGATTTCCAGTCATACGCGCCTTTCAAGCTTTCGCAAGCCAGTCTAAGATCTGAGGCGGGCACAAGCTCGGTCGCCGCTCTCAAAAGCGTGAAATGCAGCGGATCGGCTGTGGGTTTCACACGACCAGCAACTCCGCCTGGGAGTCACGATGTGGCAGAGTGTGAAGTCGCTGACTGCGACAGCGGTTTCGAATCTGATGACTCGTTTACGGTGGGCTTGTTTGATGGACACGAAGGAGCCACGTGCTGCGAGCTAGTTGGCGAACTGCTTCTAGAAACGATTCGAGACCGATGCACTAAGAATGGAAAATATACGACTATGCTCCAGGAGCTTGGAATTGAAGGCTTTGCAAGATGTCTGATAGAGACGTTTGAATTTGTCGACAAGAAGATCCTGGAGCTCCTCTGGGAACATCTAGAGCGAAGTGGCGACGGACATTTTGCAATAACAGGAGCCTGTTGCATAACAGCAACGCTGATGAATGGTGGAAGGGATCTCTTCGTTGCCTCGCTAGGAGACTGTGAGGCCTATTTGGGCCGTCGATGTTGCGCGGCTGCGGAGCTCCCGCATCCTCAAGAAGGAGCGAATAAGCGTATGGCTCGAAAAAATTTCGAAGCGATTCGGCTGTGTCGCTCACATAATCTTCGAATCAGCGAGAATTCGAAAGCTCTCATGGAGCGGTTTCCCAACGATCCCTCCGTAGTGCAGAAAATAGGCAATAATTTTTTCGTCAAAGGCAAGCTGCAGGTATCGCACGCCTTTGGAAATGGATACCTGAAAGAGCAAAGATTCAACGAGCGACTCTACCCTATTTTTAGGGCGAAGTCACCTTACTGTGGAGGATACGTGTCCGCAACTCCGCATGTTGAGCATGTGTCCTTGATGGATCGGGACGAATTTCTGATTTTAGGAACGGATGGATTCTGGGAGAACGCTGAACCAGAGGTAGTCGTCGAGCTTTTGGGTCACTTTTTTCACGATCGGGAGATTCTGGAGGGGAATCTAGACCAGATCTCAATAGATCCAAGAAGGGCAAGCGAGCTCTTGATGCAGTACGTGTGGCTTCGCCTCCACGACAGTATAGAACCCGCGAGCTTGCGTACAGCGGGCCAGACTGGTGGCAAAAGCAGTGGAAGCTGTGCTGCTGAGCCGCGCCCTCAGCTTCGTGACGACTGCTCAGTTCTGGTTTTATTCCTCCGTCCAACGGAGATCGGGGATGCAGAAGAAGCCATATCATACACAGGCAATATGGATTGTACAGATTTTTGTGAGCAACTAGATGGTGATACCAAGGAGCGCATTCAACGTCTGCGAGCATCGATTTCCGAATGGATGCGCACATATGGCGAGCATTCCGATGAAATATGAACATCAGCACAAACCTGAAGATGCAGCCAGTCGTGCATATTGTGAAGCGGTCTTCTCGTTCCTAGTTGTTACTGCAGGAGATTGCTTGTCCGGCTGATGCTGGGTCTCACGTATGTTAAGGGCGAGAGCAATCAAAGTGTAACCTCCGTCGAATGACAAAGGGAGCGCAACGATTGCACCTCTGTGGAACGCGGAACTCACTGCTCTCAACGCTTCGCAGAACGACGTGGGCCATCAGCTCGGTGCGCATGTTTGCTTTGCAGCTCTCGAGAATCAAATGAACTGCTGGCGTAGCGCAAAATAGTGCCCAATTCGCGCGCTAGTGCTTGCGTAAATTTACAAATCGTCGGGATAGAGAATTTCTCAAGTCGGCGTCAGAACAGCCCGTTCTGCCACAATCCTACACGGTGCAGCTCCACATAAAACCCTTTTCCCAACCGATCCACGAATCCGACAAGACTTTTGCTCACTTGTGGCGCAATTCTGCGAAACATGGACTGAGCAAAGGAGAAGAAGGAGCCTGTCGCTTATTCTCGTGTACAACTAACGTCTTTCGAATCAATTACGTTTCACCCCTGCTGCAGTGTATAGGAGGAGATCGATATCACTCTGCAATGTACCGTATAGAACATAGGCGATTTGCATGTAGGATATATATCCTTGACTGAAGCGTGCAAGTAATGTATTCCTCCTTCAGGTCAGTCTTTCGAGAGTACTCAGCTGGTTGAGGAACACCGAAAGAAACCACTACACCCGCTCCGTATCAAAAAACCGATATTCACAAAGCGTGCTTGGGGTCCGTGGTAAAAAACAACCGATTCATCACCGCGTGGAAGGCAAAAGCGATGATAGAAGCCACAACGGGTGTCTCTCTTACTCACCAGCTTGTTCGTGTGGTCCTGAAATCACTGCGATACAGTCGGAAAAACGAATACCAATTTCACGCTCGGCCATCGTCCAACGACATCGCAACAACAGCGTCTTCGGATCGTCGCGATCGGTTTGAAGCGCAGGGGCATCGATTTGTTTTTCTAGTCAATGAGACTTGCTTCGGACGATACTGTCGGAGCGTACATGGGTATTCGCGGAGCAGGGCGCCCATAGTGTGTATGATCGAACTCAAAGAGAACGAGAATATCATCTGGTACGGGTGGAGTGGATTCATCTGGTGGCCTCAGCTTCGCTCGTAGATAGCGGTCATACAACGGTACCGACCACTGCGTCGAATCATTGCAGACTCTTCCCCTGACGTCTGGAAACATCCCTCTGTCGGGCAACGTGATGTTTTACCGTTCCCCTTGCGTTCGAGTCTTTGCCGAATCTGTAGGGATAGGGTTGCTTCTCATTACTTCGTACACGCCGTGGTTCGGCCGCATCTAAGGAGCGTTTTCTATCGAGAATTTTGATGAACACTGCGCTGGGTAAATCGCTGAGCGTTCTGCACACGCTAAAACATGGGGGCACATGTCGCTTTTCTTGCGAAAGTCCCCCTCCCTCCGAGAAGGCCCCATCTAAGAGCAAGAAGACGTGCGATCATCTTGACGAAATAAAAACGCCAAAGGAAAGCAGCGCACATGCAAGTCGGGATCCTGAAGGGCCGATGTTGCCGGCCGCCGGGAAAAAAAGAAAAACCGCGCCGAGCAAAGAGGAACACGAGAAAACGAAGAAGCAGATGCAGGAGGTCCGATGTCACATGCTGCATGAAAGATGAGAGTACGACGAGATGGTAGTGAACGCCTGTCTTCTTGGACATATCAAGGACCCCTACGAGCAAGAGACGCAAAAGGCCGTCAGAAACCGTGTGGAGTCGTACTCCAGGAGTGTTAATTACGCCTCTTTGGGACTGATGTATATGGCGAGGGAGATGTATCGCGACGTCACGCACATCAAAATATTCGAGATTCCGGAAGAGTTTTTCAACAAGACCTTTATTGGTGACCTAATATTTGGCACAGGGTAAATGTCGATGAGAAATGAGCGATTACATGCCCTCCACGAACATCACTCCAACTACCGCTTCAACGGTACTCGATAGAGGGGTGACTCGCGTATTTGCGAATACGGGGCGATCAAGTCCCTCACGAACCTAAAGACCCATATGGCCATGAACCTGGAACGCTTCATGAAACGCTCCAATTTTGCTCTCTACTTGGGCGTCTCACACTGGGCGAGATGGACCATCATTGCCAGCATCACGAACGATAGTAAGAATGGACAGGAGATCGAATTTGTCGACAAGAAGACATCAACCAAGAGCACGAATGCAGCTTCTGTGATCCCTGCGGCTGCTCAAGAGCACCGTGCGGTCCTGGGGCTGGTCAGCCCAGCAGAATAGGTATCAGATATGGAAAAAGATATTATCCCCTCATCCTGCGCTATTTCGTGTTCCTGAACCGAGAATTCGAACGCAAGGCCGAACTGCAGATGAGTAGGGGGAAAATAGAGAGTCGGCGAAACGGATGGCTGTGTTTCCGGAGAGGCGCTTCAGCGTCGTTGCTCTCGGCGGCGTCAAGTCACATTTTGTGACAATCGACGCCAGCGACATTCACAACGTAATGCTGGAGATCAGTTCGGAGTTAGATGTAAGCGGGGAGGCATCTATTGGTGGAAACCTCTAGACTTCTTGGAAAACTATATCCGACTTCAAACGTCTCAATAAGGGCAAGAAAAAGATATTCACGGGGATAACCGAAAGCGATGGAGTACCCGTATGTGCACACTATCGGCTCTTGAAGGCGGATCGTCCAGTTCCGTCTTCGGCTTCGCACTCGGCGAAGCATGAAGAAAAGAAGGATGCGGAACCTGCGACGCAGGAGGTGCAGGAGACCGACTTTGTCGTTGATGCGGCGAAGCATGAAGATGAGAAGGAGGCGGGTCATGCGACGCGAGAAGTACATGAGAACGACGTTGTCGTTGGCGCGGACCCCAGAAACACGAATATTATAGCCATCGCAGCACCCAAGCGCGCGGAAGAGGCATTGAAGGCAACTTAAGTCAGAAAGACATGCGTCTTTTAAAGCTCTCGAGAGCGAGATACTATCGAGAATCCGGTATGATGAATGCGAGGAAGAAAATCGAGATGTGGAACGAAGGAATGAAGGACCACCTGGAAGCTATGAGCGAGGTGACGAGCCGCGGAGCGGACTTTCAGACTTTTCTGAAATTCATGGAAGTTCGCGCTGCTCATTGGGAGGCGCTGTGGAAAGAGTATACAAATCGCCGGTGGGCTCCTCTGCGTGTGAACCTGTATTGTGGGAAGCGGCGCGCGCTCGCGAACTTTTTCAATCAGTTGAGCGCCCTGAAGGAGCACAAGAGTCAGAGGCTCGTAGTGGCATACGGAGCAAGGCGCTGGGCGTCGAAAAAAAGGTGTGCGCCATCTCCAACGACACGAGCGTACAAGGAGTGCGCATACCGTTTCGTCACGATACCGATAGATGAGTTCCGAACGACCAATACACACCACCAATTGGGGTGTAAACGTCAGAGATTGGAGATGAAAAGTGCCAGCAGACCCCTGAGGATATAAAAATGTTCGGAGCGCTGACGAAAGAGCAAGTGGAAAGGAGGACGAAAGTTCGTGGACTACTTGCACTAGTGAGTCCAACTACCAATGGCAAGAAACGCATGCAGTTTGTGAATCGAAACTTTAACGCCGCTATCAATATAAGGAAATGTGCGGTGATGGAAAGAAGACCTCCGGAGTTGACAAGAGAATATTTTGTTGGACAACCGCTTAAGGTAGGATTATATGAGAAAAAGTTGGAACCAGTAGTGGGTGGCCGGTCGAAAGAGACTGGGAGGCGTCTGCACGTTAGTTGGAGACGTCTTGTCTAGGGCGGCTTCCTCGCTACTACTGTCCACCGCCGGCAGCAACGTTTTTCTTTTGAAAGGCGTTCGCTGTCGCTGTCGTGGCCTGCACAGAGCGAGCGCTCAGGATATTCTTCTAGCAACTAAGGTGTCCTGGGTTGAAAGCCTGGTATCCTGCGCAGTCAGAAGTACTTTTACTGGCACGTGATGATTGGAAGCAGTGGAGCTGTGCTCCGGGGCTTCCAGGTTTCGACTTCGTGATTCAGAGCCAGCTTCAAAATGCTTCACTATGAAAAGACTGCAGCGGCGGAGATTCTGAGAGGCGGTAACAGCCTGGCAGTGTTCAGTCGCGGCCTAGACTTAGGTTCTCTCGTTGCCATCGTTGCAGCGGAAAAGCTTCTGCTAAGCGAAGGGAGACCTATTTTGGCACTCAACTTCCCGAAAACTGTTTTTCAGCGACTTGGCCGTCTGCTAGCGACGCACCCTGCAAAATTCCCGATCCACCTGCTCCCAAGACATGTGAGTTCCAGCGTTTCAGCGGTTGAACGCTTCGAAGTCTACGGATGTGGAGGAATCATCGCTGCCACACCGCGAACTTTGGCTGTGGACCTTCTTACAGCAGTATCTCAGCTGGGTGATCACGGGGCAAAAAAAGTCCCCACGCTGAGTTTTCTGGGTATTCTGATTTATAACGCACATGAAATCTCAGAACATCGAAGCGAAACTTTTGTAACGCGTCTTTTTAGAGAATACGTAGGAAGATGTGAACTGGAGGATACCTTCATACACGCCTTTAGTGACGCGGCACCAGCATTGTGCCGCGGATTTCACTCAGCAGAAAAACTGATGCGCCTTCTCGGACTCGAAAGGTTACTGCTTTATCCTCGTTTTCACGTTGATGTCGTTACCTCCCTTGAGCACAAGACAGAAAATCCACAGAGCTACGTAGATGGAGGTTATGGGACTCATTCCTCATCGAGCGCGGGAATAGAGTTGCTGGAATTGCATCAGCCTATGACTGCACTGATGAAAGCCATTCAGGACGAGATCCTTGTGCTCATGCGATCCTGCTTTTTCGAATTAAGACGCAGTTCGCCGGCCGCGGAACTAGATGAGAGTGATTTGAGGGTAGCGGCTACCAGTAGGAGCATCTTACAAGCCGCCCAGCGCATCGGGCAAGAATGGCGGCGATTGAATTCTCGTAGCAGGCAGCTGTTGCAGGATATCCAGAACCTGAATAGCATTCTTTCGAGTCTGCTGGACGATGACTGTGTCACATTTTTGGCATATTTAGAGTCATTGAGGGATACACAAGGAGCGACCAGTTTGTGGATGGCGATGGAATCGGCGCAAAATCTGTATAGACTGGCCAGGGAGAGAGTCTTCCGAGGCACCGACACTGGGGGAGACTCCAAACTAATGGGAATGCAGGATGCAGCGCTTGACCTACGAGCCAGCGAGACTGGTGAGTTACCGTTCGAATTCAGCCAGAAGCTTGTCTGTCCGGAACCGAACAGCAAATGGGAACTTTTGAAAGAGTTACTTGATGAAGTTGTAAGTATGCTCATGGGTCATCAGAGGCATGGAAACGTATCGGACGCATCGACTCGTCGAGTTCTTGTTCTGGGGAGAGAGCCCTGCACTATTCAGTTTCTCGCCGAGTATCTCCACTATCGTGAAGGCGCTTTCGACGCATTGCATCGACGACTGCTTTTGTATCTTGGGACGAAATCCGGTGGAAAAGCCCGTGAGTCTGTCAGACCGACGACGGCAACAATGTCGAAAGCGGTGCCGTCACTTAGGGTCAAGTCAGATGCCATAGATGCCTCGCAATCCTCGTCGAACGCGGAAAGTGAGCACTCGAGCGCTTGTACTGATATGCGACAACACGCACCAAATCAGAGGATCACAGCAGAACACGATTCCCCTGGGCAGAAATTCGGTCACCTACAGGGCGATGCCGCAGGGCATGCATCCCCCCGCGAATCAGCGTCGGATAACTACAATTCAGCTCCCGCGCATGCCAGTAGTGCCGTGTCGCAGTGTGCAGATGCAGCGCGTGTAGAGATTTTGCTCAAATCCTATGGCAGGAGACAGAGCAGCACGGGCGTTGAAAACCTCATCGGACCCTCCACCATACTGCCTTTCTTGCTGGATTCGCAACCGTGTTCAATTATTATGTTGGATCCTACCCTGCAACACGTCCGAGAAATCGAAGTATACCAAGCCGCTTACTCGAGATTTGCAAAGATCCGGGTCTATGCAGTATTTTACGAAGAATCCCCCGAATATGAGCTATATTGTAATGCAATAGCAGATGAGAAGCACGCATTTCAAACCTTGATCCGCCATAAGGCGTCGATGGCCGTTCGACTCGATCAGAGCTCTGCCGTGGCTGTACCGGATACTGGGCCCGAACGCATTTATTGGCCACTTTGGGCGGGATCCCTTGCGAAGGCGGATAGACCTTCGCCCTCGTCTGGACGTCCCCAGATTCTTGTGGATGTACGAGAATTTCGCTCGACGCTTCCTGGTTGTCTGTATCAAGCGGGATTCGAGCTGCTTCCTCGGACCCTGAAAGTAGGGGATTATGTACTCACACCGGATATTTGTGTCGAGCGCAAAAGTATCCCGGATCTGACGAGTTCTTTGGCGTCTGGGAGACTTTATACGCAATGCCAAGCAATGTGTCGACTATATAGATACCCGTTGCTGATGATCGAGCTCCAGGAAGATGACATCGGGAGCACGGGAGCGAAAGCACATGTGACAAATCTGTTCGCGCCTAGTCTCTCCTTTCAGGAGAATTCCTCGCATGGTCCTGCCACGGGAATCGGGAAACTGTGCCTACTGACAATTCATTTTCCTCGTCTACGCCTACTGTGGTGTCGAGGTCCCCAAGCAGGTGCCGAAGTGTTTGGCACATTAAAAATTGGGGAAGCGGAACCGTCGGGTGAACCGACGGGCCAGATTTCAGGCGAATCCGAAGCGACCGAGGACTCATCCGCAGAAGCTTCACTTTATTCGGTGATGAATGCACGAGACGCTTTCGCTATGCGTCCTTTTGACATGCTTCGTTGTCTGCCTGGCGTCGAGAATGCAACTGTGTTTGCGCTCATGCGCCAGTTTCGAACGCTGACGGATCTGGCGAACGCTGAAGCTGATAATATGGCGAAGCATTTCGGGCCGACTCTTGCAAAGCAGCTCATCTCCTTCATCAACACGGAGTTTCGTGATCCGAATGAGGTTTCTGCATCGGCTGCCGGAGCTGAACCAGTTAGCAAAAAAATTCGGTCTACGTCACCGGCCGACTTGTAGGCTAACGAAGCGATTCATGGTCTCTGAAAGCAGTGGCGTCCCTAAATACCTTCTGTAGCTTTTCCTCAAGCTGGAAGATTAGCTGAACAGCTTGAGTAAAAGAATCCCTTGCACACTCGAGGTGAAGTCCGCGACTGTGCAGGCGCTCTATTGCGTTCGGTTCGTACTCGCTTTCCACGCTGTCTGGCAGCGCTCCGGTTCGCGCAGGCTGTACGTCTCGATCGTTCGGTTTCGTAGCGGACGATATAGATCTCGAAGCGTCGAGCTGGTGTAATTCCACGTGTTGCGAGCGACTGCGTCGACGCTCGAGTGCGAGCTCAAAGTACCCTCTTTTCAAACAGGTCTCCAGATTGGCACGTAAAATAAACACCTCGTCCAAGAGGTCCAGACACGAAAAGAAAAGCGTATCGTTTGAACCCTCTGGTTTAGGGTTCGACGACATATATGAGACTTGTCATAAGGAATATAAGTTTGAGCGTCTGTACCAGGCGATCATCCTTGACACATTACACGCATGTAAGTATCAAATATGACAGATTCTGTAACACCGGCGCATACTCTAAAGCTTGGATCCCTTTTCACACATCCTCAATAGCGGACTCTACGGGCTTTTTCTGCGACTGCTTGTTCTCCCCTCTCTTATCTCCTGCATTAAATACGCCGGTCTATCCCGTACCTCCAGCTCCGTTGACTGCAGACGAAGGGTGTTGATAGCAGCAACAAAGTCTTCATTTAACCGTTGCTGAATGTCGTCGATGCATTTCATACAGAGGCGGTAGTTGCGATCTACGTATCGCTTTCCATTTTCAATTTCTTTTATACAGCCCAAGTGCGCCCTTCTCGGCGAAAACAGTCGACTGTGGTTAGCTGATCCCAGAAGTCCGCGACATGTCTGCGCGACACCCTGTAGCGCGTGGACGCTCGCACCATCGCTCGGATTGCACCCTAGACGAGTCCATGAGGCGCTCATCGATGCCCTCCTCGGTTTCCGTACCTAGTATCGTACCCTACGATCGCATGCTACTTCTTGCCGATTTACTTGGCGAGAACTCTGTCCGCTACAGGCGCAAACGCCTCCTGTCTTATTCGGTAAGGGATTTGCAGCGCGCGGTCTTGTAAATAATGAAACGAGTTCCGGACGAAAATTTCGGGCTGAATTACAAGTCAGGCATACTCGATCCCTCTACGCTTCCTTCCCGCAAAGCGGTAATGCAAGCTCTACTGGAAGCGATCGCTTCAGTGACTCAGTTCCGAGGTCAACACATTTTTCCATGCAAATAGCAGAGATAGACCTCTTTGGTACCGTGTCCCGTTATAGGCGCCTTGCCGGTGCCGGATTCCGTCTCGTCGCTGGCCAATAACCGCGATGGATTCGTATTCCGAACGTAATCGATAATTCGATGCGACAAGGTCACTAGTATTTCCGCATAAACGTGTAAAGTTGGCGTCAACGGGTCACGTCGAGTTCTCTCCTCGTCAGTCGAGCGGCCGAATCGCTGCGGCGACGAGTTGCCCCGAAACTGAAAGATCGAAACCGTAACCACTTCGTGATTTGAGCCTGGTAAATGTAAGGAACGAGATCAAATCGAGGTTTACACCCACGAATTTGTCGATCATAGTGGTCATCTTCAGAAACCGAAGTCGAGTGCATCGAGAATCATCTTCATGCCGGTTACGCGGAGAATTACTCCCGCAAAAGATTTGAAGGAGCCACGCTGACCAGGCAACCAAATATCCGAAATCCTAGTAGGAATCGATAGGCCCTTGTTATTGGGCTTTGAATGTCGAGGCTGTATATTCCAGAATAGTTCGGAAACAAATTGAAAGGCGGGAACTGATCGAGGAATTCGGTTTTCCATTTTTTATGACAATTGTTTAGAGCTCATGTTTATCATATTCAGTAATGTGGCACAGCGTAAGCAAATGGGCATTCCATCTAGTCAAGGGCATTTGCGAGCGATCTATTTGCCGTGTCTTGAACAACGAATTCCGCAGATTGTAGAAACGGCGAAAGTTTTTTCAGATACCGACAAGAACGTCATCCAAAGGCAGCGGCCCTGTGCTAGTTGGCCTCGCTCCTCCAGAATACTACGCATGTATCGTCGATTTCGCATTAAAGCCGTGTCTGTGCGAGCGTATGTATGCATGTATGCATGCAGGGAGCCAGTGAAGTTACGCGTGCCTATGCCCGAGGCGCAAATGGTGGCGAAAACCGACGCTACGCCTCCGGGCACGTAGGCGACTAAACCGAGAATCGCAGCGCACGCGTGACTCGCTCCCCGTTGGTGCGCTGTTTCTTCCGGACTTCCTATGGACGAGTGTCCGAATCGAAGGTTTTATTTTGGCCCTGAACCATCCGAGGAAACGAGAGCTCCATTTTTTATTGGGCTAGCATTCGAACTCAATGCTTTTTATTCGAAGAGCAGCTGCAGGCTGTGAGTCGGTGACGAAAAAATTTTCTTGTTTTCAACGAGCATCTCGACAAAGAGAAAGTCTCCAGTCATAAGTTTGTTGCAGTCTGCGGCCTGGCACGAAGCACATACTCATGCCAACTTTCTGCCCAGAGAACCAGACCTACTCGCGGAATGGTCCAACATGCTGCGAACGGACATGCTCAATGCTCTTTTCGCCCCCTGCGATACAAAGCAGAAACTCGAGGCCGGGTTGCGCGCTCAACGCGCGAGCGGGTTTTGCTTCGTTGCCTTTTTGATATGAGACTCGTACATAACGTTTATGACTCTTTCGAGGATGCTATAGGAAACACGCCGCTGATCAAGCTAAGGCGTGCCTCCGAGCGGACTGGCTGCAACATCTATGGTAAAGCCGAATTTATGGAACCCGGCGGATCTGTGAAAGACCGCGCTGCTCTCTACCTTCTCACCGACGCTGAAAAGCGAGGGACGCTCAAGCTCGGCTCAATTGTGGTAGAAGGCACAGCAGGGAACACTGGTATCGGTTTAACGCTATTGGGAAACTCCCGCGGGTATAGAACGGTGATAGTTATTCCAGAAACACAGTCTGAGGAAAAGAAAGAGTTTCTCCGATCCTGTGGTGCCGAGCTCGTGCAAGTTCCAGCTGCGCCATACAGAAACCCGAACAACTACGTACGCCTGAGCGAGAGGCTAGCCAAGGAACTTGGTGCATTCTGGGCAAACCAGTTCGATAACCCTGCAAACCGCAGAGCTCATGAGGAAACTACCGGTCCAGAAATTTGGGATCAACTCGATGGTCATATTGACGCGTTCAACTGTGCTGTCGGCACTGGCGGCACGCTGGCGGGGGTCAGTGCATTTTTGCGCGCAAAGAATCCTGGCATTAAAATTGCACTAACGGATCCGCAAGGGGCCGCTCTCGTGCGATACTATCAATGCGGAGAGCTCGTCTCCGTCGGCGATTCTATTACCGAGGGCATTGGTCAAAGTCGAATTACTGGGAACCTTGAAGGATTCGTACCAGATATGAGCTTCGAGATCAGTGATGCAGAGGCACTGCAAGCAGCTTATGATGTCGTGCGGCACGAAGGGTTGCACATTGGCCTCTCAAGTGGTATCAATATTGCCGGCGCGATCAGGGTTGCAGAGAGTCTCGGCCCTGGGCATACCATCGTGACGATCCTTTGTGATGGCGGTTCTCGCTATCAAAAGAAAATGTTTCAGCCGAGTTTTCTCGAGCAAAAGAAATTGCCGATCCCTACCTGGTTGTCGGATTCCATGAAACCAGATTTGGCTGCTGCGCTGTCTAAAGTGTATGTCCCCTGAGTGGGAACACTGGGAATTTCTACTCTATCGTCATCAGTGCTTTTTGAAGCGTTTTGCCAGAAAGCACTGAGATTTCCGAAACGCTAGCCTCTTGATACCCAGACCGGCCGCCTACGATGCAGTGCGCAGGATGCTCTCTGCTCGGCGCAAGAGTGCGTTTTCAATACTGTGCACCCGTTCTACATTGAGAGCGCAAGCGTTCCCGGTTAGTAAGCAACTTGCGCTTCGGGCAACGCGCATCCGACTATCATGGGCAAGGGGCCGAACTCGACGCGCTGTCGCTCTGATAGACGGCCAACGGCTTCAGACCGCGTCCCTGTGGAGTGCCTCGCCTGGAATAGGAACATAGGTCAAACACCACAGCAGAGTATGGCACCGGGCACCAGTTGCCGGTGCTTCTATGCCACCACAGGCGCAGAATTTTCCACCGTTCAAGGACGGCACTCGTTGGACTAGACTGTTTTCGCAGCGTAAAGCAGACAACGCAGCTCTCTCTTGAAGCGTCCTGTCGGGAACACCGGCAGTTTCTCGCCGAATCCAGACCTTAAGGCAGATACTTTGTATGTGCTCATGGGTAAACACGGCCTTAGTCCAGCAGCCGCTCCAAGAGCCTTATCTGGTGTTGAGCATTAGAGCGCAAGCGCTGCTCCAGCTGTGCTCCTCGTCTCCGGAGCTGGCTGACCAAGCGCTCACACTCTCGATGGAGCAAGTCCTCTACCGTTGCAGAATCACCAATAGGTTGAGGAGTTGCGTGTTGGTCCGAGCTTTCCAGCGACTGTTTCTGCGACTGCATACGACCTGGAGTGCGCAGGGAACCACAGGCGCCACCTAGTCGGCCTGGCAGCGCTGACGCCCTGCGGGATAGCGATTTGAACGGCGGCGCAGCGAACACGCGTCTCCGATGATACCGCATCTTCAAGAGTTTGCGGTCGAGCATCGAACCGGAATCCGCCGCTACACGATACCTTCTATGTCAGAATAGAATGGAGCGGATCCTCTTCGCTAACTCTGGAGTACGCACTAAAATTTTGCTCTCATGTCACCGTCATCAGAGGAAGCCTGTGTGGCCCTTATCTGCAACTGCTTCCTTTTCGTCTCTCGGATCTCCGGCTTTCACCAGGCTGGTCTTTTATTTTCCTCTATATCTATTGCCAGCAACAGAAGCATACTCATGACTGCTTTAGAGTCCAGATTTCACTACTTCCGGCCGGCGTTCATGCATTCCATGCACAGTAAAGCGGTTTGATTAAAGCTTCGTTTGCAACTTTCATGTGCTCTGAATATACCCTGGGTGTGCCGTTCGCAGCGGATGCGCTTGGCTGTATTCAGTTGTTCCCATACGCCCGCGGTATTTTGTCTTCCGAGGGCTACCAACTGGCGCGAGCGTACTCGCTTCATTGCTAGGTACGTCCACTTGTCGTGTGCAGAAACCGCTCTCGAAGGAGTGCTCGGTTTCCGAGCCCGGTGCCGTAAGATGCGATCGCCAGCTTTGTGTATATGAAATCCTCCACGAATTCTCTGCCCGCTGTGCACGAAAGATCATGCTATGCAATTCGTTATCTCAACGTTCGCTTCCGTGCATGCTTTTCATTTTCTGTATGTTGTGCCCATAAATTTTTCGGAGTCGTATGAAGGGCGCCAAGGCAGGTCATATACTCGTGAGCATCGAGTCCACACGGTCTACCCGCTTGCGAGAATGGATCCAAGGGTTCTTAGACTCTACTCTGTTCCATAAGGTATTCAGTCCATTCTATCATTCGCTCCCTTATACTTAAGCCAAGATGACAGACGCGCAGGAAGAACTTCCGGCAGTTGCTGGAAGTCGGAGAAGCTCAATTTCGTGGTCCCCGAGCATCGTCGATTACCAAACAGTAGCGTGGAACTCGTCCGCGGGTCTCTCGGAAGCGCAGCTCTAGAGGTTCGCTCTACACTTACCCTGGCCGATGTAGATCGCATTGCGCAGCAAGTCCGCCGGGCCATGCATTTACCTTGCTCGTTGCTTACGAGCGTATCTGCTCGCCTGAACCGGGGTACGTTTCGGCAGTGGACGGGTTGTACAGCTTGAAAGACGTTCGCGTTCGCTGGCAATGGATAGTGTCTCGCTATCGATCTCGGTCAAGAATGTGACTGATCCTCGCGGAAGCACGAAACTCCCGTCTCTCTCCCCTCGATTCCACTATTTTCGCATCTTTCTTCGCTTTTCGCCACTGCCCCTTCCTACAGTGGATCGTAAGCCCTTCAATAGCACCAGATAAGACGCGCATCGCTCGCCGCACGAACTGCATGTCGTCGATCAACTGCTATTCTCCTTTGGTACACTCATTATTCAAGCAATGCATTGGCCAAGCATTTGCGCGGCAGCGCCCCTCCACAACAAAGCTGAAAAACACAGGTTCGATTCTGGAAGGATGCGCGATTTCAGCATGCTCTGGGCAGGGACAAAAGAAGAGTGTGAATTTGAACGCGTGCATTGAATAATGATGGCGTTTACTCTATGAACACTCGTTCGAGGGCAGCGTGAATCATCTTGATCTCGGTGACATTGCGAATTCCAACGGGAAAGCGTCGAAAGCGCTACTCCGCAATGACAATCGAGAATCCTGAAACTGCACATGAATCCGTAAGCCCCTCTAACTGTACTTTGAACGTAGGGGATGCACGTCTAAAAACGTTGGGTGATGTAATCGAAACGCAGAAAGCTAGCGAGCATTTGAATGTTCTATTTCAATCAGAGACGGCTGTTGGATGCAAAAGTTGCGGCTCGAGGTACCGTTTATCCGGCAGGCGATCCGAACGGGTGCGCATCCGCTCCGGCGGCGGCGCTTGCGATGTGTGCTAGAGACGGGACCCGCGCCGTGCGGCGCGTTCTCCGCCACGGAGCCCGTGGTCTCTGAGAGAGCGTAACGCTAACGGCTGCCAGCGGCTGAACGAGGAATTGCAGTCGTGCGTTTCGGGTGACAGTGTGTGCGTGTGTCGGGAGATTTCGTGCTAATCCAAAAGTGAAACGATCGAGCTCTATGGCTTCGACTGGCTGGAGTAACTTTCGTCGGACGTGGTTGAAGACGGAGGTGTTGCCCGTGCTGAGTGCTGTCGGCCTGGGTGTGGTGGTGGCATTCTACCACTTTTCCCACAAGGTGCTGAACTCTTCTAGCATCACATTCAATCGGCGAGACCGCAGCGTGGGCGGCATCGAGAGGTATAACCGCCTAGACGAAGAGCAGGTTTGGCGGGACCAACACGGTTTAATGTCTTTCGCTATAGATAAGTCGGAGAGTATCTTTCACAATGACAGAAGAATATATGAGGCAAAACGCTTACCGAATCCTGAGTACGTGCCTCCGCAGTCAGCTGAACTGACACAAAGTGCTGGCACAGGCGAGGTTCTCGCAGACGATCTGGCCGCTAACGCTCAAGCGTCTCCATGAAGTGCTGCGGACTAATTGCATGGCGCAGAGGTGGTCTCACTTGCGAGCAGTACGTAAGACCTTGTCGCCAGTACTCGCTCGCCATCGGCAACGATGGCTTCGCTGAAGAAAGAGCTTGCATTGCACGATCCGATGGACACGTCGGCACGAAAACCCACCACATGCGTTTCTAAATACGGTTACAGCGTTTTCCAATTCATTTTGTCATCACTCGCTTTGATTTAATCTGCCTTGACGGTATGTTCGCTCCACAAGGTCCCGGATGGCTTCCAGAGGCGCCTGGCTGGGCGCAGCAGTCATCATGCACCGGCCGCTCCATACATCCAGCTCCCAGGGTGGCCAGTGTGTAAACCCAAGACTGCAAAGGTTCGTACCATGCCTGTCCAAAATTGGAAGAAAAGAATCATTTCGCATTCGTGCGCTCGCCTCGAGGCGGCGGGCGCCGGCTGCGGCACCTCGAGCGTCGGCGGAGCGCACACACAATTCGCGGGTATTGGGCTGTGTCGCGAATCGCCGCGCGCCGCACGGTCGCGTCGCCGTCGAGGAAGCGCACGCATGTTCCGAGGGTGCTGTGCGTGCGTTGCAACTGTGAAAAGTTGTTGGTGTGCGAACAGGTGACCAGGCCGGGGACGTGCCATCGAATAGGTCAGCAGGTACCATAGATCCTGAGGAAAACACAAGAATTTGCTATGAGCCAGATACCAATATAGGATTTAAGTGTCCATAACGAGTACACGCTGTGTCGGCGCCTTCAGTTTCGCTAGAGCTTGCACCGTCTTGGTCAGTGACCGGGCACAACTTTGCGAGCAAGGCAGAGAGGTGCACAACAGCGTTGGGTTGTGTCCAACGGCGCCTTGGGGCAACAGGCGGTTCTTTCGCGTTGACCTGAGTGGTGGCATTGTAGAAATGGGAAGAAACGAGAGCGCCGGCATGAACTGGTCGGCCTACGCGGGAATCACGCTTAGACTTCCGTGGACAGAGAGCGGGGTCGTAGAGGCAGCGCATACGCCAACCGATGCCCGTGTGTGCGACCGGAGCACGCCGGTCGGACTCACGGAAGTACCTGTCTTGCGTCACTCAGACCAAAGCAGCGTGTTTGTGAACCGTAGTGGGGCCTCTTCGGGAGACGATTGCAGCCCTGCGTCGGTGCATCTTGAAACCGGGCAGGATGCAGTGTTTCTACGCCATTTTCCGGAATGGGCACGGGATGGAAGACACGAACGGCATACTTTGGATTCCGCATCGACAATGCGCTTGTACTTTTCAAAGTCAGCCGATATTTTTGAGGACTTTTCGAATCAACGCAAGCTCTGCCCGTCGCCATCCGCTTCCCTAATCTCCTGGAGTGCCGAAATTAACAATGATCGCGAAAAGGGCGATCTAGTCGGGCGCATACTCAGTGCCGCTTTGTTGAGCTGGGTCGCGGACAACGAACAGACGAGAGCGAGAGGAATGCAAATGCAGGAAGCATCACCTTTCCATGCCAGTCGAATACCATCTATCTCCGTGGAGGCGTATTTCGAGAGGATCTACACGTTTGCTTTCTGTAGCAAAGCATGTTACGTGATTGCGCTTCTGTACCTGGATCGTCTGAGCGCTCGCAATGCGAACCTCGCGCTGACAAGCTTTACCGCGCACCGCCTGCTCATCACAGCTGTTATGCTCGCCGCCAAATTCTTCGACGATATTTTTTACAATAATGCGTACTATGCCAAGGTTGGCGGTCTGCCCCTGTCTGAAATGAATGCTCTTGAAGTTCGAATGCTGCGAGAGCTATCATACCAACTGAATGTATCAGTGGAAGAATTTTACAATTTCGAGAGCATGCTCATCAATAGAGCCGTCAGATCTGCCCCGGAACTTGGTCGACAACTGTCCGAGTCAGGGTTTCCGCTCCACCATACTCTTTGGCATCCACTCAGCCCTAGTTTGCCCATACCGCCGGCATGGGGCAACTTATGCCAGAATGCTCCTGGAAATGATCCGCAGACTCCGAAAGTTGTCGCCGGGTGGCCATGTGTATGGATCAAACAGCCGCTGCAGATAGACTGCCCCAAAATAGAGGGTGCAATGCATGCGGAGAGCAGGCGTGTCTCATATTGGCACTGACAGCGCAAGCTACTTTGGAGACCAGGGGCGCAGAGCGCTCCAAGACTTTGGATCGGAAACAGCAAACTCTAAAAGACAAGCTCCAATCGCATGGCCATCCTGTGGAACCTTAAGGCTAGCCGCTGCACTCCAATACGCGTCAAGTTTGAGTCTGCCCCTTTCAAGACTTGAAGAAAGCAGCGCGGGCATGAGTTCGGTCGTTGCGCCAAACTCAGGATGCCCCTGCAGGCACAGAATACGATCTTCGGGAAGCAAGTATCCTTCCACAGGACAAGATGGACTCGACGCCAATAATACAGCACCTGGCGGAAGTACCTGCACTTCGTCAAAGTGGAAGTATATCAGACAAACCGTGTCCGCGTCCAGGGTGCCCCCCGAGAGCCGTCGGAACAGCTCGCGTCCACGAGCAGTCAGCTGCGTCGAGACGCAACCAACCTCCGGGCCGGCGGCTACGGACCCGCACTTTCCACCCAGTGCCTCCGCTATGACCTGGTGGCCAAAACAGATCCCCACAAGGGGAATTCGACCACGTGCTCTTTGGATATTGTGTTTGAGCGTTTGAATCCACAGGTCTTCATCGTACGCTGAGGAAAAAGAACCGCTTATGAACACGGCCCTCAGAGAGGAATCATCGAGATCAGGGAACTCACCCCGTGCTGCCTCATACCGTGTGTAGACCAAGTTCTTCTGTCCTGTTTGTTCAAAAAGTTGGACAAAGGCATCGAAAAACCCGCTGCAGCCTGTTCGTTGTTTCACAGCTTCCGGCAGCGTTTGGCAGTCAACAACAGCTATTTGATCTATCATACATAAACGAAAAGATGCGGAGAATGCCTTGCACTGTACTGTTCTCTAGACACTTCAGGACGCCCTTTGCGCGTCGACACAAGCGGTCGTGCCCGCGAGCAGCAGCGTACCCCAGTGTGTGAGGGCGAGGCAACGAAGGTTTCAACGGAGCGAAAACGTTTCGCGACTGCAGAGTACACCAATACCGACGTACAGACGCCTCCCCGTCTTTTTCGACCGGCTGGCTGCCATCGGCTTCAGCTTTTCCTTGTACATTTCGACCCGGAGAGGTTCCCCCACAAAATTGGCTCTTGTAAACTCCAGAGGTCTCCTCTCCGGCACCGCACATCTCCATATATTTGTAGCGGCGTTAAAGTCTCGATTCACGAACTCCATGCGTTTCTCTCCGTTGTGGCTGTACTCAATAATGTGAGTAGTCCTCGAACTTGAGCCCTCCGCTCCATTTCCTGTTCTGTCAGCTCTCCGTGCTTTTCTATATCCTCAGCGCTCCGCCGGCACTTTTCCATCTCGACCTGCTGAAATTTACACCCCAGCTCGTGGTGTATACATGACGTTCGAAACTCATCTACCAGTATTGTGACAAAACTGTGTGCGCACTCCTTGTACGCTCGTGTCGATGAAGCTGGTATACTCCTTTTTTGGGAACCGAGCGCCCTGAACCGTATGCTATGATGAGCCTTGGACTCTTGGTCTCTTTGAGAGCGCTCAACTGATTGAAGAGATTGGAGAATGCATGTCGCTTCCCACGGTACAATTTCATACGCTGACGAGCTCAGCGGGGCTTTGTGTACTCTTTCCCCAGCTCCTCGTGATGAGCAGCTCGTGTTTCCATGAACTCTAGAAAAGCTTGAAAGTTCGCTCCGCGGCTCTTCACATTACTGATCACTTCCAGGTGCTCCATCGCTCCTGCGTTCCGTTTCTCACTTTTTTCCTTGCATTCATTATTCCCCATTCTCGGTAGTATCTCGCTCTCGAGAACATTAAAAGACGCGTATCGTTTCAGCATAAGTTGCCTTTGGTACCATTTTTGCTACATTTGGGAGCAGGGATGGTCATGATGTTCGTGTTCCCAGGGTAAAGGACTACGACAACGTCGTTCCCCTGCAGCTCCTGCGTCGCAAGATGCGCCTCCTTTTCTTGATGCCTCGCCGAGGACGAAGCTGTAGACACAATAGGACGATCTGCCTTCAAGCGCCGATAGTGTCCATACATGTATACTCCATCGCTTCCGATCATCCACGTGAACACCTTTTTCTTGCTCATTTTGCGACGTTTGAAATCGAAGATATATCTACAAAATGACTCACGGTTTTCGCCAGTGAACTCCTCCCTGCTTACATTGAACTCCGAGCTGATCTCCCTCATGATACCGTCATGGGCTGCGAAGTCGATTGTCACAAAGTGCTACGTGATCTCGCATATCGGAACGACATGGGAGCGCTTCCCCAGAAGCGCAGCCTTCCGTTTCTCCGACTTTTTTCCCACAACCGGCTCCATTTCGGCCTTGCGTTCGAGTTCTCGGTTCACGAACGCGATGCAGCCCAGGATGAGAGGATAAAATCTATTTTCATCTTTGTTTCATATCTGATACCTATTCTACTGGGTTGACCAGCCCCAAAACTGCACGTTGCTCTTGAATAGTCGCACGGATCACAGAGGCGTCATTCTTTCCTATGTGTGATGTGTTCTCGTCGATGAATTCGATCTTCTTTTCATTCTTACTATCGTTAGCGATGCCATCGACGAGGGTCCATCTTGCCCTGCGAGATACGCCCGGGTAGAGTGCAAGTGTGAAGCGTACCATGAAGCGTTTGAGGTTCACGATCATGTAGTTCCTCAGGTCCGTGAGGTACTTGATCTCCCCGTAGGAGAAAATATCCGCGTCACCCCTGTGTCTAGTACCGTCGAAGCGGAATACGGGGTGAATTTCGTGGAGTGCACGTTCTTGCTCATTTCTCCTGGAGGTTTCCCCAATGCCAAATATCAGTTGACCAATAAAGGTTTTGCTGAGAAACCCTTCCGGGACATCGACTGTTTTGATGTGCGGCACGTAGCGATACATCTCCCTCGCCATATGCATCAGTCCCAAAGAAGTGTTACGAACACTGTTCGCGAAGGAAGCGACACGGTTTCTGATGGCCCTTGCATCTCTTTTCTTGTACAGATCCTTTATACGGCGTTGAAGACAGGCTTTCACCAGCATCTCGTCGCACAGTTCTCTTTCGTGTAGCGTTTGACGTTGGGCCTCCTGCTTCTGCTTCTTTGTGTTCTCGTGTTCCGCTTTGCTCGGCACAGTTTTTCGTTTTTTTTCCGGCGGCCAACGACACCGTCCCTTTAGGATATTCTACTTCCATGTCTATATCCATGAGCGAAAGTGAGGCCGCCGAATAAATCCTCTGCAGATAGAACGGATGATGTCCTCTTTCTCATCGAGCTCGATCATACGCACAACGGACTCCCTCTCCGCAAATAATCACACACGCTCCGACCGGTTCGCCCGAAGCAAGTCTCACTGACAGAAAGGAATCGACTTCCCTGTGCTTCAGACCGATCGCAACGTTCCAGGAAAGCTGTTATTGCGAATTCGATGGAAGACAGCCGTGGGTGAACTAGGGCTCTGTTTTTGTGACAGTATTCGATTGTTTTCAGGACCACACGAACAAACTGGTGAGAAATGAAGGCGCCCGTTATGGCTTCTATCGTCGCTTTTGCCTTTCATACGATGAAAAATCGGTGGTTTCCTACCACGGACCGAAAGCACGCTTTGAGAAAGCCGGCTCTATGGCGCAAAGCGAATACATTTGTTTCTTTCAGTGCTCCCCACCCAAATGAGTACTGTGGTACGACTGGCCAGAAGGGGAAAGGCAATCTTTCTGGCACTGTCCAGTGAGGAGTACATGCTACAGGCAATTCGTCTACGATCTATAAGGTACGTTGCATCGTGATTTCGACTACATAACATACACCGCAGCGAGGATGAAATAATATTCTGTTGAAAGAACATAATCGAAGTCTCTGACTGCAGAGGTCTTGATTTGGTTTGAGATACAGGTAGCAGCCCCTATTCCAGATAAGCAGTGTACTGCGTGATGCCGTTCTCCTTGCACCTTTGAACGGGATGTTTTCGTCTTGATGTTCTTCGAAACATGTGCAGCAGCCAGCCCCGTGTCAGATCAAAAAGAGAGCACTTCACTTCTCTCTCTATTCCAGCTTTCCGATATTACCTAACTGCTTTACATGAACACTCTTGACATCCAAAGTGCAGCAACGCGCTGTTATGGGTTCATACGTAGTTCTAGGCATCCAGGCCGTCTCCTGGACTATCTGCCTTAGGGCTTTGCTCCTGGAAATCTTCGCGTCACTGAAATTATGATAAATCCGCAACGCTTTCGAATAAGCGTTTGTAAAAGAATCGATTTCATTATCCAATTCATACGTTCTAGTCTCCAAGCTTCTCCTTTCCTTCCATGCAGCATGCTCGAATTTCAGAGTTTCCAAGCTTCGATCTCTCCCTTTCAGGGCGACTCGTGAGCGCGGCAATTGTCGCTGCTGGGTTGACAACGGAAAATCAGCCGACGACTTTCCTTGAAAAATTCATTCCAAGCTCATGCCGAATGTTGACGTCGCTTCTTACGCCTAATTATTGGTACCATAATTTAGATAAATTGTCGTCTGTTTGTAGCTATCGAAGAAAGGGGCTTCCACAATAGCATGCTACCTGTTATGCGTTATGCTCCAAGTTGATTCCATGTCTTCTTCTTAGCTGGAAAGCGTCTTAGAATCGGAATGAACGCTTCCCAGTTATCCCTTCTGGTAGAGCGGGCGCCAATGATTTCAACGAAGGTAGCATAGACGAATCGAAATTCTTCGACTTGTCGCCCAAACTGGATATTCCTTGCCATAGGTATTCGATCATGGACACCATCGCACTCCACAAATAATCTGTCGAATGAGAGAGCATGCGCTTGCATGTGCAGCACACAAAGTGCTCGCCGTTTGGATTGCCTAGAACAAGTCCACGATCGTACGGGTAAGGCACCGGGAGCGGAAGCAGTAATGGGCAACAAGGGTGAGCCTTCTGTACCCCTCAAGGACATCCAACGAGAAAGAGTGCAAGCGATCACGCGACGCTTTACTGCGCTCCGAGGAGTAGGTGTGGTGCGCATATAGGAGCACCTGACAACAATGAAGTGGCACCGCTTCGAAGCGCTCACCAAGGCTCTATACTGGAAACATGGACATGTTTAGCGAAGCGTAGATCGCGTTTTTGGCTGGTGCATCAAATGCATAGAGAACAGCCGGCAACTGCGAAAATGGGATTTTGATGCTTTTATCAATATCAGTTGATTGCTGGCAACGGAACCGGAGGGAATAGAGAGACCGGCGTGTGTAGAGTTGGAAATAAGAGAGAGAAAAAGGAAGCAGTCGTGGGAAACCCCGCAAACGGTGGTGTTGATGAAGACCGAAGAGACTCAAATGCTAGTGTGTACACCAGAGTCCGATTCGTGGACTTGTTTCTTTCATTTTGACATGGGTGTAGGACTCTCCTGCCGAATACCGCACCCGTCGCAAACAAAATACGAGAGTCGGTACGCGCATTCAAAGTGCACGTGGTGCTGCGAATCTCCGATGCTCCCCTGTTCTGGAAACTCTATGCCCTGAAGCCTGGACGGCAACCTGGTTGGAAACCTATCTGTCACGAACAACCTTGCGAACTACGTTTAAGCCCTGCAGCATCACAGAAAAGCTGACTCAAATCCGAGCTGGAAACGTTGCACTCGGTGCAGTGTTGCTTTTTCAGGGTAAAGCGCGAAACAAGGTCGCGTGTGGGAGTTCACCAAAACGAACAGTATTCCATTCGAAAAACGTGCAAGTCGTTGCCATGTTGCTTGCAACAACACGTTGTGGCGTCTTTTCGGTTCGTTGCGCATAATCGCCGGTGTTAAGCGAGTTGCCTGGGTGAAGAGCGGAAATGTAACGCGATACTAGCAACGATGCGTATCCCGTGAACGAGAGGCAGGTAGGAGCCCGCGGTCTCAAAGAGCAAGGCGATTTCCAAAATCAGGCCAGAACGATTTCTTCCAGCCAAATCTATCAACAGGCGAGAGCTTCATTGGCCGGGTGGGTATTAAACTCAACACACAACGGCCTCCGTGATCCACGACTCCCGTTCTGCATTCCTCGGAGGAACACTGGCTCGATCGATCTCGTGAGCCGCAGTGTGCTGTGCGCGAACGCACGCCGCTTCCGGTAACGCTGCCGGTAGGCCGATTTCGGGCGATGAAGCGGGCGCTGCGAACGCTTGCAACTGCGCCCACTTCTGACAGCTCTCTCGGCGCGTGAAAACTCGGGGCGACTTCCGGTCGCGATCGTACGCTTCAAGAGAGCCTGGGGCTAGAGGAGAAGCTGTAGACACTTGCGCGACGTTTTTCGGTTTTGCGTAATGTCGCAAAAGTTGGAAGAAACGGCGCGAAGCACCGGCAAGGTGCTGTGTGCGTTCACAGTGTTGCTGTCTATGAAACAGAGCCACAGGGCGCCTCTTCGTGCTTGGAGTCGAATTCAACCATGCTTTGGAAGCAGTTGCCATCCCCTTTACAAAAAAGGTACCGGTGCGACTCGCCTGAGCCGGAATAACCGTACAGGGCGAGCAGCTTTGTGGCCGCAGTTGAACGTTGAACACCGCAAACCTCGTGTCCAGCGGGAACGAAACGCGCTGAAGGTACGGGCAGACGTGACTGCTGAGCGGGACACCTCAGAAACCTCGAAACTCAGGCAGTTTGTTCCGAAAGCTATTATATTCGACTGCGACGGCGTGCTGGTGGAGTCCGAGGAACTGCATCGGGTTACGTACAACGAAACATTTGACGCAGAGGGCCTCTCGCATATTCAATGGTCCCAGGACTATTACGAAATATTGCAGAACAAGATCGGTGGTGGCAAAGAAAAGTACTTGTATCACTTTCAAAATGAGGGATGGCCCACACCCGAGCAGTGCGGATTCGACACCACGACGCCCAGCGGGCGTGAGGCGCTGATTCAACATCTTCACCAAAGCAAATCAGCGCGTTACGCGGAAAGAATACGGAACGATGACTCCATCAGACTGCGACCCGGAGTAGGTGAGATTATCGATACAGCACATAAGCGGGGCATCCGGCTGGCGATCTGCTCTGCCTCGAATCGAGAATCCGTGGAGGCTGTTCTGAAACGAATTCTTAGCGAGCGCCCGCCAGGCGCATCGCGATCCAAATCACGTTTTGAAATGTTTGAATTCATAATTGCGGGCGATTCTGTGCCAAAGAAAAAACCGGACCCATTGATATACGAGGTTGCTCTGGAGCGTCTAGGTGTTGCTCCGAGCGATTGTCTGGTAATAGAAGACAGCGCCATTGGCCTCGCAGCCGCTCGCGGGGCTGGCATCCGCTGCGTGATCACGTACACTTGGTACACGAAATCACAGTCTTTTGACGGTGCCACTGCGATATTCGGGGAACTAGATGGGGTCTCACTGGACGACATCCTTGATGCGGTTACCGTATCGTCGAACTGAAGTCGAACTTGATACGTGGAATCACAGTCATTTCAATGCGTGAAGGCGATATTTTTGGGTACTGGGCGAGGTCTCCATTGGCGACATCCTCGAAACCGTTACCACATCATGGAAATAAGATTCAGTCGGGCGGATATATCGGGGATCTGGTAGAGCATATGCGCGCTGCACGCGAAAGCAGCGCTTTTGCGTCGTATCCATCGTGCACTGCTGGGGCAAAGCATCAAGTTCCCGTAGAGTGTTTTCCAGATTCCATCGGATGCCGCGGCGTGTGCAGCGATGAGCGACAGTCTGTGTACGGGGTGTTCAGTTGCAGGCTGAAGATTGAAGCCGTTTACGCGTCCGTTAGCGTGTAAGGCACGCTCACGGAACGGCAGAGCAGCTCGGACCTCTGCGGTTGCTTTGCCTTGTGCAGCAGGAGTCTGGAGGACCCCGACACATACGTTCCGACGTTTAGAGTAAAGACCAACCAGCCTCGCTAGCAAAACCGAGTACGGCAACGAAATCAACTTCGTGTCTGAATGAAATTTTTCAATGCTGCCGATTACGTAATATCCGATAACCTGTTACGTCGAACTGTACGAGATTCCCCGCATGTATCCTCGTCGCATAGCGCGTCTCGCGATAACTGTTATGCCAGCGCTCTGCACGTGTGTACGTGCAATGGCTCGAATTTCCTTCGAAACCAGTCTGAAAGGCTGCATGATGCTGAACTTTTCACACCATCACTTTTTGAGTTTCTCACAGTTCAGTATTTGGTGCGAGAGCAACGACCAGCCAGATGGCTCGCGAAACTCAGGACGGCACCGGTGAGGTCATCTGGCCAGCCTCGGACGCCGAATTCGGCATGCGGCTTTTACAATGATCCGGAGACTTCTCCAACGTGAGATTTTGCTGGTAACGCCATCAAGCTACGCAATCGCTTGTCCACTGTCATGTGCCCCGAAATGAGCAGCTTCTCGACAGCCGCAGAGGCTGGCTTCGTACGCGAAGACTGTGTTCAGTATGTTGACAAATCAGTTGCGGAAATTTTCATGTCACGTTGCCTGGCTCCACTCAGTTCACGGGAGAAGAAGATGATAGTTATTGCCGGAGGTTGCCAAGAGCCCGGTCTCACGGCGATTTCGTACGGGACGGTGCTGGACGCAAACCCATTCAGTGAGTTTATCTGGCGAGGTATCTGTGCAAGCCCTCCGAAGTTAAAAAAATGACGTTTGCTAAACCCGCATCGTTGCGCGCTCGAAAGTGCGGCTTTGCGATCATGAAATCTTCGGCAGAATGAAATGGAACTGATTCAGTTCGTAAACTCGGGAGTACACACCAAAACTTGATTTTCTTGTCACCATCATCGAGGTCAGTCTGTAGGGGCATTGTCTGGAACTGCTTCCTTTTCCTGTCTCTTATCTCCGGTTTTCAATACACCTGCCTTTTATTTTCATCCAACTCTATTGGCATCTGCAGAACGATATTCGTAACAGATTTAGTGACCAGATTTTGCTGCTTGCGGCTATGCGTCGAGCGATTTTTGGTGGTCTCCATTCAGTACGCAGCGTGGGCATGTTGCTGAAAGGCGGAAGAGTTTCGATAAGAGGAAATCTTTGACCAGGAGAGATAGGACTTCGTTCTCGCCTACAACTAGACACTGCTGTGGTATGGTCAGCAATGCCGCAACGCTGGAATATCGAGTATATTCACTGTGAGCGATATTCTTTGGCAAGCACTGAACGGTAGAGGTGCTCCATGATGCGATCTCGCTGCGCATATTTGCCGAGGGAGGCATAGGCGCGAGCGCACAAACACGCCGCTCCCTACGTTTACTCGACTTTTTTGACCAAGAACGCACCCATCGACAGAACGATCGGAGCAGCGCTTCGGCGATACTAAATGGTAGTGGAGCCTTGAAGACCACGTTCTGGCAGACACTAACCTGGCGTGCGCTGCGCTGCCCGACCAACTGCCCTCGAGCACCATGCAGCGGAGACGAGAGCTGCGCAACGTCTTCGCGGCACCAGCAGCATACGCAGTTTCGAATGATACGTTGAATAGCAATAGCCACGGAACCCCTTCATCCTGTTGATGGCTATCTCCAGGATGCTCTAGAGTAACGCATGGCTAGCTTCGACTTAACAACGGCGCTAAGTGTGCGTTCTCTATCGGGAAGGTAGAGTTGGTGCACGCACAGGGCTCTCGCCCGGCGCAGGGTAAATTTCTTGCGAGGTTTCTACTGAGGCTACCTGCTGAGGCGCTGGATAGTCCCCACGAGCGACAACCTCAAACTGATGGGCTACACCAGGCTGAGGAATTCGTGGCTGCATGCGGTACGGCACGCGGTAGATCGGGTGCATGCTACGATTCCCGAACTCGCGTTTGTAATCAATTTTCAGATGCGCATTTTCGAAATGTCGTGTGGTTGGAACAAAGTTACCGCTTCGGTACTGTTCGATTGCTCGATCGCGAGCCTTCTCCGAAACAAAGACAATAAATGCGAAACCACGCATCGGACGATAATCCACCTTGTGGATTGGACCAAATCGAGAAAATTCAGCGCGGATCAGATCTTCAGTACTCCCCGGAGGAACGCCGCCAACCCAAATCGTACAAGCAAATGGGAGGTCATCTGCTGCTTTCACACCGGAAGACATGGGTATATTCGCTGGTACTGCACCGGGATTCATCCCATAGACAGGCTGTGGTGGTATGAAACCCGGCATCTGGTAGCGCCCCTGCATCATTCGGGTCACGTCCGCTGAAGCCAGCACATGCGCATTCGGCAGAGTGCCGAAAGGGTACGGGAAAAAAGGCATCATGCCTGTGCGCTGGAAGTTGCCCGCGTACGAAAGCGGTTGCGGTGATGGTGCAAACGGGTACATCGGCCCCTGGTGCGCTGCAGGCATTATCACTCTCTCCTGCTCGGCGTCGAGGCCAGCGCGCGAGAATTGTGGAACGGAATCACTTTGACCATCGCTCGTGTGGGTTGCGGGCGGCAACCAATTCAGAATGTTGCCGTCTAAATAACGCAACACATCGTGACATATCCAGACATGGATCGCATCCTGATTGTTATTGAAGAACGCAGCATTTTTTTCGTCGCTTTCCGCCTTCACTTGCTTAAGCCTGAGCCTAAACGTCTGGATGAATGGGAATAGCGCCACGTATTTCAGCAGCGACACTGGCACAGGCTCCGCATTCCATGCGGGACGAGGCACTTCCGACACATGGATGGAACCGACTGCTACTACGTACACGTCGCTTGTCACCGAACCTGGGTGACCTGGGCTCGTGATTTCATCCACATCGTACGAGCTGATTCGAATATCGTAGTAAACCGCTGGAAGCGCGCTCTGGATCGCTGCTTGCAACAGTCCGACCGCAGTTTCAAGCGGCATCTGCTTTGGATCAAAACTAAACTCCGAGATACGAAACTCAGCGGGCGACCCAGAGCCACCGTCAACAGAAGCGTGAGGTACATCAGCCCTGCTCCAGCCCGCTGGGGCAGCGTCGCCAGGGCTCTCGGCTGCCGGGGTACGTGTCCCCGGCAGTGCCTCCTCAGGCAGAGACCCACTGCGCAGTGGGATCCACGGCAAGGTCACTCCACGCAAAACGTAATCACATGTAAGCTGACCTTCCTTGTCTACATAGAAGCGATGAAAACCTTCCAATTGTCTGCTTAGGGCGCTGTAGTAGGTTTGCAGGAAAGTCTCAATCAGCTGTTTGTGACTGTTGCTCGCTCCTTTTCCCATGTGTGATCAACAAGCCAGAATTGGCTCAGTCCCGTCACGGCAATACTGTTCTGCGCAGTACTTGGCCCTCAGGTTCCCCGTGAAGAGTCTCTCTCTCCACGGTCACGCGTCCACCGTGAAGGCTGCCGCACAACTCGCACCAACGATAACGCTCTGTCTACGCGTATCGTAGTCGGCTGCGCGCGAGCGATGTGACCGAAGCGCATGGAACAGCATCACGTGACATTTCACGGCGAGCCAGGCAGGGCCTGCGGATCATGCGATGCTCGCATTCCGCACGCGCACGCACCTGGCACCATCGTCTCGAACCCGTCAGCGCAAAATGGTAGAATCGCGCTTTCCCGTAGCCTGAGACATGCCCTGAGGAACAGAGCGGCATCATCGATGGGTCCGGAAGAGACGGCCATTACAGTCGAACTTTCTAGAAGATAGCCGTCGACAAACATTGGGGACTGGCTTTTATGAGGAACGGTGCCGCTTGCACTAACTGGTATCTGGGCAGTCTGCATGTGCGCAGCGCGCTTGAGGCGCTTTCATGCGTGCTGCAGAATGGGGCATAATGCCTGCTGTGAGGGGCGAATGCACGGAATGGGATCAATGAGGCTGGCAGCGTTTGGAACGTTTCGGGTCAACGTTGCGGTGGGAAAGTCGAACGAAGCGAGCATGGCAGGTATGCAAGCGATTCCGAAAACCCAATCATGAAACGGTTCCGAAACCGCGGCAGTCGATTCAGTGGGTACTCGATGCCTGTGGGATCGCGGCGTTCAGAAGCATCGACGGACAGCATCTGATATGAACGCGCATCCTGACGCTGTTTCGTCAACGTATTAGAGGATTGATATAGGGCCAACACATCAAGGACCGGCCTCATGCGATCAAATGAGGCTGCATTGCGGAACCGATCCCTGTCGCGAACGGGATGGCTTTCGGATGAACGAACAGAGGTAGCGCACCCCCTGCGCATTCTATCAAGCTGCAAAGTGAGACACGACAAGCAAAGGCACGCAAACAATCAACCTTGATGTAGGCGTCGTCCGCAAACGCCCGCTACAACACTTCTACGGATCACGTGCTTTTGAGAATCAAGGCACGGTAGAAAAGCGAAAGCTTTCGTTACCGTCTTTGCACAGGGTCGCTGCAGCGCGCCGCCTGTTATGCTGTGTGGACGATGGCCCCGGGGGCTGGCGATCGATCCAATTTTTCTTCATTGACAAAACGTTTACCTAGACCAGCGATCTCCGTTTATGCGCTTTTTCCTTTCTTTTTGTGTTTTTTCTCAGCGCACGGTGAAGTATCCATCAAACCCCTACCTCCAATTTACATTACCTATACTTCTTCTCGGATATACTGGTCGTTTCGTACGTCCAATCGTGTGCCTAGTGCCTGCCGAAAGCGACAGCAATAGCGCCTACAGCGCCGGTGCGGTCGCTGCACGGAGACAGAACGGCGTTGCTGTACCACAGAGCGCGTCGGCTCGAGGATTGATCCGTGGGGCGCGCGGGAGCGCGTCTTCCGTTGACGCCACTCTACTTGGGAGCCGCGCTCGGCAGGTGCACCCCTGGAGAGCGAGCTCAGCCATGGGTAGCGAACTTGAGACTGGACACGCGGACCGGAGCACAAGTCGCTCTGATGATGGGCCAACGCCGACCCAAGGTTCTTTTGAACCTGGGGAAGAACCTTCGGAGCTACACCGTTCGCGCACGGAGGCCACGACGCCTCCGAATCGCTCGCGCCTCCGCCAGATTCTCTGCGAAGAGCCTTCCACCGAACTGGTTCACTCGTGGATTGGTCCATCTGATGAAGTGGAACAGAAAGGAACGCCGCGGAGCGTCCCAAAAACTGAAACGAAGCTTTTGACACGAACAGCTTACTCGGAACTGCGGAGAAACCTAAAATCGGAACGGCTCAATCGTAGGCTTTTCATGAAAGAACTTGACGAGGCCGTTACTGATTTTGAGCGGACCGAAATTATTCTGCGTTCACAAGAGCGCGAGCTTCACCAGGGTCTAGCTCTCCTGAACCATCAGGCAAGTGGGTCAGCCGAGGCGAGTGCCGCCCCGAGTCCGAACAGACCGAGCCCTGAAATTGTACAGGGCAGTTCGGTACTTCGGCGACGGAGACTGACGCCTGCGCGGGAACGCAGTTCAGGTTTAGACCCTGGCCTGGCAGCTCTGAGGCTCGATGCCGCTGATGTTGAAATTGAAAAGCTCGGGGCCGAAACGAAAGCAATTTTCCTACAAACGCAGCAGGTCTCGGCGTCACTTGCACAGATGGCCCAAGTGTTGGGGACGCTGCTCAATTCAATGAACGATTTGAATCGAAGAGAACCGCTCGACGAAACTCGTTCTAGTCAGGGACACGCTCCGGCTGACGTGCACGAAACCAGCACGGAGCGTCGCACGGAATCGGGTGCGCAGACCTATCCGGCTTCGTTCTGGAAGGAACCAGCATGCAGTCAGCAGCACGTTTGCCAATCGAAGAGAACGAGCATGAGCGCGCTGCTTAAGGTCGGTGGTGCTCTCACTGTGCTATCTGTTCCTGTCTATCTGTTGGTGCTCTGGTTGCTCTTTGAAGAAATGACGTACTGGCTCGTGTAGGAGTGAAGCGCGGGTAATCTCGCAAGAAGAATACTGATCTTTAGTGGATAGCATAGATCGCCACAGGAGACCTTGGCAGGGCCGCGAAGATCCTCACATACCCTCTGGTGCGAGACAGAAAGCGTCACGGGTAGTGGATCGCAGTCGAAGAGCGTCGGCGATGAACTGCTCCAGGGACCTGCTGTCCCTGTTCAAACGATCTCTCGAGCGCAGATGCAACAATTCACGGAAAAGATTGGATCCGAACCCTTCAACTGTACATTGCTTACAAGGGAGAAAGAGCGATGCCGGTACATTTTCCCTTTCATACGATGGTGCAGCCTTGTGTCGCTAGGGCATTGTCGCCTGTTCCAATGATCGTTTTCTAAAAAAGCTTGCTCCAGTCTCTGTGCACCGAGGCAACAATTGCAGCGCTGCGAAGAACGCCATAGAAGATTGCATCGACGGGGAGCTTAGCTGAACGCCTGCCGCGGCGAGCTGTCCAGAGCATCCGGTCGTATTCCGGACACAGTCCATGAGCATCGTTTCCCGCTGCGGACGCTCGCATCGAACACTTTGATATGGTTGCAGATTTGCAGCAAAATGAACCGCTTTACTTGATATTTGGAGGCGTCTGTCCGTTCTCCATGTCACAAAACGTCTCAAAACTTTACAGGTGAGAAAATTGGTAAGCGTATGGCTTCAGGCTGCGCACCGAGCGCGCCGCGCCCTCTATAAACGCAGCTAGAGCTCTTCGCCGTCCGGGCACTCTTCTATACGAGGTCCTTGGCCTGTCTTGCTTTCAAGCGCTCTTGCTTCAAATCCTCGATTTGCGATTGTTCGGTTCTCCCCAGTGCTGGAGTCACGCACGGTGCGAGTTTCCTCCACGGTGCCGTCGGGGGCGCGTCTCGTGGTTACGGTTTCCTCGTAGACGCTCCCGTCCGGCCTTGTGCGTCGAATGGTTCGGGTCGACTGCGCGAAACTATGCTCAGACGTGTCTGCAAGAACGCTATCGAACGTACTGAATGCCCCAAAATGGCTATCAAGGTTGCGGAAAACAGAGTCCATCTCCGTCATCATGCTGCGCATCATAGAGAATGGATCACTAAAGCTATCGCCGCCCCAGATACTCAACGCGTCCCGGTTCAGTAAGTCGCGATGGTGGTGTCCCGGGTAGTCCCACGCGTCCACGCCCGCCGAGCTTTGCGCTTCGTTCTCGTCGGGAGGCTCTTCGATTATGGGTCTCGCACGACTTTCAACCCCATAGCCCAGGTGCGTGTCGTCGTAAAAGTCGTTAGACGAACTAACGTTCTCTGTGCGCGAATTCGTGGACCGATCCTTTGATGAGTTTCGGGAGCTGAAAAGTCTTCCGAACCCTGGCATTTTCCGCAGAGCGACACCTACAAAACGAAGGCTCGCGATCAACTGGTACAGTTTGCACGCGTCAATCATAGATCGGCTCGGGGCGTCACGGCGCGGCAGAGGATCGCGGATGCGTTTCTGATTGTCCGCGGTCTCGCGCTGCCCAGCGGTGCATCTGCTGGTGCTCGGGGATCTCTGGTTGGACCCACCGAACTTACACCGAACAGATTGCTATGTCTCAGCTATAGCGCGGGCGATCTGTCACCCGACGTCCTTGCCTAACGGTCTCTATGCGAGGCATATCTGGTTCGATTCATCGACCGCATTCCGTAAGAAACAGGTTACGTTTCTGGATTGGGAAGCGCTGGGTAGCTCGCGAATCTGCCGAAAGCACGCCTTCTGCACTTTCCGCGATCAAGGCTGTGTCATCCGGAACATGGCAGGGTATGGTACTGCATGCCTGGCGTGCCTATACAAACTGCGGACGGGATCGGGTCGATGCGATTCCACTACTGGAGAGTGCGCGCGCCGTTGCAGGGCAACTGTTTTCCGTCGCCATGCGAATGCAATCGGTCGTGTTGCCGGACCCAGGTGCAAGGCGCAGAAGTCCAGTGTACCTACGACGATTGCGATGCAGAACGTGCGATGACGCGCAACGTGCCTGCGACGGGCATGGCACCTGTAACGCCGCTGGATCCCCCGAGTCCCTCCTCTATAAAGGGGTTCGATCTGGAGCATGTGATGCATAGACGCGCCTTTAGACGATTTCAGAAATTATTATAGATTCGAGCCAGTTTCATCGCTACCTCGGCAACTAGTTGAGGTCATCGATCTGACACCGCACGAATACAGACACGCAGCCAAGGCGGGCATCATCGACGATTTTTCTGGTGCAGGATCGATGCATCCAGTCCCCGATTTTGGTGTTCAGGCTATCGGCGTCCATTTGCGATATCGAAGACGCTCTCCCGGGCGCGGCTGGCAGTCGTGAAATCGGGCATTCCGTGTTTCTGTCAACGCTCTGTCGACCAAGAGAGCATATGCGCTCCTGCTGCCGCCGCAGCAGCTGCCTGGCGCAGGTGCGACGTCCAAGCCGCAATCGCCGCCCGCATCCGTGCCCGGCTGCCGTCACGTGACATGGCGTGCGCGGCGTCCACGCCGACGCGCGGGTTGGCCATAAGAATGGCATTGACGGGTATTGAGTATATCCTGCGCTCGGTCGAGAATGGCATCGAAAAAGCGTCAGGCAGTTGTTTCCGAAGAGGTTTCTCAAGGGCCGCAACTCCGTGAAGGTGAAGAGTGCTTTGCGGTTTGCCACATTTACGCATCTTTCAATGACACCTTCATCCATGTCACGGATCTGTCGGGTCGAGAGACCTTTGTCCGGCGGTCTGGCGGCATGGAAGTGAAGGCCGATCGGGATGAGTCCTCGCCGTACGCAGCCATGATTGCCACACAGAAAGTTGCTGAGCGTTGTAAGGAGCTAGGCATTACTGCGTTGCATATCAAAGTGCGTGGCACTGGCGGATCCAAGGCTAAAACCTTTGGGCCGGGAGCTCAGGCCGCTATCCGGGCGTTAGCTCGCAGCGGGATGAAGATTGGACGCCTCGAGGACGTGACGCCCATACCACATGACGGTACCAGGCGAAAAGGAGGTCGCCGTGGTCGAAGACTCTAGGCTGTACTGTCCGCTGGGGGCACACTGCGGCGCTTCTCTGTTACTGGCGTCGCTTAGAGTATGACATCGAGGGTAGCTGTTGGCGTCTCCGAGCGTTTTCCGCTTTATCCAGCGTTCACGATCTATCTACAGTGTAGCGCCCCAAATTCTGAGAACTGGAAAGAAGCGAGCGCAAATGCGTTCCCTTTCTGTGAGCCCTCTTGGCTGCTGCGAGACAACAGCAAAGCCACACTGAAAAGGCAGAGCTCCGACAACATTTTGGGGTCTTCCAAAACTTGATAGGATCCGTGCGCGCCCCAGATAAACGATTTTACCACGTATTTCACTTGTGACAGTGGACGTTTTCACGGGAATCTCCTCGAAGCACTGGGCAGCCGCGTCGGGGTACGCACTTGCATGTTTTGGCGATGCCCGATCTACACAGGGCTCGTTGCATCGAGTCGCATGGCGTCGGTCCTCGCAGATAGCATCGTAAGATGAGGCATCTTGAGGCAGCTTCAGTCTTGACTGGCCTCCGTGGAGTGGTTGGCATTTGCCGGTGTCACGATCGAATGTACATGCCAAGGTTCAGCGATCGCAGATACATCTTTGTGACTGCTGGTTCACTCAGAGCATCTTGCTGCTCTCCGTTCGCTACGTACAATGCATACTGATTGAATCACCGGGGCAAAATGAATCAGTTCTGTCATGTTGCTGGCATCGCGCAACCCTAACTCGCGCGCCGTGCGTCGTGTCGCATCCGGTCGCTCTACAGCTGGCAAGGGACTATGCAGGCAGCAACTGCACTGCTGCTGGCGACGAGGCCTATGCCAGCCCGAGGAGGATTCTCTGCTACAGGTTCTGGTCAGACGATTTTCATCGTATGCTGCATAAAGAAGAGGGAGCTACATCATTAATTTGATGTTTTTTTAAGAAATACAACCACGCCAGGAGAAAGGTAAAAGTTCCCTGAACACAAGCGCATACGATAAAGTTTGGGTTTCTTGCCACTGTCATCAGCACTAGCCTTTGGGGGGGGGGGGGTTCTCTGCACCTGCTTCCTTTTCCGCTCTCATATCTACGGCTCGAAGTATCCCGATCTCTCGCTACCTTCTAGCGCCGTTCTCAGCTGTCCTTAGATATTGATTTCGGCGTTAAAGTCCCGACTTTGCCGCTTCCAACTGTTGTTCACGCAATGCATACACAGGAAAAAGTTGCAATCTACGCTTCGTTCGTTTTTTATCATCTTCATACACAGCCTGGTTGCCCATTTGCAGTGTTGAAAATTGACTGTGATCTGATGTTCGCTTGTGTCGAGCACAACGTCCGCACCGAGAACCGCCCTGTGGCACGTAAACGCACGCTTCGTCGCTCAGTATCTGCCCTTGATGGATACAGAAGGCTTCTATCGATGCTGCGCTACTTTCCGCACCCGGTTTCGTACCCTGGGATCACGTGCTTCTTTGTGGAGACCCCCTCGACGAGTACGCTGTCCGCTGCAGAAGCGAAACGCTATTCTACTCGATAGAGGATTTGCGGAATGCAGTGTTGTCCGTTGAGCCACAAGTACCGAGAAGAAGATTCAAGCGGGGGCGAAAGCCAGGAAATTTCGATTCGTTTATGCTCCCTTTGTGCAAAGAGTTGACGCGCTCCCCACTGGAAGTGGTTGATGGTGTGGCTGAAGTCTCAGACCAAGACCCTTGCCGTGCAAAAAAGAGGGTCAGAAAACCTCCGGGCGCATATCCCGTGGCGGGGATCATGATGGTGCGGATTGCCGTTTTCTCGATTGGTACAGAGATGGTGGTAGATTTTTCGGAGCGATCCGATTATTTGGCGCGGAAAGTTCAGTAAACATTGGGTACGAATGTGCGAAGCAGTTGTCAACGGCCGAGGTCGCGTTATGTACGTCCTCATTCCAGCGGCGCGGACTGCTGTGCCTACGAGTCGCCTTGACACAGGCAGATCAATATTTTACAGAACGCTCGCTTCGGGCATGCCAAATGTGAGGAAAGGAAGAAGATTGGATGCTCATGTGCTTACTAATTGGATGATGATTCGATTACTTTAAAAGTCCCTGTTCGAGAGCGTCGCAATGCACCTTGATTCCGGTGACCAAACGAATTTCAGCAACAGAACATCCAAGGGGCCATTTCCAAAAAGCAACATACAGACAGGAAACCTAAAATTACGTACGAATCCCTAATCACCTATTAATACACTTCGCGTGTCCACTGTTCAAGAAGAATGTTCGGAATATAATGAAAATTCAACAACAGAGCGAGCAGTTCAGTCTTCCATTGTAGCCTGACAAATATGCACTGCCTACCAATCGATCACCAGCGGATACATTTGGGAGAAAATAGTCCGTTCGTGCGAACTGAAGTTTGCCGAGCCCGCCGTGAGTGCCAACCACGACACCTGCAGCGCCACCGCTGGCGGAGCATGAAGAAAAAACAGCTTTACCCGTTCCCTGTCGGACTTTGATTCGACAAGTGCAGCGTTTGGTTGCACATTTACGCGCTTGGAGGTCATTGCGCTCGCTCGTACCCTTCATTTTTATAAACGAACCTGGTACCCGTCCACAACTCGCCGCTGAAGCCGTGCGACGCGTATCGCAGCCGATGGCGGCATCATGTCCAGTCCGCGCCGGGCGTCTGGCGCGCAGGCGTCGCTCCAGCCGCTCGAGGCGCTTGCCAACAGATTGAGGCCGAGCGCTGAGCTCCGAACTTCAGCCGCAACAGCGATACGACCTTTGGGCTCGTTTACGAAACATGTTCTGCATAAGTGAACCGTTTACCCTATGTGCTTCACATACGGAACACCATAGGCGTGCATTGTGTGGCAAACAGTCAGTGTGGGGATGCTTTACAAACACGACTAGCTGGTTTGGGCGCAACCGAGGGGTCCGGAACTCGGCGTTCCTCGCTGGTGCAGCGGACGCGTTCAATTCACGTAGCAAAGCCCGGAACCTGTCGAGACGAGCTTCACTATCGATGAAACTTCCAATGTCGTGTCGTGCTGATACGATCGGGTCGAAGCGTTGCCTGGTCATAGGTGGGACGCGCTTCAGCGGCGTCTATCTGGCGAAGGTGCTGGGAGACCTCGGCCATGAGGTCGTCCTTTACAACCGAGGCAGCAAGCCCCTTCAGCGTGTACCAAACGAGCCGGAGGGTGAGTTTGCGGCAAGAGCTGCTATGAGCTCGACCATTATAGGTGACCGCACAAAGCCCGATGAAGTGAAGGAGAAGCTAGCATCGGAAAATTTTGATGCGATCTTTGACATGAATGGACGAGAACTCGAGGATACTCGACCATTTGCTGAGCTCTTTGCCGGAAAGATCGATCACTATGTCTACATGAGCAGCGCTGGTGTCTACTTGCAGTCGCCGGTGCTACCACATATCGAAGGCGACGCCTGCGATCCCAAATCCCGTCACTTGGGGAAACTTCAAACGGAGGAGTTCCTAGATAGCCACGGACTGCCGTGGACCGCCATCCGCCCGACCTACATATACGGTCCTTCGAACTATAATCCCATCGAGGAATGGTTCTTTGCTCGTATCGCGGAAGATCGTCCGATCCCAATTCCAGGCGACGGCACCTACATGACTGGCCTGGGCCACGTGGCAGATCTGGCCAATGCGTTTGCCGCCGTACTCGGGAATCCCAGGGCAGTAGGCAAAGTCTACAACATTCAGGATCGCAAGTCGGTAACGTACAATGGTATTGCGAAAATGTGCGCTCTTGCGATGGGACGCGATCCCGAAAGCATCCGCATCGTCCACTACGATCCTAATCGTGTGGATATCGGGAAGGCCAAGGCGTTTCCCTTTAGGTTGCAACACTTCTTTACGAGCGTGAACCGTGCGCTGAGAGAACTGGATTGGGACGTGGACTTCGATCTCTTGGATGGTCTCCGAGATTCGTACCATAACGATTTTTTGCCCAAAAAACAAGCAGGAAAGCTTCAAGTAGACTTCAAAACGGACGACTTGATCCTCTCCCAGGTTTCTTGAACTTTGCTTGATCAGAGGAGCTGAGGCCACATTGAACAATAACCAAGTCTTACGCTTATGAGCACACTCCATGGTATGTGTACTGGATTCGGGACAGAAGCGCTAGAGGGGCGTGTGCTCCACCTGTTGGCGGGCCACGGAAAGAGCGTGCCAGTAACGTTGCCGCCGGTACTGCTGACGGAGATTTTCGTACTCATACATGTGGACGCACAGCTTAGCCTCCTGTTCAGTAGGGCGATCCCTCAGTATCCATTTATCAGGTAGTTGAATTGGTATCACCATCGTGGAGCCGGATGCACTCGGCCTATAGTATCTGACAGGGGAACAGTTTCATGCGATGCACGAACTTGCGTAAAAAATGCCCTCTCCGGTCTTTGCGAAAGCTCTTGTCTATTACGAGAACGGCGCTCCGGCTCATTGCATCATACCGGCGCTCAACTTTGCGTCTGGGCCTCGATCAGAGCGGTTTCGCTGCATATCAGGAGTGCTTACGTACAAAGCAAATTTCATATTGAAATGGAGCGGATCTATTCAGCTAACTTGGGTATACGCGCTGAAGTTTTGGTTTCTTCCCACTGTTACCAACACCGGCGTTTGCGAGCTTTATCTGCAACTGCTTTATTTTCTCCTCTCTAGGCTTCGACATAAGATACACTGGTCATTCATTTGCCTCCAGATCCGATTCAGCAGACGGATGATGTTGATGGCATGCTAAAATCCTGATTTCACCGCTTTCGACAGTAGTCCACATATTCAACGTGCCGGCTGTATACACGACTGCCTTGCATACCATTTTCATCTCTATACACGGCATCGGTGCGCCCTTCGCATCTTTAGCACTTGCCCGTTGTCAGCTGTTCCTGTGTATCCATCAAACCTCCTCCGATGGTCGCTGCATGGCGCGTGAACGTCTACTTTATCGCTCGGCAGAAGTCCTTGACGGTTCCAGGAGGTGTTCGTGCATGCTTTCCTCCGTTTCTGCGCCAGATGCCATGCCTACGATCAGGGGTTTCTTCTGTAAGATCCCTTGGGCGGGTACTCTGTGTTCTGCTTGCGCAAGCGCACGCTGTTCCATTCGATGACGCAACATTCGCCTTCTTGCACGCTCTTCATTTTCTCAAAACTCTGACTACAAAGCGTTGGCTCAAGCATGATGGGCATCGAGTTACATAAGACACTCGCGGGTATCCTATCCATACATTCCACCCGAAAGTGATGCTGCGACGAAGGCTTCTGCAGAAGCCGTCTGTTTCGCTCGCTTCGCGAACGATTCTTTTATTCCTTTCCTTCCTCTGATACTAGATTTAGGGGCACTCGAGCACAAGTTCTGGCGTTGGGCACAAGTCGGAGGGTTCGAAACCCGTGACCCCAAAGCGTTGCAGTTTATCGCAGGTCGGACCGCTCTTCAGGTATCATGGTGGCGCATGTGTGGCGCGTCGCTCTCCCGCGTTCCGACCTATGCAGATCGCGTTCGGTGGCAACTTTACGATGCTATGTGTCTGTATTAATCGTTATTCCTCTCGGAATTTCTCCTCCTAAGAAAGGAAGCGTATGAGCTCTAAGAGAGCCGTGAATCGTTTTGTGACGTTTGCGTTCGATGTCGGCGGGTGTCCGCACGAGATCGGTTTTGATTGAGGACAATATATCTCCTCCACGTTGCGCGAACCTCCCTTTCCCTCCTCCTGCTTTGCCATAGCATTTTTCTTGAACTACAGTCTCTTTTTTCCTACCGCGGTTCATGAGCGCTTTAACAAAGGAGGGCATCGGTTCGATCCTTCTTTACCCGTCAAGTGCATGCGCCAAACGATAAAGCAAGCCGCCATGCGCCACAGAGCGGCGCATGGAACAGAATATGTGGTGGACAGATCAGAGCACATGACCATAGTCAAGTGTTAGGGATGCGAAGGGCGCACAAAGACTGGTTACCCTGAGAATGAAAATGGCTAGCCAGGCATAGCCCCCAGCTTTCAGATGTACATTGCATGTGTCGAGAACATCAGGCAGCGGCGCAAACCGGACCTTTATCACTACTATCGATATCCTTCGACAAATGAGAACGGCGCTCGAGCGACACGAGAGACCGATGTATTTCAAGCCGCAGAGAATGAAAAGGAAAAGACAGCAGTCGCGGATAACCATCCCAAAGCCTTCTGCATGTGACACTGGGGAAGACCCGAAGTTTAGCGTGTGACCGCACGAGTTAGCTGAGTGGACCCGTTCCATTTTAGCCTGACATGGGTTTAAAGCGACGCGCAACTGGCTTGACGACGAACTGGTCTACAAGCGGCGCCAAGAGCAATGCACCCGCAATGCGAAACGGACGGGAGAAATTATTCAACAACCACATGCCCGCCACAACTTTCAAAAAGTTTTGCCAGGTTAGTGGTGCATTATCTGTCGCCCTTTTGAAAGTGATAAGTGCGATAACGAAGCTCGCTGAATAAGTGATTGCGTCGAAAAAGCCGTACGCGAGGATTGCAGCGAGCCCGTATGAACGCAGCCGTTGAAGCGCTGTTTCCTTCTCCGGGAACAAGTTAGTGAATGCACCCTGCAACCGCTTCCAAAACCCCTGTCGTTTCCGCGCTGTGTTCATGGCCTGCTCCGGAGCGCTGTCTCTCGGTCTGACAGCGTTATTCGACTGCTCCAAGCGCCGTTGCTCCAGCTGCTCAAGGTACGACAAAGGGCGCGTACTAGTCGAGCTTGAGGAGCCATCCTCCATAGGCGGACGCCGCGTACTTTCAAGCCATTTCATATATTGGTCGGTTTGGCCGGTGCATGAAAGTCGCAACGCAAACGGAGGCGTCCTGTGGAAGCCTCGTGGAAGCTTCCGGCGAGCGCACTCTGAATCCACTGTTCGGTGTCCGTGCACGATGAAGTCGTTACGCGCTTGTTTGACTGAGGAAAACCTTTTTGCGTGCAGCGGCGCTGTGAACTGTGTTGCCGTGTTCAGAATCAAGAACATTATGCTGGCTCCTTCTTGTTCTTCTCACGAGAGCAGCAGCGCAAAATAACCGTTTCTTCGAGTGATTTGAACGCAGGGTCGTCCAGGGCAGTCTCTCGTAACATGATGGACATAGCGGACAGTGCCGCATTGAATGTTAGGGCGCTCTGCGCGCTCCCTCGTGATAGCTCTTGGATTAGAGACTTCAACCAGTAGTGAAGCGAACGCTGGTTTGACCGGGAAACCTCGGGTAGAGAGCGGGCTAGTATAGTCTAGCACAGCGTTTTCGTGGGAATGGAACGACGAGTTTTCGAAAAGTCGCGGACTCTTTGTCGCGCAACGCGGGGCTGCTCAGCGTCCTCGCAGTGCGTGCAAGCAGCAGGGTCAGAACGAGGCAGATTGGCGATTTGACCACTGCAGCTTGGCCACTCTTTTGGAGCAGTTTGCGTACTCCTCTCAGAACGTTTCCCTTGACAGCAGATGTTTGGCGTACGGGAGGACGCGAGCGCGCCACACCGCGCCGCGCCTCGAGAAATCGACTGCCACGTCTCTGCCGAGTGGTACGGACCAGGATTTTTGCATGACCCCAGGCGGCGAGCTCGGAGGTACCGCACGACGGCGCAAAGTTTCGGCTCGCCGGCGGCAACGCACCCTTTTGTTTGCAAAATAATCGTTCACCTGCCGCAGGGTTAACCCGCTTCGAAAGGCGAGTTCGCATTTCTCCCTCTCGGAAGGGTATGGGTGATCAAAATGCTTGAAAAACCAGTCTTCAAGAATAGAACGGTCTGGGCAGTACGTGCAACTCCGTGATTGTAGAGTATCGCTTGTCTCGCGAAGATCTCGCTTTGTATTGATGGATATATTCCCGCTGTCTTGGCTGCTGGAATCGAGATGCGCTGCAGATATAGGACTCGCTGGTCGGCGGCGACCAGCGCCCGTCGCTTCGGCATCTGGAAGGAGCAAGTCGAGCGTGTCCGCGGGTGTGTTGAAACGTTGCAGAGCGACCCAAGCCTGCAGGTTCCGTACATAGCAAACCGCCGCAGCGAGGGTATCCAGGATCGTAAGTATTTGTAGCTCCTCGGCGGAGGAATCTGCCGGCGGTGCCACTACTACATCTTGTACGCCGCTTGCTAGTTTTCCGAAGAAGGAATGGCTACGTACGAGGGCGAGCAACTGATGGAAAGGTACCAGCAGACCGACGGCACATACGTTCACTGGTCGCTGAAACTGTGACTGGAGACACGTATGCATTGCGCCAGCTGACTTTCGAGTTCCCCAGCAGCTGTTACCCGATCCAGGTGATAGCAGTGGCTTCTCTGCTGCTCCTCCTTGGCTGTCCATCGAAGAAACCTCGGCCTGTATGGCCGCTGCCAGGGTCTCAGGCCCGCTGTTGATACGATTTCGCTCTGTTTGTGTCTGTTTGAATGTGCAAGGAGGGTACATAATATGGCCATCCGACTTGGCGAACGCCAACAGCCATACTGTTAAAAAGACAACTCAGGAACACGAAACGCTCTATCGAACTGGAACGGGTGGCGGCTTCTGAAAGTGGTCCATTGCCGCGGAAAACAGCTGGACTATGTCACGGCTGCTGGCGATTTGAGAAACAGCCGCGGCGAGCCCTGGCGCGTCCAGGATCCGCGTTGTCCTTTTCGTCTATAATTGAGAGTCAGATTAAAATAGGACATTTAGCGACACGTTTTTTCCAGCATATTCTTTTTCTTTCGAACCATGTTGTTAGATACACAGCCTCGATACTCGAATTGCAGCAATAAGGGCCTACGGATTCATAGACCTTTTTGACGCTCTCGGTCTTCATTTTCGAAAAGTGCGAGCGACTCTTTGCCACTGGAAATCGTTCCGCGACGGGAATCAAGATGATGCGCGGTGCCTTCGAACAAGGTTTCGTAAAATAACCAATTCCATGATCAGATTCATTTGTGAAATCATCGACGCCTCTCCTCTCCTCTCCTCTCCTCTCCTCTCCTTACCTATCGCCTGCAACAAGCAAGCCTTCTTCAAGTGCACGATCTTTTTTCTCATGAATACCCTTGGTCACGGTAATTCGCGACCCTGGAGGGACAAGCGAAGAACTCGACGTCGTCTCATGAGGACTTTTTACCATCTCACGCCGGAAGTTTTCTGTATATGTACCGTCAAATAATCGATTCCATTCGAAGCACAAATCCTCCCCTTTTTGTGGCCAAAGAAGACACTCTATTCGACAGCAACAGAATGATAGATTTCACGGGAAATGCTCCCAGAGGTCCCTGGATCTTCTGTTTCCATGGAACGGCGCCTCGGATTCGGAACTGAGCTATCGCAGCGATCGCATCCAGTGGGGACCGCATAAGCGCTTTGCACGATGTGAGCATAGACGGATCGAAATTTCTTGACTTTTACCCAGAATGAAATTTTTTCAGCTACTTGTTCCTTCGTGATAATCATCACTTTCCACAAAAATCCTCTATTGAATCGAACAGCTTGCGCTTTCATGTGCGGCAGGTAATGTTCTGGCGGAGAATATAGCCCCGGAAAGCCCATTAACGCACGATACAGCATCGGGCGAGGAAACGGAGGAGCGTATCCAGAGAACCTTTCTGTACTCTTCTATTGCATGCACGGAGTGGTATAGCAAGCGTTCACGTGCCAACGGTCGATCCCGGAGAAAAACGAGGAGTCGTGGACAAATGATAAAACCTGAAGACAGTCAAGTGCCAACTGTGCAAAGGCGCGCACCGGGGTTGCATACAAATAAGTTGACAATGGCAAGCGATGTGTAGATCGCAGCTACCACCTGTGAATGAAATGCGTTGACAACTGCGGGAATCAGCGAAATCGGGAAATTAACGCTGCTACCAACATCCTTCGAATGCTGACTACTCGGCGCACGATAAAACCTATGAAACGAGCAATATATCCGAGAAGAATGGCTTATGGAACTTGGAAGCAGAGCGTGGTATGATGGATGGTTCACTGTGCGCTGATATCAAGCGCGCTGTTGTGGAACGATGGCCTGCGTCAACGTCTTGACAAATTGATACGAATAACAGCTCGCGTTGTACGAACAGGAAGCATTCACTTGTCAGAGTGAGCGTGCATGAGTTGCTCATAGCCGCACCGGCGTCAAACGGGGAAGAATCGCTCTTCGCTGAACTCGAACACCTGGCTGACAGACCCTACAGCAAAAGAACGTACAACTGAGACGCGCCCCGCGTGAAACTGTTTCTGCTATGTTTCTTACTGCTGCGCCCTGGTCTCTGCGACGGAGTAAACGGAGCTGCAGTCAGTGTCCGCGAACGCTCTTTTGTTGCACAGGTACGACGCGTATGGGAGCGGAGGGGTCACTGTGGCGTTTGGCAAATGCGGGACACGCGTTGCTGTTAGTAGACCACGGCAGCCGGCGTAAAGAAGCGAATGAAGCGCTTTTCGATATGATTGAGCTATTGAGGCGTAGAGCACCACCCGGAATAATCATCCACGGCGCTCACATGGAAATGGCAGAACCGACGCTGGACGACGGTTTTCGCGCCTGTGTGGAGGCCGGAGCGCGGCATATCGTTGTGGTGCCGTATTTTCTCGCTCCAGGGAGGCACTCTACGACCGACATTCCGAATATGGCTGCAGAAGCAGCTTCAAAGCACGCCCATGTTACCTATACCGTGACCGCGCCACTGGGTGTACATGAAAGCATCGGCAACGTGGTCATTGAGCGGGCAATGGAAGCCATGGGGCTGGACGCTCTGCGAGAGCGCGACTAGCGCGACCTGGTTTGGAGCCATACGCCCGAAGCGTATTAGGAAGCTCGCGGGAATGTACGAGCGCTGGTGCGTGAAGTGGAATCATCGGGGTAAGGCAATATGGAGGCCTGAGTCTCGTCCGCTCGTGACTTTGCATCCAGGTCGCATCTCAGGAAAGGTACGTAGAAAATGTTCGAAGTTGTGCTGCAGGGTCTCTTGCTCCGTAATCCAGGAATCGGCACTGGCCGAGTTCAGTGACGTACAGCCGGATACGGGACTTGTATGTAGCGGCCCGCTACACCACTGGTAGCAACGCGCGGACCAGAAACTTGAGATCTCTACTCGAAAGTTGCCGAAACTCCTTGAATGGTCGGCATTGTTCTGACTGAGAGCGAGACAGAAGCTGCGTGCACGTGTCAAGGACCTGATCTATCCCGCATGGGCATACGCAATCCGCTTACAGACCACGAAGGACTGTTGTTGTTGTTGTTGGAGGCATCCAGGAAAATACCTGCCGGGGAGCCGCTGCGCGAGCCCGTGCGAAGAGCTGCGTCACTCAGATTTGTAAGGTCACTGGCTGGTACCTTGACCTGCGGCAAGTCTTCTTTCCATGACGAGGTGCTCGCTTGACTCCATGCTCGATGCGTGAATACGCTGCAGATCAGTGAAGAGTTCCCTTGCGAGGACGAATGCATGTGATAGCGCTTTCGCCTGTTGAACAAGGCTGCCGAAGAACATGACGGCTCCTTAAGGATTCTGTTCGCTTACCCAATGACATGAACGAGCATGCTCCGCACCACAGCGGTAACCTCGCGAAGTTCCGACGAAAAACTTGAAGAATATTTTACGAGACCGCGTCCACTGAAATGATGCATCTGACGTGACGCATCTCCCGGATCGAGTCCCATTCGACACCAGAGACGGGTCGTTCAACTACTCGGCGAACTCTTTGATCGCGGTTGAGTTCAGCGCCCACAAGGTGATGTGCGCGCTGCGTATACAACCAACAATACCCTGAAACTCTCCGCAGAGAGGCATCATTGGGCATTGCAAACTATCAGGTGCGTTCCAGGTAACTCGCCCGTGCCTACAAGAAAGAACACTCAAATTTTGAGGTTTACGGCGTCTTTTCCGTGACATCAGGCATCCGTGGAAGTCCTGAAGCCCTCTGACTCCTGACTGGCTGTGTCTGCGCATCCCTGGAACACAGAAATGTTTCATGCGTGTTTCACCTTAAGCGAGTTGCGAAAAAATCACGTGAACAGGCGAGCATAGAGTCCACGGGCATCCCCGATCTGGGATTAACCCCATGAATTTTGTCCCAAACGATGATACAGACTTTAGAATGCATTCACTGCTCCCGAGACGTCGAACATGCACCATGAACTCATGAAGTCTTCGACCGACGCCCGCAAGGGTATGGCAATGGCATTATCTCTCAATGCAGCGTTTGCACGGTGCTGTAGACATCACAAAGAACGTTCGCGGCAGGCACGTAGCACCTGAAGAATCGTGTAAACTGTCGAGTTGACGTCCGCGAGGTTCCGCCAAAGCGGGTCTGTCTATGTGCAGTGCTAGCACGGACGTTATTGGCATCACAGCGGACACTCACGGCTGGCGTAAGGCTCTTTGGCGATCGTACGAACTGACCAGCATCCCCTAAGGTATGTTTCGGTGGTGGTGGTGGTGGTGGTGGTGGTGGTGGCTCGCGGAACATGCAGGTTTGATGCAAAGTGGTAACCGCTTCCCTTGCTACGAAAAACCATCTCGCAAACTGGAATTTTCTGGTTAGGTTCAACGATCGCACGGACTCCAAAAACAGCTGACGACTGAGTGCTGTTGCCTCTGACCTGAGCGGCGCCCCGTTTCCCCTCCGGCGATGCTGGCGGAAGCTTGTACTGAGACGCTTGCACCAAGATTCACCCCAGAGGCGCGCAGCATCTGCGACCAGACCGCAATAGCGCGTCTACAAACTCGAACAGACGGAACTAAGAACTGTTCGAAAAGAAGGTCGCGGGACACGCCGTCTCTGACGTCTCCGGGCGTAGCCGCCGCTACCCAGAGCGCACGCCGTCTGTTCACGCTAACAAGTCGTTGCAACTTGTGTATGATGCCGCAAACGGTTCCACGGCATTGAAGGCCTTTGGCAAAGGACGCGGTAAGATCAGCACCTGGAGCATTGCTGTTGAAAAAGAATTCGCATTCCGCCCGGGCCTATGAGGAGCATTGTCCAGGAGACAAGCTGCGACGCCGGGTTCGCCACAAGACCCCGGCATTGAAATATGCTCTACTCGGAATAATATTTCTGGAATACCTCTACCTGGATACCATTTCTGTGCTTGTTTGTATCTCTCGAAGGTATTCAACAAAAGGATACATCCTATGCACTGGAGAAATGTTGAGCGAAGACATTATGCTGTTAATGGAAGTTTGCTACAAAGCGCTCGCTTGTCCAAGACAGTCATTCGAGCGATAGCAGGAGGATGAACTGCTCTTTTCGCAGTCCTAATCCTGAACGTCCTGCACCAGAACGGAACTCATGAAAATGCTATCTATGGGACTGTATAGTGGTCAATCCGCTCCACTCTATTCCTTCTGTGGAAAATGCTTCCGAAGAAGACAACGGATATGAAATATCCGCACCATTGATACGAACGACAGTGAACAATTGCTGATGGATAAAGAGAAAACCACGCTTTTTGGAAGACCGCTGCGCGTTCAAAAGCACACGATCGATTTCGTGCTGAAACGCGAACGCTTATATCATGCAAAGCTAATGATCGTCTCACCTGATGAGACTTCATTCGGGAGGAATGGCATCTTTTTATGTGAGTCCTCCAAAAAAGGGAAACTGATGTTCGTGAAGAAGAGACAAGCGAGCATGCCGACAACTTCAGCATTAGCGGAGATTCTGCCGTGCGGTCGACTATAAATCGCCAAACGAACAGGACCATTGAATAATTCATGCTGCGTCGAAGCACTTTGCGGCCTGTACATTCCACATTCTTCCGTCCTGCTCTTCCACAGCTTTGCTTTCCATGACTAAAATATGTTCATCGATTACACAGCTGAGATTCGTGCTGAGCTGCTCTTTTTACCAACCTCTGATCCTCTTTCAAATCAGTCGAAGGCGCCTCCTTTTTCGAACGGCATTTCTACGCGCACAGATCGATAGACGACTCGTCCGTATCTTTGATACCCATGATCCTTCATAGGTCGTTCTCTACAGTCTCCAGCCCTGACCTGCTCTGCTGCTTCTCCGTGCGTGGGCATGTGGGAGCGGAGAGCCGCGCTGCGGTCCGTATGCATCTTCGCTATGGAAAGGTGGCGACGATGTACTCGAGGAACGCCAGATACGTGCAAATATAGAAAAGGCAAGTTTCGGTCCCATCGGCCATCCAGCGCCTCCGAATTAGGCGAAAAAGAACGAATATCGAGGTTTTTGACTACAAAGATGCCACCACGCCAACTGAAGAAGCTGTGACCAAGGAGCAGATCTCTGAGAACGAGTATAAAGCATTCAAATAACTTCGCGGAGAGCATTTCTGGAGCTCCTTCATGCTCTCTCGTTTAGAGGCCGGATAGCGGGAAGAATTTTCCAAGGACGACGGAGACCGATGGAATTTCAGTCTGTATGGAACTTGCGAAAACCTAAGCCTGGAATGAGCAACGAAACCCGTTTCCAACCGTTCGGGGTAAGGGAACAGAAATGCATCGTGGGGCGCGTCGTAGCCGTCTCCGTAGGTCTTAATCAAGACGAAGGAGCCCAAATTCTCAACAGAATGCGTACGAATCCGTTCAATTTATCCAGGCCTCGTTATAATCGGGAGGCGGCCATGGTCACCACCCTGAGGCATACTAACAAAGGGATGACGGCTTCAGCATACGAGTCTCGACGCTCTGAGCACCGCTTCGAGAAGCAGAGACGCCTTGCACGCTTCTTTCCCGATAGTGTACATGAACTTCCATGGGGCTTTTTCGAACGATGTATGGCTTCGGTACATAAAGGTGTGCTGGGGTCAGCGACGGTTTCGGGTGTACGGCGGTAAGAGGCGTGCATTCGCCAACTAGTGCAATAAGTCGAAGAGGAATACAATGGATAATTCGCGTCGTTTGGCGGTAGCATACGGTGCTGGTCGTGCTGGAGCGCGCAATAGTTGCGCTCCTGCTCCTTCGACGAGAGCGCACAAGGAGTGCAGGAATCATCCTGCGCGATTCCAATCGATACATTCGGTACGACGAACACGGTTCATGAGTACGAGTACGCACTGAAACAGTTGGATAGGAAGAGAATGAACCAGGGACAGACGCACGAGATGTTGTGCGGTCAACTGCATGGACGTCAGATGGAGAGGCAACCGATCACGAGTTACTTCCTAAGGTTTGATGCTACAAGCGGCAATGCGCAAAAGCTCATCCCGTGCCGATACTTCAGCGCCTCGATTGACATCCGGAAATGTATCGTGCTTTCGGCGCCTTCAGTGGCTTAGAATCAAGCGAACGTTCGAGGGACTACTTTAGTATTGAGTATGAGCATTTTACTGGAACGCGTATCGCCTCTGATGAAAAGAAACAGTTGTCAGGAGAGAATGGACTGCATTCTAGACTGGAGGAAGACGCTGGAGCGATACGGTGCAGATATCCAGCAAAGCCACAGCGCCGTACCTATCCACGTAAAACGATTCTCCCAAGCAACTGGTAAACTATAATAGGGTTCTTTATTGTGCATAGCTGATTATATGGTTCTTTTAAGGAAGACTTTTCAAAAAAGGTTTGCAAACATCACGAATGTAGACTGTTGAATTATGAACTAATCACCGATTTGCATGGAGATTGTCAAACAATCCGCTCCATCACCGTAAAACTGCATCGGACCGACGATACGATAGTCGTCGGAGAGGGCCCAGCTGTGCCGTTCTCTCTTGAAGTTCTGGAATATGGGACCCGCCATATCGACCACAGACTTGCTGATGACGGGGATATCCCGGCCTTTGCGGCGCTCGATGGTCATCATGGCGGTAAGCGGCACGCCGCCAACGTGCCACAGCTCAGGCGCCTGAGTCAAACCAGTTGCGCGGGCTATATAGCCATTGCATCCGTTTTCAACGAGACCTCCAGCAACGAGACCCAGTACATAGCAGTAGTTACAATCGAAATTCGATGGCAAGCCGCAGCGACCCTCATAGCCCAAAAAATGCGTCACCGCTGAGAATTTTCCCCGGTAGGTACCCTCTTGCTTGCGCTTCTCGAGTTCGCGCTCCACCATTTCCGCGACAAGTCGTTCTGACTCTATTTTGCTTACCTGCACATTGCCGTGAGGATCCCGGTCCATGCAAAGCTGAACCGCAAACGCAGATGGAAGTGAGCTCAGTAGCTCCGCGGATTCTTTGCTAAGCCTCTGGGCAATGCGGCGGATGACGACCAGAGACGCATCCGGATCGCCGAGGGCATTCGCCTCATCGGCTTCCTCGGAGGGATTCTGTGGTGCGTCTCCGGCGGCAACGCCGTTCCGCGCTGGTGCTTGAGCGAGCACTTCGTTCAGTTCTTGGATCAGGCTTTTGATATCGGGCATGAACTCGACGAGTCCTTCGGGCAGGATAATGACACCGTAGTTCTTTGCAAGGGCGGCTCGCTCGCAGACCAGATCGGCAATTGTATCCACGATCATGCCCAAGGTTTGTTTGTGTGCAGCAACTTCTTCGCTGATAATCGCCAAGTTTGGATGTGTCTGGAGAGCCACCTCCAGTGTAATGTGTGAAGCAGAGCGCCCCATCAAACGGCAGATATGGTAGACTTTTTGCGCTGAAACGGCATCCAATGCCAGATTGGAGACAATTTCGGCATACAACTTGCAGGCAGAATCGAAACCAAAACTCGCTTCAATGTAGGCGTTCCGCAAATCGCCATCGATCGTCTTGGGAACGCCAACCACACAGGTCGTGCCACCTCTTGCAGCAATGTACTCTGCCAGTACACATGCATTGGTATTGGAGTCGTCACCACCGACAATGACAAGGCCGTCCAGTTGCAGACGTTCACAAGTGGTGAACGCAGCATCGAGCTGCTCAGGCGTTTCAATCTTGGTCCGTCCTGAGCCAAGCAAATGAAACCCGCCCTGATTGCGGTAGCGGAAGAGCGTCTCTTCTGTGATCTCCTTGTATTTGCCCTCGATCAGACCGGAAGGGCCTCCTAAAAATCCAACTAATGAGCTAGAAATATTCCGGGAGGCTAAAAAGTCATGCAGACCGGCAAGAACATTGTGACCGCCAGGAGCAGGTCCGCCCGAAAACAGCACCCCCAAGCGTAGCGGTCGCCCGATGCTCATTGGCTTCTCACCGTCATGAAATGCGATCTCTACAATGGGCTTGTGATGAACGTGGGGAAACAACGCCTTGATTCGTTCGTCATGGTCCATAGCGGACTGCGGTGACGAGGCGCGCCGCACCGTGAAAGCTCCCCGTAGTACCGGTGGGCATCGCGGCCGATACAAGTGCCGCTGCAGGGCGAGTGGCGTATGCTTCTCGACACGGATGCCAAGTCGTTTGCGCGATAGCTCAATCGCTTCCGGATCTTGCTCGTAGGGCAGCTTTGCAAGCGTCAGTGGCATTTTTAGAGATCCGTCGCTTGAGAAACAAAGGAACGCGGCACACTATGAAATCCGGCTACTTGGAAGTGCGGATACGAACGATCAAGCGTGCAGAGAGATAGATCGGTGCGCTGCAGAGCTGATCCACGCTTCTCGGAAGTGCTGAAACAAAAGATCAAGCGTACGATGAACCAGATCACTGCCTCGCGGACCTGATACACGCACAACTAGCCAGATCGAGCGCTACTCAAGTTCTGCACAGCCGTTGACTCTTCCAGTACCTTGGAGACACCAGGTTTTCAAAGCGCTAACAAAGTTGCAGTTTAGCAGATCTGAAGAAGATCACAAAATCTCTCAACAAACGTATTCGAATCAGGATTACCAGGAAAAAACTGGTCACCGATAAGTCACGATTCCGCGTACCAGGTGTGGCGTTCACGAATCCGTATCTATTGTATGCGCTGCTGCGGCGTCATCGCCGAGTGGCATCTCGCCGTTCGGTGAGGGATTCGTGGAGGCGTAGCGGTGGACGCCTGCGCTCGCCGCGCCTCATCGTGCGGCCTCCAGAGCGCATTCGATTCGCGATGCTCTGCGGCGTGTTTTGATTCTCTTCCGATGGACAGAGCGTCGTCGCCATTGACCATGGATTCCAGCTTGCGGGATGGATATTTTCATTCGGGAAAGCGTGCATCATGCTGCTGCACCCGACCTCCAAATTCCATTATTTATACTTGCTTTCGGGTGTACTGGTCGTTTTGTACGTTCCATCGTGTGCCGAGAACTTGACTGCACCCGCCTTAACGCTTATACCGCCGGAGCAGATGCATCACGGAGGCAGAACAGCGTTGCCATACCGCTGAGGGCGTCGGCTCGAGGCGTGGTGCAACTGACTTGGAATCTGGATTCAATATCATTCTGGGCTCCTGAAAGTTGTGCTGATAGACCTACTGCCTGCGGCAGCGCGAAGCGATACACTAGGAGTCCACTGCGAACAGTGTGACGCTTAGGCGCAGCCCATCTGCTCATAGTTCCTGAGTGAACTGCGTTTCGGACATGCTGCTCAGATCTCGCCACAGCACCTGCCTCTGAGGGAGCGTATGAAGAATTCGCCTAGCAGACTCGTCCGGCTCGCTGGACCTTACGCCTGTAGGGTAAACTTTCGACATTACGGAGAGCTTTTCGTGCTTTTAACGCTTACCGTAGAGGGGCAAGGAGATTGTTATCTCGTTTCGAGTTCGTGGTCAGCCACTGTTCTTTTTATGCAGCGCGGTCGAGACACGCACCACCAAACCGAGCAGGAATGAGAAACGACGCGCATCTCGCGGTTGAAGGGATATGCGATCCTGATCATTATCGCGTAGTTCTAAATTACAAGATGCGTCCAGGCTGAAGCCATGACAAAGTATAGTGTTTCATCTCAATTGTTTTTCGACCATCAAGTCAGTGTATTCACGTGATTTTTCGGGGCTTTATAGCAGAAGCGTTCTAAATACGTTCGTTTTCAAAGATAAGAAAGGAAAAATTGGGGGGTGCAAGTCGAGGATCCTGGAGGGCCGGTATCGTCGGCTGCCGTAAAAAAAACGAAAAACAGAGCAGCATAAAGGGCAGCAAGACAAGACGAAGAACCAGAAGCAAGAGGCTATCAGAAACCGTGTCGCGTCCTCCTCCATGGGTGTTTGGGAGGCTTCTTCAAGGACGATGCATTTGGTGAAGGAGATGGATCGCGACGTCGCGGATATCAACACAGTCGAGGCTCCGGAAGAATTTTTTAACAAGACCTTCATCTGTCTCCTGATGCTTGACACGGGGGAAACGTCGAGGAGAAATGAGGGAGTGCACGCCCTCCACGAAAATCACGCCGAATTCCACTTCAACAAGACTAGATACAGGGGTGACGCGGATATTTATATTTACGGGGCCATCAAGTGCCTCATGAACCTGAAGAACCACTTGGCCATGAACGTCAAACGCTTCATGATACGTTCCATCTTTGCACCCTAGCCGGGCCTGTCTCGGAAAGAGATATGAGCATCATAAACGGCATCACGAACGATAGTAAGAATGAACAGGAGATCGAATTCGTCGACAAGAAGACATCACACAGGAGAATGAATGAAGCTTCTGTAAACCGTACGACTATTAAAGAGCACCGCGCGGCTCTGGGGCTGGTCAACCCAATAGAGAACGTATCAGATATGGAAAAAGATAAAAAAAGCTGTTCCCTTATACTGCGCTATGCCGTTTTTCTGAACCGAGAGCATGAACGCAAGGCAGTGATGGAGCCGGATGTGGAGCATAATGAAGAGTCGGAGAAATGGAAGGCTGCGCTTCCAGAGAAGCGCTTCAACGTCGTTCCGATATGCAACATCAAGTCGCATTTTGTGGCAATCGACTCCAGCGTCCTTCATGACATTATGAAGAGGATCAGTACGGAGTTCGATATAAGGAGGGAGGAATTTATTGGTGAAAACCCGTAGACTTACTGGTAAATTATATTCGACTTGAAGCGCGTCAACACGAGCAAGAGAAAGATTTTCAGGGCGACGATCGAAAGCGATGGAATCTCGGTATATGTGCACCCTGCAGGCGCCTAAAGGTAGATCGTCCAGTTCCGTCTTCGTTTTCGCACTTGACGGAGCAAGCAGACAAGAACGGGGTCCTGATGCGTACAAGGCACAGGAGAACGACTTCGTAGTCGGCGCGGATCTCGGGAACACGAATGTCATGACCGTAGCAGTAGCCAAGTGTGGGGAAGCTGGCATCGAAGGCAACTTACGACAAAAGGACATGCGTCTTTTAAAGTTCTCAATAGCGAGATACTACCGAGAATCGGGAATGGTGAATCCGAAGGGAAAAAGATAGAAATGGATCTCAGGAGTGAAGGGGCATCTGGGAGCGATCAGCCTGGTGACTAGTCGAAGTGCGAACTTTCCAGCTTTGCGGGAATTCATGAAAGTTCGTGCTGCTCATGACGAGGAGCTGTGGAAAGAGTATACAAAGCCCCGGTGGGCTCGTCAGCGTATGAAATTGTACCATGGGAAGCGACATGCATTCTCCAATCTCTTCAACCAGTTGAGCGCTATCAAAGAGACCAAGAGTCAAAGGCTCGTAGTAGCATCCGGAGCAGGACGCTGAGCGTCAGGAAAAGGGAGCATACCGATTCCGTCGACTCCAGCGTACAAGGAGTGCGCACACCGTTTTGTCACAATACTGGTAGGTGAGTTTCGAATGTCATGCATAGACCACGAGCTGGGGTGTAAAGTTCAGAAGGTCGAGATGGAAAAGTGCCAGCGGAGCGCTGAGGATATAGAAAAGCACGGAGAGCTGACAGAACAGGAAATGGAACGCAGGGCGCAAGTTCGAGGACGACACGCATTACTGATTACAGCCAACGAGCAGAGAAGCATGGAGTTCGTGAATCGAGACTTTGACGCCGCTACAGATATATGGAGATATGCGGTGCCGGAGAGGAGACTCCCGGCGCTGATGGGAGCGAATTTTCTCGAAATACCACATAGCGAATGCATGTAGCTAACTTAGGCGTGCTTTCTAAGGATTAGTTCTCTCCCTGCTGTCATCAACACCAGTCTTTGCGGGATGTTCCTGCGCATGCTTCATGTTTCTCTCTCTTAGCTCCGGCTTGGGATACGCTGGTGTCTCTGTTCCCAGCAGTTCTGCTGCCAAGAGATATTGATCGTTAATCACATTTTTCATAGCCAAATTTCGCAATGTCCGGCTATTACTGACGAATTTCATGCACAGGTGCAAGTCGCGATCGACGCTTCGCTTGCCATTTCCATCGTATTGTTTACACGACCTGTGCCGCCTCTGCACCTGTGGCAATTTGCTCCAGTCCGGCGTACCCAGATGTCGATCGAACCTTCTTCGATGGCTGCCCTGTGGCACGTGAACACTTGCTTTAAAGATCGGTGCACACCCTTGAGAGGTACAGAAGGCTCCGCTGGATGACCTCCTACTTTTCTGTTCCAGGTGCCGTTGCTTAGGGTCATGGGTTTCGTCTGGGAGACACCCCTGGCAATTACCCTGTCCGCTGCATGCGTCATCGCGCGCTGCTCCATTCGACAGAGGATTCGTTGAACGCAATACTTGTCGTGGCGAAACTAGTGCCAAAAGGAGAATTCATGTTGGAGAAAACGATGAGCGTTTTCGATCCGTTGACGCCCCGACGTGCAAAGCTATGACGCACGCGTCACTGGAAGTGATCGCTGCGATGACTGATGACTATGCCCAAGACCCTTTTCCATGCAAACAGAAGAGAGGAGAGCCTCTGGGAGCAGATCCTGCGAGATGTATCATGTTTTTGTCGAATGTCGTTTCTTCTGTGACCATAAAGAAAGAAAGATTCGTATTTTGAACGAAATGGATTATTTGGCGTGAAAGGCTAAGTGAACTTTTGGTATAAACTTGCGAACAAGTCTTCAGGAGACCACAACGTCGAATGTTTTTCGCTCGTCGATCCACCTGCTCGAATTGTGACGCCACGAGTTGCTTGGAAACACCAAGATCGATAACTTGAAGCATGCGTGAATTGAACATGCCGCACGTAATGAAAGGAGGAGAACGCAACCTTGCACTTCTGAACTGGATGATTTTTTTCGATTCTTTTACGAGCCCTCGTTCGAGGGCATCGCGTATCACTTTGGTTTCGGTGACGTGACGAATTCCATCGACAAAAAGATTCGAGAGCGTTTTGCCCGATAAACAAGCGAGAATCCTAAGACTTCCTCTGAACCCATACGCCCTCATTACTGTGCTGTGAGTGTCGAGGCAGCGCATCTACAAAACCTGAGAAAAAAGAAATCTTAGGGTAGGAACAGAGCGCGCAGCTCACTTTTCTATTTCTTTACTGAAACGAGTCTAAAAGTCCATGAAGGACCGTGTGCCCGAAAGAGAAAACCGTCCCGAGTCTGCGTTGCTCGCTGATGTCGTGATTGAAACTCGATGCTAGACGTATTCTTTACTTACGAGATTTTCCAAATGAGCCCATTCCAGAAACCTGTTGGTGGCTGCTCGATTTCTAGAGCCAGCTTGTGCACGCTGGCGGCCACCAGGTACAGGAAGAGCTAAACGCAGACTTGAAAAATAGGCCGCTCGGCAAGCAGGTGCCAACTGGCCAACGTAGCGCCCTAAGCTGCTTTGTAGTCGCACCTAACCATTCCATGCAGGATCGCAGAGGATGCAATTCATCGATAGCTCTCCACCGTTGCGTGAGCATGCTTCCAATTCAACAACACGCTGGTATCACATCGGATCCATATACTGCATGCAGTTTTGCGAAGCATGCATCGAACGAATGCATCGCTATCGATCCTATATACATTTTTGCATTTTCATACTCGTTTGTACTCCGTTTCGTGTTGTCCATGCGCTCATTTCCAGATTCTCGTCAATTATCCTGGGTATTCGCAGATGGTGCAAGTCAGCGAGCATCCTGCAGCTGCCCCAAGTGAGATGCATTCTGTGAGCTCCTGGGTCCGAGTCTTCAAAATTACATTGCTGACGGTTTCACTGCCAGAAAAATTATCTTCCGAATATTGACCGATCCTCAATTGCCACGGGAACATATCCACGCTCGCCGACAACGGGTCTACTTGCGTAAGAGCAGGATCAGGCCGTGTATACACATCCGAGGATACCGTGCGAGCGCTCCAGTGAGCCGTACACCAAGTGTCTCTGTTCCGTGATATACGGTTAGCTCTAAACCGCAGTTCTGCCTCTATCGATGCGGTAATATGAACTTGAAACAGTCCTCCAGTAGACTTTTGCGGCAGAAACAAAGTAATCTATGCAGAAGCGTTTTTTTGCCCCGGAAACGCTTCTGAATAGTCGTTAGGCGTGATCGTCATCCGCTGAGGATGCAAACGCCTATCCGTAGACATCGTCTGACTTGAGTGCAAAACTCAAGCACGGCAGCACCATAACTTTGTGAACCTCAACAGGTCCCGCGCTTTGAGACACGCAGCCTGCACGCGTGTCGCCGACTCCACTCGAGCGCTGCTCGGCATATCGGGTGTTTTCAGCAGTCTCACAGGTCTTCTAAACACACCCCACACGTTGAAGAGAGGGCTCGCTGCCCTTTCTTTTTATAAGCCAGTGATCAGCGCTTGCCCCCGCAAACTACCTCGAGCAATTATCTGCAACGCACAGAGCGTACAGCTTAATGGACGGCCATTGAGATGTGCGCTGCGGCATCGCTGTAGCCGCCTGGCAGCAAACACGCCGCTCGATGACGGTGGACTCTCGCGACTTGCAAACACGCGTTGCTAGCCACACATGCGTCAGAGCTTGTATTCGAAAGCGTTTGGGTTTCAGAAGGAACTTGCTCATTGAAGCTCCACGCTCATCTGAAGATGGAAAGCAGCGAATTGGCGGACTCTGAACCCAGTGCACAACAAGACGGCGTCGCTGCGAGCGACAGCCCAGCGTCTACCGATGGCACTCATGAGCCTCGGAGCGGCAAGTCTTCTGAACACGAAGCCCACAACTTTCCCAGAACGGGCAGCATCATGGAAGTAGAACTTGAGTTTGATTACATCGAACATCTCTTAGAAGAGAAACTGCACCGAATCTTGGAAAAACTCTGGGAGCAACGGCGAGTTGAGCGTTCGCTCGTGACCGCTGCCACAGCACGACTCTTTGCAGCTCAAACACTTCGCAGGGTGAAGTTGGAGATTCGCGATGCGCACGGAAGCCTGCTGGGGTCTACCTCATACGTCGACTACGACAAGCAGTCTAACAAGGTACAGTTTCGTCGGCAAAAGGTGAAGTTTTTCGTGCACATCGCAGACAAGCCTACCGCTAGAGACCTCATCCGCGTGAACGTCATTGGCCGAACAACGCCGCTGAAAAGGTATTCATCGTATGTGCTGCCAATCCCGCCAGCGCTGGCGAAGCAAGCAGCAGCTAGTGAGCATGCTACCTTGGAGCACCAATCGCTTGCGGTTCGAGAGCAATACTTTGCGAGCTTGCCTGTGGATGAGAGCGCTGCCTTATCTCCAGTGCCTTTCCCCAGCAAGCTTCTTCTGGAGCATTCCAAGCGAAAACCCACGTCAAGCGCAGTGCACCAAGACGCGACACGTGGCGCATCCACTGTGGATACTGAAGACGAGCCAGAGGCGCTGCCGAACACGCAAAATAGCACTGAGGCATCACCGCCGACGGATGCTGCTGTTGCTTCTTCCCATCATAGCTTACATTCGACTAGGATCCATTTAGGTCACTGCAGCCTGGAGCTGCATCGCCTGTGGGCACACCAGGGTAATGCGGTGTACCACGCCCTCCATGCAGCGGGGCGTCACGCACGTTTGTTGCTGCGTCGTCAGGTGCACCTGTTGCCGTTCTGCTCGCTATCATTGGCGGCACGACTCCCGACCTTCCCGCACGGCAGCTACTCTATAAGGATTCATGTCCATGATGTATCGATCTTTCAGTCAGGTCCGAAGGCTTTCACATCTATGAATCCAGTCGTTCACGTGTACGCTCTGGGCGATACCCAGCACACGCAGGTGTGTCGCTGGTCATTCACTGCAATCTTCGACCGAATGTTGTTCTTCAGCAAGACGCTGGGTCAAGAGCAGATCCGCGATGAAGTGATCACACTGGCTGTGTGGAACTGGAACTTTTGGCGACCTTCGCAGCTTATCGGCTCCTATAGCTTTGATTTCTTAGCCTTGTGGAACCAGAAAGATCACTGTTTCAGAGAGCGGTGGCTTCCTCTCACCAATACGACTGGCAATGAGGACGATCTTGTTGGTTATATTCGCATCTCTGCTGTTGTCTACGGACCAGGTATCATGCCGGTTGCAGAGCACTCGACACACGCAGCACGTACAACTGCAGCCGCTCCTCGTTTGCTCAAGAATCTGGTCATTCAGCGCCCGAGCTTATTGATAGAGCGCTGGAGACTGTATATTGCGATTCTGGGTATCGAGCTGGCGCCATCGACGCCAGAGGCGGCTCTCAATGCCTCAGAGGCATCGCATACGCCAGCTGGCACCAACGAGAAAAGCTCCAAGCTGACGAGACATCGGGCGAGCCAAGCACGCCTCCTATCGAGAAGGTCAGAGGCCGGGGAGTCCAATGGGAAGCAAGTATACTGTGAAATTGTTTTTGCGGGACGCGAGAAAAAAGCCGTTATCGCGTCCGAAGTTGTGCGCGTTGGGTTCGGCAAGGAAACGAGTTTGTCCATGGGATTCTGTCTCCCGATCTCGCTTACCAATCACGAGGAGGCCAATTTTGAGGACATCTTACTGCGGCTGCGAGAATCTCCCAGCAGTCGCCTCATAGCGGATGTTCATTTGCCCTTGAGCGGCTTGCTGCAGCGGGGATGTACCGCAAGCATCCAGTATCGCGATCAAACGCAGCTGAGTCTAACTGCAGATACAGAGATGCACCATCACCGCACAAGTGCCGCGAGTTCGCACTTGGGTCATCGCACCCACGGCGAATCCACGACCAAGCTGGAGCGTTTGTTCCGTATCGTGCATTGGCTGGAGCAACTTGTCCACAGTCACCTGCTCCACCAGCACAAGCAACACGGCCACATCCGCGAGCGTCGAGTGTTTGAGATGCGGCCGCACTACATCCATCTGAATGCGTCTCCCACGAAGTATGTGGGGAGAATTCTGCTCGCTGCCCGAATGTGGCCGCATTCGCCCCATTGCAAAGCGATCCCGCTGTGGTACCAGCGGCTGAACTGGGCTGAGCTGTTCACGGCCAGTCAGCGGGCCCCGCATCGTCTCCAGTACACGCTGTATGTGAGACTGCAGCGCATCACAGAGCTCCCACTGCCGGATTCCAGCTTGGTTCGGGTGTACCTGAAGATCGGCGACCGCCTCATTGCCCAGACTGACTTGGCTCCGGTGCATCATCACAGTGCGGTGACGGGGGCGCTGCTTCCGGTACCACCGGTTCAGTCGGTGACGAACCAAAAGACGCAGGCCATGAAGCTGGAAGTAGAGCAGGACCTGCGAAATATTCCAGACTTGTTTCTGCAAGTATTCTATCGGATGGGGCACGATGCCCCAGAACGATATTTTTCGCTGTTGCGGCTGCCAGCGTCGCTGCTTCACGCTCTGCCGGATGACGGCCTGTGTCGATCCTGGCTCATGGATATGCCTGTGACGGAAACGGAGGGCACTGATGTGTCCGTTGCCGGCACCGCGTATCTCTATATCTGTTTGCGGCACCAGGGGGATGCGCACGCTCCGACCAAAGTCACCCGAGAGCCATCCAGGTCGCGTCATTCAGGGACCAGAGAGGTGTCGTCAACGGGACCTGTGGACGGACACAATATCTCAGCAGATACTTACTGGGTTGAGTGCAATATTCTTCGCTGCCGAAATTTACCGGCAGCGGACCCTACCGGCTTCTCGGATCCTTTTCTAGTTGTGCGCTTTGGGGCGGCGCGAGCGTTTGGCACCCGTCTCTGTCACCAGACTTGTGATCCGAGCTTTCAGGAACGACTGCTGGTGGGTCCTGTGCAGCTCAGCCGCTTCGAAGCGCTACCACCGGTGTCCGTCAAAGTCTTCGATTGGGACGATGACCCAGCCGCGTTTGATCCTAGAAAACTTGATAAGGCGGAATATCTCTGTCGTGCTGAGGTGGATCTCACAGCGTTGGACGCTTCGGAACCCACCTGGTTTGACATGTTCATCACGAACCCCTTGATTGTACATGGCGGTATGCTGGCAAGCTTCAGGCTGCTAAATTCGAGCCTAGCGAGTCCGAGCGCGCTCGAGACACGAGTTCTGCGGGATCCGCACATCCATTTGCGAGCGCATGTAGATACTCCGACGCAGGCGCTTACATCAGGTAACAACCCGCAGTCGCCAGACCAACGAGACGGGGATATGGCGGTGCAGCGGCCGCCGCTGACGATTACACCAAAACCTGCCGACCTGCAGTCGCAACCTAGTCGCGGACCCGCTGCCTCGTATTGGATGCTCGTGGGTCTTGTGTCCATTCACCATCTGGGTCTGGGCTGCTTTGGTCTCGATCCGAGCCGAGACTCACTCAGTTTGCGAATGTTTCTCAACTTTCGTGATGGAATGCAACGAAGCGAGCCGATCCACCTGAGTGCTGGCAGCAGCGGCAGTCTGGGCGCAGACCAGAACCATATAGGGGATGTTGTGATCCTGCGGTTGCCCCCTGATATTGGTGATCTTTCCTCACTGCATATTATACTCGAGAGCCGAGATGGTGAGCGCTTCTACGCGAGCGCGAACATCACTCCAGAGGAATTTGCAAAAAAGCATCTACTCGTCGGCGGCCTCCAGCAGTACGGCCTAGAGTATCTGGAGCAGAGGGTGCTCATGCGGCGTGCGAAACGTCAGCACGGGCCGCTTGCGGGTATGCAAGAGGCCTTGGAAACTGCCAGCAATGGAGCGCCTCAACGAAGCGGTTTCGATCTGAGCAGCTTTCGCCGACAACTCAAGCAAGTCTGGCAGCACGACGTGCGCGCATCGGGACTGGCGCTATGGGCAGCGCTTGTGAATTACCTCGTGGAGATTGCTCCTGAGATTGCACTGCGATTTGGACTGGAGGAGATGGAATTTCCGTCATCGCGCCTGACGCCGTGGCTTCTCCGTTTCTTTCGCCTCTTGCACCACCGGGGCCTCGTGACGGCCCTAGAGCATTACGAGAGATCCGTCATTGGTGGGCGCTCTAAGGGCCCCGAAAGGCCAGACCACGCTGTTTCAGACAAGTCGGACGCACACGGCGTTCACTCGGTCTCCGATGAGCTCGAGCGAAGCCTTGAACCGCATGCCCAGTTCAGCGAGGCCCTTCTCCGACATGGCCTCGTTCGCCGCAAGAGGCGCCGGGTCAACCTGACTGCTACTGGCGAGCGCGGAATGCTTACCGGAATCAAGAAGATGCGCTTACCGCAGATTCGGCCGAGTTTCCGAGCGGAGCCGTCGCGGAAGCCGCGGCATGCTCCGAGCACAATACATCCAGAGGCCGCCGCACTCGAACAAACAGCACCTGCTCCATGCAGCGTCCTTGCAGCGGAAACGCCGAACTCTCCCGCCACCGAAGATGCTGAAGTTGTCGCGGAGGAGCGTTCCTTGTCAGGGGCTCAAGCGGGTCCCACTGCGGGTACGGTAACCAGACGGTCATCGTCGACAGCGGTGTGCGCGGCTGTAAGCCCGGTGCGAAGACGCCTCCGAAGCGGCTCAGGGCATGAACGTCGAGGTGCGAGACCTCTGAGGCGAGGTCGCGTCTCCGGCCGTGCAACCGCCTCGATGCTATATCGTAGAGATGAAACCGAGCGCCGACTCAGTCTCTTGCACCACGAGTCGAGGCGTTACAATGACCCGGTTCCGGTGGGCAAGCTGGCCCTCGACTGGCGCATCGTGCGAACCGGATACGCTGCAGTCGCTGCTGACACGAACGTGGTGACGGCACTGCAGCGCGTCGAGGATGTTTCCGATCTGGAAGCATACGCGGCAGCGTTTCGAGAGCAAATGCGACGCCGCTACGTCGAACGGAACGACGTGGTGGTGCGCTTGCATGTATATCATGCACGCGGCCTTAGAGTACCCAGCGGAGATCCAAACATCTACCTCAAAGTGGAGCTCAACGGCGGCGAGAAGACCCTATCGACGAAGCGATCACCGGTTCGGCACTCTTTGAACCCGGACATATTCCAGTCGTTCGAGTTCACCAATGTGCGCCTGCCTGGCTCTCGCCTCACGATCCGAGTGAAGCACTTTGCCGGTCCGGACTTTGAGGTACCGAATGCCGCAGCGCTGGTGCCCAGGTATGCGACCTGGACGTTTGGCCCATTTGTCCACCGTGCGATGAGCAGGGACGTGCGCGTGGACTTGGTGCGGGCGGGAATCGGACGCGCCCTGCTCCTCGGCGAGACAGAGATCGACCTGGACCAGCGTTGGTACACGGACTTGCCGCCGTTATCTCGTCTGGAATCGCCAATGGAGACGCGGCGTCTGTTTGTGCCAGACCGTGTCATACCCCGTGGCGAGCTGACGCTACGACTTGAGCTGCTCAGCGCTGAAGAGGCAGCGAATAGACCGTTTCGTCCACTGGAACCGCTCGATCCGCACCAATACGAGCTGCGGCTGGTCATATGGCGCGTCATAGGTTGCAAACTGGAGAGGGTCTCGGAGCCAGTCCATGGCGGCGATGTCGATGGAGCTGCGGACGGTGGGCGCACCAGGGGAACGACCGCGTCAGCAGCGGTCGGCACGACTCCAAGTGGCAACGCCAACGCGTCTGTGCCGTTGCAGGACCTCCAGGTGCGAGCGCAGCTCGGAAACGACACCTCTTCCGAGATTCATACCTCTGTTGTCCATAATTGCGACGATGGGTCTGCGAATTTCAATTACCGCCTCGTGTGGCGCCCGCTGCACTGGCCGGATCCAGAGCTGGTGCCACGGCTGCGACTGCACGTCTGGGACGTCCACAGTCCGTCGGGCTTCCCGCTCGTTGGTCAACTGGCGCCATCTGATCCGCAGCTGTTAGCGACTGTCACTTTAGACCTTTCTTCCATTTTCGAGGAGGCCCATCGGAACAACGGGCGAGCGCAGCGCTTCCGCCAGTGGATTATGATGCATCGAGTGGGCTCCGGGCCGGTCGCCGCATCGCCGCGCATACAGGTCTCGCTCGACCTGCTCAGCAAAGAGCAGGCCATGCAGCATCGGGCAGGCTCGCAAGTCGGTCAGAGTGGCCTCCCGGAACCGCTGCAACCGGTGCCATTTTCAGCCTTTGCGCCTCAGAGGTACATCCGCTACCGCATTGCTCGGCAGTGGCAGGATGGATTCTGGTATTTCGTGCAGGCGGTCTTGCTGGTGCCTGGCGGCATCGCTGTGCTCAAAATCCTTGCAGCGCTGCCGCTGCTGCTGTACATTGCCGGTGCGATTGTTGGGATTTTCCTGGTCTTGCGTATGCGTCGAGTCGAGCAAGAGCTCGAGGCCATGTAAAGCGTGCTATGTCGCAAACACCATCACTGTTATCACCAGCGGCTACGGCAGCAGCCGGCCTTCTTATACGAGTCTAAGACGCAACGGCTGCGTTGCCAGCGGATTGATATGATCCGGCTACTGGGAGAGCCTGCTACCCACGCAGCGGAGCGCTTGTTGCGAGAATCTGCATGCTTGGGCGGTACTGTCCCACGCAGCCATGTACACCAGCATCTCTACTACAACTACTTCTGATACTACGACTGCTGAGAAAGAGACCAGCGGATTCTTACTGCCTGTCCTTGTAACGACAAATGCCTGCTAGCGTTCACCATTTGCCGCCATCGCATCCATGCGTGCTGCTGTGCACGCATCTACAGAGGCACGCATCGCTTAATATCTATGCACGCATATCCCGAATCATGAATAAAGTGCTGTGCTGTCTATCTATGCACGCATATCCCGAATCATGAATAAAGTGCTGTGCTGTCTATCTATGCACGCATATCCGAATCTTGAATAAAGTGCTGTGCTGTCTATCTATGTATGTATATCCCGAATCATGAATAAAGTGCTGTGCTGTCTATCTATGCACGCATATCCCGAATCATGAATAAAGTGCTGTGCTGGTGGCGGAGCGCGAAAGCGGCATCCGGCATGAATCACCCACCATAGCGCCGCATTGATGCGGGTCTACAGCACGCGAGCGCTCTGTCAAAGCGCGCAACTGAACTCGTTGAATGCCGCCGCGTCTGCGATACGCTGCGATCCACAGAACGTCTCTACTGACCATGGATTCCCGGATTGCGCACTGGCGATCGGTTTGTCAAGCCATCTGCGCTGCTACGTGTCCGTGTGGCAATCGCAGCATGGCGCAATCGGCGCGTCGCATTGCGGGTCGTGTACCGAGCGTTGGGCGCGCGATGCAAGCCGCAGCGCTTGCGGTTCATCCATCGCTGCCTGGGGCGGGGCGAGTCTCGAGCGGAGACTAGTGCTCCGCGGAAGTGCGGGTTTTCTCAGGCGCTTTGTTCATGGGTACAAGGCGTGTTTCCATTGACTGGCACGTCACGCACTGAAGTCCACATGTCGTATGGAGGACACGAAAGCTCTCTGCAGAAGAGGGCGTGGTCTGCTAGAACGCGCTCGACGCCGACTGCAGACGGGGCGAGCACCTCTGCCTCCGCTGGTGCGCGTCAGCGGAAGCCGCTGCTGGAGCTCCTAACCACCGATATTTTACGCACGTACCGACGAGTATCTTCCGTATTCGAGTACGATCCGAAGCTGAATCCTCGAAGAACTTTGACGAGGCCAGACCAGCCGCGGTTTAACAACGGCTACGATAATGAGAATCACGACTTCATTCTCCGTGTGCATGATGCTATTCGCTCCCCGAACGGGGACGTTTACGAAGTGCTGGACCTGCTTGGTGTGGGCACTTTTGGACAGGTAGTGAAATGCTTAGAACTGGGCAGCAGCCGGACGGTGGCTCTCAAGGTGGTGAAAAACCAAGAGGCATACCTGCGACAGGCCCTCATGGAAGTCTACGTGTTGCAGATGCTCCATCGCACTTTTCCTGCGGAACGCGTCCGCCACGTGGTTAAGTTACTGCAGCACTTTCAGTTTCACCATCATCTATGCCTCGTCTTGGAGAAGCTGGGAATGTCCTTGTTTGATCTTTTGAAACAGAATCGATTTCGAGGCTTGGGCCTCCTCATTGTTCGTTCCGTGCTGCAGCAGTTGCTTCCGACGTTGGATCTGCTCGCGCAAGCGGGAATCATCCACTGCGATTTGAAGCCTGAGAACCTGCTCCTCTGCCGAAACGATGGTGTGGAGGTGAAACTCATCGACTTTGGCTCGGCGTGCCAGGAAAATCACGTCATATATTCGTACGTCCAGTCGCGTTTCTATCGCTCACCCGAGGTGATCCTGGGACTGCCCTACGGAACGAAGATCGATATTTGGTCTCTGGGCTGTATCGTTGGGGAACTGTTTTTGGGTTTGCCACTGTTTCCGGGCCACGACGACGAAAACATGATTCAGCGAATGGTGGACATGCTTGGTATGCCGCCGGCGTGGATGATTCAAAGCGGCAAGCAGAGCCATCGCTTCTTTCACAACGGGCATCTTCGCGGTCTGACTTCGGACGCGCTGACAGGGCAGGGGCCTGTACCCTGGAAACAGTACTTTAAGCACCGGAAACTGGAGGATATCATTGTGAAGAGCCCCATGAAACCAAACACGGATGAGCGCGAGGAACTGGCACAGCGGCGCGCACTGCTCAGCCTCTTGCGCGGAATGTTGGAGTGGGATCCTGGTCGGCGTTGGACGAGCACCGAATGCATGCTGCATCCGTTTCTGAGTGGACGCGGCATGATGGACCAGGAGACATGGTTGCCTCCGCGCCTTCGATCGCCGAACATGGGCCTTCGTTTCCACACCCGCGATCTTGCAACCTATGGCGATGAGGCAGCGGAGGATGCACGGGCACTGGCTTCAGCATCATCAGCAGCACATGGTAGCTCGAAAGCGCAGCTACCTCCGGCGTACGTGCTGTCCACAAGCGCACCAGCATTCGCTCTGCACGAGCGTGCCGGTGACGAGGCGGCTTCGCTGCCTGCTGCAGCCTCCGATGCCACCGCCAGGGAGCAGCGCACGCGCAGACTCGCACGACCCCGCCAGGACAGCTCCATGATGCAATCGCTCAGTGCGACACTGGAGCAGGCGCTGCAAACCGTCCAAGATTGTCAGCGAATGGAGCGCACGCCCCAGCAGTCGAACGCTCAATGCTCCATCGCCTCCGGTGCGAGCCGCACATTCGTCGAGGGCAATCCAATGCTTGCCAGTTCGCCTGGTATGCTGGCAGACATTGCTGCATGCACATCGAGCGCGCTGTACGATGCCGCATGGAATCCATTCGCCATTGAGGAGGCGGTAGAGCCCACGAACGCCTACATGTTGGGTGACGCTTCATCCAACATGCCGCACGATCCTGAGATTCCCGAAGACGATGCAGATATCGTGCCACCCGCTGTACCAAAGGCACCGACCACGGCTCTGGACTCAGGCGCTGTGGCTGCGGCGAGCGCACCAGAGCCGGGCGGTTTAGCGAGCAATGTCCGAATATGGCCGTTTGCGGGCCAAGGACGCGGCCACTAATCGCAAACGCGTGCACCGAAAGAAACTGGTGCCGGAAACTCGAACTCGCGACGCAGTTGATTCGCGGTGATGTATGCCATGCGCTGTGATCCGACAATGCGGTGCAACGCCAGGGCATCATCTGGCATGATGAACAGCGTGCATGCTTGTCGGAAACTCGACCCAGAGGCTTCTAAACTCGCAACGAGCTCGGTGTAGAACTGGGGGAATTGAGGAACTCCGTAGAAGAAGATGTACTGGGAGCCTCGAAGATGATAGCGGCGATAGAAATGGAAACGCTCGGTAACGAGGAGGAAGCGTACGCGCCCTTCGAAGAAAAGCAGGCGATAGCGACTGATATCCTGAGGTTTGCTGTACTCGGAGCAGGCTGCGAAACTGAGTTTCGAGGCCGGGTAGACCGCTTGCTCTGTCCATTTGCGGAAGAGGTTGCGCACCCGCACAAAATCGAAATACGAGGGAATGTAGATTAGAATGTGCGTGTGCGTACTCTGGACAAGTTTCGGTAACCAGTCGTGGGAAAACGCAGCAAATCGCAGCTCTGCCGCCTCCACCGCCGAAAGTGTGTTCGTTGCAGCGCCTTCGCGTCCCGACCCGGTGCCGTGCGGTGTCGCGAGCCGGCGGAACACATGACGGACTCGTCTGGGTGCTGGAATATCCGCGATCACCCCAGCGTGCCGTGTTCGAAGTAGTTTTAGCACGCCACTTACATTACCTTGGTGATCTCTTCGCGCTAGACGGAACCATGCATGGCATTCGGGAAAATCAAATGCCGACAAGAGAATATCCTGGCGGTAGGCCGCAGCGTGGTCTTCAAGAAAGCGCTGCTCCACTCGTGAAAAGTCTGTCTTTTGCGGCACCTGAGCCGGCATTCTGTTCACGGCCTCTCGCACAACGCGCAGCAAATGGTCCCAGTTCTGCATGAGCATCATATGCGACCGTAAAATCACCGCGATTTCAATACTGGAAAGTGGATCTGCTGCACCGCCTCGCATGCCGCCCTTGTCGGGATCGTCGAGCACACGCTGGAGGCCCAGCGGGGACACAACCACAAAGTCAGAGTCCGCGAAATCCGCGAAAAAGTGGAGGGATCGGCGCTCAACGCGAACCCCCAGACGAAAGTCATCATCGATATTGCCTTTGAATGCGGCTCGGTGGTCGCGAGGTTTTGCACGCCAATGTCGAGCGCGGCTGGTATCTGCACCTGGATCAGGCACCGGTTCCGTAGGCGGCACCAGTAAAGTGTTCGGCTCTTCGGAGACAGTCCCATCGTCTGCGTCGGGTCCGAATGCTCCCTCAAAGCGCTGCGCGTGCCCGATCTGCCGTGGGTTCAGGTATCTGAGCACCGCAGACAGGAACGCATACGCTACCTGCCGGGTTGGCGCAAAGACAAGCACTCGAGCGCGACTGAGGCCCCGGTCACGGTACTGATCCCAGTCGTCGTCGACGACAGACGCACCCGGCCGCTGTGCCAGCTGCACATTGTGCTGCTCCTGTCGCGCCTGTGCCTGCAGAATGTGCGCACAAGTGTAGGCCGCAACGATCTCCAGGTGAAGCTGCTCCTCGTCAACGGAATCGATACAAGCAAGCAGAACATCGGCCTTGGTAACGAGAGCTCGAGCGAAGCACAGACCGCGCTGCAGGAGCAGGTCGCGCTCTCCGTAACGAAAAGGCGCCGAGGCGGCAACGTCCCCGGCACTAGGATCCACCAGTGCCGCGAGGCGCCGCTGGAGCATGGGCGTAGCCGCCACCAGGTCTGGTATGGAGCATAGTCGACGCTGCGCCTCTTCATAACGTTTTCTGGTGACGTGTCCTTTCACAGCGGACGCAAAAATGTCCGGTGCATCCCAGGAACGGGCGTGCGCTCCAGTGACTGGCTCCGTGTCCATGCAGTTCGCCTCGCAGCGTTGCCACGTAAGGGCATCTTCCGTGGCGTCCGCCGCCGTGGGGCTCAAGCTCAGGTGCTCGCGTAGCATCTGGACGCTCAGGTGCTCAGAGGCGCTCTCCGGTGCAGGTCGCTGGCAAGTCTGGCGATCGGAAACAGACGAGCCTACGGTGTTCGCCTTTGAGGTAACACCACCAGCTTTCGTTGCTGTTTCGAAGGTCAGGGAGTCAGCTTCGTCGGCGCCGCGCTGATCGCCTACCACGACAGACGCCCGACGCTTCCCCGCTTCGGCGCGCATGGCAGCAAGCGCCCAAAACTAGGCCCTCCTGATACCAGGCGCCGCTCACTGGTCCGCAGCACTCCACGAGCAAGAGCTCTGAACGTCGTCTGTGAAACCGCTGCGGTACCAGAAACAACAGCTTCGTAAAATACTGCTATTGCTACTGCTGCTGCTGCTGCTGCTGCTGCTGCTGCTGCTGGAGCCATCGATCCTGCGTTCGCGAATCGCCACCGAGACGCCGCTGCGGTGACGTCGGCGGAAGCGCGCTGTCGGCTGGGAGCGTCCACAGGGACACGCACCCGTATCGCCTGGATCGCTATTGGGGAGTGTGGGTCATGGAACTTGGAGATAGAATGTGGAACGATAGCTGCTTTACCAGTTTCTAATACCAAACGCGCCATCGGAAATCCCCTGGTCTACTTAAACGCTCTTTCTACAATGGAGCGGTGCACAAGCATCGCCTGGATCTTTTGGAGCGGCGATTCACTCGCTGGAGACCGCCACCGCCGTCGCGCGCCGGCAGCGCAGGCGTCCCGCGACTCCCGAAACTGCCTCGTGCGCTACATATTCTTTTGACCAAACGCGGCACTGAACGTCGTTCGAAAGAGGCGTCCTGTTTGACCGCGAACGTCGGGTTCTTGCCAGAACTTTCTCCCACGCTTAGTAGAACCGCAAAACGCTGTATGAACGCGTTGGTTGCGGTGTGCAGCGAACGCAGCGAGCGAAACTGGCGAACGCTTCGTACGAACATAGCGCTGGAGCGGGGAGTGCGGGTCTCGAAACTGCCGCGTTACCGGTGGCGATGCGCATGGACTTGCACGTGAACTGCCTGCTTGGAGAATAGACTATCAACTACGGCTCTGATAAGAGAGAATCCGTTTCGAGTTTCACGTCATGGAGCTGGGAGGATCTTCCGGACTCGTCAATATCGGAGGCGGTAGTGAAGATGCGCACTACCGCTACAAGATGCCTCGCATCATGGGCAAGATTGAGGGCAGGGGGAACGGCATCAAAACAAGAATCGTGAACTGCTCCCAAATTGCCAAGGCGCTGCACCGGCCGCCGGGGTATATCTGCAAGTTCTTCGGCTGTGAGCTCGGAGCGCAGACCAAGATCAGCGATGATGAAGATGTATACATCGTGAACGGCGCGCATGATCAGAAACTGTTAGCCGACACGCTTGACAAATTCGTGCGGATGTTTGTTTTGTGTCCAAGCTGCAATATGCCGGAGACGGACCTCGTCATCGATAAGCGCGGCAACATATACCACGTCTGTAACGCGTGCGGTGCGCAACATCTCGTTGACATGAGCCACCGCGTGACCACCTACATGTTGAACAACCCCCCTGATGGCGCTAGATCGAAGAAATCTGGCAAGTCGAAAAAGGAGCGGAAGGAGTCGAAGAAAAAGAAAGGGCACGAAAAAGGCTCAAATGTACACGAGGAGGCACCGGATGCGGACGACGCACCTGATTCCGGAACGGACGGCAAAACGAAAAAGAAAAAATCGAGCAAGCGGCGAGATGGGGAAACAGAAGAGGCGTACCGCGAGCGCCGAGCGGCAGAGAAGGCGGCGCGTCGTCAGGAACGTGCTGCGCAAAAGGCTGGTGCGTCTGCTCCCTGGCACGCAAATGGAACCGAAGCGCTCGTTGCACCCACGGATTTGGACGCGTTGGCTCAAGAAGCGGAGGCCATGAACGCTGCACTGAATCAGAGACGTCGCCAGACAAATGCTACCGGCCAGGAGGACTCTGAGCTGGACGAATCCGGTAGCGGCGATACCAGCCCGAGCTCACCAGCCGCTGCGCAGCCGCATGGATTCCCGTCTGATGCGGCTCAGCGGCACGCTGGCGATCGCGGCATGCGCACGGCATCCCACAAGTCCGGTGGGCATCTCGAGAGCGATCGCAATGCGTTGCGTCCAAATGGTGACCACCACTACAACGACGATGACGACCATGAAGATGATGATGACGACGATGACGACGACGGCGAAGACCCGCAAGCAGACGGCGACTGGACTGCACACGACGATCAGACGACGTCCCAAATGAAACTGGCGGCTGCGAGAGCAGCGGCGCTCCTGACCAATGCCGGAGTGAATGGCAACGGGGAATCGCCTCAGCGTGCCGTGAGCAAGACAACGTCGAAACTGGACGAACTGCACCTCGTCAGTAGCAAAGGAACAGTGCAACGCGCTACCACAGATGTGTCCGTGGACGACGAGAAGCTGGATCGTTTTGAAGCGTGGCTTCGCCAAGGTCACCATTCTCCCGCGTCCATTGCCAGCGAAGCGCGCAAATATTTCCCGAACGATAGCGCCAGTGCTGCGCAAGCGATCTTTTGTGCTGTTGTTGCGCACGCCGCGCATCCGGAATGCAGACCCGGAGAATCCCCCGCGCGGCACGCAGTGCACGCAGTCGATGCGCTGCGTGCGCTTTCGCTCAATCACGCAGCACAGGCGCGCCTGTTGGATGCGTTCGAGGCATTGGCGGGGGTCGGATCGGACGAGGCGCGCAACCTAGCGCCCTCGGATGTGCAGCGTGGAGCCAAGCTTAGTCTCCAGAGTCGTCTGAATTCGATACCCCACATCCTGAAACTGTTTTATGATGAGGATATTCTGGATGAACAGGTGATTATCGATTGGTTTACTCGGAGATCGCCAGGTTCATCGACCGCGGCGGGCGAGCGGGCACGGGATGCGGCCAAGCCGCTCGTTGAATGGCTGCAGCAACCCAGCGAGGCAGAGGACAGTACTGAGGAATAGAGGAAAGCATGACTCCACCGAAAGTGAATGCGAAAAACGGATCTGCAAGGAGCGTAAAACGATTGTCGACGGCTTGATTGCGGGTCGCGTGTCGCTGGCGCGCATTCCATATCCCGATATCCGTTCCGAGTCCGTGCAAAGCGCTGCGTTTGAGCATGTCATGGAGCGGAAGCGAGACACTTTTCATTTTGAGGCCGCTTATTCTCGATTCCCTACATAGACGAAGAGCGGTGATTCACGGTCTGTTTAGGTGATCGCGGTCCACGGATCGTCCCGGTCGCGCTAGTGACTGCGTTCGACACCGGCGAGGCGCTCAGCGAGACTGAGCGGACGCGGCGGCAGTACCGGCATCGTGTCGGGCGCCTGCGAGAGACGGGCGTATTGCTCGCTGTCCAGGCGTTGTTGTTGTTGTTGTTTCTCTTGGGCTTTGCGTTGTTCGCTCTCGCGCTGCTGTCGTGCTTGTTCTTTCTGCGCGAACGCAGCGGCGGTGGCGGCGAGGCGATCCCTTTGGATGCGACGGTACAAGCTGACTTGTTCACCAAGTCTCGGGATATTGCGTAGGAAATAGTCCTCTGGACGTTTGCCCGTGCGCGTTTCAAACACATCGACCATGCCGACGTCGTCGATAACGAATTCGGTGTCGTTCGTACCGATATATTCGCTGTCCATCGCAGTGCCAAGCGCGGGTGATCCGGAAGCAGAGGCGGTTGCGGCGCGATGCCTGAGCAGCGCCCGGTACTTGAGACAGAAAAGCGCAGCGAGCACTTGTTCGGTGCTGTGGTCCGCAGACCCGCCCAAACCTAGGTATTGTGAGAGCTTCTGTACGTCTATGGTGCGATAGATGCGTAGATAGGAGCTCAGCTGCGCAGGCAGACCTGATTCGCTCTGTGCAACTTGCTGCAGAAACACCTCACGACAGGTGTTCGCAACGCTCGGTTGCAGAAACTTGGGACACGCATGATTATAAAGTTCTTCGAAAGCACTCAGATCGCCCTGTCGTATGCGCGTGGTGCGATCGCCGAGTTTTTCTCTCAGCCAACTGTTCATGGAATCGTCGAGACGGTTCCGCCCTAGGCACTGAGCTAACGAGAGGAGCGCAAGCATCTGATCAATCCGCTTGTTCACCTGTTCATATTGGAAGGATCGGACGTGGATATGTTTGGTGCGCGTGATGTGCACGATGGTCGGCTGCAACGCTCTAATCGCCTCCTCGTAGCGTCGAAGCATCAGCGCGCTGAATCCTATGTAGTAGTACACGGCTACATGGCAGGCGGTAACGTGGGTATGCAGCCGCAAACGGAGGTCTGTTGATTGCATGAGGCTGCCTTCGGTTCCCGCAGGCTCTGCGTTAGCGGCACTGGGGATAGGTTTTTCTCGCGAAGCCCTGGCAACTGCGGAAATGGTTACAGAGCGAATCCACTCGGTTTCAAATAGTGATGGAGGATCTAAAACTGAAAGCGCCGCGAAGAAATCTCCCGTGGCACAGTGCAAGCGTAATAAACCGACCATCGCAAAATAACCGAGGTAGCGATACAGCAGCGAGTCGGCAGCCAGACAGCGTTCAGGGGCGAGTGTACCTAGATCCTCATCCGCATCCGTTAGGCTCTGGTCTTCAGAATCGTTGGCCATGTCTTCTTCATCTTCTTCTGCAGCTCCAGGTGCACCGCGAAAGTCTTCAGCATCATCCTCGTGGACGCCGATATTGTCAGGGCTCGCCTCCCCAGCTCCGCCCCCGGTATCTTTGGCAGTTTCCTCGGCAGAGTCGCCTCTTGCAGCCGGCGCGATGGAGCCCGTAGCGGCTGTCGCTGCGCGTGCGCCCTCTGCTGTTGCTGTTGCTGCTGCTGCGTTATTCACCGATGCAAATGGGTAGTTGTCATCGGGTTTGGGAGCACCGACCGCTTCTCGCAGCCAGCCGACGATGCCACTCTTCTCTACTAGTGTACTCAGTATCTCTAGAGTTGTTCGGACATTCCACATCGAATTCATGTTCTCCGTTTCGAGCTCTTCAAGCGTGTGCCCATCTTGGCTTCGGGCGCGATACTGATGGTAGTCCTCAAACTGGTAGAGAAACTCGTCGATCAGATCCCAGAGCCAGGAGGCTGGCAGCGCACACTCCTGCAGGTGCCCCTGGGCAAAATGCGCAAACAGAGCAAGATAGTTTGACCACGACTGGGACCTCTGTTTCAGGGTCGGGTGCAGCCTCATGTGCATATGTCTATATCCCAGTTCTTGGTAAAGCAGCATGAATAGCTCGATGTAACTAGGGGCATGCCCAGCAGCAGCGTTCGCCGATTCGTCGTCGTCGTCAGCTTCGGTACCGCGCTGCACCTTGGCCTCCAAATCTCGCAGTAGCTCACGCACAACAGATGATTGCGGCAGCAGGCAACTTTTGTAGAAGCGCTCAGCGATACGCGTGAAGCCACTCTCGTAGAGGCCGTGTACTGCCACGCTGTCACCGTCCACGAACTTGTTATAAAAGTTTACCAAGTACTGCGATACCTCTTCGGGGAGCGTTGATTTCCGCGGATCAACGATTGTTTCAACCATATTTCCGATTCCTGACTACGATCCGGCAACGGGTGGCGTGCGAAGAAACCGAGTCGTTATGCTAGGAGCAAACTGATGGAAGCAGAGTTGCCCCAGTGCGTCGAAGTGCGCACAGTCAGGCAACCGAAAAGAACGCTCTCCAAGGAAACGCGTCTGTAACAGTCTCCGTCTACCCTAGCAACCGACAAACGTTCGCCAGGAACAAGTGCTTGTGAGCGGTATATCGCGAAACTCAGCGATGAGGCGAAGAGCGCAACGTCGACGTTGACTCCGAAGCATGCATCTCGCAACACGCAGCTCTCCCTGCGGCACATCGCGGCGCGCTACGATCATCCAAGTGGCAATGCAAGCGGGATCGCGCGGCGCGCGGCATGCCATCGCAGCGTCACGTGACACCTGAGGAAGGAAACGACGGCGCCTGACTCGGAGACGCTGCTGCATGCGTGCTGCGGCGTTGCTGTCCAAGCACGTGCGTGCAACGCAGTTTGTAGACACGAGGCAAGGCTCCCATAGTCTACCACTGCGGCAACGTTTTCACTATCTTCATGAGTGGTGCTTACCCAGGGCGTTACGGTAGTATGAGCCGCGGTGGTGGTACTGGTGGTGGTGGTGGTGGTGGTGGTGGCTACGGTGGTCACCGCGGCCGTAACCAACGGTTCGGTTCGCGTTACGGCAGGCCGATCCTCAAGCCCGAGAACGCCCTGAACCGGGCAGAGCAGCTTCTGGCAGTGGGTCAAAAGTCTGCAGCTCACGAAGCGTTGTACACGTTGATAACTGAGCATACACCGATAAACGTCGGCGGCCGCGAAGCCCAAGCACTCGTCGCCCAGGCGCAAGCGCAAGCGCAGGCTGCTGCACAGGTGGCTGCGAACGCGGCTGCCGTCGCTCAGGAGCAGGATGAAGGCGGTGCTCGCAGCACAGCTGCTGCAGCTGCAGCTGCGGCCGCGGCCGCTGCCGCAGCTGCAAGCGCGATCCAGTCGTCAACCTCAGGCTGGAGCAAAGTCCACGAGGGTATCATGATGCGGCTGGTTGAGCTCAGCGTTGAGCTTCGCCGGCCACTGGCACTCAAGGAATCGCTACACCGTTACCGTGCGCTCTGCGGAGTCGCGAACACTGCTTCCCTTGAAGCCGTTGTGCTCCATGCAGTGGAGTGCTCTGAGGCGGCGGTGGACGCGGCAAGGACGCTGGCTATGGAGAGTTTCCACGCGAGCGCCGCTGCTCAGAGCCCAATTACGGAGGACGCTGGAGATGCGGAAGGCGACGGGAATGAACTGATATCCGAGGGCACGGACGACATCGTTGCCGATGAGGTTGCTGACAGCGACGACCGCGGCAACGCCACCGACGACGATGCCCAGCCCGCATGGGGCGTTGAGGTGCCCCAAACGCTGCTGCTTGAGGCCAATGGTATGCTTGCGTCTCGCACACGAATAGAGAGACAGCTGCTCGCACCAACCCTTATGTTCGCATGGGAAGTTTTCCGCATGTGCCTGGATATTCTCAAAAATAATATTCGTGTAGAGAAAGCGTATAATGAAGTAGCAGAGCGAGCGCTGCTTTTCACGGCAAAGTTCAATCGGGCAACGGAGTTCCGCCGATTATGCGACATTCTTCGGCAGCACATGGCAGGTTTGGTGCGTACCATTGTGCGCTCGCCGCAGAGCGAGATCGACCAGGTTCATTGGCCGACCGTCCAGCGTATGATTCGGATCCGCTTTCAGCAGGCAGATCAAGCGATGGCCAGTGGACACTGGCAGGAGGCCTATCGTACCATGGACGACCTGCATGAACTTTTGCGGATATGTACGCGAGGTCGCAGCCCTGAAATTTTGGCTGGTTACTTTGAGCGACTCGCAACTATCTTCGAAACGACTGACAATCTACTTCTGCATGCACTTGCGCTTTACAAGTTGTATCTGGTCCGGCAGGCTGCCGCAGAGGCTCTCCAGAACCAGGATCCGAACCAGGATGCGGACGGGCAGGTTCCAGGACCCTCGTCGGAGACGCCACGAGACACAGCAGTTCGACTTTTGGTGGCGACGCTTTCCATCCCCGTCAAGGAGCTCTCTGCTCACAGTAAGGTCATGGAAGTCTTCGCCGATGCAGCGACGCTAACGAGCTTTGAGCAGGCGCGTCAGGCCAAAATGCTAGACCTGTTGCAGTGGCCAAGCGCGGCCTCTGCGGGCTCGAACGAGGCATGGGATCGCTTGATTTCAAATCCAACAAAATCGTGGCTGATCGGAGAAGTTATATCCAATGGTATTGAGGAGGCGTGCCCTGAAGCGCTTCGCGAATTGTTGTACGAATTCATCGATCCGGGACTGCTCCGCTGGAAGCAAGCGGGCAAAGCTCGACTTGGAACGCCACAGTCGCTGGCTGCTAAGGCACAGCGCTGGTTCACCAGTATGCATCTTGACGTCGGTTCCGAGGTCGCCGGAGTTACTGGCTCAGGCGGTGTCGATGGCACCGGTGGCGACTGTACCGGGGCGGGCGCACCCAGCAGCAAACCTGGCCAGAGCGCACGTGCCTCCATGATGCCGCTGAGTCGTGCCATCATTGCTGAGCTTTTGTTACGAATCGCTCAGTACTACGACAGTTTCTTGCTGTGGGAGCTTCGCTCTATGGTGAATTTCCTTCCGTTTGTGCAGGTGCATGCCATCGTGCTCGAATTTCTTCGAGCGGAGCTGGTCCCATTTCGCCTGGATTTCCGAAAGGGTGTCCTCTATCGCTTCTGCAGAACCATAGAACAGGAGGAGCTGGGCGATGCTCTTTGTCGCATTGCCACGCGCCTGCAAGCAGCGGCTAGCACCATCACACAGCGAGCATCCACAGCGGACGAGCATGAGATCCGTATTCTGAACGCCAAAGAGGCAGCATTTCCGTTGGAGCGCTTGGAGAGAGAGCAGCAGCGGCGCGTGACGCAGTTGGAAGTGCTGCAGTCATTCCTGAAGCAACTGGATGAGGTTGCACAACGCATGGAACGCGAGGAGCAACGCCAAGCGCAGCTTGAGGCCGCAAGACACGCCGAGGAAGAAAAGCGGCGCCTCGCAGAAGAGGCGCGTCGTCGCGAGCTCGAAGCGATCCGGCGCGAAATGGAAGAGAAAGAGCAGGCTGAATTGCGGCGTCTGAAAGCTGAAATGGATGCACGCCGAAGAGTCGGCCTCTCAGCGAGTGGTGCAGCGGCTGGGCTTGCGCTGCCCTCAAGTGTTGCTGGGATAGAATCCACCGCCGCCGGAGCGTCCCTAGGAACCGTTGGTATCGGAGTGGATAGCGTGGGCGGGGCTGGCGGGCCAGCGCGAAGCGTCTGGAGTCGCAGCGGATCCGGGACAGCGGCCGTGCTTTCCGGTGCTCGTGCAACAAGCGCGCTGCCTGGTGTTGCCGTCGACTCTGTGCCGGGCATCGGTGCCGGTGCAGCAGATGGCTTCACGGCGGTTGGCGCCGATGCACTGGATCATGACGGTGATCGCCTCAGTCGACAGGAGCTTTTGCAACAGCAGCAGCAGGAGCGTCTCCAGCAACGCAAGATGCTCGAACAAAAGATATTCCAGCTGTCTCGTCGAATGGACTATTTGGATCGTGCGCTCCACGAAAAGCAGGCGACGCATCTGGATCAGGTTCACAAGGAAATGGTACGCGAATTGATTGCACGTCGGCAGTCGGCAGCAACCTGCCGTCTGCGTCAGCTGCAGGAGCAGTTTGAGAGCGATCTTGCACGCCGTGCGCGGCTGGAGAGCATTTTTAGGGATCCGCTTTACCAGAAGGCTGTCGATCACATCAAAGAGGAGGCTCGGGCACGTGCACTGCGTGAGTGGAAGCCGCGTCAAGGCAACGGTTCTCCGAATCAACAGACGCCTATAGGCAATGTATCCGCAGAAGAAACCCCTGCAGAGCAGACACCTGGTCGCACAGCAGCAGCAGCAGCAGCAGCAGAACAACAACGACAACAACAACAACCACGGAGCGACACTGGGTCCAATGGAGTGCCTGCTTCTGCGTACGAGGCAGCGGCGGAACATTCGCCGACAGCGACTGTCCCGTATCCCAAACAGGTGCCTCTGGCGGGTACACCCACTGGCAATACCGTGAGCGCGACTCGCTCGAGCGGCGATAACCACTCGGGGCCTGAGCGGCCGGTGCCACCCGCTGGAGAAACAGTCTCCGAACGTGAACAACAAGCGCGGCACGCACCTGCACCTGCACTTGCACCTGTAGCGCCCCGTTCTGGCATTGTGACGATCGTTCACGCTGCGGACAAGGGTCTCCTCGGTGATCAGCCGTTTGTCACGCCATCCACGGCGACGTCAGCTGGAATCCCGGCCCCGAAAGCGACAGGAAATGAAGAGTCGAGCCAAAGGCGTGGCTACGTACCGCCACACTTACGCCGTCAGCAACAGGCACCACAGCGTCTAGCTGCAAACCAAGAACCAGAGCAACGAGCAGGGCTAGGTGCCAGGGCCGGGCCACGGCGCGGTTTTGGCTTCACGGACTCGAATCCACGCCCGTCTTCATAGTCGTCGTCGTCGTCGTAGAAAGTGCTTCTCTTGGGCGCTTTCCCTCGTTACGACTAGGCGGCGTCACGTCGAAGCGATCTTCGCTCGGTCTGTGCCATGAATCCCTGTCGAATCGGAGCCACCGACCGAGAGGAGCCGCAGTTTTCGCACTTCATAAAGTAGAGCCGCGTATGGGCATCGCGCATGAGCACGGTCTCGGGGCTCTTGCAACTCGCACACATGACGTATTCGCGGATGTAACGCCGCAGCACACCCTCGAAACCAGCGGGCTGGAATCGCCCTTTGAGAACCAGACGGGCACTCTCCTGCAGATTCCCGGTGGTGCCGAGCTCAGCGGCCATGTAGGCTGCCAAGTGCTCCGGTTGTCGACGCAGTGACTGGCATATATCCCCAAAATTAAGGAAAACGGTACGCTTGGAGCCTTCTCGTGCAATCTGCGGAGGTCGTAGCGATAAGCGGCGACGACCGTCCGGGTTCCCGCCCAGACCCGGGTGCCGTCCGTGGAGCATGTCGAAGATGCGGCGAAGGAGCTCGTCGTAGGTGTAGTCACGATCCGTACCTTGCCACGGCTCCGCTGCCTCCATATTGTTTTCATGGCTAACGCTGCTGCTGGACGTCGTGATGGTGCCTGCGTTCACCGCTGTCCCGCTGTCGACAGGCGACGCCGCTCGATCGCCGTCGGATTCGACCTGGAAGTGCACGTGCCGTTCTGTCGGAGCCTGTTCCGAGTCAAGCGCAGTTGTCGTATCCCCGGCATTCGTTCCTTGTTCTACAGGTTTCTTCTTCTTCTTTTTCTTCATCGATGGGTCGAACAGCAGCGGCTCCGCTGTGTTCAAAGCAGCAGCGGTGTCCGCAGTTGCGCCGGCGCCAGTCGACGCGGACACCTCGGCAAGGTTCCCGCTCGACTCCTGGAAGGCACCATTTTCATTCGGGGGCATGTTAGACGTCCAGGTGCACGTTTGGAAAACTGCTATCGAGACTTGCGGAAACGCCTGCACCGCAGTAAGCAGCTCTGTTTTTCCTCGCAGAACGCGTAGCGTACAGCGCAAAGCGTCAGCGCGGCGGTGGATGCGGCGGTGGCGGTGGCGGTGGCGGGCGCCCCGCCAGTGTGTGTGTGTGTGTTTGTGGGTGCTACCTGGGAGCCGAGTCCTAGTGTTGACTCCCGGGCATCGCTGTGACGATGTTTACCATGAAGGTTGTGATTCCTGGAATATCTATAACAGGGCTGGTGCTTGCCTCCGATAGTTTTTTCTCGATGGTATGCCCTCAAAGGAGCATATCGTGTAGACTGGGGTACCGCCATGGGGAAGCTGGATGCTAGAGCTGCTCTCTAGAATAAACCGAACTATTTTTTGATTTTTGTTGTGCATACGCGAGAAGCGTGCATTTGGGCACCTGTTCATGGAGTTGGAAAAGGAAACGACAGATACGTTGCGTCGCTTGGTGGTAGCGTATGGCGCTGGATTGCTAACGATCGGGAACAATTGCAGCACACCTGCACCGTTGACGTGCGTGTCCAATGCGTGCAAGCATCGATGCTGCACGATTCCCATCGATGTGTTCAGAATGCTATACAAGTATCACAAGCAACATTGCACGCTGAAACAGGTGGACCATACCTGCGTGAAACAGAGCTGGATGCACGGAATGGAGTGCGGCAAGCGGAGCGAACGTCAGACGGCGAGGCAGTGGAAGGTGACCGGCATTCTACGCTGCGATTCTCTGACACCTAGTGCATGGTATCACTGTCTGCTCCGAAACTTGACCCTATAAGATCAACGTCCGGTAATATCTTGTGTTTTCAGAGCGTCCAGCGGCTTTACGTCGAGCGCGCTTACCAGGGAATATGGGAGTACTCAGTATAGGCAGTGGTGTGAAGCGCGGAAGACTTGTGACTAAAAAATCAATGTGCTGGAGAAAGTGATTGGAAACTCGTCTAGTGCGAGACACTGGTATCAGGTGGTTCAACAATCAAGCCCGAAAAACTGAAGCGCCGTCGATGCATACTCGGAACCATTTTCCTGCGCAACTGGTGTACCACACCATCGTGATCCATCATGATTCGATAGATACCAGGGAAAAGGCCTTGTGTACGTTGGGCACGTTCGCGTTTTGCTGCTGAACCGTGTGTGGGGCTCGTTGGTCTCGTAGGGAACCGGAGGATGGACGCGGGGAGCAGGTCGGTTTCCAAGAGATGGACCTAGAGAGTGAGTGGCGAGAAAATCCACACGAAACTGCGCGGTTCGAAGTGCTGCTCGAGCGCGTACTCGGCAACGGCACTGACTCGGACACTGTGACGACTCCTGAACCGTCGTTGAAGGTACCAGCTTCCTCGTTGCGGTTGCAGCTGGCTCCACAAGCTGGCGAAAGACTTGACTGGGAATCAGAGGCGGACGCTGCACACCACAGAGGAAACGAGGCGTTTCGCGCGCGTTTCCTGTACTACGCGTGGCTCGAGTACACCCGTGCGTTGCTCTCTAAACCAACGAACGCAGCTGTGTATGCGAATCGAGCGCAGGTAGATTTGCTGCTGGCACAATCCGTTCCCGAACATTCGCTATCAACTGCTGTTGACTGGTACCAGCAAGCGCGGCGAGACGCACGACACGCGTGGGGTTGCCTCGGCGGGAGCGTTACCGCTGAAGGCAACCCTGACTGGGACGAGCGCTCTGCCACCGCGTCTATCCCTGAACCCAAACTAGCCCGTTTGCGATGGAAGGTGTGTTTACGGTACGCAGCAGCGGCTCGCGGACTAGGTTTGGTGGCTGAGGCAGACGCCGCAGCTGCGAGCGCCCAGCGCCTGAAACTTGCTGCGCGAGCGTCTCAGCAACGACAGCGAAACGCAAGCTTCTAGCGTATGGAAGAGCGCTGCGAATGGGCCGTTTGCTGATCCAGCGAAACCTGGTTGCATCTGCCGAAACCCAGACGGCAACGCGTGACTTGACTCTTGCGATACCCCGAGCTGTGGATGAGGTCTGGGATCGCGTGCTCAGGATTCGTGTCAGTGGCGGCGCTTGTGTGCGACACGTGTGGACGCGCATCTGAGCATACTCGTGAAAGGCAACTGGCACAGAGAGCCCAGCTCGGCACCTGGCGAAGACTAATACCGCCGTCTCCGCAAGTCGTCGATGTGCCTTTCCTGGTATCAGCGAACGATACAGCGGTTTGCAACGCCTTCAAGTCCATGCATTGTACATGTATGCCGCACGGTGCAGAGTAGGATAGCCTAGTATTTCACGAGTTTGTTGCCCGACGCCGTCGATACCGACATGACTTTATATCGTGCGAGGACGTGCACCCGAACCTGCGGATTCTTGGCGAGGCCATACCGCCGGTGTCAAGGCCCGCGTCATCGCCTGAGGCCGTTCGGTATGCGCTGCGACAGGTGTTGGCGGGATCATAGATCATTTGGGAGCACACGTCTTTCCATCCACATTCCGAGTGCCATTCCATTGATCAAACGCTATGAAGGAATAGAGTCGATGCTTCGATCAAGAATAACCGAGTATGCGGGCGCTCTCAAGCAGCAAGCAGTACATGACAGCGTACGCGCCAACTGCGCGTCTCGAATGGCTGCGTACCGAAGCTGTCGGCAGGAGGCGGTCGTGCCGCGATACCCGCGATTCCGGTCTATGGTCGCCGCCGTTGCCTTTTGGTGCCAAGTGCGGTGCCTCTAGCTGACACGTGCGTCCCGAAGACCCTGGTTCAACGCATACGTTACAAAACCGAAAAAATTGGTAGGTTTCGCACCGCCACCAACGGCTGGTCGCTCGTTGGCTTCACCAGGGCCGCACCACGCGCTCAGTTGGCCACCTGCACCGAGGCCTCGGACGCTCACGAGCGCTCGGAAACGCTTCGGAGGAGCTGCTCTTCTCAACAGTTGACAGAGGGGCTTGCGAACTGTGCGGATGCAGTTATGTGCTTGTTTCCTACGCGAGTTGCTTGCGTGCGCGTGACGGAGGCGTTCTGTCACGGACACGGCGGGTTTTACCCGGCCGCAGCGCTGCTCGACCAAATCGTCGCACTGATCGAAAGATGGCAACCCGGCTCGAAAGCAAACTTGCGAGGCGTCAACAGCCTGGTTGGTGGTTCACCCACAGGCACCTCGTGGACCGCTGAGGCTTCGTTGGTTGACAACCCCCAAACCGGGGCCCGGAGCACCGCGGTCACCTGCTCTCGGGGAAAGCGGCCGCTACTCCCCGAACGTATCAGTTCGGCAAACACCCCGTTTGAACTCGTGCAGGCACGCTTTCGGGAGATCGTACGACCACCATGTGATCTGGTTTTACGAATTGAGCGACACGAGGACGGTCCGCGAGGTCGCATGGTATTCGTGACGGCTCGTAGCGCGTCACGACTAGTCGCGGATGTATGCTTCATGTTGCCCGCAGGGTCAGCGTAGAGCGTCATGCAATCCTCCAGGAGGAGCGCTTTGGTGTACGCGCACCAGCTGCTGCACGTGCACAAGGCGAGCAGCTGTTTCATCTGCGCATATAGCACTGAGGCCAAGCTCCTGGCCCGATGCATAGAGCATGCGTATCTCTATGTCAGCATTGGGGTTGCTGCACGCCCTGGACACGCCATCACGTAAAAGCGCCTGTTCTGAATGGTGCTCGCTATGGCTCTGCTACCGTAATCGCAGTTCCCCGGTAGCTTATCGCTTGTCAAGCAGCAAACGACGATTACGATACCATCCGAGGAACCCAAGCGCAGCACTCAATGTGAACCAGGTCATACTGTATCCAGCGTGTGTCTCCGGTGAAATGTAGAACTGACAGAGTTCAGCGGTTAACGGGCGGGAGACGGACAAGTCGTGGAGCGGATCGTTTTGCGCAGTCTCTCCTGGGATGGTGCTTGCCGGCTCTGCGAGCTCCGCAAGCAGCAGCTCGCCCCCAAGATCGGTAGGATCAAGACGAAACCACTTGTGCTCCGCGGGGTGGTTGCGAGGTATAAAGAATGTCGAGCGCTCTGTTTTCTGCAGAACGGCAATCAAGCTGTTCTGGTGTTCAACGTGACCGGTGAGGTTTTCCTCGACCTGCCGAACACGCTGCCAGTACTCATTGACTTCCAAGCGCGGAATCCAGCCCCGATTGACGAGGACAGGCCAGTTTATCAAACCGCCGTCCAGTTGAGGCACGTTCGGCTGTTCCGTGCCCGCCACACGGAAAGGTGTTACGACAAAATAGCCGTATGGATCAGCCGCAGACGCTTGTGCTCCTTGGTCGCCGCGTGGGCAGGGACGCGGCCCGACTAGACGAGTTTCGTGGTGAACCCACTCGCCCTGCAAACGAACCAACCGATAGGGTTGTGTTTCGAGTGTTCCCCTGTCCTGTGAAAAGATAGACTCATCGAGCGGTGGAAGTGCAACTTGCTCCCTGCAATCGTTGAGTTGTTCGATTTTCTCTCGACGACGATCGAGCTGCCACAGTCCAAGACCAAGCGTTATACTCGCTGGTACATAGGAAATCAGTCTGCTCCATGCTCGAGGGTAAATCATGCACGAGAGCCAAAAACCCCTGCCGCATCACAGGGAGAAGCGCAGTCAACGCATTGTTGAACGTGCTCGCTGGCTGGGCGTGCTGTCGCCGCAGGACGCCGCCGCAGGAGCGCCAGCGCTCTGAACGCTGCCCGCAGGCCCTGCGGATACCCGGCACGCTTCTGGTGTGTATCGGGCAAAACAGGACGCTGAAACAGACCACAAACCGTTGCAAGGAACCGCAGCTGCAATGACGGAGACGACCTACGCGAGTCGAGTGTCCGGTGGAGGCGAGCTCATCCAGAAAAAAAAGCGTCTGCATGCGCAGTTGCTTCGATGCGGCGAGCTGTTCAACGAGTCCTAGGCGGAAACGCGTCTGTTGTCGTCGTTGCTGCATCCATGAAGTGCGATACCAGTATTGTCGTGGAAGCTGCACCCGCACACTGACTCCATGCATGCGCTTTGCGTTCACGAAACACGCTCGGGGAGCGGGTTGCGGCGGTGAACACGAATCGAAGGGACGTTGGTCATGTGCAAGTGGTACTGAGCAGCACAGGCGTCGCTACTTTGGTGCACGAGCGCGAGTGTCCAGATCGGATAGCGTTCCCGCGGACGTAGCGGGCAGCAGTGCGTATCGCGCTACCCACAAGTGCGTCGACGAGGTACCCGAAGGCGAGCAGCATGCCGTCGAGGTGCGCCCTAGGAGCAAGTGTACTCGCGCGCGCTCTCTCTCTCGCTCTCAAGTCGCAGGCAATGGATCCAGGAACGTGCGCTAGTCCGCGTATCTCTGCCGGCTCTGTTGACAGCATCGATTGTATACACCAGGATACGATTGGTTGCTTCGCTAAACAAACTTTCAAAACAATGGAACACTGGCGCAGGCGTCAGGGCGTCGCGCACTGCAGCATAAGGGAAGAGTGCTTTTGGAGTCACTGCTGCAACATATGGAAATAAGGACTCCAGGTCGACTCGCGTAGCATGGCTGCGGTAAGGCCTGCCGCCCGCCATGCGCCTCTTCTGCCTCGTACGCAGCGGCGTTCGGACGCCGAATTCTCGCGTCCAGTTCTTTTTTTCAGATTCCAAAACGTTTACATTGACCATGCGTCCCAGAATTCGCAATGGATAATGGCGCTCGGGAAAGCGTCCATCATGAAGCACCAGCCTTCAAGTTCCATTACCCATACTTCCTCTCGGATAGACTGGTCGTTACGTATATTCTATCGTGTGCCGAGTGTCTGCCTCGAGCACCCGCCATAGCGCTTATATACCGCTGAAGCAGGTGCTGCACGGAGACAGAACGGCGCTGCCGTACCAGTCAGGGCGTCGGCTCGAGGCGTGATTCATCCGACGCGGGGTCCGGGAACATAACCATTCTAGGAGCCTGCGACAGTGCGAACCGATCTACTAGGAGTCCACTGCGACCAGGGCGACGCCCGGATGCAGCTTTACTGCGTCTATTCCCAGAATGAAATGCGTTGTAGAGGAGCTGCGCACGTCTCGCCACAGCACCTGCCACAGAGATAAGCATGAAGCACTAGCTAGCCCTGCAGACTCGTCCGGCTCGCGGGACCTTCCGCCGAGAAGGTAAACCTTCGAAGATACGGAAGCTTTTCCCCTATCAACGCTTATCATACAGGTCGAACGAAACTGTTATCGAGTTGCTAGTCAGTGGTTAGATTCTGTTCTTTCTTCCCCAGGAGAGTGCTCGCAGCTCAGGGGCAGGCACCCTCGCATCCACTGCTGCTGCAATGCGATTCGCAGACCCGAAGCCGCAGGCGTCGATACAGACACCGTGCTGCGCCAGCCAGTCGCAGCCTGCTCGCTTCGAGGCGATACCACGTCCAGCGAGCCAGTCGTGCAGCGCGGGAGGCAAAGCGGTTTCCATGGCTCCCGCCAAGAGCGACGAGCAAGTGGTGCCAGACGTGGCTTCCGAACGAGGCACACCGCAGAGAACAAGTCTGGAAAGCTTGTTCGAGGAAGAGTCGCTCGCACAGGGAGAAAGGGTACGTTCGCAGGTATCCCGCCTGGGGCTGCGTCGAGCACCTCCCCTGGCTAGTCAAGGCGACGAAAGCATAGAAACTGCTGCGAGCCTTCCTGAGACGGAGGTTGAGTCTTCCGTCCAGACAGAGAGCAGGCAACGCAGCGAAAGCGTTGGCGTCACCGTGGACCTGGAGCAGGTCTATAACCGGTTGCGCGACTCGCAGACGGGTCTGCAGCTTGCTGACCGCCGCTGGCGACTAATCACGTATTCCCGCTGCTTCGTCGGATCCGAGGCGGTTCAGTGGATGCAGATCAACCTGGGAATATCTCGTGAAGAGGCCATTGACCTGGGCCAGCGACTGATGGATGCTGGTTTGTTTCACCACGTGACCTACTCGGAGCCGTTTCGTGATGGAAACTTCTTTTACGCTTTCCAAGAGGACGAGGAATCGAACGTTCTGAATACGAAACTAATATGGGATCCGACACGGCGGCCACGGGACCCGGTTGTCGTGGCAAAAGAGCTGATTACCCGCCTTGCGCTGCTCTGCGAGGTCTTTCGCCATCCATCCAATGCGAACGAGGTCGACTTTGAAAGTCTCCGGTCGAGTGACGCGTTTCGCAAGTACACCTTTGCGGCAGCTGAACTCCAGCGGGTCGATTTAGGGCCGCTCAGCCCGGAAGAGCGCCTCTGCTTCTTTTGCAATGTGTACAACGCGCTCTGCCTGCATGCTCACGTCGTCCATGGACCACCGAATACCGTGCTTCGGCGATGGAGCTTCTTCAAGTCGCTTAGCTACCGAATAGCGGGAATGGACTTTACCCTTGATGACATTGAACACGGTGTTTTGCGCGGGAATCAAACCCGTCCCTATGGCTTGATCCGACAGTTCCGGCCGGGCGACCCCCGCATGCAGTACGTGCTGAGTCGCCGCGACCCGCGCATCCATTTTGTGATCAGCGCGGGTACGCAGAGCGATCCGCCCATGCGCATTCTCGATGGCGAGAATATCGATGAAGAACTTCACTTTGCCACAGAATCGTTTCTCGAAGAGAGTTGCAAGGTATCCGCATCTGCTCTTGAGGTGACGTTGCCGCGAATTTTTTCTTGGTATCGAGACGACTTTGCCAAGGGGAATCTTGAGCTTTTACGATGGATTTTGCCGTACCTGGGTCTGGAGAAGCGGCGAGCGCTGGAGTCGATGCTTGACAATGCCAAGAGTGACTCGAGCATATCGATACGATACGAGGCATTCACCTGGAATGCAGGGGCCCGCTTCAGTGCTGCCATTGTTCGCCGCAAACGCAGACGATTGGAGCAGGAGCGGGCGTCATCGCAGCCGCCTGCCGACGAGGAACCTGCTGCGGCTACTGCCGCAAGCCCTGTTTCGAGCAAGCCAGCGTAAATACGCGCTCATCACTCCTACGACGCAGAAGTCTTTGTTTCAGATCGGAGTCGTCCCAGTTCATGTTTGATGAGCTGGCTGCGTCGCTTCCTTGCAACCATCACGCGAAACCGATCAAAGTCGGTTAACCGGGCACGCACTCGTTGCTTTTCAACCTTTTGACCCCATGCAGTTTCCCGGAAACGCTGCACAGCCTGCTGCGCCTCAAGAGCTTTCCGTACGACGCTCGTTTTGCAAGCACGAGGCAACTTAACGACCACGTCCGTCAACTTCAAGCGCTTCACGTTGATGACCGTACGAGGGACTCCGGAGTCGGCCGTGGCATCAATCACAACATGACCCTGATCCTGGATATCCACGATAACACAGATCTTGTCAGCATGCTCACCGTAGCTGATAATACACAGTCGGCCAACTTCCACAAACCTTTTGAAAGCCATTCCTGTTCGTGTGAACTGCGTACCAGCGAGGCAACGCGGTAAGGAGCTAGTTGCAAAAGCACGCGCGCCCGTCGTGGACGACCATGCAGGCGTCCGCCGATCGATCGGCGGCTCATGTGGGATAAACCTGAATCTTTAGGAACAAAAATGATAATTGTGGAATGAAACTGACACACAGCACGTATGACGTCGACGGGTACTTCCAGCTGCGAGGCTTGACGTACATGCTTCGTTTCGTGCGGGGCGTCACGCGTGACCACAGCGTTCATGAACAGCGGGGCTGTCGGTCTCTGGCGGCGACAGACCTGGGCTCTTTCTGCGCTTTCACGGGCTGCTACAGGGCTATGTCCAGCCCTGCGGCCGCTTGCAACTGAGGCGACTGACACCAACGGCAGTAGCGTCGGCAGCGGCGGCAACGGCCAAACGGCTGCAACGGGCAGGCCTGAGGACGTTTCCGCAGAACGAACGTCGGTCACTGCACCGCCACAGTCGTTCCCAGTAGCTGCGGAGCTCGTCGGCATACCGCGAAACGTTTACGACTCGTTGCCAGAACCTGTGCAGACGGCACTGCTCGCGGAGTTCGCCACAGGGGAACAGCTCCAGACCTGGCGGGAGCGCGTTGCAGTGAGAGCCTTTCAGCGACACGAACTCGACACGGGCTCTCCCGAGGTGCAGATCGCTATTCTGACCACTCGCATAGCGAACCTGACCCGACACTTGCGACTCCATAGGAAAGACGTGAGGACGAAACGAAGCCTGGAGCATATCGTCGCACAACGCCGAAGACTTTTGCGATACTTGTTTCGCACAGAACCAGGGCGCTATGAGGACACCGTGGAGCGACTCGGTATTCGCTCGGGTTCTCTTGTGGATCCACAGACAGAACGTCGTGCACGTCGACCCGGTGATCTGAGTGTACCCACCGGCAACCGTAATCGACCTTGAGCATGACACCACATGATCGCTGCAGGTCTCTAGATGAGGGCAGTACCGACCCACGTCGACGTCGTCGTGTTGGTAGAAAAAAAAGCCATGCGAAGAGAATGATGCGCTGATGAATGCGCTCCCAGCAAGAATGCATACTGCCGGGAGGCGTTTTGCGCTACGTTGGACGCCTACGAAAGGGGCGAGAGCGGCGGCCCTGGCAGTGAACCGTTGGCGCTGCTTCGGCGCTGTTGGATGAGGTGCTTTGAACCAATCCAAGCGCTTTCCAAGTCGGTCAGAGATGACGGCGACAACAGAATTGAATAGAATTGAGAGGTACTCGTGTCTACCCCGGTTGTCGTTCTGGTGCTGGCGGCAGGCAATATCGGTTTCAGCCGTAAACGCTTCGCTGCATTCCTGGTCGAGCAGCAGCAGACTCGCGTCGAGCTGATCTACGAGGTCGTTTCTGCCGCTCCAGACACAGACACACACACACACAGAGCCATATGCGCTGTGACTTTTCCCTGTCCAAGCTTTTGTTCTGCGTTCTTCGAGACAGTTATGGGCCAAATAGCTCCTGATGCTCTGTTGCAGTTCCTGTCGACGCCATTGTCGAGCATCCTTTGCCGCAGGTCAGGACGAGGATCGCTCGTCCTCAGAGTGAATCCGACGGCCGGTGGCGCCGCTCGTTGTGCCCACTCGACCCTTCCCGTAGAGGTCGTTGCCACCGATGAGCACCAAGTCTGAAGCACCGGCGCCACGCACCGCCGGCGTTCGGCTGCGAGTGCTAGGTTTTCGCTCCCTCTCGGGTTTGTACACGAACCAGTAGAAAACTGCGCCCGCAATCGACCAAGCAAGCAGGTTCCTGCTAAGCGGAAGCTGAAACCCCATGGCCACGTCCAGCACGTTTACCAAACAAACTCTAGTTCTATTCAGGGACGCCTTTTTTCCTCGACAAAGCGAACGAGGTACCGCGACCAAACCCAGTTAGCCAGCGTACGCTATCGCGTCGCTTGGTCGCTGCGTGAACCGCACGAAACCTGCTGCTCCTGTGGAAGTGTACTCGACTCGGACGAAAACTGACTGCCAGTGTCACGAGAACCCTGCGCGAATTATTTTCATGGACAAAACGTTTCCTTAGGCCAGCGATCTCCGATTATGCGCTTTTCCTTTCTTTTTGTGTTTTTTCTCAGTGCACGGTGAAGTATCCATCAAACCCCTACCTCCAATTTACATTTCCTATACTTCATCTCGGATATTCTGGTCATCTCACAAGTCCTATCGTGTGCCGAGCCTGCCGAAAGAGACCGCAATGGCGCGTGTAGCATCGGTGCGGTCGCTGCACGGAGACAGGACGGCGTTGCCGTACCACACAGAGGGCGTCGACTTGAGGCGTGGTATCGAGAGTGTCCCTGTTGTCTCGTCTTCTGGGGTCACCAGTATCATCCACTACGCAGGGATACCGTCGATGCCAGGTGTTTTGCGGTTGCTTGAGCATAGCACGGTCCGAACAGATTCAGGCCAGAAGATTGGGTCGTTCCATTCCGGTACCGGGTCGAGGCGCGGTAGTTGTGCAGCATATCGGTGCCAATAGATTCTGTCCTGGCAGTGCCCAGTTGCGTCTTCATGCAGCTCTGTCCAGTGGTCTGTGCAGGCCTCATTCACTGAGGCACTCTCCGTCCTCAGCGCCTCCTTTTAACAGTTGGTGTGAGCCCCAGGCACTTTTTTGGTGGGTCCAGTCTCGATCGAATATAGCGCCAGGTCTCATTCTCGTTGGTGCTCTCTAGCATAGATTTCGCCAGGGAGGCGATTTTGCGGTTTCGATCCTCTCGTTTGTCTTCTCTGGGAAGTTTCTTCTTTCTTTTGATAGCATCCTCATGTTCCGCCTGTAGCGCCGGTAGCGCTGCCTTCGGTTCCTCTTCTCCGGCGTTGGCATGTATGGCGGTGCGGTTGACGATCTTGTTGAGTCGGTGGCATTCATCATTCCGAGTTTTGGTACGTCGTTTCAAGAACTGAGGTTTGCAACTGTTGTGTTCTGGTCCAAGCAGTCCCAGCTCTCTGGCAATCTTCTGATTCCCATCTACAAACTCGCGTCCTAGTTGGTCTCAAAATCTGCATGCACGGCTTTTCGGATCTACAGCGCTGTGAGTAAGTGACTGGGTTTGGCGACGGCTTTCTTGGGTTCCCGCTGGGGCACTCTTTCAGGGGATCACTCATGATGGGTTCGTTCGGGAGTTCTTCTCTCTATTCTTCTGTTTTTTCTTGTTGGTCTTCTTCTTCTTCGGGCTCTTTCCTGAGCTGCTTTCTCTGGATATTTTGCATCTAGGTGGATCATGAGGTTTCTGTGCCTCCTTCTCCGTATCTGGTTGGGTCTCTTTACCTAACGCAGAGTCCTCCACTTGTATCAGTTCTTCGTTACAGTACTGGTAATTCGATATCTCGTCGTCTAGTATCGAGGCTGTCCCACAAATATTCCATGATGCGAAACTTATCGAGTCGTGGCGCGTAAGGGAATAGGAGTAACGCTGCGGTGCTCCAGAGATACGTCGTCGATTTAGGTGCACCCTCGACGAGGTGTGTGAACGCACATGCCACAAGCGCCTCCCGCATTCCAGTCGTTCATTGAGTGCTTGGCGCAGCGCTAGCATAGAATCAGAAGTACTCTAGTCAAGGTCGATTCGAATGCGACCGTTACGCTGCCGGACGCGTGAAGCTACCCGCAACCACAGGGGATACTCTATGAACCACCCTTTCAGCAGCTTCGTGTCCGCTCCCCAAATACATAGGCGGGCAAGTCGCTTATTCCAGCTTCGACCGCGAACATGCTGCCAGCCGTCTTCCAAAATATCCGCCGAGATTGTTTCCAAAGTTGAGGTAGGTACCCATGGTAGGTGGTAAAACGGAGCCCGAGTTCGAGGATGGATCTAGGATTTGCGCCCGAACCTGCAGCGTTATTTCGAGAGCAGCGGATAACTACTCAGAATTCTCGTCAATATTTTCTGCTGCTACTGCCTCCGCCCCTCCGTTCGTTGCGGTCAAGGTCCGTGTCGTGGGCTCCCTTCGTTGTCGCACGAACACCACGGTTTAACCCACTTTCAGAGCTTCTGCGGAAAAACTGGACCCCTTAGGCGGGCGTGATGTGTAGAGCTTTAAGATAGTTGGTCTTTAATAAATAGTTTGCGACTAGTTTGCATTGCGCTCGGTGAGCACGCCTGGGAGATCCGGCAGGCATGAGACACGACGCACATGTTGCCGTTGAAGGGGAACGTGATCCTGATCTCTAGCATGTAGATCTAATGTAAAAGTTGTAATTTCTTTAACTTCATAGCCAAGTACAGTTTTTCAGTTCATTTTTGTTTCAAACCTCAAGTAAAAATATTCAATTGATTTTTAGCAGTATATAATAGAAGCGTTCAAAGAGCGTCCTTTTTCACAAAACAAAAAAGGAAAGTCATGAAAAAGCAAGTTCACGATTCTAGAGGCCCAGGGTCGCCGGCTGCCAGAAAAAAACAAAAAACAGTGCCGAGTCCAGAAGAAAAGGAAGAGAAGAAGGACCGAAAGGGGAGGTCGTACGTCGAAGGCGGCAAGATAGACGGCTGTACGACGAGATGGTGGTGAAAACCTTTCTTCTTGGACATATCAAGGATCCCTACAGAGAAAAGTTGCGAGACGCTATCAAAAAACGTGTCGACTCATACTCCAAGAGTATTGTCAAGGCGTCGTCAGGACTGATGCATTTGGCGAGGGAGATGTATCGCGACGTGACGGACATGGAAACGGTCGAGATTCCAGACGAGTTCTTCGACAAGACCTTTATTCGTCAGCTGATGCTTGGTACAGAGGAAACGCGGAAGGAAAATGAGCGGGTTCACGCTCTTCACGAAAACTTCGCGGAATTCCGCTTCGAGAGTAATCGATACAGAGGTGATCGGGATATTTAGACATACGGAGCGAAAACGCACATCACGAGTCTGAAGTACCATTTGACAGTGAACCTCGAACGTTTCATGATACGCGCCGTGGTTGCACTCTACCCGGGCATCTCTCGCAAAGGAATATGGGCGATTATCAATGGCATCACGAAAGATCGTAAGCATGAAGATGAGATCGAATGCGTCGACAAGCAGGCGTCAAACGAGGGCACGAATGAGGATTCTGTAATCCGTGCGGCTAAACAAGAGCATCGTGCGGTACTGGGGCTGGCGAATCCAACAGACAAGATATCGGAGTTGAAAAAAGAAAGATATTATCGCCTCGTCCTGCTCTATTTCGTGTTTCTGGACCGAGAGCTCGAACGCAAAGCAGAGATGAAGCTGAGCGAAGAGATAAATGAAGAGTGGGAGAGACGGAAGGCTGTCCTAATGGGGAAGCGCTTCAACGTGGTTCCAATGTCAAATATCAAGTCACATTTTGTGACGATCGACTCCAGAGTCCTTTATGGCATCATGAAGGAGATCAGTCCGGAGTTCGATGTTAGCAGGGAGGAGTTCACCAGCGGAAACCGGCAGACATGCTGGAAGAGTATCTTCGATTTCAAACGTCTCAAAGTCAGCAAACGAAAGGTATTCACTGGGATGATCGAGACCGATGGAGTAGCCTTGTGTGTACACTATCGGCGATTGAAGAAAGATCGTCCAGTTCCGCCCTCGGCTGCGCCTGTGACGAAGGATGCAGAAAACAAAGAGGAAGATCCTGCGACGCAGGAGGTGGAGGATAACGACATTGTCGTTGACGTGACGAAGGATGAAGATGAGAAGGTGACGGATCCTGCGACACAGGAGGTGCAAGATAACGACCATGTCGTTGATGCGGCGAAGCATGAAGATGAGAAGGAGGAGGATACCGCGACGCAGAAAGTGCAGGATAACGACTTTGTCGTTGACGTGGCGCAGCATGAAGATGAGAAGGAGGCGGATCCTGCGGTGCAGAAAGTGCAAGATAACGGCTTTGTTGCTGGCGCGGACCCCGGGAATACGAATATCATCACCATCGCAGCACCGAGGCGTGCGGAAGATGGTACTGACGGTTCCTTGCGTCAGAAAGACTTGCGTCTTTTGAGGTTCTCGAGAGCAAGATACTATCGAGAATCGGGAATCATGAATGCGAGGAAGAAAATTCCTGCATGGAATGCAGGAATGAAGGATCACCTGGAAGCTTTGAGCGAGGTGACGAGCCGAGGAGCAGACTTTCAAGCTTTTCGGAAATTCATGGAAGTTCGCATTGCGCGTTGGCATGCACTGTGGGAGGAGTATACCAAGCCTCTGTGGGCTCGTCTGCGAATGAGTCTATACGGCGGGAGGCAGCGCGCGCTCGCGAACTTTTTCAATGAGTTGAGCGCACTCAAAGAGGATGAGAGTCAGAGGCTCGTAGTAGCATACGGAGCAGGGCGCTGGAAGACCCAAAAAGGGACTACGCCAGCTCCAACGACAAGAACTTACAAGGAGTGTGCAAGGCGTTTTGTTACGATACCTGTACATGAGTTTCGAACGTCCTATACACACCATGAACTGGGGTGTACACTTCAGAGGGTCGAGATGGAAAAGTGCCAACGGGGTCCTGAGGAAATAGGAAAGCACGGAGAGGTGACTGAGCAGCAAATGGAAAGGAGGGCGAAAGTGCGAGGGCTACTTGCATTAGCAAATACAACCACTGATGGCAAGGAACGTATGGAGTTTGTGAATCGTGACCTTAATGCCGCTATCAATATAAGGTGATGTGCGGTGCTCGAGAGCAGATCTCCAGAGTCGACAAAAGAAAACGTTATTGGCCAGCCTCTAAAAGTTGAACTATATGAGAAACAATTGGAAGCAGTGGCAGGTGGCCGCTCCAAAAAGACTGGCAGCCATCAGCACGTCAGTTGGAGATGTCTAGCCTAGGGCGCGGTTGCCGCCACTACTGTACCACAGGCAGCAACGTTTTTCTTTTGAAAGACGTTTGTTTCCAGGGGTACGCTCTCGTACACCACCGTTCAGTACAGTGCAGTGCAGTGCAGTTTGGTACAGAGTACTGCTCATCAAGTGAACACAAGGTCTAGCTACGCTCTTCGTGCACAGGCACTACGCAGAGCTACCGAAGAAAGTGTAGGAACCCTGTACAGACTCAGAGCGCTGGAAGAGAGAAAAGGCTCTGACACGTAGTCGGCAATATGCTCGTGAAGGCTCCGCTTCCGACTGCTGAGGAGCTGCCGCAGGCCAAGGGCGCAGCGCACACGGTTGGGAGCAGCACGCCCACCGATGTGCAGGATACAGACCGTGCACTGGACCTGGAGAACCTGAACCTGGACTCCAACACGGAAGTGTCTCTGATAGCCGCGGACTTGCCCCCAGAAAGCGACGAGGGTAACACGGAGTACAAGCGGCAGCTGGTGCAGCCGTCACCCCAACGTTTCGCAGAGCTGGTGACACAACTCAAGTACCGCATGGCAGCGGGGCACGGGGAAGCTATGTACCAGCTAGGGTACGACGATGACGGACGCGCACGTGGTGTTCCAGAGGACGTTTTGGAGGCCTCAATTGAGACCGTGGAACGCATGGCTGCAGAGCTCCGAGCAGACGCCACCGTGTGGCGACGGGCTCGCGGACGCGACGGCTGGGTCGCACAGCTGCTCATTCGAGCGCGACCGCGAAGCTGCGAAGAGTTTACGGATACTCGTATTTGTGTATCTGGCAATGTGGACGCGGGCAAGTCCTCTCTTCTCGGTGTATTGTGCGGAACCGGCCAACTCGATAACGGACGAGGTCTGGCACGAGCGCAGGTCCTGACACATAAACACGAGCTGGAGAGCGGGCGCACCTCGGCGATTAGCATGCAGCTCATGGGATTCGACAGCGCCGGTCATGTGGTGAACTACACGAACGTTACCACGAATCGCCAGCTATCCTGGGCTGAGATCGTCACAAATTCATCCAAACTAATCACGTTTTGTGATCTCGCCGGGCACGAAAAGTACCTCAAAACGACAATGTTCGGCCTAACGGCACATGCACCAGACTATTGTATGATGGTCGTTGCCTTGAATCAAGGCGTGCTGCGAATGACCCAGGAACACTTTGCTATAGCACTTGCGCTCAAGATTCCAGTTTTTGTTGTTTTCTCCAAGAGTGACCTGGCACCTGCCAACGTTGCCGAGCATACCATCAGCGTCATGACGCGTATGCTCAAGTCGAGCGGTGCTCGCAAAATCCCCGTCCTGGTGAACTCCCTGGATGAGGTGAGCATCTGCGCGCGAAATATCCCGAACGACCGCATGGTACCGATGTTTGTGGTCAGCAATGTTACCGGAGCCGGACTCGATCTACTGCGAGCGTTTCTGAACCTGTTGCCATGGCGTCACGACTGGAACGAGCGGAAGAAGAGCGCTTTTGCCGAGTTCACCGTCGATGATCACTTCAGCGTACCAGGAGTTGGCACAGTTGTTTCGGGCGTGTGCCTGCGCGGTGTTCTCCAGCAGGGACAGAGCGTTTTTCTGGGACCCGATCGACATGGTCATTTCGCGCGCATTGCGATCAAGTCCATCCACTACAAAAGGGTCCCTGTGCAGCGACTATATGCCGGTCAGTCGGGATCGTTGGCGCTCAAGAAAATTCGCCGTGAGCGTGTTCGCAAAGGCATGGTGGTGCTGAGCACCGCTGGCTTCTCCAACGGAGCCAAGTCGGGGTCGTCACCGGCAGCGTCCGGAAACGGGAATACGCCGACGACGCCCGTATCTGTCATCGAGTTCGAAGCGGATGTTGCGCTCATGTACCACAGCACGAGCGTCCGGGCGGGCTACCAACCGATCGTTCACTGCAGTACGATCCGGCAGGCCGCCCAGGTGACCTGGATGGATCGCGACGTGGTGCGCATGGGTGAGCGTGCACGCGCTCAGTTTCGCTTCCTCTACCGCCCTGAATGGCTCCGGGTCGGTGATCGTTTCTGTTTTCGTGAAGGAAGGACCAAAGGTATTGGTCATGTGACGCGCCTTGTGGAGTGCTGGACTCGTGACCTCATCACGATAAATTGAGATGGAGTTGCGAAGCGGGCTGCAGCACATTTTGAGCAGCGCTCCAGAGAAGCTACGCTGGCGGTGGCACGCTTACCACGAATGCAGCGCAGAACGGTAATTGATGCGGGAAGCACGACGCTGTGAAGCTTTGTGTTGCATGATGCGGCATGTATCCGGGGCTTTGGTTGTGAGGAAAATGCGGGTTCAGGCGCTCTTGAGGCGTTGACAGTGCAAAGCATGTTCATTCGAGGTACATTGTCCGTGCGATATGGTTGCGGGCTCGCACATCTGGAGGAGGACTCTACGGGACTCGAGCTATCGGTGATGCAAGACCCGGGGGTACGAAAGCTAGCTGGCTAGCTAGCTGGCTGAGCGCCGAGGCCCCCTGCAGGACAACCTGGTGCATATTTGTGCAAGTCCTCGCAAATCGCTCGACAAGACATGCGGCCTCGTGTCTGGAACTGCACGCGTATCAGATGCCGCGGGAATACCAGACCGCTGGCTCTATTCCTGCTTTGCGATCTTTTCGGAGCCTGTTCAGACTTATTGTCTCTATTTTCAAATTTAAGCGATAAGGGCTTACGGATTCAGATGCAGTTCTAGGATGCTGTGTCGTCGTTTCGGAGACGTTCGTTCGAGTCTCTCTGCCACTGCAACTCGTTACGTCAGTGGAATCAAGATGCTACGCGGCATTCCGGAATGTGCGTTCGTAAAATAACCGACAGCATGATGCCGTGCATGTGAGCAAGCTTCCGTGCTTCTTGTTGCTCCATGAAACACCGCCATGAACTCGTTCACATGGGTCATCGCAGCGATAACTTCCAGCAGGGCGTGCGTCGACGTTTTGCATGAAGCGACCAGAGACGCATCGAAGTTTCGTGACGTGGTATCCAGCGTGGATTCCCATTCCTCTACCAGTTCTATCATGGGCAACGTCGAGTTTCACAAATCCTCGGTCGAATTGAATGGAGCGTGCTTGCGCGTGCAGCTGGCACAGTGCTCGCCGAACAGATCGCCCAGAGGCGTCCCGTGATCACGGGGTACTCCAGCGGGCGCGGCAACGGAGCGGGGGCATCCACGGAATCCTTCCGTGCTCGTCGAGGGCATGGATCGACTGTTAGCACAGGCGTTCATGTGTCACAGGGCGGTGTTCAGAAGAGGAGATGCGGCGAACGCGTGAGAACACCAGACCCCAGTCAAGCGCTGCGGATGCATATGGCGCACTGAGGCCGTCTACAACGAGAAATACATGGACCTAAACAGACAACATAGCACAGTTTGAAGCAGTCATGACGCGCCAACGTGCCGTGCGTATGCGTCGCAGCAGCTCAGCGCCCAATGTTTTCCGCGTTACGAAATCGACGTTTCTTATCCTGGCAACCCTGGATGTGCGCTGGTTATCGATAGCTATGGACGCTCCAGCGTAGACCGCCTCAGCGCTGGCTAGTAGACGCTATCGTCACGAGAGCGCCTACCGCCGCAGCACACTTGTTTGACAGATCTGAATCTTATTGTAACATTACGTATAAAAATATATCTTATGGTCACGGGTGCATTGCGGCGGCGGCGATCGTCGGCGTCGATGCCCCTTGTCTCCCGTAGCCTGCATCGGCAGCCTGTCTGGCGTTTGCACGAGCTTTGTTTCGAGCGCGCTGCACCACCCTAGGACACGAGGTGTCGACAACGTACCTCGTTCCGTGAGCAGTGTCTAGAGATCGAACGTCATGGCGTTCGTCAAAGTCGTCAAAAACAAGGCATACTTCAAGCGGTTCCAAGTCAAGCCTCGACGCCGGCGGGAAGGGAAGACTGACTACCACGCTCGAAGGGCCTTGATCATCGTTGACAAAACCAAGTATAACACCCCAAAGTATCGTCTTGTCGTTAGGATTACGAACTCGGATGTGATCTGCCAGATTGTAACGGCTCGTGTTGAAGGAGACAAAGTGATAGCAGCGGCGTACGCGCACGAGCTCCCTCGTTATGGCATCAAGGTTGGTCTGACGAACTTTGCTGCAGCCTATGCCACTGGTTTACTCGTAGCCCGGCGGACGCTGACGATTCTCGGGCTTGCCGATGCATACCAGGGTAAGGTTGAGGCGGACGGCGAGCTTTACCAGGTGGAGCCGGTCGGGGAGACCCGCCCCTTCCGAGCGGTGCTGGACGTCGGGCTCGTGCGAACGACGACTGGCCATCGGGTGTTCGCGGCGATGAAAGGCGCGGTTGATGGAGGAATCGATATTCCACACAGCGAGAAACGTTTCCCAAAGTATAAGAAGGGATCCGAGTTCGACCCTGAGGAGCTGAAAGCACGCATATATGGTAACCACGTGGCCGACTACATGCGAATGCTACGAGAGGAAGATCCCGAAAAGTACCAGCGGCAGTTCTCTCGTTATATTCAAGCAGGAATTGATCCCGATCAGTTGGAGGACATGTATCGGGAGGCCCATCGACGCATCCGAGAAGATCCACGCGCGGTTCTAACCGACAAGTCTCGTGTAACGAAGCGCCCACGAAAGACACCTAAGTTGAGTCGCGAAGAGAAGCAGGCGCGGCTGGCGGCGCGGTTAGCAGCGCTCGCCCGCTCTGGCGCCACGGAATCGATGGTAACCGTTTCATGAAATGGCAACACAGGCGTACCAAAAATGCTTACCGACGAGCACGGTCAGTCGGGTCGCGCGCTTCACCAAGGACAATGCGCAGCTAGCGCAACTCCCAAAACCGCACCAGACGCAGCGAAAGCTAAAGGAGTATCGTTGCCGTTCAAGAAGCTCGAGATGCTCCTTCTGTGTATCCAAGTTTTCAGCGCAGCCGCAACCTCGTCACAAACGGTACTCGATTCAGAGCGCAAAGACGCAGATTGCCATAGTACTTGAGCGCTCGTAAACCTGCCTGCTTTACGAGCCTACAACGAACGCACATGGAATAGCCTTGAGCATGCCGCCTCCAGCGCTGTGGTGAAGAGCCCGATACGCGGTAGCGACTCCGATCGATGGACGCACACTGCTAGTCTACAGCATCCAGCCAGGTTAGCTGAATCGATTGCTTGATCTACTGATTGACCGATTGATTGATTCTGTACGCCCGTCCGGAATACTCATGCGGCGCTGGTGGAATCTAGAAGCGTCCGCAGACCAAAAGACGATGCTTTGACCGGTTCAGGAGCACGCGCATCTCGCGGGAATTCTGGGTATTTCCATCCATACGGTACCGTTCGAAAAACGCATCTATGCGGTGATTCTCAATGGTGCACGATCCAAACATATTTGTTGAGACTGCCGCGAGCGCTTGCAGTGCTTTCGAGAGCCTCGAAAGACACCAGCGTAACTCGATAGGAAGAAAGCTGCGTTCGACAAACATCAGCCGGCATTCCCGCTGCGAAACTAGGTTCGCTCGATCCAGCTGCCTTTCTGGTGTCGAGCACGACGCAGGCGCTTGTCCCAGCACCGGATGCACTGTTGCCATAGTCGCGCTATGCAACTAGGACGTTGTTTCGGTACCGTAGAGGGGGTGTCGGGTCGCGGATCCAGGGGCGATACCCCTGTTTGGAATACCCCACCACGAAGCCGGTGCTGTCGTCGGGTATCCCCACAGGACACCCTTAGTTCAGCGGGAGCAGCGAGGCACGCAACTTCTCGATGTACGCCTGTGGACGTGGAACGTAGCCTGCACGGTGCTGCTCTACTGCTGCCAAATACTCAGAAAGAGGCATCCATCGAACCTGCTCCACCTCTTCTTTTTGAAGGAGAAAAGTGTGCGACGTCGCTGACGTGCCGAGCGCATCGGCTTCATCGGCGTTGGCGGTGGCGGTAGCGGCCCCTGGGATGCACACAACGTAAACGCTCTGAACCTCGCGGTCCCGGAGGTGATCGTCGACGTACTCGCTCCGTACAGTAAACAAGAGTTCCGGCTCGACGCTCCCAATACCGAGTTCTTCTTCGAGTTCCCGCTTAGCAGCTGTCGAGAGGTCGTGTTCGCCACTATGCAAGTGCCCAGCAGCAGACACATCCCAACAGAGCGGGTGCGTATCCTTAGCCGCACTTCGGAGCTGGAGGAGCACTGCATCAGACGCGGGGTCGTACAACCATACGTGCACCGCGCGATGCCAGTCGCCGTCCCGATGAACCTCGTGCCGCAACTTTTTCCCGACAATTGTATGCAAGTCAGTCTGGTCGAGAACATCGAACCACTCGGGCTTGCTGGTACCTCTATGACGTATGTCGGTGTAGTGGCCGCGTAAGCCGCGAGCACCGCACGAGCGCTGCACGCGGTAAAAGCCACGCCACGACAAACCTGACAGCAAACCGCACCTTGCAGGAAGACTCGCCGGACCTGAAACACCGACACCCGACAGCTGCACAAAACCTGCTTGCATAAAAGCGGATCGGAAACCAAAACCCGGAGCTCGTTCCAGGCCAAACAAGCGCTCAGTTCCACAGTAGGGCAGTTGCAGCAACGCCAGCACGCTGGCACGAAGTTTTCGCGCACTCGTCGGTGGTGCCTCCTGTTACCAGATAACGGCAGCGTTGTAGCGCGAGAGCCGATACCTCGGTAACGACGCGCTCATGCTCCGTCAACTGTCACTGGTCGTGACAAGTAGATCAACGAGCTCAAGGCTCTTCGTCTCTCTAACCAAGAGAAGAGGACTGGCGTCGGCGGGAAACGACGGCACCGAAGAACCGCCCAAGTCGCCGAAACCCCAGGTACCACCGGCTGACGTCCTCGACGAGGACCTGCTCACCGAGTTGTTCGCTGCTGATGAAGACCTGCGCAGGCTTGAGAAGCAGCGCCAGCTTGAAAGCGTCCAAGAAGAGGGTCAACGGCGTCAGGAGCAGGTCTCACCTGCTGCTACCTTCTTTGGTCCAGCGTTCGCAACGGACCTGGCGCCGGCGGAGGTAGCGGCGTTGCTCACGGAGCTGGAGAAGCGCATTACGCAGGACGTCGACCCGGATACGAAAACACCTGTATCCAGACTACACGTTTCACTGTTACCCCTGCTGCACTATGGAACTCGTCTCACGACGCATCGTATGTACGTTGCGGGGCACGAGCTGGGCGAGCACCCGATGGAACACAAAGCCTCCCTCGAGGTCGATACCGACGCACTCGTGCAACGCGGCCTGATATCGCAGAGCTTGCGTAGAGCGATGGAGGTTATCGCGGGGCAGCGCTTTCAACCGCCGTCATGCATACGTCTAACATGTGGTCGTTTCGCAAGTCGTGCGGAAAACGTCCGCTGGCTTCTTTATGTTTTCGACTCGCTGGTACAACACGCACGCTACGCAGTAGGCGAATGGGACAGACAGCAGCTCCAGCGATGGCGGTATCCAGGCGGTACCGCGGATGCTCCATCATCACACGAGATGGACTGGTTGCAGTCGCGCTGGGACGCGTCCTCTGAGCGCCAATTGAACGGATATCTGGAAGGTCTGCCTCAGATCCTGGTCAACGAGCGGCAACGCTGGTTGCGTATTGATCGCGATCTCGGTGAGCCTTTTCCCTATCCAGGAAGCGAGCCCTGAGGCCCCGCTCCGAACCGCGCCGATATCGACCAGTGCCGGTGATCCAGGCGCGGCGTTCAATGACGATGATGAGACGATGATGATGGCGAAGCGATCCGTCCTAGAGCGACGATGCTGGTGCCGTGTCTCGATGACCGTTGGGTTGTTCTCGGTCGAGTCGGCGTTGGTAGAAGAGAATATATGCAGAGGGCGATACAATGCGTTTCGCGACCTCCTCTGGATCTTCGGGAAGCGCAGAGACGTAGGCATCATCGAAGTAGAACCAACGTGAACACGAAGCCCGATAGCAAGACGCCGTGTAGTGGCCGCTACCAAGGCCGCCCATGTGATGGCTCACCGCATACAGGTCGTAGACGACGCGGTTGCCCGCAAAATCCAGCTCCAAATTGCGGAGCGGAAACTCTACGAGCACATCGAGTTTGTCCCGGAACCATGACGTGTACTGGAAACGCTTCAAATGAATGATAAGAATCGATGGTGCTCGATAGAGCGACAGCTGCTTCCAGGCGCGTTGGTGCTTCTTGCACCGCGGACAATACCACAGATTGTCGTCATCGAGTTGCTCGGTTTCACTCCACAGATGGAGACACTGGTGGAGATCGATGGCGCCGTTCGAGTTCCGCCGATTGCCTCCGTTCGATTCACTGGCAGGGTTCAGTGCCAGAAAGCGATCGACCTGGGCAGCGTCTTCTGCGCGATGCCACTCCAGCTCGAACAAGAGCGCGCTATGCGGTGTGTGCGTTCGCGGACGAAGCGTATAGGCGTCAGCGTCGAGTTGCGGGAGTGCGCCTCGTAAACGCTCGTTGATCGACTTGCAGACTGAACGTTCATCGAGCGCATCCTGGGGTAGCGTGAACAGCAGGGGAATGCCAACGGGATCCCGATTCGGGCTGTACTGGTGTACTTCAACGAGTTTGGCGTCAGCGCCTGGGATCGCACCATTACCACACGCGGTTGCTCGCACCGCTTCCGGAATGGCGCTGAGAAGGCCTTTGCTTCCGCTCTGTGATCGCGTTCCGCGGCCCTCAAGCTGGGCCAAGGCGTCAGGGTCCTCAACTTGGATCGCTGCCAACTCCTCGACATCGCTCGCTTTCTCGATGCGTCTGCGGGCGGCTACGAGGCAACTCGTATCGAGGGCCAGACTCGCAGCCCCGCAATCCACCACAGCTATATCATCAGCATCGATGCCGGCTACTTGCTGGAGTCGCTCTTTGAGCATGCGAATATTCGCCCGCCGTGGGATGCGCAAATCCAAACACTGTGGTGGCTTTCGATTCTGCATGTCGTCTAGAGTCCACAGTCGAATGGTGACCAGGCGTTCGCGTCGTCCTGGCAGTGGCAATGACAGATACATGAAGGGATCGTGTGTTACGCTGATTTTGTCGCATTCGGGACACTGCACTCGAGAGCGGTACTGGCCGTGGAACAAATCGACGATAACCGAGTCATTTCGCGCCTTGTGATATCGCCATGCTTCATCCGGTGGAACGTCTTGGTCGGGATCCAGCGGTATGTACGGTTTTCGCCGTACTCGATTAAGGTCTTCGTGCAGACCGTCTAGCAGGAAAGTTATCCATTCTTGCGCATCGTGCTGGCCGTATCCCGAGAACTGGGGTGCATATCGAGAGACCTGGTACTTGAAGCGCCGCGGCGCCACCGTTCCCTGGCTCGTCGACCATAACTGGCGTACGAGCGCCGCGAACTCCTCCGCCAGCACACCGCCCGTTCCCAGTGGGTTGCTGCGGTTGAGATCCTTTCGATATTCGCCGGAGAGAAAGAACTCAGCCAACGGCACTGTAGATGCCAAGCACTGAATAGCCGAATTCATGAAGCATGTGTTTCCCAGGTTACTGAGGCCAACAAGGCCTGTCGCCCGAGTTGCAGCGATCGCGTTTGTCTCTGTGGAGAGTTTTCGTACCCTCGCCCGTCGAAGACTCTCTTCACTCGAATACAATTCCGTATTATCCGTGATCATCGCATCGCGTACGGTGCCAGTAGCAGGTAGCGGCTCGGCGGAGTCCGCTAAGAAGAGCGGACCAGCGTGGAGACTCTGGATATCTGCCTCCTGGGAGATAAACCGCTCTTCGCCGTCGACTAGGACACGCAGTGGGCGAACTTCAACAAGACCGTTGCTCATCAGAGGCAGCGGGTCTGGAAGCGGTGCGTCTGTGCCGTATTCCTCGGCGAGTTGCCGGTACTCGGAGTCCGGAATCAGTATAAAGTCCTCGTATTCAACGAGACCCGCGCGCAGGAGCTGGGGCCGCTGTGGATCCGTTAGTGTTGAAATAGGCATCGCCTCCGGGTGTTCAACACGCTGTTGGACCTGCTCACGGTACCAAGTCGCTGGTACAGCCCCGTAATAGCGCGTTGGTGCAGCGCCGTTGTGCTTGGGGCCGGCGGGCTCCGCCTCGGTAGGCGCCTCGTGCGTGCAGCCGCCGTCACCAACAGGGGAAGCGCGCACTGCCCCGTTCAAGTCCGTTGCACTTTCCTGACGTGCTGCACTCGCATTTGGTCGCTTGCTTTCCGGTTCCTGATAAAGTGTCATACTTCAGTACGCAGTTTATCACACCCGTGTGTGTCTGCAACGTCGAGCAACACAGCGTTCGCTGAGACGGCTACGCAAGCGCCCCGCGACTGGAGGAGTCCCTCTGCCAACGCAGGCGGCTCGTACGCGTGGCGTGTCGTCTGGGGCGGCAGCGGCTTCGCGAAACGCGCGTCGATGCCCTGTTGCCGCCGCGCTACACAGCGCGTCCGCACAAGCGATCTGCGGCAGCGGCCTGCGGAGCGCGGGTGCTGATCAGCGAATCGTCCAATGGATCTCTATGTCCACTTATAACAAACATGTATAGATACGTTCTACGTTAGACAACTTGTTAAGCGGATGCTGCCGTGGGCTTCCCTGTCCGTCTAGCACCATAATATACATTTATATTCTATATTGTATAGTTGTTTTAGAGCGTTCATGCCTGGATGGAGCATGCGCCTCGGTGTCGCGGCGTGCGGGCAACAGCGCGCGCCCGCTGCCTGTGGCAGCCTGCGCACAGATGGCAGCTGCAGCCACGGCCGCAGGTATGCGCCACCATGGACCGGTCGGTACGCTATACCGTACACGTTGACGCGCAAGCGATATACGGTGCAGGTGCGAAAAGCGTATTGCACCTGCACGAAGGGAGCTTGGCTACGGTTCCATTCAGGTGGTCGGGCTGGTTCGGTAGTGGGCGCGGACTGACGTCTGAGGATAGGTTCTCCTGTTGCTGCGTCGGTTGTCCAAAAGGGAACGCGCCTGTGCTATGAGCTCGGCAGACTCCCGAGAGCATAAGCGGCTTGCCAACTTTTTGGCTGGTGCACTGTCGGGGCTAACGACCACGTTGGCGCTTCAACCGCTAGATGTCGTGAAGACGCGCATGCAACAGACGATGCTGTTCTCGAAGACCGTCGGGCTGCTGGACGAGAGCCGCGTTCGGTTCGATCCGAACCGCGCCCAGCTGCGGAAGCCGCCTTTTCGCCCAGGCAAGGCCTGGCGAGCTGCCCGCAGTGTCGTTGAAGAAAACGGTTTACTGGGTCTTTGGCGGGGCACAACGCCTACAATCCTGCGGAACATGATGGGCGTAGGCGTTTACTTTGTGACGCTAAACCAGCTCGCTACTCGCCTACGAGGCTCGGATCCGGAGCTTGCCCCACAATATGCGCTCCTGGCCGGTGCAACTGCCCGCTCCGTTTCCGCGACGCTGCTTTGCCCGCTGACCGTCATCAAGGCGCGATTCGAAGCTGCCGGGCCGCGCGAGTACCGACATGTGTTTGATGCTCTCTACAAGATCGGTCGCTACGAGGGTATTCGGGGACTGTTCTCGGGGCTTTTGCCAACGGTTCTACGCGACGCCCCGTACTCGGCGCTTTATGTATTCATTTACTTGCGAACTCGCGATCGCGCCCAGGAACTCGCTCCCAATGTGAACAGCATGGTGATTAGTTTCACTTCGGGGTTTGTTGGTGGCGGCCTCAGCACGCTTCTGACTCAACCACAAGACGTTGTGAAAACTCGAATGCAGCTCGCTCGACATGTCGAACTAGAGCGCGATCAGTACGCAACGGTACGAATGGCCATTAGACGCATCTGGCGCGAGGAAGGCATGTTCGGGTTTTTCCGAGGAGCATCGCCGCGAATACTAAAACGTTGCCTGGGATCCGCCATTACGTGGATGATATACGAAGAGGTCGTCGTGGTGATCGACAGGTTGCTCGGGGCAGCGATTCCGGCGCCGGGAACATCGCCCGCTGCATTAGGTACGAGTGCGGACACCAAGACACGGCATGGTGGCACACGCCAGACTGCCGCTGCCGCCGCCGCCGTTGTTGGCTCGCCAGGTGCTTCGCAACGATGACTGGCGAATCGTCCGTATCCAAAAACGTTGCAAACCTCCTTGATTCTACCAGGATGGGACGTGCACGCCCCAAGTTTGTGATTTGAAAGGAAATCAAAGCTCTGTGTACATATATGAATAGGAAATAGACCCACTCTCGATCGCTCCGACAGGCAACTCTTTCCCAGAGACCATTCATAGGTGCGAATCGGATGTCCCTGTCGCAGCAATACCCCAAATACGTGGCATCCGCGGAACGAAAGCTGGGCGCTGTTCGAGCGATACGCAGCGTAGAGCGACCCGCTTACGGAATTATCGATACACGGATTCCTGCTCGATGCGGATAACTGGTTCACGTTTCTGCACAATTCCGTGCCTATGCGCTTGTTACACGATGCAATATGATCGCGACAAACGCACGGCTACGTGCAACATATCAGCCGCAGAGGGATTCTCATGAATCGCTTCCACTTCCACACCCGAGTCCAGCGAGCGTTCGTCTACGTACTGGGCACGAAGTCGAGCAGTTCGACCTCGAACTCGAGTGCTGCCGACGGAGGAATCACGCCGGGTATCCCGCGCTCGCCATACGCCTCACTGGGATCGCAGTAAATCCGAGCAAGTTCGCCTCTATGCATGGAACTTATCGCGCGATCCCAGCAGGGAATCACTTGACCGATTCCGAGTTCGAAGGTAAAAGGCTTCCCTCGTTTGTATGAAGAGTCAAACTCCCGACCGGTATTGACAATAAAGCCGCGATAGTGCACAGTAACGATGCTATTCGCGGCGGGCTGCGAGCTCCTCGGGTCGCTGCCGGCGGCAGGTTCACCGGGTCGTAAAACCCGCTTTCGAACTCGTCTCGAAACGATCACGAAGTTGGTCACTCGGTTGAGTAGAATGATGAAACACACAACGACAAGGACCACGCGTACGGTGTTTGCTCGCGTCCAGAAGCGGTTTGCAGTGCGCGCGGCGCTGGACGTGCCCCGCACAACCGAGGCCATCAGTGGAGGCGAATGAACTGGAACACGTCTCCTTCGCGACTGTTGAAGCTGTACTTATAGCAAAGCTTAGATGTTACGGATATATCTATGAAAATCGTTCTCTCGTACTTGTTCTTTTTCTAGTTGAACACGGGGCACGCTTTCTGCAGTGGCAGATTCGCCTGGAGTCGTTGGTAGCGAACAACGCGGCGCGAGCGCAATGGTGTTTGCATTCGGATGCACTCGGAAGGATGGACAAGCCGGTGCAGGTGAGGTGTTTCTGGGCTACGACCTTGGCGTACTCTCGCTGAGCGTTTTCCAGTGGTCGCAGTATGCGCTTCCGTGCCGACATTGGGAGCTTACGCTCGAGATTGTTTCATGTGAGACCTGTTATTCCCGCTGGGCAGAGCGTTCGCACGACAGTCGCATCCAACGTGACACATCGAGCAGACGCCCCTGCACACGAGGGTACTTTATAGTCGTTCTGTCTCCGCGCGGTGCGCACAGCAAGCACTCGGCATTCAGAGGGTCGTACGAACGGACCACGACCCCCAAAGGCAAGTCTGGGTGACGGCTGCTGGCCCGCTGAGCTCTAGCGCTGGTTGATGCCTGCTTTCCTAGATGTCGATAGCTGACGCGCACTCGATGCTCCCTGCATAGATATAACGAGCCTGCACATTGAAGACTCCAAGGTAGCTCAGCGCTGGTGATAATGGAATTGGTCCTGATAATATGCCTCTTGTCTGGAGGCGTGCGTCGTACAACTCGTCTATGGAATGCACGCATATCTGGATCGGTCTCTTTCATGGTGTTTACATCTGTCCACAATGGACGCTATACGATGCCACGTGCGCTGCGCTTATCGAATCCATAACTCCACACGAATTCTGGGGTGCTTGCCTGCCTGCCTGCTGCCGGTAACCAGGGAGCAGTCCTCCGTTTCTCTGCGGACGATTCCGGAGTTCACGCGCTCCGGTCCACGATGTCCATCTAAAATCGCGGCTCGATGGATCCAGCAATGTTGTGGGTACCGAGCCTGTCGAGGGCGTTCGTCGCGGTGACGGATACGACAACGCAGTTTCCGTGTGGAGACGGCATCGCCGACGACGACGACGACGCCATATGGGCATGCGGCACCTCTAGTTGTATGCGCTGCCGTCATTCCACCCAGACAGCTAGGTGCATTTCTGCATAGGAACGTTGCGTGCTCGTTTCAAACCGTGGTGCATTACGCGCGGACGCTCCTCCCGATGCGATCAAAAAGGCTGTCGCATTCACGATACCTGCTGGATCTATGGTCAATCGGTGAGCGCGCTCTGCCCACCGGAATCGAACAGGTTCCTGCATGAACGATGCGTGGTGGACACGTCGCAAGCGGAACAGATCATGTGGATTAGTTTCCAGGGGTTCAATGCAGGTTTCAGTGGGCGCGTGGCCGTCCGTTCGCGCCCATGCCAAAGCGAGGAGCTGCTGGTGTCCCGTGCGCTCACGATGCAAGCCTCCACAAACGAGACGAAGCTTCACGGCGCGAAACGCATGTTTATATGGCCTGTTATCGCCAGAGGTCTGGAAACAGACGCTGTCGAGCTCGTTGCACATAGACGAGATCCTCGCCGGGGAAGCGTTCAAGGAACCATTCCGGAGTACGTGACGGGTCACCGAGTTGTCTCCTCCGGGTCGCTCGATAATAATGGCATTCATAGAGTTCGCGATTCTTTCGTCGATCAAAAATGGTGCTTCCCGACGGATACGGCGGCATAATGATATCGAGCATAGCGCACGGCTCTCGAACTGCAACGAGCTCGTGAATATTGCCTCCAGACCTGGGGTAAAGCGCCCAGGCGTCACCAGCTTCGCGCTCTGAGCGCTGAATTGTCGACTCTGCCCAGCCTCCATTGCAGTGCATCCATTCCAACTCTTCGTAGTTGGTGTAATGATCCGTCGCAAAATCAAACGCGCGCATAACAAGTGAGCCCCAGAGCACACGCGAGACGACCACCATTCCAAAGTGGTCATGCAGTGGCAAGTACGCTCCCTTCGGCAGGTAAAATACCCCGACGGAAAATAGATCAGACTGCTCGGCACCGAAGACGTACTGGATACGGCGAGTTGGCCACCTGCACTCCTCTGGCCAGCTGGCCTCCGGGAGCGACACGTCTTGGCTATGCTCCGCACCGTCCACAGCGCTAACTAGGTCCGATTCGGAAAGTTCGAACTGCGCAACGTCCACACTATTTACAACGGCCATGAGAGCGCTCACGTGCTGTCTAGCTTCGGCTTCGTACGCGTCGCTGAGAACGTGCGGCGTGCGCTGGCGTGCGTGTCGGAGCTCCAGCGCGACTCGCTGGACGCTCTCCACGAGCACTTCCGCATCGCGCCTATGACTCGTGCCTTTACTCGCAGTGCCGCCCATGTACGGCCCGCAGTGACGCGAGCGTATACGAGTGCTTCTCAAACGAAACACGCTCCGAAAGCGAGGCACGGCAACGCGTACCCAAGACAGCATACCACGAGCGTCAACGATGAACGTCGGTACGCGCAGGCCACGTGCGTCGTCGCAGTGCGAAGCGCCCGGCATGCGCTGCCACCGCGGCAAAGCTACGAGGTAGAGTGTTTCGGAGGGGTTCAGAAGGAGGACACCCATGTGGTCGTTTTTCTGCGGCAGTGAACACGTTGCCTAGTCTTCCGGAAAGTCTGAAGCCAACTGGAAAACGCTGCGTTGCTGCACTACTGCAGCGAGTCCTGTTTGAGAGCACGGGCCTGTGCTGGGTGTTGTTGTGGCTGCGCAAGGTGTCAGTGCCGGGTGTTGTTGTGTGATGCTTTCCGCGAAGAGGCGATGCAGAGCGCTGTAACTTGGGCTATTATGAGTCCAGAACCAGGGTCGTCACGCTAGAGCTTTCTTTGGAACAAGTCAGTTCCAAGATTGTACAGTATGATGTGCGGAACAGCGCTGCTGCGCGCGTTGTAACCTGTTCAACTTCTTTTCCAGAAACGCAGTGTTGAACGTGCGTGAAGAGTTTTGGGCTTCGATGAGCCTTGCTTGCGCTGCACTAGTTCTGGTGCTACGATTGAAACCGGACCGGGTACAATACTCTATGCCAAAGGCGGCTCGGAACCGAGACTTGACCACAGCATAGCGAGCCCTCGAGGCCTTTTGCGGGTACGCGCTTGCCGCTTCTTGCGGACCGGGCCAACGCAACGCTTGCACGTGCAAACGTACCGTTGTGTTTCGTGACGTGACGTCGTCGCAGGAAAGAAACTCGAATCCCAGACTCGGGTGCGTACCGTTTCGGCGATATGGATACGAGGGCGTGTAGTCTTTCAACCCGAGTGCGATTCACCCCCAGGTGCATGATTTCAAATGCTTTTTCGCGGTTTATAGCAGATGCGTTCCAAGTGCGTGCATTTTGAAGAAATAATTATCTAATGAAAAGGCATGGAGATGGAAGGCGGGGGATCCTAGAGGGCCGGTGTCATCGGGGGCCGGAAAAGTAACGAAAAGAAATCCACTTCTCGCCGGCCAACGAGCGACAAAGAGCAAGGAATGAAGAAGAAGAAAGAGAAGCGGCGCGAGAGACGGGAATGTATTGGTACACAGGGCACGAGGTCCCGGCATCCTTGTAATGGTGCGTTCCATCAGCGGCAAGAAACGGATGGAGTTCGTGAACCAAGACTTCAACGCAGTCATCAAAATCAGACGGTGTGCAGTGCTGAAGAGAAGAGACTCGAGGAACTGACGCAATCCAATTTTGCGGGGTTACCTTTCAGAGTCGAAGTGTACAACGAGAAACTCAAGCCGATAGCAGCCGGCCGGTCAAACAAGACTGGGAGGCGTCTGCGGGTGCGTATGTGTATATACCCTCCATGGTCGTGAAACGTTGTTCGTTTTAATGGTCACATATAGCATGCGACTCAACGGAATGCTGCGACGCAGAAACGACCTACCGACCTCAGTATCCATCATGCGTACTCTGCAAGCGTGGTCGGAACAGGTTCGTGGCGGGCCAGTCATGGACCATTGCATACGCTGCCACGAAGCTGAACGGGATACTGGACCCTTGTCGATGTATTCGACGACGACGTACGACTTGAAACTGTGATGATATTTGGTTTTACAAATGCCGCTGGTACATCCATGCCTGCGCACTTGAGCTTGTCTCTGCAATGTTCCCCGAATACCATCGCGCGCTTTAGATCATCAATACCTGTATTGCCAGAGATAAGCATATCGTATAAATTCGGATCATGTCTTCACATGGTTTGCATTGATTTCGATATCAACAGCTCGCACAGCGTGCCCCAGGCTGAGGCGTCGAGCGTCGCCTCGAGGTCGCGAGACGCTGCCAAGAGGTGCCGATGTGCCTTTGCGCAGCGTCTTCGCAGCGGGCCCAGCGCGTACCATACGTAACCGGCAACGCTGCACATGAATCCATGCCCTGCCACAGACCGATGAACACATGACCTGTTTAACGAATCTTAGCTGTTCGGCCAGGCAACTGGAATCCGCAGCCTCGCCAAAACCGCAGAATGATCCGAGAGCGAAAAGTCCTCTTCAGGAAAAATGCGGGTTCGTGCCGCCTCCGGCACCGTGTAGCGATAGATGCGCACCGCACCGTTTTCGTCGCCATGCGCTATAACGGGTCCCTGCCGCGGATCAAACAGCAAATAATCGATACACTTTCCGTCATCAGTGATGGGATGCATCCCGCTGTGGGCAAGGCTGACTAGGTCGACGACCTGGAGGGCAGCGCCTTGTCGCGGTGCGCTTCCAAAGCGCTGCATCAGCTCCCGATACCAACGACTTTCATGCGGATTCTCCGGCGAGATTCGGGCGTTGATGTTGAAATCGCCAGTGATGAGTACCGGCCCTGCGTCATCCGCGACCTTGCGTGCGATAAAGTCACGCATTTCCTCCGCTTGATGAAAGCGAATCTCGGCGTGGTAGGCCTCCGGTTCATAGCCCGGTCGATCACCTGCTTGCATGTGCGTGCTGAAGATATGCAAGTAGCGTGCATTGGTCTGGCTCTCGACCCGCTTCGCTTGAACTGTGCTTGAAGGAAACGCGGAGCGATTCCATTTGCGCGGGAAGTCGGCAGGCCAGTACACTGGCAACTCAATGCGCGCATAGAGCACGCCCTTACCAACCAGCGCGTCGATCGTGTGGTACACCACGTTTCGATAGTGAATATAGTCCCATGCAACGATCGGGAAACGGCTGAAGATGCTGACGCCTCCATCGACGAATTTCGGAGGTATGCCAAGGATCCGCTTTGGCAGATAGACATGGTGGCGCAGGCCGTATTCCTTGAGCGCCGCCTGCATGGCTGAACGGCGATTGCTGTAGGCATCAAAGAGCTCTTGGAAGCATATGATGTCGAAGGAGGCAAGCTCAGGGAGCAGAAGTTTGAGGCGCTCATCTTTCAAGTCGTCACCGCTGGAGCCGGACACACCTGGCGGCCGTACGCATATATTGTATGAGAGGAGGCGTACCGGCAGGCCCCGGCTACATACGTCATCCAACGCCGGGTCGGCGAAGAGGCGCGCTCTGTGCTGCCGCGCCACAGCGATGTATTCGCGGGTCCGGCGTCGATAGCTGTTCACCAACGTTGCTGCACCGAGCAGGAGCAATGCAAGGCCGAACGCCAGGGCAACAATATTCACCTTGGTCCGGTGAGTCTGCAAAAACCCTCTGCCACCACCAGTATTCGACAGGAAAAAATACGCAGCACCAGAGTCGAGAAACGCTTCGCTCGAGTCGCTATTCGCACGTGCTCCGAAGTACACAAGACCCAGGCTTGCGGCAGGTAGAGTTAACATAAGAACAGGAAACAGCTTGCGCACACTGACGCCAAGAAGTGTGGCCTTTCGCACCTGCTGGAACGAGAAGAACAAGGCCAGCAGCAGCTCAGAGATAACGGTGACGCCAAGTGCGAGCCAACAACCTCTTTGTGTTATCCACTTTCTCCACCAGGTGCTCCAACGTTCCACAGCATGAGACACAGCCGATGCTAATCCAATGCATACCTGAGTTGCATATGTACTCGCATCTGATTCCATCAGTTCTAGTTGGCTACAAAGGATATTACGGCTTAACGGAATCCATGGTTAACGCGGCTATCATGGTGTTCCGGAAGGTCGGCTCCGATCCAGAGCCGCAACCCGCGATCTGGACGGCGCGATTTGATCCGTTTTGTTCGCCGATCGTTGCGCGATCGTCAACGGTATCTGCACGCGTTTCAGATGCCGCGGGAATACCAGACCGCTGGCTCTATTCCGGCTTTGCGATCTTTTCGGAGCCTGTTCAGACTTATTGTCTCTATTTTCAAATTTAAGCGATAAGGGCTTACGGATTCAGATGCAGTTCTAGGATGCTGTGTCGTCGTTTCGGAGACGTTCGTTCGAGTCTCTCTGCCACTGCAACTCGTTACGTCAGTGGAATCAAGATGCTACGCGGCATTCCGGAATGTGCGTTCGTAAAATAACCGACAGCATGATGCCGTGCATGTGAGCAAGCTTCCGTGCTTCTTGTTGCTCCATGAAACACCGCCATGAACTCGTTCACATGGGTCATCGCAGCGATAACTTCCAGCAGGGCGTGCGTCGACGTTTTGCATGAAGCGACCAGAGACGCATCGAAGTTTCGTGACGTGGTATCCAGCGTGGATTCCCATTCCTCTACCAGTTCTATCATGGGCAACGTCGAGTTTCACAAATCCTCGGTCGAATTGAATGGAGCGTGCTTGCGCGTGCAGCTGGCACAGTGCTCGCCGAACAGATCGCCCAGAGGCGTCCCGTGATCACGGGGTACTCCAGCGGGCGCGGCAACGGAGCGGGGGCATCCACGGAATCCTTCCGTGCCCGTCGAGGGCATGGATCGACTGTTAGCACAGGCGTTCATGTGTCACAGGGCGGTGTTCAGAAGAGGAGATGCGGCGAACGCGTGATGACACCAGACCCCAGTCAAGCGCTGCGGATGCATATGGCGCACTGAGGCCGTCTACAACGGAGATGAATACAGCAGGCGTGGCGTGGATCGCAACTTGCTGCTTTGCACGAAATGCGTGAAAAATCACCCAAAGCAGCGGAATCGGGATTTGGACCATGCCATCGACACGCTGCGACTGTTGACATCGGAGCTGGAGGGTGGGGAGAGATCGGTGTATTTAAAGGCAGGGGAAAAGAGAAACAGAAAACAGGGGTCTCAGAACAGGCGCACAAAGGCTGATATTGATGGCCTCGCGAAGACGAGACACAACCTTAGTCGTACACAACCGAGTCAGAGGGTACGACCCTTTCTATTTCATCCTGCTATGTACATAGAACAGTGTCGATTCTTCAGCACCAGACCTGAATAGATTCGATTTAGCGTTGAGCGCGTCTAGTGACGGGCAACGCCTACCGTCCACGACACCAAGATTGCGTTTTACGATCTGGGACAGAGGTCCTGCGGACTAGACACGTCCGCAGGGCTCGTGCTGTGTGCGCCACCACGGCAGCGACTGCAGAGGCGGTGCAGGCGCAGTCCCAATGCAGCGCATCTCAGTCAGGCTGACCCCGCTGGAACGAGGGAGAGTGGCGTCTCCATCGTCGCCGGGATTTCTCCAGCATACCGCTCCGTGCAGCCAGCACGAGATCTGCATGCACCAACGGTTTGGTCCTAGGAAGAAGTCGAATTCTGCCCTTGAATGGTATCACTCACTCCAGAATCCGAAGGCTGCGATGTTTCGCAAAGCCGCAGTATCACCAGGGTATGACCGCGACGACGCGTAGCGTAGCGCAGCGAGCGCGCACGGCAGGCTCCTGTTCAAGGAGGCTGCAGGGTCCAGCGTACATATTCTCCTCAGAAACACTGCTCTACGGTTGAAGTAAGCAGAAACGTATTTGCAGCGATAAAATCTCTTCCAAATTCACCAGCAGCGTCTACGTACCTCAAAGAATCCGGTTCAAAATATCCATCTCATTGCTTGATAACATTCAAACGAAACTTTTTGATGCTCTTTGCACATGAGGCAACCTGTCGAAGCGCGTCGCAGATGCACACAGCCGGATCGACATATTACCGGAAGCGCTATTCCGCTTCGTGGCGCGAGAACAGAGCGGCTGGTTTGTGGACGTGGCTGCGGATGTCGGTGGACCCCCAGACGCGAGTTTTGGTCGATGAGCTTCATAGACTGGGATTTGTTGTAGAACCAGCTGCTGTTTACTTGCTGCAGGAACGATTTTGCTCTGATCTTGAGCTTAGTCTTCTGGATGAAGAGGAACGAGTCGCGGCACTAGCAAGCCTTGTGCAGCGCTTGCGGGAAACTGCACTCGAGCAGGGAACGCGAACAATATCCACGGAGGCAGTGGAGCGAACACTGAAACTGGGTTCAGGCGGCAGTTTCGGAACGGATCGGAGTGGGACTGGCGCTGGCATAACGAAACACGGGCGCGTGAACGTGGCGAACGGGTGGAAGCTCCATGTTACCCGAGAGTTGAAGGAAACAGACTTGCTGCAACTGCCGCCCATAGCCAAACGCAGGGAAGCGCTAGCGTTTCGATATCAGACGCTTTACAAAGATCTTGAGCGTTGTTTGCAGATATCTGCTCTACGTAGGGAAGGTACAACACAGGAGAGTCCCTGGCCAAGGCAAGTCGTTCCTGTTGGCGTTTTGCGATCTGCCCGTGCGAGCGAAAACCGCCTGCAGATCGTGATGGGCATGCTCAGTGCTCAGGGTGTGGATGAGTGGTTGCTCGAAGATCCGACTGGATCGATCGCTCTTCGGCTACATGGAGAACGTTCTGCTGTGGACGATTACCGGCTCTGTGGCACGAAATCGTGCTCGCTCGTGTGCGCAGGATGTATGCTCGTTGTAATTGGCGTTTACGACCCGATAGGAGATGCGATTGTCGTGCGCGAGCTTCGACAACCTCCGCTTTGTCCTGACTGGAGCATGAAGTTGCTGCCGCTGGAAGAGACTCCGGAATCATCAGCACCGCTGAGCCATGCGGGCGACCTGAGATTCACTGGGACCACAACTCTGGATGCTTCGCTGGACGCGCACGCCAGCGATTGCTCGGTCAGGTTGCCTCACCCAGAGTCACCGCAGGTAATGGATGCTTCTCGCGGGAATCTATTGGCCGCGAAGGATTTTCCTGAGGTACATGGCGACGTATCCGTGGCGCAGGAATTACAAGGCAATGTATCTCTTCCTCGAGCGGATCCTGAGAGCGAGGTCGAATCCCTGGACGACCCGGACGGCGAACTGCATATTCTGTTTGCGGCCGATTTGGCCCTTGATGACAGCACCTCGTACGCAAAGTGGCGAAAGCTGCTCAGGGAACTCTACCTACCGAACGAAGCCTCAACGATGCAGGGGACGAGCACACTGCCTCCGACCGATGAAGCGGCCGAACACCCTTCCAGGCCAGAGGCCTCCTTGCCTCACTGCATTTTTGTCCTTTGCGGGCCATTCCTAGGTTCAAAATGCATGTCGTGGCCGCCAGTCACGGAGCCTGCCCATGAAGATGCACCAACGGCTGGTGCTGTGCAAGGCGAGTCCTCGCTCACGCCGAACGAGCAAGCGTTGCTTCTGGCTTTGCGACGTTTTGGGAAGATGCTGGCAGCGTTCCGAGCCCCATTGCGGTCGTCTGGCTCTGAGTTCATTCTGATCCCAGCGGAGCGGGATATGGATTGCTTTGGTGAGGTGTTGCCGCGGCCGCCTCTGTCGAACCTCTTTGTGGAAACGTTGAGAGTGCATAGTGGACTCCGAACTGAGCAGATCCGCACGCTCTCGGATCCAGCACGATTCGATGTGCTGCGGGGAGAGCGCTGCCGCTACAGCGTCCTCGTCCACGCAACGGAACGCCTGTGTGAACGTCTAGCTGCAGAAGCACTTCCATGGCCAGCGGAACGTGAGCAGCGCAACTACGCTGCGGATATGCAGCAGTTCGCTTCCAATGTTTTCCGCACGATTCTTCACCAGCGTCATGTCGCCCCGTTGCCTGTATACAAGCAGCCTATATTTTGGACGTTTGACCGGCAATATTTATGGACGCTCACAGACCCTAACCGTTTTGTTGATTTTCTCGTGCTCGCCGACAATACGCTTCCGTTGTGCATGGAGACATATGCAGTTGGCGGCTTCGCATCTCTCGCGGGCGGTCTCGAACCCAGCATGGTTCTCTGCATTGCCCCGGGAAGCTTTTCACGTGATGGAACTGCAGTATGGATTCGGCTTACTGGTCAGGCGCAGCAGCGTATTCAGCCACGATCGCTGCATCTCGTTGCAGGGCAACAAGCAGAGCCGAGCGACCTGTAGGACGTTCCCGGCAAACGGTCCTGAACTGCAAGATGCAACGCATCAACGACGAGGCGGCGTTGAGCGCGCCAGCTCGGTTGGCGGAATAATCTGTCAAAGAGAGGTTGCTGCACTGGTCGGGCGCATGCATTTGCGCGATGATCTCTGATGATAAACATTTTGTTCGGCGAAGCGTACGGAATACAAGTTTCCTGACGATGATTAGGGGAGCGAAAATTTCGCTACTGCATGGTTCATACAGCTGAGACCCAGCATGGTCACCATTCAATACTTGTTTGCAGCATACCCATGTTGATCGTGGCATGCAGCAGGCTTTCATTACCGAAGCTGACTTTTCAACATACGAGTAGCCGCCCAAAAGTGACAGGTAGTCCCAGCAGCACGATGCTACGGAGCTCGTTGAGGATGCACTGCGAGCAAACCGCCCAGCAGCGCTCTTTTGCACGTACCGTAACTTGCAGGCGTATGCGATGACCAAAGTGATTTGGATGGCGTGCGTTGTTGCCTGACAAGAAGCTCGACTGTTCACGGAGGCGTCGCAGACCCGTCGTCGTTCACAAGATGTATGCACACGTACGAGCACAGTGTCCATCGCTATTCGATTTCTACGCATGCTGCTGAACAGGAATGCATGCATCCGAGCACACGCATCGATTCGTGCGTGCGTGCGTGCGTGCGTGCGTGCGTGCGTGCGTGCGTGCGTGCGTGCGTGCGTGCGTGCGTGCGTGCGCGGTTTCAAGCAGACTGCGACTTTTGCACGAACGACGAGTGAAGGTCGTTGTCGCATATGCTGTAAGCGTGTCTGCACGGTTCGGGAGTGGAATGCTGACAGACGCAGATTTATTGCGCTTAACGTTGCGGTTAGGTTTCTTCGTCTGGATCTGCGTCGTTCTTTACGTTTTTCTCGCGGTACCTCTTCCGTCAAAGCAAACAAGCGAGGCCAAGGGTCGTGCAGTGACTCTCGCAAGTGCGGCAGGCCCAGCGAGCTCGCGAGACAAGTCTGGGCGGCGCTGACGCTCCTGTTCTAGGTGAACGGTTACAGCATACTGAGCTAACGCTTGCTCTTTGATATACTAGGACGGATCAGTACTGTGTCCGAGGCGGTGCGGAGATAGGTCGACGAGTATCTGCAGACTCGCGTATCCACCGGAATACTCCTGAGACGGCCACAAAATATTTCGTCATGGTCTATCTGCGTTCGTTGAAAGTCCCAAGAGGATACGCGGCGGCCTTTATGGTGGCTGGACCATACGCAAGGTCGGGTTGCTGCTCCCGTGGGGCGTGCGTGCATCGTCGAACAACCGTACGAGGGTGCGAGACCAGTAGCGCGCCGCTGGCGCCTCGCGTTGCTGTATCCTCTGTGGTCTGGCAGCTGCCGGAGGCGGCCGCGCAGGCGTTTCAGGAGCGCAACTGGCAGGACTGTGCTTCTATTCTCGTGGAGACTCCCGTTCAGACTGCACAGTGCTTGTTAGTACAGCGCACGAAAGAGCCGGCAGCGAACCTTTGGTCTTTTCCCGGTGGCAGTTTGCACTTCGGCGAGTCAGTGCTCGACGGCATAGCTCGTGAGCTCTTTGAAGAGACTGGCCTCGCCCGGTCTGACGTCATGCTTGGATCAGAATACGAGGTGTATGAGTACATTGCACGTGAATGGCACTACATTATCTTGACTGCAGTTGGGCTGGCGCGCCACGGTGTAGAGCCTGTTGCCGGTGATGATGCTCGCCGAGCTTGCTGGGTGCCGCTTCGTGATCTGATGAATCCGAACTTTCCGAGTACAACACGCTGTCTGGAAACAGCGAGGAAGCTTTGGGACCGACTAAGAGTACATTCTACTTCAGCCCGACATAGTTAATTGGGGGAAGGTGCGTGGGATCGTCGAGACGTTTCGCTGGAAAGCGCCCATTTGGTCTGTATGAGGCGTTTGCGCACTGCTCGTCCGCCCATAACTCCGCCATGGCTTTCTCCAGTGAATCCTTTGACGCCAGCCTCCAAGCGCGGCCAAGTTAGAACGGGATAGCCTCCTGGTCCAATGGACAGGATTATCGCGGGACAATGCTCGACTGTCTCCGTGTTGTTCGTTTGCAGGAATGTAGGTGATCGAGGCAGACACCCAGTTGTGCTCGCTCTATTGGAAACAGAGGTTTCGATTACGTGCTCGGTTTCGCTCTGTCCAGAGCTGCGAAAGATCCACGACGGCCGCGGCTGCTATGGTGCGTACAGTGTCTGCGATCGTCAGAATACGTAAAAATCAGGGTGCGGAAAGATTGCTGGAAACGTTTTCTGGCGTCATAGCGCCTATGAGACCCCTTTTCCCTGGGAGTCGAGCGACAAGCGGTGGCGCGTTCCCTTGGCTGTCTATCGGACAAGGAAGATAGGTTGAAAGCAAGTCTCGAGCATGACGGTAAAGGGGACGTATATGTTCAAGTGCTCAAGAGCTTTCTCGGCTGTAAGGCTATAGCACTATTGCCACGTGCACGGTGGACTTTTAGCGGGTAGTGAAAGTAGGTGAAGCGACTTGGCTTCTGACAAAAGGTTGCCATCGCGCGGGATCGAACCGCGGACCTTTGCATCGCTCGACCGATTGCTGACGATCGTTGCGAGTGCCTTCAGTGCAACGCTTTCGGGCGAGCATCGAATGATGACTCCTCTCCCTGCTGAGCTACAATGGCAACATTCATGTGATATCGATTGCATAAATTGGATATAAAGGCTTGTTGGCGTCCGCTCCCACGCGCAGTTGGACAATCATGACTTTAGCGTATATTTATGTATTAAACGGACACACTTCTCTGCATTCCGTTTTGCGGCTCTCCGCATGGGTGTCGATCACGGCTAGGCGAGCCCATTCCGAGCAACTAGGCGTCAATCGCTGGCGCTGCGACCCACGGACTGATAGGACGCGCTTTAGACAGAATGGCCCATTGTCTTGCTCCTAGCGCGCTGCGTGCCGCGTCTCCATACGCGTCGGACTCGTCGCGGCAACGTTGCGAAGACCCGTCGCCTCCGCGGCTGTTCGTTTTGTACACGGCAGAGCGGCGACTCGGTCCTGGACCATGCGCGTGATGCCTGTCGTCGCCCCGCAAAACGGCTGTCTCTCTAAGCGCTACACGTTTGCGCATTGTTTGCGTGTCGGCATGACGCGCAACTGGCAGAACAGCGCCGTATAGCACTCGCACAGACGCGAGCGTGGACAGAAAAGCAGGTACAGGCATAGGTACAGGCATAGGTACAGGCATAGGTACAGGCATAGGTACAGGCATAGGTACAGGTGTGGGCTCCAGGTCGGCCCCGGAGAAGGAAGCGTGTGCAAGTACCATGGCGGCTAAAAATCGTTCGCAAAATATCACTTTATAGGCATCGAGGCTACGCATCAACGCACGGACGATCACTCACTCGCTTTCCATAGGTCGTATCCTTCCTCCATTGCATCCGGTCTTCCTTACATCAAGGCTTTCACCGCTCTCCGCTTTAGTTCCCCTGGAACTTTTCCTTGGTGGCATCTGCTGCGTGCTCTATTCCTTTCTTCGCAGACTGACCGGTTTCCTTCAGGTGATCCACTGCATCACCCGCCTTGTCTTGAGCTTTCTCCTGTGCGGACTTTTGCCCGGTGAGATCACGGAACTTGTCAGAGATCGTCTCCTTCGCCGATGAAAACGCACCAGTGACAGACTCTTTCGCAGAATCCAAAGCGCCACCCGCTTTCTTCTCCGTATCTTTGAGAGCCGACTGTGCTGAGCTTGTATCTTGAGCTCCGGAAGACATATCACAATTTATAATGCTTTCGTAAACTCGAAAAATGCATATGCAAATGAGGTACCACGGCGCGCGCGGTGGCCGCACAGCCACAAACACAGGAGATTTTACCGCAACAGGACCCGCACGCACCGCAGTTTGAAAGTCGAACGACGGCGGTGTACAGTAGCGGCGAACGATGCGCCCTAGACGACGTCTCCAACTGAGGTGCAGACGCCTCCCGGCCTTTTTGGACCGGCCACCCGCTACTGCTTCCAACTTTTTCTCAAATAATTCCACTTTGGGAGGTTGTCCAATAACGTTCTCTCGTGGCAACTCTGGAGGTCTGCTCTCGAGCACCGCACATGTCGTTATCTTGATAGCGGCGTTAAAGTCTCGGTTCACAAACTCCATACGTTCCGTGCCATCATTGGTTGTACTTACTAATGCAAGCAGTCCCCGAACTTTCGCCCTCCTTTCCATTTGCGCTTCCGTCAGCGGTCCGTACTTTGCTATTCCCTCAGGGCTGCTCCGACACTTTTCTATCTCGACACTTTGAAGTGTACACCCCAGTTCATGGTGTGTATACGATGTTCGGAACTCATCTATCGATATCGTAACAAAACGTCGTGCACACTCTATGTACGTTCTCGTCGTTAGAGCTGGTGTACACCTTTTTTGGGTCTTCCAGCGCCCTGATCCGTACGCTACTACCAGCCTTTGGCTCTCGTCCTCCTTCAGGGCGTTCAACTCATTGAAAAAGTTCGCGAGCACGCGCTGCCTCCCACCGTATAGACTCATTCGCAGACGAGCCCACCGGGGCTTTGTATACTCCTCCCGTAGCGCCTCCCGATGAGGAACACGAACTTCCATGACTTTCCGAGAAGCTTGAAAGTGTGCTCCGCGGCCCGTCACCTCGCTCAAAGCTTCCAGGTGATCCTTCATTCCTGCATCCCATGCAGGAATTTTCTTCCTCGCATTCATGACTCCCGATTCTCGATAGTATCTTGCTCTCGGGAACCTCAAAAGACGCATGTCTTTCTGACGCAAGGAACCGTCAGTACTATCTTCCGCACGCTACGCTGCGCGATGGTTATGATACTCGTATTCTCAGGGTCCGCGCCAACGACAAAGCCGTTATCTTGCACTTTCTGCACCGCAGGATCCGCCTCCTTCTCATCTTCATGCTGCACCACGTCAACGACAAAGTCGTTATCCTGCACTTTCTGCGTCGCGGTACCCGCCTCCTTCTCATCTTCTTGCTGCGCCACGTCAACGACAAAGTAGTTATCCTGCACTTCCTGTGTGGCAGGATCCGCCTCTTTGTTTTCTGCATCCTTCGTCACGGGCGGAGCCGAGGGCGGAACTGGCCGATCTGTCTTCAACCGCCGATAGTGTACACACAAGGCTACTCCATCGGTTTCGATCATCCCAGTGAACAACTTTTGTTTGCTGACTTTGAGCCGTTCGAAACTGAAGATATTCTTCGTTGGGATGATCGAAACCGATGGAGCAGCCTTGTGTGTACACTATCGGCGGTTTCAGGCGGATCATCCAGCTCCGTCTTCGACTTCGCCGGGACGGAGCATGAAGCGAAGAAAGAGGCGGATCGTGCCACGCAGAAAGTGCAGGATAAAGAATTTCCCATTGACGCTACGAAGCATGAAGATGAGATGGAGGCGGATACCGCGACGCAGGAGATGCAGGATAACGACTTTGTCGTTGGCGCGGACCCTTGGAACACGAATATCATTGGCATGGCTGTACCCAAGCGTGCGGAAGATGGTATCAACGACAGCCCATTTCAGAGAGACATGCGTCTGTTGAGATTCTCGAGAGCAAGATACTACCTAGAATTGGGAATCATGAATGCAAGGAAGGAAATTGAGGCATGGAATGCGGAAGTGAAAGAGCATCAGGAAGCTTTGAGCGAGGTGACAAGCCGAGGAGCGGGCTTTCAAGCTTTTCTGAAATTCATGGAAGTTCGCATTGCGCACTGGGATGCATTGTGGGAGGAGTATACAAAGCCCCGGTGGGCTCGTTTGCAAATGAATCTATACGTTGGGAAGCAGCGGGCCTTCGCGAGTTTTTTCAATCAGTTGAGTGCCCTGAAGGAGGATGAAAATCAGAGGCTCGTAGTAGCGTATAGAGCAGGGCGCTGGGCGCCCAAGAAAGGCACTACGCCAGCTCCAACGACGGGGGCGTACAAGGAGTGCGCACGGCGTTTCGTCGCGATACCGATAGATGAGTTCCGTTCGTCCTATACACTCCATGAACTGGGGTGTACACTTCAGAGAGTGGAGATGGAAAAGTGCCAACGGAGCCCTGAGGAAATAGCAAAGTACGGACCTCTGACGGAAGAGCAAATGGAAAGGAGGGCGAAACTTCGGGGGCTACTTGCATTAGTAAGTACAACCAGTGATGGCAAGGAACGTATGGAGTTTTTAAACCGAGACTTTAACGTCGCTATCAATTTAAGGAGATGTGCGGTGCTGGAGACGAGACCTCCAGAGCTGACAAGAGAGAACTTTGTTGGACAACCGCCCAAAGTAGAACTATATGAGAAAATATGGAATCAGTAGTAGGTGGCCGGTCCAAAAAGGCTGGGAGGCGTCTGCACGTCAGTGGGAGATGTTTCGTCTAGGGCGCGTGCTTCGCCACTATTGTACACCGTTGGCGTCGTTCGAGTGCGAAAGGTGTTCCCTTAGCGTCGCAGTGACAATGTCTTCTGGGTCGCAGGATACCTCTTCTGGTCAATCAGTTCTCAAAGATGCCGAGGCGAAGGTAGGCAGTGCATGGGAATCCACGAAGGAGTCAGTTTCTGAAGCGTTCACTTCGGCCAAGGAGACTATCTCTGACAAGTATCGTGATCTCACCGGCCAAAAGTCCGCGCAGGAGAAAGCCCAAGACAAGGCGAGCGAGGCGGTGGATCACCTAAAGGAAACCGGTCAGTCCGCGAAGGAGAGTTTGCAGCACGCTGCAGATGCAGCCTCGGAAAAGTTAAAGGACGGCTAACGGAGAGAGCGTAGAAAGACTTGAGTGAAGGATGCACGGAAGTAAAACAGGAAGGATACGACCTATGGACAGCGAGTGAGTGATCGTCCGTGCGTTGATGCGTAGCCTCGATGCCTATAAAGTGATGTTTTGCGAACGATTTTTAGCCGCCATGGTACTTGCACACGCGTCCCGCTCCGGGGCCGACCCGCAGCCCACACCTGTACCTATGCCTGTACCTGCTTTCCTGTCCACGCCCGCGTCTGTGTGAGTGCTATACGGCGCTGTTCTGCCAGTTGCGCGTCATGCCGACACCCAAACAATGCGCAAACGTATAGCGCTTATAGAGAGATAGTTGTTCCGCGGGGCGAGCGCCCGCAATCGCAGTCGAGGGCACAATCGACTCGATCGCTGCCGCACGGGGCGCGACGCATCGCACGCTGTGGTGCAGCGCAGCGCGTACCGGCCTCTGGAAGCAAGTTGTGCGCAGCAGCGATCTGAGGCCTTTATCCATCGGTGCAGCGTCTCGCGCGGTGCACGCATCGCGCTCGGTGAGCGTACCCGGGAGATCAGGCAGATATGAGACACGACGCGCATGTCGCCGCTGAAGGGAAACGCGATCCTGACCATTCGTTGACGTGTTGTTCTAACGTAAAACTTGTATTTGCATTGGAATCGTAACAGAATATATTGTTTCATCTCAGTCGTGTTTCAACCTTCAAGTAAAAATACTCGAGCGCTTTTTCGCGGTTTAGAGCAGAGACGTTAATAGTGCGTTCTAAATCAAAAAAAAAAAACTAAAAAAGGAAAGTTCTGGACAGCGAAGTGGAGGACCCTGGAGGGTCAGTATCGCTGGCAGGCGAGAAAAAAGGAGCAAAAGAGCCAAACATAGAAGAACGAGACAAGACGAAGAAGCAGACGGGGGAGGTCCTACGTCAATGGCTGCAAGAAAGACGACAGTACGACGAGATGGAGGTGAAAACCTGTCTTCTCGGCTATAGCAAGGATTCGTAGAAGAAAAAATTGCGAGAGTCCATCAGAAACTGTGACGAGTCGGACTCCATGAGTTTTCGTAAGACTTCTTTAGGAATGATGCATCTAGCGAGGGAGATGTATCGCGACGTGACGCACATGGAAACAGTCGATGTTCCAGAAAAATTTTGCAACAGGAACTTTATTCTTCACCTGATGCTTGGTACAGGGGAAACATCGAGGAGAAATGAGCGGGTTCACGCCCTCCACGAAAACTTCGCGGAATTCCGCTTCGAGGGTACTCGGTACAGAGGTGACTCGAATATTTACATATACGGGGCGATGAAGTACCTCACGAATCTGAAGAACCATTTGACAGTGAACCTTGAACGTTTCATGAGACGCTCGGTGTTTGCACTCTACCGGGGCATCTCTCGCACAGGAATACGGGCGATTACCAATGGCATCACCAACGAGCACCAGAATGAAGATGAAGTCGAATTTGTCGACAAGAAGGCGTCAAACGAGCGCACGAATGAAGCCTCTGTAATCCGTGCGGTTATACAAGAGCGCCGTGCAATCTTGGGGTTGGCGGATCCAATAGACAAGATACCAGAGTTGAAAAAAAATATAAGGAAAGACACTATCGCCTCATCCTGCGATATTTCGTGTTTTTGCACCGAGAGCCCGAACGCAGTGCGCAGATGAAGCCGAGTGAGGAAAAAATATGAAGAGTGGGAGAGACGGAAAGCTTTCCTAATGGGGAAGCGCTTCAACGTCGTTCCAATGTGCAGCATCAAGTCACATTTTGTGACTGTCGACCCAACGTACGTTACAGCAAATTGAAGGAGATCTGTCCGGAGTTCAATGTAAGGAAGACAGAGTTCGCCGGTGAAAACCGGGAGACGTACTGGAAGAACATCTTCAATTTCAAACGGCTCAAAGTCAGCAAACAAAAGTTGTTCACTGGGATGATCGAAACCGATGGAGTAGCCTTGTGTGTACACTATCGGCGGTTGAAGACAGATCGGCCAGTTCCGCCCTCGGCTCCGCCCGTGACGAAGGATGCAGAAAACAAAGAGGCGGATCCTGCCACACAGGAAGTGCAGGATAACGACCTTGTCTTGACGTGGAGCAGCATGAAGATGAGAAGGAGGCGGATACCGCGACGCAGAAAGTGCAGGATAACGACTTTGTCGTTGACGTGGTGCAGCATGAAGATGAGAAGGAGGCGGATCCTGCGGTGCAGAAAGTGCAAGATAACGGCTTTGTTGCTGGCGCGGACCCCGGGAATACGAATATCATCACCATCGCAGCACCGAGGCGTGCGGAAGATGGTACTGACGGTTCCTTGCGTCAGAAAGACATGGGTCTTTTGAGGTTCCGGAGAGCAAGATACTATCGAGAATCGGGAGTCATGAATGCGAGGAAGAAAATTCCTGCATGGGATGCAGGAATGAAGGATCACCTGGAAGCTTTGAGCGAGGTGACGGGCCGCGGAGCACACTTTCAAGCTTCTCGGAAAGTCATGGAAGTTCGTGTTCCTCATCGGGAGGCGCTACGGGAGGAGTATACAAAGCCCCGGTGGGCTCGTCTGCGAATGAGTCTATACGGTGGGAGGCAGCGCGTGCTCGCGAACTTTTTCAATGAGTTGAACGCCCTGAAGGAGGACGAGAGCCAAAGGCTGGTAGTAGCGTACGGATCAGGGCGCTGGAAGACCCAAAAAAGGTGTACACCAGCTCTAACGACGAGAACGTACATAGAGTGTGCACGACGTTTTGTTACGATATCGATAGATGAGTTCCGAACATCGTATACACACCATGAACTGGGGTGTACACTTCAAAGTGTCGAGATAGAAAAGTGCCAGAGCAGCCCTGAGGGAATAGCAAAGTACGGACCGCTGACGGAAGCGCAAATGGAAAGGAGGGCGAAAGTTCGGGGACTGCTTGCATTAGTAAGTACAACCAATGATGGCACGGAACGTATGGAGTTTGTGAACCGAGACTTTAACGCCGCTATCAAGATAACGACATGTGCGGTGCTCGAGAGCAGACCTCCAGAGTTGCCACGAGAGAACGTTATTGGACAACCTCCCAAAGTGGAGTTATTTGAGAAAAAGTTGGAGGCAGTAGCGGGTGGCCGGTCCAAAAAGGCCGGGAGGCGTCTGCACCTCAGTTGGAGACGTCGTCTAGGGCGCATCGTTCGCCGCTACTGAACCACTGGCGGCAGCGTTTTTCTTTTGAAAAGCGTTTGCTGCTCGGGGTGCTAGCGTTCCTGAAATGGAACCGAAACCTACTGTGTTCAACTCTTTAACTCGTGAAAAGGAGCAGATTACCCTTTCATCGGATCGCAGCTTTCTGAGCTGGTATATCTGCGGACCAACGGTCTACGATGCCGCACACGTGGGGCACGCGCGGAACTACGTCTCTTTCGACATCGTTCGACGCTTGCTCGTTGATTATTTCGGCATACCGGTACTTTATCAAATGAACATAACGGATGTTGACGATAAAATCATTCAAAAGTCGTTTGATTCTGGGGAGAGCTTCACAAACATAGCGCGTCGGTTCGAGGCGGACTTTTTCGACGACCTGGAAGCGCTGCACTGCCTGCCACCGGACGTTGTTACCCGAGTGACCGAGTACATTCCTGAGATAACGGCATATGTTCGCAAACTTATGGAACGTGGATATGCCTACGAGGCGGCCTCTGGTTCCGTCTACTTTGACGTGGAAGCGTTTGAGCGAAGTGGACGACACCGTTTTGGGAAGCTCAGGCCTGCCGCTGCCGCAGCAGCAACGAGCGTTGAGACCCGACCGCATGCGGGTGCAAACGGGGTCGATCCTCCCAGCCTTGAGCAGCTCTCTGTCCAGGAAGAAAAACGGAACCCTCGAGACGCTGCTCTGTGGAAAGCCTCCAAGTCAGCAATGGAGCCAGGTTGGGAAAGTAACGGTCTAGCGCGGGGGCGTCCCGGCTGGCACATTGAATGTGCGGTCATGGCGTCGCTGGTCAGCTGTGCGGGTACGACACACTTGGATATTCACACCGGTGGTATCGATCTCGAGTTTCCGCATCATGACAATGAGATCGCGGAAGCGGAAGCGTACTTCGAGACCGACCTGTGGTCACGCTACTTTCTCCATTCGGGGCATTTGAATATTGAGGGCCTCAAAATGTCCAAATCGCTGAAAAATTTCATTACCATTCGTGAAGTTCTCCGTCGATGGAATTGGCGCCAACTACGTGTTCTGTTTCTCATGCACCATTACCAGACGACCATGAACTATTCTGAAGAGAGCATGACACATGCGGCAGCAGTCGAAAGGACCATCCAGGAATTTATGCGTTCTACAGAGGCAGAGCTGCGGGCGCACTTGCCCGAGGAACGCCATCGGAAGCCCACAAAAGTCGATCTAGAGCTCTTATACCAGGTACTGCCTGCAACTGAGGCCACTGTTCGTGCCCACCTGAGCGACAACTTCAACACACAGGACGCGTTGCAGGACTTGCTTACACTGATTCGCACGGTGAATCTCCATCGGCATGAAACACCGGGGGGCGTTGGATACGCCACTCTACATCACATACGCAGCTCCGTCGGTCGTATACTATCTTGTTTCGGTCTTGACTACGACGTCAAGGATGATGTCGCGTCCCAGGGCGGAGCTGCACTGGCCTCCGTCGAACCGTGGATTCAGGGGGCCGTGCGCCTCCGCGACCAGATTCGCGAAGTTGTACTTTCGGCGGATGCAAATACTGACGCGAACGCCCTCAAAGAAAGTATTCTTGCGGTGTGCGACGAGTTTCGGGATGCGGTATTACCGCCTCTGGGGGTACGGCTCGAGGATCGGACGTATCCGAAACCAGCAATCTGGAAATACGATGATCCTGCGGCTATTCAGGCGGACATCGAGCAGCGGCGGCAAGCCGAAGCTGCGCGAGCAGCGGAGAAAGAGGCCCGTCGTAGAGAAGCGGAACAGCGGCTCTTGAAAGAGCTCGAACAAGGTCGCACGCATCCTAGTCAAATGTTCCTGGACCCGAGTCTCTATTCCCAATGGCGAGAGGACGGCATTCCGACGCATGACGCCGAGGGTCGCGAACTCGAAAAATCTCGCGTGAAGCGACTCTTGAAAGAGCAACAGCGTCAAGAGCGTCTACATCGCAAATTTCTGGAAGCACAGGCTTCGGGCCTCTTGTCCAAACTTGGCATGGAGCCTTGACACCCATCTGATCAATATGCTTCTCGCACCGAGACTGGTTTCATTCGCGAAGATGTAGACGTCGGGCTTACGATCTATCACGTACCATGAAAGTCTCCAGCGAGCGCTTGCTACGAAACAGCAGCGAATTTGGCGCCGCCGGTTACGTTCGCAGACAATCGCTCAGCGCCAAGGCCAGCAACGTTATCGATACCCAAACGCATTCGGCCCGACAAGCGAGCTGTCGCGAAGGAACTGTACGTTTCAAAGCGAGCGGAAACGTTTCTGACTTGGCGTACGGCGCCGAGTGCGCAACCACTGCCAGTCCAGCGTTGGCAGAAGCGTGCACAAGGCATCTTCTAGTCGCGGTTGATGACCATGATCTAAACGCCACCAGTACTCGACGACGTTCCAAAACACGAGTGGTGACACCTGTGCCATTTTCGCTGGTCGCAAATTCTCTCTATGTTCAGGAGGCATGCCGTAGACCTCCCGAATGATTTCCCGCAGCACATCCACAGGCAGACTGCGCACATGGGTGTCTTCGTGCATTGCCGTGCGTGCGCCCATCTTGGGATACTGCACGATCCAAAAGCGAGACGCATTCCCGGAAGCACCAGTGTCAGCGTGGTCGGACTCCTCGCGTACCACGTGATATGAGCGTGCGAGTGCCGCTCGGTACCGATCCGCCGCTCGTACCTCCTGGTCGTGTTCAGTGCGCGCTTCACGCAGCGCTCTGCGAAACGCCTGTGCTTCCCGAGCACTCCCCGCTGAGCCCGATAACGCGTTTACGAGTTGCGTTCCCAGTGCAGCAGTCGCCTCAGCGGGTTGAATCGCTGCATCCGTTGCCAGTTGTTTCGCACCCCGGGTGCCAACAGGTCGCTTTCTATTTCTGGACGCAGTGTTCGTGTTCGTGCTCGGTCTTCGTCGATGGTGTGGCGTCTCAGGCACAGTGCTTTCCAGCAGAATCGTATCCAGGGGCTGAATATCCGCCGCAGTCTCCACTAACCGCGGTGGAACGCCAGCCCGCAGACGCTGACATGCAACGGGTACAGCGAACACCTGCTCAAGCCGCTGTCGCAGAGCCTCCAGACCGTGCTCGCCGGTCAAGTCGACCTCGTCGAGCACCTCCGCACGACCGGTACCCACGTGCCGCACACATACACGAGCACAGTTGCGAGACATAGACTAAGAAATGAGTGGCGATACGGAGTAGCCGGTCAGGGCGCCACACGGACCATTGGTGCGTCAGCGTGTGGTCGATTTGCGGCCGCGTTCGTATCGCTGGTGTTGCGCTATGCGCCGACTCCAGGCTTTCGCTCGCTCCTTACTGGGCATTGTCGATACCTACATACGTACAGACGTACGAACAAATCGTAGACTCGGTGGAGTTGACGCGTTGACGGACTGGCGAACGACGGACGAGACGTATGGCCTGTGCGCAAACCATGTCTCTTTTGGTTGAAGACGAGGAGACCGGCCACGCTGACAAGGAAGGTCAAATCAGCGGGGCGCGTGTTCGGAAGGTGGTGCCAGCGCCCTGGTGTCGCAACCCGTTGGTCGAGATTCTGGTGATTTACAACGCCGACTCGACACTCGTGGGAGAGGTTCGATATTTTTTGCAAAAGGTGCTATTTCATAACTACTGCGCTGCTTGTGTGCTGACGCACGGACGGCGTAGCGAGAAGCCCGAGTGGGTCGCGCTCAAGTCCGGGCAGCACGACTGGGGTTCCAGGGTTCGCCTCCGGAACGTCCACCGAGACGAGATAGGACCAGAGGCCCGAAAGGTCGCCGGCAAACATCTGCCTTGTGTGCTGGGACGACTGGAGAACGGGTCGTACTTGTTGCTGCTCACGCGCGAGGAGCTCGAGCTCTGTAACGGCCACGTGGGCGGGTTCCGGGAGCGCCTCAGCGAAACCCTGGTCCGGCACGGTCTCTTTGTCTGGCTGGATGGCACTACAGGGGACGCGACCTTAACCAATGGTGCCTGCAAGATGGTCGCGGAGCACCTCGAGAATACGAATGCGACTGTAACGCATTCTCGATAGGGATGCTAGTCTGTGGTATATTGGTTGTGTGTTTGAATTTCACTGCATCCGAGCAGAAGCTCCCGGATGCGTCCGTGTTACGGGCAACCAGGACAAAAACCCGGATTCTTCCTCGAATGCTTCCACTGTTGACGGGCCCAGTAGAGTTTTCCGGTAAGGAGCAGACAGCGGCGACATGCCGGCACCGTCCGCGTGCCGGCCTGAGCGCAAAACTCGCATCCAGACCGAACCGTTTTTGGCGGTAAGATGCGGATGTTTGCCCGATGCAAGGTACGGTTGCATGCCCCTTGAAGTGCTTTCTCGTGCGAATGCCACATTTATGTTCGTGAACACGATTGCTCATCATGTTGTTGGATACGGAGATCGATATAGCAATCAGACAGGAAGGATCCATACGAACGGCCTGCGCGGTGCATTTGAAATCTCTTTTTTCAATCCATTATCGGCGTTGTTTGAACGCCGCCCCATACCACGCTGATTTAGCTGCTCCTTAAACCCCAGAGTACCTCAATTGTGGACCCGCTCTTGCAGTGAACGCTGGCGCACCTATTCTTGCGGTAGTCATTCGACCGCGGCGCTGAACAACGTTCCGAATGGCGCAGCGTGCCACGCCCGTGATAACTCCCGCTTCTGGGGTTCTGTGCAGTCCTGGGGCTCCCAGACTCGTAGCGTATTATTCTTGTCTATGCACGGCGGGTCCGGGTTCCCGTGCGCATCCCAGGATATTGCACTGGTTTGACGCTTGGGAACGTGTGCTCCCGACGCAAGGCGCCTCAGACTCGCATCGACTCGGTTTACGGCAGGGGCTCCTGCGCAAAGCCTTCATGCTTCGATACGCAACGATCTTGACACTTCGAAGCGCTATGATGAGCGAAGCACCCGTTGTACGCAGTTTTGCTGCGTCGTTCCGTGCAGGCCTCTGACGCACCTGTTTGCGTAGCAGCGGTCAAACGTGGAACGTCAGCAGACGAAAACTGCCCTGACGCATCGATTATACGCAGTTTTGCTGCGTCGTTCCGTGCAGGCCTCTGACGCACCTGTTTGCATAGCAGCGGTCAAACGTGGAACGTCAGCAGACGAAAACTGCCCTGACGCATCCATTGTACGCAGTTTTGCTGCGTCGTTCCGTGCAGGCCTCTGACGCACCTGTTTGCATAGCAGCGGTCAAACGTGGAACGTCAGCAAACGAAAACTGCCCAGTATCAAGCCTCGCCACCCCGCGAGCCAGGCCATCGGCGCAGTGGGCAAGCGCGCAGCAGCGGCAACTGGAACGATCGGCATGGCGCAGTGAAGTCTTTATATACAAATTTTGTGGAACGTTCATAGCGAGTTCCTGTTTCTCGCGTGGTCTAGTGACCGCATCGAGCGACTAGATGTTAGCGTCAAATCGCGTCTGCCTGAAGCAGACCTTGACAACTCAGATGCCTGGCTTTCACCCAGGAGATCGCGGGTTCGAACCCCGCCGCGAGAAACCCCTTTTGACATCTTTTCGAATTGGCAGCGTACTGAGCAAGCGGCTCCCGCGCCGCGTTGGACGTGAAAACGCGTCACCTAAAGAGGCTGCCATCTGTTGTGCATAGTGCAGACTCGTGTTTTGCGTCGATCTTGCTTTTTGATGCCTATGGATGTGTGGGCATGAGGCCAGCATCATCAACGCTTTACCGTTCCATGCGCGCAAGTTCACGAGATCTGTCCGGGGCCCAGACGTTGCGTCGCACAGGTACGGTGTGCGAACGGGTATTCGACACTGAATGTGCCGCAGCGACGAAGCGGGTATTGTCGGGCGGGTACCCGGCGAGCGCTCTACCTACCAGCGCAAGCGCACGAGGGGTGCAAGGAGCAGTGAGCGGGCCCGGCGTCACGTCAGTAACGACGTTGTACGCGAGCATTTGGGGTACAGGTGTGCCAGGCTGGTACCCGGAGGACGTGTTGTTAGCACGCTCACAATGCGTCCATGCGGAGAATCCGGGGAATCCTTTTCTGCCGCGCAGTGCTTTCAATATGCGGGGTCATGCAACCGAGTCAGCGCGTGCATGTTTTCGATCGCGACGCGGGTGCGATTCACGCTGCTGTACCCAGTGGGACGCTCAGTTGCGGAAATAGCGTGGAGTTGGTGTGCAATGCTGGGGCCTGGTTGCTCGTGATCCGTTTCGCTGCAACCTGATCATGGGTTCTCGCATGGGGTGGCGGATGGCATTGGTAGTGCCGTTTGTCGGCTGTGCGCTTGAGCGGGCAAAAAAAGAGCCGGTTGAGAGCGCTGTATGATAGCCGTTACACCACGCCGGATGTGGACGGGGCGATTTCCGGCGCCGGGATGTTCGAGGTGTCCGATCGAACCCGGATCTCAGCGGCGCTTTGCCGGAGCTGTCAAGTATAAGCGTGAAATCCGTATATAAAGCCTTGTGAGGCTTTGGATTGATCGATGCCAGTCGGCTGATGCCTTGGGCGCTACGGGGTGCTGCAGCTTGCCGGTGTCGAGGATTCCAGCCCAGTATTGCAGTCTTTATGTGGGTCACGAGTGCGTATGCTCGTGGAAACCGGTTTGCAAGGTTCTTCGGCAGGCCCCGTTCTGCAGGAACGTGCGTCAGCGGGAGAATGTGTTCCATGGAGGTGCCCGCTCCAGCACACTATTCCGGGAACGTCAGCGACGACTTGGTCGCTCTCGCGCGAAGGATCGCTTCGGCCGGGTCTCAGGTGGTTGCTCGGCACTTTCGCCGAAAGGATTCCTACGTATCTTATACGAAAAAGGACCGCAGTCCTGTAACTGAGATTGACCGACAGGCCGAAGAGGCCATGCGTGCGGTTATTCGACGTGACGCGCCCGCAGCGCTGCAGGGGGTTCTCGGCGAGGAGCTGTCCGACTCGGACGTCAACCCACGCACTGGAGGCTTTCTCTGGGTGCTGGATCCGATTGATGGAACCAAAGCTTTCATGTGTGGAAAACCGACTTTTGCTACCCTGGTGGCCCTGCTGCGAGACGGCGAGCCCGTTCTCGGTATCATTGAGCAGCCGTTTCTTGGCGAGTGCTGGCTTGGTGTCCACGGGCGACCGACGCTATGGAACACCCAAGTTGCGCATACTAACCAAACAAATACTGAGTTGTCAGCTGCAATTCTAAGCGCAACAACACCGGCTATGTTCCAGCACGCAAACCGCGAACGTTTCTTCGAGGGACTGGCAGCAAAAGTTTGGCAGGTGGTTTATGGCTGTGATAGCTACGCGTATGGCCTGCTCGCTGCCGGGTTCATCGACATCGTTGCTGAGGCAGATTTGAAACCCTGGGACTACATGGCCTTGGTTCCGATCGTTACTGGTGCTGGAGGTATCATCACTGACTGGAATGGTCAGGCGTTAACAGTGGAAAGCGACGGCCGAGTGTTAGCAGCTGCAAACCCCGAACTTCACCGAAAAGCGCTCACAGCATTGCAGTAATCGTGGACGAGATGATCAGGCTGTTTGCAGTAATGCCCGCGTATTTCCTCAGGGCGCTCCGTACCGATGGTGGCACCAATACAGGTACCTTGGAACCAGCATTCCACCTGCGTATCGGGGCGATTCCTGCTCGCTTTCAGAGTGCATTCTTTCGGTCGGTGTGCCTGCGTCGACGTGGTGCGGAAAAGCTGCGGTAGAGTTTGTTTTTGCGCGTGGTTCCGCTTGGTAGCATCGATTTATCCAGCCCCGGCAACTGAGCCGAGCTTAGCACGACAAGAGCATGCGCTCGCGCTTGTTCAGGGATATTCTGTGTACGCTCTAGGCGCTCTTTTTTTCTACATGGTAGAAACTCGAGTCCATGCGCCTCCAGCTGGTCGAGGTATCGCATGCACCTGCTGGTCTTGTTTTTGACCGCGAACCCGCCTCGCGCATCATTCGTACCGGTTTTATTCGGCTGTTGCTGCGCTTTGCAGAGAATTCCGGAACACCTGTACTAGCACGCCATTTTCTCTGGTAGGTATTCTATAGAAGAAATGTCTCTTGTAGATCGCGGGAAGATCGCGGAGAGACTTGATGCATTCAACACATGCTCGAGACAAAAGGCCTTCATTCGATAGGTCTATGATTCTAACATCTGCAAGAGGATGAACCACGCTTGTCGTAGTCCTCATCCTGAACATCATGCACTAAAAGCAGGACTTGTGGCACTCTACGTATCAGAGCGTCTGCTCATTCATGCATTCCACACCGTAAGTAGTCTAAAAAGTCCCCCCCCCCCCCACCCCCAAAGAATCCATAAGATATAAAGTTTCCATACATTTGATTCGAAGGCTGACCAAGAGATGCGCATGGACATAGAATCATGTACGCTTCTAACTGCGAATGTCGTGCGCTCAACAAAAATTCTGTCCATTCCGTACGGAAACCCGAACGCTCATTCCATTAGGAATTGATTTCGTCTCAGTCAGTGAAAGCCCATCCAGGAGAAACGATTCATCTCTAAATGGATACTATAAGAATACCCATGCAACGATGCTGGTGAAGAAGAGCTAAACGAGCACGACGAAGATGCCATGCCAAGCAGCGGTACGGTCATGTGCTCGCCAACAAATCGGCAATCGGACAGAACGGATCTGCATTTCATCCTCTTTAAAAAAAGCTCTCTTCGCGGCTTCTCAATCCCGAATGCTTTTGGCCTGCACTCAGAAAACGTCGCTTTCCACCACACAAAAGCGATCAAGGAGTGCCTGGTTGAGACTGTGATTGAGCTGCTCTCCGTGGGAGCCCGGGTTCCGAGGTTCAGTCGAGTCAACGGCGTCTCCGCTGTTGACGAAAGCTCTGTTTCGGCTCACGGCTCATTCGACGAGTCGTTCGCATTCATGGCACCGAGAGCTGCCGGACGGCATTCGGGATGGTGTCGGTTCTTGCTCATGGGAGGCTCGGCGAGCTTCTCCCGCACTCCTGCAGCGTTTCGAGCATCCGAGGGTAGTAGTTCCGGAAGCGGTGATGTCAGTTGTCCGCATTCCTGTAGCATTTTTTCATCAAAACTTGGTGCAACAAGACAGCTGATACTCGGGATCCAAGTCTAACACGGCCTCATCTTAGGATCAGAGATATGCACACACGCTTTCCGAAACCTCAAGAGAAGTAGCTGTACGTGGGTAATCAGAACGTCTACAGAGCAGGCGCCTGAAAGTATCCAACGAAACATTAAACCCGTATGCGGGTCAATGTCAATTGCTTCATGAAGCGCACCCTGTGGGCGTAGTACCCCCAACGTACCGGTCTTCGAAAAGCGAGTACTCATCACACAGGGGCCTTGGAATGTCCATGATGGCAAATGACGCGAGCGAGCATCGCCTCGGATCGTCCAGACCCATCGTGTAGCGCTTGGCTTCGGATCGACGAACGTTGTATCCAACGGATGGTGGGCGCGTCATGCCTGTCCTGCTTGCATCGTACGCTCCTACGCTCTGCTGATTAGAGCTCTCCAGCACAGAGCAGACTCCATCCACGAATAGAAGAGGATAATCAATTAGAAACTGATACACAATATGACGGACGACAAGCCGCCCGGACTTGCGTTATCGAGACAATCGAATGCGAGATTCTCTCTACAGCGTGATCCTAGCAGCAAGCATGCGCACAAGCATTTCCTGAATCGAGACTTGGGCGCCTCCAGCTGCATCTCAAAAAGCGTCGTGCTTCCGGAACGTGCAGCGGTATTGTTTCGAGCGAGCATCCCATGTAATGGTGTGGTACGCAGTGCGGGCAGCATCTGGAAACGCTCAAGACCTCCGTTTCGACCTAACCATTGGCCAGGAGTGCGGGTATTGGATTCTCGCCCGAAGCAAGGCACTCGTATGGCACGGTCAGCGATCTAGCAAGGCTGCGATACCGTCCATATGGATCGTAAATAACTTTCCTGGGCTATTGGTGAACGATCGTGAAAGCCCATGATTCGATGCTACTTGGCATACTGCGCAGCCTCTGATGCGCGGCTCCCGGATCACTGGTGGAAAGATGGGTAGTAACGTCCATCGTTGCACATCCACAGGCATCTCTCTGTGTCTCTCTAATGCAAGACTCTTGGATTCCTGTTGAAAAAAAGGGCGTTGGCGTCTGTCGCTGTACAAAAACCGGCATCTCAGTGCGAGTGCCGCTGCCCTCAGACTGCTGCGACCGCGAGTCATCGCAGCGCCGCTCTGAACCTTGATCAGATGCTTTCACCAAGCGAACCCAGTGCTCTTTGCATCCGCCTTGTTAAAAAAAGGTCATCAGGGTTGGCACAACAAGTTCGTCACTCACCAAATGTGTTGGTTGCAGGGTGCGCGCTTCGCCACTGCTCGGCCCGCGGTGCGCTGAAACACGACGCGTTGCCCTCGACTTCCCCCAGGATACAACAACGCACGGCTATCCAGTCAGAAACTCGGTTATAATGGATCCAGCGAGCCTCCGAGGCGCCCTGTCCCGCCGCCTCAATAAGAACTGCCGCCAGTAGGTGCTTACATAACGATATGTCCGCACAGCTACACGAACAGCGTAGAGGGCACGATTCACACAGGTAGGGCGCCCCTGAAAGCGGTCGACCTGGTCGAACAAGCGCAAACCACTGAGCCTTAGTACAGTGCAGCGTGATGCGTTTTGATTCGCTCGCAGCGAGTTCCAGTGCTGCATCCAAGGTTGCCGCGTTGCAGCCACTCAGAACATAGAGCGCAACAAGCTGGTCGTTGGTTAGCGTGCCGCGACTTGCTCGAAGCTCTTCAACGAGTCGATTGAAAAGCTCTTCCGTCCATAGTTCTGCTAAACGAGCTGCTGCGTCGTCGTCCAACCTGCTGTCTACGTCCATGACAACACAACAGAAAGGTGTGGGATTTTGAGATCTGACGTCAACGCGACGCGGTCTAGGCACCTCACCGTTGCAGCGAACGCGGCGCTTCCAGTCGTCAGAAGCAGCGTCTCGGAGCTCTATTTCTGAAACAAGCAACGCAAGAGCTTTTAACTTTATTTAAAAACACTATCCGCCAGACAAATACGATGGTGTCAGCGAAGAACGCTGTACGCAGATCATACAACGAGCGGTGGAGCCGGACGAAGCACACGAACGACACCGTCGTGAATCCAAGCAGGGGCACTGGTGCCGTTCGAGCCCCCGTGGATACCATCGAGGCTCCAACGCGTTGACGCGAAGCACGAAAGGTTGCGGAACGCGCTATGCCGCAAATATGGCACTGCCGTGTCTGCTGGCTTTCGATCAGCAAACAAAAGGTTCAGTTGTGTGCTCTGAGACGCAACTCATCAATCCAGTGCATCGGTTTTGGAACCTTTGATGTGCAGCGCAAAGCATATCGTAATGCAGAGCGGGTGTTTCAGAAACACGCTTGGCCTCGCCCGCGGCATCAATGGCCGGTGCGGACGCTTGTGATCCTTCCGTGCACATGTGCAACATTCCCAGAGATGCCCGCCATATACTGATGCCCATGAGCGTCGTAGCAGCAGCAGCAGCAGCAGCAGCAGCTTCTACGCAAATGCCCCGATAACCTGCCAACACCGCCGTATTCGCAAGCGATCATCGTCTGAACGAACAGTGATCTCCAAAGGCAAGTCTCGATGGTGGCGATGGTGATGCCGATGGCATTCGCGTACCCAAAGATCCCTGCTTCAGTGCTAGAATCTCGCACACCATAAGAAAAGCGAGCGAACATGATGCTCCACTGACGTCTCATGGCGAGCGCATACCGGTGTCGATCGCCGTGCACGAGCAGCATCGGCCCCGGCAAGCGCACAACACGACGCACGACAAGCAAAGTCGCAGGCGTGCAAAAATGTAACGCAAAGGCGAACTCGCTCGTTCATCTGGGAGCATCTGGTTGCTCGCTTCAGCTCTAGACCATAAATAAAGCGCGAACACAAACACATAACGTACCCTTGATCATATCCAGTGAATCCGGGCAGGGCACACCACAACAGCCTTCGACATCAACCAAACGTATCATAGTCACGGTTTGCATTACGGTTCGATGACCAGAAGGGTGCGCGTTGCAGAGGTCGCCACCGCGTGCCAGCGGCTGCTTGTCGCACTGGTGATATCGCTCCTGCTGGTGTGTCGAGAAGCAGAGGCTCGCTCAGAATCGGACCGACGGCAACGTTCGCGCTCGCTTCGTGATCGCGCTCCAGCGCCTGACTCGCCTCAGTGGCAGCTTCGTTTTCAGTTCGATGAGCGGCCCGCTCTTCCCAGCGGTAAATACACAGGCCAATGAGGATCACGACAAGGCCAACGAGGTCATACCAGTCGACGGGTTGCGCCTCATCGCCCATGAAAAATGACATGCAGAATGCAAAGCTCACCAGAGGGAGACGGAGCGTCATCAGCATCGTATAGAGCGTTGCACCCCCGTGTTTGATCACCAGGATGCCGAATACATTATACAAGATGTTCGCAATCATATACAGAAGAACTGGGAGCCATGCCCCCCGACAATGGTCGCACGGCGGCAGGGATGTGCCGTCGTCCCCGCGCTCTATTATGCAGTCGGTGCGAAGGACATCTTGACCGAGTAAGCACTTGATTCCGTTCAGAAGAAGGCTAGGCAAGTCATGCAGTGGGACGCGGGCCGGTCCAAAAAGCCGCAGGGAATTCACCGGAATCAAAGAGAGCCCGATCAAGGACTGATACCAGGCGATGTAGAACATGACTATGAACACGCTCATCTCTTGGCCGCGAAGGGCGTATTCCTTGTACACATGGGCTAGAGATTGCGGCAGTTGTGCAGCGAGAAACACCAAATTGAAGAACAGGAGGTCAACAGTGCCTGTGCTTGTGCTCCCGCTGCTGTGGATACCAATGAGCCGTGGCGTTAACACGACAAGTGCCCCTCCGATGATGACGCCCGCCGCAACAAACTGATGTACGACGTATCGCGTCCCGAGAATGCAAGCGGACCAAAACATGGTCATGGGGATGCTGGCCTGGACGAGGATCATTTGTGTTGTGCCGCGAGTGTAGACACCTCCGAGGACGGTGCAGATTCCTGCGATTGCCTCTAGGAGACCGACAAAAGCGAGCTTGAGCTGCGGCAGCTCCTCATCTTCCAATGGCGACGGCCGATCGAAAACGCGCTTGAAGAGCAGCACGAGGCCCAGGACTGGCAAGTAAATCCAGCTCGTGACCTGCGATAGAAAATAGGGATAATTTGGCATGGTATTTGTCATACGCTTGAAGAACACAGCATTCCAAACCGAGAAAAAAAGCAGTGCCGATGCATAAACGCCCAGAACGCTCTGCTTTAGCCATCGGTCCGCAGGCTGGGACGGTTTCCAACTCGAAGCGCTGCTCATATTGCTCGCTTATCGCGTGCGCTACGCTGTCGACGGACAACGTACCAGGTTTTTTCGTCGTTCCAAACAGGTTCTGGATCTCGATGTGGTAACGCAATATCTTTGCCAGAATAAATACAGGACGCGTGTCCACGCAGCGCCTCCAGCTAAACGAAAGCGAGTTCCGGGCCCAGGTGCGTACGCCGCAGACGGACCGGAATCCTTCTACGAGGACTCGAAACTCGCAAGTGACTGTTTGATGGAGCTTCTCGGTGATCCGCGGCGGAGTGAGCTCTTCATCGCCTTGACTGCAGCAGCGGAAAGCGGATGGGACTTTGTCGCGCTGGCTGCGCGATCGGCGAAGCCTGTGCTCACACACCAACAACGCCGCTCTAAAGTCGAACGACGTCGGGCGTGTACAGTAGTGGCAGCAACCGCGCCCTCGACAAGACGTCTCCAACTGACGCGCAGACGCCTCCCCGTCTTATTGGACCGGCCACCGATTACTGCTTCCAACTTTTTCTCATATAGTTCCACTTTGAGAGGTTGCCGCACAAAATTCTCTCTTGTCAGCGCTGGAGGTCTTCTTTCCAGCACCGCACATCTCCTGATATTGATAGTGGCATTAAAGTCTCGATTCACAAACTCCATACGCCTCTTGCCATCATTGGTTGTACTTACTAGTGCAAGTGGCCCTCACACTTTTGCCCTCCTTTCCATTTGCTCCTCCGTCAGCGGTCTATACTTCTTTACATCTTCAGGGCTCCTCTGGCACTTTTCCATCTCGACCCTCTGAAGTGTACAACCCAGCTCGTGGTGTGTATAAGATGTTCGGAACTCATCTATCGGTATTGTAACGAAACGCCGTGCGCACTCCTTGTACACCCTCGTCGTTGGAGCTGGCGTAGCTCCTTTCTTGGGCGCTCAGCGCCCTGCTCCGTACGCTACTACCAGCCTTTGGCTCTCGTCCTCCTTCAGGGCGTTCAACTCATTGAAAAAGTTCGCGAGCACGCGCTGCCTCCCACCGTATAGACTCATTCGCAGACGAGCCCGCCGGGGCTTTGTATACTCCTCCCGTAGCGCCTCCCGATGAGGAACACGAACTTCCATGACTTTCCGAGAAGCTTGAAAGTGTGCTCCGCGGCCCGTCACCTCGCTCAAAGCTTCCAGGTGATCCTTCATTCCTGCATCCCATGCAGGAATTTTCTTCCTCGCATTCATGACTCCCGATTCTCGATAGTATCTTGCTCTCGGGAACCTCAAAAGACGCATGTCTTTCTGACGCAAGGAACCGTCAGTACTATCTTCCGCACGCTACGCTGCGCGATGGTTATGATACTCGTATTCTCAGGGTCCGCGCCAACGACAAAGTCGTTACCCTGCACTTTCTGCGTCGCAGGACCCGCCTCCTTCTCATCTTCCTGCTTCACCGCGTCAACGACAAGATCGTTATCCTCCACCTCCTGCGTCGCAGGATCCGCCGCTTTGTTTTCTGCATCCTTCGTCACGGGCGAAGCCGAGAGCGGGACTGAACGATCTTTCTTCAACCGCCGATAGTGTACACACAAGGCTACTCCATCGGTTTCGATCAACCCAGTGAATACCTTTTGTTTGCTCATTTTGAGCCGTTTGAAATTGAAGATGTTCTTCCAGTACGTCTCCAGGTTTTCACCGATGAACTCTTCCCTGTTAACATCGAACTCGGGAATGATCTCCCTCATGATGCCATAAAGGATTCTGGAGTCGATAGTCACAAAATGTGACTTGAAGTTGCACAACGGAACGACACTGAAGCGCTTACCCACTAGGGCAGCCTTCCGTCTCTCCCACTCTTCATTTTTCTCTCACTCAGCTTCATCTCTGCCTTGCGTTTGAGTTCTCGGTCCAAAATCACGAAATACCGCAGGACGAGGCGATAGTATCTTTCCTTATCTTTTTCAACTCTGATATCTTTTCTGTTGGATTAACCAACCCCAGTACCGCACGATGCTCTTGTATAACCGCGCGGATGACGGAATCCTCATTCGTGCTCTTGTTTGACGCCTTCTTGTCGACGACTTCGACCTCATCTTCATGCTTACGATCTTTCGTGATGCCATTGATAATCGCCCATTTTCCATTGCGAGATAGGCTCTGGTAGAGTGCAACCACGGCGCGTATCATGAAACGTTCGAGGTTCGCTGTCAAATGGTTTTTCAGATTCGTGAGGTACTTCATCGCCCCATATGTGTAAATATCCCCGTCACCCTTGTATCGAGTACCATTGAAGCTGTAAAAGGGATGTTTTTCGTGGAGGGCATGCATTCGCTCGTTTTCCCTCCGCGCTTCCCCTGTAACAAGCATCAGCTGACGAATAAAGGTCATGTCGAAAAACTCGTCCGGAATTTCGACTGTTTCCATATGCGTCACGTCGCGATACATCTACCTCGCCAAATGCATCAGTCCTGACGACGCCTTGACAATACTCTCGGAGTCTGACGCAACACGTTTTTCGATAGCGTCTCGCAACGTTTCCCTGTTGGGATCCTTGATATGTTTAAGAAGACAGCCTTTAACCACCATCTCGTCGTACAGTTGTCTTTTTTGCCGGCTTCGACGTAGGACCTCACCTTTTGCTTCTTTTTCTCTTCCTTTTCTTCTGGAATCGGCACTGTTTTTTGTTTTTTTTTCTGGCAGCCGGCGACACTGGGCCTCCAAGATCGTGGACTTGCTTTTTCATATCTTTCCTTTTTTTGTTTTTTTTGAAAAGGAACGCTCTTTGGACGCTTGTGGTATATGCTGCGAAAAAACACTTGACTAGACTTGTTTGAAGTTTTAAACAAAAATGAGCTGAAAGACTGTACTTTGCTACGAACTGAACGGAAATCCAACTTTTTACAGCTGAACAACACGCTTCTGATCGAGATCACGTTTCCCTTCAACGGCGAGATACATGTCGTGTCTCATGTCTGCCTGATCTCCCAGGTGCGCTCACCGATCGATGAAGGTCACGTGTCCGACACCCCGCCTTGGCACTTGCGTGTTCGCATCGCGCAGCAGCAAAAATCAGGTGTCCTAAATCGAAAACTCACGTGGAGTAGTCTCGTGCTATAGGCTATGTCGCTGGTGCTGACGCTACTGCCCATCGCATTACCGCCCTGACAGACATGGAGCTGTTGGGGCCTGGCACGATACCTCTCGACGCTTCTATCAAATGCGTAGCGTTCTCTGCGGCTTACGCTTGTGTGGATAAGATACGCATCACTCTACTCAATAGGAATTTTGTTAGTTTTATTGATCGTAAACAAACAAGGTACGGTAGGATTCCTGAACACGGATACAAGTTTATTTCCTATGCTTGTAATGCATGCTGCACGGACGCTGGAATAAGGAACTGACATGAATTTTGCTTCTTTCCGGCGTCATGGGCTGGTACTGATGACCGTTCAAGTCATTTTCCATGCTATCGTCATTGCCCAAGTTATGGTGCCTGCTACTGTCTCGGACCCGGTGATCTTGACAGAGGCATAGCACACAGGTAGCGTCCATATCTGCCACGACGTTTGAGCCTTGCATCTCGCCTGGCACGATCGAGGAACCCGATAAAAGCACATACTGTATTCTTATCTACTCTATAAGATTAGTTTCAAGAGCCTAACCTGTATGTAGTTGTGCAAGCACCAAACCGTAAACTTATCTGCACCCCCTACGCCCCCCGCCATTCCTTAAGCAAGCGGATGTTCGTTAGCCACCTGCTGATTTTTCCCTTCCAGTAGTAAAACTGCTCAAGAGACGGATTTTTTCTCTATCCCTTACCGTTCAATGGAAAGAAAACGTTTCACGACCATGTAGGGTAAATTAATATCCAATCACAGACGTCTCCTAGCCTTTTCCACCGGCCCCCTGCTATCGGTTGCAGCTTCTCTTTGTACAATTCGACCCTGAGAGGATGTCCCAGAAAGGTGGACCGCGTCAGCTCCGCCGGTCGCGCCTCCATCACCATTCGTCTTCTGATATTGATGAGGTTTTGTCGAAAACGCTAGTGATAGAGCTGAGGTCAAGAAACGATCCATCTTGACTGGCGCTATCAAACGATCGGTACCAGAAGCTGGAGGCTGCAGCCGGCACCAGGTGCTCTGGTGACGGCATGCTGGCCGTGAATAGTGCGCGACGAAGCCGCACAGCATGCTACGGTTTCCTAGTACGTAGGTAAAACAAGCGCGTACCCTAAACGTTCATATTCAGGGCGATGACTAGTCGCCGCCACGGTATCCTGGGAAAAATATGCGAGTGCACTTTGGTTGCTCGACTATCGAGCACCATCACGAGTATGGGTGCACTTCACTACACGGTTTCCAACGATCATTGAATCCACCATCATCCAAAAGTGACGAAAAGTCACAAGCGCACCGGCCTCGTACCTCCAAGTCAGGACTTGCCCATCAGCACGCACACAAATTTCGTGACCCGCTGCGCATTCACCAAACGAAAGGAAGCACGCGTTTCTTCATCCAGGGATAGAGGGTTCCAAATTCCTTCAGAGACTGCCGATGCTTCGCCCGAACCCAGACCATCAGCTGCGGTATGCCCACGAGCATAAACCGGATGCCTGCGATTATCTGCGTCATCAATGTAAATCCTGCCCACACCAGTACCTCAAATGTGTGTCGTTCGGACACGACACAAGCTCGAAAACCAAGCCGTATGGGGCCTGTCGCAAGCGCCAGTGGCACACCAGGTTGCCAAGCTCACAAATGCCAAAGCACACCACGCCTATCCAAAAAAAGGCGGCAGCGTCAGCAGCGGAAAGCACCAGCTCTATTGATCAAGAAGCGCATCGATGCGCTTCTCGATCGACGAAACGCGAGCTCCGCGAGACGCATTCGCCATCAGTTGACGTATAGAACGTGTGGTACTATGCAACTGTTCAGTACCGTAACCTGAGCACCATGACATTGAAAGTCATAGAAGCGTATGTGCATATGGCTTTTCGTCTGGGCGCGTTGGCGCCTGCATTTCCGAGTTCGGTTGTATACTGTGCCGCCAACTGCGCTGAAACTAGTGCCGGCTGTGAAAAGTCGCTGCTCGCAGTCGTTCAGCGACTCCGCATTTTCGCTGACTCAAAACACTTTGTGGATCTGCCTCTGCTACCTGGGCGAATACCGGAGCGGATCATAGAGTACTGGGACGCTGAGTTCGGTCGCCGCGTTGTTGAGGAGCCGCTGGCGGGCCCAGGCGAAGCAACCAGCGGGCTCCGCGAGGCCGAGCGCGAGCCCCCTGTGCCCACCTTTCGGCTAGCACGTGTCGAGGGACCTGACACCGACTTCGAGGAGGTACGTCGCTTTCTGTTAGAGCACTTTGACTACGCGCCTGGTGGCGACTTGCTTGCCTGGATCCCGCGGGACTTGCCGCAGTTGGAGCTGGACCCTGAACCTGGAACGACAGCGACTGGTTCGCCACCGTTGCTGCACCAGATCTGGCGCTGGATGAAAGCACAGGATGTCGATGCGGGAAACTGGCTCATGGATATGGTCGCACGCTGGCGAAAACTCGGTCGCGAGACCTCGCCGATGGTGTTCAGAGAACCTGAACGCTTCAGTCTGCTGCCCCTGAAACATCCATTCATCGTGGCTGGTGGTCGATTCCGCGAGTGCTACTACTGGGATACCTACTTCATCGTTCGCGGCCTTCTGGTCTGCGGTATGTGGGAGACTGCGCGCTGCTGCGTTGAGAATCTTCTCGATCTGGTAGAGCAGTTCGGCTTTGTGCCCAACGGTGCCCGCATCTACTATCTGAATCGTACCCAACCACCACTACTTTCGGATATGGTGCGCTGCATTGCAGAGCATGCACATGCCGGATGGGACGTGATGACATTTTTGGGGCGAGCGTTGCCGCTTCTGGAGCGTGAATACAACTTCATGATGGAGCAACGGGCGGTAAAGATGCGCGCAGGGGGAACCCTAAATCGTTACCATGCGCCCGCAGCCGAAGGACCGCGACCGGAATCCTTCTACGAGGACTCGAAACTTGCAAGTGACTGTTCGATGGAACTTCTCGGTGATCCGCGGCGGAGTGAGCTCTTCATCGCCTTGACTGCAGCAGCGGAAAGCGGATGGGACTTTTCGTCGCGCTGGCTGCGCGACCGGCGAAGCATGTGCTCCATCCGAACGCAGTTGATTATCCCTGTGTGTTTCAACAGTTTCATGCTTCGCATGGAACGCAATCTCGCTTTTCTCTACCAATGGTATATCAGCGGTAGCCGACCGGAAACGGAAAAAGGTAGCATTTTCGAACAGCGGTTACCTGGAAATGAGGAGGTCCCCAATGACCCAGTGACAAGAGACTTGCTTGATCGAGTCCAACAGCGGGTCTCTACGATGCAAAAGTATTTATACGTACCAAGCCGGGATCAATGGATCGACTACGACCTGGAGGCCGATACAACGACCCTGCAAACGGTTGCAGATTGGCGGCAGACGGTGAGTTCGAGCAACTTTTTCCCGCTCTGGAGCGGCATCCTCGAGCATATCGAATCGGAACAAGCGGCTTCCATCGCGCGTGGCGTGCTCCAGTCGTTCGAGGAGAGTGGTCTCCTGCAAAACGGAGGCGTTGTTGCAACATTGGTGACCGATTCGGGTCAACAGTGGGATTACCCGAACGCGTGGCCACCCGTGCAACTCCTGCTGCACGAAGCGTTTGCGTCGCTAGCGACGCAGTTTTCCGCGAATGAGCAAATCTCCAACCGAGCTCGCGAACTTTCTTTGCAGATAGCCATCCGATTTCTGCGTTCTGTATACCAGGGCTGGCTTCGGAGTGGTGATCTTTTCGAGAAGTATCACGCGGAAAAGGTCGGAGAGAGTGGCAACGGCGGTGAATACGTTCCCCAGGTTGGATTCGGATGGACAATTGGGGTGAGCCTTGCGCTCTTGTCCAGTGTATGGCAGCTTGATCGAAGCCTGCTCGCACAAGTCTGGCAGAGGGTATCCGATGAAGCCACATAAACCGTGCGGGTCCTGATGCTGTCATGACCTCTGCGTTTACCTCAGCGTAGATTGGCGCTCGACGATAGATTTTTGTTTATGAATGCATGTTTATTTATGTGTATGTGCTCCAAGTTTCCCGCGCTGTTCATTCGCGAGCCCGCGATAAACACAGCCTCCAACGAGCGACAAGAATCTTGATTTTATTCGAGACGATTGGCGTATCGCATATTTGATCGATTTGAGGCACTTGAAGACTGCAGAAGTTTTCCATCAGCCGAATACATGCATAAATAGATGTATTGTCTCAAGGGAAGGGCAGTATCCCTTTCTCAATGATCCGCAGCTGGCTAGCTCGCTTTTTCTGAACGAGGTACCCAAAATCAGTCACCGAACAACGTATCACCGGGTCAGGCTCGAAGCGTCTACGCTGCGTCCGGCGTGAACGTGCCTAGACTTGCTCTGTCCCGGATGCTGGACCCTGATAGGCCGTTGAAAGCACTCGAACCGTGCATTCCGCCTCGGATACGCGTTCAACAACGGAGTCGTATGTCGTTTCATCAATCTGCCGTCAGCAAGAAGGCAGCGGCAGCTGCGCTCGTACAGACTCGGCATAGCGAGGTCGATCTCGCATCGAGTTCGCCCGAGTATTCACGATTCGCATCAGTTGCTGTCGTGGACAGTTGCGAGCACACAATGTTCACCAGTCAGTCGGTAGAGGAGGCGAGCGCGCTCCTCATTGTCTTCGGTTCGCGCTTCCAAGACATATTCCCGCATGTGCGGGGTTTCCAGAACAGCCGCCTCATCGAGGTCAAAGATCGAGCGCGTCAAGTACTCCAGAAGTGCTGTTTGCACCGGTGCTGCTGTTGGCGAAGCATACGGCCCCGGAAGCGTCAGCTGCCCATGTTGAAGCAATTCATCTAAAAGCTCCATACGATCCTGGAAGACTCGTCGCAAAAGTTGCACGTGCACCCAAAGCGTCAGCAGTTGATCGATCTCGTCCATGCTGTGCTGCAGGTGCGCACCCAGAACACCAGTCTCTGGCACAGAGGACTGGAAAAGCGCAGCACACGCAGCCGCTGTGGACTCGAAACAGCGACGAAAGCCCGTTACATACTGGCGTTCGATGCTAGACTGGCAGCAGATCGCTTGCCAGAGCGCTCTCACACACTGCATAGCCCCGAACTCGAGCAGTCTCTGCCATTGCTGTCGACTTGGTTCCGAGTCATCCGGAAAGAAAGATGCCTCAGCTTTGGCAGTCGCGTTGCCCGTGGGTGTCCCATTGGCCCCTGGATTTGCGTCGTACAGGGATGCGCACCGGTGTGGATCGTTTTCAACAGAAAAGATGCCTTCCGTCGAGGTGTCATCCGCGGCAACCGGCATTTGCGCATCAGAATCCACTTCAGCCTGGCCTAGCGCCTCAGGATCCGACTTTACAGCATGCTCGCTTGCCGCACCATGCAGTTGCTTTCGTGTGCCGGCCGTCTGCAGGTGGCCCGGTCTACTGGGTACAGGCGCTGGCTCAGGTGACGGGAGCGAAGCTGAAGCAACCCCTTGCCCAGGGCTGACGGAGCCCAAAGCGCGTCCCGGCACCCGTACTGTGTATGCCTGCGATCCGAATGCATCGGACGCAAACGCTACTGCCGTTTGCTCAAGAGCTACCGCACCGGCCTCTCCGCGAATTCCAGCGTTCAGCGCATACACAGGCGTAGCAGAGGGAGCCTGTGCTCCAGCGCTCTTTTCAGATGCGACGGCTCCTCGATTCCTGGCAGCTGGGCATGTGCTTTCCACTGGAACCCGTTGAGATTCTACGCTAGCCGCTGCGGCGTCAAGAGGTGTCGCCTCCGGTGTTGATTTCTGCAGATTCGCACTCGCCAGTCTATTCAAGCTCTCTAGTGTCACACGAAGTTCTGCCGCAACCGTCCCGTCGTTCTCGCTGTGCAGCCCTTTTGGCCATGAATTTGCAATCAAGGCGTCGTCGACGCACGCTCTCAACGCTTCCAAGAGCGGACAAATCAGGTGCCTTGACGTGAACACCCTGCTGGGCTGCTCTGGATCCAGGGACTGCTCAGTATCACTGATCGATACGGAGCGGAGGATGCGAATCAGTTGCACAAGTCGTCTGACGAGTTGTCTCAACAGTCGCATCTGTGTCCAGTGTGGCACCGGCATTACTTTCCGTGGCATGCTGGACATGGGTTCGGCGTCCAGGCTTTCGCTCGGTAACCAGAGGATCCACTCTGGTGCATCCAGCAGATCCATGCTTTCGTAGGCAGCGAGCGACCTCAGTGGCCATCGCAGCATCAACGCAAGCCGCAGGGCATCCGCATCTACAAGAGGCGATGTGACTAAGCCCTCGGACTCGACCGCTTCGGGTTCCAGCACTACCTCATAGGTCAGGGCAATCTCAAGCCGCTCTTGTGTGATGCTCCTGTTCGTCTCCGTGGCGCCTGGCGAGAGCGAAGGTGTTACGATATGCTGGCGAAAGAATGCCAACAAGGATTCCAGATCCTCGATATTCGCAGGAGGTGTAGATAGCACGCGCATTTCGTAATGCCGCAATGCAAACCCATCACCAATCCCTAGTCCGCGGTACTCGGTTGCAGCTTCCGTCATCGTAGCGCTTGTTTCAACGAAAACTGTCGTGGGCATCATTGTCATCGAGACGCTGGTGCAGTGCTTACGGTCCTGGGGCTCAGTCGACTCTACAGAGTGTGTGCTTCCGTTTCGCTTGTTGAGCGTCGTGCACTTCCTCCTGGGACCAGTCTCGACGTCTGAGGTACAGTCGGGTGTCATACACTGGCGCCCCGCTCCGCGAGACTGCCATAGAACGCACGCGCTTTCACCAGGCTGGTCTTGATCGGTCTGTAGACAGGTCGTGGCAACGAAGAAAAGTGCGCCAACTGCAGCTTGAACCCAGTCACGATATGACGATAGTGCTGGCGTCAAACGGAGTAGCCAGTACGCAGGAACGCCAAAGAGTCTCACGAGCCCCAGAGGTTGCGCCACCTGCCAGGTTTCATCGCATACGAGGAAGAGCTCTGCAGACACACGAGTGCTTGTCGATGCGTCTTCCCTGCAGGTCGTCCAAGGTGTCCAGGGTGTCCGGTCCAGTGCTGGTGGCAGTGCGACCGTCAACGACTGTCGTACGGCTCCGGGTACGGTATTACGAGTTGCCACCTGCGTAACCAAGGCCTTTGCGGCTTCTTCTAAAGCGTACACGAGGTCCTCCCAGGGCGTGTTCCGACTGAAGTCTTGCGTGACGCTGGATTCTCTTGGTAATAGCAGGCGGAAGCCCGGGATACGCAGGTTTGGCCACCGGAAGTCTGCTGGCGTGCCACCGCTGGGCACTTGTTGCTCCTCAGCGTCGGAGCGGCCTGCCATAGGCACCTGACAGCCTTGAGGCTGGGCCCGGAATGGACGCCTACGCACTCAAAAACCGGCTAGGTGCCGTCGAGTGCAAGCTCTGCCGCACCGTCCACCCCAGCGAGGCGAACTACCTCGTACACACTCGGGGGCGTCGTCACCGTCAGGCTGTGAAGCGTCGCGAAGAGCGCGACACCCTGCGACGACGCTTTCCCGAAACAGGAGTCGTCTCTGGGTCGGTTGTAAACACAAAACTCGAAAGCAGACGCTCGGAAGGAACCGAAGCAAGCCCGCATACACCAAAAGTCGAGTGCTGGCGTCTTCCGGGGAACGCGGGGTTTCGGATAGCCACAGAGCTGTCAGCAAGCGCGGACGTTGAGGTGCTGGTTACCCCGCAACCCAGACGTCTGGGTCAAGAGATCTGGCTGATTCCCGATGTCGCTTGTATGCGGCTTGAGCAGGGGAGTTTTGTGACACGCGTACGGACACGTAGGTTCCCGGTTTGCTCTGGTGCTGTGCGTTTCGAGGTGGATCTGTATGTGCGAAGAGACTAGCGCGTGTTCCGTTCACTGCGCCTTGGGGTATGCATCGAGCGCATTCAGTATCGAAACGATGAGTTAAGCCAGCGAAAACGGCTTTTGTTTCGATGCGGAGGCATCTTACGTGCATACAACAGTGATTGCACCCAGGAGGGAATGAAGCATGGAGCGCTACAGCAGCAACATCTCCGATCATGCGACTGCTGTATGAGCTAGTTAGCGAAGGACGGACGCTCGCGTCTGCTGCACTGCTGTGGTTGTCGCTGACGTTGAGCCTTCAAAGGTGATGATGAGGCGGGAAGCGTTTCGGGTCCAGCGTTCGATAATGCGCTGGAGGTTGCGGGTACCTCGTCGCCTGTTTCCATGCTGTATGGAGTGGGCATCAGCTCAGAGGCTTCCAGTGGAGGCGCGTCATGGTTGCCTCTCCACTGCCACCTGTGGTTTTGTATGTATCGTAAGCATCGGCAACGAATGCAAACGAGTACAACATGTCATAGAGTGTTTATGAGCATGCTCGCACCAAGAAGCAAGCAGGCCGTCCGACGCTGCGTTGCCTATAGCGATTGTCGGTGGCTGCGAACCAGTCCTCGCTGACGGATGCCTCGCGACTCTTGAATCCTGTTCTTCTACATCTCCGTTACAGAGCTGGCGTTTAGCTTGCCGAGTGCATATCCATTAGCACGTTTATCAGCTCCGTATCTCGAAAATGGAGAACGCAGTCATCTGGACTATGGACACCTGAGCGAAGGATACACAGCGGAACTCGGTACTGAGGAGAGCTCAGGCGCTTCAAAGGCTGCTGGTGACGATTGCCGCGCTCTGCAACCGAATCAAGGTTCGATTATCCCCGTTTGTCGTTCGTATCTGGAGGTATCCGGGTGAGCACATTGAAAAGAGCGCAGCGCTTTGTAGATAAACACCTGCTATACCAGTTGCCAGGCGCGATGCTCCAGCGCGATCACTGCACATGTTTCGATGTGAAGGCGCACGAGGCTTTGATACCTGACCCAGCGATCTCGACCTGTGCACTACGTTCGAGATGCTAGCTTGCGCATTCCAGTGCATGCTTCAGCAAACCTCATAATTTGGACGGTGCTAGCGAGACACCAGGTGGTAGCGCTCTGGGGTCCTTCGCGGTTGATGCCCACGGTTTGCGTGGAGGCCAGGCTCGCTCTGGCTCCACATCTGGATCGCAGCGGTACTGGGAAAAGTCTCGGACACCGCGGGAGCGCAGGTAGTCTTCGTCGATGAGCGCACGACCGCTCAATGCGTTGCGCTCAGGGTCATGGAGAAGCATGTGGACGCAATCAGCGATAATGCTGGCTTTTCGCCATTGCGAGCGATCTCCGAGCTGGAAGTTCTTCGTCGCGAAAGACTCTACCATCGTAGCTGGCCAAAGAGCCACCGAGGTGACGCCAGTGCCGGCAAGCTCGCCACCAAGCCCGTGAACCAGCATGGTCATTCCGAACTTGCTTATCAAATACCCGGTCATTCCGGGAAGCGCGTCAAGCTCTACCGGCGGCGACATCGTTATAATGAGGCCGTTCTTTTGACGCACCATAGCGGGCAGAACTGCGCGGGCACAGGCAAACGAGCCTCGGGCGTTGACACCATGGACGAGATCGAAGCGCTCGAGGGGCGTCTCGGCCACCGGTTTCCACCATAAAGCACCAGCGTTGCACACCAGCACGTCGATTCGACCGAATCGCTGTAGCGTCTCGTGCACCATTCGCTCGATCCCTTGGTCGTCACGGACGTCAAGCGGGAACGGGAGAACCGCAGCAGCACCACGAGCCAGGCACTCGTCAGCGACGCTCTGCACTGTTCCAGGCAGGTTTGCACGAGACACCCGGCTCTTAGCCGCGAGTACGAGAACCATGCGGTCCCTCTCGGCAAGGGTCAAGGCGATAGCCCGACCTATCCCCCGGGATGCACCCGTTATGATAGCTACCGGCTGGCTCGAGCCGAACGATGCCTCTTTGGCTTGGAGCATCGCGCTGTTACGACTGTTGCGGGAGCTGTAAAACAAGGATTGTCGCCGACTTGCGTCTCCACTTCCGGAAACACACGAACGTCGTCCAGTCCCGACTTGGACGAAGCGCTCTTTCGAACCGAACGTGATACGTATGAAAGCGCTTTTGAACGGTATCCGGTGCCTGCACTTGCTTCAAGCCACGAACGGAAGCTGTTTTGGGATGCTTTGCACCCGTTCCGCCACGTCGGGAGATGTAGCTCGCCCAGCGCCACGCTTCTCGACGGGCTGCTTCCCACACGTGTACCCAGCTGACTGCGTTCGGTATGCTCCAGCATATCCTGGACAGTGGTGAAGCGGGTTCGCCAATGGACCCTGACGGTGAGGTGCGGAACAAGCGACACGCTCTCGGATACCAGTGAGCGTCGTGCAGTGGGGAATCCCTGGTCATGGTAAACGATCCTCTATTCTCGGGAAAGATTCTAGCTGGTAGGCATTTAACCATGGCGCTTGCCATCGATGGGTGCAGTGAGAAAAACATCGAATCCTGCGAGTGAAGTCTTCTTTGCAGGCACGATACGCGTGTTCTGTGCTGAGATGCCCGCGTTTGCTGGTGCTATGTCCGGTGCTGGACTAGGATTCAACGCTTGGAAGCTCGTTTGGTGAATGAAACGCTCATTCTCGATAGTCAGACTGGAGCGTGATTCACGTGACCCAGAGGTCTCCGAAGCACATGAGGGCTCGCTTCCCTGGGTATAGGCAGCGGTTGTATATCCCGGGCATTGCTGGTCAGATTCGTGGATCAATCATCAAAAGATATCTCGCCTTGACGCTATTTGGAAGCAGTGCTTCGCGCGGCTACCCGCACAGCATCGCGCCTGTGTTTTTGATCGACGGAACCCCCAGAGGAACCGACGACGCGCTATTGTACGCGAAAGGTATCGACATAAGTGAAAACGCCCATCATGCCGCATCCGACCTCCAAGTTAAGCTAGTCACTGAACATGCTTCCCTTCGGAGTGCATGCCCAGTTCATATGTCACTCGGGGTGCTGTGTGCCTGCTGCTGTGCCCGGCAATGCACGGAGAGAAGACGCAGCGGCGGGTAGAATCGTGTGCATGAGCAATCTCGAAGAAACGAAATGCGCACTAGCAACTCGAGAACCTGGTGTTTGAATGGATATGGTGAGCGATGAAAGGGGAAAACATTCCCTGTATATTCGACCATTTACGTCTAAGAGGCAGGTCCTGCGAGCCGGATGAGTGTTCTGGGCCAGCGCTTTGTGTGCTTCTGCACTGGCGGGTGCTGAGCCAATACATGGCTGCTTGTCCGAAACGCATTTCATTCTGGGAATCGTAGCTGGTAAGCTGCGTAGGGGCGTCGCTATGGTCGCAGTGGACTCCTAGCACATCGCTTCGCGCCTCCACAGGCAGTGCTTCCGTATGCGCAGGATTCAGGCTCCCAGAATGATAATGCATCCCGATTTTGTGACTAGTGAAGCGTGCCTCGAGCCGACGCTCCCGAGAGTATTTCGAAGCCGTTTCGTCTCCGTACTGAATCCGCACCGGTTGTATGGGCGTTATTGCGGGTGCTCAAGACAGCCTCGGCAGTTTTTTGTCGCAGGAAATGACCAGAATCTCCGAGAACGAGTATAAATAATCTAACGTGGATGTAGCGTCAAGAATGATCTGCGCGTTCCTGGATGTCACTATCCATCGCGGAATCTAGCATCCCTAGTCCATACAAGCATTCTGTCCAATAAACGATAATCTTCGATCAGCGCCGAGTACCCGCCTTGCGGAACCCGCAATAGCGCCTAATTCGCTGATGCAGGTGCATCATAGAGACAGGACGGCTTTGCCGTACCACAGAGGGCGTCGGCTCAAGCAATGCTTCACCTGAAACGGAGTCGGAGTACCTGATCATTCTGGGAGCCTCCAAATTGTACAGACAGACCGACTGCCTGCGGCAGCGCGAGGCGATGTATACTAGGAGAGCACCACGACCAGGACGACGTCGAGACGGATTCTCCCCAATGCGAGCCCCAGAATATACTGCGTATCGGAGAGTCTGCTCAGATTTCACTACAACACCAGGCACTGGTGGCGGAGGCACATGAAGCACAAGTCTAGCAGAAACGTGCGGCTCGCGGCAACTTCCACCTAGACGGTAATCGTTCACCAATATGAAAACCTTTACCCCCTTTCAACGCTTATCATACAAGCCGAACGACATTGTTATCTCGTCACTAGTTAGCGCTTGCCTTCTCTTCTACCATGTATTCGAGCCTGCTTATCGATCCGGATGCTTCTGTGCTGTAGTAGCGCTGCATCCTTCGTCGCCGCTTCGCGGCGATCCTTCAAGCTTTGCAGCGAGCTTTGCAGGTACGGCGTGGCGTTGCGCTCGAGTATTTTGGTATCGTGACGATGTTTGTGGTGTCTGGACACACTACAGTAAAGAGCTTTCGAAAACCCTTGGTAGGTAGTCGCTATGCTGGTGCTCCCCTAGAAAGAAGACTCTGGAACAAACGAAAGTGCGCTCGGCTCTGGATGCAACAAACGAGTAGCGCGGGAACTGCCGGAACTGGAACGGCGGACGCTTCATCCACGGACTCGAAACCAACCGCAGGGGTAGGTACGGTTGCCGTTTTTGGGGCAAGCGGTCGGACCGGTAAGCAGCTTCTGCGGCAACTCTGTTCACAGCGGGCTTGCCGCCAGGTACGAGCCATTGTACGTGACGCGAGTCGACTGCGGAGCGAGCTTGCATCCTGGAAGCAAGACCCGTCCCTCAGTGGTGTGCATGTTGACGTCAGGGCCGTTGGTGACTTAACCAGACTTGACTCCAATGCGTTGAGTGAACTCGTACGAAGTGCCGACGCGATCATATGGAGTGCGGGAGCTTCCGGTGGTCGTGACGGGTTCCAGACGTCGCCAGCTGCGCTCGATGAGGCCACGCTACAGCGTTTATGTAGTGTGCTCGCCACGGAGTCGACCGCAAACGGTGTGACATTCCGTTCTCCGGATGAAATGGTACGCGTGCTGGACTTTGGACGCGGGCCGCTAGTACCTGCAGCCTTCACAGCAGTTGACGACGTCATTATGGGTGGCCAGTCGAAAAGCAGCTTTCACTTCGACAGCAACGACTCGGTAGGGCTTTTCACAGGGCTCGTGACGACCGATGGAGGTGGTGGCTTCTGCCACGTTCGCTGCGACGCGTCTGCGGTGATGCCAGCGGAGCGCTTCGGAGACGCACCTCTGGTCAACGTTGACGAAAACGGTCGAAGCGTCCCTCACTGGGACTTGGCGGCATACGATGGTATCGCGCTAGTCGTACGCGGCGATGGACGTCGCTACAAAGTCAACCTCAAGACATCATCTGAGCCAGAATTGGTTTTCCAACAGGAGTTTGTGACAAGTGATGACTTACCGCCGGGCACCTTCGAAACGCATTTCCTCCCGTTCGCGGACTTTGTTCCCGTACGACGCGGAGAGCCCGTGTACAGCACCGGCAGTGCGCAGTTATACGCCATGAAGCTTGATCCGAATCGTATCCGTTCTGTGGGGCTCGTCTACTCGAAAGTAGCCATCGGTGGTGGACCCGCCATCGACTTTAGACCCGGAAGGTTCCATCTGGCCTGTCGTCGCATCTGCGCATATCGTCAGGTGCCGCCACGCTTCCTTGCGTTGTCGTCGGCAGCGGTCACCCGTCCGTACTGGCCACCGTTGAAACGCCAAGCGTACCCGGAGCTCGCGCAGGTACCGATTGTGAAGCTCAACCCCGCCGGAGTTCTTGGTCACAAACTCGCTGGCGAAGACGCTGTACGGACACTGGTGAGTCATCGCTCGAGTTTGGGAGCACCCTACGCTATCGTGCGGGCAGTGGGACTCAACGACGGCGATGATCCTGATTTTCCGGGAGCTGCCCAGGGCGAGCTACGGTTCGGCCAAGGTGATCTTATGGTTGGGAAAATCTCGCGGACGGTTCTGGCGGAGCTTCTTGTGAACCTGTTGAATGAACCCGAAGGTTTCTGCAAGACCTTTGAAGTGAAGCAGGAACCCAAGACGATGTCGCGTAATGGCACAGGGGCATCCGCTGCAACGCTTTCGCTCGCGGAGAAACTGCGACAACTGCGTACCGACGTGGCGCGTGCCCTGAAGCCCTGGAACCCGCCTCCCTCGCTATCATGAGCGCAACTTTCGGGGGGCGCAGTAAAAACGCAGTTGCGTGTGGTGTGGTTTCTTTCCTCGGCGGCGGGTTTATGTCGGTGTAGAGCATTGTAAAGGTTTGGTAAGCATGAAGCGATAGGGCATCGAGTTGGCCTCGAAATGCGATCGTGAAAAGTCGTGAGACGTGTCGGCAAACGCTGTGGCGCCAGCGTAGCACGCGTGGTGACGAGAGCGAACCTAGTGGGGCAACCGCTCCTGATCGAGGTGTGCCAGGAGAAGCTGAAACCGATAGCATGCGGTCGGTCGAAAAACAAAAGGCTGGGAGGCGTCTCCATGTCGGTGCAGAGACGTGCACTCTATGGGTGTCACAGGGAGCGCATGCTGCTCGAAGGAGGCCGCTGTAGCGGAAAGCAACGCGTAACACCGGCAGTACGCGTGGTGCTTGACGATGCAGGGATACACACACGGGGGCATGCTTGTGTCGAGGCCGCTTCGCATCCGAAAGCTAAGACAAAGACTGGTGCTGCGCTAGCGGACTAGGAAGAGAGAGACGGATTACCGCATCCGCGCGCTCCGAAAGGCAAACGTATTGCCGCAGAGACCTGCTGTCGTTCAAATCTCGCAAAGCAGGAAAGCCAGTATAGCGTATGGAAACAATGCTTGATCTGTGCGGTGAGTGTGCATCTCGACGCTGACCGCCGCAAAGGGGACTCGTGTACGACTCGTTGGGTGCAGCTGGCGCCGGCAACGGCATCACGCGACAGGTACCGTCACCAACACGGCCAAATCATTCGTCGAGCTGCTCAGCCGGGCTCAGATACGTTCGAGCGAAAGAATGCCCCCTTCGAGATCCAGGCTTTGACGCGTGCCCGCCGTCGCTCCCGGCACCGTCGGAGCAAATGACCCAACGCCTGCCCGTGTGCTATGCGGCTCGCTATACAGGCGATATCCTCAAATGCAACGCATGCAGCGCAGGCGTCTGCATCGTTCTCTGGACTGGCGTGCCAAGTGGTGTAGGGCGTCGCGTCGACGACATGCGCATCCAGTGCGCTCTCGTAGCATCGATACTGGCAATGTTCAAAGTGAATGAGCGGATACACCGGGCTAATGCGTGCATCGGTGCCATTCGATGACCGCGAATCTAGTGCCAGACAACGAGGTGGATGCACTGCGTCCTCGTAGCGCAGCCTGATGACAAGGAGCGGTCCGTCCGGGTCGTCGGCAGCGTATGCGTACCGCTGCGCCTGGCGTATATCGCCGCCGCGCAGCGCACCCACGTACAGCAGGCGCAAGCCAGGTGCTGCGTCAAACGTATCGAACGGGGTTAGCGTTTCCAGCCCCGATACCCGGATGCGTTGCCGAGGCCAGTGGACATATACGCGACGCGTGAACACACGAGCACCCAACTTGCCGTCAGTCTCGAGTGGAACGATATTCACACCGAATTTGGCGGAGCCTAGTAGCCGCCACACCCCGGGCTGTGCAGATACCGGCACGACACAACAGAGACGCACGAGCGAGCCCTCGTATTTGGTTCGCAGGAGCTGTGCTAGGTCCAGTGGACAATCCCAAACCTCTACCTTGGCTAAATGTTTGCCCAGCGGGTCCGCCACGCCAAGCGTTAACAAGGAGCCTATTTTTGGCGGGAATTTGTCTACGTGTCCTGATGCGTGCACCGCATCCGTGCACGCATCGCTTTCGAGATGCTCAGGGTGCCCGCACGCAGACCAGGCGCCAGGCGTACGAGGCGCCGCATCTGGGCTCCACGAAAATATGGGTACAGGGCAGGCATGGAGTTGCCCGTGTTCAGCATCTGCGACGATCTGTGCGGTGTAGGTTGCGCTCAGAAGGTATCTTGGCTTTCCGGGGAGAGTTCCCGGCTGACGGGGTGAAACATAGGCCCCATTTTTGTCCAACTGTCGTTGTTGTTGGTGGTGGTGTAGCGTTTCCGCGACGAACCTTAGTGGATGGACTCGGTGCAGGACGACGTCCAGGGCGGGAACGGTGCCGCCCAAGGGATCGGTCTGTGGCAGGGTCACCGCCATCAATGCGGATTGCACACGACCTATTGCCTGATGAACGGAATCGCCGATACGTTTCATCGACCAGCGCTGCTTCTGGAACAGTGGCGCTGGATGGACGCTGTTCAGGGACAGGGTTAAAGAGATTCGCTCGATCTGTGCAGCCGCTGTACGGATGGAGCGCCTGCTGGCATGGTGCGGTGCCGCAGCGCTGCACTCTACCCGAGCCGCACCGATGTAAAGACAACCTGCCCTGGTCCATAGGCGATGAGGTGCAGAAACCGATCTGTAGCCAATCTGCGGTCGATATTGTAACGCTCGCTCCGTTGCTGCGAATACGCGCAGGTGATGCAGCCACGCTTCAACGGGCTGGGTACCTTTCGCAAAAACCAAGTAATGCCCGTCGCAAAGCAATAAGCATACATGCTCAGTCTCGATGCTCGTTTCGCAATCGTAGCCTGGAACGAGGAGGAGTCTCATCGGGGGCAGATAACTAAAAGCGTCTGGAGCTCGAGCAATCGCTTCAAACATGGAACTAGAGCGTTGCTGTTCCATGCGACGATGGCAACGCCAGAAGCGCCCGATGAGTTGATACAGCACTTGCCATACGGTTAAGACGCGACCGAATAGTGCTTGCGGCACAGCGAGCTCTATGAGACTCATCTCGTAAATAATCAAGCACCAGTAACGACGAAACCAAGCAAGGGAACCTACTCGATTGACAACCTGGGAGGCATTAACAGTCGGCTCGAAATCTTGCTGAGACACCAGCCAAAAGGTGTCCGTTGGATCCGGCTTTGGGTTTTCTTGAACGGTATCGTCAACGCAGAAGAAACAGAAGAAATCCCACGCATCTAGGACTGCACCTTGGGCACGCAGTTTTGTAACAAGGCGCTCAGTGGCAGTGTCGTCGCGCCCAGTCGCATGCAGCGACTCGAGTTTCGTGATCAGGGCATCCGCATCGTTGCGAGAGCACTTGAACCGGAAACGTATGCTTTCCCAGGGCGCAAACGCCGCACGAATCGCATGCACGGAAGGATGTTCCAGGTCGATATCACATGGAGGGCGCGGAAAACACTTTGGAACCAAAGCTGGCGACCAGTATCCCGTGCGGCGTGCCGCATCGCCGCGGAAGGCAGCATGTGCACCAGCCTTTGGGTCATGTTCAGGGCAGACAGGCAGTGACTGGATCTCTGGTGCATCCCCTGCTCCATGAGCATCGGTACTTGTCTTGCTTCGATGGATGCTTGTCATTGGTGCCTCAGCCTTTGACGGTGGCGTGAAGCGTCGGGCCCGCGAACTGAGCGGTCTTGCAGGCGCTTCTACCGAAGTCACGTCTGCAAACGGTGGTCGAGCGTGACAAACGGATATTCCATTGTCTTGATCGTTGATGTTTCCCGCCCGTTTCGAATTGTCCATGGAGCACGGCGGCCTTTTTCGTGGAAGATTACTATTTGAAGCGGGCCAGATGCATCGCTTGCTGGGAGCTGCGTATGCATTGACGCACGAGCTCGGGCCCATATGCGCTACTTGTGGCTCATTCATTCCACAATCAATAGACATAGATGAAGCGTCTTGGTTGCGGAACTCGCATGGAAAAGCTCGCGAATTTGCAAACTCTTGCCGTATGTGACAATCCTCTATGGATTTGATCTCCGAAAACGGCGATGCATCACAAGCGACTGGTGGACGATTCTCTGCCTCCTCGCTAAAGAGTCGCGCGACTCGGGCGAGAGAAGCGCTCGATGCGACTTGCAGCTGCTGACCGTGACCCGTTGAGAAACCAGTTGCAGCGGCTGTAGCTCGATGTGATGCAGCTCGGGCATCCTTGTCTGCGCCACCTGGAGCGGGATCTTCATGAAAGAGTCGCGCGACTCGGGCGAGAGAAGCGCTCGATGCGACTTGCAGCTGCTGACCGTGACCCGTTGAGAAACCAGTTGCAGCGGCTGTAGCTCGATGTGATGCAGCTCGGGCATCCTTGTCTGCGCCACCTGGAGCGGGATCTTCATGAAAGAGTCGCGCGACTCGGGCGAGAGAAGCGCTCGATGCGACTCGCAGCTGCTGACCGTGACCCGTTGAGAAACCAGTCCTCATTGCAGACTTTGCTTTGTCAAAGTTCATTGCCTCTGCCCGTGTCCCCATGTGCTGTAAATCACCGACACGTTCGACTCCGGTTGCTTCTGTTGATCGGGTAAACACGCGCAACAGTTTCTCATTAGCAGGGCACGTACCCGTCGCTTTGTCATCGATGCGAGCGCGCCCTGGAGACGCGTTCGGTGCGTGAACTAGCGATAATGCTGCACAACCAGCACCATATCGTTCCTTATCTCCTAAGGGTGTGTCAAAAATAGCACTAGTTTCTAGGAACCTGGTCGGTTTTCTACCAAACGCGACATCCGCTGTACTGCCTTCATTATCGGATACTTGCGACTTGAAGTCACAGTGGTTGGGTTCCACGTTCCAGCTGTGTATTCCTTCGTGTCGGAGATCAGCGTCGCTCCGACCGAGTTCCTGCGTTATGCTCGTCGGTGTGCAGGTATCTACGCGGTCGACGATAAGCGACTGGGGCGGGTTTTCCATAGGCGCCGACCCAGCCCCCGTTTGCGCCGCTGCGTGCGGGAAACGGCTATGTTCTCCCAAGGCGACAAGATAGCAAGCCAACAAACCACTATTCAGGGCACTTTCGCTCTTCTTGAGACGTTCCGCTCGAGTCTCACACCGCAGTCGAAGCAGACAACCGACGTTCTGCTGGCCTTCAGCGCGACACACCGTTTCTCAGCCACGGGGATTCGAACGAGAGCGCCGAGCGCCAGGCGTAGCGCGGGGGTGGCCCTGGGCGCCGCACACGCATCGGCATGCATTCTGAATGGGCAGAATTATATAATAATGATTCATAAGGTGCATGATGCATGCATGCCCCATTCTGATCACGACTCGTCTACGGACGCCACAACATGAAAACATCATCGATTCATATGATCCTTGCAATAGGCAGTGTGCGTACCCTATGGCGTTCTACAGCTCTTTATCGCGTCCGCATTGGTATCGACTACTACGGGTGCAGGTGCTGAGGCTTTCGATCGAAAATCGACAGGAAACGTGCAGGTTGGCGTTTCATGAGCAGAAAAGGAACTGGCGGCAGTTTGCGTCTGCAAACGGCAATGCTGCTGGTGCTGCTGACGGGAACGCTGTACCCAACGTAGAGCCTTCGGGAACGGAGCAGAGCTCGAAGGAACCTAATGATCTTTGTACGCTAGAATCTCAGAGGAAAGCGGTTCTAGATCGGATGATTCGTGTAGATCACGCAGGCGAGATCGGTGCTCGCCGCATCTACGACGGGCAGTTACGCGTCCTCGGAGGTACGCCCGCAGCCCCAATCATACACCACATGGCGGAGCAGGAACGACGGCACGCAGAAGTCTTCGATGAGCTCGTAAAGCGGTACCGGGTGCGGCCGACAGCGCTACTACCGCTTTGGAACTTGGCCGGCTTCTTACTGGGTGCTGGTACAGCGTTATTGGGGCGCGAGTCCGCCATGGCCTGCACCGTTGCCGTCGAAGAGGTCGTGGCACAACACTACGATGATCAGCTGCGGGAGCTCATTGCTTTGGAGAAACAGCACGCCTCGGTAGACGGAGATGTTGGACCCGCAGGAGCAGCCAAATCGCCTGAAGCGCAGCTGCGTCACTACATCCGACAGTTTCGTGACGAGGAGCTAGAACACAAGGATACTGGTCTGGAACACGGCGCCGAGCTGGCTCCGGCATATCGTTTACTTTCTTTCGCTGTGCGAACAGCATGCCGCGCAGCTATATTCGTTAGCGAACGGATCTAAGTACGAAGCGTGTTTCACCAATGCGGGGGCGTGTCGGTCTCGCATGGAGCGCGAGCTGAAGTGCGACTGAGCTCCATGTTTTGACGAAAGACCCAGACACGACCGCACGGACTTTATTGTGCATGAGACCCAAACTCACGGCTGTACCGACGTTAACCGCGTGTTCTTTGGAGAGTCACGTTGCACGGAGCGGAGATGCTGCATGGGCTAGCCAGCCGTCTTTATAGCCTTTTATTTCGGTTGTGTTTCACACCCAGGTGCGAGCAATGAAATGCGATTTCGCGGTTCATAGCAGGTACGTTCCAAGTGCGTTCTTTTTCAAGAATAAAAAATCCAAGGGAGAGGTATGCGCATGGAATCGGGGATCTTAGAGGCCTGTCAGCATCGGGTGACTGAAAAAAGACGAGGAAAAAATCCTCGTCTTGCCGCGCATTGCGCAAGGAAGAGCAAATACGGAAGAAGAAGAGTGGTGATAGTCGAGAAACGGAATTCGCCCGACGCTACGTTGCCGAGACTCTAGTGGAAGACAAAGCACGAGTGCTAGCCATTTTCGCAATGGTGCGTTCCACCTGCGTCAATGCATGCAAGGAGTTCATCAATCGACACTTCAGTGGCACCATCAACATAAGACGATGTGTCGTGCTGAAGACGGGACACGAGAAGCTGATGTGATACAACTTCGTTGGACAGCCTCTCAGTCTCGAAGCATGCCTGGATAAACTGAAGCCGATAGCAGGCCGCTGGTCAAAATAGGCTGGGAGGCGTCACTGGATGGTTATCGGTTTACCGTCCATGGTCGTGGGTCAGTTTTTTTGTTTCATCGACATGTACATATAATCTGCATGCAGTATCTGCTGCACCAGACAGATCATCAAGCGAACAGTGGCAGATAAATCACTGCTGGACACTCGTGCGAGATTTTGGGGAATATCGGCAACATGCACGTTGCCATGGAAAGGACCTCCCATCATCGGAACTGAAAGACATAGAAACGCGCCTCAGAAGAACCCTAGACTACCATTTCCGTCTCGGTTTGTAGCCAGACGAACGGTACTTGGTATCATCTCTTCACCGTTACGGAATGGCAATCCCTATCGCCCAAGCGCTATCCACAAATATGTGTCTCGATCAGCGCCACCGCATCCGCGTGGTTCTTTAGTTCGCTTCTGGTGCCGACTTCTGTCAGTGCGGCGCCCGAAGAGACTTGATGCATTGTCCACGACCTAAAGGCGTCCGAATCATCGTAGCGACTGACCCAGAATACGACGTCATCGATCTGAGCGTGCAACATGTGGTGCAAAATTCGCAGTGGAGTTTTCGCATCTGATCCATGCACGTTGTTCCAGCGCACCGTTTGAGACCCCGAACTACACTTACTGTGTGACGTACCTGATCCACAACACGGAACGAACGCCTATGACCGGCTCTAGGGGTCCCAAAATGCACAAATCTCCAGAACCAGAGGCAGTGCGTTCCATTCTGTGTGAAGAGGAAGCCGTCTCTCCTGCACGGGATGGAGGCACGAGAGTGCGAGCACCCGCACGCTCATCAGCCGCAGAATCCCATATTGAGCACTGGTCTAGGAAGAGCGCCGCTTCTATGTGGTCCAGATATGCGCTGAGAAGCACGACACTGAAAATGTACGCGCAGATCCTCGATCAAGGTTGGAACGAGGTTCACCGCGACACTGCGCATCTACTTGGTGTCGAACGGACATCGCGTGCGAACATCCCTCGGACAGCGTCTCTATCAAAGTCAGCGATCCATTGTGTCTATACAGTTAAGAGCCCTGTCGTAGCAAGTTCAAGTGGTGCCGCATATCCATTCTTCGCAGAGCACGGAGTTGATCTGTTTAGCAGCAAGGCAGCTGGCGAGACGCAGAGCCTCCCAGGCACCTGTTCTCTGATTCACGGATACTATACCGAATCTATTTTGAGCGCCGGATGCAGACAAGGTACATATCGTTGGAACGCGAACCATCGACCGGAAACGCGACGCGCAAAGTGGCACCAAGCCTGCCCTCGTCTGAAGCGAGGCTCACAAATGCCTTGGAACTGCGGCATCGAAACCATCTACCCACACCTGTCCCGTATCAAGATCGAAAACACCCTTGAAACCCTTGTCTGTCAAGGGTGCATGCCGGATCCGACCAACTGCCATGTGAGTAGGTCAGTGCATCGCGTCTGTGGTGAAGAGAGCGTACGGAGGCGTGTAGCGGGCTGGGCGCTCCCCCAGGAGCCATGGCGATATCGGGAGCATCGCGCTTTCAGCATCTCGACGGAAGGGTTGTAGAGAGCTGCCACCGTCCGCTCTAAAGCGTAGATCTTTCTCAACTTCTTCTGGAGCAACGCTCTACAATTTTCTGTGCTGTCTGGAACGAAGATCCATACTGCAATCGTCTAGCACGTGCGCTCCGCTCGGGTTGCCGGCAGGTGCATGCACGAGTCTCCATTAGCTGTGCCCCTGTGCTTTGTCATAACGCTATATATGTACTTTCCCAGTCTGTACAGCGTCGGAGCTACCGCGAATTCGAGTGTAACCGCCAGAGACGCGCAGTTTCGCTCAGTGGCAACGAATAGCTCCTGCCGCGCAATCTTACCTCTTTTCCCGAGGAATCAGTAGGTACTGCTTCCCGAACTGCTCCTCTGGTTCACATCCCTGTTTTGAGGCGTCAAGGCCCTGCGATTCGCAAGGCAGTAGCGCCCCCGTCCGTTGCAGAGCTCCACTGGACTGGGTGTACCCAGCGCTTCGGCCTGAAGGCAGATAACTCGACACGTCGGCCTCGTACAGCGGCCCTGTAGCGCTTATGCACTGCTTAAACCCAGTGGACTGGAGTTATCCAACTCTGACTCCAGAAAGAAGAACAACACTTTACCAGTTGGCGGTAAAACAAAAGCCACTCCTGGAACGCTTTTCGGGCAACGATCGCCTGTGCAGCGCGTCAACGCGAACTCGTTGCCGTTTCCCCAGACTGGAGCGCCTTTCCTGCGTCGTGCGTTGCTAGCTACGAGTCAAGTCGGCACAAAGCCGGACTTTAGCAGAGGTAGTGGTCCAGTCTAGCACGTACGTCGCTATGGCCGTCTTTTTCCAGGGCAGCAACAGTGGCTTCAGTAGCGGTACCGTCTTTTGAGTGTGTAGAGGTCCTCAGCATGCCTTCGTTGGTGTCACGCGTCTCGAGGCTTCCAGTCGAAAACGACGACGAGCACTTGACGGACGCTAGCAACGATGATGCGCTTACAAATGAAACAAAAAGCGAGTACTCCGAAGCTCTCTCGACAGCTATGAGTGCATCTTTGAGTCTCGATACAACCAAGGAGCTTCCCGTGGTGTACGCAGAGCCGTACCGCGCTATGCTCGTGGATCAGTTGCTTCTCGAGTCGACGCGGACCCGGTCGACTTCCGTCAGCTTCACGAGAGGGATAGGCGCTGAGCTGGACGATTCTATGGGCAACCAAAACGGATCCGTTTGCGAACTTGCAGCGCAGCCGGAAACCAACCTCACACCGAGCGGCACACCGAACTTGGCCGGCAGTTGGCAACGCCCTAGCCGCTTTGAGACACCGCACGGCTCGTTGGACACCATTGTTCACTATTTGGAGAATGTCCGCCAAGATATTCGCGCAGAAAACATATCAGAAAAGTACGTTCCCGGGACGCCAGCGGCAACACTCGAGGTACTGGACCCCACCCAGATTCTCAAGTCCTGGCGAGTTCGAGATCGATTCAAGACAGCAGCAGTCGCGTTGGTGCTCTGCCTCAATGTAGGCGTGGATCCACCTGATGTCATCAAACCGACACCATGTGCTCGGGTCGAGTGCTGGATCGACCCCTTCAGTATGTCACCGCAGAAAGCATTGGACTCGATCGGCAAAGCGCTGCAGCTACAATACGAACGATGGCAACCACGTGCTCGGTATCGGGTGCTCACAGATCCGGTCGCGGATGAGGTCAAGAAACTCTGCCTAGGTCTACGTCGAACTGCGCGTGAGGAGCGGGTGCTGTTCCACTTCAACGGCCACGGGGTACCGAGACCAACCGCCAACGGCGAGATCTGGGTCTTCAATAGAAACTATACGCAGTACATCCCGCTGAGCCTCTATGACTTGCAGAGTTGGCTGGGAGCTCCAGCGGTCTATGTTTTTGATTGTCCTGCTGCTGGACTGGCGATACGTGCCTACCTCCAGTTTGCCGAGCAGCGCGAGCATGAACAGCCGTACCAGCAGCACCAGACGGGAGCGTCGCATCCCCATATGGGTGCAGAGGACGTTCCAGTGCAGAGTGCCGCGTTGGCTAGTAGTAGTAGCGGCGGCGGCGCCAACGCTCGAACAAGTCGTGCTAGTTTGGCAGGCGAGTCACTCGCAGCGGGTGAACGTGCGGCAGCTGCTTCCAGCGCATCGAGCTATGCCTCCTTCGTGCGTGACTCGTTCCTGCTGGGCGCTTGCCAGGCCGATGAATCGTTACCGACTACCCCGGACTTGCCGGCGGATTTGTTCACAGCCTGCTTGACGACGCCCATCAAGATTGCACTGCGGTGGCAGGCACTGCGCTCTGCAGGGAGAAGCATCACGATGGACATGATTGATCGCATACCTGGACGTTTGAATGATCGAAAAACCATGCTCGGTGAGTTGAACTGGATCTTCACGGCGGTTACCGACACGATAGCGTGGAACACATTCCCACGAGCAACGTTCAAGCGACTCTATCGCCAGGATCTGCTGGTTGCGAGCCTTTTCCGCAATTTCCTTCTGGCTGATCGCTTAATGCGGCAGTTTAACTGTACACCGGTGAGCTATCCCCCGTTACAGGCAACACATCAGCACCCGCTTTGGCAGGCCTGGGATCATGCTGTCGAAGAGTGCTTCGCACGGTTGCCGTCCTTGTTGCAGCAGGACGCATCGGAAGGTCGCGTTTCGGGAACGGGAGCAACAACTTGCCTGGCAATGCGCACCGTGGCTGCCGCTGGTGCTGGACGAATGGCAACTGCTGGTCCGTTGCTGAACAACGCGAACCCGCTCCACCAGGGTTACGGCGGCATGGGAGGCGTCGCCGTCCCTGCTGCTGCTGCTGCTGCTGCGAATACGACAGTAGCGCAGGCGCCTATCCACTTGCTTCCTAATGCACCGACGGATCCTGGCGCTCCACTGACCGCGGCGAATCATCTGATGCGTCCAGAGCCGCGTGGGAATCTGGAAGTGCTCCACGACCTCTACGACTATCGTGAGGCCGGCACCACCTCGTGCCGAACGCACGACACAGTGCAAGCGCAGACACACCATGTCGGAGGAATGCATCGAGTGCAGGGGCCTGGTGTCACCAATCCAGCGGCACAGCCGACGCTGGACCTCTCGGCAGCGACTGGAGCCGGATCGAACGAGACGGGTTTGACGGCCCCGCTGTACGCTCACTCGCCCAGCGAAGGAGACGTATCGCTGCCGAGTCCGTTCTTTGAGAACCAGATGGCTGCGTTCGAGGTGTGGTTGGACTTGCCCGCACATCGACGAAGTCCTCCAGAGCAGCTACCAATCGTCCTGCAGGTGCTCTTGTCACAGGCGCATCGTCTACGTGCGCTTCAGCTTCTCTCTCGCTTCCTGGATACCGGCCCCTGGGCCGTTGACCTGGCGCTCTCGGTAGGCATCTTTCCGTACGTCTTGCGGCTACTCCAGAGTCCAGCTGCAGAGCTTCGCGCGGAGCTCGTGTTCATCTGGGCGAAGATCTTGGCCGTTGATCCGGCGTGCACAGAGGAACTATTCAAAGAGAGTGGCGAGCGTTACTTTCTCACCAGCTACGCTGCTGAGGACGCGAGCGCTGTGCACCTGGCTTGTGCGGCCTTCGTGCTCTGCCATGTGTTGAACAAAGCCGTGGACGCATTCGGGGATGCGAATCTCCTCGCACTCTTCCTTCAGCGCCTGGAGCATGCCTCTGAACCGGTCCGCCGCTGGACGCTCTTCTGCCTAACAGCCTGGATGGAGTCAAGTCGAAAAGTGCCTTCCACGGGGACCGTCTCGACAGTACTGGAGCTGTTGCGCACGGACCTGTCGCCCAAGGTGCGCGCTGCCGCAGCACAGACGCTAGCAACGATGTTGCGCTTCGATTATTGCACCGCTGATATCATCGAGGCGTTCCAGCAGAGCGCATTGAATGAAGTATCTGCAGTGGTGAGAAAGGAGATAGCGCTGGTGACACTGGCTGCGAACCGGCCGGCACAGACAGTGCTGGTGCGTGACCCACACCCCGTTGTTGCCGCTCTCGCGGAGCACTTTGGGGCAACGCTAGCGGATGCGGGCGCTGAAACCGCCCCAGTGCACGTGCCAGGATCGCCTCCGAGAGCTGCCCAGATGCCGGCGGCGGCAGCAGCAGCAGCAGCAGCAGCAGCCGATAACGATATTGACGACGATGAAGAAGACGCAACAAACGCGGGCGCATCCCAAGTGCCTGCAGTTTCCGAACGATGGACCGCTAGCCGGCCGCCTGAGGCCATGCAGTTGCGACCTGCATCCGCGACGGGCACGTCCTCGAGTGATCCAGTGCAACAGCAGCAACAGCAGCAGCATGGACCGAGGCAAATCCTGCGACGTGCCTCGGCCTCGTGGAGCAACCTAAGGCGATACGCGTGGAGCAGTACTACTGCTGCGGCTGCGGCTGCTACTGCGCTTGCCGCGGAAGCACCGCGCACGACCGGCGACCGCTCACAAACGTCGTCAGCATTTCCAACGGACGCTCACACTGAAGCAGCCAAAGCCCAGAAGCACATCATGGGCGAAAGAGGTTCCAGTGACGCGGAAACTCGTACCAGCACCGCAATAGCCGTTCGACTGGCACGTCCACAGAGTCAACCCGAGTTGCGTGCCGCAGCGACCCTGGAGCTGGAGGAGCGTCGTGCGAGTCGCAGTCGCCACGGTCGACTCGATACTTACCAGCCTCGCGATTTGTTTCGATTCCCGCATGAGGCGTTTACGTTCTCCCGTCGACGTCGCATGATGCATATTCGCGACTACAGCTACCAGGAAGTGCTGCAGAGCCAGACCCGAGAGCGATGGTCAGGTCACGAGCCCATGGAACCAACCCGGTTGCAGCAGCGGATGGAACGGCGCTCAGAGGCTGCCGCTGCCGCCGCTGCCTTGACGCGGCTCAGAGAGCGCTGGGTTACGCGTTTGCAGGCAGAGCAGATTTCGGCATTGTGCTTCCATCCGTCTCAGCAGCTCGTGCTATCCGGCGATGCCTCTGGCAATGTCGTAGCACTGCAGCAGGAAAACGGTGAACGCTGCTGGCGCCTTGGGGTTGGGTCGAACGCCAGCGCTATTGCCGCGCTGCGTGTGGTGAATGCACACACGACCTGGCCTCTGCTGCTCGTTGCGACTGCCGACGGGATTGTACGCTTCTATGAGTCACAACAGCAGGTGTTGGCAGCGTTCTCCGCAATATCACAAGCGAGTCGAATGCCTGGCATGACGGACGCGACTCCTGCTAGCCCAGGTACGACAAGCAGGCGGGTATCTGCGACAACACCGGGTGCCAGCACGCCTCGTGATCGGGAACTCGTATGCTGCACCACCACCACCACCACCACTGCGTATTCGAACACTGCGGGATCGAGACAATGTCGGTCACCGTCAGCACCAGCGATATCACAGACGCCAAACGCGAACTCGCATGCAACGATGCCTGCAGATGTAGCGGGTCTTGCTTCTCCTCCATGGCGGGTGTCATCGGCGGGAGGTGCTGGAGAAGCAGCAGCGCTTTCGCCGGTAGATCGAGCGAGATACGACGAAAGCATGGCAACTGGTCGAGCGTTTGTCTGTGACTGGAGCCCCTGGCACGGTTGGCTGCTAACCGGCGGCCTCGAGCAGGGCACCATTCGACTCTTTGACGCGGAACGCGAGATGTGTATCTGGAGCTGTATTGCCTCGTCGTATCGAGTGACGGCGGTAGCGCACCTGGGATCCAGCCTCTTCGCGGCAGGCTGTGCGGATGGTAGTGTCTACACATACGATACGCGCACGGGAGCGATTGAAACGGAACTCTTGGAGCACTCCAGTCCGGTTATATCCATTGCCGGTCGATGGAGTCCGACGCCCGCCCTGGTGACTGCCGCTGCCGCCGGTGACATTCGTGTCTGGCCCTTGGCCGCTGCCTCCAGTTCGGTGTGTGTGGTTGCTCATCGACGCGATCTGACGGCAGCAGCTGCGCATCAGGGGATGCCCTGGATCGCCACTGGTTGTGCAAGTCGCTGTATCAAACTCTTTGGCGAACAGGGTCAGTTGTTGCAGTTGATTCGGCACCATGATGGAGCCGAGAATCCTCGTATTGGTTCGATTAGTTGCCTCGAGTTCGCAGCGCAGGATCTGATGCTAGCAGCCGGAGATGTCGACTCGTCGGTGACACTGTACACCGCAAGCAGCAACTAGCTGGTACCGATGCAAACGTGTCTCTGGATGGATCTGGATCCTGGCTTGCTCTGTTCTGAAGCGCTGCTGTTTCAGCTCGTGTGACGCGGTGTAAGCGGGTGCTGGTCCTTGGAGATGACGCGTTGGAGGCTGTGGATCAGGGTCCAGGGCTGCTCTGGCATACTTTGCTGTCGGTGCCGTTGCCGCTGTTTTTGCAGGTAACCAATGGATGCCCCGGATATAGAAACCAGCAGCAGGTATAGTCGTAGGTTTGCTTCATTTGATACTGCTTCACGCGTTTGGCTCCCCCGTTGACTCGACCATGTCTCTGGGGAGGTCGCTTGCTCGCCTCACTTCATCATCATCCTCATCATCAACCAGTCTAGACTAGACCACGGGATTATCCGCGTGCAATACAGTCTGAAACTCGTTGTACCGCGTTCGGTTTTCTGGCGACAAGCATGCTGTTCGCTTGACGTTCCAGCGTTGCATCGGGTACCATGCCGTGCAACGACTTCATTACAGTGCTCACTCGCAAATGCGCACTTGCGGATTCCACCGCAACACAGACACTGGTCGCATCTCCTCGATGGATCGTTCAAATTGCTGCGTCGCGCACCGCAGGGACTCACTCACTGCATACGGCACTCGCGGCGCTGACCGCTGAGCGTACCACCACTACTACTACTACTACTACTCCGATAGCGCAGCGCAAACTGCCGAACACAGAGCGCGATCAGATCCCGCTGTTCCGCACTGTTCGCTCGAAAGGCAAAGGTATGTTTCAGGGTGAGGCTGAACGCATGCGCATCCGTCTCATCGAGGGCGACTTTGATGAAGGACGTCCAAGACTTCTTCTCTTCCGTAATCCAGTGACCCTCGCGGGGGTCAAAGTCCTCCGTCGCATGATAAAGGGATTCAGTCCAAGGATCAGCGGCACCAGCACCAGCACCAGCACCGGATGCTTGGTACGACTGCGCCGGGCGCTGAACGCTCAGATAGCGCTTGTGGACGAGGATACAGCGTGGAGCGCCCGACGCCTCGTCGCGAACCAGAAAAGCAGCGCGACCTTCGAGCATCCACACCGAGAGGCGTTCCTCCATGGTCGGATCTACCTCGATTGGTGCAGTGAACGCTTGCAGCGCGGGTAGCCCCGCGGTTGCCTCGGTAACCGCGGCAAGTCGCATACCCACATCATCCGCTGTCGTTCGATAGCGATAGCCTTCAGCGCGGTAGGCGTATGGTGTAATGGACGCTGTTCGACGCGACAAATGATACCAGCGCACTCTTGGACCGGAACTCGATTCGAGACCGTTCATCACTGCTGTCAGCGTACGATTATTGAAACATTCACCCTGGATGACCAGACGGGCATCCGCTTGGATGCGATCACTGGGAATCTCGGTACGTTCGGAGCGCTCTGGTCGAGTACCCTGCGAATGTTCATGCAACGTTGCTGTTGCTGTTGCTGCTGCTGCTTCTGCTGCAGGTGCTCCGCCTCGCGCCAAGCTCCCTGCTACGCTTGGTGAGAGATGTTGTGAGGTTTCGTGTCCATGCGGCTGCGCTTGGCATCCTAGTTTGCGAGAAGGAGTTAGCGGCTCAATCTGGTCTTCGTGGAGCGTTTCGATGTCCTCGGGAACGCGTTCAGCGCCGCGTCCACCGGGGGTGTCGGCAGCACGCCAGGCACTGAGCCTGGCAGACGATGTGGCTGGTTGCGCCTCTACAGCAGCGAGATCAAGCGGTGCGACCGTCTCTATCGATTGTTTGCTCCAGCTCGATGCTAGCCTAGCAGCGGCTGGGCGTGCCCTTCGAACGGAAGCGCCGCTTTCCAGGCGTGTACTGTGAGAAGCTGACGGTGTCTGTGACAAGCGCATCTCACGAAGCGGCACGCCTGGGGCATCGTTCTCGGAAAGCTCGCGGGGATGCGTCCAGGGCATCTCTGGTATTTGGGCGTTATTCTTCAAGGAGACGGATCCCGAGGTGCGTTCTGGGGAAACACCACTGGCAACCGCGCAGATGCTGAGGTCCGAAGTACCACCGGACGACCCTGGCACGGATTCCGGTACCGCAGGTTCAGCACCCGCACGTGAAACGATGCCTATCGGGTGTCGCTGTGCTGGTGCAGTGGCATCGGGACTTGCAGGTAACGCACTGGTAACGAGTGCTTGTTTTTGTGCACGCAAAACCTGAACCAAGTCTGCCTGGATCGCATTCTCCTCATCAAGGCCCTGGAGACGTTGCAGCTGTTGATCTCGCTGAGTTTTCAGCTTGTGAAACTCCTGCTCTCCTGCTTGAATTTCATTTTCTAAAGAAGAAAGTTCGGCAGCCAGACGTGTCTTCTCGCTTTCGCCGGCGGCAATCTGAGCAGTTCGTTCAGCGTTCTCTCGACGCAGTCGCTCGATCTCAGACTGAAGATGCTCCAGTCTTCGGCGCAGTGGTTCAGTCATTCGCGTGACCTGTTGCCAGGCTCCAATACGCGTCTGGAGGAGTTCGCGTTCGCGCAGGTATCGTTGCCGCATAGCCTCGCGCTCGCTGAGCTGGTGTAACAGCGCTCGTAGCGTTTCATCTTCGCGTGGTTCCTCACCACCAGCTAGCTCTAAACGCTGCCGTGTCAGGTCCAAAACCTCTTCATACGCTGCATTGAGTCGCTCTAAAGCAGCGTTTGTATTCTGGAGGAGACGAAGCACCGAGCTCTCCAGAGCGCGTTTTGTTGTTGCCGCTGATCCTAGAGAGCTTGTTCGACGCTGGTTCACTGCAACCTGCACTTGAGACAGACTTCGTTCCCGTTCCGTCAAAAGTTGTTCCAAGTTCGCTAGACGTGTACGCTCCGCGGCGATTTGGGGCTCCAGGGTTTCTACGCTCGGGTCGAGAAGGCGACTGGGCTCCGCGCTCGTCTCTGCTTCTGAGCGCAGCGGCGGATGCTTCAAGGAAGCGTCCCAGCTTGCATCCATGCAACTTGTGGCTGTCGTTGCCTATCGTCTATTCTTCTACTCTCAAATTGATGTGGCAAAGCGTGCCAGTAGCCGCAAGTCGCGCAGCACCACAGAAACCTATCAGAAGGAGAAAAAAGCTTCAGCCCGCCGGCGAGATACCGACACGGCAGTCGTACCCGCAGCAGGGCAACGCGTAACGGTCGCTTCTTGTTTGGCGTTCGGCATTCGCTGAGCGAGGGAGCTCCACAGAGACTAGGCTGGCGGTGTGTAAACAAGTTTTATAGGATGTTTGTTAGTGGTTGCAAGTTTTGGTGGTGTTCCTTGACGGATGCGCGCGCCAGGTCAACAACAGAGTGGTCGATGCCGGTGCGCTGGCGAGCGTCTACGTCGGAGCGGACCCGCAGCCGCACCTCAGCCGGGGACCTGAATGCTATAGAGCGACGACGCTTTTTCACCCCTGTGTGGTCTTTTAGGACAGCTGTTACCTCGTGTATGGCTTTGGACGAAACAACACCTACCCAGAGGGAACGACGCGAGAGCAGCGGAGCGCATCGACTGGACGGCTGGTTTGCGCTGCGGAAACGGGTACTGCCTCGGGACACGGACTACGCTGGTGTGGTATGGCACGGTCGTTACGTGGACTGGTTAGAGGAGGCGCGAGTGGAGTTTCTAGCTGCGCGCGGCTTTACATACGAACAGCTGGTGCGGGAGTGTCAGTGCGAAACACCTGTGATTCAGCTGTCGCTGAGCTACAAACGGCCAGTGCGGTTTGGTGAAGTCGCCGACGTTCTTCTCCGAGTCTGCCCGAGACAGCGAACGAGTGTGCGTATTATTTTCGAGTGCCGCATCGTTGCGGCAGCGGCGACAGTTGTCTTACCTGAAAACGAACAAACGCCTGTCGGCACCGTTTATGTTGACGGACGCGTCGAACTGACGATCGTGGATCGCAACACCGGGCGGGTATTACGGAAACTCCCGCCCCAGCTGGAGAAGTCGCTTTACGGCTAGGTGCTGTGGCTGTCCTGCGCGTGTACTGGCTCTGGGTGCGTTTCTTCCGTGTTTCCGGGACAGGACGCCGTGGAAGATACATCCATGAACATTCGTTTGAGGCAATGCGCGAAGCAGACCGGTTCTTTCGCCTGCTATACAAGCTGCCTCGAACACAGATGCATGGTATTGCTGGCAACGCAAATGCATTGCGAGAACGTTTGTATTCCGTGCTCGAGGATGGGCGAGATGTCCACGTTCACAGCAGTCCGGGTTGTTTCTGGTGCAGCTTTCCATGCGCACGCTTGTGCGGGACTCGAAACGTACCCTGTATTTTCTACATTATCCAAATAATTGTCAGCCTGCTCTGGTCTAGCTGGCACGGAGACGTGTTCTGCTCTGCACTCGAGGCTGTTGCGATCATCTCCAATGAAATATTCGAGATCCTACGTGCTTGCTTCAAATGGCGCGCGGATAATGCACTACGGAAAAAAAAGTCACGGTTTTATACCATGCGCATCGTGGTGTAAAAGCAAGTGCTTGGTGCACGTTTTTGCGCACACGCGTTTGCCGCTGGATAGTCATAGGACAAGTGTGGGCGAGCCCCAGCGCATGCGATATTCCTCTCGTTATGATCCTGCACGTCGACGGTGCTTCACCTCTAGGTGCACGTCATCAAATGCGTTTTCGCGGTATATAGGAGATGCATTCGAAGTGCGTTCATTTGAACAAATAAAAAATCCAAGGGAAAGGTAAACGCATAAAAGTTAGGGAACCTGGAGGGCCGGTGTCGTTGGGTCCCACAAAAAACACGAATAAAATCCCCGTCTCGTGGACGATGGAGAGACGAAGAGCGGAGATAGGCGGGGAGAGGGCATTCGCCTGACGGGACGATGACGAGACTGTGGTGGCCTAGAGGGCACGAGCTCCAGCAATTCTTGTATTGATGAGTTCCGCCAGATGCAATAAAAGTACGGCGTTCGTGAACGGAGAATTCAACGCCTCCATCGATACAAGATGATGTGCTGTGCCGAAGACGAGACCCGGGGAGCTAACACGAGCTACCTTTATGGGGCAGCCTCTCAGGCTCGTACTCTGCCTGGATAAACGGAAACCAGGAGCAGTCGGCCGGTTAAAAAAGGCCGGGAGGCGTCTGTGCATGGGTATGTACTTACGATCCGTGGTCGTGGGACATTTTTTGTTTCATTGACATGTACATATTCTAAGAACTGTGAGTTCCGGAACACCTGTACTATCACACTCTTATGTTTTTGTTTGATTTTCTGCAGGTATGCAAAGAAAGGGTTTGTATCCCGTAAATTGGAGAAATGTTGCGTCAAATCCTGGTGCTGGCACTGCTTGCTTGGGAAGAGCAGCTCAAGTCGTAAATGCAAGTCCTTCTCCGGTGAGGAGGTGGATGAACCATCGTTCTTATTGCGTTTGCCCGAAACGTCTTGCACCCAAAACATAACTTCATCACGGCTTTTTTCACGATCTTCGTATCGTCAATCCACTCCACTCCATATGCTCTATTAGAGAGGCGATCAAGCAAGCCGTAGGATGCGAGAATTCCGCCTCATTGACACCAACGGTCGTGAAGCGACATGGATGGACGAGGTACAAAGCGCGAGTATGCGCTAAAAAACGCCGAGCGCTCGACAACACACTCTCGATTTCGAAGTGAAACACAAACTCGGACTATAGAAGAGACTTTCGCTCATAGAGGAAGAAATGGTAGACCTGTATATAGGTTCTCAAAGAGTGAGGGTAAATCGGTGTTCGTAAAGAAGGGACAAGCGAGTATTCCGACAAAATCTGCGCTGAAGGCGATGCTACCTTGTGGTCGCCTAGGTCACCAGAACGGACGGGTTCGTCAGTATTTCATCCTCCGTCAAAGCAAATTTCATGGATTCTCCATCTGACATTTTTCTGTCCCGGTCGTAGACGATGACGCTTTCCGTCACACAAAAAAGCAGTGACGGAGTACGCAGTTGAGATTGTCGTTGAGCTCGTGCTCGTGCCGGCCTAGGCTGCCTGGTTCAACCCAGTCGATGGCGTCTTATCTGATGTAAAACTCTGTATTTACGTTTACGGGCCCATAGACGGGTCGTTCGCATCAGCGACACCGTTCTCTGACAAACTGTTCCTCGACAAGTCGTTCTCTACTTTCATCGGCACTCCACTAATGTGATGCTCCTCTGTTCTTGCGCTTGAGCGAGTGAACAGGTGTGCTACAGTTCGTGAGGATTCTCGCGGTGGAAAGGTGACGAAAAAGTGCTTAAATGATGATCGATGCGCTCATGGAAAAGGCGAATTCGAGCCCCACAGTCCACCCGGTACGAGTGCAACACGTAAAAAAGTAGGTATATCGAGTATAGCGAGCATATTCGCGCCGTCCAGTCTGATAAAGAACAAGGAGAAGGAACGCCAGACTAAGAGGAAGAAAATTTCCCCAGAAAGTCGACGAGGGACCATAACGTAAAACCGTCGAAGAGGGACAATCTGCCTGAAACGATGATCAGGTGCTTCGCTTTGAACCACGCCGTCGGGAAGAATTTTCCGAAACGCAAGTTTCAGGAAATCGTTAGGTGTTGCATAGCTTCTTCCAAGAACCGGGTTTCGCTCACGTTGCCCTCGAGTTTCAAGCACTTGGTTACGCAAATGTTTGTACGGGTCCCAGACGCACTGCTGCTAGATATCCACATTCCTCTGGAATTTTTCGATCAAACCCGAGTACGACCATATACCTGATACTCAGGACAGAAGATGAAATGCGGCCAGATCGTAGTATCCACGCTTTGCATACTCGCGTTCCAGAATGCCTTGATGCTTCGCCACTCCTAGGCACTGATCGGAGCATCCACAGCACAGGTACGAACCTGAGTCTAGCAATCTCAAGAACTGTGTGCGTGCCAATGCCGAGCGTTTCATGGGGCACCTCCTGTGGGCGTTGTGCGCTCACCGCACTGGTCCAGAAAAACGGGTACTTACGGTAGGGATTCTCGGGATACGCGTGCGAGAAAAAAACGAATCCTTGGCGGCGGAAGCGATCCAGGCGGTCAGGCGCTCGGACTCGATGTCGCATTGATCGCGAGATTCGCTTCAGATCGCCCGAGCTCATTGCGTAGCTCTGGGCCTCAGACCGGAGCACATCGTATCCAAATGATGCTGGAAACGTGACCCATGCAGCGCTTTCATCTTGCGCATCTATGTGTTCCAGAATAGAGCCCTCTAGCGCAAAGCGAATCGTCTTTACGAATACGTCCGCGATAGCCTCCCCGACGATCTATCCAAAGGTGTCCCGACTGGTCTGATCGATGTCCATCATTTCCTAGAAGAAGCTTCTGTTCTGTAGAGGATTTCTGAATCAGTGAGCTACGGCTGGTCTCTGCGAGCGACTCTGAAGCAAGCGAACAACTTGGCGAAGAGCATTGGCAGAGCGCGTCCAAGAGCTCTCGTTTACGGGGAGGAAATGAGACGCAATTTACAGTGACGATCGATATAGACGGCGTATCAAGCAGCATGAACTGGTGGAAACGTTTATCTGCGTCGATCAACGAGGCTCATTTCCAGTCTTTCTAGACAGATGACGAGAATGATTCTATGGTGTGTATGGATGCAGTGCTGGAGGTTTCCAGGTCCATCGCAACCCCTCCAAGTCAAGAGGATAGAGTCAAAGATTCCAACGGGTAGCAGATGAAGCTGCTCAATTTTTCAAAATGCTCTGTATGCTAGGGAGTCGGACGTGATGGACACCAGCAGACACACCAGCAAATAGAATAACGGCTGCAGGGCCCATGTCGAAGCTCCAACCACCATACCGAGTAGAGGCGCATCCTTGATACGCCTCGTTCAGAGCGTACATGAGCGTCCAAATGATGCATGCGGACGACCATTCGCAGGTGTATGTGACACCGCGCTGGATCGCCGACAGTGTTGTTTTTTTTTTGCTGAAGCCAGCATCGTCCTTTGGTCAATTTTTTTCCAACGAATTCGAGTACGGAATACCCGATATGTCGCATGGTTTCATGGCGGCCAATGGCACTAAACGTGCCGTACACCACAAATACCTCATTCCTGCACCTTCGACGAGCGTGTCCAACGAGCGCATCAATCGGATCTGTTGGATACCTATCGATGCATTCGGAATGGCGTACGCGTATCATGAGCACGGGCACACGCTGGACCCGGTACAGAGGGAGAAGCAAGTGGAATAGACGCATATGTACGAGGTGGTGTCCGGGAAGCGGACCGCCCTTCACCTGGCGAGGAAATCCATGGAATGTGAGACTCGCTCTGGTTTGATGCCAGCAGCGGCTATCCGCGGAATCAGTCTCTGCACCGAGACTTGAACGCCTCGATCAACGTTCGGAAGTGTCTTGGGCTCCTCGACTTCGAGCGGTTTTGTCGAGCGAACATTCGACGGAATCCTTTCGTACTCAACAGGGGCTTGTGCTCCTATGCAGAAGCGTTGCGATTCGAGAAATCAGTGGCCGAGACAGAGGGCATCGGGTTCTCCTAAGCGCCACGGCACTGGCATGGTACGGCGCAGCAATCAACAAGTCCGAAACGCCGTCTCAGTTCACGGGGAACGCTTTTCGTGGGCTAAAATATCCGGGTTACGCCTTGCACTCCTAGATGCGGATCGTTACCATGACAGAAATTGCATCCAGAGGCGCGTATGCCTCTGATATGACCGCCACGTCCTCGTCATGATACACGCTCGCGCAGACACTCGAGTCGACACTGCTTCACGCGGCCCTAGGATTGGCTTCCTTCTGCTTGACGTGATCAAGTGCGCGGGAGCAATTACATCCTGACGCCTTTTAACGATGAAAGAGTCGCACCATGCAGTGCGCAGTTGCTCCATGTTGTTCCTGGCAAGGGTACTCTCGAGTTCCCAGTGTCCATACAACGTCCAGTACAACTGCTGCAGCGAGCTCTGTGTGCTCGAAGCACTGTCGTGGGCACTTGCGACGTCTACCTCGTTGGGCACGGCTCCACCGTACCCACACCGCACTACGAAACGCGTTTCATTTTTCCTCGGACACTGTCTTGACCAGTCGCTAGATCCACCTCTAATCTTTACACTTGAAACCAGTCTTTAGTCCTGGCATGGAGCGACCCCACTTTGCCCCTCGACGTCCAGGAAGCGTCTCGTGTGAGCAGAGCCTCAGCGGAGCGCGGCGTCAGCGGCCCGCAACTAGAAACGCCTGCCCCAGTCAAGCGTCGACGCAGCGTTTTTTCCTTGAAGCGCTGCTTTGCGGTGTTCGTTTCACGAAACGTTCCGACAGCAATGTTCGGCATAGTTCGGGTCGCTTTCTCAATTCACACGAGCGCCAGCTTCAAGGCCGGTAGCAGTGCTTTCAAGTCGCACAACTGCACCGACGTTCGTTTCCAGCACAAGCCGCTGCCTCGGGCAGCGGTTGCTCGGCGTCGGCTATGGCGTTCGCCTCTGGTACTGTGCGATCAGAGGCGTAAAGACGCTTCGTCGAAGGCGGAGACTTTCGGAAGCGCAAATTCAAATGAAAGCACAACGAACGCTGACGCAACCGTGAACCTCGAACGAGGTCAGAGTGCAGAGGCAGCAAACCCGGGGGTGCCAACGTCCGGCGGACCGCGGCGACGTTCCCCGTTTGAGGACTTGGTCGACGGAGCTTCCGATGGTTTCGGGGGACCCACATCCCCAGGGCTTCCTCGACGACGCTCCAACCTATCCGAGCAGAACGAGAGGATTCGAGCACTCCTGGGCCTCGAGAAACGTGACACCTCGGAGCGTACCCAGCAGCGGCCAGCGGCGCCCGTTCCCGAGCGCCCAGCAACCACGGTGACGAGCACGGAGAACGCACCAGGCCTGATCGACCTAACAGGGGACGGTGGTGTGCTCCGCGAGTTGCTCTCCCGAGGGGCACCAGAGAAAGCGGCGAACAAACAGACGCCGGTGCAAAGTACGTCGGGCAGTCGCCTTCGGGTGCACTATGTTGGCAAACTAGCGGAGACTGGCCAGATATTCGATGCATCTCGCGAGCGACAGGAACCTTTTGAGTTTATCCTGGGTGAAGGGAGTGTGATTAAGGGTTGGGAGGCCGGTCTGGTTGGTCTAGCGGCCGGCGATGTCGTGCGTCTGGTATGTGCTCCCGCTTATGCCTATGGACTGCGCGGAGTGCCGCCGGTGATCCCGCCTCGCGCGAAACTTGAGTTCGAGGTTGAGGTGCTGGAGGTGTTACCGGCCGCACCGGGCAACAGCGAAGCCCAGAGCAAATCATCTTTGCGTGCTCTCGACGAAGATGACGTTCCACGTACCCCAGAAGATATTTCTCGCGCCTATATCAAACGTCTCGAGGAGCGCGCCGCGAATCCAAAGAAGGAATCGAAATGGTTTATCATCTCGCCTTTTGCGAGTGCGACTGGAGAGCGACCGCCGTGGTGGTTGAATCCTAACATCACTTTCCTGATCATATTTTCCGTGCTCGGTCTGGCGACGTATGCCGTATATGTGTCGGGTGGCATTCGTCAGGGGTTTCCGCCCTCGTAGGGGGCAAGCCACGGCCGCCCAGGTGCAGACACACACACACACTGGGGCGCGCTTACGCTGTATGCTTATAGAGACGTTGAGCGGCAGACATCGCAGCACCTTGGTGCTGCTTTGGTGACGAGTCGAATGCTACAAACGCGAATACTGGCGAGCATGATAGCGGTGGTCTCGTCGACAACGGAAAAAGAGCGGCTCTTGGGAGCATTCATGATCCTCAGGTAATCGACTTGGAGGAGGGCGCAAAAGTCGTTGCGGGTGCCTAGGGTACCGAATCCTGAACCCGAGCGCAATCCGCAAGCGCTACAAGGGCTCGTTCGTTCGTTGGTTCGTTCGTTCGGAGTATTCGAGAAGCAAATGCGTTCCTAGCATTCGTCTCCTGGCATAAATTGGCATCAATGTATAGAGAAACGGTACCCATGCGCTAAGCAAGGGGCAGGACACACGGCTCCGTGGGACGCATTTGTATCGACACATGGTCCCTTGTCATGGTTGACGCAGGCGTTTCCGGGTGCTCGTCTCATACCGCAGCCCGACGCGTTGCCATCCCTTCTGTCTATCCATTGGGATCCGCGCTTTCGATGGACGCAAGTCATGGGCTTTGGGGCATTTGACAGGAAACATAGGCCTAAGGTGAAGTTTTCTAGCGTACAACAGCGCCCTGCGGACCGCTTGCAATCTTGTGCATTGCACTGCATTGCACTGCACTGCGCATACGCATCCATCACGACTCAGGTTTTTCTCGGCAAACCGTTCCTTTCCGCAGCAAAACCAACGCAGCACCTCCTGTAGGCACCAACACCAACCTCAACATCAAGAGATGCACCATTAGCCGTCACTTCGCCTTGGGATACCTCATTCGCGCTGCAGCGCGCGACGTTGTTCCAAAGTAGCCGATGCCGCAGCCGCAAACCCCATAGTCGTTTCCAGTGACGCTCAGATCGCCTTGGTGGTCCGATGACGGCCCCTACAGCCTTTTCAAACACTGGCCACGATGAGTCTATTGTACAGCTCGCAAAGAAACGGCACGTCGATCAGATATTCTCACATTCCGGATGCGTTCCCTCGATGGCGATCCCGTTCATTTTGCAGCGCTCTCGAATAATCATTTCTGCGAGAATCATATCTTCCGGGGTCGTGATTTTGATATTCGCGTATTCGCCCATAGTAATTTTCACAGGATAATGCTTGTCGTCGAGCAACTCCACGACGCTCACGTCGTCTGTTACGCGTAGGCCCCGGCGCATGGCGTTCTCGAAGCCCTGACGCAGAAGACGAGCCCGAACCACTTGTGGTGTTTGGATCTCCCACAACCTGCTGCGATCGATAGTCCGCCTGACAAACTGTCCATCCTCGCTCTCCTTAATCGTCGCTTTCACTGGCACGCCAATTGCTGCGGCCCCGTAGATCGAGGCGTCCCGCAGGCACGACCGTATGCAGGAGCGTGAAACAAGTGGTCGCGCCGCGTCGTGAACACACACGAGGATGTCGTCTGTTTCATCTTTTTCACGATCCACCGTATCTGGGACGAGGGCGAGTCCAGAGCGAACTGAGTCTTGCCGCTCTAAGCCCGGGTCCGCGAATAAAATCCGCTTGTCGCGCAAAACATAGTTTCCAAAATACGCTTCACGATATCGTTTTTCAACGACGATAATTATCTGAGTCACCTCGGGCAAGCCCAGAAAGAGCAACAGAGAACGTTCGGATACAGTCTTGCCACAGAGCTGCAGAAACTGCTTTGGCCGGTCGGCACGCATGCGGCTGCCCAGGCCCCCCGCCAGCAGAATCACCGACACCGGCTGCCGAACCGGCGGCGGCACCAATCCGTTTCCCAAGTCATCCATCGGCCCGAACGCCGGCAGTATAGACTCTCCATTTTCTAGAAGAGTCATAAACTGCAGACGCTCGCTTGTAAAGTTCCGACGCCGAACAGATCCAACCTGGGTGCACCAGCCTTGCCGTGGTGGCCGTGAGCGCCGCTCTGCGAACGCGCCACTGCTCACTGCGGACGTTGCCACTGAGGCGCGACAACTGCAACGCCCGGGAGCTCTAACTGGTGCCTGCAGACCGTGTACTACGAAGTTCAACGGTGTCATCAACGTAACTTGTGAAATGTGGAGCTTTTCGTCGGTCAAGTCCCCGAGGGAACCCGCGGGACCTCTACCTAACAGCCGGAGCGTGCGTGGCGCATTAATGTGTGCGCTCCGCCGGTCGGAGCGCGCGCGCACGCGTACACCATCCAGGAGGCTGCGATTGGTGCAGGTGCTGGTGCAACGCATTCTGTAGGCGCGGATGCACATGTCCTTTATGTATAGGAAGGATCAGTTTGGGTGCATGGGTGCGCGCACGCGTACACCATCCAGGAGGCTGCGATTGGTGCAGGTGCTGGTGCAACGCATTCTGCAGGCGCGGATGCACATGTCCTTTATGTATAGGAAGGATCAGTTTGGGTGCATGGGTGCGCGCACGCGTACACCATCCAGGAGGCTGCGATTGGTGCAGGTGCTGGTGCAACGCTTTCTGTAGGCGCGGATGCACATGTCCTTTATGTATAGGAAGGATCCGTTTGGGTGCATGGGTGCGCGCACGCGTACACCATCCAGGAGGCTGCGATTGGTGCAGGTGCTGGTGCAACGCATTCTGTAGGCGCGGATGCACATGTCCTTTATGTATAGGAAGGATCAGTTTGGGTGCATGGGTGCGCGCACGCGTACACCATCCAGGAGGCTGCGATTGGTGCAGGTGCTGGTGCAACGCATTCTGCAGGCGCGGATGCACATGTCCTTTATGTATAGGAAGGATCAGTTTGGGTGCATGGGTGCGCTCACGCGTACACCATCCAGGAGGCTGCGATTGGTGCAGGTGCTGGTGCAACGCATTCTGCAGGCGCGGATGCACATGTCCTTTATGTATAGGAAGGATCAGTTTGGGTGCATGGGTGCGCGCACGCGTACACCATCCAGGAGGCTGCGATTGGTGCAGGTGCTGGTGCAACGCATTCTGCAGGCGCGGATGCACATGTCCTTTATGTATAGGAAGGATCCGTTTGGGTGCATGGGTGCGCGCACGCGTACACCATCCAGGAGGCTGCGATTGGTGCAGGTGCTGGTGCAACGCATTCTGTAGGCGCGGATGCACATGTCCTTTATGTATAGGAAGGATCAGTTTGGGTGCATGGGTGCGCGCACGCGTACACCATCCAGGAGGCTGCGATTGGTGCAGGTGCTGGTGCAACGCATTCTGCAGGCGCGGATGCACATGTCCTTTATGTATAGGAAGGATCAGTTTGGGTGCATGCGTTTCCCAGCTTGCGGCGAACGCCGGAGTCGCGCTGCTCCTGCACCTACATACTCCAAGCAACATGCGTCTATATCACACGACGTGTACCGCCGCGGACGCGCAAATGAGAGGCAGCACTACCAGCCTGTGGGCATTGCCGTCACCGCTATACAGCATAGATTCGATTCATGGAAACAGGTTCACGCGGATACGTGAAACGCAGCGGCGATTTGTCGTGATTCTGCGCTCGACTGTATGCATCCCAGGAGTTTTACTTGCGCAAGCCTAGCATCCTCTTTCGGAATAGAGGTCTGGTTAATCCAAAGACCCAGCAGCTGCGAACCTCTATTGCGCACGCCTTGCTTTACCATGACGTGTATCGACTCGATGAGCTCAACAGTGCCGCTCCCGACACAGCTGGGTAGCACAGACAGCGGCAAATGACATAACGCTGGGCGAGCACGGATCCTACGGAGGTTTCCGTATCAACACGGCATTGCAGCATTCGTGTTTATAAATCCTGGGAACATCCTGCCTGCTTCTGCAGTTTCCACATTACCGAATTCCCCCATAACATGATTCTTCTACAAATCCTGGGGACTAGCGAGGGAGAGCGTCCACCTCTATCACCGTAATCGATCGCCAAGGAGCCTCGAGGCGCGCACAGTGACGCGCCAACATTGCCTAGGGCAGCGCTTGGTACGGGCGGCAGACACGGGGCGACTGCACCACTTTGCAGAGAAAACCAGAACATTCTCGCTTACACGCCGACAGAGAAGGCTGCCGCACCACGGCACTTGTCTGGAATATCTCGTTCAGTGCACATCGCTTCGAATGCATCGCATGTGCAAAGGAAAGCCTCCAGACAAAACACTCTTGAATACAAGCCTCTCTGTTCGAAGCTGCCCGCTCGGCGTATGCTGACGCTCCGGTCTATCACGATGCACCAGAGATGCTTGATCGCTACGAACCTTTCCGACGCTTGCCATGCATACAATTCCGACTGGTAGCGTTTGCAGCTAGTCTATGGGATCGAAGAGTCCCAGCAGTAATCTAGCTGATCTGTAACGCTCGTAAACGCTCATGGGGCGATACGGAACTGGTTCAATAGGTCGCACCGGCTACGCAGTGCGTCTTGGTGGCGCAGCCAGTTTCCGCACAAGGTCCAGAAAAGCTCTGAGCGTTTGCCGTGCACCGCTCCCCAGTGGTGTTGCGTCCAAAACATCAGCGGGCATTTGTTAAGCACCATGAGATTGATTTGGAAAGGCTGGCCAATCGAGCTGTCGGAGCGACTTGCTGCCCAGGCTGACTGGGAGCGACGACGCTGGCGAACTGCTATCGTGGCGCTCGAATCAACCGTGGTTACCCACGGCTTGCCATACCCGCAGAACTTAGAGCTCGTCGACCAGATCCAGACGAATATTCGTCAAAAGGGTGCACAGCCGGCACTCCTGGCCATCATTGACGGGGTCATTACCGTAGATCCCGACTCAGCGGTCAGTCAGCGTTTAGCTGAACAGGGAGCTCGGGTCTTTCGCAAGTGCAACCTACGCGACCTGAGTCTGGCGGTTGCCGAGCGTTGGAACGGTTCTCTAACAGTCTCGGCAGTGATGGAAGTCGCACACGGCCTTGGTTTCCGGGTGTTTGTGACCGGCGGCATCGGTGGCGTCCACCGTGACTTTACACAGAACCACGACGCCTCCGCAGACCTGACTGCACTTGCTCGAATCCCGGTATGCGTTGTCTGCGCGGGCGTGAAAAGCGTTCTTGACATTGGAGCTACCCTAGAACGCCTTGAGACAGATGCAGTGCCCGCCATAGTCTTCAACTCGTCGGAGTTTCCTGCGTTCTGGTGCCGACGCTCCGGGTATGCAGCACCAGCGCGCCTCGATACCGTGGAACAGGTCGCGACAGTGCTTCGGTTGCACCTGCTACCGCTGCTCTCATCGGCTAGAGTAGACCATGATGGCGAGTGCACCAACGCAGAAAGACTACCGTGCGGTATGCTGGTAGCTGTGCCGATCCCTGCTGAGGCGGAATGCTCGGAATCCGAGACCGCTATTCAGCAAGCGCTGGCGGAGGCGACCCAGAGAGGCATTCGCGGCAAAGCGTTGACACCGTTCCTGCTCGAGCGGGTCGCAGCGCTCACCCAAGGAGCCTCAGTGCGTGCGAACATGGCCCTGCTGCTTCATAATGCGTCCTTTGGGGCGGCGCTCGCCTCTGTCATGCACCACAGCTGTCACGGGTTGCCGCTGGGCAGTGCCCTTCGACGATACCAGCACCAGCAGCACCAGCACCATCAGTTATCGTATGCATCGATCACGGGATCGCGACACACAATCGACGAAGCGCTCAATGGGTGCCCGTCCGATGATCCCGAGCAGCGCCTCCTTGCCAGGAACGGCCCCGTACACGACGACAGCTCCGCATCCTTGGAGCCGGCACTGGATGCGGACGCAGCGCAACCTGAGCTAGCGCAGCACCCGAAGCAGCGCCTGACTGCGGATTGTGGGGCAAGTGCACCGCTCCGCTGGCTCCCGGTGACGGTGCTGGGTCACTGGACACTCGATATTTACGCTTTCGCCAGCAGCAATGTGCCATTTTCCTCAAATCTTACTGCGGTACCTGCATCTTATCCTGGTGTGATCCGCAGCGCCTACGGTGGTGTCGGTTACAATATCGCCTTGACTCTGAGCTACCTCGCAGGCGGCGGCGCCAGCCCGTACTTCACGGCCTCTGAGGTGATGAGGGATGCACACTTGGGACGACTTGCCGAGTCATCACTCACTATGGCGAACGAACGACGCCTAGGCACGTTCTGGTCGACACGGCACCCTGCGGCAACGTACGTGGCCGTCCACAACGAAGCACGCGACCTGCTCTTCGCCGTCTTTGACGGAGCCGATATCACGCCCGCGATGCTTGGTCACGTGAACTCGTCTCGCCCGATTGTTTGGGATGCCAACCTGACCCCGGCAGCAATGGCTGCACTACCACGAGCAAGCAGTTTCTGGTATGAGCCCACGTCACCGGCCAAGGCAGGACGTATTGTCGCTGCGCAGCGGCTCGAGGCGCTGCCGTGGATGTCGCCCAACGAACTTGAACTCATAGCGATTGCACAGGCTGCTGGATTCTCGTTCCAGGAAGGTGCCATCGCGGATGACGGCTCGATATCCGATGCGCTGATTACCGCAGCAGCCGCGTACCTGGTGAACACACGGGGCGTTCGGAATATCCTGGTCACCCAGGGTGCCCGCGGCGTCACCTGGTTCTATCCGGATGCTGGTGCACTAGGTGGCATCGCATCCCGCCATTTCGATGCGATTCGTGTAGAAAAGTCTAATGTTCGTTCAACAACAGGTGCTGGCGATGTCTTCGCTGCGGCGGTCATCTTTGCGTTGTGCGGTTGGGGGCCGGCGCCGCCTCTGGCTCCCGCCCAGGCGATTTCTTTTGGACTCGAGGCGGCAGCGATCGCTTGTCAGTATGAGACTGCAGTGCCGCCTGCAGACGCCCTAAGGCCTATTGTACAGCGAATGAGGCGCCACCGGCTCTGAGGCGGTGCTTAGCGTGCACCGGGCGACGCACTGTTGACGTGGATGATGACGATGTATCCACGATCAAACCGGCACATTGCCGGAACAGATGGGATCGTCTTTGCCGGCTGCTGGCTGGTCCCCCGGCATGCTATTGGAACTCCGCTGCCGGCTTTCCGGGATACCAATGGAACTCCGTTGCTGAGATCGCTGTGTCTGGCGTCTGTGCTGAACCGCTTCACTGGACATGAAGCCAGCCTCGCTTTACGGTCGAGGAATGCGTTCTCGCAAAGGCAAGAACTTTTCCGCAAGTCGATGCTTTCAAGGACACCGCTTTTCAAGTCGGTGGCGGCAAGTCATAGAGGCTGGATCGTCGCAGCCTATGCATTGCCAGGGAAGCGAATGGCATGCAGACGACAACAAGCCAGCCAGCCAGCCAGCCAGCCAGCTTGCCTGCCAAGTTTTCCCCGCTCAGAGCGGCCCAATGGATGCTGTGGAGCTCGCGGTGCTGGACCAGCATGCCAAGGCGCGTGCTCAGACGCCCGGGATCACCCCGTACGCTCGTGCTATTCACCGAGGTCGGTCAGCACCATCCGCGGAGCAATAGCCATGGACATGAGCTCCTGGAACAGTAGTTTGCAGGCATACGGAATCTCGACGGCGGCAATTCGCGTCTTGTTCTTACATCCCCGGCATTCAAAAATAGAGCGTCGGAGATCAGCGATAGCAATGAGGCCGCACCTTTCGCACACATGCACGCGATACTTATCGCTCACGTCGCACATGCGCTCTTTGAGTACTGCTGAGGCGCCGTACGCCACAAATACATCTTTCTCCATCTCACCGATTCGTAGGCCACCGCCTCGACTTTTGCCCTCAACGGGCTGACGCGTAAGCACCTGCACGGCACCGCGAGCACGGGCTCCCAATTTTTGGTAGACCACATGACGGAGACGTTGGTAGTAGTTCACGCCCATAAAGATGGCCGCATTCATCGGGCGACCCGTTTGACCGTTGAAGAGCAGCTCCCAGCCGCGCGGATCGTAGCCATGGCGAACAAGCTCCCGTCCAATGGCGTCGACGGTGACTGGTGTGAACGCAGTTGCGTCGCCCTCGACCCCGCTGAGCGCACACACTTTGCCCAGGAGCGCCTCAATCAAATGTGCAATCGTCATTCGACTGGGTACAGCGTGCGGGTTCATGATAATGTCCGGCCGGATACCGTCCACGTTGAACGGAAGATCCTCCTCGGGCATGCAGAGGCCCATGGTGCCCTTCTGACCGTGTCGGGATGCAAACTTGTCCCCGACTTGCGGGATGAGCTCCGTTCGAACGCGCACTTTCACCATTCGCGTTCCCGCCTCTCCCGTACAGATGAGCACCTTGTCGGTAACACCTCGCTCGGTGCGCTTCATGACCAGAGAGCAGTCTTTGCGCGTTCGCATACCACTTAGGGCGGCCATACCTGAGGCCGTTTCCTGTTCAGCCGCGTCGACTGCGGCACGGGATGCTCCCAGTGGTGCGGTTTTACCCACGAGCACATCACCACCGCGAACACGTTCGCCCACACCGATCAAGCCGTCGGATTCGAGTTTTGAGTAGGCGTGTGCTTCTTTCATGCCCAGGGTGACCGCCGGATCCGGTTTGCTGATCGTTTCCTGCTGCCCGAAGAGTTTCTTCTGTTCCTCCTCTTTGAAGGTCTTGTAATAGACAGAGCGAAAGAGACCGCGATCCACTGCAGCTTGGCTCATGATGAGTGAATCCTCCTGATTGTAACCAGAGTAGCACGCAATAGCCACCACAGCGTTGATACCGGCGGGAAGCGTGCGAAACTGCAAATGTTCCATAACGCGCGTCGTTACCAGTGGTTTCTGGGGATAATACAGCACATGCGCCATGGTGTCCATACGCAAATTATAATTCGTCAAGTACATACCCATCGCTTGCTTGCCCATGGCCGATTGATAGGTGTTACGCGGTGACTGGTTGTGATCCGGGAAAGGAATAATCGACGCACAGACACCGAAAATCATGGAAGGATGGATCTCCATATGCGTATAGGTCGCGTGGTCGCCACTCGTCGCCAAATGCTCTTGGTCCATGGCAATCATTACGGTCTCTTCCTCGTTCACGTCGAGATATTCGACCAGACCTTCACGAACAAGTCGCGAAAAGGTATAACCGGTGGTTTCATAGTCTCGAAGCAGGTCGATATGTTGCTTGCGGATCCGCAACAAGTTCGTTTCCGTATCCACGATGAATAGTGGCCGGCAGACGCGTCCAGCGTCTGTTCCAATACGCAGCTCACCGTGGCTGACATCAAACACAATGCTGACCTCGTCAGCGATCTCACCGGATCGACGTAGCACCCGCAGCGCGGTGACGAGCTCTTCGGGTCGTGGATGAATGCCCACCCAGGAGCCGTTCAGAAAAACTTTTGTTTGGCGCTTAATTCGTTCGGCGGTTACTTCGTACAGGGGCTCCATCTCGAAGTTGTACAGCATCTCGAGGATATCTGCCACGGGAGTGCCGACGCTGATGTACGCCATGAGCGCGAGGTTTTTCACGAGGCCACAAGACTGACCCTCGGGGGTCTCAGCTGGGCAAATCATGCCCCACTGGGTGTTGTGGAGTTGGCGAGGTTTCGCGAGTTTGCCCTCTCGTCCAATGGGCGAGTTCAAGCGTCGCAGGTGCGATAACGAGGCCGCATATGTTAGGCGATTCAGAACCTGTGATACACCTGTTCGAACCGCTGCTTTGCGGTCTGCACGCCAGTTACCCGTTGCGATTGCGTATTTGAGGTTGTCAGTTATTGTGCGACCTTTCACAGCTAACGCAATATTCAACTCCTTGCCCATGTCAAGTTGATGCTGCAGAATCGAACGCGCATCCTTGACGACTTTTTGGAACAGCTGACGAAAGAGCCCCGTGAGCAATGGACCCGCTAGATCCAGCCGCTTCAGGCCGTAATGGTCGCGATCATCTTCTTCGCGGCGCCCGAGAACAGTAGCCAACAACTGGTGGGTCATGTACCCCAAAAACCAGGCCTTGGCAGGTTCGTACGCACCGATACCGATGTGCGGCAGGAACTCGAGCTGCAGAACCTCACGGGCATAGCGAATGCGTCGGTCGCGAGTGGCACCAACAGAATTGCCTCGCTTGCCAATAAAATCCAGAGCCAAGTTTTGATCAGTAATCACTGAGCCCATATCCAGAGATGGCATCAAAAGCGTCTGCATTTCCTCATCATCGGTGTCGTAAATGACACGTTCCATTATCTCCCGATCAGACTCGAGGCCCAGGGCGCGGAAGACGACCGCCAGTGGAATATCGGCACGGATATACGGCAAGCTGACCATAATGCATTGACCGCTCTGACCTTTGACGCCACCGCGGGTGATTTTGACCTGAGTTGTTCGCGCAGGCTTATTGCCGCGATCGAGAACAGATCGACACTCTGCCACATGTGAGTACGGGGCCGTTGATGCTCGCTTGAAAACGTAGACCGCATTGTTGCCCATACGCTCCTGGGCAATCAGCGCTTTCTCCGAGCCATTGATGATGAAATAGCCTCCCTGATCGTAAGGGCATTCGCCGATGTTCTGCAGTTGGTACTCTGTGAGGCCATTCAGATGGCAAAAATCCGAGTGCAACATCATCGGAACCCGACCGAGGTAGAGATTGCGAGCTGGATGTCGAAACTCGCGCTCCTCCTTGGTAGCGGGATCTATTTCGATGTCGATGCGCGTGACCTCCACGTAAAGCGGCGACGAGTACGACAGGTTGCGCAACCGCGCCTCGTGTGGGAAAAGCACCGTAGGCGTGCCGTCAACCTCCGTGAAAGTTGGCTTTCCAGCGCTCAACTGACCAAAGGAAATAATGGTCCTCGTCCCCTCGGGAGGCGCTCTTTTGCCTGGCACGTGCTGCGGCTGGGGACGAAGAACAATATCCGGCGTCTCGTCTACGATTGTTTGACACGCGTTCCCTATGAACTCGTTGAACGAGTCCAGTTGCTGCTTTACGAGACCCTTCTCTCGAAAGTGAGCAGATATAACGTCCCAGATGTCATCGGCCGAGAGCTGATCTTCTGCGGAAACGGATGCTCGCTGCGGCTTTGCCATGAACGCCAGCGTTCAAACCAAAGGTCTCAGTACTGAGCGCCGCTCCGTAGAGGTCAGTCCGAATTCCCAGGGTTGCTTCTCCTCAACGATTTACTCGCTCAGATCCGCCTACGGGCTACGAACAAAGGAAAACCAGGAAGGCTCGCAGCGCTAACAAGCTTGCCGCCACAACAACGATAACAACAGGTACACGAAAAGCGTGCCTTCCTGAGCGAATCCACAGAGGGCGCCCCCTGGGTTCCGCGCTAGCACAAGGCGGCGCTGTACGCGGTAATCCGTGGAACGCCTCCGGATGCAGGTATCCGTTGCGGAAGCTAGGATTCCGGGTTCTTGCAAACGTTTCCTTGATCATGACAGGTTGATGCAACACGGGTTGACATTTCCAAAAAGCTAGTCATCGCTGCGCATACTCGGATCAGGGTTCAGTGTGAGTGATCCGTCGACGAAAAACGATATGTTACCCGGCGTACTTTCGCTGAAACACGCAGCGGCTAAAGCGTGCGCTGGACTCGTGGCCCCGGCAACATCCAGGTGTTAGCGCGTGGACTGTGCGCAACGTTGTTACAGCATATGGTTTTTCTCGTTCGCGGCTCCTTGGGATACCATCCGGAGGTGTGTGGCTCCGCGAAAGTCGTGAGTTCATGGCGCCGGTTGGCGGACTCGATTCAAAAACAACGTGATGCGTCTTTGTCAGAATACAGTGGAAAGGGTCCACTTTGCTCCATCATGCGTGCGCATTAAAGTTTGGGTCTCTTCCCATGGTCTTTTAGACCGGCGCTTTGGGGGTTCTCCTGCAACTGCTTCCTTTTCGTGGATCTCGCATCCGGCATGAAAAACGCCGGTCTCTCTTGTCACTCCAGCTCTGTTGTCAGCCGTCCGAAGATTTTGATGACAGCGTTCAAGTCCCGACGCTGCCGCTTGTGACTGTTGGCAACGCAGTTCATGCGCAGGTGATGGCTGCGATCTACGACTCGCTAACCATTTTCATCCATTTTGTACGGAGCCTGGGTGTGCCCTCTGCAACGGTAACGCTTGACTTGGGCCGTACGTTTCCACACGCTCACCATGTCAGCTTATTCGATGGCTGCCCTGAGGCGCGTGAACGCTCGTTTCAATCCACGGCACATACCCTTGACGGGTACAGAAAGCCTCCACAGATGCCCTGCTCGGTTTCCGCGCTCGGGGCCGTACGCGACGATAACCGGCTTCATCTGGAAGATGCCCTCGATACGGACGCTGTCCTCTGCACACCTAGGCGCAAACTGCTCCATTCGACAGAGGTTTTGTGAAACGCGATGTTGACCATAATGATTCAGGTACCGTACGGAGCACCCACACTGGAGAGGAAATAGAAAGATTTCGATCCGTTTAAGCTTGCGACTTGCAGTGCTGTAACGCACGATCCACTGGAAAGGATCGCTGCTGCGACTGGAGTCCGAGTATGGGACACTTTTCGGTGCACATAGTGGAGATGAGCAGCGCTCGGAGCATATCCGCTGAAGGGTATCATGCTGGTATCGAATGCTGTACCGTTGTCTTCATAAATGGAGGATGATTTGCCTTTCGAAGGCAATCGCTTATTTGACTTAAAAATGTCCGTGAACTTTCGGCATGAGCCTGTGAAGAGACCTCCAAGAGGTGACCTCGATCGTAATCCACGGTAGTCCCCGGGTGAGGATTTCTGCGCCCCCGCGTACCCAGAAACACCAGGATCGAGAGCTTGATAACGCGTGATTCGGGTTTGCCGCTCGCAAGAAAAGGAGACGAATAGAGCCTGTTCGTATGTATTGGATAATGGTTTCGGTTATTTTAGGAACCTTGGTTCTAGGGATAGCGAATCATCCTCGATCCGTTGACGTTACGAATGCGAGCAACAAAGCGTCGAAGGAGCCACTCCCAAAACGAAGACCTAGAACCCCACCCGCCAACAACCAGGAATGAGTCCCAAGGCCCTTAATGCTGTACTTGCAAGTTCGAGGTTGTCCAATTGGAAAGTTTCGGACAATCTCCACCGCGGATGAAATCGAGCACCTCAGGTTTCCGCGTTCATCTGGTACGAGTCTCGTCCAGAGACAGATCGCCACGAGACACCGTGATCGCGGTGGAGCGCGCACGCGCCCGACTGCTTCGCCTTGGCTGAAAAAGCGTTCTGCCCAATACCGGGTGCATCGCGATACTCGCTGTTGTTGAGGTTTCGTTCATAGCTCGCTCTGTGAAACCAGCACGCTTCGGAGTATTTCCTCCGCGTAAACTGGAAAGGTTACACGTCGGTGTGCGGCTCTCTTGATAACAAGTGGTCCAGAAGGCGACCGTCTCAAGCCTGCAGGTATGGACACAGCAATATCGCTCGCGGGAAAGGACTTTGTTCTAAGCGCAGCCGACGTGACAGCTGCACGCTCGATCGTGGTCATGAAGGAGGACCAGGACAAGATCCAAGAGCTGGATCGTTTTCGGCTTCTGAGCGCTGGCGGTGACCTCGGTGATGTGGCACAGTTCACCGAGTACATCCAGCGTAACGTGCACCTCTATGAGCTCCGAGCGGGAACGTCGCTGAGTACCCGCCAGATCGCCCATTTTATTCGTGGAGAGTTGGCGCGTGCCCTGCGCGAGCGTCCCTACGAAATCAACCTGATCCTTGGAGGCTACGACCAGGGCGAAGGTACGTCACTATATTATATTGACTATTTAGGGAGCTTACACATGATGAAATACACAGCTCAAGGCTATGCAGCATATTTTGTGTTGAGCACGCTCGACAGACTCTATCGCCCGAACATGAACCTGGAGGAAGCGCTTGAGGTCTTACGTGCGTGCTTGGATGAAATGGGTCGACGTTTTCTCTTAAAACAGCGCCACTTCATGGTCAAAATAGCGGATGAGCGTGGTGTACGCGTACTAGAAAATGCCTTCGTCGATGCATCTGGAACGCCAACGTCGTCGGTGACAGGGGCGGCAGCGGCAGCCGCTACTTCTTGAACGCTCGTGCAATATTTCTCCACATCCAGTCAGGGTGTACAGACCAGCTGCATTGTGCTCGACGGGTGTACAAACAGACACGTGTACCTCGATAAATATTGCACAAATACCATTTTGAGCGATGAAAATATGCACTCACGACAGCTGATTTGCTGGTGACGCATCATCTACCGGTGCCGAGTTCCATCGTGAACGCTGCCTGCACCTTTGCGCATATTCACAGATATTCTTTGATTTGGAACCGTTTTCATGGACCTGGTACCAGTGCATAGTTGGAAGCTGACGACGCTCGCAGCGCCTCTTATACTTGGACAATGTGCAAACTTCCTCAATCCCAGAGCTTGATACTGCCGTCCGCGGAACAGGAAGCAAGCATCATCGAATGCGGATGGAATGCAACGCAGTAGACACGATCACTATGCGCATCGATCGTTTTCACTGCCTCTTGGGCGCTTGATTGCGAATCGTACAAAAAGATGCGACCGTTCGTACTCCCTGTTGCCGCAACGAGGCCAGAGGCTACGCTGCTGGCGTTCAAAACCCCGTCAAGCTGTTGACTCCGCTGCTGGGATGCAGGCGGTTGCCCGCTACCATCTATTGGAACATCACTGGCAGCGGCCAGTAACGTCCGCGACTCGTGAACCACTGCGGTAGCGGCGCCGCTGACATCAGCGTCCGCTGCGTAGAGCGCAGGCATGCCGCTGGATGCTTTGGTGCTCGCAGGTGCCGCCAATGCTGCAGCGTCAACGATAGATGCACCCCGATCTGACGCGAAGCCGCGCTCATAGAGGCTGCACCGCAACGGCAATCGCCCAAGACGATGACCTCGATGCGTCTGGTAGAGCACGAGTTGCACGTCGTTGGTGTTGGTGTTCTCCTGGTGCGTACGCAGCGCTTTCACTTCGTACATTCGCAGGCAATCGTCGAAGGCATTCACTGCCACGTATCTACCGGATGGTGATCGTTGGATATGCGCGACAGGGCTTGCCGCTTCATCGTTCAACTGACACGAGAGGGCCGTCTCCGGCCTTCGTAAATCAAAGGTATGCAAAAGCCCTTGCGAGTCCCCGATCATCAGAATATCATGCTCCAAGAACACCATCGAATTCACCATCCCTATGCCAGATGCAGAGGTCAGGACGCGGCTCATGGTTTGCTCGGGCCGGGCAGATACACCCGCAGCAGGCGAGCTCGGGCGCGAGCCGGTCACTTGGCTCATTTGTTGCACTCTTCGATCTAGTCGATAAACGAAACCGTTCGAAGTACCCGCATAGATACAATGGGCATCGTCAGGGTCGATGGCCAAACAGAGTACCAGGCCGCGAGGAAGGCTCCAGCTCTGGACGGCCTGTCGTCTGGCATCGCTCCCGTTCCCTTCGGTAGCGAATGCGGACCAGTCCCAGACACGAATACAATGATCAAAACCAGCTGAATACAGGTAGCGATTATCCTGCGTCCAGCAGAGGTCAACGACGTTCGCTGCATGCGCGTCTGCAACGGCCACAGCACAGCGCGGCGACTGGTCCACGCTCCAGACGCGTACGGAGCGATCAAAGGAACCAGAGGCAAGGTACGACCCACAAGACGACCAGGATAGCGCATATACGGCTCCTTTGTGTCCGATAAGCTGGGAACGACAGCTCAGTGAACTTGAGCTTTGCCGTTCTCCACTCCGTCTCACTACGACCGGCAGCGATGCCGCTGGCGAAGCCGCTCTAGAGCCTGGTATAGACTCCGCTGCTCCGAGACCGGCCTCTGTTCGCTCGCTCAGCACTTGGAAGTCCGCGACAAACCGTGACGCTTCCGGCACATGAACGCCCTTCGAAGGATTGGGGCTAATATCGTTGAGGGCAGAAGTTAGATCGAAAACCCCAGTCTCGCTAGCAGATCGTCGAAGGCTGAGTTCGAACACCGAGCGTCGCAGGTCTCGGTTCTCCTTCTCCAGTGCCTCTAGACGCTCCTGGAGAAGCTTTCGCTCTCTTGCGGCAATTTCCAACTGCTTTTTATAGAAAGCTTCTCCCTCGTGCTCCGTCATTCGTTCGAATGTGTCCTGTTGGAGCAGAGCGCCTCAGAATCAATGCCAGAAGCATGGAATCTTGCGGTTTGTGTTCGAACGCTTCGCATCTCCGCGAACGATGCGGTGCCCGAACTGGTGCGAGGGATTCTCGGATTCTGTGCTCCGTAGCCGCACTAGCGTCAGTCGATGCCTATCTACCCAAAAGTACATCTTCCAATGGGGAATACTGTAAGTCTGAACACGGGTGTACGGATAGAGAGAGGGACAGGCCGCGATGCATGCCCGCGACTTGCAGATGGATCGGAAGCGGCAGTGAAACTTTGCCGCTTCGAAGGACACGGTTGCGATACACTCCCACGCGCTGCTCTTTCGTGGACATCGAACTTGGACGCCTGTAGCATTGGACCCAAACTGGAAACCCTGCTTCATCGCGAACGTATCATGGACGCTATCTGGATATGTATCGTTGTGAGCGCTTCCGGATTCGGGGACCCTGCAGTGTTTCATGGATTGCGCTCTGCTTTGGTTGATGGATCAGAGACGCTGGCCCCCGTGGTGGTACTCCCGTGTGTTTCCGTGATTTTTCGATGATATTGGATCGTTAAAGCTAATCAGAGATACTCAGGTCGGCGCTTGTTCTCGGCATTCAGGGAAGCGGTCTTCATTTTGCCCGAAACCTTGCAAGTTCCATGACCCAGCTGCGAGACTTCCCACTCGAGTATCGTGATTCGTAGAGTGTGCGCTGTAATGCCAATAGCGCTGCGGCATCGCCCTGGCTGCAGTGTTGCCTCCTTTTGCGTGTCAGGCTGTGCGCTAGCGCAGCACGGCTGAGCGCGTGTACCGTCTGCCACCTCGAGACCGAAGCAGAGCGGCTGCCAACTCGCCGTGGCAGACGACCGTATTTCAGCCACTGTGGTTGATACCGCTGCACTCGATTCTTTTCGCATCTGCAGGGATAGAGAGCAGCATTGTGATGTCTCATGCTTGCGAAAACACGTAAAGCTTCACATTTATCAGCATCGGCATTTCGAGTCCAAATGCTGCTGTCGCCGCAAAGGCAGCTACATGGCTGCTTGCATGAACCCATGAGCGATGTGCTATGCTTGAAATACCGGATGAGATGCGCTCCTCTTTCACGGTTGGAGCATGAAATGGTGCACCTGATGCATAAGACGCTGCGACGATGTGGATGGGGAAAGACAGGACGCGCGATGCTCCCACCACGGCCATGATTCGCAGCGGAACGGCCTCTCGATCCTAAAGATATCGAACATCGTGCATGAAACAGAAAATGTACCACGATCATGTAGGGTAAATTAATATCCATCTGCAGTCGCTTGCCGGCCTTTTTTGACAAGCGCCCTGCAATCGGCTTCGGTTCCTCCTTGTGCATTTCGACCCGGAGAGTCTGTGCCGCACATTTAGGTAGCGTGAGCTCCTCGGGTTTCGTCTTCAGCACAGCACGTATCCCGGTTCAGATGTCGGCGTTAAATTCTCAGTTCACAAGCTCCATGCGTCTGTTGCCTCTGGTTGAACTCGTCTATGCAAGGATTCCTCTCAATGGTGCCCTCTGCGGCACCACAGTCTCGTTATCGTGCCGTCGGGCACGCCCCTCTTCTCGCACAGCGCTCCGCTTCGTCTTCTTCTTCGTGTTCGTCACCGGTTCTTCTTCGCTCGATGACAGGCGAGAAGATTTTTTTATGTTTTTCACGTCGAACTCGGCGACGACGGCCCTCGAGGATGCTCGACTTCCATGCTCATAACCCCTGGATATTTTATTTCTTCAAATGAGCGCACCATATTATCCCGATAGATGAGGAAATTCCTGGAGGGAGAAGCATTTGCGGCGGAAAGAGGAACTGCGTCCCATTGTATCATCATGCTGAACACTTCACTGGTTTGCCCAGCAGTGCGATCGTTACGTTTTACGATTCAAAATACTCCTTAAACGGGGTTGAACCACAGACAGTACGAAGGAATGCAACCAGCTCTACCCAGATAGAATCAGGAAAACCTCTTGCGCAAAGGGAATGGTGAGATGCCACAGTGTCCAATAGAAGGACGTTGCCAGATCGGAAAGCGAACAGTCTTCATTGATTCGACGAAGTGGGTGCTGTTGTATGTGCCTTCTGAAGTTGCGAAACTGATGCCGCAAAATGAATCTGCTGTAGCTCGAACAGATGATGATTTCCTCGTTCTCTTCGAGTTCAATTGTATAAACAGACGGGCTCCCTGCTCCGCGAATACTCATATACGATTCGACCGTTTTACCCGAAACAAGTCTCATGAACCAGAATAACAAACCGATCGCGACGGTCTATGATTGCTGTCTTTGCGATTTCGGTGGAAGATGGCCGTGAATGCATGAGCTCTTTTTTTTGCGACTGTATCCCAGTGTTTTCAGGATCACACGAACAAGCTATTGAGAATCGGAGGTGCCCGTGGTGGCAATTATCTTCGCTTTTGCTTTCCGTAAGGTGATGAACGGGTTGTTTTCTGCTATGGGCGGCAAGCACCCTTGAAAACATCGCTTCTTGACCCGAAGCGCGTATATCTGTTTCCTTCTTTCCGTGTTCCTCAACCATCTGAGTATTGTGGCACAACTGACCTCAAGAATGAATACACTACTTGCACTTTTCAGTAAAGAATAGATATCCCACAGGGAATTCTCCCACGACCGATACAATACATTGCATCGTAACGTCGATCTGCGGCTGCACAGCGTTCGCGGGACCGGACCATCCCTGAGAGCCTCTTTCGCTGAGCGCTCGCTCGTTTCCAGCGAGTTCGTTGCAAGCGGCGATCGTTCATACCTTTATACTCGTGGGCGCTGCATCATGTTCGTAGCAGTGAGCCAGCTGTTTCCTGCTCGTCACCAGGGTGCTCCGCGCACCCTCCGCGGGGCCAACGGACGCAGCACCGACACGTACCGTCGCACCGTAGGGCCGGCAGTGCCGAAGGATGCAGAGGGTGCGTACGAGTCGGCTTCTGGCCGGGTCTGTTGGCAACGATATAGCGCTTTAAGGGCGGCAGCTGACTCAGAGTCGTCTCCGAAGGACGCCTCCCAACGAGTACACTCTTCGCTTTCGAGTACCGGCAAGGGCGAGCACTCGAAGCATATGCGCCTGGAAACCAAAGTCGTGCATGCTGGAAGCCACCCTGAGGAGTACACAACCGATCCATACGGTCGGACTGTAGTGAATCCACCTGTGTACCACGCTTCTACTGTGCTGTTTCCAAACGTAGCTGCTAAAGACTTTGCTAGCAAAGACTGGCCGTTTCGTGGTTTCTCCTACGGACGGCATGGGACGCCCACGCACTGGGCCCTGGAGGAGGCTTTTGCAGCACTCGAGGGTGGCGACAATGCCTGCTGTGTTAGCAGTGGGGTTGCAGCATGTAATGCAGCGCTCTTGGCGTTCCTGCGCTCCGGCGATCACATTCTGGTTGCGGACACCGTGTACGAACCGACGCGCCTGTTCTGCAACAGTTTTTTAGCACGATTCGGGGTGGAAACGACATACTACGATCCCGCTGCTCCAGTTGAATCTTTGGAGCCACTTTTCAAACCAAAAGGTCGCACAAAGGTGGTTTTCGTGGAGTCACCCGGCTCGCTCTCGTTCGAGGTGCAGGATGTGCGGGCGGTGAGCGCACTCGCGCACGCTCATGGAGCGGTGGTCGTTATGGATAATACGTACGGACCAACGCTGTTCCAGCCTTTCGCGGCAGGTGTCGATGTAAGCTACAACGCAGCAACCAAGTACATCGGTGGTCATTCTGATTTAATGATGGGCCTGATCGCATGCTCCCGTGAAACGTACCGCAAAGTGAAACGATCGGTGATGGAGCTCGGATGCCCCCCAGGCCCTGATGACTGTTATCTGGCACTTCGTGGCCTGCGGACGCTCACAGTTCGTCTGAAACAGCACGAACAGAACGGCCTTGTTGTTGCACGATGGCTGGAGACACGCCCTGAGGTTGCGCGTGTGATACATCCGCTGTTACCGAGCCATCCGCAGCACGACCTCTTCAAGCGTGATTTCCGGGGTGCGAACGGTTTATTTACCATACAGCTGCGTGACGTTTATTCGCAAAAGGCAGTGAACGCCTTTGTTGACTCACTGAAGCTCTTTGGTCTGGGCTTCAGCTGGGGCGGCTACGAGTCCCTGATCCTTCCGATCGACATCAACGCTGTCCGAACAGTGACGAAGTTTAAGTATGGTGATGGCTATGGGCCGACGCTGCGATTGCATGTCGGACTGGAGGATCCTCAAGATCTTTGCGCGGATCTCGCCCAAGGTTTTGCGGTGTTGGATGCGGTGGCCGGACTCGCAGGTGAGGTTGCTCGTACGCCACCGCGCTGATGCCGATTTACCTTCCTCGCGTGTCCGGGAGCGTGAACAGGCACCGCTGCTGTTGAGCAACAGGTATCCGCTACCAAGTCGCAATACAGAGAGTCGTGATGAACGCCTCTTGGCGGCGCTCGTCGATAACCTGCCCACAGGGTGTGTGCGCGTCCGTTCGCAGCACCGCTGCGAGATCGATGGCGCTGCACTTGCCGGCACTGGCGCACGTACCTACGATCCACGTTGCATACGATCCCGCATATCGGAACCTTAAAGCATGCTTTACGACATGAAGAAAAATTTTGCGCACAGCAAGACACTGTCCAGAACCTGCTGACCGCGAGCGTATCACGAACGAAACAGCATTCGCAACGACGTACTCACCGCCTTAGACGATGTCACACGAAGCCAACTGTCTCCCGTAAGCGCATCATCACACCCAGTTCTACGTCAAAGTATCGCCGTTCTCGGCTGTCCGACTGATCAGGGAAAACCTGCGTAGATGACGAGGCACACGGCGCATACTGTGCGGCAGGACGTGTCGCAGATAGCACCCCGTACATACCGAAACCCACCACATGGATTGAAACGCTTTGACCACTCACGGCCGTTCTTCTTTCTTTGGATGCGAGGTCCTCTGTTGTATTTCAATGACAGAGCTCGTGCGTATGCGACGGTGGCCACCCGGAGTCCGAAAATGTTCCAGTTTGCCAGCGTCGCACCACCTCCGTATTGTTTTCGGACACACGGCGAATATTTCAGCCGCGCGCGCAACTGTTATAGAACCAGACTCTTTCAAATCATCTCCAAGCATAAGACCTGGAGAGGCACGGTTTTGGTCGTGAACGTGCCGCTCCATGCCAAGATGCCCGTCATTTTCGACGGGTCCGCCGATGTAGAGTTCCGTCTCCTCCCCGTCCATTTTCAAGCCAGACCTATTCACGAAACAAGCCACTGAACTCCTGAAAGTTCTACTCGTAATTGTATAGGGTTGCGGAGGCTACCCTGGCGAAAAAGACAAAAGTTGGTGCTCCCGACGTGGCTATATGGGTTGCCCGCGAGCGCTTTAAAACGTTGTTGGAGAACGACAAGCGCGAATAGAAGCTGGTTTAGCTAGGACAAAGTTGTACAGATGAGTACAATTCACTGCGAAACCGCTCTCGCGATCCATTTCGAATTGCGCACCTGCTGGTAATTTATGTCCAGAAAAGTTCGATTCGGAGGATGGAAGCGCGCGATTCAAGGCGCGTGTCACGCGTACGCAATTGATTCGTGACACACCGCGTGGCACGCCTGCCGATCGGCGCTGCAACGCTTGCGCCTCTGTCCGAGCGACGCGTCGAGCGTGGCACCGCATGTGTCCATCGTACGGAATCAGGAGTCAACCTGGACCCGACTGGCCCGATGCGGTATCGATGAGCGCCAAAACACACGGAGGACATTTGGGTCTCCTGGAGCGATAGGGTGCAGGTCGTATGAGCTATGGGGATCGGCCATTTGGTCCTGGCGTGGCATCGATGGGTCAAAGCGGGTGCCGTCGGATACGCCAACGCTTCCTGTGAAATCGAGGATGCAGCCTCAGCCTGTTCGAGGACACTAACGTGTGCCGGCACGCTCGGTCAAGAATTGCTTCACGGAATAGAGACGCGATCGATCACGCAAGATTTCGGATTTCTCCATAGAGTCAAGATCATGTGTCAAACTGGGGTTCGGCCGGTTGCGAATGTCGCTACGACCAGCTCTGGAAGCGTTCAGTGTTCCTGTTTGAATTTGACGACGTTCCACAGAATCCAGATGTGTTGTTCGCTTGGGCGTTCTCGTTTCATCCAATGAAATACGCATTGCCGAGCCTGCCGCGTTTGTCTGCTGGGACGCTGGGTGCGCCCCGCCGTCACATTCGCCCTACTGGAATGGAACGGTGTTGCCGTACCATGACGGAAGCTGGCCCCAGAAGAGCCGCTTTTCAGCGTCAACCCAGTGCGTCGATTATCCGGTGTCGTCTGCGCCATAAGAAGCCAGAAATCCCGCTTCGTCCAGCAAGCGTCCGGATGGCGGCGCTTCTGTTGCTGCACAGACACAGCACGTTCGCAAGTCCGCTCGGAACATCTTCTGGTACCGTGGATGCACGTCGATAACGTCATCAGGCGCGTACGCCAGGACACCTCCATACGCTGGTGCCGCGGACACGGCGACGATCCTGGTACGGCCTAGCAGTTAGCGCCGGACCAAGAGCTGCCTTCACGTCGTCACAGGCGTTGTTCAGGCGTATCGCGCTGGGCCGGGAACGCATGGAACTCACCCCATGGATTTCCCGTGCGATTCATGGAGCGGACGCTGCTCGGGCACCGGCATCGATGCGGGAATTTGCGAGAAAGAGAGACTGTCCAATACTGCCTATTGCTGGATATAATGGTCAGACACGGGCGCTGTGCTGCCGTCGCGGTACGTGAGGTCATCATGCGAAGATAGCAAACAGCGCCAAGTACTGCGGGCCTGCCCGGTCAATCTCCTGCCGTGTAAACCTGTCGTAACGGGAAACTGTGCTCATGCGCCAAGCAGGTTCGTATGGAGCGCCTTCGAAACCAAGTGGATACGTCCCTGACACGAACTGTTGCCCGATCCGTGGTTGTGGGCAATATTCTCACTGTGCTTCTGCTGGGTGTGCTGTACGCCAACTATCGCATCTTCGAGGCCTACATTTCAAGTTTTCTTTTGGCGCTGCTTGCTGCGGAGGCGCTAGCTGAGAGCCGCGATCGACTCGTTCGCTGGCTCTCGACCTCTGAATCAGAAGCTGAAGGAAACGATGTGCAAAGGCCGCGGCGTTTGTGGCACTTCCTCCTCAACCAACTTGGCAAGTTGCAGCAGGCCGTTCGCGGAAAGCACTGGTTTGTCTGGTTGCTCAGCGGCACGGCGTTGTTGTTGCTCACGGTACGTGTCCAGCACGGAGGTTTTCTGGTGTTCATCTGCCTTGCGGTGCTGGGAGGCTCCGCGCTGTGCACTTTGGCTGCTGCACGGTTTCTAGTTCGGCTCCGTTGGATACATGCACGGACTGCTGCAGCAACGTTACTGCTCGCCGCAGTGGTATCTCTCGTGTGCATTTTCGTGCTCATTTTCGTGACAGGTGTCGTCCAGGATCTCGTTGGCGCTGCTAGAGCGTTGGCGCGACTCGCCCAGGACGCAGCTACCTGGAATCGCATCGATCCGCAGGGTATCTTGGCGAAAGGCCTCGAGCAGCTCCAGACATTCCTTGCCGCCCATGTGGAGGTGGCGGAGCGCTTCGCTTTGCGCTTTCGTGATGTACTCAAGGATCTGGGATTCGATATGGAGAATACGGAGCGCTGGTGGGTCAAAAGCAGTGACCCGTCCTGGTGGCGGGACTTTCTCACGGGGGACTTGCACGCAAACGCAATGCTGCGGGAAACGACATCTCTGAGGGTGCCCAGCTGGCAGCAAGCACGCACTGTGGCCAAAAGGCTCTGGGAAGGTGCTCGGAAGAACGTCACACCTGGATCAATCGCACGACTTGGCAAGCATATTCGTTTGCACGCAAGTTCGGAACAGATTTACACTGGAGCCCGTCTCGTCATGATCCCGGTCATGCGACTAGCGCAGGCCTTTGGAATTTTGCTGACGTACAGCGACGGCACTGCAGCTTTTCTTGCTATGTTTTTCTTCCTGCTCCGACAACCCGGTTCAGTTGTACATGCACTGGTCCAATGGATCCCGTTCCAGAACACAGAGCGCAACCGGAAATTGGAGCAAACGCTGCGTACGGACCTGCATCGCTTCGTGTGGAGTGCGCTGAGTCAACTGTATCTGCAATCGCTTTTTGCATGGTGCGTCTTCGTGACGTTCGGGTTGGAGCTAGAATTCCTGGTAGCGCTCTGCGTTGGTGTATCCGTGCTCATACCCGTACTGCCCGGGCCGCTTCTCTGGACGACACTGCTTGGCTTGCCCCAGGTGATGATGCGCACGTCTCTGGGTAGACTTTGGCGTTCGCATGCCGCCTTAGCCTTTGTCTGCATCAATCTGGTTGGGCAGAAAGTCTTGGTGCGTTTCTCGCGAAATGCTGACGACGAAGACGCAGAGCAGGTGCAGCAACGTGCGGACGGTACCCTGACGCCCACGAACGGCCTGCTCACATTATCCGCTCTGTTGGGATGGCGGATCCTAGGTGGACTGCGCGGTGCACTGATCGCAAGTTGCTGCATCTTCCTGACATCGCTGCTCGTGCAATGTCTTGTAGATGATTCCTCCACCAGGGGATCTGAAAATAAGATACCTCACCAAAGCGGAGGTGCGGCGTAGGATGAACATTTCATCGTTGCATGCCGCGCAGGCGATGCGGCTTCTCGCGTCCTGTGAAATTTTCTTGCTAACCTGGATTCCCGCTGAGCAGCCGACGTTATGATGGTCAAGGCTCGCAGCAAGCTTACCAGCACTGGGACTTGTAGCGCGACCAAATGCAGCACCGTACTAAATGGCAAAACAAGAGGCACGAGCATGTTTTGGGCACAGGGGTATGAGGCCAACGCCTCGAAGCTCTCACCAAGAACAACGCGATGTGCAGCGGACGATTCCAGTGCAAGCGATCGTTAATCGCGATGTAAAGGACATCAGACACATGTCAGACTGAAATAGAAGGGGTCGCACTGTGCGAACGCTGACCTACACTGCGCGCTTTCGGATCCTCCCCATTGCCATGAACATGACGCTTTGCGGGCATCTCTTGCGCCTGCCTCGTTTCGCTCTCTACGGGCTCGGTTACTCGTTGTGGTGATCCCTCCCGTCGCTCCAGTTTCGTTGTCAGCAGTCGGTGGAGGTCACTGGGAGCGTTCCAGCCCCGATATCGCGCATTCCCGCTGTTATCGGGGCGCTCCATCCACAGGCGGAAGCTGCGATCCCTACATCGCTTGCCACTTTGATCTTCTTTGTAGGCAGCATCGGTGCGCGCTTCGCAGCGGTGACACTCGACTGTGGTCAGGTGTCGCTGTGTGTCCATAACACCCACACACACACACACACATCCGTCTATGAGGACCGTTCTATAGCGCATGCTCGCTTAACTCCATCGCCCGGTACACGCCCTTGACGGTTCCAGAAAGCTCGGGTCGATGTTTCCGCCGGATACGCGACCGGTCCTGCATCCTGCGCGCAGAGACGCTTCTTTCGTGCGACTTGCTCGGCAAGTACGCTGTCCGCCGCACACGCAAGCGCACGCTATGCCCGTTTGATAGACGATTTGTGGGGCGCACTGTTGTACCCGACGAAACGAACCCCCGGGAAGGAAACGCTACGCTCGAGAACAGGTCGGGACATCCCGATCCGTCAACGCTCCCGTCGCACAAAGCGGCGACGCAAGCTCCTCTAGAACTGGTCGCTGCGCTGCCCAAAGTCCGAGCCCAACATCCACCTCCACGCAAACCGTGACACGAGAGCAGCTCCGAGCGTACTCCCCCAGAGGTATCGTGCTGCTGGAGCGTTCCGCTCGATCGATGAACACAGAAACCCGCGAATGCATTGTCTTTCGAACGGATTCGGGAGTATGGGGCGACAAGGTCAGTGAGTTTGCGGCTCGGTCTTGTGAGCCAGTCGTCGAGGAACTAGGTCGACGTTTTTCCTGGGCATCGCAGGTGCCCGGACCGCTGCGCCCACCAGTTGCCTTGAAGCGGACAGATCGAAACCCTGAACCGTATTTGGTATGTGCATGCGACACATCGTATAACGGAAAGGAAGCACGGACACTTCTCCAGATGACGTGGATGGTCTATCGTCGTTGTTTTGTGAAGGCTTATGCGGGGACGTCGCGAATCGACATGACGATGGTGCGGTGACGGATTCCATCTGGGAAGAGTCGACGTTGCCGCTCCGAAACGTCGATCGAGCACCCTACAACCGGATATGCATCTGCGAGCCTTTCTGACTGGCACTTGAAATGGCGACGCTGTATACGCGAAACAGGCTCCGGAAACAAGTCATCGAAAGGAAGGAACCGAGCGAGCAGTTCAGGGTTGCGTTTCAGTCTGACGCCTTCCCAGATCCTGTTTGTGTGGACACGAACGATTACGAAACATGAACGCATGCTCCATAGAAATGTTGTTGCATTTCCGTTTCTTTCCAGTCAAAAGAGCACATGTAAACGCGACTGATTGACAGAGCGTCTTTAAAATATGCGGATACAAAACCAACGTAACCTGGTCGAGAGCGCCGCGCTCTGCAGCCTGACACCCGCCTAGGCGCTGACGCGTGGGCCGTGCCCGGCACTACTAGCCGCCGAAGGCGTATGCTCGGGGTCTGCCGCTGAGGATGTGGCCAATTCTACATCCGACCGCATGTCTACGAGTCGCTCGTTGTTCTCCAGCAGCTGCGTGAGTTTCTCGGCCCACGCGATGCTGAGGCGTTGGAGCCGCGTCATATGCCGATGATGCACCGCAAGTACCCCGGTGGGTTGATCCCAACGGGCCGACAGCTCGCCCTGAACGATCATCTTGCTCAGAATCGCATGAATGCGTCGAGGTTCCAATTCAAAGTGCTCGGCCAATTCTGTCTCTAGGGCAAACGTGTCACAGTATGGGGCATAGGCTAGTACGAACGCCTTGAGCGCAGCCTCCTTCAGCTGGGGCTGCAAACGACTCAAGCACGATGCATGACGGCCAGTCGGGGGCCCTTCGGTCTCAGCGGATGACGCCGCCTGTGTTGCTTGTCCAGCCGCACTTTCCTGACTGGAAGCCGAATCACTCAGGCCAGGTTCAAGCTGGGCCCATACCTTGGCGCTCGCGAGCACTTCATAGGCAGCACGCCAGTCACCCTGCAGCAGATGCTTGCTCGCCACTACAATGTGATCGCGGGTGTTCTCAGGTGGCCCCGATATCTGACCTCGGAGTGAGCCACGCATGAAATGCTGCCAAGCCCGCGAAACGCTTACTTGTCGCGCTTGTTGCTGTAGACTACTCAGTCCACTAGCTTGCGGCAGATTCTGATTCCACCCACTGGTGAACAATTCACCATGGGCTGAAGCATCGATCCGAGCGAGCCAGTCCGCGTTGCGAGCGGATACCGCAGCCATCAGTGGCACCTCGAGGAGCATCGCCGATGTCAAGTGAACAGCTTCAAGGAGTTCAGTCGAGATCTGCATGTGGAAAGGGACTTGTCGGCGTCGATCCGCGTCAGAGGCGTTACTGTTGACTGTCCCTGGTCCAGCTGGACGCGTCGGGGGTGCATGCTGAGCGAGCAGTTCTCGGATCCTCGACATGGATGTGGAGGCAGTTCCAGTACGCGGATCAAAGAACTGCGGAGGTGAACAGAGATCAGCGAGACAGGCATGGGTTTCGCCAATGAGACCACAGCGGAATGCACAAAGACCGAGCTGGGCCAGCGCCCTGTTGTACATGATCTGCAAGCCAATATCCTGCTGCTGAATGCTCTCCTGCAGATGCGTCATCAAGAAAAGGTCTCGGGCCCGAAAGAATTGATTCTCGATGGCGAGGTGGTACACATGCGCGAGCATTGTTTCCGCCTTGGCTCGTTCGTCGCCGTGGCGGTACACGAGGACCGTCAACTCCGTGAAAAGCGTTTCCAGGTCAGACCCTTCCGCTTCCTCAGCAGCTGGTTCCGTTGCACTCTTCAAGAGACGCATGCGCTGGTACATAGCGCTTGTCTGATAGTAAAGGTGCAGAATGCGACGAGCTGCGACGCGCGCCGCTTGGCACGCATCCCCCACCTGTTCTTCATAGTAGTGCTGAACTCGTCGTGCGAAATCAAGCCAGCGAGGTTCGTCTCGCAGCCGTTCCACGTATTCTGTGGAGTGCGGATTCGATGCTTGGAAAGCACGGGTCAGTTCATCGTCCAAACGTTCGACAAGAGCCGCAAAATCCACCATCACGTATTCGAGGGTTTCGGCTTCGGTCGACCCCAGAGCGCCGGATGCTGCTCCCAAGTCGCGGATCGCCGAGCGCACAACTTTGGGGTGTGACTTTGCGATCTGCAGTAACCTTTCCGCCGTGTTTGCAGCAGCCTGGTACATATCCCGGGGCATGACGCCGAGGGTATGCCCAAGATCGAACTGGGCGGCGATCATATGTAGCAGAACGCGCACGAGCTGTGCTGGCGTCTTTGCGGCCCGGGAAAGCCACTCCATTTGCCGTACTTGTTCGCGGCGATCCGTTCCTTTGCGTCCGCGAGCAGCAACAAGTTGTACGATGCGCTCTTCCACCTGCTCGGCGGTTAGATCCTCGGGTTTCTCCTCACGAGCCGGCGATGCGTATTTCCTGATGAATCCATCGGCGTCCTCGTCGGCACGGCTCTTGCGTCTCACCGCACGGGCGCGTCGCTCCTGTCGCCCGCGACGTCCCGATACGGAGGAATCGTCAGAACTTTCATCACTTCTCGATAATGAAAGCGACGAGGATGATGAGGAGGAGGCGGATGACTCGCGTCGGAGCCAGCGAGCCGCTCTCGCACCGCGCACAGCCTCTGCAGGTTCCTCTGCTGCTAGGCTCTCTGACGATTCCTCACTTGAGCTTTCGTCCTCATCGGAGCTCGAAGTAGCCCAGGAAGACGATGCATCGGATTTGCTTTCGCTGTCGGTGTCACTGGCGGTGCCGGCCGACGACGATGAAGCTTCCGACGTACCGCGGGCAGTGCCAGCTGGACGCGATCCAACGAAGCTTGCTTTTCCCGATCTACGTTTGCGATCGAGAACTTCAGGTTCCAAGGTCTCGAGTTCGGGCGTTTCTGACTCGCCGGATGAGCTCGCACCCGCTTCACTCGATTCCCAGGGATCCGCGCCACTGGCTCTGTACTCGTTGATTGCTTCTTCGTACTCTCGGTTATTTTTGCGAAGGCGCTGCCGAGTCGTGTTCAGTGCCTTGGTATTCGTTTTGCTTAATTTCGGTTTCTCTGCGAGCGTTTTTGCGATCTCGTCCTCCAAAAGTACTAGCGCTTTCACATAGGGACGCGGCACAGGCGGACGCCCGCCTCTGGCAACGTCCGTGGACAGTGCCCGCTCCAAGCGTCGGTTTAGCTCGTCAAAATCTTGCTGCACGCTGGTCCAGTCGTTAATTTTGAGGTGATTTCGCAACTGCCGAAGCGAGTGCACAAGCGCCTCATACTTTTTCGTCTCCTTGGACTTTACGACTCGTCTTCCATCGCTGTCGGAGTCTGATTCGTCCTCATCCATGAGAAACCGGGCCCTGCTGAACCCTCCTCCCACGGTGGAACTCACTGCGCCGGTGGCACCTGTGACGCGAGCTGGCCCGGATCCGGCGCGCGGCACGACGTCCACCGCATCGGAGAGCTCCCCCGAAGACGAGGAGGACTCCTCTTCGGAAGTGTCGCCGGTTGCAAAGAAGCGTGAAGTCATACTACTTGTCTAGTTGTTTCAAGTTGAACCAGAAGCTCAACAAGTCGGCCCGAACGTTCGCCTCGTGCCCGCGTGATCGAGACTCGCTTGAACCAAGGGTACTGAAGTTTTCAGGAAACGTGCTTAACAGCGGCCCCGCTTCAACCCTTCCGAGGCGCTGGAAGAGCGGCGGCCGCGCCAGGCTTCGCAGAAAAGCTGTACACAAACGGACATTCTTTGAAGCAACGCGTGCGCGCGCTCCACCGGCTACCACATCCTTTATGGAAACACGGAATGATCTTGGCAGTCTCTACGGTACGTTTACGGCATCAGATCGATGCATCGATTTGTATGCTCGCTGAACCTGCGTGTCCTAGCAGACCTGAGAAGAGAAATCAGTGCCTCCACAGACGTCGGTGCGAATTACAAACTCCAAAGTTTTATTTCTGTGAAGAATACTAGCCAGATTCCAGCTGCCTCTCTGGTACCGAGCACGTCAGGAACCGCACAATGCGACGCTGGATATGCGCCGCAGTCGCGCTTTCCCCGCAGAAACAAAACGATTATGCGGCGCCTTTGCGGGTGTCTGTTCAGGGCGTTGCCAACCCGAGCCACGGCCTGTCCAGTCCTCGGGCCGGGCTCTCTCAATCTGCGGAAGCAGACCGATTACCAGCGACGCGGAAAGAAGCAATGACAGGAACTCGGTCGCTAGAGCGTAGGCTGGGCGTCGAGCGCCCCTTTGGCGTCGTGGATTGGCTGCCCGGACCTCGCGGCAGTGCCAATCACCGAGAAGGCGCTCCGAGCCCTGGCGCGGCAGACACAAAAAGACCGGTCCGCAGCGCATTCGACCGAAACACTAAGATATCGCAATCGTGAGTGTCTGCAGCCCAACACAGGGCGGTCGGCGAGTCAAGCCTCGATCCCCTCGGATAACCCTGATCTGAGGCCTGGCCTGCAGACCACGGAGACGCCCATGCCTATCGCGATGCAGCATATCCGATCATCGGACACGTTCGCGCGTACCGAAGGCAGCGTTGATCCGTAGATCCAATGCTGTCCCAAACTGTCTAGATACGTTCTTGAAATCGCATCATCGTCCGCATTCTGCGTTCCGAAGGCAGCATCGATCCGTAGATCCAATGCCATCCCATAATGTCTAGATACGTCCCTGAAATCGCCATCACCAGTGGCATTCGTGCGTTCCATAGGCAGCGTTGATCCGTAGATCCAATGCTGTCGCAAAATGTTCAGACGCGTCCCTGAAATCGCCATCTCCAGCGGCATTCGCGCATCCGCATCATAGCCCAGGCGCCGTTGCACACACGCGCGCAACGCATCGTGCTGCGCAACCCTCCGGTGTGTGCATCACAGATCGGGGGGCACGCAGGAAGCGCGGGCGTCACATGTGACATCGAGGATGCGCGCTGGCTGCAGCTCCGTCTCGACGGCGGTGCCAGTGATCGCGGGCGTTCACTGCACCTGGACGCCGGTGTGCGGCGCGCGCGCCTCGCCAGCGCCGAAATGCGCCGTTCATAAAAATATCTTCTAGGTCATTTCCAAGGCTTGTGTAGACTGGTGAGAAGCGCAGACTCTCGTCGACGCCGGAGGGTTCTGCCGTGACGTTTTGTTTGTATCTTGAGGAAGTATTTGCCAGGCACTGTAGATGCCGAAGCTCCACCGTGTTCGAGCGGCTTGCGCTCTATGCAAGGAGAAGGAGGCGGTGGTCTACTGTTGCAGCCACGGCTGTGCGCTCTGTCTCACCTGCGATCGGAAGGAGCATAAAAGCGCTGTTGACTTTGGGACAAGACAGTTCAACACAAGGCGTAATGTGAGCGCAATGGAGGCAGTGGACTCCAATAAAGAAGGCTCGCGAGGAAAAATTACTGAGAAACTGCTTCGAGAAGGGCCGCCTTCTGCTTCGCAACTGGAACAGGCGAGTCGACGTGCTGAGCGTCGAGCAGGAGCGTGTGCGCAGAAGCAACTGCAGTCCGATGTTGAAGTCGCGGCTCAGGTTGGGGCAACGGCTGAGAACAATTCAGGTTTACCGGGCGTGACGCGGGACTGCGTGGATGCTGCTTCCGTCGCGAAACGGTACCTAACCGACGGCCCGCAGGTGCACAGCGCACTGGAGAATAGCGGCCTGGATACTTGTCGCGCCGACGCGAGACCTGTGTTTCCTGTTATTGTGCCAGCTATCGGGGTCTCGGCTCTGACACAGCGGCCTTCGGAGAGCGTGCCAGAGCCTCAAGCAACGGAAACGAAGAACTGCGCTTTAGCCGAGAATCCGCTGTTTTTCAAGCCTGACTCGGAGCTGCCCTCTGGGGACTCACACTGGGCGAACCAGATTTATATTTCTAGTTCAGGATCGTCGAGTGTATCTGGTTCAGGTGAAACAGCAGAAAAGATCAGTGACTTTCGCGAGGGCGCGCCCTCGCTGGAGACACCACCTAACGAAGGACAATCCAGCTCTCAGTCGTCTACATTCAGGGACGGCCCCGGCCGGACGACAAGCTCATCGGATTTGCAAACTGCTGGTGTACTTCCATGTGCATCCGCAGATGTGCAAGCTCATGTGCGGCATCCGATTGTAGCGCCCGCTGTACTCATTCTTTGCGATTCCTGTGGCGCCATGCCGGCCGTCGCGTACTGCACAGAAAGGGCGCGTTTTCACTGTGAGCTTTGTATGAAATACGCACACGCATCGGGCTCTGCACCGGATGCACCACAGGAACTGCCTATGGCGTGGCAAGTGCAGTGCATGAAAAGTGGGAAAGCCGCCGATGCAGACATGAAGGGCGCCCACCGGCACGAGCAAGACCCATACGCCTCAAGTCGGAGTCGATGCGGGGATTCTGGGGACAGCGGCAGTGCCGAGCGTGAACCCACAAGTGAATCACCCAGCGGCGGTGATCAGGGAACCTCTCATTCCGGCAATGGCGGCAGTAGAGAGCCGACATCATCGTCCCCGGCAGAGACGGCCGCTACGACGAAGCCACAGAATCTAGAGGGTCCAAGTACTACGGCAAAGAGTGCTCATTCGCAGCGAAAAACATATTCCGATCGAGGGCTCTCGCGATCTGTCGCTATGATGATGCTTTTGGATTGCTCTGTCGAGGTCCCGTCCCGCGGCTCCGAAGAGCTGTCTGCAGAGGGCGGCGATGATGCCTCAGCTGAAAGCATCAGTGAACAAACAGACGCCGAGAGCATGAGTCTCGGACACGAAAGCGCGCGATCCGGGGAATTTCGCGCAGACCCCTGTACAGAGCCGACGCTCACCTCAACTGGTTTGCCCATCAAATGGGCAACCGCCATTTCCGAGGAGGATCTTGCTGCAGCCGCTGAGCGAGCCGTTCGCGTATTCGCCGCCTCGTCGAATAGCAACGGCACCCGAAGCACGAGCAGTAGACACGCAAGCAGCAATGACTTGTCTTCTGCAATCGTGCCCGGGACAGGTACCCATGATGTTGCCACAGCAGCTCCAGCGGTGCAATCTGAAGCAGCAGCAGAGGCGGCTCCGGCGCAGGTAACCGGTTTCGAACAGCCGCCTTTACCTGCCTGCTGCATCGATATAACGACCACCGATGCACGAAGAGCAATCTCTATCGCAAAGAATGAACCATTCATCATTGGACAGCGCTCGCGACCGGCGTATGCGCCTTCGTCGCCTCTTGGACAGCAACCGACATCGCAGTCTACAGGGCGCCGAGGTGGTACCCATCAGCGCAGAACAGCGGATGCAAGTGAAGGTGCCAAGCGTGCGCTACCGCTCAAACATCAGGCAAACACAACTGCGAGCCGCTGGCGAAAAGGACGCGCCACCGGAAAGAACGTGGATATGCGCCCCGACGCCAATCATCCCGAAGAGGAACCGCTGGCACCACATTTAACTGGGTTGGATGTCTGGGGACCTCATCCGGAGACGATGGCGATCATCGACAGCAGCACGCTCGCTCAAGCTGAGACGGCCAGGGGGTTGCGCTCCAAGACAGGGGCGCCAAGGAGCGCGGAGCAAATGCGCGGCACCGCTCTCAAGGTCGAAGGCGCTGCCATCTGTGCGTCGAGCGCACGAGCCGCATGCTCAGCTGAAGGCCAGGCAGTGTCCGCACCGAGGATGCGTACCTCAGCGCGAGCTTTGGAATCCTCGACCAGAGTGGATAGTACGCCCCTGGTGCCTTGGCGTGATCTAGAGGTGCAGCAGGCACCGTCTCTCTCGAAACCGCAGGTCCCGGCTTACGTTGCGGCGTGGTCTGCCTCCCCGAGTCAGCCGAGTTTGGCGGACTTTGTGGAAGCACCTCTTGAATGCAGAAGAAGTATCTCAAAAGCGGCATCAGCGCAGGAGTTGCGAACGGCATCCGGTCGAGTACCCGATAGCCGGCATCGCTCTTCACGGGAAACCGCCCCGGGCCTAGCAACGCGAACTTCACGGGAAAGCGCTTCGCATCCTGCGAGTGCACAGACTGCACATCTCGTGGAAGAAGGAGCCACGAGCCGCGGTTGTCCGGCGGGTTTGGTTCATCTCGACGCTGGACCAAGAGGCGGGCATGGTGTTGCCTCCATTGCAGTGGGGACGATCGACGGGAACCCAGCCAAACTCCGTGGCTTTGACGATGGCACCCCAGCAGCACGTCTGAGCCCACGTTCCGGGACACCGGTTGAAGGCTCGTTCAAGATGGCATCTGGTGCGGGTATTCCAGGTAGCGGATCCTCGCAGCAGGCCCGTTATCCGACCGTGTCGGGTTTGTCGCGTCGACGGGCAGAGTCAGCGCGCGCGAAAGTGGATCGCTGGCTGCTTGGCGCTACCCAGCCAGCGGGTGTGCGGCGCTGCGAGTCACCCTTTCGACAGCCACAGGCATCGTATCGCGAAGTGGATGTCTTGGATCGGGCAGCAGCTGGACCTGGAGTCATCGCGCAGCCGCAAGCGGATCAGGGCAACGAGGACACGCTCATGGACGACAGTGACCCGGCACTGGAAACAGGTCAACTGCGTAACCGCACTCGTGAACTCGACAAGAGCGCCGCAGCGGAGCCCGGTCAAGGCAGCGAGCTCGATTCAAAAGCCGAGGCGGATTTGGCCATGGTGGATATGCTCGTCCCAGATTTCAGCAAGTACGCGACGCCACTACCACATGGATTGATGTCACGAAGCACACCATCGAGCAGTAGTGGCAATGGTGAAACCTCCAGCACCGGTGGTGGCGATCTGGAACCGTCGCCGCTGGCTGCGAAACGCACCTTGCGTGTGGAAGTCGCGTCAGAGGAGGCTAGGCGGATGCATTCTCGGCTGCAACAACACAAGTCGTCAGGTATGCTGGTGCCACGAATGACTGCTTCCTGGTCGGCAGAAGTGAAGTCGGCGGCTCATCGACGCCACAGCCATGCGCATCTATCTTCGAAAGATGCGGAACAAAAGCATCCCGATGAAACATCAGCGTAGGATCCTTGTCTTCCAATGAACATATCAAGTTTTTAGGAACAAACAACATGTAGCATCAAAACTGGGAATGTAAACTAGCGATAACGCAGCGGATGACAAAGTCGCGCGAGTCGTCGGTAACGGGCCCGTGCATCTTTGGCGAGTTACTGTGCACCTGGGACGTTTCCTGCAGGTGCTGTGCGTACTCCACGGACCGTCGCAGTTCTATGCTCATGTTCGTGCTTGCCTTGTAAGCTATTGACGATGCAGAGCACTGTTCGGGGAAGCTCGAAGGAATGCAAAGGAAGGGCGGGTTTCCCGAAGCGTGCAATTAGGTATTATACGTGCACTACGCATCCAGCATCGGTAACCGGGGGAATCACAGCGAGAGACCGAGAGAAGAATGAATAGTGTACACGAGTTGGCAGCAGCTTGTCTTTGAAGTGTCTATGTAGTCTCTGTCGTATGCAAGCGCTGCCACCGAGTTGTGAGCTGGAGCTTAAACTTGCGAACTTGCCTATTGATGCTCAGTCGAAGCATTGGACTCGTTCAAAATTCTGCAGGTCTTCCCAGGAGCCACAGTGCTATTCTTGGGACTGTTTCCGTTTCTGGATATCTGGACCGCACTTGATCGTCGAGTGGTGTTCGTCTGGGCTATTGGTTTCAGCCCAGACCAGTCAGTCAGTCGTTTGCTCGTTGAACGCTATTCAGTATCGGGTAGTCGTTTTCACGCTCTCCGAGGGATAAGGAGATTGCATCGGAACCGCGGAGCATTGTGCGTGTTTGGCTTCCGTACGTAAAGACGAGGAGGTGCAATGCGGCCTTGACGCAGAACCCGAGACGAACACCCGCTTGTCCCGGAATGCATTGACGCGTCGCCGCCGCATGACGGTGGTCGGAGTATCTTCAGCGCAGGTGCCGAAAAGCATCAAACCGAAACCAAAGCCATATGCGCGGCAATACCGAGGGCGTCATGAACTAGACCCTCTCCGAATTGTACCCGTTTTAGCGCAGCTCATTCACAGAGAAAAGTGGGTGCTGATGGGAAGCATTCTCGGGATGCCACCTGAGGCGGACAACGGTTTCTTGGCAAAAGTCCTGCATCTGGAAGCGAGCTCGACAGCGATGTCGCAGCGAGAGCGGGAGCCGCTTCAGATCGTCAAAGCTCACGGGATTGCACTTGGTCTTGGACCGGTGGACGTCCTCTCCAAGACATGGTGGACGTGTGATGCCCGTCCTGCTCGCGTGATGCGAATCGACGTATGCCTCATGAGAGCGCTCAAGAGCAAAGCGATTTTCTTCTGCGAATCCGAGCGCTCTAGCTTCCTCAAAAATGTATTCTTTATCTTTCCCGTGACTCAGGTCAAGGCACACTGTATCTCTAGAGACACTTGTTTCGTGTGCTGCAAGTCGTCCTCAGAGAACTACGGTTGGTTTCTGCGAGCAAGGATGCAGCATTCGAACAGCGTGCTGAAGCGCATAGCCGGAGATCGCTCAAGGCCGCTCCATCGCAGACAATGAACGGGAAACAATTCTCAGGGTTCATGGAGACAGACGGACTAGCCATCAGTGTGGGTCTTGTGAAATTTTTGAAACCCATGTCCGAGTCGAGCCAGGGGCCTCATTTTCAACTGTTCACGTTAGAACAAGACAAAGACTTCGCAGTGAGCGCAGTTCCTCGACTCAAGGAAAGTACGACCGTCACCGAGTACCTGCATGGAAAGCAGATGGAGCTCGTCTGCTCTGTAGTGGCATGGTACGATTGAGAGTCGAGCATGATGGACGCAACGAGGCATACCAGCAAGTGGAGCGCAGGCTTCTGGACCCATCTCCACGCTCCGGGCATCGTATCTCGCAGAGGGTTGTGTTTTGCACGCCTGATTCAGAGTGTACGTTAGCGTCCAAGTAGATCATCAAGACGAGGTTTCGCAGGAATCCTGGACATGGCTTTGGCATAGCCGACGGTTTCCGTTCTTCAAAAGCAAAAAGCGTGCAATACGCAACTTGTTGAATGCTTTCCAAACGGAAAAGACCGAAAAGTCGCATCGTTTGTTGGTAACTTGCGGCACCGCGCATGCTGTGACGCGCTTATACTGCACTGCCCTTCCCTGGTCGCGAGCCGATAACGAGTGCGGGAGTCGATGCTATGCGATTCCCATTGAAGCGTTACGGACAGCATGGATGGATCACGAGCAGGGGCGAACGCTGAAATCCGCCACACAAGAAAGCTACAAACAAATCCGAATGCACGAAACGGTGCACGATAAGCAGATCGAGCGTCGTATTGTGAGGCACTCCAAGATGAGCTGCTTCCTATAGCGCGATTCCGCTGGCACCCAGGCACACGAACACACTCTGAAACGGGAATGGAGCGCCCGGGTCATCATCTGGCAATGTATTGTGCTTGTGGAGCATCCAGCGGCTTTACGTCGAGCGAACTTTCCAGAAAATCGTTTCTTACTCATTCTGATCATCGTGCTGGAACGCGGAAGACTCCCGAGGAAAAAGTTTCGTGACAAGGAGGGAGCGCATTGGATTCACGTCTGGAGCAAGGCACTGGCATGGTATGCGTCAACAGTTCTGAAATGTTGGAGTGCCAAGAATATACACCGAGAATGGTTTGCCCAGGCAACTGATGAACGGCAACGGTGCTCCACGATGCGGTATGAGTCCGCAGTCGACGCTGCGAAGCGTGTAGCGCCCTGCGGCACCAAAAAGATCTTAGGCCGCGCGGAACACCGCTGCGATGCAGAAAACGAATCAGAGGAACTTTGCGATACAACCCTCTCTGGTATATTTGAAGAACGTTGGTCGAGCTTTCCGGAAGCGTGTCGTTACCGAGACCTAATACCGAGCTCGCCTGTTTACAGCAGACTCTAGTGGAGTGCACGAGGCTTGAACCATTTGCAATCGATTCATCGATCCAACAACTTACAAAAACCGTCTGCTTCGGGGGTCTGAAGTCTCACGCGGGTTTATGAGCAGCGTCCATGCCACGGGCAGACGCTGATTCGAAGCATCGAACTCGCATCAGAGCGCATCGGATGCAGTGACGACCGTCACGGCAGCATGACCTCGTTCTCTGCTCCGGGGGGAATGTTCTCGTCCGTTCCCGTAGAGGTGTCGGAAACCATGATGTCTTCAGGCAACTGCAACGAGTCCTGGTGATCTCGGAGATTGCGGTTGTAGTTCCGTGCCGCGATGTCGCTGGCGTTGAGCACTGGCATCGCGCGAGGCGGAGCAACGGCCAGCGTCGCGCTTGCGTACAACGGGCGCACATCGTCGAAAAATGGATGGCGAAGTGCATCTGCTGCCGTTATTCGACGAGCTGGATCGAGCTGGAGCATTTCGGACAGAAGTTTGCATCCGCTTTCACCGAGATCGGGCAGTATCTGAATTAGTGGCCGTGGTTTCCATTGAGGGAAATCATGCCAGTCGCGGAGCTCGACTACAGATGGCCAAGTCTGTTCGTTTGGCGTACCGAGAACCCGAAATATTGCAAGGAGCTGTTCAATCTCGCTTTCCCCGCAAAATAAAGATCGTCCCCGAATCATCTCTGCGAGTATGCAACCTACACTCCATATATCTACAGGCGTCGAGTAACAACGCGTCCCGAGAAGGATCTCCGGCGCCCGATACCACAAAGTCACAACCTCATGCGTGTACCTACCGACAGGAATACAAAAGGCACGCCCTAAACCGAAGTCTGCTAGCTTGATGGTACGATCTTGGTTTGTGACGAGTATATTCTGCGGTTTAAGATCGCGATGCATGATCCCGCGGAGATGACAGAACTGGAGCCCGAGCAACATTTGGTACGCAAAGCACTTGGCTTGCTGAAGGGGTAAGCCCTTGCCGCGCCCCCGGTGCCGATTCATATACTGCTTCAGGTCGCTCTCAGCGTATTCGAAAACGAGATACAGAAGCGGACGTTTTCCGCGACTCTCGGCGTGGATAACGTCGATGAGCTTCACGATATTCTCGCAGTCTGACAGTGCTCGAAGGATGCTTACTTCCCGAAGCGTCGTAGCTGGAATGCCTTCATCATCATTCGAAAGCGTTGTTTTTTTCAGCGCCACAATTCGATTGGTCTGCAAGTCAAGCGCTTTGTAGACAGTGCCGTAGGTTCCCTGTCCCAGCACTTCCAGGCGTCGAAAGCGCTCCATGGAGGACAGGAATCACTCGAGGCGCCTTGACGACGATTCGTGTATGCTCTCGAGCGTGCACACACGAACGACTACCCCAGGAGCCGCAGACGCTAACCAACTGATGACGACACGCACCGTAACGGCACCAGAAGCGCCGCTTCTGGGCAAACACACCGGGGACGCACGCACGACGATGATGGCGACGCAACCGATCGCGCGTTTGAAATCCGCGCACAGCTGGCGTTTCGATAGCGGCGCTTGCGCGCATGGCGCCTGGGGCACCAAGCACAACGCTGGGGTATGGACGCGATGACTGGGTGCCTCAGGACGCGATCTAGTTCAGGTGTTGCCTGGACTGGTTTATGATGTGGGATCGTTGGCTGAAAGTAGGGAATGCCTGGTGCGCAAACGCTATCGGAAAGGACATCTATGCGAGAATAAAATGGAACGATGTCAGCTTCATGAATTCTGGTGTTCACGCGAACCCATAGGCCTGCTACCAGGATGATGAACACCGGCCGGTTGACGCTCATTCTGTCAATGCTTTCTGGTCTCCTGCATCGTATCTCCGATACGAAATACGCTGGACTGCCGTCTCTCGCAAGTTACGCTGCCAGCAGTCGACGGGTATTCGTGGCGGCACGGGAGTCCCGATTTCGCTGCATGGGGCGGTTGTCAACGCTTTTCATCCAGAGTCGGAAGTTGCAATCAGCGTTTCTCTTGCCATTGGCATATTCCTTGGACACATCTCCGGTACGCCATCCGCAGCGTCGGCACTCGGCTGGCGTCAGACGTTCGGTGGAGTCCGCCAGAACGCCCCCTTCGATGGCCATCCTGTGGCTCGTCCATGCTTCCCTCAGCGTCCGGTACGTGCACTGGACGGGTACAGAAGGCTCTGCTCGATGCCCAGTTCCGTTGACACAACCGGTGCCGTATCCCCTGATCACGCGCTCCTTCCACGCGATCCCGACGGTGAGTACCCTGCCTGCTGCATGAAACAGAGGATCTGTGGAACGCGGTGTTGTCTGTGGTGAAACAAGTACCAGAAGGACTATCCAGACTGGAGACGAAACCGAAAAGCTTCGCTGCGTCTATGCTCCCGCTGTACAAGCCGGTGACGCACGCTCCACACTGACACCGGTCGCTCCGACGACTACAGCCCGAGCCCAAGACCCGTTTCCATGCAAACGCAAGTGACTGAGGCCCCTGGAAGCGCACCCCGCGAGCAGGCCCATGCTGGTGTGGAATGGCGTTCCATCTGTGGCCGCACTGAGCGTGTGGAGGATTCGTCCTTCCAATGGATTCGGTTCATTGGCGTTACAAGTGCAGTGAACATGCGGCATGAGCTTGTGGAGCATTCGTCATGCGACGGCGTTGCGTTCGTTTTCTTCGCATGGCTCCAGCGGCACTACTCTGGGGCGCCCGCGAGGTCTCTCGGGATCGAAAGATTGAAAAGCTCAAGAACGGGTGATTCGCGCACGCTACGGGCAAGCGGGGTAGAGGCATCGAGGCGTGCACGTATGGACTGGGTGATGGTATCGAAGGCTGATTCTGGGGAACGTTCACCGGCTGGGTTTCGAATGATGTTGATTCTGGTGACGTAACGAAACCGGCGGTGGCGATGCGTCGAATGAGCCACACGGACACGGCATCAGAGAACTCTGAGACTACCTAGGAACGGGAGAGCCCTCATTGCTGTACTGGAATGTCGAGGCTGGGCATCTAGAAAGAGTCTCCGAACAAAACGTAGGGCTGGAGCAGAGCGAGCAGTGTAGTCTTTAATTTTTATCTGATAATGTAAGCACGAATATTTCAATCCAAATCAGACCTCCAAGGTGCACTGGTTACCACTACAGAGCCGTCCCTTTGGAGTTAATGGTTCGTTCATACGATCCTGCGAATGCCGGGCCTGGAGTGTGTACCCCGCTGCAACAGAGCAGCCTTGCTCTACGCTTGTGCACTTGCGGTGCCGCCACGATGCACCTGACGCATGGTCGGGTATTGTTCCCAGTTTATGCCCCGATAGTCTGCGTGTGCAGGTGTGCCAGCACGGAACGACGCACCGGAGAAACTCAGCTCTTTGGACAAACCGCTGGTATCGAGACTCGCCAGGCAATCTTCTATGGGATATGGTGCGGGTTCAGGGCGCGGGCCTTCCTATGTGTATATTGCGTGCGCGCCGCAGCGTTCCTGGATGTTGAATCCATTGGTGTCTGCGCTCGCGACACATCACATTGTTAGGCTAGTCGTTTCACTTTTGTGGCGTGTATTCGAATAAAGACCGTTAGTTCAGACAGACGACGCTCAATCTTCAGAGTCATGTGCTTTCTCGTCCAGTGCGATAACTGCAAGAAATATACCTGGAAGGGTTGTGGGAACCATATTCACAGTGTGAAGCAGCAGGCGGAACGCGAGGGGAAGCCTTGGTGTGAGTGCGCACCAGAACAGCGGCGTCCTCGCTGAGTGCATTGAACTGGAGCGTTTCCCGCTGGTTGACGAAGTCGACAAGCTCGTGGGCAAGTGGTTCACATGCTGTTGCGAATCCCTGTTTGTGGACTGTGCGTTGTACCAGAGGCGATGCGTGCGGAACTCGCGTGAAGTTGAAGGTGTGAAGCGCTTTTTCCCTGTGCACGCAGGCGCTGTGCTCGTGAAGCGCTACTGCATTACATTTCTTCATACAGGCCAATGCATGACTTGGGGGTTTGCATCCAGGACTTTGGGATGTCGTCGGAGCTTGACGTGTTACGCGGCTGGTCGTGGCGGTTCCACAGCTGCGCACGGATATCTATGGTTCCTGTCAGTTTCCCAGGCATCGGTTGTCTGTCAGCGTGAACCTGGCCATGGAGAACGACGAGCTTGGGCGGCAGCGCTTTTGGAGAGACTTCATTGGCAGCTGTGACTGGATTTGGATGAATGGGCGGCAAAAGACAGCGATGCCAGGCGGTTACCAAGCTCATGCCGGAGTTTTTACAGAACATAAAATCGGATATTGCTATATGTTGAAAAACTACTTTTGGAGCGAAGCGGGAGCTTTTCTTATGGATTTGGCTTCCTCAAGGAATGTCGCCGAAAGCTGCGAAGGCGTCTATCCTTGGACTTTGCTGTGAGGTATTTGAAGCTAACGCAGTTGGCCTCGTGATGCATCATTCCGCAGCGACCCGAACGTCATGATCTTCTCGCTTTTTGATCAGTTTTCTGGTCCGATCGAAGTCGGTCAAAGGTAAGAGGGAGAATCTTGCGCGAAATTCGCGGCCGGCTACTCGTGGCAAGTCTCCATAGACAGCACCAAGCTTCCTTTCGAGTCTTGAGTTCGCCAAAGGCAAGCAGGCTGACTGAAAACGACTTGACAGTGCGAGTCGAGCTGCTCCGTGGTTTCATTTGAGGCGTCTGCATGAAAAACGACTAAAAAATGACATTCTTGATGGAGTTCGCATCATGGGTTCAGTTTGGGGAAACTCCCAGTCCCGATGTGCACATTCCAGCAAAGCATATCAGTCGTGGTCCAAGTCTTTTTATCCGTTTTTTTGATAAGGTTCGGAATTATGATCGACTCTGGAACAGAAGAGATTGTTGGTGCGGCGCACTAGTCCTCGCGACGGCCTAGAAACCTCACTGTGTCCGCTTTTTCTGATTTGGCACAGAGGGCATCGCTGGAAGCTTGCAAAGCAAGACTGTAATGATCTTCTCCACGAATTCCATGCGATGAATGAAACAAAAAATTTCCCACGACCATAGAGGTTAAATGAATACCGACGTACAGATTTCTCCCAGCCTATTTCGATCGGCCTCCTGCTATCGGCTACGGCTTCCCTCTGTACACTTCGAGTTTGAGAGGCAGCCCCAGAAAGTTGGATCGCGTCAGTTCCGCAGGTATCGTTTTCAGCACCGCACATCGTCTGATATTGATGGCGGCGCTCAAGTCTCGGTTCACGAACTCCATGCATGCTCTGCATCTGGCTGAACGCATCCATGAACGGATTCCTAGAACTCGTGTGCACTGTTCCATTTGCTGCTCTGTCAGCTCTCCGTGCTTTTCTATCGCCGAAGCGCTCGCTGGCTTCTCTCCAGCTCGACCTTATGGGGTGTGCGCCTCAGGTCATTCGTTCTTTTTTTCATGAATGCACTTGTTGATGACTTCAGATGAGCACCTTCACAGAGCGAGAAGGAGTTGCGGAGGGGAGACGAGATGTCCTCCGTCCCTCGTGTGTCAAAGTATGCTGAAAGCTAAAGCGATTCTGCCAGTGCAGAGAACATTGCGTTTCACAATAGAAAATACTCCTTCGATGCGGTTGAAGCATGGCGAGTATATAGGAATCAAAAGCAGGTCCTCTCTCCGACAGAATCGGCAAAGGCTCCAACGCAAAGGAAATGATGAAATACCACACTGTCCAATAGAAGAACGTTGCCAAACCTGCAGGGGAAAGTCTTTATAGAATCGACGTAGGGGTGCTGTTGTATGCGCCTTCCGGAGGAGCGAAACTGAGACCGCCAAACGAATCCTCTGCGTCTAAAACAGATGACGGTGTCGGTCTATTCGAGTTCGATCGTACATACAACACGCGCCTTATCCGCGAATACCCAAGTACGCTCTGACCCCATCGCGCGAAGCAAGTCTCATCGACCGAAAAAAACAAATCGACGTCCTTGTGCATCATACTCATCGTGACGTTCCAGGAACGCTGTCGTTCCGATGTCGGTGGAAACTGGCGCTGCTTGAACTATGATGCATCCTTTGCGACTGCATCTCAGTGATTTCAGGACCCCGCGAACAAGCTGGGGAGAAACAGAGGCGCCAGTGGTTGCTACGATCGTCGCTTTTGCTTTACGTGAGATGATCAACGGGTCGTTTTCCACCATTGACTACAAGCAGTCTTCGAGAATATCGGTTTCTGGCACGGAGCGCATATACTCGTTCGTTTCATTGTTCCATACTTATCTGAGTACTGTGGTATGACTGACCTCCAGGAGGAATGCAGTCCTCCTTGCTTTGTTCAGTAAAGAATGTATCTTAAAAGCAGTTCGTCTACGGTCCCTAGGATATATTGCATAGTGATTCCCATCTGTTATACACTGCGAAAAGGCACTCGATTCCACGTAGCACATGTGAAACAGCATTGAGTTGAAAAACGATAACGAGTAGCTATGAACCAAATTGCATACTGGGGCACAGCCAGCGGAAGCTTTATGCGCCTGCGCGACTTTAGGACTCCACAGCGGCGCTCGAGTTGGATCCTCGAGCGTGAGCCTAGTTGAGGCTCCGGTGCCGTACAGGCTCGCAGCGTTACCCGGCCAAACAAGTACGCGAGCGGGAGCCGTGTCGTGTTCGCGGCATTGACTCGTAACCGACAAGAGCGTTGCCAATCAGGCGCTCGGGGGGACACCTGCTGGCTCACCTACGTGCGCGTTCGAGACGCTGCCTCAAAAGTCGACTGTCGTACGAGACTTTCTGCGTCGCAAGGAATAGCTTTTGGGCCCTAGGGACGCGCGGTCCGTGTCCGTTGCGCGCACTGTCGAAGCTTTCGCTCTTCGTGAGGAAGTTGCGTCTTTAGCGAGAACTTTCGATAAATAAATCATCCACGACTTTGAAGCCTTAGAACGCTTTGTGGGTCGTTGAAAGGTCGATGTCGCCAGCTGATTCAGAACCAGCTTCCCGTACGGAGAACTTGGATCAGAGCCCGACGAACCCGTTGGGCACCTTCTCTAACGCCGCGAGCGACACTTCAAAGTCTCTGAACGAGAATCAACAGCGAAAACGGCCTGCTTCTGTCGCCGGCATCGTTCACGTACGTCGAATTCCCCCGGGATTGAGTGTCGCTGAACTCAGACGCATTCTTGAAAGGTATGGACGCATAGGACGCGTGTACTTGCGCAAAGAGCAGGAAAGTGAGCGACGCGAACGCATCATGCGTGGCGGCAGTCGTCGTAGGATGGCGTTGGAAGCTTGGGTCGAGTTCCTGGATCAGCAGAGGGCCGAGCAGGTGGCGGCTTTACTGAACGCAACCCCCATGGACCCTCAGCGAAGAAGGAGCCGATTTCACGGGGATCTGTGGTGCATTGAATACATCCGTGACCTGCAGTGGCACCATCTTTCGGACCAGATGGCAGCCATGCGAAGAGAGCGCGTCCTCCGCATCAAGAACGAGGTGCATGCCTCACGAAGGGAGCGCGATCACTGGCTCGAGCGTCTGCGCGAGGCTCATGTTGACGCGGCTATCCAGCAAAAACGGCAAAAACGATTACAGCGAAACCCAGGAGACTATCGCGCGAAGTCAAACGAGTCACGCGAGCGTAGGATGCCACCGCAGCACCGTCCACGTGCACAGCGTGACATCGCACCGACCGAGCGTGGGGTGGAAGCGAGCAGCACCTCGCCGGCAGATTGCGAACCGTGCTTGTCAAGCAAGGAGCCTTCCGTTGAGCGGATCCTCAGACAGATCGCAAATCCGACCTATACGTAAGTGGTGCACAAAAAATCCGTAGCATGGTGCGATGCGAGCGAGCGCAGCACCCAGGAGATACAGCAGGCGAATGTGCCGGTATTCTCGCCCGGCATCCGCGTCCGGCAAGAATAAAAAACGAGCTCAAATCGGCCATGCACGCGAGATACTAGTCCTTCACCTTCCGAGCGCTCTGCGTAAGGCGAGTCCAAGTTCGGATGGCGTCTGGACAACATGGGCGCCTGCCTCTCGTAGAGCCTGCACTTTGCTAGTGGCAGTTCCGAGGCCGCCGCTCACAATTGCACCGGCGTGACCCATTCGTCGTCCCGGCGGTGCCGACAAACCCGCAATAAACGACGCGACAGGCTTATGACTGGACTTTTCGCGGATAAATGCAGCAGCCTCTTCCTCGGCCTGCCCGCCAATTTCCCCAATCATCACGATGCCGTCCGTGTTGTCGTCCTCAAAAAAGTACGACAGACAGTCGATGAAACTCGTTCCGTTGAAAGGGTCCCCGCCGATCCCAATACAGAGCGACTGTCCGAGCCCGGCAGCGGTCGTCTGTGCAACCGCCTCATACGTCAGCGTCCCCGAGCGAGAGACAACGCCGATTCGCCCTGGTTGCACAATCGACGTCGGCATGATTCCCAGTTTGCAACGTGCACCTGGATGGAGAATACCCGGGCAATTCGGTCCCACGAGACGCGACATCTGTGTGCGTTCAAGCCGTCGCTTGATTCGCACCATGTCCTGCTGGGGTATGCCCTCTGTAATTACGACAATAAGAGGAACTTGCGCGTCGATGGCTTCCTCGATTGCTGCTGCGGCGGCCGGCGGCGGGACAAAGACCACGCTCGCGTTGGCACCGGTCTCTCGCACCGCTTCCGCGACAGTTCCAAACACCGGAAGACCCAAGTGCTTGGTGCCCGCCTTTGAAGGTGAAACGCCGCAAACGATCTTTGTACCGTAGGCTATTGCTTGTTCAGAGTGAAACGTACCGTGTTTGCCAGTGAAGCCCTGTACGAGAACCCGGGTCTCTGGGCTCACAAACGGGGACGGCTTCCCGCGGAAAACTTGTTCCGTGTTCTGTTTGGTCGATCGCGCCTGATGGGTTAAAGTCCGGTACACGGCCAAACCGGACACGGGAAGCTGCGCCCAGCGCCTGGTCCCGCGTTCGAGAAAACGCAACATGCTGCAAGGACTCTGACCGTAAACGCTGAGTTTCCCGTGAAGCAAACGTAAAGCGTGCATATCCCGCTTCCTAACCGTTCCTACTTGACGAGTCGATAGCGCCTAGAGCAGTCTCTGCAATCGACGTATCCTGCAGCAGTTTTGAGGACGTTCAGTTGACGATAGCATCATCCCGTGAGCCAATGTGGTCTCGATGCGGCATGTCGCGCGCGCCCCCAGCCTGAAGCGTGCGCGCATCGCCGGCTATGCCCAGGCCGATGGGTACCAGGGTGCAGATCCTGCGGATCTGACAGTTGGAGGCGATGTCCATTTTATACCAAGTCAAACTCGATGCGTCTGTGGCACTGTCCATCGGTTGCTCCGTAGGTATGAAGTTCACTTTGTACCAATTCAAAATCGATGCTGGAGGGCACTGTCCATTTCGTTCACACTTGCGATCTGGTAACGCGGGAAATCCGCGGCGGGGCTTTGGCGCATGCATGAACGTGCAGCTCCTCAGGGGGCGGGGGGTCACGAAATCGCGATGCTCGTGACGACTGCAGCCACGGCAAACGCTCATATGTCAACGAGTCCTGGATGCACGATGAGCACTTGTTGATCAGCTGCACCTATTCCATTTGGACATATGAAACTTTCAATTCGTAGAAGCGCGTTTTGTGTTGTTCTGCACGCGACGCTGTCGGCGAGAGCGGGCAATTCGTTGTCTCGTTCTATGACGTGCAGCGCGCCGCTGTCCGCCGCGAGCTGTCCTACCACCGAGAGCAGGATACCGAGGGCGCTGCTGCGATGAGGACGCTCGCTTTCCGGATCATGACGACGTTGCTCGGGGCGCCACGTCCCGCCCGTTCCATCTGCTGCTCCAAACGAGAACATCGCGTCTAGTCAGTTGGATGCGGTGTCTACATTCTACTGGTTCACGCTAGGGGTTCACGCTACAAAGAGGCGAGCGCAGATTCGCCGCAGATTCGCCGCATCTCCAGCCGAACACTGCCTGCTCTCGTTCCAAAGCAGCCCTTATACCAGATCCGAGCGAAGCGTATAGTGGATCATTCAAACCAAAAGTTCGACATTTGCCAAGGCTGCTCTTTTCCAGCGCGTGCATGGGTCACCCCATCAGCGAAAGCCAGCGGCGCTCACGATGGTTTCGCAGCGCGCTGACGGCACCTCTCTACGAGTTCCCAGTGCAGCGGCGTTCGCTGGCGCTCAATGAACCATCCGTTTCGCCATCGATATTCCTTGAATCCAGCAACGAAATCAGGGATTTTCTTCGAATAATCGAGCAGAGACTGCAAGAGCTGCCCCCGATCTAGTGCATGCTTGCCTTCAAGCCCGACCTCGCGTTCCGCGATTGGAGCGAGTTCGTCAACGAGTTGTCGGACGCGGTCAGGCTGCTTTTCTGCGATCTCACCGACAGGCATGCCGTTTTGACTTTCGCTCAATACCCCAAAGATGCAAATCCATAACAGTTTCTCTATCATGCGGCAGTCGAATTCCTGTTTATCTTCGAGTACCGTGCACTGGCAGCCGCAGCTGCGCACACGAGCCGCAAACGCAGCGGCCCAGGGGCCCCAGACCACCGTTCCACCGCCGTCTGCGGGCGGGTCTCCAACGCGAGGCACCGCAAAGAACACGAGTGCCTGCGTAGCGTGTTCCAGGTTGTGCTCAAGCAGAAAAGAACGTAACATGCCGTTCTGCAGAAAAACAAGGTCGCCACGACGCACTGGCGGACACTTGGCCACTACTTCCGCCAGGTCATCGTTGCGGGTGCAGACGTAAATGGGACCTTTTCTCCCGCCCTCGATGCTGTCCTGTCTTCGTAAGAGACGTACCGGAGCCAGCTCATCTCCTTTCGCGCTTGCCAGCAACGTTCCGATACGGCCAGCACCAACAACTGTAGCAAGCTCGCCCTCAAGACTTGCCCCCAGCGTCATGATACCCGGAGAGCGCTCGGTTCGGTGTCGTCGACAGCTGGGCGAATTCAAGCGAGTTCCGCCGCACAGCCAGCTAGTAGGAGCACAGCGGGTATGCTGATGTATCCAGACTCCCGCTGTCGAGCTAACGAAGCCCAGCATCCTAGTCACAAAGCGCACACCACCTTTTCCCAGCCTTCGACACAAGTCCAACAGCACGTCTTTGAACTGCGTGCGAGCCGCTCTGATGCCGAGGCGTGCACGCAGTGGGATCACGGACCGAGTCAGCGGTGCCTGATGCATCAGCGTACGCACGTGCGCAGTTTTCCTTCATGGATAAAACGTTTCCTTGGGCCAGCGTTCTCCGATTATGCGCATTTTTCTTTTCTTTTCGGGTTTTTTCAGTGCACTGTGAAGTGTCCGTCAAACCCCTGCTCCCAAGTTACATTAGCTATACACGCTGTCGCAGGTGCGCATACGAGCACGCACAGGCGCAAGGATGATAGGTTTATGACTGACATATATGGATATTATTGTAAGTGCGGATCTGACGCTTCCAGCACAGGTAGGTGCGCAAACGTAGCCGCCTGGCATGCACATCCAAGATGGGCATGGTATACAAATGGACCTTCGAGCAACCGCCGGCTTTCTGCAGCCCGCTGCGCCCTACTTTCACTGGCGCGTCGTTGCTGGCGCTGAACGGCATGATGCTGTCCGTTCGGACCCAGTGCAGACAAATGTTGTCGTGTTTCGCTACCGTGTCAAAGCGTCATTCATCTGGTTTTTCTTTGGCCGATATCTGTGCACTGGGGCTCGCTTATCGCCCCGATCCGCGACATGCATACGGTCGACGGCGTATGGTCATCGTGCAATGAGCTGCTATCCTCAGAATCCAGAGTAAGAATCGCGCTATCGGATATCCCTGGCTAACGTTTAAGACCCTGCGTCCAAAAACTGATTCTCGGAATATACGGTTCCTATCGCCATATTTGAGGTCCTGGATGGAAAAAGGCGCCACCTCGAAAAGCGCTGTGCGGGGCATCCGCACGACTGAACGCAAGATCCTGGACGAAGTAAAAGCTAAAGCTCCAGCGTTGCCTATGCATTAGGGAAGCCTTTTTGAAGAAAAACTAGCAACCATGTAGTACAGCAATCATAACGTACAACATACCTATGAAGATCCTTCATGATATCACAAAGCGACTGACACGGCGAATATGCGGAGGCGAGTATTGGTATACCTCTATCTACAATAACAAGTTTAGGCATTCGAACAGGTCGAGAGCAAGGCCCCCGCGTGCGTACTATACTGGGAGAACAAGCATGTATCGTTCACATGCGCGCCATGCACCACCGTGCAGAAGCGTTCTTCAAAAGTAAATCTTGATGAGACGAACCAGGGAATATTCCCGCCCGCCCAAATTTGCGATTTCAATCGACATCCAGAGAAGAACCCACCAGTTAACCGGAGATACCCTCAATTCCACAAATCCTAAACTTGACTTGCTTCCGGGGATCATGGTTCGTTGAAGCAATCCTCCGGATGCCGGGCCCAAAGTACGTGCCGGCGACGCTGTCGAGGCCGCCATACGCACATAGGTCTGCTTTGTATACCCTGTTGAGGGACGGATCGCTTGGTGAAGCCCGTGCATTTTCCCGTCCGCTCGAAGCCGCAATGCATCGGCTCGGCTAGCTAGGTGCGTTGTTGCCGAAGTCAGGGAGGTGCAGCGGCCCGAGCAGTCTCCTGCTACGCAGCGATCACTTCTCAGTAACAGAGGCCTGGGCTCTTCAGGACATGTGCATGTGATGGTCAGCAGTGCCTCCGAACAATGAACCAACTGTTCCGTTGCTTCCATGAACCACAGAGTCTATCGGCTCGCACCAGTCGCCGCAGTGCGCTAACGAAGATGCATACCTGCAGAAGAGGCTCCCGCTACCTTTGGTCGAGTTCTGCTCGGTCAAAGCGCGGAACTGCACTGCGCAGTCGTCGCATGTTTTCCTCATGCTCCTTCAGCGCTGCCTGTATTGACCTACGGCGCTTGTCGTCTAAAACCGCATCAATGAGACGCATTTGATGATGCCCCTCAAACAAAAGCTCTGGTTGGTCCGTGACAGGATCACCAGACAGGCCGCCGGTAGTCCCGAGAAAAACCCGGCGGCCCCGTCCAAAGTCCCAGCAAGGTACGCGCACAGACCAACGCGGTGTCGGTGTTAGTTGTAAGCGGAAGTATGGGAAATCGCACAGCTCAACACCGAAAGCGACCTCTGACGAGCCGTCTATCCTGGATACGCAGCTCAGCACCGCGTTGAAGAGCGAGTAGTACCGCAGTTTTCCCTCTGCGATGAAAGCCGGCGACGGGTGCAGCTCAAACTTGAGCGTTGGGCCCTCCCGAACCGACATGACAGGCCTGCTTTTCTCAGTGACCTCTCTAAGCGCTTCAAGTGGACGCAACGTCTGCGTCGTTGCACAACAGAACAAGTGGCGAAACGGCGGCTACTGCAGCGGTCCATTCCGAACTGCAATTACTTCAACGCATAGCAGACTAGAATGGAACGGGTCCGCTTAGGTGACCCGGGCGACGACATTTTAGACCTATGCGAGAATAAAATGGAAAGATGTCAGCTTCATGAATTCTGGTGTTTACGCGAACCCATAGGCCTGCTACCAGGATGATGAACACCGGCCGGTTGGCGCTCTTTCTGTCAATGCTTTCTGGTCTCCTGCATCGTATCTCCGATACGAAATACGCTGGACTGCCGTCTCTCGCAAGTTACGCTGCCAGCAGTCGACGGGTATTCGTGGCGGCACGGGAGTCCCGATTTCGCTGCATGGGGCGGTTGTCAACGCTTTTCATCCAGAGTCGGAAGTTGCAATCAGCGTTTCTCTTGCCATTGGCATATTCCTTGGACACATCCCCGGTACGCCATCCGCAGCGTCGGCACTCGGCTGGCGTCAGACGTTCGGTGGAGTCCGCCAGAACGCCCCCTTCGATGGCCATCCTGTGGCTCGTCCACGCTTCCCTCAGCGTCCGGTACGTGCACTGGACGGGTACAGAAGGCTCTGCTCGATACCCAGTTCCGTTGACACAACCGGTGCCGCATCCTCTGATCACGCGCTCCTTCCACGCGATCCCGACGGTGAGTACCCTGCCTGCTGCGTGAAACAGAGGATCTGTGGAACGCGGTGTTGTCTGTGGTGAAACAAGTACCAGAAGGACTATCCAGACTGGAGACGAAACCGAAAAGCTTCGCTGCGTCTATGCTCCCGCTGTACAAGCCGGTGACGCACGCTCCACACTGACACCGGTCGCTCCGACGACTACAGCCCGAGCCCAGGACCCGTTTCCATGCAAACGCAAGTGGCTGAGGCCCCTGGAAGCGCACCCCGCGAGCAGCCCCATGCTGGTGTGGAATGGCGTTCCATCTGTGGCCGCACTGAGCGTGTGGAGGATTCGTCCTTCCAATGGATTCGGTTCATTGGCGTTACAAGTGCAGTGAACATGCGGCATGAGCTTGTGGAGCATCCGTCATGCGACGGCGTTGCGTTCGTTTTCTTCGCATGGCTCCAGCGGCACTACTCTGGGGCGCCCGCGAGGTCTCTCGGGATCGAAAGATCGAAAAGCTCAAGAACGGGTGATTCGCGCACGCTACGGGCAAGCGGGGTAGAGGCATCGAGGCGTGCACGTATGGACTGGGTGATGGCATCGAAGGCTGATTCTGGGGAACGTTCACCGGCTGGGTTTCGAATGATGTTGATTCTGGTGACGTAACGAAACCGGCGGTGGCGATGCGTCGAATGAGCCACACGGACACGGCATCAGAGAACTCTGAGACTACCTAGGAACGGGAGAGCCCTCATTGCTGTACTGGAATGTCGAGGCTGGGCATCTAGAAAGAGTCTCCGAACAAAACGTAAGGCTGGAGCAGAGCGTGCAGTTCAGCGTTCCACGCGAATCTGACGCAAGTGTTTTTGCGGCCTTCTTCTGTGCGTTCGCTTGCATTATCCCTTGCGCCAAGACGATAGCGACTGTTGCAACGAATCCAAATATTTTTTCGATCGTCGAGTTGGCAACGAAATGCAGATCATAAGTGCCTACCAAAGCACCCTGCTGTAGAGCATGGAGTCTGCTGGATCGTGGACAGCGTCGAATCCAAGTCTGGCACTTGAGCAGCGCAGCATACGGACGGTGTTCGTTGGACACTGTCAAGAATTCACGTCCTGGGTATCGCAGCAAGATCAACCGCGCGTGTTTAGTTCAAACCCAAGAAAAGATGGGTCACTCGGTAAGCGATTCACGTCCTGTCATAATCGGAAGGCGCAGCTGCCGTGCTCGTCCCTTGTACCTGTTTGACTGGTGCCGAGGGTTCGCATTCATGAACGCCTAACAAGGCTTCCAAAGGATTGCTGCAGGCCTCGTGGGTATCGGTGCTTGACTGAGAGCATACGGGCTCCGTATCGAGTATTGTCTAGATGTTGAAGATTCGTGCACGTTCGGCACCAGAATCGTCCGATGTTTTTGGTTCGCATTGTACAGAAAACAGCATACGTGGCATGGATACAGCCTAATTTGATGTTATCTGGTGCTCCAGTCGGCATGTCGTCTCTGTATCATCCGGCACAAGTCGAATTACTGAAGCAGGTTACCCGGCAGCATGCTCTGTCACGGTTTCCGGTATCGCAACGTTCCCCGCAGTTTCTCTCGCGTCTGACGCACGCCCGGCACCAGGTTTTCAAGCATTTCAGTGCATATATGTGTATGTATGTATGTATGTGTGAAGGCCTCTCGGTCAACGCATGGGCCTGCATATGGATCAGAGCGCTTCACCGAATGATCTGCCATGGGCACGAAACCCAAGGCATTTTTGGTCTGTGGCACCCAGCTCAGACCAGAATATCACTGGGGCACTTATGAACGCGATGTGTGGTTTCATTGCCCGTGCCACTGGCTGCTCCAGAGTGCGTTCCGCAAATACGCTTTGTCCATCATCATTCGACAGTCTATTTGAAGACATCTCTCGTATAACTGCTGCCACAGGTGCGGTGGCTCGCGTCGTCATCATGCGCTCCCGAGGCACAAGTTTCGCCTCAGGACGCCTCGACGCAACCTGAAAAACGCTTACTGAGCATCCTGCAGAGTCGCTGGATCGCCCGAGTTGTCCGCTATCCAGGGGCAGCAATTTTCATGGAAAATCACCAGAGGCCTCAGCCGAGATACCATTGGCGTCTCTGGATGATTCCGTTACAGGCCAACGTGAGTCAGTAAGAGAAACCTCACACTCAGCACGGCAACACGTCGCAGGCGCGCACTAGTCGCGGTAGCCAATGACATGTTCAATGAACAATCATCCGAAAACTTCGCATCGCAAATCTCAAAGTTGTTTCAGATTTTCTGAGGTATCTACCAGCGAGCCCTGCTACCTCGTCATGCTCAGAATCGATAAGCAGCGCTTTTGTAGGCCATTCCACGTGCAAATCCAGGTCGTGCTGCCCGTTTCTGTTGTAGCCTCCTGAGCAACTGGCGCAACATGCGTCCTCTCTAACGACCAGTGACACGCTTTCTGGACGACCTTTGCGCCAAAAACCTCATACCCGGTGTTCTACAAAACAACCCCGACACTAGTATACGAACAGAAGCGCCTGCAACCCCGCTAGGCTCGCAGTATGCATACTAGCAAACATTGTTGCCAGTGATCGATGAGTATTGGAGCATACGGGAGCGCCCCTACATTCAGTTGCAGGAGCCTCGATACCATCCATGGTAGCATGCGCGGGAATCGCGAGAAGCAGCACAGTGTTCCGTGGCTTGCCTGCATCGCCCGTGAGCGTTCTTCTGCAGGTGCTGCATCCTACCGGCACCTCTGGAATTATACTGTTTTGGCTCCAGAAGCGCTGCAGCGATGCGTCCCGCAGCGACAAGACCATTTCAGAGCGTGCTCAGTTCAACGAGGAGTGCATTAAACATGAGCGTCTCATCAGTCCACAGTGAAGATCCCGGTCTCCGTCGAGGATTCGTGCAAGCCGCGATGCGGTACTATGGACTGCCTCGCGCGATCTACGCCCAGCACGGGACCTCGTTGCTTTTTTGGAAATCGTGGACGTAAGAGGATTGTGTCAGGGATTCGAAACAAAGCCGTTCCGGGACCGAGAGATTTGCAACGTTCCAAGCGCTGCAACTGGTGGATGTCACAAGCCTAGTGCACCGCAGACGCCACGCACCGTCGATGCTGTCGCTCCGAGCATCGCTGGCAAGTCATACAAGGAGCGACTCATCAGGATTCCATGGCCGTTCGTCACGTACGATACAACCATGCGATGCAGCGTCAGACCAGATGAAAAAGTGGTCACTGAGCCCACCGTCCGTATCGAGTCGCTCGCAGATACACCAGCAACACACAGCGGATCCGTCTGCATCCGGGCCGATATGAGCCCAGAGCATGCTCCATGGCGTGAGCAAACCATTGAGGCACGCCGGATACCGCCCAGTTCACAGCACAGATGCGTCGCCTCAGGGGGCTTATCAGCTTTGGTCTCAAAGCACTGCATCATCCTTTCAGCGTCGAATCGTTGGCTTGTCATCTTTGATGCCAGTGGACACTAGGCCATGCCTGTGCACCACAGCTAGCTTTTAATTATCTGCCATTCGGTATTCTTCAAGTTCCCGGTCGAGTTCCTCAGCACTCTTTGATGGAGCTTCCTGTCCACGAGGGCGCGTTGGTCGCCGCATTCGACGACGCCCACGTGCCTTCGTGGTGCGTTTCGCAGTTGAATCGTGTTTCTCGGACTCGAAACCCGGGGTCGCTGTCGACTCAGTCTCCATTTGCTGACCATCGCCAGCTGCCTGCATTCGAAGTCTGCGTCGACGCCGTGCTCTGCGACGCTCCATCGTTTGGGTGCTCTCGAGCACACGAACAACGTCCCGCACACCGCCCTTGCCGGCGACAATGCGCAGTCCGCCAACCGCCTCAGCAGTAGGTTTTGGCACCGGCGGAAGGCGCGCGCCCCGTTCCTTGAGCCGAAGCTTCCGTTTGGGTGTCATAGACGGTGGAACAGCCGACCTCTGCGTTTGAGGGTGCGCCCCGGACGTATTCAGCGCAGCCGCGGCACCCGAGCTTTCGATCTGCACCACAAGCGGCTGCCCGTCCAGCGTCAGCGAGTGAAACTGTTTCACCGCGCGCTCTGCTGTTTCCATATCCGCGTACTTGACAGTTGCGACGCCCTTGCTCTTACCCTCACGATCATGGCGAATGAACGCGGTAATAGTTGGACCAACCGAGTTAAAAAGGTCGGCAATATCTTGAGAAGTCACCGACGGGGCCAGGTTGCTCACGGAAACAACAACAGCTTTCGAGCCGGGTCGCTGACCGGCCTGAACAACCCTGCGACGCCTTTGGGCTTTTCGAATTCTCCCCTGGGCGACCGCCTTGGGAACTCGCGCTGTGTGATCAACTTGCATACGTTAAGCAGAACGGTAAGCGCGCTCTGTGGCGTGTGGAAACAGCAAGGAGATGAAAGCTGCTCTGTGTAGCGCAAGAAAGCGTCGTTCAACGGTAACGTTCGCGCTAAACTCAGCGGCAACACGCCGGCGTGCCGCGCACTCCGGAACGCTGGGATTCATTTTTTTTTGAATGCGCGGGGCAGGGAGCATCCACGAAGCTGTATCCTGATGGATCCGTATGAGCGGGTGTTTGTGGAACTTGCTCGCCGTGGGGCGTATGGATGCTTTGGAACGTACCCCAGTGCAGCATATCTCTGTGTCTGTGTCACGTCCGTGACTAGGAGCATCCACGAAGCTGTATCCTGATGGATCCGTATAAGCGGGTGTTTGTGGAACTTGCTTGCCGTGGGGCGTATGGATGCTTTGGAACGTACCCCAGTGCGGCATATCTCTGTGTCTTTGTCACATCCGTGACTGGGAGCATCCACGAAGCTGTATCCTGATGGATCCGTATGAGCGGGTGTTTGTGGAACTTGCTCGCCGTGGGGCGTATGGATGCTTTGGAACGTACCCCAGTGCGGCATATCTCTGTGTCTGTGTCACGTCCGTGACTGGGAGCATCCACGAAGCTGTATCCTGATGGATCCGTATAAGCGGGTGTTTGTGGAACTTGCTTGCCGTGGGGCGTATGGATGCTTTGGAACGTACCCCAGTGCGGCATATCTCTGTGTCTGTGTCACGTCCGTGACTGGGAGCATCCACGAAGCTGTATCCTGATGGATCCATATGAGCGGGTGTTTGTGGAACTTGCTCGCCGTGGGGCGTATGGATGCTTTGGAACGTACCCCAGTGCGGCATATCTCTGTGTCTTTGTCACATCCGTGACTGGGAGCATCCACGAAGCTGTATCCTGATGGATCCGTATAAGCGGGTGTTTGTGGAACTTGCTCGCCGTGGGGCGTATGGATGCTTTGGAACGTACCCCAGTGCAGCATATCTCTGTGTCTTTGTCACATCCGTGACTGGGAGCATCCACGAAGCTGTATCCTGATGGATCCGTATGAGCGGGTGTTTGTGGAACTTGCTCGCCGTGGGGCGTATGGATGCTTTGGAACGTACCCCAGTGCGGCATATCTCTGTGTCTTTGTCACATCCGTGACTGGGAGCATCCACGAAGCTGCGTCATGTTCGCGTGTGTATCGAGCGTATCGCTGAGTGTGAGGTCGTTGTACACAAACGGAATCCGCAAGTAGCCTTCACATCAGCGGGTTCTCATCTCGAAGTCATCAACACTAGAATCCGCTTCCGGTCATAAACATCCACGACGTGCATGCACTGCATCAAGTTTCTGTATTTAGATCATGTTAAAGGTAGAGTCATCTGAAGAAAGTTACCTTCCGGGGAAACCAAGTACATAGCGTATGATTCGGCAGCATGGAAGCGGTGACGCACGCTCGTCTCTTCATGAAGATGATGACGATCATTATCACCGTCGCTGTAGTGCTGGCGGTGCTCAGAGCATAGACACTGCAACATCAAGAATGTAGGCGGTAGACGCGGACTCCAGGAAAGCGCGTTTCGTTTGCTTCGACTTGGCTTCATCTTGATGCACGCGCACCAGTATGAGGCGTTTTCCACGTCTGGATTCGCGAAAGCATCGTGCGTATCAAAACTGACGATATTCAAGCTGTTAAAACGCAATGGCTCTACAACACGAATTCCACGGATGTGCGAATGCTCTAACTTAGCAGCAATACGACCTGTTGGCAACGGTGCGTCCAGCCAAGCGGCCGCGGCTGCCGAGCGACTCGACGGCGCCGCTGCGAAACGCAAGGCTACGCATCGACTTGTCGAGTCTACTAAGAGGTATGCATATGCAGGGGGCCTTTGTTGCTGCCGGGAAACCGCCTTTCAGGATTCACTTAGTGCACGAGAAGCAGCCAAAATTTTTGCACGGTGCTGGTGTGAGGTATAGCGCTCGATCAACTCGTTGGTATCGTTGGAGTCTACGGTGCACGAGTTCTGAATCGAGGACGACGAATACTGCTGCACCTACCGAGAAACTGGGGTTCATTGGCGGCACTGGGAACATGGGGTCGTCCATCATCAAAGGACTCATTGAAGTGCAAGCACTTAGCCCACAGCACATCCTGTGTAGCGGTAGGGATGCTCAGAAGCTGGAACGCTTCTCAATTGAGACCGGTTGCACCGCGATGACCGACCTTGCAACGCTCTGTGCCCAGTCGACGGCACTTTTTCTCTGTGTAAAGCCTGCTCAGTGTCAGGCAGTTCTGGAACGTATGGTAGCCGAAGCCGGCGAGAGTCTGAACGGTAAGCGTCTGATTTCGGTAGCAGCTGGGGTCCCGGTTTCGGCTCTGGAGCGACCACTGCGCGTTGAAGCCGTGGAACAGTGCCGGTGCCGGGTACTCCGCTGCATGCCAAACGTGTTGGTTCGGCACGGCCTAGGTGCTATGGCCGTATCACGGGGAACGACTGCAACGGACGAGGATGTTTCATGGGCGCTGCAGTTGCTCGGGCGCCTGGGCCTGGTTGCCGAGCTCGAGGAGTCTCTCATGGACGCCACGGTGGCTGCCGCTGGAAGCTCACCTGCATTTGCGTTTATCTTCATGGAAGCGCTGACGGATGCGGCGGTGAGAGAAGGTCTACCACGCCACATCGCACGCAGTTTTGTGGCGCAGACGCTTTGTGGTGCCGCCCAGATGGCTCTTCGGGATTCAGATGCTCACTTTGGAGAACTGCGTAACCGTGTCGAGTCACCGGGTGGCACCACAATCGCTGGCTCATGTGCATTGGAGGAGAACGGATTCCGCAAGGCCGTGATTGCCGCAGCAGCCGCTGCAGCTGCCAAGTCTCGCGCGTTCGCGGACCGCTTCTCCGCGTGATCCACAGGGCGCCGTGTACGTATCGTGGACGAAAACCTTGCACACGCGCACTAGAGCCCCCTTCAGAGCGCGAGCCGCGTGCAAAGTCGCCGGCGTGGCGATGCCCTAGCACTGAAGTCCGATACACAACGAGGGACGGGCGCTCACCAGACAAACAGATAGCCAATGGTACATGCTTCGACACTGGACTTGAAGCACTGGACGCGATGCGTCTGCTTCTTTCATGCGTTTGCGAGACACGCACATCCGCACCTGTCTGTGAGCACAGAGACATCTTGCATGCAACAGCTGGAAGCTGCCGTCACCGGGGCTCATGAATGGCTCTGCTCCACTGCCTTGATGTGAAGGTGCGACGACGAGTGAAGCACGCTTGTGGAATGGACGTGCGGTTGTTCTGCTCCCATGAGCGTCTCAAGGAATCAGCGGTAGCCGAGTCGCCTGAATGGCCACCGTTTGCGCACTTCGGGGCTGTTCGCCACGAATGTCTGCAGTCGATGATCGCAACGGTGCGCTTACGAATACGTATGCGTATCCCGAAACCACATGCCCTTTGCTCCAAGCTTCGAGAAACATGCAGGTATCGAACACATGATTTCCTCGGTCATTCCGGGGCAATGCGAGGGCGATGTATGTATCAATGCCCCAAATCGATGCTTTCATCGACGGAGACGGTGGCACGAACGACCAAAAAATCCTAAACAAAGACGCCACGGATCGCTCGATGACCTCGATGACGACTGGCAAGGCGAGACGCCTCAATGTTGTGCAGGCAACATGCCTGGGCTTCATCAGACGATGCGTCACCCAGGCTGCGTCCGTGTTCAGCAACATGGCGTCCATACCGAGTTCTTTTCCAGGTGAACAGGATCCGGCACTTTCAATCCGTCCGTTCAAGTTATGCACATGTGTACGCGGGATCTCTGAATTGCAAACAGGTCGCGGTAAGCGCTGCACCAGTACTTGCAGTGTGACGTCGAGCATCGTTTACGCATTTCCCCGTGCATGCTTGCTGATTCATCTCCTCTGACGAACCAATGAATGAATGAATGCTTCTTTTTGAATCGATCATCATCGTCGTCGTCATCGATTGCAGCGAGCGAATGACCAGCGAGGTCGTTCAGGGTAGCACTGAACGAGCAGCTGCGAATCCAGCAGCATTGGCGCACTTTCGTCATCAACGACACCTGTTATGATCGCGGCACTTTGGTAACTGTCGAAGGATGCATACCAGAGGCAAGCGCCTCCGACGATGCCGTACCCGTGACCGGCGCATTCTCCTCATAAATAGAGAGCGCTATGTTGTCAATCAAACGCGCTGAGCCGACGATAACGGCTGTTGATAGAATGGCTACCAGAAGCGTTTGCGGTAACAAAGTATCTGCCTGCAGATCCGGTGGCTGTGGCTCCAACGGATAGCCTCCACCGAGATCCCGCCATTCCTCTGCATCGGAGAGGCCAATGTACTGGACACAAACCGCTGACTCTGCCTTCAGCACATCTAAAGCGGCCGTAGCTGCCTCCCAAAGAGCTCCATAGGTTAGCGGTTGCCGCTGCTGCAAACGCCGCTTTCGATACTCCGTCCACAGGGCCTGACCCGCGCTCAGTGCTCGATACACGACCGCTGCTGTGGCCTGTTCCGCATCCGTTAGGTACTTGTTTCGACTGCTCATAGCGAGCCCGCTGGGTTCTCGGCAAGTCGGTCCGATCCTAATGGAAACCGTCATATTCAAATCCTGCACCATTTGTCGCACGACACAGCACTGCTGGGCGTCCTTGGCCCCGAACCATGCGTCGTCCGGTTGCACGATATGTAGCAGTTTACAAACAACGGTGGCAACGCCCAGAAAGAACGTCGGTCGAAAAGCGGCCTCACTACGCGGATGTTGACTAGGCCGCCCCGCAGGGACGTCGATCACTGTTTGTTCTGCAGACCCCCGGGGGTAGAGTTCCGCACTGTGCAGCGGAGCGAAGACTGCGTCCACCCCTAGCTTTTCGCAACGGGCAAGGTCCGCCTGCTCTGTGCGCGGGTACCGGTCCAGATCTTCACCAGCGGCAAACTGTAGAGGATTCACGAAAATCGTGACAAACGTAAAAGTACCCGATGATTTGGCAGCGTTGATCAGGGACTCGTGTCCCTCGTGGAGCGCACCCATGGTCATCACAACTGCAACGCGTGGTGCACTGTTGCGGTTTCGTTGGAGGTCATTTCGAAGCGCTCGCACCTCATGAACAGTGCGTAACACACGCATGATGGGAAACACGCTCGCTCCTAATGCGTTCCGTTCTGGAAGTGGAACTCTGCGACACGCTGGAGCCTGAACGCTACCAGGCTGTACGCTCGAGCGTCAGCAGCTGCACGTGCAGCGCCAAGAACGTCGCGTTACCCGGCAACCTAGACCAGGTCACTGTCGTTTCCAATGGAGCACGCCAAGCTCAATTGTCACTTTCTTGACTCTTGAACACACATGCATACACTCGAACAGTGCAAGCGTCAAAAGTTCAGCGTCTCGAACGCAGCCGCATCGAGAAACGGGACCATTGCCCGCCACAAGGCCGCCATTCGCCGAATACACAACTTGTCATTCTGGTGAAGCGTCACCTCCTCTGAAACCATATGTTTGAACCACCGGCATACATTCCTGTGACTGCTGCTCGATCTGACTTATTTCGCAGCCCGCTTGTCAAGTCCGGTGCTTCTGCTTGTGGCACAGGACGGTTATACGTTGCCAGAGCGACCAGTAGCCTGAGGAGTTCAGGGCACCGGGCGCGCGTTCGACCACTGCATTGTTCCTCGGGACTGAGGATGCTTCTGCGGGGGTTTCCCAACCCCGGAGCTTTCAACTCCGACGGAAAACGGCGAATTATTGAAGAACTTGTGCAGTTTCCCACAGAATTTGAGTTCAAAGTTGTTGGCCTGCGGCAGGGCGACTTTACCGATGACGTCGTGGGACTCGTTGCCGGTGCGCTGCAGCGCGCAGAAAACCTCGACGTTCGCAACACCACCAGCCGAGACGACCGCGTACGAATCACCAAGGTGAGAGATCGAGGCAAGTACCGCTCACTAACGATTGTTGCGTTCTGTGAGACCGGTGCTCAGGTATACAGCGTGTACGAGGCTTTAGAGCGCGACCCGCGAGTCCTGTTCAAATTCTGAGCCATGTCCCTGGATGTGTGTACGTATGCTTGTTTGTGGCGCGCTTCCCGTGCTGCAACTCAGAAAGTTGCCAGAAGGCTTCGTGCAACCGAGTAACTTGCCAGATATGGTTGCGGCGAGCACAAGTGCGCTTATCTCGGAACGCTTATGGATGCATAGCTCTGTCACCAGCGCTCGTATTGCCGACCATGCGAAACCTCCAACCCAATGATATGCACGCGCTAGGACCGCAAAGAAAGACAGTCGATTGCGAGCATCAAAACAGATTCGATGGATGTTTTGCGGGAAGTATGTGCCATGGAAGAAGAGCGTTGCGTGCTTTTTCCCTGAGAATACGAATGACGGATGGCGGAGCAGCGCTATCGTTTCGTCGACGGCAGTTCCGTGGCTGTGGTGATGACGAAACGCTCCCGCATGCCGCCGGCAATATCGGCCGCTTTCAAGAGCGCTTCGAAAGATGCAAGCTGTTCAAGAGAGAGGCCATAGCAGCACGAAAGACATGCACTCCCTGGAAACCGGGCAGCAGGGCATTCGGGTTGATGATGTGCAATGAACATGTGCCCTAGGAACGGCAGCATCGCACTGGTACTTGCAAACAACGCAGTAAAGCATTTGCGGGATCGTCATCAACCTTTGGTTCGGCGAGTTTGCCACCCAGCAAGCAGGGAGCATCCCCGCATCAAATCGTTCGCGTGAAAGTCGTGGCATCGATCGACATGATATGTGTGTGTGTGTGAGCGTCATTGCAACACCGTGCCGCTTCTAGATCTGAAACGAGGCCTGGTGCTGGCAAATGCCGTTCTCGGAGTGGAAGCGTCGGCACCGCTTCGAATAGGCCTCATGACGACACGTACCAGAGCACTCAGTAGGTTATGTCTCGGATCAAAACCGGTAAACGATGCACACGAGAGAAAACTCGGACAAAGTCGCTCAAGGACACATTCAGCTTGAGGTCTGTTGCACCTCCACCGAGCCAAAAGCAATCATCTCGACAGCACTTGAGCCATTTCTCGAGTACTGAGGCTACGAGTATCGGCATCGGTGTGCGCATGCCCAGTGGCGTCACCGCATTATAGCCATAACCGGTGATTCGCTGGCATTGCTCTGCTGGTGCTACTTGATAGTGCACCTGGCTTCGAGGTGCAGGGCAAAGCTGGCAGAGCTCTGAGGAGCAGCGAACTGCCTGCGTTACTTTTTCAGTGTGCAGTCGAGCCGGGTACGGCAGAATGACGCAAACATATCGGGGAGCCGCTCCCGGGCCACTTGCCTCGTCATCAACGTTCGCCCGAGTATTTTCCAAGATCAATGACTTGCACAGGTGGTAGACAGTGGGTGCGGGCTCCAAGAACTGGCGCCGCTGTTCCAGCGTCCACGTGTAGTACGCTGCAGGGCAACGTCGGAAGAGGCAGCGTTCTAGTCCATATGCAGCAGCCAGTAATACGAGGCGCTGGGCAGCAACGCTTCCTTTACCAAGGACAGTTTCTACTCTGTTCAAAACCAGGGACGCTGTTTTGGCGTCTCGACCAGCGAGTGTATCTATTTTGGCTTGCAGCCGGAGCAGGGTGTCCCGCAAGTGCCCGAGACGCAGCTCCGCGCTCTCGTCAGAGACGCGGTTGGGTTCCTGCTGACCCAATGTTCCTAGATTCGCTCCAGCCTCAGCTTCAAGGGAATTATCTGCTTCCACTGAAGACATTTTCGGGCAACGTGCAAGTTTGGACCCAAACCTGGTGCGAGCTGAGCACCGTGCGGTGTGCCAGCCCAGACGGTTAGGGTAGCGTTGCCCCCATTTCCCAGTCGTGGCCCCATGGACAATGGACCAAGATCAATGAATCTCACCAGTCTACGATAAGTACGCAAATATTGTTCGTTGATGGAGGACTTCAACCTTGCCTCTACCGAAGATGCGATGAAACAAGTCCAGTTAGGGCGTTGGTCAAGGAATATATCGACCAGAACCAATACATGTCAACAGGCTGCGATCCATACGCGAAAACTCCACGTTCGTGGGGTCGGTCGACCTTGTCTCTTCCGTGGACACCTGGATGTCACGATACTTTCATAGCATGGTTTCCAGAGAGGCTCGCTCGGATCTCGGCAGACTCTCTTCGACCATCCGGTTACTGTGGACGTGTATGACACAAAAATACCGCTTCGAGTTTATGAGGACGCTGCCCGAGCACCTATCGATAGGAAACATGCAACCCTGACGCTTCCGCTGAAGCGAGCACGAAGCGCGGGACCCGTTAGACGACAGGTCCGAGTCAATAGCTCGCTGGCTGCTATGCCTGCAAAGCGCTCTCGCCACACCAGAGCAGCCCATGGTCAACGATATCCGGGCGCGGACTTCGTGCCTGTACACGGGTCGTCATGAAGAACGGGTACGCTTTCGCTGTACCAGGGGAATATGCGACTCGAGAACGTCTCTACGTACAATGGCTCTGTTCGATGTGACAGCCGCGGGCAGACTGCCGCTCAACCGGCATTCGGTCTCGACGTTTCAATACTTCGAAAGTGACCAGCAGGAGCCAAGTTCTACGCTCTGTGTCGGTATCCGAGATGCGTCTGTCAGGGTCTGTCGGTATACGTCCACGTCCGCGGCGCATACACAACATCGAGTCTGTCCGGCACTGCCGCAGCGTACGCACTAGTCGACTGGAGCGCGCGCTCTACAACACGTTTCAGCGGGGCTTCCTCAGGTTCTTTACAAAACATACGATCCTGTCCGGGGGACGTTCCCCATACGATAACAGACCATGAAAACACTCGTTTTCGGTCCAGTGCCTCCATTGTGACGGCAAATGGCACTCATCCCCGACGTCCCTGATAAGGCCCTCTCCTGTACCTGCATGGAACAGCAGGTGTCGTTCCATGTTGCAGCGAGGTGCATCTGCAAAAGCGCCCAGTTCGAACACCTTCATCGATGCTCGCGAGGACGCTTGCAAATCTTTTCATCGCTTCGTCAGCGCTGTGGATGCAGAGCTCTGAACTCAGACAAGCGCGTCATACCGCGGTGATCGACGGAAAGTGCCTGCCAGCGCGACCGGGTCTGCGCTCCAGGCTCGACTTCAGGCCGGGGATGCTTTTTGCTCGGCCTGTTGGACCTGGCGCCTCTCCATAGCACTGTGTATTCGGGTCCTTGCGCGATACCATACCATGTCGGGCATGAGCGCAAGCACGAGCAACAGTCGCCATATGGGAGCCATCGGCGGATGCGCTGCTCTCGTACCGGGCGAGGTATACGGTATACCACCAGACGCAGCGTCCTCAGCAACGGCTCCGGAAGCGACTCCATTTCCAGTTCTGTTCGGCGTCACCATTTTCGCAGACGCCTTGGTTCGCTCGTGATTTGAATCCCGCTGACGCCAAGCACATGCTCGCAACAGCAGCAATGTGCAGAGTCGATTCACAAACGGATGATGGTGGGCATCGTAGGCGAGTGCTACCGTGGTGAACGCCGCAGTGAATCCGTCAAGTACGGACAGTTTCTTACGCCATGGATTCGAGTCGATCCGCCCGATGTACAAGGCAAAGAGGAGCAAGTAGATGACGACGCGTCCGATAACCCACCAGATACCGCTGGCGAGGATCCAGGCCGACTCGCCAATATCCGTGAGGATAAACGCAAATACTCGCCGGCGGTATAATTGTGTCGCTACCATTCGGTTCAACATCCAGTAGCCCAGGGTGTTCTTCGTGATCGAAATGACACCCGTCGCGAGCCAGGTAAGCGCAATACCGAGTGCAATGACGCGCGAGCGACTCCAGGTGAGCAGGAAGAGCGAGCCCCCGATCACAATGGCCGTGAGCGCGAAACCCCAGAGCGTGCACCACGCCGACATGCCCACCACGAAGCTCACTCGATGCAACTTGTTTTTGTTGACCATGAATTCGCGGTCGACCAGGGAGTAACGACCGGACCGATACGCATGGTTCAGCTTGCGGTAATTCCCCGGCATCATGAAGCTCTCCGCCAGCGTCACCACGAGGCCAGCAACCGCACCAACCGAGAACGACACATAGACGACCCAGGGTGTCGGTGAGATGCGTGTGCCGCGTACCACCCAGCCGACATTCACAATGAAAGTCGCAAACCAAATGAGACCGGCAAACGAAGCGCAACTCAGAATGACCTGAAGAATTTGAGCAATCTGGATGCGAGCAGGAACCACTATACCCTCCTTTTCCAGTAAGCGACCGGTCCAAATTAAACGGTTCGACTCGCATGCGTAGAGAAACTTGCGCTTCGCATATTGCAAAAAGTTTTCACGCGGTTGACCTAACTCGACAAAAACGGATAGATCACCGAGATCTTCAGCCCGACGCATCTTCTCATGCAAGCTGATCGCTTCACGCATGAGCATGAGCGTCTTGCGTCGTCCCCAGGGGAGAAGTTGCTCGGATACCCGCTGGAAACGAGGCCTCCGGATCCACCTCGAACTCGAGCGAAACCATGGAATTCGGGTCCGAAACAACGCCGATTGGACCATAGCCAGATATGCCTGATAGAATAGACAGATGCCCCCGAATATTGTGGTAACAATCATCAGCGCCGAATAGGGTCCCGAACGCAGGTCCGTACGCAGCCGCGAAAACTCGGAACTGCCCCAGTTGATGCGCACCAGGAACCAGGTGACGAAAAAAGGCACAAACGTAGAAACTATCGTTACCCAAGCGGAGATTAGCGCGGACATGGGCGTCGACAGGCGGCAGTTCACCATGTTCAGCGGTACCAGAATGATGAGGCCCACGATCACACTGAGCAACAGCGTCATGATCCACGAATAACCGACTCGTGCCATGACACAGACCGTTGAGCTACATTTCCACGCCAGGTCGACCACGTACAACAGCGCAATCCCGTACGTTACAACTGTTAGAATAAAGAAAAGAAAGACGAGCATGGTGTAGCTCAGGGAGCGCGCATCGTCCAGCACCATGTCGAGGACCTTCTGAGAGTCACGAACCATGCGCATACCCACATCCACGACTCGCTGGGCTTGCTTCCGGAGCTGCTTCGAGGTCGTCTGCGCGAAGCTCTTGCCACGGCTGCGCAGTCGATGCTCGTCGTTGTCGCTTTTCCGGTGCTGGGGTGTCGACGCGCCGCTTGAGACTGTCGAGCTCGGCTCTGGAGTCAGGGTCGATGCTTCGGGTGTCGGCTCCGCAGTTTCCGCATCGTGACACCCGCTATGAAAGTCTGTCATGGTGAGCAGCGTCTCTTCGCCGGGTACCAGCGCAACCGAGCCTCCGCTTTCGGCCACTTCGCGGATGATAGCCAGTTCTGATATGGGGATATCGCGTTCGAGTTCCACCCCGGTGAAAGCTTCAAAGGCTGCGTCGCAATCATCAAAGTACGTCGCAGTTCCGACACCATCGCTCTCAGTGACGTAGAAACCGTCGGCTCCGCCTCGGCCGCCGTGAATGCTCGCCAGCTCAAAATAGTCTGCCACAAGCAGAGAACGAAATGTATCCAAGTCGCACTTGTCCGAGCCGATCTCTGCAAAAAGCAGGCCCACGAGTGGTATGAGGCTTTTCTCTCCAACACGGTACATGTAGGCGCGAAGCCGCTCTGGTGTGAGGACGGCATCCTCGTCGCCGCCCGCGAGTGCCTCGAACGCCAGTCGGATAGCGACATCAGGCACTTCGAGATCGTCGTTGATATCAAAGGTGTGCTCGATAGAGACACGGTTACGCATTCCGGAGGCGGCTGCTTGCATTCGTGAATGCCACAGAGAGCATCGCCATAGTTCGGGCCCGAATAGTTCCGCGGCAATCTCTGCCAAGTCGAGCTCGGGGTTCGTGGGTGGCATGGTCTCCGGTTCCGGGTGGCCAGTGCGCTCACCAGCGCACGCGTCGCCCTTGTTCGTCTGAGGAGCCGCCTCTTCGTCCTCAATCCTGCTACTCGCAACTGGGGATTGTGCACGCTGCGTAACCACGGTTGTGTCTAGAATCAGGGTTGAGTCGTGATTTGGCGGTGTTGTAGCGGCAGCTTGATCGCGCCAGGCTTCGAAACTGCGTTCAGACTCGAGGAGCTGGCAACGTTTTACCAGTTCAAACAGCGCCTCTGTGTCCGCAAACCGTAACAGATTTTCCTCTTCTTGATGCTGCTTTTCCAGTGCGAACGCTTTTATTCGGTAACGGCTTCGAAGAAACCATGAGACGTCCTGCTCTGTGACGATACCGTCGTGTCGCTCCGAGGACTGCGTTGTTCGCATCAACGCTGCAGCATACAGTAGTTCTGCCAACGCTTGCTTGTAGCCGGTGGGCAGCTGGAAGTGCATCGGCGTACCGACGATGCGGAATAACCTCTGCCGCTCCGGAGGCGGGGCATCCGCAACGACCTTCGCTGACGGCTCGCCGTGCGAACGGTGCCAATGAAATGACATGGCCTGCGAAGCCACTGTAGTTGCACTGCGACGAATCGAAGAGGTGAGCCAGCTTGTCACACGCCGATGTGAAGCCGCTTCCGAGCTCTTTCCACTCGAACTTGCGGTTTCCACTTGGTCTGGCATGATGACGTATACGGTGAGCAGCGCACACCGGGAACAAAAACTACAGATCGATCGCGTACTGGTGGAAAAGAACGCATCACTCGCAACGTGTCCATTCAATACCAGAATTGTACAGATATATTCAGAAAAATTCGAAATTGTGTCCGTTCATCTTGCGCGCAGCGCAGCCGCTTCTTTTCCACAGCAGCGGCTACGGTCGCGCACCCCACGCTCCGGATGCGCCTACACGGTGTTTGGCGAAACGGTGATCCGAGGCCATCGATCCTCGCCCGAATTCCAAGTTCCATCATCCATGCTGCTTCTCGGATATACTGATTACCTTATGGGTTCTATCCTTCGCCGAGTGCCTGCCTTGCTGCATCCGTGATAGCGCGTATGCCGCTGGTGCGGATGCATGACGGAGACTGTACGGCTTTGCCGTACCGCTGAGGGCGTCGACTCGAGGTGGGATTCCCCTCACACGGGGTCGGGATTCATGATCATGCTGGGAGCCTGCGGCAGTGCAAAGCGATATCCTAGAAGGCTACCACGATCAGGGCGGCGCCTAGACGCAGCATACCCGCTGCAAGTCTCAGAATCGGCTGCGTTACGGACAGGCTGCTCAGATCGCACTACAGCACCCGCTACCAAATGGGAACGTGAAGCACTGGCGTGGCAGGCTCGTCCGGCTCACGGGACCGCACCCCTTGAAGGTAAACTTTCGAAAATAGGGGAAGCGTTTCCCATTTTCTAACGTTTACCATGCGGGTCGAACGAACTTGTTATATCGTTACTAGTAAGTTCTTAGTTTGTGGTCTTTGTTCTATATAGTGCGGTCGAGATGCGCACCTGCATTTCTGGTAGGCGTGAGATACGACGCGCATCTCGCCGTTGAAGGGGAACGCGATCCTGACCGTTAGCGTGCCGCTCTAACTTACAAGTTGGATCGACGTTGAAGTGATTGCAAAGCATAGGCTTTCAATTCAATTGTATTTCAACCCTCAAGTGAGTGTATTCAAGTGCTTCTTCGCGGTTTATAGCAGACGCGTTCAAAGCGCGTTCGTTTTCGAATGTGAAAAAGAAAAGGTATAGACATGCAAGTCGAGGATTCTGGAGGCCCGATGTCGCCGGATTCGACAGCAAAAAACGAGAAAAAACCCGCATCTCGCCTGCTGCCGGACGAAGGAGAGCATGTGACGTAGTAAAAAGAAGAAGGTAGATAGAAGAGAAAAGATGTTGCGTCGACGGGACGATGACGAGAGTGTAGTGGCACAGAGGGCACGCAGTTCAGGAACCCTTGCAATCGTGAGTTCCACCAGAGGCAATGAATGCATGGAGCTCGTGACCCAAGACTTTAACGCCGCCATCCAGACCAGACGAAATGTGGTGCTGAAGACGAGATCCGAGACGCTGAAGCGAGCCAGCTTCCTGGGAGCATCCTTCTGGGGTCGAAGTGTGCATGCAGAAATTGAAACTGATAGCAGGTCACGGGTCAAAATAGGCAGAGAGGCGTCTGCGGGTGGATGCGCTTTTACCCTCCATGGCCGTGAAACGTTGTTCGTTTCGCTGAACGTGTTTGTCTGACAGAAGCCGTTTAGAATGTCCAGGGATCCCCGATTATGTGATGGATATCAGCAGTCGGGAAAGCGTTCATCGTCGCACCTATATCCAAGTTCCTTTATCTCGATGTGGGTGATCTGCGCTGCTGCGGCTGTAGCTGGCAATCCAGCCGCAATCTATGGATTCGCGTGATGCATTCTGACTGGGCATGTTGGCATTGTCACGAGGTCCAGCGCATAGAGCGTGTAAATGCGAATACAATGATCAAGTACGGACTGCCATTGGTGCAGAATTGTCTGGGGTAGAGATCGGTCTAGGTATTGTACATGGAGCAGGTAAACAGCGACCCAAGGATCAAGTATGAATTGGAACTCTTTACGGAAATGTCTGGGAGGAACTCCGTGACTCCTTTGCACTGTGGCTCTCTATCTCTCCAAGATTCAGGCCTTCGGAATGAAGGCATGCGTAAGGTGCTCGATTCTGTTCGGCTTCTCGGTCAGCGAGGAGAAGGTCTTACGACAAAGGCATCGCGATAGAGCCGCCTCTCGAGATGCGATTACCCAGCCTCATGGGGACAAAGACCGCGGCCGTAGACGCTAGCCCTCCGTGTGATCCGCTCTAGCACGAACGGTTTGCAGTCCAAATCAACGATCGTATGATCGATCACAAAGCCTTGCTCGTCAATTCGGATGAGAATGGAACAGTCGTTCGCAATGCACGCCAAGTTGTACAGTGCGTAAAACTGATCAGACCCGGGCTCCGATGCAGCGCTCAGTTCGATATGCGACCAGATGATCGACTGATTCTGGACAAGCCAGATCGCTGCTCGTCTGTCAAGAGTCTTGCCCACGAACCAGCTTAGGCGCTCATCACGACTCGCTCCACTGCGTAGGCGTCTACCAAACGGCGTTGAAAGCAACCGTCTTCTTTCAAGCTCGAATAAACGCTTCACAAGCGCATGGTCACACGAGTGAAGTTGCTGAACGCGATGCACTCTGGCAAGCGCGGGCGATGTCTGGATAACGCGCGCCATCCAGTCCACTAGACTCGATCCGGCTCGAAAGCGCTGCATCGCTTCAGAGAGGCATTGCTCTCCGTGCAACCAGTGCAGGCGGAGGAGTTTTCGCAGCTGTTGCGGGCCTTCGAGAAGTGAGCGCAGCGCGCTGCGGCAGAGGTCCAGATCATTTGCAAAGAGATCGCAGGCGCGATAGGAGAGACGCTCAAAGCTACCGCACCTCTTCGGTTTGATTTCGATAGTGAGAAAAGGAACTCGTTCGGCACCGTGATCGGAGACCGCCATTGGCGTCAGCAGATTCGGCTGGTACTCAGCGAAATCGTTCACTCGTTCTCTTCGTACGGCGAACGGTTCGAAGATACGTTCAACAGCGCGTCGAAGGGGCTCTGAGTCCAGAGAACGCTCCAGCCGCAACCGCAACACCAGCCTACTGTCCCTCGGCGACGTGAGAAGCAGAGCAGATGAGCCGCGAGCAAGCACTTTCCAGAGTTGCTCTCTTCTCTCAAGGTCTGCGTGAGCTTCTTCATAAGCGTTGCTTCCACGTTTCGAACCACTCATGAGCGCGCGCCTTAATTATAGGCATACTTTTCGGCGCAAGGTGGTCCCGTTCGTTCTGGAGGCGCACTACTACTACTGCTGCTACTGCTGTTGCTATCTTTGAACGTTGTCTATTCCACTTCTAGAAGGGTGGACATGAACCTGTTCACGGCGGCTACCCTGCAGATCAACACCCCAGTCGTTGACGTCATTACCAAAGGTCGAATACGACAACGTACGGACAGTTTGGATACAGCCGCGCTGCTCGCTTGGTTGCTTGGCGGCGACGCGTTGAGCAACGCAACCGGCCCTCGATGACGTTCTGCAGCGTGTTCCAGTCTTTCAACTCAAATTGGTTCATCCCCATTGTGGGGTATAGTAGGCGGTAGGCATCACGACGCAGTATAACCATAGATTGTAGAAGAATTGCCTGTATGATCGATTCTGTACCGAACAGTGAAAGGAAGATTGCATTCCTCCTTCAGTGCTGTCATACAACAGGATTCGGATGGTTGACGGGCACTGAAAGGAAGAAGTATTTACGCTCAAGGCCAAAAACAGATGCTCTCGAAGAATGCGTGCAATCAATTGAAGAAATCGATCCGTGGATCACTTTATGGAAAGCAAAAACGACTATTGTAGCCGCAAAGGGCGCTTCTGTTTCTGAACAGCTCGTTCCAGTGATCCAGAAAACACTGGGATACAGTCTCAAAAAAATATTTTAGTCGGCGAATGGCCATCTTCCACCGATATCGCAACGACACCGCTCCTGGAACGTCGCTCTCGGTATGAATCACCGCCAACTCTGTTTGTTTCCCAGTCGATGAGACTTGCTTCGGATGAAACGAGCGGAGCTTATACGGGTATACGCGGAGCAGGGCACCCGTTACGTTTCCGATCAAGCTCGAGGAGATCGACGAAATCATCTCTTCTAGCTGTAGTGAATGCTTTTCGCGGCCTCGGTTTCTCTCGTAGAGAAGGCTCACACAGCGGCACCCTCTGCGTCGATTCATTGAGGACTTTTCCCTGACATCTGGTGACGTCCTTCTATTGGGCAACGTGACATTCCACTGTTACTCTTGCGTTCCAGCTTTTGCCAGTTCTATCGGGGAGTAGAGCTGCTTTTCATGCCTCCGAAATCTCCGTAGTTCAGCCCCTTGTAGGAGTGTTTTCGATCGAGAATAGTAATGAACGCTCCATTGGCTGAATTGCTGAGCGTTCAGCACACGGTGACAAACCGGAGCACATGTGGTTTATCTTGCAAAAAGTCGTCCTCGCTCCGGAAAGACGCTCACCCAACAGCATAAACAAGTGCGTTCATTTGAACGGTTCAAAAATCTAGGGGAAAGATATTGATATGAAATTCGAGGATCCTGGAACGCAGTCACCGGAGGTTGCCGAAAAAACGGAAAAATCCTCTTCTCATCCAGCATCGAGTGAAGAAGAACAAGTGTCGCAAGGAGGCGAAGCGGAGATATATTCGAGAAATGGTGTTTGACGGATGGGACCTTGACGAGACTTGAATGGCACGGAGGACACGAATTTGAGGAATGAGTTCAACCGGCGGCAATAATCGCACTGGGTTCTGGAATCGTATCGTATACCTCGTCCTCAATCTCAGGAAATGTGCGGAGCTGAAAAAGAGACCTGCGTAGCTGACGCGATCCAACTTCATAGGATAACCTCTCAGGCTCGTAGCGTGCCTGCATAAACTGAAACCGAGAGCAGCTCATCGCTCAAGAAAGGCTCGGAGGTGTCTGCGGGTGTGTATATATTTATCCTCCGCGGTCGTGAAACGTTGTTCGTTTTACTGATAACATATATATGCAGCGCCCAAGTTTCAAGGCATTTGCAACGAGGATGCAGGTTTCGATGGATGCGCATACAAGGCCGCGGCATCTTCGGAGATCGTGGATGGTGTACTGCCTGCTGCATGGTACAGAATCGATGAAGTTGATCCGAGTCTTGTGGATGTATGAATCATTTCCGCAGCCGAGAAGCGGGCATCGATTCCATCAAAGAAAATTCCGCATGCTGCCGATGCTGTACCCGAGTCAGATTAGAATGGAGCACTGTACTGCTCGTTATGATCAAGCCTTTTGTTTTTTGAACTAATTTGCGGGTACAGTCTTGACGTTCGAAGTGAATCAACCGGGTTGAAGGATTCATGAGTAGTTTCAGGAGTCTCGATCGTCGTTGCCGGGCAGCCGCTTAGCCGCGTGGCTGCTGGTATTCGTTACGGCACCGGGATCAAGGTGCATCGCGACGCCCACGAATTGAGGTTCGTAATATAGTCGACTCGTATACCGATGCATGCGTTCGAGCCGGCACTCTTCGCCTTTTCTAGCGTTCAGTACGCTCACGTCACGCATAGTTCGCGCCTTCGATCGTGCGGTTTCCCAGCAACAACACATGGGCGCAGCAGTTCGCGCTGCCCCACTGACGAGGAAGCGTACGCGCCGTCATCGCTTGAACGAATTGCTCAGAGGCACACACGCCGAGCATTCACTGCACTGGGCACCTGCAATACTCGATTCCACTCGAATGATGCATCGTCCATGCTTGTGCGCATCGACGCAACCGCACGCAACCGCACCCAGCAGCAGCAGCAGCAACAAAAACAACAACATAGTACATCTCACGGGATACGCTCGGGGAAGCTCCCGTCTCTTTCCTATAGACGGAAAAGGGTCGTGCACCAGGGCTCGCGTCATCGCGGCGATCATATGCCGTGGAGCGTGCGACACCGCGTTGCATGGACGCAGCTCAGCCGGATCGACTGTGTGTTTGCGTCATGGAGTTTCCTTGCTGCACGTGCTCCACCAGGGACAGCATCGCGATCCACAAATCCGCCAGTGAATGGAATAGTGTGTACGCTTGCGCGCCCAGCGGACGCGGGACTTGTTGCCCTGATCGCCCGCAGCAGGTCCGTGGTCGTAGCGTGCGATACCAGTCGCGGGAGCGTGGGGGCGTATGCAGGCGAGCACGCTGTACCCGTTCGGATCCTGGAACCAAGGGATGAAGCGAGCGCCTACTCGCCGCAGCGCAGCGCTCGGTGCCTGACATGTGGTGGACGCGCACGGGAAGCGCCTCTCGGTAGTCACGCGTGACTGCTCCTGAGCCATGCCGCCGTTGTATGCAAACCAGATGGACATGAATAACGACGCGTCGATCGCAACGACCACCTGCGCGTGAAACGCGTTGAGCACAGCCGGACTCCGCGGGATCGGGACTCGAATGGTGCCATCAGCATCCCTCGAGTGTTGATCATAGAGCCAGAGGGAACAGAGAGACCAGCGTATTGGAAATCGGCGGTAACAGAGACAGAATAAGAGCAGTCGCAGTAATAGACTCCAAAACTTTATCATGGTAACAGGGGCAAGAAACCAAAACTTGAGCATGTTTACCCAGTTGTCTCTGCGTGGACGTATTCCATTTCATTCCGACACGGGTGCAAGGCCGCCAGTCGCAGTGTAACGAGGCACACCAGCCTCGGTGCGATGCTTCCGGAGTAACGCGCTGAAGCGGTGTCGCCTCATCGGATCGCTCTGCACTTGATGGATGGCGCCACGAGGGCCACAGAAAAGCAGACGGCGCGCGGGCGAGCGCATGCACATCATGCGTGCGTGCGTGCGTGCATGCAGGACGCGACAGCACGGAGGAGGCGCCGCCGCACGGACGCACGCACGCAAGCACGCACGCGTATGGACGAAACGGCACTTCGTGCCGGCGTTGCACACCAGGCCGCGCTGCACAGGTTGTTCACAACTTGGTGGTATTTCGGGTGCTTCCGGGAACCAGCACCAGACGACGCTCTTGACGTGGGCGAGAACCAAGCGCACTGAACTCAACTAAAGCTCTAGATTTGCCTACGGTGGTAAACATACGCGTCAAGTGGGAGGCTTCAAAACCAAGCTTCGAGGCCGACACTGTTGCGGAGCGCTTCCTGTCCCGTGCGTTCCGCGTCTTCGAGTGGACCCGCTGCCTTCGAGATCCGCAACTTCGCGTAGCTGTCGTCGTTCTGACTGTAAGTGAGGATACCGGATTCGTGGCCGGACACGGACGGAGCTGCTGCTGCTGCCGCCGCTTTCTAGCAAACGACCAGCGCAACTCTTGATTAACAAAGCTGCACGGGCGTCAAGTTCGAGTCGCTGCTCAAGGCGCACGAGCTCAGAAGCTTTGCTTTTGTTTTTCAACCCGAGTAGCGAAACGTGTGACACGAGACGAGGTTCGCACACGCAATCGAGAGGCAAATCTCACGAAGCAACGAGGAGGCAAGTATCGAGCACGTGAGAACATGAAGGAGGACGGAGAAACTCGCACCCGTTTCTGGGCGTCCCAAACCGATGGTACGGGAGTTATAGCGGACGATCCCTGGCTGGAGCCCTTCCAGCACGATTTGCGATACCGTTACGCGCAGTATCTTGCCAAAAAGAAAGCCATTGAGGCAAACGAGGGCGGACTGGACAAGTTCACCCAGGGCTATCGGCTTTTCGGGTTCAACCTCACGGATGATGGGATATGGTATCGCGAATGGGCCCCAAACGCAGCTGAAGTGTTCCTTACCGGAGATTTCAATGGGTGGAACCGACGCAGCCACCCATTGAAACGAGAGGAGTTCGGTCGATGGAGCATATTTTTGCCGAATAATGAGGATGGGTCTCGTGCGATTCCACACTACACGAAGCTCAAGGTGTTGATCGTCACGCCGACTGGGATGGAACTCATGCGCAATCCGGCATGGAGCAAGTTTCTCATCCAGAACCCTGACACCTATCTCTACGACACGTTGTTTTGGAATCCGCCACCTGAATGGACGTACCACTGGCAGCACCCGACGCATGTGAAACGTCAGGATGCGCTGCGCATCTACGAATGCCATGTGGGCATGTCATCAAATGAGCCGCGAATAGGTACCTACGCGGAATTCCGGGATGTGGTGCTGCCGCGTGTCAAAAAGCTAGGCTATACTGCGATTCAGATTATGGCTATCATGGAGCACGCTTACTATGCTTCGTTCGGATACCACGTAACGAACTTTTTTGCCTGTAGCTCCCGGTGCGGGACACCCGAGGACCTCAAGTCGCTTATTGATACAGCGCATGCGATGGGCCTGCAGGTGCTCATGGATGTGGTGCATTCCCATGCATCATCGAACATTTTGGACGGTATCAACCATTTCGACGGAACAGACAATTTGTATTTCCACGCTGGCGAGCGGGGATATCACCGCTTGTGGGATTCACGCTGTTTCGACTATGGAAGCTGGGAGGTGCTTCGCTTTTTGCTCTCCAATTTGCGCTGGTGGATGGATGAATACCATTTTGACGGATTCCGCTTCGATGGGGTAACCTCTATGCTGTACACGCATCACGGGATAGGCATGAGCTTCTCCGGTGATTACCGGGAGTATTTCGGCCTTCACATCGATATGGATGCATGCGTTTACCTCATGCTAGCCAACGATTTTCTGCATACGTTCTACCCCGATGTCGCGCTCACTATTGCCGAGGATGTAAGCGGTATGCCAACGCTCTGCCGACCGGTCTCCGAAGGCGGTATAGGCTTCGACTATAGGCTGGCCATGGCGATACCAGACAAGTGGATCGAACTGCTCAAAAAGAGCGATGAGGAATGGGATATGGGAAATATCGCCTTCACGTTGATGAATCGCCGATACAAGGAGAAATCCGTGGCATACTGCGAGTCGCATGACCAAGCGCTGGTTGGCGACAAAACCATTGCATTCTGGCTTATGGACAAGGAAATGTACGATCATATGGCGCGTGATTCGGCGCCGAGCCTGCTCATTGACCGGGGCATTGCGCTGCACAAAATGATTCGCCTGATCACATACGGCCTTGGCGGCGAGGCGTACCTCAATTTTATGGGTAACGAGTTCGGACATCCGGAGTGGATTGATTTTCCTCGAGAGGGTAACAACTTTTCGTACCACCATGCGCGCCGCCGATGGGATCTAGCGGATAACCCTTCTCTCAAGTACAATTTCCTGCAGCAGTTCGACATCAACATGCACGATATCGACACCAAGTATCCGTTTTGCCGCCCGGATAATCACCAGTGGCTTGTGCTTGCCCATCGCGATGATCACGTCATTGCATTCGAGCGCGGTGATCGACTGCTCTTCGTTTTCAATTTCCATCCCACTCGATCGTACAACGATTACCGAATTGGTGTCTGGTGGCCGGGCAAGTATCACATTGTGCTCGATACGGACAGTTGGGATACAGGAGGTCAGGGTCGCGTCCACTGGGATATCATTTACGAAACCAAGGCGGAATCTTGGCACGGACGGCCGCACTACCTGCAATTGTACTTGCCATGTCGGACCGCGCAAGTCTATCGCTGTTTCGAAATGGCCGGTACCGAGCTGGTCGACAACGAAGCGCGCGCCGGCACACGACACGAAGGGTTGCAGCCTCCCGCGGAGCGACCCGCCGTCGACGGCGACGCTGCAGCCTCGAGCGATGCTGCTGGACGCGGGCCAGCGACAGCGGCAGCGGCTGGCGAGCAACCACCCCAAGTGACGCCCGAGGTCGCGGCACAATCCGAGACCCCGTCGCAGTCGGCGGCGATCGCGACGCTACCGCGAGGCGGCGACGCCGATGCCGCTGACGTTGCTCAGAGTAGCACCATCGCCCCGAATGCATCATCTGCTCAACATTCGGAGCGTGCGACACCGGCGCAGGAGAGCATGCAAGCGGCGGATGATTCCTCGCGTCCGTCGCCGGCAGCCGAAACGGCAACCGCTGCGCCCCAAAGCGCCGCTGACCCATCAACGGATCGCCGTTCGGGTAGCACAGATCGCCGCGAACATGCCGAGCGGAAGCGCCGAGGCCTCTTCGGGCGCTGGGGATAGACTCGGGTTTATGGAAACGAAAACGACATAGGATGCGTTATAAATTCGTGTGTGAACGTAGTATCGTCTGATCGTTTACCGAGGCAGGTTGCGAAACGAGGCGATGTACCAGAGTCCGACGACAACACCATCATTACTGCTACAGTCATCATCGGCGCACTCTGGTGGTCCTCCTCGTTCGATATCGGTCGGTATCGACGGAGCGGTCGCCATTTCTGCTGTCTGGGAGCAGGTTCCATGCGCTGGTGCTTGCCGCTAAGCGCTCGCAGCCAAGCGGATTCCGCAAAGTCGCTCCAGGGGTGAAGCACTCCGCTCCAAACATGCGGTTTGGTCGACGTATCATCAACACAGCTGGTGTATGTTAGCATTCTACCCTAGGCGAGACATCGAGTGCAGCAAGCGCATGGCAAGCATGAGGCGGTTTCTCAACGTTCTCTTCATGAGCCTGTTGTGTTCACCGTTCGTTTGAATCATCTGGACCACGACACACGCATTCGTCGACGATGATGCAGCTACGATGCAGCCGCATCAACGTCGACTTTGGCTAGCCGAACGGCACGGGCCACGTTCGTTGGCAAAATCTTCAAGGCTCGGGCGAGTCTCGTGGGTACCATGCGCATCACTATGGCGATGTCGCGGTAGAGCTCCTGCTTCGTGGGAATCTTACCCACGCGCGCCATAGAGTCGCCATCGTATAATTGTCCTTCAAGCACGCCGCCTCGGATTTTGTTGGTTTGCTCCAGCTTGAGCTCCTCGATAACTGCCTCGTACGCTCGAATGGCGGCCGGCAAGTCATCGAGATTTTCGGCGAGGAACCAGAAGTTGGCGAGCTTCAGGAGCGGCTTTGCGAGCAGAGCATCCTCGCCCTCTTTCGAGGTCGACTGTAACCAGGTGACGCCGTTTGCTGCTTTTTGGAAATACGAGTTTTTAATAACCTTGCAGTGCACTGTAGCTGGAAGCGAGCTTTTGAGCCGCTCGAGCTGCTGGTGCTTCAGTCCCTCAAGAGGCAACGCAACCACAGCCTCCGCCTTGCGCAACTGTTCACGAAGGCTTTGGACTATAGCCTCCTTCTGTGCCCGGGTTTGGTGTCCCATGTGCAAACCTGGGAGCACACGGCGTGCTGCTGCGCTCGGACGCCGCGGTGCGCTGATGCACACGGAGCCGGAGCCCCAAAACCCTTGTTTTGCGCGCGGTTCTAGACCACACTGGGTAACGCTTGATACGAAAGCGTGCATATGGTATTGCCCACGAGAAACGTAGTTGGGTTCAGCGTGTACAGTGTTATACACCGGCTAGTCGTCCGCGTTTTGCGTCGCGTAGACAGAAGCGCGGGCGTGATGCCTCGCCTGCGTTCGCACACGCGTACGCACGCGCACGGGCGCAGGGCGCCATCGGCGACTGCGGCGGCGCACAGCGGCCCGCCGTAGCGTCGATCAGAATGCGACGCATAAACGGTATAAAGCGGTATTGCGAGGCCAGAGTTGGATATAATGGTCAGGCGCACGTGTATCGCTGCATCGATGCGCAATCGACGATACGAGCAGGGGCACTGTGTGGCACGGGCACTCGTGTCCGATACATACGCAACGGGGAACTGCTCATTGTGTTCCTGGACGATGATGTATATCCCCGAGCCTTTGTTATATGTAGAGTCTCGACAATCAAAATGAAGAAACCGGGTTGAAGGATTCATGAGTAGTTTCAGGAGTCTCGATCGTCGTTGCCGGGCAGCCGCTTAGCCGCGTGGCTGCTGGTATTCGTTACGGCACCGGGATCAAGGTGCATCGCGACGCCCGCGAATTAAGGTTCGTAATATAGTCGACTCGTATACCGATGCATGCGTTCGAGCCGGCACTCTTCGCCTTTTCTAGCGTTCAGTACGCTCACGTCACGCATAGTTCGCGCCTTCGATCGTGCGGTTTCCCAGCAACAACACATGGGCGCAGCAGTTCGCGCTGCCCCACTGACGAGGAAGCGTACGCGCCGTCATCGCTTGAACGAATTGCTCAGAGGCACACACACCGAGCATTCACTGCACTGGGCACCTGCAATACTCGATTCCACTCGAATGATGCATCGTCCATGCTTGTGCCCATCGACGCAACCGCACGCAACCGCATCCAGCAGCAGCAGCAGCAGCAGTAACAGCAACAACAACAACATAGTACATCTCACGGGATACGCTCGGGGAAGCTCCCGTCTCTTTCCTATAGACGGAAAAGGGTCGTGCACCAGGGCTCGCGTCATCGCGGCGATCATATGCCGTGGAGCGTGCGACACCGCGTTGCATGGACGCAGCTCAGCCGGATCGACTGTGTGTTTGCGTCATGGAGTTTCCTTGCTGCACGTGCTCCACCAGGGACAGCATCGCGATCCACAAATCCGCCAGTGAATGGAATAGTGTGTACGCTTGCGCGCCCAGCGGACGCGGGACTTGTTGCCCTGATCGCCCGCAGCAGGTCCGTGGTCGTAGCGTGCGATACCAGTCGCGGGAGCGTGGGGGCGTATGCAGGCGAGCACGCTGTACCCGTTCGGATCCTGGAACCAAGGGATGAAGCGAGCGCCTACTCGCCGCAGCGCAGCGCTCGGTGCCTGACATGTGGTGGACGCGCACGGGAAGCGCCTCTCGGTAGTCACGCGTGACTGCTCCTGAGCCATGCCGCCGTTGTATGCAAACCAGATGGACATGAATAACGACGCGTCGATCGCAACGACCACCTGCGCGTGAAATGCGTTGAGCACAGCCGGGCTCCGCCGGATCGGGACTCGAATGGTGCCATCAGCATCCCTCGAGTGTTGATCATAGAGCCAGAGGGAACAGAGAGACCAGCGTATTGGAAATCGGCGGTAACAGAGACAGAATGTGAGCAGTCGGTGAACAAACCGGCAAGGGCTGGTGTTCATAACCACGGGAATAGATGCAAACTATAGTAGATATGCGCGCGTTGACAAAGCTTTACATTTTATTCCTGCATTGTTGGAGAGCGTACACCCGAACTGGCCAATGGACCTGTTCCGTTCTATTCTTTCGTGGGTGTAAACGTCCCGGGGATAGTCCATGCACCGAACCCGAATTCCTCGGATGTGCGATTGCTATCGGCCGCCAGGATAGCCGCAGTCACTTCTCTCCTGGTGCGTCTACGTTCGACAGACCTCTAGACCACTCCCCTGGTTGGCGATAGAGCTTCGATCAACCCTGCGAACCTGCAGGTGCCGAGCGTGCCGCACACGCTCGATATCCGGACGGATGCGCCGCTGCCGCCGACCGCAAAGAGAACGGCACTCCAGTGCCTTGACAGACACCAGCTCAAAATCTAGCGCATGGACACGAAGCGTTCTCCCGGTTGGGCAGCGTTCGCCCTGCACACCAGTAGGTATACGCGTTCACATAGTCCGTGTACACAAATGCGCTTGGGATCCTTTCGGGCCTGGGACCGCTGATGAGAGTGCTCTAATGGTATCCACGTACAGTAACGGCTGTTACGAGCCAGGACGCGTGTCACCTCTGTATCCTGGACTGCGAGAGTCGACATCCCATTGAATGTAGACAAGTGGACTGGGTGAGGGACTCAAAATCTCGGACCCAGCCTCTGCGCCCTGTACACGGGACTTTTATTCCTGCAGCGGTGCATAAAACCGTTGTTCACAACGTACGCATACTAGCATGACCGAAGTATCCGTTCACAGCTTCAAGGCTTATACTCGTACGACACGAAACTCGGAAGTTGGTCGATCGGCGCCTTCGCCAAGTTGCCCCAAAATCGCTGCAACACCGTCCGTGCAGCCTTCACCGCACTCTATGCACAAGAACAGCGGCGCCTTGCGTTCATCACTACAGTTCAGCGGTTCGTTGTATGCAAACCAGCAACCATACGACGGGACAAATGTCTCGCTGGTCGCTTGCAAGCGTGCTCCATGCACCGCGTTCAGCCAAACGCTCTGGCGTTGAACGCTCATCCACAGTGGCCCTGCGTATCGCACGATGATCCCGTGTCGACGTGCCGCTGCGTTGATCACAAAGCTGCCGCCGCCGCCGCCCCGAGTATCGACGGCGGCGGCGGCGGCGGCATGCAGCAGCACTGCCCGGAGCCTTCCTTGTTGCGCTGGTAGCGTACGCTACTCGTGCTAAGCGCGAACGTTCGTTTCCGTTTCGAACTGCGCAACGCTAGCTTCGGTACCTTTGGTGCAGTGCAGCGTCTACGTGTGCAGCAGGTGACGCCCTCCGCATCGTTGTGCTAGGTGGAGAGTTCGGCTTTCAGGAGTCTTCTCGGGGAGCGAACCTGCAGCTTCAGCACCGCTTTCCACGAAACCGCAAAGGTACGAGTGATTGTCGCTGGAGCCTCGCGGACGACGACTCCGGGGGGTCGCACTCGATACGAAGTGCGCATCGGGCAAGTCTCGCCCACAGTATCTCGTAGGGGCGCTTTCTAGAACGGTCTGAGCTACATTTTACGTTGCTGCTTCGTCGTTCCAGACAAAGACGGCGTCTCACGTGCGACGAGCCTTCAGCGTGCGCTGTGCCCAGAGTAAGGGAAGAGAACTCGCTGGGTGTATTCCGCACGCTCGCACAAGTTACGAGGAGCGCAGCGCGCACGACCTGACCGAGCCAAGTCCCAGACGCAAGCTGTAACCTGAACATTGCGCTGGCTGTCTTGTGCAGCGTTAAAGTTTGTGCACGAGAACAGCGAGCCGTCAGAGAGGGGAAACCGAGTCTCAGACCCTTGGTCTGATAACGAGTGTGAAATCAGCGGGCAGCTTGCGCCGTTCAGGCTACACCCTTGGAACAGTACTCGGTTGGCTTGTGCTCGCACCGGGTCTCGCTGAAGCTGCGCTGCGCTGCGCTCGTGATCATGTGGACAGCGTTCACGAACGGTGTTGTTGTTGTTCCGGGCGGATTCACGCTTGGTGCTATCCGTGCGAAATGGTTCGGAACGGTATCGGGAAATCCCTTGACGAAACAACTTCGGAGGCATTCAGCGAAATTCGCTCAATCTGTACGATGGACAGAGCACATTCGCCGGGATGGACGTCGCGGATGGCGCATGCAGGACGCTGGCAGCGAGGGCGCCAGCCTCTTCATAGAGGGCCCTCACACTTCCGCAAAGAATCAGCATTCGTGGGACGCAGGCGATGATGCAGTCTCAGCGCCGGAATCTGCGAACAAGGTCAAGAAGGGCTCGCGAACAACCTTGGAAGGCGATGCTGATGCCAATCCACCGAATGAACAGCATACGAGCGAGACCAGCACCAACAAGAGATCCATGTCGGTCGCAGACTCCACCTTAGCGAGCAAGCCAGGCGCCGGAGGTAGCGCGCAAACGCGGAGTCGACAGTCTCGGAGAAAAGCAAGCTCGACTCAGGCTACCAGTCGAGAGATAGCCCGAACGGAAGCAGCAGCTGGTGAAACGGGTAGTATTGAGCAGGCTGCGGAGGCGCCGGTGCCTGCGCAAGCCAAGACGAAGCGTCGCTCACGAAAGAAGAGCGACCAAAACTCGGCTGCAGAGTCGACGGAAGATACCGAGTCCGCTGTAGTTGCAGATGACGCATCGGAAGCACCTGGTCATCGTCAGGTACACTCATTGGGAACGCAAAAGCAGACAACCAGGTCGTCATCGACATCGCGCACTACAGGAAGCAAGGCACGGAAGAAGCGCGATGAGAGCGTGTCAAATGGGCAGCTTCCTCCAGCAGATGTTGAATCCCTGCCAGCAGATGCTTCATCCGTTATACCTGATCCTGCAATGAAAACTCTTGAGGTTAACGCCGACGCAGCGGTTACGACGGTCGCCAACTCGCGTGTATTTAACGCCGCGGATGAGCATTTGGACGAAGAACCCGCAGAACAGAGCCGCGTCGGGATACAGTCACGTACACCTAGATCCAAAAAGGCAACAAGAAGGTCAGAAAAAAGCACATCTCGTGGCTCATCCACGACGTTTTCAACCGATGGGTCGGCTCCGAATTCGGGAGAAAGTACCGTATACGGGTCGCCAGGTGAAGCCGGTCCCGTTGCACAACACGTACCCGCAGAGATGTCTGACCTTGGAACAAACTTGTCTGCGAGAGCAAGTGAGAACGACGAGGACAACAACGACGAGCTGAATGCGAGTTCAACAGATTTCTTCGGGGGGCAAGCTGATCTGGCGCTAGATGATGATATCGAAACGGATTTCGACGTGGCGGCTTTGCAGGATGCGAACATTGCCGACGCATTTGATGGTGAGACGCCCACCGATTCGAGCTTTGCATGGGAAAGAGATCCTATAGAACGTGCCAGAGAGCGGGCAAAGGCAGCGCATGAGCGAATGCCATCCGAACTGAGGTTCAGAAGCGAGACATCCTCGACAGAGCATTCGTTTCCGGATGAATCTGAGCCCGTAACCGATTTCGACGAATACGCATGGTATGAGAACGAGCCACTGGTCGCTCCTGAGAGTCCGTTCCAGAAAGCCTACCAACGACTCATTCATTCGCATATCTCATACAAGGAGATGGATCGATGGAGTCAGGGTGGTGAACCGCCCCGCGTTCTGGGCTTGCTGTTTGGACCACCGGAACCGCCCCCGATCCCGACTCCTGGTCAACGGTTCCAAGTCGATGAGGGTCCTCCTCTACCGATTCCCGATCGTCCGGTCTGGAAGAGCCGCGACCAGGCGTCATCGGACCTGAACAATACGGATTTGCTCACGGATATTGGCTTTGCGACGAGCTCCGATGAGGACATCGAGCAAGCTCTGGAGGAACTTCTCCAACGGGATGCTCGGACTGGTGGCGGTCGATTTCGGACGCAAGCGAACAAGAAAAACGACATCGACGCCTTTGATTTTGACACCCAAGGCATGGGCTTTGCTGATTCGGCGTTCACAGAGGCATCAGATGCACGATCTGGTGAGTCTCTGGGCATTCCCGGAAGTCAGGATGATCCAGCTTGGGGCGATTTCGGTGGCCCAGCATCGACCACTGCAGATGCTGAAACCGCTTCGGCAACCGATGAGTATGAGCCGTACCGGCTGCGGTTCGCCAACGAAGCGTTCCCCGATGACGAGAGCACCGCCGGTCCAGATGCGAACGAGCATAGCGAGAGTGCCAGATCACCGCGACTCGGTGGGTCGGGTAGCAGTGCGCGCTGGGGTCCAGCCCGCAAACGCCTCGAGGACGAAGAGGAAGAGCGGCGACGAGCCGGTAACCCGAGTCCGCGTATAGCAGATGAACAGCGAATCGCCGGTGTTCTCACGATGCCGGAGACGTTTCCAGCACAGTACGAATTGCGCCTCCTGTTACGGAACCCGGTACCCAACGAAGCTGTGGAGCGTATCCTCCAGGACGTTGAATCGATTCTACGTTGCGAGGTGGAAGAGGACGCTTTCTGGATCGAGCTCGTGGGCGATATGAAACGAGTGGTTGTTCGGGTTCGCGTCCAGAGCGCGTCGCAGATCGACAGCCTCTACAATCAGCTTTGCACTCACACGACGATCGCTGCGATGCACGGTGACCAAATCGATGGTATCATTGGACGGGATGAGGAGTTCGTTTAACCCCGATGCTCGCTGAGTCGTGAGCCTCTCGCGATACCACAAATCGCGAGCGTGAATCCCGAAGCATTCGATGCATCGATGCACGCGACATACGTACGGTAAATGCGTACTTTTCAGGTGTGCGATCCGTTCTGGTAACCGACTCGCATGCTGTCTCTAATCTGTGTCGTCACAAGCTTCCGTACCAGTAGAGGAACCGCAGTTTATGTCTCTTCCGGAGGCGCCGGCTGCGTTGGTTTTATCGCCGGATTCCCAGACGTTGACGAAGACGATGGTCGATTCGGTGCAGACCTCGGCGCTGACGACGACGACGATGGAGAGCGGCCTGGCCGCGCACTTGACCCCGACCCTGGAGCGTCCGATAAAGTCACGTTTCTGCTTGTATTGGCACGAGTCCCATTCGCGGATGCACCGGCGGCAGCATCAGAGGGCTGCGGTCGTTCCAACAAGGCCTTGCGACTAACGCGGACCTGGCCTCGTGCATTCACCTCAAGAACTTTCACGGCAATAACTTGATCTTCACGCAGAACGTCCTCAATTCGGTCTATGTGGTGCCAAGCGATTTCGGAGATGTGCAACCATCCCTCCTTGCCCGTCAGAGGATCCAATTCGACATACGCACCAAACGGAAGGACTTTGGTTACCCGAGCCTGTTCGAAGACCTGACTCACCTCAACGTCCATGGTGATATTACGAATCATACGCGCCGCTCGCTCCAAGAGCTCTGTCTCGGGTCCGAGGATGCTCACGACACCGTCCGGTTCGATGTCGATTGTGATGTTCTCCTCGCCGCCACACGCTTCGATGATGCTGCGCACGACCCTGCCGCCCGGGCCGATGACGTCTCCGATGCGTTTCGGATCAATGTTGATGATCTTGATCTTCGGTACCGAACTGGGTACCGTTGATCTGGGCGCGCTGCATGCCGCATCCATCACATCCAGCATGTGGATTCTTGCGTCGCGCGCCTGCTCCAGGGCCTCTCTGATGATTCCAAGCGTTATGCCCTCGACCTTGATATCCATTTGCAAGGCGGTGATGCCGGTACGTGTGCCCGCAACTTTGAAATCCATATCGCCGAGCGCATCTTCCATACCCAAAATATCCGTCAGTATGAGATAGGAGGGCGACTGACGCGACACGTCCGGTTCCTCAGTCGTCTGGTCGAGAATGAGGCCCATGGCGACGCCCGCAACCGCTGCACTCACCGGAACGCCGGCATCCATGAGCGCTAGGCTGCCTCCACAAACCGACGCCATGGAACTGCTCCCGTTGCTCTCCATGATATTGCTCTCCACGCGTATCACGTATGGGAAGACCTCGCGAGGAGGTACAACGGGCTCCAATGCTCGCTGGGCGAGCATGCCATGGCCAATCTCGCGGCGGCCTGGTGCTCCAATGCGTCCTACCTCGCCGACCGCAAAAGGCGGAAACATGTACTGCAGGTAAAAATGAGCGGTATGCTCTCCGAGCAGCGATTCGGAACGCTGGGCGCTATCCTGACCGCCCAGCGTCACGACAGCGAGTGTCTGCGTCTCACCGCGGGTGAAAAGCGTCGAGCCATGCGCGCAAGGCAGCGGCGTTTGCACAATATCAATGGGGCGCACTTGATGCGGCTTTCGTCCATCTGCACGGACTTTTTCACGTACAATGAGACGACGCATCTCGCTGGAGAGTACCCGTTTCCACGCCATCCGACAGAGTGTTTCGAACGCTTCCTCATCGGCGGCACCGTGCGTCTCGAGCTCCTGCTCTGTGACAGCATCCAAAAGCTCCTCCAGCACTTGTTCGCGTATTTCCGCCAGTGCCGCTTCACGCTGCTTCTTCTCCGCGATTCGAATAGCTTGCGAGAGACCCATCTTTCGTGCGATCTTCCTCGTCTGCTCCAGCAAGGTGTCGCGCACACGACGCAGGTCAGCGTCATCTTTGGGAGCACGCTCGGGATGCGCTGCAGTCACCAGCGCTTCCAGTCGTTCGATGCCCTCACAGATTTGTGCAATCGCTCGTTGCGCGACTTCAATAGCCTCAGCAATCTGCTGCTCAGAGGCGAAGAGACATCCCGCTTCGATCATAAGCACTGCGCTGCTGGTGCCCGCTACCACCATGTCCATGTATTTGCATTCACCGCGCATTTGTTGCTCGGTCGGATTCACCACAAAGCTTCCATCCTGACGCATTCCGATGCGAACACCCGCTACCCGAGCGCACATGGGCACTGGGGAGAGCGCCAGCGCCGCTCCGGCACCGCAAATAGCCAGTGTGTCCGCCTGGTGGGTGCCGTCGAATGAGAACACGTTGGCCAGGACTTGGGTTTCTTTGAAGAAGCCTTCAGCAATACAAGGCCGCAGTGGTCGGTCAATGAGGCGCGAAACCTGAATTTCACGATCGCCAGGTCGTTCCCGCTTCAGGTATCCGGCGGATGTACGACCGACAGCGGAGAATTTTTCCACATAGTCGACGCGAAGTGGCACGAAATCGATGTTCGGTGAGAGCTCCGCGTCCGAGCAAGCCGTGCAGTAGACGACCGTGTCTCCGGAGCGCACCGCCACGGCGCCACCGGCCTGACGGGCGAAAAACCCTGTCTCGAGTTGAATCGGGGCCTCCGCACCCGGTACATTAATGTCCACGCTAAAGCGCTCGAGTTTCGCAAAAAGCTGGCGTAGACGACCCGTCGGGTTTGCCGTTCTCCATACGCACGCAGCACGCCGTTCGCTTTCAATGGATGCTGGAAATTCGTCCAGAGGGACTCGTATTCGGCGCAACACCGACACGGGTGTCGCGAACGTCCCCAACGTCGTCGTCGTCCAGGCAGCACTAGCTCTGGGCAACGGCGCCAAGTTCGCCACTCCGCTCCGGTGACTTGACCACGTGCAACCCGGGCATAGCACAAAGGTTGACGGGATATAGGCCCAAGGGTTCTCTTGCGAAGGCATGCCAGACGCTGTGTGGTTCACTCACAAGCCCCGAAATACCTTTTGCTTGTAATCGGGCACCAGTACGATACACACACACACACACACAGTGACGTCGACACCACCGTGTGCAGACGCTGTGCAGGTAGTGAGGCACACACCGTCGCTGCGCGACCGCCGCGCCAGACGTGATCGCCTCTGCCGGGTGGCCAGCGCTCCTGGCGTCAAGCTTTGTAGGGTATGCTTCAAGGCTGCACTGGGGTAATCTAGTCGAGAGTAGACTCATCTGGGGTACTTCGTTCGCGTATAGCTCGCTCGGGGAACAGCGGTGCGTGTCAACGCGAGCTGGGTTGTTCATTGGTTTGTGGGTCTTGATTCGAACGAATTGTCGGGTTTATTGGAGGTAGCGCGTGCTGGGTTGTACACTGGTTTGTGCGTCCTTATTCGAACGAGGTTTCGGGTTTATTGGAGGTAGCGCGTCGTGCCTAGGGCATCTTGGATGCGTCACGTGCCCCGTGTGTGTACATCTGTTTGTCCAGGGACTCGTTGCTTAGTGCGGTATCCGGCAGCGTCGTTATTGCGGAGGTACCAAGGGCTTCAGCTTTCCTACACGAGATCAAGTTTTATCAGACGATGTATGCGTGCAGGTGAAAGCGAGCGAAGATGGGTATCGTGAGCGCTGCCTTATCCGTACGTGCGCAGTGGCGTGCCTGCCTGTTTCTCTGTCCAGTGTCGAGTGCCTATATGCAGTCGTTGAGGACGCCTACGCTGCATTGGGAACGGAGACTCTAGCAGCTTGCCCGAATGAAGCACGTCGACAGCGGCTCGATTCGGCACAAGAGCGTTTCCAAAGGCGATCGAAAGCCAACAATGGCTGTTGCCGCACTTTCGCAGACATCCGCAGAATACGCGCATAGTGAAGATACACCTCACCTGAATCTGCTGGACGGCATGCTATTGGTTCCATAGCGCAGCGACTGAGTCGTAAGCGCATGGAAGACAACAGACGCGATGCTGCTCATTCTGAGACAACGGATCTGCCCTGCATAGACGCAGTTGCAGCAGGCGAAAGGACGCAGGAATTCGGGATACCGCCCTGATCCCAAAAGCGCGGACCGGAACATCCACGTTTTCGTTCGACAACGGAAACGAAACACTCCATTGCTCTCTCTCTCCATTTACCCTCATATATAATGGAACGGATTCTGAACGTATCGCCTAGCGCGCACCGTCATTGATGATCCCCGCACACTAGCGGAAACACACAAGCATTCTGGCGAGCGCTGATCGACGTCGGTTGCTCGCCCGTTTCGGGATTCTCTCGGACGGTAGTTTTTCGAACGGCTCCTCATCCCAGCGGCCTGAATCGTTGCTCGATGCAACGATATCTCCCACAGAAAATGCGCTTGCATCGGACTGCGCAGCAGGCGAGACGCTCGGCAGCGACATATTCTCGATCGCTTCGATGCCCGGGAAGTTATTCTTGACAACCCGATCCGGAAGTGAAATTGTCGTTGCGGGCCTAGTCTTGGTCAAATGCTCCGTGTCCGTCGCTGCGGTCTGTTGGTGCTCGTGTGCGTTCTCCGTCGCGGCGCCGGTACCAGCGGACCAGTCGCTGACACTAGCGACTGTGGCGGCACTAACGGGCGACGTCGGCGCTGCTGGTGGCGCACGCACGCTCAGCGCCTGGCGTATCGACCAGCGTCTCGTTTTCGGTACTTGTCGGTACTGGTGATTCTTGGGCGAGGTTTTCGCTCGAGGCGGGGATACCTGTGTCTCGGGCTCTGTCTGGGGCGACGGCTCGACACGAGCCGCATCTGCCACGTCCGCAGCTGTTTTCGGTGACTCGCCATAAATAGCCTTCTCGTCCGTTTTTTCTTGAATATTTTCGAGCTCCCTTTTTTCGACCAGAGAATCCTCCAGGGACACAAAGCGGTGCGCCTGCTGGGCACGTGCCGGCAGCTTCACCGGGGAAGAAATACGCCGCGCTTGCTCTTGTACCAACGGTTTTTCCAGAGGTTCCTTCGCGCTGTCCTGAGACTTACATTCGGTGTGATGACTGAACTTTTCGAGTTTCACTGGGTTTTGCGGCTCGTCGTCCTCCACTTTTTCCAGTTCACGGTACTCGGTGGGGGCCCACACTGAACCCGGCAAGTGGAAGCCCTCAAAACGATGCCTCATAACGCGACGTGAACGTTTCTCCATATTGAACGGATAGTGCACGACTCACCACTGAACAGGGCAAAGGAGAATTTCAAACAGGGGCCTCACGTACACGCAAATTGAATCCGGATTATGGATCGTGTACGCGCGCGAATGCAAGGCTGTTGTTGAGGGTAAAATCGAATGCGAACGTTTCCCGCCGGCGCTAGCGCAGCGCGGTTCGCAGCCACGCATCGGATCCGCGCGGCGGGTTTCGCGGCAAGTGACGTCGATCGAGCGTCTGCGCATGCGCGAGCCGCGTTGCGCTCCACGCTGCACCCGGGATGCCTGGCAGCAAGCGCGATACCGGGGATATCTGGTTGACACCACTGGTGCTAGTCTGCGCTAAAATTGAACGAGTCCCGCGTAGACGCTTTCGGAACGTCCAGAGTCCAGACGGTGGATGCACGTTCTTCATTCGTTCTGATGATATATGTATCGGAATAGGTGTGCGCTTGGGGTCCCGAGCGCGATGCGATTTCGCGGAATAAGCGAGCGACGCCGTCTTCTGGCGACGGGGCGTTTGGGGGTAGTTGCGCCATCCGTCGCTCCCGCTTGAACAGGCCTATCTGCGTTGCGGTTTGTCTTTTCTCTGCTTCAGGTTTGCGTTTACGAGTTTTGATAGATTCTGGAATCAACCTTGTTGCGCTTTCCATGAATACGGGGCGGCGCCACCTCGATCCCACCACAGCACGTTCAGCGGAAGCGGCACCGCGTCGCGATTTCGCGCCGTATCGCGCGGGACTCGATAGGTGGCTGCAACTGGACGCACGACTCGCAGGGCGTCATATTCGAAGCAGCCGCCCGAACGAAGGCTGTCGAATGGAATCAATCCAGTCAGAAGATTAGGTTTCGGTGTGAGGTGTCGACCAGCACTGTCTGCGAATATGTCGGGAGCGGTAAAGCAAGCGAGCTTTCGGGACCAGAGCGGCGCCAAGAAGTCGATATGCATGCGACGACGCGCTGTGCGAGGGTGCCTCTCTACCCGTGCCTCTTTGGCTGATTTCAGCCGACTCACCAGACTGCCGTTTTCCTCTGTATCTGACTCCCAGATGCTCTAAAGCAAAAACGGATCGCTGGGGGTCAAGTGGTCTGTTTGGCAGTGAGGTGTCGGTGACGACGTCTGTGGACTGGGCTTTTTCTTGCTGGTTCGTTTTCCTTTTGACGATCACTGTGATTCATTGCAAAGTCGCTGGCCCCCCCGGGTATGCGTACGAAGACCGCTGGGACCAGCTACGCATCATGGATCTGCGACGTTCGACCGAACCATCCGCCGCACCAACCGCTGCAATGCCAGCCATGATCTACGGGACATAGAGCGTTCAGGAAAACTTTCATTCACAGCAATACTGGTTCCGAGTATCAGCAGATCAACCTGCTGCGATCTCGTACGTGCCCTGAATCGCGTCGTTGCCGGATTTGTGGCGAGGCCGCTTTGTGTCGCCATGCGCACGGATTGTCTAGGTTTTCCCTTCGACTTGTAGAGGATCCATTTCGACAGTCCCTTGTTGCGCGCCGCGCTCATCCTTTCCCCACAAAGCAACGTCGATTCGACTTGCTTCCGCACAGTCTCGTCTGCCACGAGTCCGAGTCTGCAGGGACCCAGTGTCACAGCGTAGTAATGTAGCCACTATCTGGTCCACCAAAGTTATACACCGGCTGGTCTGGGCTGTCCCCGTAGCATGTCTGGTTCGGTGCTGTGCCAATCACCACAAAAGTATACACCAAGTCAGTGCGTAGTACTGCCGTCCCTGCACCTGCAAGGTTCAGCCGTTGCGCTCGGAGCTCGGGACCAAGCTTGTCCAGCAGCGTCGGTACTTGTAAGAGTGCTGCTTTCCAGCCTTCCCGGCCGACAAGGCCTTCGCCATACGTCCAGTTGAAATACGACGACGGCAAGCTCGTAGCCATCTCGACACCCACATAATCCCCACCGTGAAACCCATACTGCTCAAGAGTCTGCCGAATCAGATCCGGTGTAACATAGTGACAGGTATTGGAGTTCACCTCCTCGACACTGCAGTACGTCAGCAGATCGGCAACGTTCGCCGCACCGATCGTCAAGGCCTCGTTGATACATATTTTTGGGTTTTCGTGGTGTAAAGCATTCAGCAACGTGTACTCATAGTGCGTGTAGTTCAGCGTCTCTGCAACGTCCTGGCTAAGCACACCGCCACTGGAAGAAGCTCGAACGGCCACCGCAGCTATGGTGCCGCAAGCGTTCCAGCTCGCGAACAAGAGCACCCAAACACAAAAGAGAGTCAGACGCATGCCGAGCGTGCTGCACCGCAAAGTTCCCGAAACTCGCACCACACAAGAACGCAAACTAAAAAATATGTGGAGCAAAAATCGTCGTTGCCCATCCAGGCGCTACCCGTTGTGGTTCTATTTCGGGATCACTGTGGCGCGCTGATCCACCAGCGCTGGCGGCGCGCGCCATTCTGGGATGACGGCGGCGGAGCGCGGCCTCGCGTTTGACAACGGCGCTGCGCACGCTCCAAGCAGCGACACGTGCCTCATGAACAGCGACTGCAGGCTGATGGCGTGCACGCACGAAGCTGCCAAATTTGGCGGCCGGCTCGCTGTCCGGTGCTCGCTCGCATCCGGTGCCGTCGCCACATGGATCAGATTCAGTGCGGAATTGCGCTGAAATCCGCCGCAGATTGATTGCAACGCATTCGATATTCCGGGTGTGCGAATAGGTGCGAGGATTCAGGGGAAAGCACAGCGCTTCTATCGCAAACGCTGTCGAGCAACGTCAAAGTCGAGAACAGAGTTACGAGTACGAGAAGAAGCGTGGCCGATTTTGAGAGCCAGCCGGTGTCAAACGTGGCCGGCACGCTTGCTGCGACGCTGGAAGCCGCCCCTCAGAGAATCTTCAGGAACGGTGCGTCTCAGGGCTCGGAGCAGGAACGGTGCCGCTGACGGCAGTCACGCCCGTTGTACTGCGCACGATGTGCTATCGGCGATCGGAGCGCGCTCAAAATCCTAACTGTGAGTCTCGAGCAAGTCTTCTTGTCCACGCAGTGCGCAACGTCTCGTTACTATCGGGTTCGCGAGACGTTGCTGCGAACACGCGGGTGCTCTCGTGTACATTCGAGAAAGCGGCTGGTGCAAGCGAGACTGTTGGTGTAATGCAGCGCTTTGCGCAGCGGCGATGTGCTGTAGCCGCAGTCGCCAACGCGAGTCGATGAAATATTTGCACGCCCAGCGCATAGCTGGTGATGGAATTCGTATCGCTCCAGGGCGCGCAGACGCTCGCTGCGATCTCGAGCGATCAACATCCACTCGCTACAGAATACCCTTTTCAAAGTGGAGTCGAAAAGGTACCCGAGCTCCGGCGTACATGCTGTGGTTTGGGTTTCTTCGCTCTACGATCATCATCGCCAGCGTTTTGCGGATTTATTTATGGGGCTGCTTCGGTTTCGTCGCGTTCATCTCCGGGTTGAGATACGCGGGATCCGTCCTTTACCCCCAAATTTCGTTTTTATATGTAGAGGCAAGTTGATGACGAGGTCCAAGTCCCGATGTCGCCATGCCCGTCTGTTTCCAGGTAATTTCATGTACAGAATGGAGATGTGATTAACGTTTTGGTAGCCATTTTCATCCTCGTGGCACACACGCTGCGGTGCGCGCTTTGCAGCGGCGACTTGGCTGTGGTCAAGCGTGCTGATATATTGACCAGCAATATGATGCACAGAATGTAGATGCGATCTACGCTTTGGTAGGGATTTTCATCCCCGTGGTATACACTCTCTGTGGGCCGATATGTTGACCAAGCCGCCTCTTCGGAGCGCCGCCCTGTGCTATGTGAAGGCGCGCTTCATGGCCCGGTACCGGCGCTCGAGGGCTACAGAGGGCTCGCCTCCGTACCCTCCCAGATGCGCGCCACTGGTACCGTACCCGCGGACCATGTGCGTCTTCTAGGCGACGACCTCAGCGATTACTCTATCCGCTGCATACGCCAGCGCATGCTTTATAGATTTGGTAAAGGTTTGTAGAACGTGATGTTGTCCATGATGAAACAAGTAACGACAGTAAAATCCAGGCTGGAAATCGAGTCGAGAAATCTCGATCCGTCTATGTTCCATTCGTGCAGAGCGGTGCTGCACGCTTCACTGGAAGCGAATGCTGCCATGGCCCAAGTCCAAGTCCAGGATCCTTTTGTATCCAAAGAGAAGAGACGGGCGTCTCTCGGAGCATAGTCGATGACAGGTATCACGCTGATGTTGAATGTGATGCCATTAATGACCGAAAAGAGTTGCGGGTTTCTCCTGAGAATCCAATCCTGTATTCGACTTGAAAAGTTCAGTGAATTTTCTGCATGAGCTTGTGAACGAGTCGTCAAGGAGCTACTTTTCACCTTTCTCGTGTTAAATTAAGCGGCATGCATCGCTCTGTCTATGAGTTGCCTTGAAACAGAAAGATCGAAAACTTGAAGAATGCGTGGTTTGAGGACGCTGCGCATCAGGAAAAGAGACGATTGGACGCCTGTCCATATGAATTGGATCACGGTATCGGTTTTTCACGAGCCGTTGTTCGAGGATATCCTAAATCATCTCGATTCGGATATCGTAACGAATTCCAGCAGCAGCAGCAGCAGCAGCAGCCGCATATCAAAGTGACCAATCCGAATAGGCGACCGAGAATTCGAAAACGACGACGCATGAGTCCCAAAGCCCTCATTGCTGCACGCGTATTGCCGAAGCTGTCCATCCGAAAGCAAGGATTCTTAGAACTCGTGCCCTCTGTAACTGAACAGTCTCGTCATGGTCCCGTCGGGCAAACCGTTTTTCTCGACAATCTCCCGTCTTCTTTTTCAAGTGCACTCCTTCGCTCTATGATCAGCGAGAAGGGCATTTTATCGTTTTCCACACTGGCATCCGACGATGAAGGCCCTCCAGGATCCCCGACTTCCACGTCGATGCCGTTCGCTTGGATCTCTTATTTGTTCAAATGAACGCAGTTTGAACGCATCTGCGATGAACCGCAAAAAAGCGTCTGATGGCATTCGCCTAGATGTGGAACGCATTGGAGATGTTCATTCTCGAAACGCTCTGCTTCCCTGAACCAACTAGTGCCAGTAGAACGAGTGCTCCCCATGCGGCGACGCGGTTTGCTCTCCAGTCAGGTAACTGGGTATTGTGTTGGACTAACCGGGAGAGAAACGCTTTTTGGCAAGCGCCTCTGCGCGTTGCGTCAACGCTCCACTGTACGACCTCAAAGCAGCGTCCAATGCACGCTGTCGGCACCGCAGCACGTAAGCAGAGTCCTCGCCAACCTGCTGGTAGCGGTCTCGGTGCTTGTGCAACCTGCCGTCTCACTTGACTTGGAAACAGCACGCGAGATCGGTGAAGCAAAGCGCGCTGAACAAGAGTCACGCCTGCCCCCGCGAGTACGCCTCCCTTCTGGTGTGGTATATCGTGAACTGCGACCTGGTGACGGACTTGTTTTGCACTGGGATGAACAGCCTGACGTTGTCCTCTCGTGGGCGGTGCTGCGCCCGACAGACCTCTATTATCAGTTTGGTAGCTGGAACCGAGTTTCCCTTGAGGATGACCTCTTTCGTGCACTGCCGGCCGGAGAGGCAACCTTGGTATGTGGTCTCGCACACGGGCTCGAAGGTGCGCGTGAACACGCTCTCCGTCGCATATGGGTACCCGCTTCACTAGGATACGTTCGAGGCGATGAGGTGCCACAGCCGCGACCGGATGACTTTGGGGCTCAGCGACGATTTACTCGCCTCCGTCAACGTAACGCGGACCTGGTATTCGAAGTGGAAGTGCGACGTGTGCGCCCAAATGGAGGCTCAAAGCTTCATGTTTGTCCGCTTGGATCAGAGCAATAGGTCCTTCGATGCCGATCTCGAGTGATGGCTTGGTGATTTGACGTTCACGCTTTCGCGATGCGCTCATCGAACGGTGTGCACGAGACTTTGGCATTGTTTCACCGCCGTGGCGACAGCTGCATCGACACTTTGCAGTTCCAACTATATATGAAGTGTTACTCAATGGCTCGTGATCGCCGAATGGTTGTGCCTACATTGGTGTCGGCATGCAAGCAACCATGCATTTCCTGTGAATCGAGAGCATGCGAAGCCGTCCTGCGGGTACACCGAGCGGATTGCACGATCGCCCGTGCGATTCCGAGGCCTTGGACGGGCCGTCCGCGAACCCGCAGCCTGATTCAGCATCGACATTCCGGAATGGTGTGGCCCGATGATACGATCCCGTGATGAGCGAAACCTCGCGGACTGGACGCTTGGTATCAAGAACGCAACACGTGCCACCGCTAGTGCTACTGGTAATCCCGATGTGGCCGCAATCACCACGGAGGCTTGCTGCAGAGACGCTCGTGCACCCTACAATTCGCAGTACTTCTGCCGCTACTTGTGCTGCTGCACTTGCATCGGTAACGAATCCCGGGAGCAATGCTTGCGCCCAAATGATTTCTAGGGATCTGAAATGGGTTCGACCGTACTCCATATCGAAGTTTTGTTCAATAAATGATGCGTTTGCTGGTCTGTTTCTTATCTTGCTAGAGTGCTTGTCATCGCTCATCGCTCAAAAGCACCTGTTACGAGCCGCTCCCTGGTTGTACCTGGATACCGCTGGATCACATCAGGATCGCGATGCAACACCAACAAGTCATCTGCGGTCGCCGGAAACGATCACCATCACGATGGATGCCGATGTCCATGGCGGGAGCGCAATGAAGCATGCTCCTTTAGAAACGGGTTTTTAAAACCCAATCACTGCCGGTATTACTTCTACTCAGTAGTATCGAAGCATGGAACACCGCAATGTTTGACCATTTGCCCAGGAAAATCGTTGTCTATGGAGGTGTGTATGGCGCTCCAGCCTTGATGCGTTGCAGACCCGTACCACACCAGTGCCTTTTCCTCCTCGCTACTGATTGTTTTCATCGAAAGTGTGCGACTTTTCAGCGCAATGTCTACGGTGACTAGAAAGCGATTCCGTCGGATATTCGCGGCGTGCAAAGCCGCCGGACGCTGCGGCAGCAAGAGACATTTCCCGATCTCGGACGAGTCGCTCAAGTCTCTATTCGGAACTCGCCTGCAAGCGCTGGTGCTGGTGGAGTCATGCCCTAGCAAGCCTCTGACTTTCGATTGCCTCGCCATCTGGCGTGCAGTCAACTTGCCCTACACCGTCTCGTGTGTCCGGGTGTGTTTCACGCTCTGCGACTCTGCTAGGCTCACGGAGCGCTCTTGCTTGTGATGCGTTGATCTAGTGCGGGACGCATCGACGGGCGTCGTGCAGCATCGATTGCTGAACGCGTTGTACGCTGGCGTCGAATGAGCGGGAGTGCACCCTCTGGGAGCTGCGGTGCGTCGATTGCCGCAGACTACCACGAGACGAGGCGACGCATCGGTCATGACCTGGTCCAGTGGCTCGAGCGAGCAGGCGAAAGCACGTGTCGTGTATCCGTACAACCGAGACGATTGGCAATGCCGTCGCTGCCTCATGTACGCCAGCCAGGGATTGTCAATGGCAGCTATATCGACGCTCTTGTGATCTCTGCGTGAAAGACGCATACGAAGCGTTCCAGCGTGTTTGCTACGGTGCTTCGAGCATCAGGATAGGTTCTGAGGCTGTCACTACATTTCGTCGTATGCCTGCTTGCAACCATCATACCCGAATGCGGATTACACCGAGCGGTGTGAAAAATCGGGCAGTACGATATTGTCTGTCCCGGGCATTCGTTGTGTTCCCGCATTCTGGCTTGATCGAAAAGGTTCTAAAGGAATCAGGACAGCTGGTAAGCTTGCCTCCGAACCTTGTACAAATACTTATTTAACGAGGATCGTCAAGTCGAGGTAAGCTAAAAGTGTCTTCCTAGAATAAGAAGCTATGCGGTATTGAATCTAGTCCTGCATTTCCCTGTTTCTGGGTTGCTCCCCGTTGGCGTCTTCACTCAGAAAGGCCATGAAACAGTGTACAGACGGTTTATCCTTACACTCTCTGCTCGCCCTCTTTTCGCGGGAATTTCGCCTCCTTTGTCCGGTGCTTCTTTCTCGCTCTTCTTCTTCTGCTTTACGTGGCTGGGCAGCTCTGATGTGGCCGCTACGCTCCATGCTTGTTCCCTTACCTTGAGATGCAGACGCACTGGGTAGTCGATATGTCCGAAATTCGTTTCTTTTAAGTGTGTACTTACGATTCTTCTAGGTACTTTCGTCGCCTTCTCCATCGCGAGCACGTCCACGGACAGCAGCACGGCATGACGCTCCATCTCGCATTCGGGCAGTGTATCCCCAGACCAGTCCATTGCTGGTGAAGACAGATCGAGATTTGTCAAAGAGCGACCGGGCACGCTTCGGTGTCCTTGATCCGAACGACTCTTGTTTGGATCCACAAGCGCAGAAATGGCATTTGAAAACAGAGGAAACGCCGTCGACTAGCTTCAACCAGGGAGATTAGCACGACACAAACCGCAGGTCACGGCGAGATGAGGCGCATGCACCTTCGCCGCTTCTCTTTGATGGAACCTGACGTGGTCCAAGCACAGGACAGAGGATAGCGGCTAGGAGAAGCTACGAACTGCTTCGACGAAGAGAGCGTTGCTGAACAGTCCTCCCTGTTCGGCAGTTTGTAGGAGACGACGCGATAGCATCGTTGCTGGGGGTGATAGCGTCGGGGTGCTCGCTTGACGCGTCTTTACGAGCAGCGGATTTTCCGTCTTTGACCGCTTACATCCAGGTACACAGTGTCCTCCGTCTGCCTTCTCAACGAGTAAGACGAGTACCCCGTTCCTCTTGGTATATAGGTTCCCGTTGCGGTGCGAAAGCGATGGTGTGTGTTTTTCAAAGCGCGACGGTCACAAGTCGAAGCGTACTTTTTTCGTTCTCCATCTGTGGCTCGTTATCGCGGCTCGCATCAACGATTCGGAAACTTCGCGACGTGTGGCTTCTTTGATCGGAATTCCGAGAGAAACCATCGGGTGCAATGGATGAACTTGAAGACAGTCCTGTACGCAGACTTTGATCATGCCTATTTTGGGTGCACAATGTTCGAAATACGGGCAATGAAAAGGGTGCACCATCCGTCTCCTGATCATAGAATAACTGACTTGTACCAGTTAGGTCGTCTTTCGCAGAACTATAGTGCCAGTACCATGCACTTCCCACTTATATCCCCAATATATAGGATGCATTCCGTTTGTTGAATACCAGCGAGATAAACAAATAAAAACAAGAATGGCCCGCCGGCACTGGTGCTCCAGAATTCCCTGTTATGCGTATGAAAAACTTGCACCGAATCGGTGCGAAAGCATTTGCGAACGTTGCTGGCGACGGGAGGTCCTCGACCACTGCACACCGTGCGTTCGAGGTAGCTCCCGATTGTCCAGTGTTCCGCAATCCTATTGGCATTCGCTTTCTAGAACGCCGCTCCATTTCGTGCCACGGGACACGATGCGAGGTCCGGTGCCGAAGCTGGCCTGGCAGCGATAACTCCATCAAACAAATGCGAGCATGCAAGAGTTGCGAAGCGTCCACCATACAAACAGTCGTCCGCAGGTCCTGCGATAACATCGGGATCAAGGCATTCGGCGCCTGGAAACAGGCAATGCTGCCCCGTGCCAAATCTTGCGCATCATCTGTTATCACTAGCATTTTCTCCACAGACAAAGCATTGGCAACTGCACCTGCGTTTCCCGGAGGCACACGCGCAAGGCCAGGAATGCACCTCAGCGCCCGCCATCGACAAGTTCCAGGTCTGAAAACTCCAAAAAAGCGCATCAGGAAACTGGGGTGTCCACTCGGACACTCTCCTATAGGCGAGCTTCTTGAAGTGCGCTCATGTCACATGCAATGTCACGCTTGAGGTACGCACACGCTTTTCCATTTCCCAACACCGAAACGCCGCCAGTCTGTTTGGAACCTGTTGCAGTGCCTGCTATGCTTCGACACCCCTGAACCTGGTTCAGGTCGCGAGCCCTGCCCCAGGGTACGCACGGTGCTAGGCACTGCACCGCACCTGCCGTGTGCGGTATGCACGAGGCGGGTTCAGTCCAGTGGCGTTCGTACGTGCCCAGCTTCCAGAGTACCCATACTGCACCGTCCCTGGTCCTCTGAAAGGTCAACGTCGCGAGCCGTATACCGCTCGGTTTGCCGGAGAGCACGCCGGGTCGGTGCGCTGCACCCAAAAGGCCACCGCAGCCGCAAGTGTCACACTGGTGAACGCTGCGAAGCGGAAAGTTCGCCATCGCTCCACCGGTTCGTAGCCGTGATAGAGTCGGGCCAACGACCAACCTGCGAGCAAACCGCAAAAACCAGTCCACAGGGCTGTTTGCCGAACAATGTCGTCGCAGCGTGTAGCCGCGGGTCGCATGAGCGGAGGTCGCTCCTCAGAGTTGTTCATGGCTAGTCCCGGGAAACGAACGCGGATCACGACCGGCACCTGGACGCAGGACAGAACTCGCGCGACAAGAACCAGGAAGAATCAGCGTAACAGAAAAGCGTCAAGTGGATGAACGTACGCAAACTCTAATGGACTCCGTCGACGGACACAAGCAACTGTTCGAGCGCCCGTCTCTGAGGATATCGCATAGCCGAGTTTGTCTCCGCGGAGCATCCTGTGCTGCAACCAGCGTTTGGGAGCGGGCTCCGCACCCGAAGCGTCCCTGAAACGATCTTGCTCTTATAACGCTTGGAGCAATGGTGCACTAGGGATGAGGGTTCGCTGCAGCATACCCGGAGACACTGTCGTCGCTGTCCTGGTGTCCGCTCATCGAAGCACACCTAGGGTTTCAGGAACGATCCGTCGATCTTGTAGCTTGAAAAAACATGTGCTACGGGTGTGTTGCTAGGAGAGCTGGGCAGCGATTTACCCTTTGGGTGCTGCCCGGCATTTGGACACATGCCTCATGCGGTGCAGACTCGTCCAGGTTCTGCACAAGATGATTCCTGGTTGAGGTCTGTCGGAACTTGAGGGTTCCTGGCTCCTCACGAGGAGCTCACAACGCTGCCTCGACTCGCGTACGGCCGGTCGCAGAGGCGTGCTGCCCAGATGGGTCATTGTGTTCATCGTGCCGCCTGACACCACGAATATAACGTGCCGCAATCACCCCGTTTCCGGAATACTTTCCGGGCATCGAGTCGAGCACGGTCAACGGCGCATCGACACACAGTTTACAGTCTGCTACGCAGCTGGTTACGGCAAAGCGCACTCTAAACTGCGTCCAACAAGCGGGAACAAAAGCTCAGTTTCCACGCTACCGGGCGCAGCGTCCGTCCCACGAATCCAGCGGTTTTGGGGTCTGAACAAAACGAGTACACCTCGTTTGAGCGCGTTCGTTCCGGTCGAGTCCGTAACGCTTCTGTGTATCCGTGACGTACCCGTAAGAGACCCGGCTGTTTGGATCAAAGAAAAGCTGCTGTTGCAGCTGCATCGAATGCTCACAGCGGTTCATCTGGCCCGGTACGCTTCCCGTACAGCCATGCCTGGTCTAACGACACGGTAAGTCGACGCGCGGACTTTTTGCACGGAAGCGCGCATTTCTCTCCGAGACACTTGCTTCTCAGCAAGTATCCCAGATCGGCGTATCCCCAGAGAGCTCGTTCTCAAGTTTGCGCAGACTCGCTACGCCACCTCAGCACCGAGCACCCTCCGCCGGAGTAAGTGATACATTGTATAGAGGCCTTGTTCAGTGCCTCCCTCGGGGCGACCAGCAGATGACCCCACAGCGTATGCCATCAGGTCGAGGTGTATCCAGACTGGGGATCCGCGAGCGCTGCCGTCTGCTGCTTTGGCGGCGGGTGCCGTCTCCGGCGACTGCCGACTCGGGAGCGCCTCTCGACCAGTTTGCACAAACTCTGCAAGGTACAATGCTGCGAGAATCGCACCAGCATACGGACTATCACCGATATTCTGAATATCAGCTACTTTGCTGCGCAGCATTTTGCGGTAAGCACGATGCAGCGGCATGTGCCAAACTGGGTCACCGAGAAGCGATCCCAATTCCATCGCTTCTCTTGCGACTTGCTCGTCGGAGCAGAACAGTGCAGGCAGGTCGGTGCCAAGGGCAACACGTGCAGCACCCGTCAAGGTTGCAAAGTCAACAATGTACTGTGGATTCAGTTCCATCGCATAGGCGAGAGCATCCGCTAGAATGAGTCGACCCTCGGCGTCGGTGTTGCCAACCTCCGTGGTCATGCCGTTTCGTGCCGTCAGGATATCTCCCGGCCGAAGCGCATCCCCCGAAATGGCATTCTCTACGGCGGGCAGTAGTACACAGAGCCGATGTCTCTCTGCCAGCTGCGGATCCGAACGCAGCAGGTTCGCCAGACCGAGAACATGTGCAGCACCGCCCATGTCCTTCTTCATCAGCCGCATCGCCTGCGCGGGTTTGATGTCGAGGCCGCCACTATCAAAACATACGCCTTTGCCAATTAAAACGATAAGCGGCTTGGATGCATTCGGTGACGATGACGACGATGGTGGTGATCGTGATGGCGATCGGCCTTCCGGTAGCGGAAAATGCATCTCTACGAGACGCGGCGCATGACGCGAGGCAGCCGCCCGACCCACGGCGTAGATCTGGGGAAAGTTCGCGGTGCGAAGTGCCTCTCCGATGATAGCACGACAGCTGCCTCCGTATCGATCAGCAAGTGCTCGTGCACAGGCCTCTAACGCGGCCGGGCCCAATTGCTCCGCCGGCGCATTAATCAGGTCCCGCACGAGGTAAGCGGCCTCTGCAAAGCTCTCCACCATCTTCGTCTCGTCCGACACCTGCCATTGAAGTTGACGCAAGGCCCGTGGTTCCCTTGTCTTGTAGGCGTCGAATGTGTAGGTACCAAGCGCCCATGCTAGGGCGATGGCAGACGGCGGGAGTCCAGCGCAGCCACGTCGCAAAGCATACGCACCTGGAGGTATTCGAGATGGAATCGCTGCCAGAGGCCAAGGGACCCGCAGCAAATCACTCGAACATACATAGTCCGTGCGTACGAGTACGCTCCATGGCGCCTGCGGTATCCCGGACCCGGAAGATGCCTCCTCAGCGCCCGCAGCCGACGATAGCGACGGTGACGGAATGCATTGGCAGAAGAGGTCCCCGGTATCCGTGTTTGCCACGGACGAGAGGGTTTCCACGGTGCGAAGCCATACCTGTAGTCCTTCAGGCTGCTGTGCCAGCCAGGCATCAAAGCCTCGGCTGCTGAATAGGTCAATTGGCGTGGTACAGGTTGCAGAAGCCGCCGCACACCAGCTCTGGCGAAAGCGTCCGGCGTATGCCAGCACTCGTTGGCCCCAGGCTAGCAAGAGCTCTGGCGTGCTTTCGTCAGGGACATATTCACTGAAAGGAGTTCCCGCCTTGGCATAAATATGGAATAGTCTAACGTGTCTACTGTGGGAGAGCGAATGCCAGTTGGCGATGTAGCGAGTTCGAACGCGACCGCGTGCCCGCAAGTCTGGTACGTCCGCGCGGAAGCTGCCACAGTTCGACTGGAGAAACGCGTTCCGGCGTTCAGAACCTAGACAAGAAGCTGGACGTACCCACGCACGCATCAAATCTTTCAGATGAGGCTACGGGTTCTTTGCAGGTACCACCGATACTTCTGTGCTGCGAACCGAGTTCGACGCGGACCCGAAAGACGTCGAAACGCCCTGCAGCGTCGACGGCATCGCGCCTCGGGCTGGGCATCCTCCCGGTGCCGACTTCTGGTGTTGGTGCGTAGCGGCGTTGTTCATCCTCGCAGTGCAAGGCATGGGGCAGCAAGCATTTGTAGCAGCGCGCCGCCGTGCATGAACGTGCTGAAAAGTCGCGCTGCCTCGAGGTCGCGGCTTCAGCAAGGCCTCCAGCGTCACACCATGTACTCAAGATGTGCTCGTCGTTGCGCTAATGAACGCAAGCTTTTGGAGCGATCGAACCTGTAGCCCCTGATGGGAATATGCATCTGGGCATCCCGAAGCATACAGGCGTCTAGAGCGGAACGATAGGACGCTTCTCAGCGTGCCGGTAGCGATGGGGTATCAACGGGATTCACGTTTGATGCATCGACCTTGTACGATAAAGCTTTTGGTGTCGGTGTGTGCAGGTATGCGCTGTTGTAGAGGCTGCACATGCAATGCATGCATCCAGACCAAGAAAAACAATGCTGAAGAGCATAGCTGTATCCTCGCGAGCGCTCGCAAGCAAGCGCGATATCGTCCCGGGTCATGCACCTGCGAAGATGCACTGGACTATGCAGCGCTGATCCGTTCAGGCCGTTCTAGAGTCCCGCAAGCGATACCGTTCACCCGCAAGAACGCGAAACACCGGTTTTTCCGAGTCGCATTGCATTCATCGACAAAAGCAGTCATACCACCAACGATTAGAACCGAGCCTGTGCTTCATGGATGCGACTTGAACCCATTCCTCAATCACAGTCGCTTGCATGCCCTCCAAGTACTGGAGCACAACATCCAGCACCCGTTGACCTGCCGTGCTATTCGAGAGCTTACGTCCAGAGTTTCCGAATGTTACACCGCAGTAGGAGTGCCCGTTAGAAAGCTGATCTCCATGAGGTTGCAACGAAGCTGCTCCGCGGAACGTGCGACGGCGGCACCGGGGTTCCCGGGCGCTCCGGAAGCCGCTGATGACAGGCGCTTCCCCCAGTGGACCCTGCGAAATGACCCTGAACTTGAGAGAGAAGTATGGTGCACGGCTCATAAAACCTAGAGCTAATGTTTAGAATGATGGACGCTCTCGCTATATGTCATCCATGATAGCGCCAGCGATGATCTCCAATTCATCTGGACGATCTATCGATGAGCAGGTCGCATGAGGCGACGATCCCCCCTGCTCGTGGATTCAGCAGCAGCAGCGGCGGCGGCCTGAAAACATCCACCCCCGCATCCCTGGAACTGCTCTACGCGGCTGCTGCGGCTTCTGATCCGTTCGAAGGTATCGCCAGTGCCATGTCGTTTACGAAACACCTGCTCATGCACAACTGCGACGTATGGACGCCGGACTGGTATAATCCAACGCAAGATCCGCAGCTTGGGACGACTATCATGGCTGTGGAGTACGACGGCGGGGTGGTGCTGGCCGCTGACTCTCGAACCTCCACCGGTACCTACGTAGCGAACCGTGTCTCCGATAAAATCACTGCCGTTGCACCGCCGTACATCTACTGTGCTCGTTCAGGCTCTGCAGCTGATACGCAGATGCTCGCGGACACGGTGCGGCGGTACGTCACCGCGCTCGCCTTGGAGACGCAGCGCCCGGCCACCGTACGAACGGCAGCAGCACTCTTCCGTGAACTGATCTACCAGAATAAGAGCCGTTTAACTGCTGGTGTGATTTGCGCTGGCTGGGACCCCCTCAACGGTGGACAGGTATACTCGATCACGCTGGGGGGAACGCTGGTCCGCCAGCCGTTCTCAATCGGGGGTAGCGGGAGCACCTACATCTACGGATACTGCGATGCGTCCTATCGTAAAGGGATGAATCGGGAGGCATGCATTGCATTCTGCCAGCAGGCAGCATCGCTTGCCATGGCAAGAGATGGCAGCTCTGGTGGCGTCCTACGAATGGTATGCATTGAGGAGAGCGGTGCGCAGCGTCTCTTGTTTACGGAGGATCAGCTTCCGCGCGGTTGGCAGGGGTAAACGCGTCTTCCTGGGAGAGTAGGCGCTGAAGAACGTGTTCGACGGTTTCCTGGATGTATGCAAAAGATGCATGCACATATTTCCCCCAGAAAGGAAAGGTTTTCCAGCGCGTCGCCGGGAAACCCGGACTCCCTATGCCCTGCAGTATACGCGTGATCTGCAGGGCGGTGCACGGAATGCGCGGTGGTGTGCATAGGTCCTGTTCCGCGTGCATTTCCTGTCCACTTCGATATAGCGAATGCAGTAGGGCGCGAATGTCGGCCATCAAGAGTGCGTGGTCGTTGGCCAGACCGGTATGCGCAGACACTGGAGTACGAGGCGATGAGATGGCAACGCAGGCAGGCGGCAGCTGCCCAGTGCGAAAGTAGTGATCCACCCATTCGCGAAAATGCGCTTCTATCTGGCTAGAACAAGCCTCAGTTCGTCCAAGTTGCAGCACGGCGCGCGCTAGAAGTTCCATCTGTTCGAGACGTTCGAGGAACGCGCGCTGGTGCGCGAGGCGCTCCGCCACCAGCGCATCCGTCCAGGCTCGGACTTGCGTGGCAAGCGGCGGCGGCGGCGGCTGACCAGAATGACATACCACGAGACATTCGCCAATTGTTTGCATCGTGATGATGCCTTGGTACTGTAGACGGCTGCAGCGGTCGAGCACCTCAAAGGGCGACATAGAGAGCGCCTGTGAGACAGCGTCGAGACGAACGTTACAGATGCTCGGGTGGCGCAAGCGATGCGGAGCCTCGGCTGCGGAAAGGCGCACCAGCTCCTGGCAGAAGCTCCGAATATCCTCTGGCAAACAGGATACAGCTTGATGCAATGTGATGCGTAGCGTTGTGGGCACGCGTTGGCGTGCTCTCCACGGCGCTGCGCCTACCGTGGAAAGCGCCTCCCCGGCAATGACAGTGAATCGAATGATGAGTTGTTCCAGGATCGTTGCTGGAATGTCCAAGGTATTCTGTAGTGTAGCGAGGTCGAGGAGCGTAAAGCGCTCCGCAGCGCCTTCATTGCCAGGATGAGAGGATTCCGAGGTAACAACGACGCTCGCAACGAGACTGCGTACAAGTTTGCGAATCAGGGCCGGCTCTACCTGCTCGGCGAGAGCGAGCGCGCGCAAACGCTCTGTATCGGCTGCATCGTAGAACAGGTGACTGAAGGCGCTCGAGCGGTCTTTGCCAGCACAACTTGTCTGCTGCAAAAGGTCCTCGATGCTGTTCGGAATGCTCCAGTGGACTGTGCAGCAAGCGGCGGGTGCGAGCGTTCGCAATGCGGACGAGCTGGTGGCAACAACCACGCGACAATGATGCTGGCGAAATGCTTCTTCAACTTTGCGGCGCTGTTCGGGGTTGAGTCCCGCGTGATAGCTGCGGGCGTCTATCAAGTGGTTTTGGAGCCAGGCTGCAAGTGCATCTGCATCGCGCTGTCGCGAAACGTAGATGAGCACAGGACCTGTCCACTGTTCGTCTTTGCTGAGCATTCGAACGAGCGTGCGGTATCGATCAACGGGTGTCGAAAAGCTAAAGTGCAGCTTCGAAGGCACCAAGTCGCTCTTTGGAGGTAGCGCCTCAACCAATGCTCCGGATACGACGGTGGCAAGGCAGGCTCGTACTGCTGGTGTTGGCGTTGCGGTCTGTGCGAGCAGGACGCATCCAGTATCGGCGGCGAGATGTTGTTTCAGCAGCGGTTGGATCTGCCAATAGGACGGCCTGAACATGGCGCTCCACGGGAGCAGCAGGTGCGCTTCGTCAAGCACGACCGCGCTCGGATGCAGATGCTCAACAAACGACTGCACCTGGGGCTGGCAGAGGCGTTCCGGCGTGCAGAAGAGCACTTTGTACGCACCTATTTGCGTTGCCTCTAGAGACTGGAAGCCGCATGCGGTCTTGAAGCCATTGTTGGTGATCTCAGCGGCAGGCAACTGGGACGGCAAGTTTTCGAGTGCCTCGCGGATAAGTGATCGAAAGGGCTCGCACACCAGAACAGTTCCGCTGGTGAGCGCAGCGTAGAGCTCGTAAATCATGGACCTACGGCTTCCAGGCCGTATACCCAAGAGTACGGACTCGCCGCGGAGCAGGTGTTGCAGAGCCTCGGACTGCTCGCTCCGCAGCTCGAGTCCAGGCATGAGCTCTGGGACCGGACTCCGAAAATCGGAAGATTCAGAGACTTGATAGAGGGCTGGTGCGCGCTCGCACTGTCGCAGCATCGATATATCACATGAAGGCTGCGGGGCGGACTCGAGTAACCAGCTGGTTGCCGCTTGACACTGGAGTCGATGGACGTGTTCCCATAGAAAGAACGAGCAGCGAGGACGCTGCCCACAAACGTAGTACGCTCGTTGGATCCGGCCGCCGTAGCCCCGCGAGACACGCCGTATGCACGGTTGGTTATGTTCGCGGCAAACCGGTGGATCCAATGGAACTTGTTGTCCATCGGGTTGCCAGGGACAATCGGCGACATCCTCCGCAGTGAGTGTGGCCCGTTCTGGATCCGCAAGCGAGTCATCAACGCATGTAGCTTGCCGAAGCGGGTGACTCCACCTGGAGCGGCCCGCCCACAAGCCAGTTCGATGCTCACCGCGACGACGTCGCTGTGCGAAACCGGCTCGAGCATCATTCGGTCGCGCCAAAGCTCGCTTTCTCTTCTTCTTCGTTTGGAATCGACCGAAAGTCGGGGGCGGTGCTGTCACTCGGACCGCTGGAGTGGTGACGACTTGAGGGCCCGGCGCCGGCTCCATGCGCGATCAGGTGCGAGGAGCCAGGCTCTATTGCTGGAAGTGGCGCTCGTGCGTTGTCAGCACGCCCTCGATCTGGAAATGCGATTTCGAAAGTGTGTCCGAAGCCTTTTGCACTTGCCAAGCTCGTGGACGAACGAAGGTCAACAGGAGGAGAGAATCCCCAGTCTCTGTGTTCTGACGGATCAGAGCGGACACGTTCCACTATTCTCTTGACTCTGGATTGATACAGTGGCCTCGAGCAAATCCTGTTTTCAAGGCCACTCAGCGCCGCATGCGGCAGTCTGGCACAGAGCAGCCAAACGGGCACGCGTCGCCGTCACCGCAGCAGTAACGGGAACTTTGGTCACGAGTTTCCCCCGGAGACTGGAAACAGCCTCGAACCCGTGTTTGTTTGGTGAGCGGTAAGCACCAGAGAAATAAGACGCGCGCAGCAGTCCGCCCCGTGTCCGTAGCTGCTCTGTTTGACGCGCGTCACAGGGACTCGGAGCGCTCTACCGACCACAGCTAGCGACCAACGAGCAGCGAGGCTCCTCGCTGGCCGCAGCGAACAGTTGCCTAAAGCGATGCGTTATCGGTGCGTGCAGGCGCCGAGATGAAGAGCGCTCCAGCCCCAACGAAGTCACGCGCGGAACCAACAGGCCGTGTAAAGAAGTCGCTCAACACACACACACACGTTCTTGGTCTACGACGGCCAGTTTCTTGCCCTATTGATTCCTTAAGCGTTCTCCAGGCGTTTCCCGATAACCCAAGACTAGTGGCAAACTATACACTACTGGGCCCGAAACCGAGTTCGAGAGTCATGCAACCGTCTGACCGAATCGCGAGCTTCGGCAACGCCGGGTGTCGCGAAGACTTGTGGACAAAGCGGGGGATGTGCTGATTCCTAATTGAGGGTGTTTTTGGCGCCAATTTTCATGAGGCGCCTTGGGAGCGCTCCCGAGATGTGCGCTCCTTCTTTCGGATTGCATCTTTCCTGCTCTACAAGACGTTTCCATGGACCATGGATCCCAGACTGCTCACTTGGTAGCAGCATTTGGAGAAGCATCCTTCATTCTGCACGCTAGCTTCAAGTTCTATTCCTTGAAGTCCCAGTCGAAGATACCGGACGTTCCTCACGTTCAACAGTCGTGCGCAACGTGCCAGCCACGGGCGTTCGCCATAGCGCCTGTGGCGCCACTGCGTTCATAGGACGGAGACAGAACGGCATTGTAGTACCACTGGGGGCGTCGGCTCGAGGTTCGGATTCCTATCGCATTAGATTCGCAGAAATCTCGGCGATGCTGTGCTAATCCGTGAGCGATCACGCGGCTGTGCTGCTCGCACGTCGCGCGATATGCGTGATCTTGGATAGCGCGCTCCAGTGGTGCACTGCAACGTCATGCTCTGCCGAACAGAGACTTTGTGTTCAGTCGTCTCAAATCAGAGCATTCTACGGCATACGAACACGAGTATCGGTTGCGGTGCTATACAGAACCTATGACCGTCTTTGGACCAGGTGCGACTGCTGTGGAAAACAAGCGCCTCTTGGATGGAGTTTCGCAACACTCCCAATAGTGCGGTGGACTCGAAGCATCCGTTCGAACGGCAGGGTTGCATCTGGAGCGACCTTCGATCGAAGTCATGTTCCACGCGTATCTGCGTGCTCGGCTCCGGTTTGGTGCCTCTGTTCCGTGCAGAGGCACCTGAAGCGATTGGGACGCGAGACTCGGTGCGCGACCAACGTATGTGCCACGGGCGAACAGCCGCGACTTTGTTTCTGGAATGTTTAGCAGGATCCGGTATGCGATACAGAGAAAACGAAAGCCTCCTTGATGATGTATTGGCGACGCTTTGAGGCGTAACGCGGATCTACGAACTGGTGCGCACCAGCAACCCCATTCTAGAGCAGTCGCTTTGCCTTGATCGCTGACATGAGCTCAGAGCCATGCATCTGCGGCATGGGAACCAACGATCATGCTCCTTAGAAAATTATCTTGCTTGTGGTTTGGATAGCGGCCTCAGCATATTTCCATAAAAGTTCCCAGAAGGCCCAGCGCGTGCTCCTACGGGTTTTTCGCTGCCGATGCGATTCGGCCGCCACGTCGCACGTTGGGTTGCATCCCGTCGCGCGAGGCTTCCGAGCCTCCTGCAAAAGAAACTATTGCAGGAGCTAGATATACTCAGTAGTATCGAAGCATGGAACACCGCAATGTTTGACCATTTGCCCAGAAAAATCGTTGTCTATGGAGGTGTGTATGGCGCTCCAGCCTTGATGCGTTGCAGACCCGTACCACACCAGTGCGTTTTCCTCCTCGCTACTGATTGTTTTCATCGAAAGTGTGCGGCTTTTCAGCGCAATGTCTACGGTGACTAGAAAGCGATTCCGTCGGATATTCGCGGCGTGCGAAGCCGCCGGACGCTGCGGCAGCAAGAGACATTTCCCGATCTCGGACGAGTCGCTCAAGTCTCTATTCGGAACTCGCCTGCAAGCGCTGGTGCTGGTGGAGTCATGCCCTAGCAAGCCTCTGAGTTTCGATTGCCTCGCCATCTGGCGTGCAGTCAACTTGCCCTACACCGTCTCGTGTGTCCGGGTGTGTTTCACGCTCTGCGACTCTGCTAGGCTCACGGAGCGCTCTTGCTTGTGATGCGTTGATCTAGTGCGGGACGCATCGACGGGCGTCGTGCAGCATCGATTGCTGAACGCGTTGTACGCTGGCGTCGAATGAGCGGGAGTGCACCCTCTGGGAGCTGCGGTGCGTCGATTGCCGCAGACTACCACGAGACGAGGCGACGCATCGGTCATGACCTGGTCCAGTGGCTCGAGCGAGCAGGCGAAAGCACGTGTCGTGCATCCGTACAACCGAGACGATTGGCAATGCCGTCGCTGCCTCATGTACGCCAGCCAGGGATTGTCAATGGCAGCTATATCGACTCTCTTGTGATCTCTGCGTGAAAGACGCATACGAAGCGTTCCAGCGTGTTTGCTACGGTGCTTCGAGCATCAGGATAGGTTCTGAGGCTGTCACTACGTTTCATCGTATGCCTGCTTGCAACCATCATACCCGAATGCGGATCACACCGAGCGGTGGAAAATTCTGAACAGCATCCTTTGCTTTCCGTACAAGTGTTTGGCGGCGGCTTATTGATTTAAGGGTTCAGCGACGGTCATGATGTTCTTAAACCTGGGATACACGCGCAGCACCAAAGCTCTTTCAGCATCTACCATCATCGGTTGAAAATGAGTCCCGATGCTGGGCTCAGGCCAAAGCATCACGAGCTTCTTGCACTTCATACAGATTGTGATTCCGTAGGTCTCCCACTGCACTCTAACCTGCTCTCGAGTTCCTCGCTGGAAACCAGAAGTCTCGAACGGGCTCAACCAATGCTCATTGCGAGGCTTTTCGGATGCATCTTACATCTTCGCAGAGACCAACGCCTTAAGAGCCATCTCTTTTACGCGAAGAGCTGGCATGGACGCCGCCCCTATACTCCGTATCCGTGTTTCCTCTGGATTCAGACGCACTGGGTGAATCGTGAGGCAAAAGCTCGAATTTCCTATCTGACCATTTTCTTCAATGCATCAACCTTTCGTCAAAGGCCAGGTTCATGGACCGAATCGCGCCTTTCCCGCTAACTACCGCACACGAGAAGACAAACATCCGAGCAGCTCAGGCCTGGTGATATCTCCAAAGAACGATCTGTCGAAGAACAATGTCCCGAATGCGAACGACTCGCCAATGGATCGGTGAGCGTCAGAATAGCGGTTGACAAGCATGAAGACAACATTCACTGGACGGAATGAGGGAAACCGGCTGGCTCGAAGAGCACATCAGCGCCAGTCCCCGTCGCATATTCCTCGACTTCTGTTGCGTGATGGATATTGGCCTTGTCCTAAAGCGCTACGGAACAATCCAGCAAGCAGGTGCAGCGAACTGCTCCGACGAAGGACTCGCATGTTCAGCGATTCTGTCCGTTTGGCGACTGGTAGACGACCCAACGAGAGAGCATTGCCACCAAGGCTGATGCTCCCGGAATGCTCGCGTGTCTCTTCTTGACGTACAGCGGGTTACCTGTCTTTGAGCACCCATCTACCGGTCTACAGTTTCCTAGAAATAATGCCTCATTGAATGGGATGAGCACCCATTCCTCTCGTGATGAACGTTCGTATTTCCATCCGAAATTGGCAGGGTGTCGTGCAACGCGCGGCGGTCGCTCATAAAAGTGTGCGTGTTCCTTCGTGTACCAATGTTGCTTCTTCACCGTTCGCGTCTGCAGCACGAAAACTGGACATACTGTCTCTTATTGGTCGCGTCTCCGATACAACTTGAACGGTATGGATAGACGAGGAGAGAATCTTGCAAATCGAGGGTCATGCATACTGTCTGAGATGCACGATGTTCAGGATACGGGCCTCGAGGGAGGTCGTTCGTCTTCCTGGTGCATGTGGAATGTCTGACTGACTGACTTGTACAAATAAGACCGCTTTCTTTGTAGACGAGCAATGACCACAGCATGCCGCTCCTCGACCCGTCTCCAGTTCCCATTACACAATTCTGATTTTGAATACCTGCGAGGAAAACAAAGAAAAATTAAAAGTACTTATTGGTAAAGGTGCGCAACAACGCACTGCCCAAGAGATAACGTCGCGCAACGGCCAACGGACTGGACTTGGGTTCCTCAAACAACCTGACCTTGGATACGGGGAGCCGACTCGGCGTTTCGCGAGCCTGACGCCCGGTCCCAGCCGTGCGGTAGCGAACGTGTGTTCCGGGGGAGGCCCCTGTTCGCCGTGGGTGTCGTCGTCGACGGACACCATGCCGTCGGTGGACACCAGCTCGGACGCTGACGGAAAGTCAACGCCTATTCAGGTCGCACGTGGCCTTTATAACTTTCTGCGAGTGGTTGGCGGGACGAATTACGAGCGGTCGGCGCTGGTAACAGATTTAAGTATTGGACTTGCGCTTCTGATCCAACGCAAAGAACGGGAACGAGAGCAAGAGCGAGAATCGTGGTTGGCAAGTCTCGAGAGAGAGCAAGTGCAGCTCGAGGCAGCGGAACTCAAGCGACTGCACCACTTTGCCCGACTAGCGCACGGTGCCTACAGCGCCAACGACGAGGAGCTCTTCAAGCATACACCGGTGTACGCGAAGACGCTCTTGAAAGCGCGGTGGTCCAGCAGTCAAGAAGAGCCAGCCTATTACATTGCAATCGACGAAGCCTTCCGTTCGATCGTGCTAGCTATCCGCGGAACCGATACGTTCTCTGATGTCTTCACGGATTTGAGTTTACATCCAACGCCGTTCCTGGGGGGCACTGCGCACGCTGGAATGACCCGTGCTGCTCTGCGACTCTACGATGAGGTCAGGGAAATGTTGCGGACAGCGCGCACAAACTATCCAGAGTACGACCTGGTTTTTACGGGGCATTCGCTAGGTGGAGGCGTTGCCTCTATCCTCACGATGAAACTCTTATGGGAAGACGATCCGCTGCTCCGCCTCTTCGAACAGCACAACCGACCGAAGCTTCTTGCATATTCATACGGAACGCCTGCCTGTGTATCCCTCGAACTGGCGAGGAAAATTCAGGGGAGTCCTCCCGACCTGCGAGACGCATTGACCACCGTGGTGCTCGGAGACGATCTCGTTCCACGGGCATCCGCCGCGAGTATGGATCGTATCGTGCGGGAGCTTGCTGCATTTAACTGGCGAGAACAGATCGCGAACGAGTTTAGCGAATATGTGAATACGAGCAGCCTTGCGCGCTGGTCACAGCATGTTATCCGTTGGTCTATCCCGCGGGACCAGGTGCAGCGCTTTGTCACTGAGATCGGGCAACGGCTGAGCAAAGCATCCTCGTCGATCAAAGGTGCGCGCCTCGGAAATACGTTTGGCCTTGTAGCAGCGGTAGCCGGCAGTGCCTCTGGCTGGATGAACTGGTATGGGAACCTTTTCCAGAAAGAGCAGCCGCAGGAGCGAGAAGCAGTGAATAGGGCTGAACCTCGACTTGCCGAACCGGTAGCGCTTCCGCAGTTCTACCCGCCAGGCGGTTGCATCTGGCACCTCCATGAGGTGTCACTGCGAGCGGGGGATCAGCGAGGGCTCCCTGAAGGCGCCGCCTCAGAACATGGAAGGGTGCGCCAACAGCTCGTCCAAGACATCTCGAATATTAGTCGTGAGGTATGGAACGAATTGCCGACGCTCAAGCAGCCCAACGAGTCTCCCGAGGCTCCCGGCAACGACTGGGATCGCTCCAATGCGCCCGAGGATGCTGCTGAGAGCATTGGTGCGGAGCCTCAGCGTCTACTGCTTCTCCGAACATCACCAGACGCTTTTCATGACATCGTGCTCAGCCGTCGCTGCTTCAATGATCATCTCATGCGCAATATTCGGCGCGCACTGGCAAGACTCTATGAACAGCAGTACAGGCAGCCACGGCTCGGCGAGCATGGATCCAGTTAAAACGAGGGTCTGTGCAGAGCCGCATCGCGACGCGGAAAAAACTGTATTCTAAGAGAATTGGCACCTGGAAAGGTGCGGTGTCAACGTATGAACCGGATGAGCAGAGTTCCCGTGGCGCCAAGGGTGCTCGGGTTCAAGTCAGGATCAGCGTGGATATCGTCTGTTTTCTGGATGGAAACTCTGGATTCGGTCTCGCAGAACATCGATGCATCCGCGGCGGAAGAGAGGCATCGTTGCTGGTCACCGGCAGCAGTCCTGGGTCCGCGGCAGTCTGGTGCGAGCCGTTTGATCCTGCAGCATAAAAATCGAAGCAGATATAGCTGCGCGCTGTGAAAGGTCTTTCCGCATAGGCAACGGGTTCGAGTCCACGCGAGGAAACGCAAGCGCTGACATCGTCCAGCGGCAACGCCCTCAAAGCACGTCTTGACAAAACGGCTCGCAAAATGGCCCACTTTATTCGGCGGACGATCGCTGCGACACAGCTCCGCACGCTTCCGCATGCAACTCCAAAGGCGCTGCACAGTTCCAGCTCTTCAAACGCAAAGCCGCTGGATGCCTTTCATTTGACCCGCACGGGCGGTCGAACAACTACGGACATGCCTCAGCGAAGAGCTGCATCTCAAACTGCATCGCCGGTGCATACGCTATTTCATTCAACTGCTGAACCAAACGCTCTAACGTTTCAGAGGTCGCACTGCACCATTGCTCCGCGTACAAGTCAAGGAGAAGCTCAAAGCTTTCCGCCAATTCTTGAAATTTTGGGCTGGAATACGTGGCCACCCATGTTGCGCGGGCGCTCTTCCTAGGGTCATGGTCATCTGCGGCCTGTATATGGACCGACAGCTTTCTCCCAATGAACGCATAGAGCGACATGCACGGTACCATAGCGGCTACGAGCAGCAAGCGTGCTCGTCGCCAGGATGCTTCCACTGGAGCGATTCCGCCTTGCTCCTCATGGAATGCACCACTAGCGTGTATGAGCTCCTCTAAAAGTCCACGACTGTGACGCATGAGGAGTCGAAGATATCCCTGGCAGACTTTATGCAGTGCAGGGGCGCTGTTCTGCCTATTTGTCGACGAGACTGAGCGCGTCGCAGTCGCAGTCGGAGCCGCAGCCGCAGCCACCAGCTGCTGTGCCCCGTGTTTGGCGGCGACCTGTTCTTGGGCAGAAACGCTTCCACGCTCGGCGGCTATGGCGTGGCTTAACTCGGCGAGCACCTGGTGCTCCCAGCCTGTTTCGGCGGTGAAGCAGAGCAGACCCAGGCACCGCCAGTAGCCTGCTAGGAACTCAGTGTCAACGGAGAGGAAGCTAGCCAAGTTCGATTCCGATAAAGTACCTTGGGCCAATTCGCGAAGCCACGACGTCTGGAGTGCTTGCTCGATTACCGCAGAGTTTGACTGCCACAAAAGCTCGCTAGCGCAGGTCATAAAAAGCCTCTGGAATAGCAGGCAGCGAGGCGCGTTTCTTCCGGTTCGAGACGCTCCGACAAGGCCTTTCGAGAGCAAGAGAGGTTTAGACGGTTTTTGCTCGTGCGACGTGACGTTAGATACACGTTGCATGCAAGCTGTGGTCACCGTTCACGCCGACTGAATACCGCAACCCCATGCTTCAGTTGCGCTTCCCCGGTTCAAGTGTTAAGGTCGATAGGCCGTGGAGTGGTTGCGTTTTTATTGGCTCGGAATCTCCGCTGCAAGCAAGCTATTCAACTATTTGGCGCTGCGTCTGGTGTTTTTCTTGAAATGCCCAGTCTCGTACTCTACCCGTATGAGAATAAAACGGAACTGGTCCAGTAAGCAGAGTTGGGCATACGCTCGAGATTTTGAATGTGTGCCCGGCATGTTCAAAACAAGTCCATGCGGGATATTCTCTGACTGCATTCGTTACCCCGCTCGTCTCACAAGCTGTGCATACGTCGGTCTCTCATGTGCTTCCAGCTCCGTCGTCGTTATTGGAGTAAATCTGATGGCAGCGTTTTAGTTCGGACGTCGCTGCATCCGACTGTAGTCTATGCATTACACGCGCCAGCGGGCGTTGCGATCCACGCCTCATTTGCCATGCTCAGCTTCTTTATAGACAGTCCCGATGCAGTCGCCAAAGCGGTGACACTTGATTATGGTTAGCTGCGCTCACATGCTCACCATACAAGCCGTCTCTCAGCGAGCGGCCTCTGTGGCGCCTGAACGCTTACTCCATCACGCGGTAGATGTCGGTTTCTGGGTCAGAAGGCCCGCCTCGATGCTCGAATCTGTTTTTCGCTGCCAATGGCTTGCCCTCCGTCACGGGCTTCTTCGTTGCGATCCACTCGGCGAGTACTCTGTCCGTTGCACGCTCGTACACACACTGTCCTACTCGATAGAGGATTTCCAGGACATGGTGCTGTCGATGATGAAATAAGTATCGAGTGGAAAATCCAGACTGGAGAACAAGTAGAGAAATCCTGATGCGTGTGCGCTCCCTTCGTGCAACGCAATGGTGCACGCTGCACTAGAAGCAATTGCTTCGACGAATTGAACCAAAGTCCAAGGCCTTTTCCCATGCAAGCTGAAGAGACGGGAGCTTCTGCTTGCGTGTCGCGTGCCAGGCACCATGTTGCTGTCGAATGCCGTTTCCTAGAAAGTTCCAGTGAGAGAGAGGGGCGTGTTGGTATTTCCCACGGAATCGATTCCTCTAGTTGATAGCTTCAGCATACTTGTGGGATGCGCTTATGGACAAGTCGTCAAGGAATTACATCAAGTTTTGTTGCTCGTCGTACCAGCAGCACGAATCGCCGCGCCGTCGACTTGCCCCGACACAGCAACATCAAAAACTTGAAGAATATGCGATTTGAGCGTCCCATACCCAAGGAAACGAGAAACGTGGAGGCTTGTACATATTCGTTGGACCACGATATCGACTACAATATGAATACTGGTTCGAGGGCATCCCCAATTATCTTGATTTCGGTGGCGTCTTCAATGCCATCAGCAGCGCCTCTAAGCAGCCACACCGAGAACACGACCGAGACTCCCGGAACGACGTATGAATCCGTAAGCCCATGGTGCTGCACTTTGATGTCGAGCATCTATATTTTGAACAAGATCGAAAAAGTTTGAAATGATGGAACAGAACGAACAAGACAGTACCCTAAATTTACCGTACACGGATGTGCAACACTCCTGCACCATGCGTGTGACGCCACGCAACGCCACGCGTGGCTACGCTACCCGCGACGCGCCAGCGAGGTTGCACGTGCTGTTGCAGCGGGCGCTTGCGTTGAGCGCGTTTCCCTCTTTTTCTTCAGCCGTTACTCTGCAAGTTTCTGTTCCGTGAACGTTTCCTTTTGAATCATTGGGCACTCTTGCGTTCGCCATGGACGGATTGTGGGCACGGAAGGACGGCGGAAACGGTCTTGTGGACGAGCAGGGACTCCGTGCACCACTCTCGGGTGGACTCGGTTGGGAGTCCAGGATGCGTTCCCGCTGGAATGACTGGCTGCGCAAGCTCGACGTTTACCCCAAGACTGTCGAGGACGTGCGCTTACGTTCTGTGACAGGAGGCATCATCGCTTTATTTTCGTACATTTGCATCGGTATTCTGGTCGTTTCAGAGTTTCTGCGGTGGTTGCAGCCCCAGCTCCACTCTAACGTGCTCGTGGACGCGCGCTCGATTCTCGATACCGAGCCAATCACGGTAGATCTGGGCATAGATCTCCTCGCTGTCGGTTGTGACGAGTTTAGCCTTGACGCGCTCACTGCGAACGGCGCGCAGCTCCCCAACAGTGTTGTGGAGCTGCGTAAACGCCCATTGGATGCGAGCGGTCAACCTGTGATATTTCCCCGAGGTGCATTCGGACGCAGTCGTCTGCGGAACGAGCGAGGTGGCGTAGCGCCAGCACCTCAGGCGCTAACGGAAGACCCGCCAAACACACAGCAACTCGAAGGGCGAGTATCCCAGGAAGTACGCGCGCAACTGAAACAGTATCGCGAAGAGGCGATAGCTTTCCGTGATCGCCTTGCAGCGTTGAACAAGACCGGTGTTGCGTATTGTGGCTCCTGTTATGGTGCTGTGCCTCAAACAGATCAAGTCGGGGAGGCGAATCAAATAACGTCCGGAGTATGCTGCAACACCTGTGATGAAATTCGCGTCCTGTACGAGGAACGGAACTGGGCATTCGATCAAGTGCTTCGAACGGCGGAGCAGTGTGCTGAAAAACGCTACTTGACGCTGCTTCACGAAGCCGGTCGTGTTCAGTCTGGTGGCTGTCGAGTGTCCGCACGTTTACAGCTACCACGGGTGGCGGGCAACTTTCACTTTGCTCCGGGCAAGGGCCATACGCACCGTATGGGCCATCATGTTCATTCGGTAGATGATCAGTTGCTCCACCGCACCTATAATTTCTCGCACCGTATTCGGCATTTGCGGTTTGGTCCGCTGTTCCCGCACCAGCAGAATCCACTTGACGGCGCGATGCGGATTCTGGAGCAACCGCCGCCGGGGTCACCTTTTGGCAACATGGTGCTGTATTATTGCAAGCTTATACCGACAACATACCGTCGAGACCGCCAGCGCGGCGACGCACTTCGATCGATGGAGTACGCAGCCGCAGACCTGACACAATCATCGGAACAGGATCGGGTGGGAATCACGCATAGTACGGGTGCATTGCCAGGAATATTCTTTTTTTACGAACCTCAGCCTTTGCAAATCGCGTACTTTGAAGGTCGGATGTACGGTTTGCTGCATTTCATCGTCCAGCTATGTGCCATTGTTGGAGGCGTTTTTACCGTAAGCAGTATGATCGATCGTTTTGTATTTGGGGCGGGAACCTTCATTCGGGCGCAGAAGCGCCGGCTCGGCAAGCTTGGGTAATATACTCAGTAGTATCGAAGCATGGAACACCGCAATGTTTGACCATTTGCCCAGAAAAATCGTTGTCTATGGAGGTGTGTATGGCGCTCCAGCCTTGATGCGTTGCAGACCCGTACCACACCAGTGCGTTTTCCTCCTCGCTACTGATTGTTTTCATCGAAAGTGTGCGGCTTTTCAGCGCAATGTCTACGGTGACTAGAAAGCGATTCCGTCGGATATTCGCGGCGTGCAAAGCCGCCGGACGCTGCGGCAGCAAGAGACATTTCCCGATCTCGGACGAGTCGCTCAAGTCTCTATTCGGAACTCGCCTGCAAGCGCTGGTGCTGGTGGAATTATGCCCTAGCAAGCCTCTGACTTTCGCTTGCCTCGCCATCTGGCGTGCAGTCAACTTGCCCTACACCGTCTCTTGTGTCCGGGTGTGTTTCACGCTCTGCGACTCTGCTAGGCTCACGGAGCGCTCTTGCTTGTGATGCGTTGATCTAGTGCGGGACGCATCGACGGGCGTCGTGCAGCATCGATTGCTGAACGCGTTGTACGCTGACGTCGAATGAGCGGGAGTGCACCCTCTGGGAGCTGCGGTGCGTCGATTGCCGCAGACTACCACGAGACGAGGCGACGCATCGGTCATGACCTGGTCCAGTGGCTCGAGCGAGCAGGCGAAAGCACGTGTCGTGCATCCGTACAACCGAGACGATTGGCAATGCCGTCGCTGCCTCATGTACGCCAGCCAGGGATTGTCAATGGCAGCTATATCGACTGTCTTGTGATCTCTGCGTGAAAGACGCATACGAAGCGTTCCAGCGTGTTTGCTACGGTGCTTCGAGCATCAGGATAGGTTCTGAGGCTGTCACTACATTTCATCGTATGCCTGCTTGCAACCATCATACCCGAATGCGGATCACACCGAGCGGTGGAAAATTCTGAACAGCATCCTTTGCTTTCCGTACAAGTGTTTGGCGGCGGCTTATTGATTTAAGGGTTCAGCGACGGTCATGATGTTCTTAAACCTGGGATACACGCGCACCACCAAAGCTCTTTCAGCATCTACCATCATCGGTTGAAAATGAATCCGGATGTTCGATTTGGTACTTTTTCGCACCTGTGCGGTCGATGCTCCTCGCGACGAGGCAACGCGGCGACGCTTTGCGGCATTCGGGGAAGCGTGTCTGCAATTCTGTGAACCTAGGATCCGGCCGTGTCACATCTTCTGTCATGAGTATCGGATGTGATGTCCCGTGGAGGTATCATCGCAGAATTTCAGACGACTACGGACAACTGGCACCTTTTGCGCCTACAACTCCTGCGAATAATTGCTTGACGAGGTGCGTCGAAACGAGGTGCGCTAGGCAAGCCCTGAACGAGTAGCAAGCCACGTGATCTCCAGTGGCGTCCAGAATGTTTCCCGTTCGCGAACCAGAACCGCATTTCTATGGATCGATCAGCGTCGAATGGCGATCGATAACAAAGAGAACGCCTTTCACGGCGCCGAACCTGGAGCATAGGTTGGTACGAAATGCAGCGCAACGCTGATTTCACGTACGAACTCGCTGAGCGTTTTTGCGTGATGCACAGTGACCTTTTCAAAGGGCAGGAGAGAAGCGTATGTGAGATTGAAGGCATAAAAAGTGCTTTGACGAGGCAGGAGCTGTTGAATGCTGGCGCCTATTCGGCGATTTGTCGCCCATAAAACCATGCCATCGACGCTGGTGCTGTTGTTGCCGGTACGCCCCCTTGTCTCTGTTTTATGATGTGCGGTTCGCCGCTCTTCGCATGCCCATATACATGTCTACCAGCTCCCGCGAATAAAACCCCATCGAGTGAGACGAGCACCCGTACCTTCGATAACCATAAGCATTTGTTATCCGTTCCGCAAGCGACAATGTGCAGGTCAACGCGGAACGGTGCCCTACCGAACCGCATCTCTGCTGTTGTCCGTCCGTGTCTCTTCATAGGTGTTGATTTCAATTGTATTGAAACTTCATTTGCTGGGGCTCCTCTCGTCGTTTTGCTTTCAGAATACATGGATGCGCATGGTTAGACGAGGACAGAATCGTATAGACCTAGTTTGTACATTTTCGTTTCGGGTGCATATTGTTCAGGATACGAACCACGAGAAGCGTGGTTCATCCACCTTCTCACCATACAATGACTGCGTTGTGAGTATGCGCTGGTAGAGCCCGCGTTGCAGCTCGGGACCCCTGTGCTGAAGCGCAATTCCCTTTTCAGCAGGCGCTGCATACGGTCAGTATAAAAAGTCCCATGACTGTGGAGGATATGTTAATACACCCACTAGCAGACGACTCCCAGTCTTTTTTCACCAGCCGTCTGGTATCGGTTTCAGTTTCTCCCTGCACACTTCGACCCTGCGATGGTGCTTCACAAAAATCTCTCGCCTCAGCTCCGCATACCGTCTGATACGAATGGCGGCGTTGAGGTCTCGGTGCTCGAACCTCTTGCATGCGTCGACGCTGGTTGAACTCACTATTGCAAGGATTCCTGGAATTCGCGCCCGATGTACCACTACAGCGTCGTCACCCTCCCGTCGGGAAAGCACCTTTTCTCTCTTATCTCCCGTCTTTCTCCTCTTCATCATCACTTGCTCCTCTCCGCTCGGTTACCGGTGAGAGCAGATTTCTTTTCGTTCTTTTTCGGCAGCCGGCGGCACTTGCCCCGCCCGGATCCTCGACTTGCATTTCCTTGCCAGTTCTTTCGATATTTTATTTCTTGAAATAAACGCGTTTCTTTACGCCCTTACGAGAAGACCTTCCCAGGGAGAGAGGGATCTGTGGATCAAAGGCGAAATATGCCCCTGGTTTGTCTCCGTGGTCTGAGCGCTTCAACGATTCGCACAGCGGGGCGTTCATTACGTTTCGGGATGCAAAACGCTCCATCGATGGGGTCGGACAACGCAACGTACCCAGGAATGAAAAGCAGCTCGACGTCTATAGAATCGGGGAAACAGCGAACGCAAGGGTAATGGTGAGATACCACGTTGTCCACTGGAGGGACGTCATCAGACGCCAGAGCAAAGTCCTCAATGGTTCGGCAATGTGGTTGTTGCTGTTGGACGAACCCTCTCTACGAGCGACACTGAGGCGGCCAAATGAACCCACTACTGCCAGAACAGATGCTAAGGTCGTTGTTCTCTTCGAGCTCGATTGTATATACAACGAGCTCTCCGCTCCGCCAATGCCCATATACGTTCCCAACGGTTCGTCCGAAGCAACTCTCATCGGCTGGAAAAGCAAACCGACGTTCCTGCGCCTCATAGAGATTGTGACGTCCCTTGAATCCTTGTCGTTGCGATTTCGGTGGAAGATGGCCGTGCGTGAACAAGCACTGTTTTGTGCCAGTATCCTAGTGTTTAGCGGACCACCCGAGCAAGCAGTCGAATTCCAGAGACCCGTGTGATGGCTGTCATCGTCGCTTTTGCTTTCCGAAAAGTGATCAATGGGTCGTTTTCTAGCATTTGCCGCAAGCACTCTTTGAGAATACCGGTTTCTGGTGCGGATCGCATATATTTGTTTCTTTCAGTGTTCCTCAACCATCAGACGACTATGGTGTGACTAACCTGAAGGAGGAATGCAGCCATCCTTGCACTGTTCAGTAAAGATTCTATCCTACGGGCAACACGTCCACGCTCTGTACGGTACATTCCACTGGCATTTCGACCTCCTACTATACACCACTGCTGGTGTGGTACAAAACTGAGTTCAAAGACCATAAGCGCCACAGTACAATGAGGCAACGCGAGGGATCGGGAACTGCGTTCCCGGCGCGTGGATCATTATTCTAAGTTCGCTTACGTTTCGAATGGCTGACGAGTATGGACGCTCTCGTAAACACTTTGGTCATTTCGGATACTCCGCAAGCAATCAAGGGAGAGCTCTATCGATGTTGTCCAACTTTTACGGTAACGAGTAACACCCCGATCAGGATGACGCTTCACTTGCTAGCGGTTGCAAATGGGTCCACGACGTCGCTACCAGAGCGGACCTCAATGATTTTCTGGCTCGCCGGCGCGCCAGAAACGTTGGAACAACGTATGCTCAGTAATGCACCGCCGCGCATGCGTATTCTTGCTGGTAGGTGCTTCAGGCATGGCGGTTCCGATCATGTTCGCCCGAGCTGTGACGCAAGCGCGTGCTCCTGATGCGGTAAATCTTCGGTCCATGAATCTATCCGGGATCAACAGATGTGTCGTGAAACGCTCTTCGGTAGCGAGGCCGGACCCAGCGAAGCATGCCGAGCGCCCAGGACGCTCTACTTGTCCAGACCAGTGCGGCCGCTGTTCCGCGGTTTGGATGTGAGAGCCCGGCCGGATCTTCCCCGCACAGCAGACAATCCATTCAGATCCACAGACGGTTTCGTGTAAGCACCGTGCGACGCGTGGAGCAGGCGAAAGCTCCCATCGACACCGATTCGTGGGTTGATCGTTGCGACGACGGCTCGTTTTTCAGAACGTCTGCTTGAGCGATCAGGCGAGAAGTGTCAGGGTCGGTGAGACGTGGTCTCGATCACGCTGAGGTCCCATACGCAGCGCATAGCATCTATTCCTGAATCCATCATCACATTACGGGGCATCGTCGCAGAGCTATAGGCACCACGGTTCCGAGTTCAACACACATCTCTAAGCGTGCATAACAGGATCAATCCCAACAATACAGCGCACCTCTGCCAACTTCTAAGCTCCAGGGTTCACGGAACTCGCGGCATTTGCGCGATCACCGCTGGGACGTGCCCATTCGACGGAGAGAATTAAGTGATCGTAACCGAAACCATTCAGTTTGGCGATGCAACGTTCCGCTGCTGAGCGTTCCGCGAACGCTGCGAACGCGAAACCCTTCGGCGCGCCGGTGTACTTATCGCGTGCCAGATAGATGCGCACAACTCGCCCAAATGGCTCAAGCAGCTGCCGCAAGTCATCTTCTGTGGCACCCTCCGTCAAGTTACTGATGCGGATGGAGTTTTCCTCGCGACGTCCATAGAGGGAATCTCCCTCACGCAATCGCGCCGATGCTCCTGACCGCATCGATGGCGGCACATATCGAGTTGCACCGCTGCTCGTGGCACTCGCCGCCATGCTGCCGCCCGACCCTGCGCTGGGAGCCCCAACTGCCCCAGTCGCGCCGAGTATGCCATCTGGAGCTGTTGAGGCGGCGCTACCAGGAAGACCGAGTCCATCGGCGGCCCCTTGTAAGCCCTTATAGGGGCAACGAAGTGTCCAGTGATCACCAACGCGCCCACATATACGGCAAACTACAATAGACTTGTTGGTCATGAGGTCTTCGCCACTACCGCTTCCGCCGCCGCCGCCGCCGCTCGCCGAAGACGGTGCCGCACCCAAACTTGGCACCGCCTCGCCACTTTCCTCGTCATCGCTGACCTCGGTGTTACGCGTGTTCCACTCGATGGGAATGTCTTCGTTTGCCTGTGTGGTGGTGTTTGCGTTCTCGGTAGCGGCGACCCCAAACTTGCGCCAGCAGCGCCGCCGCTCTGCAACTGCAGCGCACACCCGCCGTCGCTCAAGACGACGACGAACGCGCCGAGTCCGCTGAACAACGTATCCTTCGTCGTTGACGTAGTAATCCACGATCGTAACAATGCCGTCTGCGTCGGGTTCGCTCACTCGTGGCGGTGGTAGGCCACCGCCGCCCTTATCGAGTTGCGTGGTAAGCGCGCGCCCCAGGGACGCGACCGCATCGGGAGAGTCGTTTTCGGTCTCATCCCAAGCGTCCTCTGACGTCGTTGGCTCAACAGTTGCAACGCGTAAGCTCATCTGGGGAGTTCCTCGCGTCTGTCCGCGGCGAAAAATACCAGGCGTGCACGCCGTAAGCTAAGCGCTAGCAGGTACGCTTGCAAGCGGCGGATGCGCGTGTCGCGGCGTGGCTGCCGGTGATTTTCTTTCGATGGAAAAATATCTCTATGAACCATGGATCCCAGATTGCGTGATGGATATTTGCATACGGGAATGTTTCGTTTATGCTGCTATCTACCTTCAAGTTCCATTACCTATACTTCCTCTCGGATGTGCTGGTCGTTTCGTACGTTCTATCGTGCGCCCAGTACCTGCCTTGAGCGCTCACAATAACGCCTATAGCGCAAGTGCGGATGCTGCTCAGAGACAGAACGGGTTTGTCATGCCCGTTTGGGCGTCGGATGCAGGTCAGGATATGGACCTGTTTCCATGACAAGTGCAGCTGCCTTCTCGTGGCATTATCGCAGGAACGGAGAATCTCCCGTACACATCCCGATGCGAATGATTTCCATCGTGCACTGCCGCTGCAGATTAAACGTGTCAACGAAAGCGCGAACATTTGCTTCAACTCCTCAAACGTTGCACCAGTGAAAGACCGAGCCTGCTTATCACACATGCAATGGAAACCGGGCTGGCTCTGTCAAACAGATATGAGCTTCGCCCGCTGTACCTCTTTGCGAACAAAATGGAAGGGGCGCCCACCGAACGAACTCGGGCATACATACTCAAGTTTGGGTCTCTTCCCCATGCCATCAACACCAGCAAATTCGGGCGTTTTCTCCGACTGCTCTCTTTGCCCCTCTTATCTCCGTCTCTGAAGATGCACATCCCTACGGTGCCTCTGGCTCTGTTGTCAGCAGTCGAAGGATGTTGATGGCAGCGTTCAGGTGCCAATTTCGCCGCTCGCGGCTGGTGTCGACGCGTCTGATCCGCCGATGGAAGTTGCGAACTACACGTCATTTGCCACTTTCAGCTTCGTTACATAGAGCCTCGGTGCGCATTTCGCAGCGGTGACACTTGGATGTGGTCGGTTGTTCCTATGGGTCCACGGTGCCTCCTGTTTCTCCGTAGGTCGCTATGTGTCCCGTGAACGCTTGCTTCGTCGATTGGTATATGCCCTTGACGTCTACCCAGGGCTCTGGTTGATGTTAAATCCGCTTCTGCACCTGGTGCCGATGCTACGGACCCTGGCTTCTTCTGGGCCACTTGGTCGGCGATTACGCTGTCCGCTGCACATGGGGGCACACGCTGATCCGCTCAACAGAGGATCTGTGGAACGCGATGCTGTCCATTATGAAACAGGTGCCGGAAAGAGACCCCAGCCAGGAGCTCAAGCCGCAAAGTATCGATCCGTCTATGCATCCTCCGTGCATAGCGATTGCGCACGCTCTACTGGAGGCGGTCGCTGCGAGGACTGAATTCCGAGTCCGAGACCTTTTCTCCATCCACACAATAGAGACGGGAGCCTCTGCGAGTATATCCGATGAGAGGAACCGCGCTGCTGGTGTCGAATGCAACAATGTCGATGACCGCAAGCAGAGTAGGATATGTCTCCAGAACGGAATCGAATATTCGACGTGAGAAGCTACGGGATATGTCTGCAGAAGCTTGTGCCGTCGTCGCCACGGGAGGACGCCAAGTTGTTTGCGCTGGAAATCTGGCGGCGCGCGTTGCCGCACTCCACGGATTGCCCTGAAACAGAACGATCGAGGCTTTGAAGAATGCGTGATTCTCGTAAACTAGACGTAGGAGAAAGGAGTGGCGTAGAGGCTTCTGGGTGTCATCTGGATCCTGATATCTGGTATTTCACGCGACCTTGTTTGATGGCGTCGCGAAACATCTTGATTCCGGTGACGTTACCAAATCCAGCGGCCAAGCGTGGAAGGAGCCACTCGGAAAACACGACCTAAAATCCTTAAACTACCTACGAATTCGTACATCCTTATCGGTTCACTTGGAATATCGAGGCTGTACCAATAAAAAATTTCGGAAAAGAATCGAACTGCAAGAACAGAGTGAGCAATGTAGCGTTCCATTTCAATCTGACATAGATATATCGTCCCAGGCGCCGAGCACTACGAGAGCGATGCAATCGAAGGCTGCTCACGGGCACGCGATCCATCGTATCCCTCAGATTTCGACTCGATGCAAGGCATCTCAGCGTGAACAACAGCGCCCGTGCCTCGGGGGCGCTGTTTCCGATCGGCGTGATGCGCACCACGATTTTGGGAGCGCCGCCCCAAAAGAAGTTGCAAACGCCGCCACCAACATCGGGATTGGGGCGAGCGCCGTCGCAGGAACACCACAAATGCGCCTCTGCGCGCATTTCACCATCATCTAGATCGCCAGATTTGGATGCTTTACTAAACCGGAGATCAGAGCATAGACACCGAAGCGCAGTGGACATGATCGTAATAAATAAATCTGCATTGTCGCTTTCCGCAGAGAAAACGAACAAGCTTCTCAGCGTCACCACGCGGTCTTCATTGCGCAAACGAACGTAACGAGCCTCGTGTATAAAGTAGAAATGGCGGTCTCCAGGGTGCTTATTGTGGCTTGCCTGACCTTTCTAGCAGCGTTTGCATCGCTTGCTCAGGCATATGAATACAAGCAGCAGTGCCAGGTAGAGCAGGTGTGTGCGCAATATGTGAACCAATGCCAGCAGTATGAGAATGTATGCCTTCAGCCATATCAGAAGTGCAAGCAGTACGAGCAGATTTGCGTGCAGCAGCAGCAGCAGTGCAAGAACTATCAGACTGTGGAGAAGCCAGTGAAGGTCTGTGTCCAATACGAGAAGGAATGCATCCAGTTTGCATACAAGGAGCAGTGCAAGCAGCAGGAGCAGGTGGTTCAGCAGCAGTACTGGTATCGTCGCTGGTACAAGCAGGAAGTGCCGGTGAAGCAGGTGTGTCAGAAGCAGCAGTACTGCGTCCAGTATCAGGAGAACAAAAACAAATGTGCGCAATATGGAACACAGTACCAGAAGATTCAGGAGTGCGTGCAGTACGAGAACCAATGCGTCCAATATGGACAAGGCAAGTGTCTTCAGTATGAACAGGCTTGTCAGCAGTACGGGCAGAAGTGCGCGAACTATCAGCAAGTGTGCAAACAGTACCAAAAGGTGCTCGTCTGCAAGAAATATCAGCAGGAATACAAGAAGCAGTATCAGCAGCAGTACTACGCGCAGGGATACTACTGAAGGAGCTTTGCGATGGACGTGGTGGCTGGTCATCTCTATGTGAGCGGACAGAGGACAGAGTCCGCGGAGTGACGTGGGAGTGCTAATGGACAGTATATCTGATGGAAGTGTACAAGGACGTTCATTGTAGTGCCTTGAACAATTATAAATTCTGAATTTCGTCATCATTTCAAAGCGCCCTTGTCTGAGTTGCCATCTGCTGCCCTGGCCCGTGGATTGTCGCATCGCTTTCATGGCGCGTCTGCTTCTCTGTGACGTCAGATTGAAATGGAACGCTACATTGCTCACTCTGTTCTTGCAGTTCGATTCTTTTCCGAAATTTTTATTGGTACAGCCTCGATATTCCAAGTGAACCGATAAGGATGTACGAATTCGTAGGTAGTTTAAGGATTTTAGGTCGTGTTTTCCGAGTGGCTCCTTCCACGCTTGGCCGCTGGATTTGGTAACGTCACCGGAATCAAGATGTTTCGCGACGCCATCAAACAAGGTCGCGTGAAATACCAGATATCAGGATCCAGATGACACCCAGAAGCCTCTACGCCACTCCTTTCTCCTACGTCTGGTTTACGAGAATCACGCATTCTTCAAAGCCTCGATCGTTCTGTTTCAGGGCAATCCGTGGGGTCCGGCAACGCGCGCCGCCAGATTTCCAGCGCAAACAACTTGGCGTCCTCCCGTGGCGACGACGGCACAAGCTTCTGCAGACATATCCCGGAGCTTCTCATGTCGAATATTCGATTCCGTTCTGGAGACATATCCTACTCTGCTTGCGGTCATCGACATTGTTGCATTCGACACCAGCAGCGCGGTTCCTCTCATCGGATATACTCGCAGAGGCTCCCGTCTCTATTGTGTGGATGGAGAAAAGGCCTTGGACTCGGAATTCAGTCCTCGCAGCGACCGCCTCCAGTAGAGCGTGCGCAATCGCTATGCACGGAGGATGCATAGACGGATCGATACTTTGCGACTTGAGCTCCTGGCTCGGGTCTCTTTCCGGCACCTGTGTCATAATGGACAGCATCGCGTTCCACAGATCCTCTGTTGAGCGGATCAGCGTGTGCTCCCATGTGCAGCGGGCAGCGTAATCGCCGACCAAGTGGCCCAGAAGAAGCCAGGGTCCATAGCATCGGCACCAGGTGCAGAAACAAACTCGACATTCTTGCACAAAGCGCACACCTCGTAGCGTTCAACCCCTGGCGCATTGGATCGATGCGTGCGCCGAAAGCGCTTGTCACGCTCGAATTTGATGTCACAGGAAACGGCAGCGTTCCGGAGCCGAAATCGGCGCAGCAGCGCGCAGACGCGCGCGCGCCATCACTGCCTATGCGATCTGCGCGCCGACTACGATGTCCCAGCAGTTTCGGCGCGCAAAAGCGCTTTCTTGGCTTTGGGCGGTGGGTACTCAAGCCAAACCAGCCGCGCGAGGGTCTACGGAAACGCCGGTGGTGTTGTGTGTGTGTGCAGGGCTTTCGTGCTCGCTCATTTTCCAACTGAACTTGGCTCAATTACGTGTAGTGTACAAAGTTATCTAGGATTCGATCGTGCGGGAGTGCTTTCAGAGTTTCACGAACACGCAGCTCTTCGGCGGAGCAGCCAAAGCCATTCAAGTGCTGTCGGAATATCGTGAAGCTTTTACCGGATGAGTGCTTGTCTGAGCCGCGCTGATCCCCCGAAAACGGACGAGAAGCCGGCACAGACACCGCCTCGTCTCCTGGCAGTACAGGCGGTGCTCGATAGTCGATCCTGCTTCTCGGAAACTGCCAGCGCCCGCGTTCATCTGGAGCTACAACCGTGTGCGCTGGCGCCTAGCGAATCGGTTGCGTGCCTTCCGTCGCTTTTTCCATGCACGATGGACCAGTCCGAGGAAGCCCCGCTTCCGGGTCGGCGCTTCATCTTGCAGGGTGACTGGGCGCTGTCGCCGATCACCCCTGCCGTTCGACAGCCGCCCATGGAGCGTCGAGCGCCCGGCACCATGCTGCCGGAGGGCTTTAGTGAGGCGGCGACCAGCACCCACGGCATGAGCATGGGAACTTACTACTCGATGAGATTGGGTTCACCCGTTCCACGTGGAGGGCGGATGCGGACGACACGCCCGTGGCCTGGGATGGCGCTGAGTCCCGCACACGGCTACGCCTTGCAAACCCTAGCTCCAAGCTCAGCGTTGCTTGATGAATACAGGCGCCAGGCACTGGGGCTGAATACTGAGCCCCACTCTGAGCAGGACGTCATTGATACTGACCCATTTTCACCAAGCGATGCCGATTTGGCCATGGAAGCCGGTGTTTCCGTCACACCGATGCGTCCAGGCGCGAGTTCACCGCCGATGTCGAGCCCAGTGTACGCCGGCGTTGGCCTAGCGTTTGCGGTCGATGGAGGATCTCCTGCACTGGGGCCCGGGTCATGTGTAGGCGCGTTCGGGGCCGGAGTGATGACAGGCTGTTCCCTCATGCAGCCAGCCGCCTGGTCGAATAGTGCAGCAGCGCTGACGCCACTCACCGCACGCCTGCGGGAACAGTCCAGAGTCGCGGCGGATCTCGATCCGGATTTCGCTCAGGTTGCCCTGGCTACCAACGACCAACGTTTGCGTATCAAACGATATCGGCAGATCTACGGCGGTATTCAGTCACCAACTACATCGGCAGCTGGGGTATCACAACCTGATCCACGCGTGTCGTTGAACGTGCCTTTGGAATCTAGTCAGGTCGTCTCGAAAGCAACGCACGCGCAGCGCATAGCAACGGGCATTTCCGTTCCGAGCGCCACCTCCGGCTGCTGGGATCCTGATTTCGCTGCAAAGAAGCAACAAGCGGATCCATATGTTAGGCCCCTATCTTGCGAGTCTGCGCGACCTCCGCGAGAATGCAGTCAGGCGACTACCTCCACCTCGATCGCTAATGCATACTGTCGATTCGAGCACCCCGTTTACTTGGACGCAACGGACTTGAACGATGAGGATGCTACCCATTCAGAGGCTTTCAACGAAAGCAACGAGAACATTCGCCTGGAGGCTAGCTTCAGCAGTGAGACCCCAGCGGGTGCCCTGCAGACGTCGTCTACCCGTGACGAGATGCACAGCCGCGCGCATCTATCCGCTCATGCCGCTGGTGATATGGGTCCTCCTTATGGTATCCCTGTACTGCAAGTACTTCAGGAGCGCCAGTTGCCGAACTACATAGAGACAGCGCACGGCAACGAATCGATGCATTCACGCGACCCGAGCCTTCACCAGCAACCAAAAGGATCATCAAATCGAAAACGTTCGCGGCACGAAACAGACCCTATGGCGTACCAAGCGGGTACGAGGCATCCTGATGGAGGGTATTGCCCCAGTAGGCCATACTGCTCGATGCAGAAGACGGAATCGGCCCACACATCAGCATCATCCTCATCGGATGACCTGGTCATGTCGCAGAACACATCCAAAACGCTATCACAGGATCGTTCGTGTGTACGCTGTTTCGAATCCGGCCTCGAGCGGAAACGCGTTCTCTTCGCCGTACACCCAACCGGTGTCGATGAACGCTCCCTGCCGTCGACCTCGATAGCAACAGACACAGTGCGAGAAAACCGTCAGTCTTTATTTCCCTCGCCCCATGAAGTACAAGACGGGCACTTTGCGCCTACCGAGGATAACGGTATGCGACCGTTGCCTTTTGCGGCGAGCGGCAGCGAACGGAGCGCTCTTGCGCCGCCGCCGGTCTCTGTACCCGACGCTAGAGTCATATGTCCCGCATACGAGTCCGTTTCAGCAGCGCAGTCGCTCGCTTCAGCCGACCAGCATTGCCTCGATCACCATCGAGATACTTTCAGCATCAATCAAACAATCAACTGCTGGTCAAGCGGCAGAACACGCTATGCACCGGAACCACAGACCCACGCGATGGTGTCCCTCGACGGAACCCAAGCCGAGCATACCGTGGACCCCTATCTACCCTCAGAGGTGCATCCTGGAGCTACTGCTAGTGCTGCTGCGCTGGTGCTTGACCCAGCCGCAGCTGCTGAGCTACAACGAGCATCCCGTCGGTTACAAACACCTCGCACCAACACGTTACGAATCGCATCCAAGCGGTGTCGTTGCCGTCGTTCCCGATGTCTCAAGAAATATTGCGACTGTTTCGCCGCAGGTAGTTTCTGCGGCCCTGAGTGCGAGTGTGAGGGCTGCGGCAACCATCAAGACAACCAGGAACAGGTCGAACGGGCTCGTCAAAGTGCGTCGCAGCGCTCGAGTACCTCCGGTGAGGCACTAAACGGTGAACCCAGTGCCTCGGAGCGTTCGTCACGAGGCTGTCGCTGCAAGCGCACCGGATGTCTGAAGCGATACTGCGAGTGTTTCCAGGCCGGACGGGAGTGTACGGCACAGTGCGCCTGTGAAGGCTGTCTGAACTGTCGCGGGCTCAGTGAACACTTGCTGGTTGAAATTCGACGGCGGCTTGCTTGAGTGTCGCACGCTGCGGCTCATCCACGGTATCGAGAATCACCAGTGTTGATGCTCGCAACTGCTCTTGTCCTGCAAACCATAAATGTGCACAGCACTGACCCCCAATATCGACTGGTGGAAAGCTGGTGTGGCGGCTGTAGCAGGGGTAACGCGTGCGCCTGCGGATCCGGCATCGCTCCCGGTAACTGCGTAGCTGGTTCAGCGTCTACCTGACAATGCCTAAACAGAAAAAGGTACTCTCCAGGCGATGAAGCGCGCTGGCTGCATCACATCAAATGCTCCTGTAGATCCATTTCAACTCATCCGGCACGAGCCAGTTTTCCGTGTACTAGTTGTGTCGAACGCGAGTCGCGGCTACGGTGAGCGCGCCGGCTCGTTGAGCGCATACCAGCATGCGTTGTTCTCCCAACGGCTGGTGAGCATTTCCATTTGAGTGAGCGCAAGCAGTACCAGCTTCAGTCTGGTGCGCTCCGTTTCCCACTGATGCAAGAGCGCATCGGCAGAGAGCCAGGTGTCCCCGTTCGATGCCCAGAGGTCGCGGAGGCGTTGCCACCAGGTAGCCAGTTCGTTCACCGATACTTGTCGTTGAACAAATTGGGAAACTTTTTCCCGGTACAAGGACTCCAAAGCATCGCCGTTGAGTTTTCGACCCGGCTTGGCGCTATCCGATGACGTAAGCGCCGAGATCGGGCTCTCGTCAGGCGCCAGCTGCAGTTGTGCCAGCGTACTAGAAGCTAGATGCAAGTCCTCCACAGTGGGTGTCTTGGGCGCTACCTCCTGCCACAAGGATAAACGGTGCTCATCGGCCGCGTCACTCGCTGCACGCTCCTGTGGCGAAGGCGTCGTTACTGCCTGGCGACGTTCCGACAACGGGGTGGCTACAGGCGCCGCCTCAATATCCAATGCACGCGCAATCAGTTCGAGGAAGCGTTCATTCTGCTGAACCAGAGACGTTACCGTATCACTCAGCGCCGACGCGGTAGGCAGACGTTCCGCCAACCACCGAGCACTCTCCAGGCCACGGCAGAGGTGCACAGCTTGACGAAAGAGGTCAGCGGCGGGCGCAACGGCCTCTGCTGGGTCGCGCGTATGCGTATCCAGCGCTGGCGCGTCCCAGAACGACTTGAGTTGCGCAATGTCGCGTTCGAGACGGCGACACTCGTGAACCCATTCGTCCCAGTAACCCTTTGATGGAGACACGGGTTCCCTATCAACGTCCGCTGGCATGTATTCGTGAACGAGAATGCAACGGCACTGTCGAAGCGTACTGCGACACAAGCCCCTACAAAGCGGATCGTATCGTGTCGGTTCCGTTCGGCTGAGCGGCAATTTCAAATCGCTCGTGGAATAGTCCGTTTTGTCGCTATTCATCAACGATGCTCGGGATCTGCCTCATGGTCTACCTGATCGATCCGCGGGCAGCGATGCTGTCAGTCAGGTGCCAAACGATGGCTGCTCGCCTCCGGGCGCTTCTTCGTGGCACGCACTCCAGGCAAATACGCCCGATAGCAACACGGGCATGATTGATGTAGCGAGCTTGCGCAATTGCTGTCTTTGGTGTAAGTTTTTCGGAAACAAGGTAGCGTCGAATCAGCTTCCGCGAAGAGACATTGGATCGACGCGGATCCAAGTGTCGGGAGGCTGGCGCAGATCATACACTCGATCGTGGGACGTCATGCAGAGATCATCGAAAGGTGCAATCCCGCTCGGTGATGGTTAGCCTGGTGGCGCGATGTTATCCATGACCCGCGCATCAGCCAGAGAACATCGTGGTGCCTGGTCGGCCGCACCACTGGCCATTCGCAGGCGGTGGACTGCCCGTCCTCGAAGCGCATCACTGGAACAGCAGGTGCCTCAGCATTGCTCGCAACGAACAAGTTTTGTGCGCCCGCGAGCGGCTCTGCACCCGAAGACCTACACAAACGCCCAACGGACCCGGGAGGCGTACGATGCTGCACGCGAGGGCCAGTGTCTGATACCCTGCCTAGATCGTCAGTAGTTTGGCCTTCGGAAAGCCCGTGTACCATCCATACAATGCTGTACGCGACCGTTGATGTCTTGATCGTCCATGCGCTGCCAGGCGCGTTCAACCTGCAGCAGCAGCAGCACCAGCAGCAGCGAATCCCTGTATCGAGGTCGGATGCAGCGGCGCCATCTGCGTAGACATGAAAGTGACTGTACCGTACCAAAATATATATATGTATTCATTTCTGTACTGGATGCAAACGGAGCCTTCGGAACGTTCGTCATCGCTCTTGACTCGCAGCTGCCGGAATCCATTCCATCTCGCTTGACGAAGCGCTGACATTGACTATGGATCCTAGATGGCGGGATGGATATTGGCATTCGGGAATCACGCATCAGGCTGCACCCTACCTTCAAGCTCCATTTCCCGTACTTTCCTTGAATGTGCTGATCGTTACGTTCATTCTATCTTACGCCAACTGCCTACCGTGAGCACCTGCAATAATGCCGAAACAGCTGATGCGTAGGCGGCATGGAGACAGAACGGTTTGTCACACCGCTGGGGGCGTTGGCTCGAGGCATGGTTCACCGGTCACGGGATCCGGAATTCATCATTATTTTGGGCGCCAGGAAACTGCCCAGACAGACGCAGTGTCTGCGGCAGCGCAATGCGATACGCTAATGGACCACCGCGACCAGGGCGACGCCCAGACGCACCATACCTGCTCCCCGTCCCAGAATAAACTGCGTTATGGACAAGCTGCTCAGGTCTCGCCACTGCAGCCGGTATTTGGGGGTGCATGAAGCACGAGCCCCGCAGACTCGTCCGGCTCGCGGGAGCTTCGGCCTAGAAAGTAACCTTTCGAATACACGGAAAACATTTCCACCTTTCAACGCTTGCCGAACAAGAGCAAAGAAGTTCATGATCGAGTTCCATTTTTCCCTTGGTTTCTCTTTTCGTTCTGGAATCTGTTGCGACGATGCTTCGTCATGAATTCGACGTCGTAGAGAGCGAATGCCAGACCAGATGCTTCTCTGTAAAGAAGATTGCTTTCGGGAATATCATAGACTTCGGTGGCTTTACCATGAACATATCCGGAAAGGATCCTGAAAAACTCTTCAAATCCCCTTGAATACACCTGCGCAGGCTGCAACCTCGTCTCGGGTCGATCCAGGGTACTTGCCGGAACTCCGTTCCACTCGCTGTACCGTTTTCGTTCGGACGGCTGCACACGACTACCGCAACCGGCTGTATCTGATTTCATAAGCTCACGTGCGCACCGAAGGGTTTGCGCGGCTTGAACATGATAACACCCCTGGATGAGCTTGCTTAGGATAGGCGACGAGGCGTACTGGCTTCGAGTCGAGGATCCCGAAGTGGACACCACGCCCCCCGAGACCTGCAGTACCACGCACGAGGCGTTGCTCTTCCGCGGCTCCAGCGCGACTCCGTTGGCCAGACTAGTTGCCTGTGGCCCACGAACTGGTTCCGGGTTCTTGGAGACGCTCCGAGGCCAACGCATCGCGCTGCTGGTTCAGCGAAGCACCCTGTTTCCAGCTCGCATCGTCGCGGCTGTCTGGGTTCACACGCCGTGTGCACCTCTGGTCTGTGGTCCGCAGCTATGGATCGTGCACGAAGACGGTGAGCTCTGCCGCTACGCGGATTCTGGCTGCAGCTTGGGCGTCTATAGACTCTTGCCGCGTGCTCCAGCGGCCGACACACAACCGGAGGGCATACGCGCAGTCGCCGTCCAGCCACTGTGCGGGACTTGCACCTATGTCGTTGCTTGGGTAAGCACTCGAAACCGTCTCTGGGCTGGGCGTATTAGGCTGAACGTTTCAGACGACCTGATTCGAAGTGGGAAGCTCACGATAGCGAGCGAACCCTTGAACAGCGAAGAAGATGCCGTGGACGTGCACCCGCTTCGAACACTGCCACCGGCATTCGCTGGGGCATCGAGTCTCGAGCTGTGCTGGTTAGCGGACGGTAAGCGACTGAGCATTTGCAGCAACACCGGCGAGTGGTGGATTGATTCGATCAGCTTTGATGAGAACGTTGATGTCGCAATGACGGGAAACCTAGTCGTCGCCACGGAGAAGGTGCGCGACGCAACGACGAGCGCTGCGACTCGACGCTTGACGAGTGATCGATTGCGACTGGGGAGCGCTTCGCCAGACGGGCGCTACTGTATCTGGAACACCGCTGATGGTCGTCATTTGCTTCTGGTTGAATCAAGCACTACCAAAGTATCTGTACAGCGCAGTTTGTACCGTATACAGCAACCAGCCGGTCGCTGGAACGTGATTCGAACGGATGGACTTTGGTTGCCGTCACTCGGAGGGCATCCGAATGCCCACTGCTGCACTTTTTTGCGTCACGCGTTGATGCAGCAACCCGACACGAATACGCACTGGTGGTGCTGGAGCTTCCTATCGCTTCCGAGTGGCGTCTCGCTGTCGATCATGGTGCGCTCCAGGCTCACCAGGGACTGGAACGGCCCTGGTGAACTCGTGAGTATTCCAGAGCCAGATGGAAGCACATTGTTGTGGATCCAGGAGAACGGTGCTCGCTCCCTTGCCCGGCTCCAGAGCGTTGCAACCTGCCAGCGTCCTCTCATCGAGTGGGGCGTCAACGCACCGGGCGTTTTGCTATACGAAGCGTTCGCGACGCGCTCCGTGATCCCAACGCAAGGCCAAACAGAGGCCGTTGCCGGGCTTCGACCCAATTCAGAGTGCGCTTCGTCTAGTCTGGAGCCCTGTCATGGCTCAACGCTGACGCTGGCGGATCTCGAGTGCCTGGAGGATGCGGCATCGCAGCCGACGAGCAAAGCCCCAAGCCATATCTTGGTGCTGGAGGAACTGCGAGCACAGCGTCTCCTCGTGGATGCGGCAGAGCAGTGCGTTACATGGGCTTTTCATACCATGGTGAACGATACGTCTCGTGCGACTCGTTTGCTCGAAGCGGCTCGGTGGGCACTCGCAGCGGCCTGTTGGGATAATTGGCATCAAATGGACAACTGGCTTCGAGGCTCCCCCGAGAGTGCATGCCGCAGTGATAACACATTGGAGCGCGTTCCCAGCGCGTACGGCAAGCGCTTAGCACGTGCATGCTACTGGTGGCATCGAGTGGTGCAGTGGCTTCGTTTTCGGAATCGGCTGGCGACACTGATGCCGCTCTCGGCTCATCAGTTGCAACAACCTGGAATGCTCAGACAGGTCATCGGAAGTATCGTGCGTTATGCCGCTGCCACTGCGCTGAGTGGTGGCCAAGGCGTGCCGGCAACCGCAACGACAAGAACATCAACAACAAGTACAACAGCAGCACACCAAGTCTCGATTGAAGAGCGCATCTCGGCGCTCTACGATCTGATCGAGGAAAGCCTCCAGCTGACTGTGTGCTTGTCGCGAGCGGATATCACAACGGCTTTCGCAGTGGCCTTGTTGCGCCATGGCGCGGCTTACCATCGAGATGGATGTCTCCAACGCGCCGAACAATGGATTCGGGCGCTTTTTCTGCCAGCGAGTCTTGCGGGCGAGAAGTGTACCCCTATCCAGCAGGCGCTCTCAGAACGAATGGCTCCCTTCCTGCGGTACGCAGCAGCCAGTGCGATAGCTTTCCAAATTGGTCTCGACCGGCTTGCGTACGAGCTAGCACTGACGGAGCCTGATCCCGGTAGACGGATCCGAGCGCTTTGTGGCCTCTCGGATGCAACAGCGGCCGCACAGGCGCTGCAAGTGTTCGTCGGCTTCTATCCACGCCTGTCGATCGAGTATCTGCTGATTATTTTGGATTGGTATCTGGAAAGGGACGCAAGTCTCCACGAGCTATCAAAGACGCTACAGGCGTATCCGATGTTACAGGACATCATCCTCACTGAACTGAACCAACGCGGCGACAAAATCACCTACGCGCAAGTGCTCAGGTTACTGGGGCGGCGAGCGAGGCGTGTCACCGAAGCGCCGCCCCTCGATGATCGCATCGCGTTCGAGCACAAGGAGCCATCGCCAGGCGCGAATAGATCACGATTCTGGAGTCTGGCCCAGTGGCTGGACTGGGGCAGTGTCGGAGTCGGCGATCAAGCGCCCGAGATGTCGCAGGGTCAGTTGCTGCCTCGCTTGCGGGCTGATCTGACACAAACATTGCAGGCGATGCCACGCGCAACAACATTGGCACCGATCCTGGAAGAATGCTTGGCTGCGGACTGGGTGCGGATCCCAGCGAAACTGTTGATCGCTGCATTGCTTCTTGATATCATGCAGCCAGCGACGACGAATGTGCATCGAACACGTTCCGAGCTTGCGTCCAGGTGCCTCAAGGTGGAGGCGCGATGGGCCCAACACGTTGCGCTTGTGCTCTTGAAAAAAAGGGCCTTGCCGTATGCCGCCGACTCCTCTGAGGCATTGGAACCTGAGTACCTACGTGCCCGATGGATGACGTACCTGACGCATTTGGCGAATCTGGCGACGCGGAACCGGCGAGTTGCCGCTTCAACGCCTTTCATGGGGGCATCAGCGAGCGTGCTGCGCTCGGCTGCGAGCGGCTTCCATCGACATCGTGCAGGGCATTCGGGCATGCCGCGCGATGCGTTCACTGCCGCCGCCGAATCGACTGGGCTGCCGTGGGGGCGCCCTGCATCGCCCTTGGCCGACTGGGATCGCCAGCTGCTTCTGGATATGTGCCTGACCATTTGGTCGTCACGGGTCTCCGGAGCCGAGCGAGAGACTCTGCGGCAATGTATTCGTGATGTCCAAGCGAGTCTCGAAGACGAGGCGCTACGGCAAACGTACGCCGAGCGATGGCAGCGACTGGAACACATCGAATCGGTGGCTCCGGGCCAGTCGTAGCGTCTTGCTGGCGAAATGATGCACAGGGCCGTCGTTCGCGTCCATATCCGTCATCGACTTGGGGCGATTGCGCGTTGCAAACGGTCCCCAGGGGCTTGGGCTCGTCTTAGATGCGGTGCTCGATGCAGGCAAATGCACTCGTCGATGCTGATGATGTCGTTGTCGGTGAGGGCGCGCATGTTCGCAAGACAACATAACAGCGGATCCACAATCAGGTCATGATGTGCGTGCAGCTGGCCGTGATCGGGATATCGGCGACTGCTCATTTGCTTACAGAGACCAGCTCTTCTTGCGCTTGGCGCTCTTCGTCTCAGAGCGGCGTCCGTGAACCCATGATCCTATCGTTCGACTCTTGGTGATCGATAGGCTCCCTCATGCGGAGATACCAGATCGTGTTGGTCGCAAGCAGCGAACGAAGTATTTATTCCACAAGCTCAAAAGCGACCCTGGCTAATGTCGACTGGTGAGATGTCATTTGACGTTTTCTGTGCAAATGGGCCGCAGCCAGCTGTTTCCAGAAGCGACTCAGGGAAGAGCAAGTTATCCCAGCGTTGACGCATTGGTTCATACATGACCCGACAGATTGGTGTGAACGCTGCCTCTGGGCATTCCAGCGAATGCGACGATAAGTTCGATACTGACCCAGATCCACGCCTGGCAGGCATTTGGTGCGACTGGGGCCCTGCTACCACAGACGGTGAACACTGAGTCGGATGAACATGTGATACGAGTGTCTCCGGACACGGCGTGCATGGTACCGCTCTGCAGCAAGGGAGTTTCTCGCGCAGCTGCTTACAGCAGCTGCGCAACGCCTCTGCACCCACAGATAGTTGCTGCTGTGCAAGCAACGCAACATACCGCCTGCGCTCATCGTAGCCGCGTTCCCCCAGGGCTTCGATCAAACATGCACTGGCGATAACGTCCGAGGAAAATTGCAAAATCGATAGATCTTGAAGGCAGTGATCAGCGTAACTCTCCGCGAGAGCCAGGAGTTGATCGGGTGCGGGCCATGTGCCGCTGCGCACAGGTGTGAAACATGCATGCGGCGACTCCTGCTCGGGTATCTCCATATTTTCGGTCCGAGGACTGAGCGACGCCTCTATCAGTTGTGCTGGGAGACGTGTGCTCGTAGGCTGAGCGGGGTTCTCGATTGCGGGATCTGTTGTCGATGACCGAATCGCACCGGTAAGACATCGGGCTCTAACTGGTGTAGTCGCCTCCTCTACGCGCGAGTAATATCGGTTTTGTTCATTCCAAAGTTGGTCATTGGTGTCCTGGTACAAACGATAGAGCAGATAGAGACAGCTGTAAATAGTTGGGCATTGGAGTTCCCAATGGAGCCAGTCCAAAACTTGCGGTTCAATGCTGCGAATGCGTCGCCAGATTGCCTGTGAGTCGCTTTCAGTTGAAACGGCGCCAGCTTGCTCCGCGTCCGATGCCTCGGGCTTGCGGCCTGGAAGCGCCTGCAGCTGGCACGGCAACTTGCTCGTGATAGGACTTCTCCAGCTTCCCTGACGCAGAGGCGTTATCGTGGAGAAACTCCGCCAAGCAGCCGGCTCGAAGCACAAAAGCTTCGCCTGGAAAGACTTCAGCTGCTCGATTCTGCTGGTGCGTTGGTGTGCAGGCGCAGCGACCCCCGGGCAGTTGCCAGGCAATGAACTCGAGCGGTCGCTGGTCGAAGGCACACCACTCAGGTCTCCTGTGTCCTGCTCCAGGTGCAAGCTCTGGCTGAGCGACTTCAGCTGCCAGCCTGTGCGCTCTGGGTGCGGTGACGTCGTCGATGTTTTGCGCAGGAGCCACTCGAGGACGCGAACGACTGAAGCGCTCTCGTCTTTGATAGGGTATCGTTCCTGAACTTTTCCGGCGATTAAAAGGCAGCTGGCTGCGTGCTCGAGCCATGCAGACAGGGTCACGTTTCCTCTGATGCAATCGAAGAAATGAACAGCGAGGCCTGCCGTCTCCCGCCGAAACTGCATCTCTGCGGCAGCAGCGAAAAGCCACCAAATAATGACGGATCGCGCTCCGCGCTCTTCTGCGGAAGACGCAAGTTGGTTACGCATGCTACGCTTCTCGCAGGCAGAGCGGCTTATGCGTGTTTCAGAAGGCACTGATCTGCATGCCATATGTGCATTCTCATGCGAATGGTGCCGTGCCTCCAAAAACATGTGCTGAGCTCGTTGTAGGAGCGAGCTTCCCGACACATCCGCTGGGCCTATGCAGAACCAGTCGGATTCCAGTGCGCGTTTGACTGCACGAGCAGGGTTCGCACCTCCGTGCACAGATGCCGCGCGAGAACCACATCCACTGGATCGTACACGTGAACGAGTTTTCGCTGGTGCAGGATTCGTTCCGGTTTCTTGCAGTTCTGTCCCACAAGCAAGTCTTCCAGCCTGATAACGGTCTTCATGAGGGCCTTGACCAGGCATCAACGAGTCTCGCACGCGTCGCTCAGGTACCGGCCAGCAAGGATAGTCGATTCGGAACCCGGCTAAGGATGTCGCTGGGGTAGCGAGATGGCTCTGGACGGATACGATGCGTCCGCTCGGCTGTTGCCGTCCAGCGCTGGTAGTGCGCCCTCTGCGGCTCGTAAGCTTCAGCGGCGCCATTACAGGGGCGAGATCCGTCCGACGGCAGATACCCCTGCGCGGTCGCCCCGCTGGCGGTCTTCGTGCCGGCGATGTTCCCATCTCAGAGCCGCCCTTTGCGTCCGTTCAGAGAGCGAACACCCCAACTGGCGGCCGAATCGAACGCCACAGTCCAGCAGAGGCACGCTCTCTTTCCGCCCCAGTGCCGCGAAACGCCCTCTGCTCGCTGACGTGTCACGCGAAAAGAAACTACGCGGCGAACGATCCCTCGACGTATCACAGGAACAGTTATTTAATAGCGTTATCGCTCAAGTCCGGACACTTTTACGCTGCGCTCTCTGGAGCGTACGGACAACCACCGAAGAACTAAGCCCGCAGACAAACCACTAGCCAATTTCGACACAACAACGGAAGATGTCGTCTATTATTCAAAAGAGTGCCTACCCGGGAGTCGTCGGATACACTGAACAAGGACAAGTCCGAAAGCATCCATTGACGCTCGCGTCGACACTTGCGTGCACAGTCAAAAGTTCAGCGTTACACGCATAACACGCATAACACGCATAACACGCACAACACGCGTACCTGATGCAGACTGTGCGTGTCCTAGCGTCGTGCGTGTTCGCGCCGCTCAGCGCTGACGCCTTGCCCGCTGATCGCGGAAAGGCAGCGGCATCTGCGGGGCGCCTCCGCAAGATCGCGACGCGCCACCGACGCGATCCTTGCAAGGCGAGTTTCGCTTGGCACCGCCGGTGTACCAACCTTCCCGTAGGGAATTCCCCTAGGGCATTCCCTTCCGAGCGATTCACGCGCCTCTCCAACTGCCGACGATAGGGGTTTCCAGCCAACGCTTGTCATACCTTGCGTTTTTGTTCAAGTCTGGGGCTCATGAACGCCACTTATGCATTCGTGAGCACTATAGGTGTAGGATGTGGAAGTTATTGGAGCGGAACGTGTCTGTGCCGTTCAAGTTCACGGGAGAGGCCGAATGCGCCAAAGTTGAGCTCGAGATGGCCGCAACGAGGTGCCCTGCTGTGCTCTGGTGTTGAGCAAGTCCAGCCAGTGCCGGGCTTTCGCGACAGCACTGCAAGCAACGCGAATACCTTTCCCAAATCTGGGTCTGAGTACACTGCCGCACAGATTGATGTTTTAGAAAACCTTGAACCAGTGCGCCGAAGGCCTGGCATGTACATTGGCTCGACCGGGGCACGCGGTCTGCACCAGCTCGCCTACGAGGTCATTGACAACTCCGTGGACGAGGCCCTTGCTGGCTACTGCGACAAGGTTCTTATTACGCTTCATGAAGACGGCTCTTTATCGGTGCTCGACAACGGAAGAGGAATTCCTACCGACAAGCACCCCAAAACCGGTAAGTCTGCACTGGAGACGGTGTTGACGGTGCTTCACGCTGGCGGGAAGTTCGGGTCGGGCGGTTATAAAGTCTCCGGAGGACTTCATGGAGTCGGCGTTTCAGTGGTGAATGCCCTCAGTGCGTGGCTCGAGGCAGCCGTCTACCGCGATGGCGTGTGCTATACGATGCGCTTCGCGCGTGGCGAGGTTGTGGAAGCGCTCCGGGTGGTGGCAGCGGCGCCGAACCCGTATCCCGGCTTCATGGAGCGCTCTGGAACCTACATACGCTTCGCACCGGATCCAAGCATATTCACAACGACTACTGAATTCTCTTATGATGTGCTAGCCACGCGTCTGAATGAGCTCGCGTATTTGAACGCAGGACTTTCCATTTGGTTTGTAGATCGCCGAGTCGGTGCTGTACCGAGCCAGAACCTTTTAAGCATAGCCCAGAATGGCTCTGAGACGCTAGCTATGCGTCCAGTATCTACGAAAACAACTATCAAACCAGCGGACGCCGCAGTCACAAAGTACGACGACGATACCGATCCGGAGGTTGGTTCACGCGATACGCTCGTGGACGAGAATCGAGCGGCCTCAGCACGACGTGCATCCGCGGATTTGAGCGCGCCAGTTTCTTTGATAACTGAAACGGATATTCCTAGTGTTTACGGAGGCGCGCGATTCTACCACAGCGGCGGCATTGCCGAATACGTACGCGACCTTACCGAAGGCAAAGAGCGCATCCACCCAGAGGCGATTTATCTCAGGAGAGAGCTTCAGAACGTCGAGGTGCAAATAGCGTTGCAGTGGTGTCGAGATCAGTATAATGATATCTTGCTGAGTTTTGCGAATAACATTCGTACCATCGATGGTGGAACCCATGTTGACGGCTTCAAGTTCACGCTCACTCGCGTGCTGAACGCGCTGGCGCGGCAACGCGGCATGCTTCGCGAGAACAACAGCAACCTCAGCGGCGACTACTTTCGCGAGGGTCTGACTGCCATCATATCGGTGAAGGTACCGGATCCCGAGTTCGAAGGCCAGACCAAGAGTCGTTTAGGTAACCCTGAGGTACGTTCGATCGTTGACGCCGTCGTTGCTGAAGAGCTCTCGTTGTACTTTGATCAACGCCCGCGTGTATTTGCCGATATTTTTGAGAAAGCATGGCAAGCCTATCAAGCAGCTGAGGCGGCGCGACGAGCACGGGATCTTGTTCGGCGAAAATCCGTACTAGAATCCTCGACATTGCCTGGAAAACTCGCGGACTGCGCATCCAGAGATCCGCGTGAAAGCGAGATCTTCATCGTGGAGGGCGATTCGGCCGGTGGCAGTGCCAAACAGGGACGGGATCGTCGCTTCCAGGCAATCCTGCCGCTTCGTGGAAAGATCTTGAACATCGAGAAATGCGATGATAGCAAAGTCTATAAGAATACCGAAATCCAGGCCTTGATCACCGCCATAGGTTTAGGAGTGAAGGGCGAGGAGTTCGATGCAAACCAGCTACGTTACCATCGCATCATCATCATGACGGATGCGGATGTTGATGGCGCGCATATTCGCACACTGCTGCTAACCTTCTTCTTTCGCTATCAACGAAGTGTCATTGAAAACGGTTATCTGTACATAGCTCGACCACCTTTGTTCAAGCTCGAGATCGGTGGTGGCAAGCAGCGTCAAACTCGATACCTCTACTCGGATGCAGCGTGTGAGCAGGCTCTCGCGCGGCTCCTGCGAAACAAACCGGATGCCCGGTACACACTGCAGCGCTTCAAGGGTCTCGGCGAGATGATGCCTCAGCAGCTCTGGGAGACGACCATGGACCCAGCGCGTCGGACGCTGGATCGCGTCTCGGTGCAAGATGCCGGAGCCGCAGACCGCATCTTCAATACGCTCATGGGCGATCGGGTGTTCCCCCGACGACAATTTATTGAGCAGCACGCCGAGTCACTGAAACTCGACGATCTTGATATTTGAGCTTGCCCATACTCCAGCACGACATGTAAACGCTATGTTTCGTCTCGAGCAGCCTCGTTTACCAGCAGAGGAATCGCTGGGAACACCAAATGCCGCGCCCGCGGTTTGCTTCCTCGTGTCCGATGCGCTATGCACGGGATGGCCTCTTGCAACCGCAGCCCGTTCGCCCGCACGCACTTGCCTCGCATCATCCCGTGCTAGTCTAAGTTCCCTCTTCGATCGGTGCCGGTATCGTTTCGAATAAACGTCCCGGCGGGCGCGCAATCAGCCGACCATCTTTTGCGTAGAGGAAAACAGCACTCAAATCATCACGCAGTCGAACGCGAACATGCACGGATTGAGGATCGTTCACGTCGCCGGAGCCGCCACCAGTCCACGCCTGCAGGACACCCAGGGCGCGTGACATCGCATGCGTGCTCCCGATGACGTGTCCGAATGCGTGCGCACTCGGTGCCCGCGATGCGTGCACATCGTGTGTCTGCACTGCTTCGGCTGCGTGGCGATCGAGCGACGGCGATGCCAAATCGATTTGGCGTTCTTCGCCCTGGAGATAGAGTATGACCTGCACATCGTGGGGCGCATGCACCCCCGGTCCTGGCGCTGGTGGCCGACCCACATCGAGGCACGCTTGAATCCAGCCGATCGCTTGCACCGAGCCAGGGCGAAAGCAGGCCGCTGCCTCAACCATGCTCGGCAACGGTGTCGATGCCTCGGCGTCATGATGACGCAGCGCCCAGGCGATCCAAACCACTGTATCCGCGTTGGCGGTGCGCGTGCCCCAGAGTTGGCCACAAGTCATACCCGCGAGCAAAAGACCGCGGACGAGGCCTCTCGGTAGATGGAGCTCGAATCGCTTGGCGAGATGCGGCATCGCCGAGATCGTCGCCTGTTCCGGGCGCTCGCCTCCGTACAGACTGCCACTGGTGTGTCCAGGCTCGACAACGTGCAGGTTTTCGAGAACGTCTGGGAGTCGTCGGTACAAGGACAGTAGCCGTTGCTGTTCTGCATTCGTTACCGTGACCGACGACGTGCGGTACTCCTGCCGCTCAAATGGCGTGGTGGTCTCCACCGAAATCACATTGCCATACCGGTCGAATGCGGCAACCGTCTTCGGTCGTGTGTGCTCCAGCACCTGCTCCGTTCCGTCGTCATCCCTGCCACCTGGCTGATCACCAGCGACATGGGCAGGGCGTAGACGCACGGGCACCAGCGACTGGAGCTCTAGTTCCAGACGGCGCCAGTCAGTCTCGGGAAGCGCGGGCCACAGCCAAGGTGTCGCGGAGCCCGCGCTCTCCTCGTCCGCCGACCGCTGAGGCCACACCAGCTGCAGGACACGCTCTGGCGCCCGGTCCAAGGCGTGGAGCAGGAGCAGGAAGCGCGCCGACGCGATCCACACGGGCACATGCTCAAGCCAATCCGCGTAGCCACTCCAGATCGAAAGCTCGCTGGAGCGCGCAGTCTGAGTACGGTCGCGGATCTCCGGCAGCGCCATTAGCGCCTGCAGCGGCATGGCCGCCGCACCGGCACGCACAGGAATTTTGGCATACTCGGTGCCTGCCAAGAGCGTCTTCAACGGGTCCATGGATGCGGTTTGTGCGAGCACGATGCCCCGCGGTAGCTCTTCAGTTGGCTGTGAACGGAGCATGGTTAAAACGTGCTCAGCGCATTTCCACTTGGCGAGTTGCGCTCGCCGGGTTTGGCCAGCCCACGTAGTCCGATGGACAATCTTCACAAACAGTCGCCCTGTCGACGTCTCCCATATCCAGATAACACCGTTCGCATGTGGCCTGTACGCAGTGCGATCATCCACGATCCAGAGGCGTTGCCGCCACAAGTCGCCGCCGCACCCCACGAGCAGAGGTATCGTATCGGAAGCCGATGTCGTAGTCGTCGCCGCCTGCAGCGTCTCGCTTTCCACCGTCTCCATGACGTAGAGCTGAAGCGCTTTGCGAATGCGTTCACGAAGGAGCGCGAGTGCCTGGTTATGCATAAGCATCCGGCGCGATTCCTCGGTCACGATCGACACGACGCCCATGGCGCAGGCGTGCCCAAAAGCAGACCACTCGCCGTAGGCTAGATCAAAGACCACGACCAGTCCATGGTGAGACGGGTACAGACTCGACGCTCCCGGTGCTGTATACGCCCGAAATTTTTGCGCTGCGTATTGCGCGGCATCATGGTCGTCGTAGTCGCCCCAACGGAGCTGGACATCAATCCAATAGATTTTGGCTGCCGCGTCGCTACCTGGCGGCCGCAGCGACGATCGCCCTTGACCGCCCGCATTGGATTCGAAGGCGACGGCCTCGTCCACGGGCAAGGCGTCACCGGACACGAGAATCGGTTGCTCGAAATCGATTCTAATATCCGCGCTGCTCCAGTGCATGCGATAAGACTTGCGCGGATGGATTCGTTCCTTCTGCACCGTGACCGCAACACGCGCCTCGCGCGAGCGCGCCCCCAGCTCTGTATCCAATGCTTTGCACAAATCAAGTACCAGACTTTCATGAATACGCTGCCAGAGATGGCCTCGGAACACCTGCAAAAGGCTGATTTTGAGCGTCGAAAGCTTGCCGTACATGAAGATCCCCGTCAGATCGAGCTGGGCGCGGAAGCCCATGTACACCCGGCTGCGATTGATGGTCGGCGACCACCAGAGCGTGAATCGGCGATTGGGTATCTGGACAAGTCCAGATCGCTGCGCCCGCGTCAACGGCCTGCCCGCGAGTTTGTGCTCAAAGCCGTGGTCGCCCCAGACGATGCCTCGCCAATCTCGATACCCAGTTGCCGCAAAGAGCGTATGCGACAGGATTGCCGGCACGCCACCCAAAGCATGCGTAACCTGACTCCGGTAGTCGTCCAGCTCCCAAAGGCGTCCGTCGTGCATGAAATCTAGCCACCAGAGGGCGTTCTTCCGCCCGGTAACGTGCACGCGCAAGAGACTTCGCACACGATAGCCGTGATCGAGCGTCCACAACGCTCCTTGCGGGTGATAGCGTGCAGCCAAACGTGGCAGACCGCGATGCAGCCATGCTGGTGGCAGCAGTCGCCGATCGAGGTGTGCCCCAAATGCCTGCGCTCGTTCTTGAAGCTCGCGCTCCAGCAACTCCGCGTCAGCGATCTCATCGAGCCAGCTTGGTATGAAGGACCACAGCGACGGCACCGGGTCGTGGCCTATGTTCATCATTTCGAGGCCGCCGAGGCTGCGCGGAGCGTAGAACACCACCGGTGGGAAGCGCACCGGCATCTTCGAGTTCAGACCCAGCTTGATCCTGTTCTGTACGCGCTCTTGGGCATGCTGGACAAATTGCCGTACGGTTGGATCATTCGCTGCGACTTGGCGATACATGCCGGCAAAGTGGAGTGCTAACGCATTCCACCGGGCTGCCACGCGCGTAAATGGGGCATGTATGGTCGCCATCAACAGGCGCTGAACATCCAGCGCCCATCGCTGCAGCGCGTGCGGCGAGACGCGAACATACGCCACGGTGCGCCCGCTGGGCAATGACCAACGCATCCCTGCAGTTGCTGCTGCTTCTGATGCGGGTCGAGCGCTGCCCATGCCAGCAGGCAGGATTCTGTCAAAACCGCTTGCGAGCATTCGCACCTCGAATCCAAACATTTCGAAGAAAAGACTGGGATTCTCGGGCCCTGACACGACGCTTACCGCAGTCTGGGATTCGGGCATCTCGACGAGTGGTCGGAGCGCACTCACGCCCGGGCCAATGCGATCGCGAATCGCATCAAAGAGGGCTCGACCCAGCAGACAGTCGAAGGGGCGCAGGCGCATGCGCACTGCACTCGGCCAGCACCGTCGACTGGGGTACAGCGCCGCGTCGAGAAGTGTCTCCCGCTCCGGATGGCGTTCGTAACGCTGCTCGAGACGCGTAACAGCCACACGCGCAGTCTCTTCGGGAACCCGAATCAGCGCATACAGTCGATCGAGAATTCGTTCGTAGGCAAGCAGCCGCATCGACGGGCAACTACGGGCGTCGTTGCGTCGCACGTCATGGTCGCCAGCGAGTTCGGCAGGCGGCCAGCTCGGCAGGCTCAGCAGGTCCGCGTCCATATCTGGTGCGCGAAACGCTAGATCTACCGCCGCCAGACCATAGAGCTGTTGCAGGAAACCTGAAAACTCCCAACCAGGCAGGATGCCAACCGACTGCGTATAACGCATGTCTTTGAACGTAATCGTTGCATTACAGCGGGCAATTAGATAATCAACGATTTCGGGTGCGAGCAACTGTCGCAGCAATCGATCCAGAACCAGCAAATCCGCGCGCTGAAATAGCCCTGGCAATGGCGTTTGTATGAGGACCAGGAAGCTCTTGTTTGGTGCTGTTCCGAGTGTCCACAGATGAGGTATAGCATCCAAGCGTTCGACGAAACGGAGGACGTGAACGGGCGGCAACTCATCGTCGCATGGCTGGACATGGGCCGGAAAAAGGCGCGTCTCCGTGGCCTTGTACCAGAGCCATTGATCGAGGAAAGCGTCCACCAGTCGCTCAAAGGAATCGATCCGATACACAGGCGTCAGGTCCGCGTCATCGTAGAAGCGGAGTTCCACCTGGTGACGCATTTGCACCGCCTGCAGTCGCTGCCGGATTCTATACAGCATCGCTGCAGGCGCTGCCTCTGCCTCTGTGACAAGTTCGCCGAGCCCCGGGGGACAGTGCTCGCCCTCCGTTTCCGGGCGGAGACGCTCGATCGCGAGTTGCAGTAATGCGGGAGCTAGCCCGGAATCCGCGTTATCTGCGGCGAACCAAGGCAATTGCCAAGGGCATGAGTCGGCAACACCTGCTTTCTCCAGGTACGTTGCGAATCTGTACAATATCGATGCTGCTTCGGTCGGCAACAGAAAGGGACCGTGCTCCAAATACTGCCGCTGATGCGCCTGCTCATGGTGAACGGCAAGACGAGCAAGTCGCCCGTACATCTGGCGAACAAGTGCCTTATCCATGGAACGACCGCTTCGAAACGCAATCGCGAAGCGTCGAGCACCCTCTATCCACCATTGCGCCCGCTGCTGCACGTAATCCCGTACGAGTCTGTCGATTTCAGGGGGCATGTCTCGTACGTGCCACGGGATATTGGCCTTCCAGCAGCGCCACGCCTGGTGCATATGCTGGAGAACACGCCTCGTATATAGTGGTTGACGCGCTGCTGGCAACAGTTGCCGAAGACGCGCTATAGTCTCCTGACGTAGCGCCACATCAAACTGCGACTCGAGTCGTTGCTTTGTGACGGTGCGTTGCGCCATGCGCAGCGGCTCGCGTCCTTCAAAATGGCGATTCAGCAGGTTACCCAACCACTGTTCGAGCAAGGGCATCAGGCCTCGAAGTAGGTGCACCCATTGCCGCCAGAGGGGTTGCCAGCAGGCCTTGCCGGGACCCGACCATCCGAAACGCTGATACATAAGATGCTTGAGGTCCTTGGTCGCATGGATTTGGCGCATAACCCGGTACTTGTAACGATAGAGACCTGTCAGTTCACCGATATGTGATTCGATGTACGTGATGCTGTCGGCGAGTTGAATGGCATCCGCGCCGAGACCCGCCCGATACCGCAGATGCACATCCACAATCAGCTTCACCATACGCATCCATTCGCGCATCAAATGAAACGCATTCCCGAAGCGAGACTGCTTTCGTTCTTTGGTCGTCAGCGTACGCAACGGCACGATCTGAAAATTGTAGTCCATGCTCAGAAAGAAGAATCGTTTTCGTCTCAAAAGTAGCAAAAACATCGATCGTGCAGCGTCGCACAGCCAGATGCCGACCTCCAACCAATCCATACTGGTGCGATAAAAAAATCCCGATTGCCGCAACGTCCTCAGCAGATCCGGCCGTCGGTGCTGCTTCTCAGCTTCATCGCCAGCGTCTCCAGAGGCCGACTGGATCGCCAAAGTCGATTGCTTGCGCCCGCGACCACGTTCTTTTCGCAGGTAGCGAAGACGCTGTGCTTCTGCTTGTCGACAGCGTCGTTTCAACAAGCTGTGGACTGCGGCAGTACTTTTCGGGCGCATGTAATGGACGCGCTCCAGTTGCCAGTACAACTCGCGTTCCATGTCGATATCCTGCATCCGCTTCCGTTTTCGAACACATCTGCCCTTATATGGACGCGGTGCATAGAGCAAATCGAGCCAGGCTCCGACGCGTTCGCCGCACGCGTCCAGATCGAAATCGCCCAGCGCCGGATGAGCGCGGTAGCGCGTACGCTGAGCGCTGGCGCCTTCGCTGGTGTCTGGGATGATGCGCTCGCCAGCGCCTTGTGCACTGCTGTGCAGGAGCGGTGCTAGCGTAGGCTGCCAGCTCCACGCACTCGGCCAGAGCGGGTGCGGTGGTGGTGTTGGCGGCCACATGAGCGGCCGCGGCGCATGGTGGTGCCACAGCGGTTGCTCTGGGTTCGGGGTGCGTTCATCGAATGCGTCGTACAGGTACGGATAAGCCTGGTGCAGTTCTGGAGCGCGACGTTGACCAGGCAGGATGGAATGCATACCGAGCTCCGTGAAATCGTCCCAGTCCTCCTGGAGCAGATGCGCGCCCTCGCTGTGCAAAGAGCCGGCGTGTAGGCTCTTACGTCGAAGGTTTGCACGCTCATGCTCGAGTCGATGCACTCGTCGCAATGTCAAGCGATTTCGCAGATAGAACTGACTTGGATCCAGATCGTTCGGGTGTGGCGCCCACGGCAAACTCATCCGGTAGAGCGCAGCACGCGCCTCCGGTGTGTGCAAATTCGCGGCGAGCTGTTGGATTCGCTCGTATTCAGCTGCCGCGTCTGCATCGTTAGCAAATGGTGTCGGCAGCGTTCGATGGTAGACAAACTCGCGGAAGCTCGGTGACGGCTCATCGTCGTCGAACGCCGGCACTTGCAAACGTACGAAGGAACGCGTCAGATCTCGCTGCCGCTTTCCGCTGCTTGTCGAGGCGACGTGTGCCTCATGACGACGACGGTCGAGGTAGGCGCACCAACGCGCCCATTGGGCCCGATGAACGACCTCGGGGACTCGACGTGAACCCTCGATAAAAGCCAACGCACCAGTGTGATGGAAAATCACGGGTACAAACCGCGTTGGCTCCCAAGGGGCCGGCATGTGTTCCAGCCATTTGTACACCGCGTGCGGAAGGTAGCGGAGCGCGTTCAGTGTCAGTGCATCTGTGTTCCGGGAGATATGTCGGTCTCGGTTACCACGGTGGGCACTGTTTTCCAGGTCATTTTCGCTTCGCTCCAACTCGATCCGTGCAAGACTCGCTAGTTTGCGGAAAATATCGGGGGAGGTATACGGTTTGAAAAATGGCTGATCCGCTCCGAAAGCACGGCGTGGCCGCTTTCGCTTCAGGTCCAGCGTCTGATCTGCCTCTTCGTCGCGTCCGAAAAACGCACGTTTGGGCATGAGATACAACGACTCGTACGAGGAAGGATGTGCTCGTGGATTACTTGCGACGAAACACGGAGTTCAGCGTGCTCGCTCTCAGCCTGAACTAGCACTCTCCGCGTGTTTCCGCGGCGCTAAAACAATGCTCCAGACTAACGACTGATCATAATCATTATCAACCAGACGGCAATCCTTCGAACCGAACAGCGACAAAGTCGTTGACGCTCCAACAGGTCCTGGGAACGGCAGCAACTGCCGAGTGCTTTGCGCGACTTTGGAAGGCGCGACGCGTTCACAGAAACCGGCGCTGTAGCGTGCACCCCTCGCTCCAAGAAGAAAGTGTCAACTGCGACGCCTGGTTTGTGCGCAACCTTTTCGAGGTTCTGCACCACGAAAGAGTGCGTCTTATGCTGTTCAGAGGAAACTAGTTGCAGCAGCAGCCGCGGCAGTCGTCGGACGACAGGGTTTACAAAAAAGACGGAACTGCGACTTGTGTGCGACGCCCGCTGCCGCTCCGGTGGTGCTCAGAAAGTCGATGCGCGAGGTTGGTTCACGACGCTGCGGGGTCTGCAGGTGCTAGGCGATCTCGTATGCCGAAGAGCACCACGTCGGATAGTAGTGCTGTCTCCAGCTGGCTCTCGCGTGGTTACCGACACACCAAGCCACTTTTTTAACGGATATGGTGTAGGCACCAGGTGACAGCGTAAACACTCGTTCGTTTGAACAGGAACACCAGCAGCACAGCTGCGCTGTGCTGTCAGGGAACCCAAGTTCCGCTCCCGTGGTGGTGCTTATCTTCATAGGTTTCCGACACCCGTGTCAGTTAGAAATGGACCGCTGGACTACTCGCTGTGTGCCTGGTTTTCGATCTTGCGAATCTTTACTAGATATACAAGCACGACATTCACAGTGCGGCAATAATGGTATAGGAATTCATAGCTAGTTCTTCAGGATTCTTGGTCATGGTTTCCGAATGGGTTCTTCGACGTTTTGTTGCAGGAATTGCTCACGTTACCGAAAACACGATGATTCGCGACGCCATCCAACAAGGTCTCTGACCATGATCGATATCATGATCCAATGTAAAGGTACAAGTCACAATTCTTCTCTTTTTCTCATGTGCAGTATGCTCGAATCACGCATGCCTCAACTCGTCGATGTTTGCGATACAAGGCAACTCGTAGGCACAGCAATTTGCACCGCTCGACTGACGCACGGGAAAAGCAATCGACTTCGCCCGGTGACGATTTATTCACAAGCTCAGGCCGAAAGTTCACTGTAATCGCCACGTTCGATGATCGATTCGGTTCGGAATACGAATCCTCCAGTCTTTATGGCCATCGAGCGAGCCGCATTCGAGAGCAGCAGCGTGATGCCTCTCACGGAATGTGCTCCCAGAGGCTTCCGTGTCTTCTGTTTGCATAGAAAGTGAGGCCCTGTGCTCGGACTTGCGTCATCGCAGCGAACACGTCCGGTAGAGTGCGTAGCGCCGCTTTGCATGCAGGAAGCATAGACGGATTCAAAATTATCGACTTGTTCTCCAGCCTTGACTTTCCTTTCGGTCCGTGCCACATTATCAACAACATCGCATTCCATAAATCCATGATCAAATGGAATTACTGGTGCTTGCTTGTGTAGAAGATCCCGAACTAGCCGAGAGGTTATGCCCCAGCGAAGATCGCCATCGTCAGGGACGGCACCAAGCGCGAAAACGGAAAAGGGCATCATGTGAAGCCTGATCTACCTCTTGAAGGGCATGGACAGAGCGGTGAAGCAAACGATCATGCGCTGCTAGGTAGCATTCGAAAGAGAAGATGTGGTCGAAGTCTTGGAACACTTGACCGCAGTCACATGTAACCGTTGCAAAGGGCGCAACGAAGCTTTTTACAAACAAGATCGACATAGCCCAGGATGCGCGTAGATTGCAACTGGCGCATGTACAAGACCTGCGTTGGCAACAGCCGGGACTTACGAACTCTGGACTTGCACACTGCGAGCAGCATTCTGCGACTGCTGACGACGGAGCATGAGCGAGGTGAAAACCCAGCGTATTGAAAGCTGAGCATAAGAGAGAGGAGGCGGAAAGCGTCGCGGAAGCAAGGCCTGCAAAGCTTGTGTTGATGAAACTTGGAAAATGCCCAAGCATGCGCCTGCACGCCAGTCTCAGCAGAGTGCACCATTAGCATTTCATTCTGAATCCAGCGTACGGCATCCCGCAGCGCGTTAGCGCTCGTTGCACATGGCGATGAATGACGGCCATCGCTGTTCATTGTCAAAAGACTAGATCCGCGCGCTGCGTCGCAACCAGTCGGTCCCTGGGCCGCACCTATGGTGCGACGATGCATACCCTGAGCTTTCAGTGCACACAGATAGGCTCTAGATCCCCGCACGGTATCGGTGATGGATAAGCAGCGACGCAAAACGCTCGGAATACGAAGGATGAAGCTTTGCCTGCCTCGCATTCCAAATACTTCCCATCATGTGGACGCAGTTGAGCGTTTTTTGGACAGCGACCAACGTCACCAGGAACCCGGTATGCTGTAGAACTGAGTGTGAGCAGGGTGCATTACGTGTCAGCTACCTGCGATGTTCAGACCGCGTGAGAGCCGTCCAGAGCAGCGCACCTGCGTATCGTACGATACTCGTTGCCGATCCCAAATGCTATGCAAATGCTGTAGATATGAAGCATGCGGTTCACTTCCATAGCGACATGTCGTATGGAAAAAGATGACGTCTGCACGCTGGTTTTTCCTCATATACTGCAGTGCCCTCAAATCGTTCACCTTGCACAAAGGCGTACCGATCTGAACGCCCCAGGCGAGCAGATCGAGCTCGACGCTGCCCAGCAGCTAATGATTCCCGTTTCAGACATGGTTCGCATTCCGCTGAAGCGGGTGTGTGGATGCTGTGCGATCCCTCGTGTTGGGTGACGCGCTGCAACACGCCCGGTATTCGAAAACAAAGCGTACTCTTCGTACAGCCTTGGTTGGCTCGGGCTGAGCGGCGGTACGCGTCGCTGCAGACGGCGTGCGTCGCTGGACTCCCGGTTGCGACTGTGGCACTGCGGAGGCGGCTTTCACTGTGCGCTGGCCAGCGAACTAGCGTATTTTGGTGCAACGCACAGCGCATCAACATGTCCCGTAAGCTCAAGTCCGTAGCGACTGCCTCCACCGTCGAACCGGAACGAGTTCGCGTGGCCAACACGAAGCCGGTCTACCCAGACAGGCGCTACGTGCTCTATTGGGTACAGGCGTCGCCGCGGATTCTCGAAAATCACGCTCTGGAATATGCTATTGAACGAGCGAACGCTTTGAACAAACCATTGGTCGCGTGCTTTGGTGTGACGGATAAGTATCCCGAGGCGAATCTTCGCCACTACCGTTTCCTACTCGAAGGACTCTCTGAACTCTGGGAGGATCTGCGCAAGAAGCGAGGCGTGGCGTTTCATGTCTTGTACGGCCCACCGGATGAGGTGGCTGCACAATGTGCTCGCGGAGCTGCCTGTGAGGTCGTCACGGACCTCGGTTACATGCGCATCCAGAGGCAGTGGCGAGAGCGGCTCGCCCAGGCCCTGGACTGCCGCTTGACGCTCGTGGAATCCGAAGCCGTGGTACCAGTAGAGCTTGCCTCAGAGAAACACGAGTTTGCAGCTCGCACGCTACGTCCACGAATCTGGGCTTACATTCAAAGGTTTTGCGTGCCGCAAGCGCCGCAAACATTGCACCACTCGCAGCTGGAAATACCAGTTGATCACGGACCGTATTCGGAGCTGTTCGAAGAGTGCCCTATTGACGACAGCGAAGCGCCAGAACGCATTGATGCGGCACTAGAGCGTCTCGAGTCGCTAGATCGATCGGTGCCGGCAGTCTCACGTTACTTTCGGGGCGGTACCAGTGAGGCTCTGCGGCGTTTGGAGATTTTCTGCAGTACAAAGTTGTCCTTTTATGGCGAAGGGCGCAACCAGCCCCAGAGTGACCATACGAGCTGCCTGTCTGCGTACTTGCATTTCGGTCAGATATCTCCTATCACCATAGCATTGGCGGTTTGGTCACGAAAAGAGACTCCCCGAGAGTCCCGTGATGCCTTCATTGAAGAGTTGATTGTGCGGCGCGAGTTATCGTTCAATCACTGTTGGTATCGTCCGGATGACTACGATAAACTGGATAGTCTGCCCGAGTGGGTCCATCGAACGTACGCGGAACACCGCGATGATCCACGCGAGCACTTGTACGATCTCGCGAGTCTCGAGCAAGCGCAAACGCATGATCCGTACTGGAACGCTGCACAAAAGGAAATGGTTCTCACGGGCCGCATGCACGGCATGATGCGCATGTACTGGGCTAAGAAAGTGATCGAATGGACGCCATCCTGGGAATGTGCCTTTGACTGGCTGATTTATCTCAACAACAAGTACGAGCTGGATGGTCGTGATGCGAACTCATTTGTTGGGGTGCTGTGGTCCTTCGGTTTACATGATCGAGCGCATGCCGAGCGAGCGATTTTTGGCAAGCTTCGCTGGATGTCGCGAGATGGCCTCGAACGCAAGTTTCCCATGCATGCGTACCTTGAGCGGATACGGGCCCTCGACAATGGCGCTTCGTGGGAGGATGCGGTATCTAGTGCAGCCTCGGCGACGAAAGATGATGGAAAGAAGCGCATCAAGCGGCCCCGTCGGTAGGGTGCTCGAAGCGCTCGCTGACTCGCGTCGCGCTGCGGGTGATGATGCCTGCCCCCAGCGTTTGCTTCGAAGCCCTACGTAATGGAAGTGTATCACAGCAAAAGTCGTCAAGCGGAATGGGAAACGCACCAAGCGCCGTGAGATATGAAAACGTCTTCATCGTGCGGCATCAGGGAATCGAGCTTGACTCGCTCGGAAGCAGGGATCCTGATGGTTACCAGGCTACTGCACACACGACTTGCGCTGAGGGCACCTAATCGGAATCTCGTTCTGCAGCACTAGATGCCAGATGAGGCACCTGCGTGTTTCTCAGGACGTCAAGCGTGTAGCTGTGCACTCCACTTGAGCGTCACAGCCTCGGGAACGGTTACCGTACCCATGCGGAAAATGTTTCGGGGGTCGGTTCATCGACGCTGCTGACGCGGGCACGCGCCGACGACAAAGTCGTTCTTCGGCACCTCCTGCATCGCAGGATCCGCTGCCTTGTTTTCTCCATGCCTCACCGAGGGTGGCGACGAAGACTGAACGCGACGATCTACCTTCAAGCGCCGATAGTGTACACATATGGCTACTCCATCGGTTTCGATCATACCAGTATACCTTTTGCTTGCTCGTTTTGACACGTTGGAAATCGAAGATATATTCTTCAAGTGCGTCTCACGGCTTTCGGCGGCGAATTCTATCTTCCATACATCGAACTCCGATCTGATCTCCTTCATGATGCGGTAGAGGATTCTGGAGTCGATAGCCACAAATTGTGACTTGATGCTGCACAACGGAACGACACGGAAGTACTTACCCATTAGGGCAGCCTGCCGTTTCTCTGAATCTTCATTTTTCCCCCTTCACCTGCCTCCATCTCCGCCTCGCGTTCGAGTTCTCGGTTCAGGAACACGATATAGCGCAGGATGAGGGGATAAAATCTATTTTCATCTGTTTTCATATATGCTACCTGTTCTGCTGGGTTGACCAGCCCCAAAACTGCACGGTGCTCTTGAATAGGCCCACGGGTTCCAGGAGCGCCATTCTTTCTCCTGTGTGATGTGCTCTCGTCGACGAATTCGATTTCCTTTTCATTCTTACTATCGTTAGTGATGCCATCGATGATGGTCCATCTTGCCCTGCGAGAGCGGCCTGGGTACAGCGCAATGATGGAGCGTACAATGAAGCGTTTGAGGTTCACGATCATGTAGTTCCTCCGGTTCTTGAAGTACTTGATCGCCGCGTAGGTGTAAATATCCGCGTTACCCCTTATGTTGCGTACCGTCGCAGCGGTATTCGGGCTGGATTTCGTGGGGGCCATATACTTGCTCATTTGTCCTCGATGTATCCCCCGTGCTAAGCACCAGATAGCTGATGAATGTCTTGTCGAAAAATTCTTACGGAACCTCGACTGTTCTGATGTCTATCACGTCGCGATGGATCTCCTTCACCAAACGCACTAGTCATGAAGAAACCTTCTTAATAATCGATGAGTACGACTCGACAAGGTTTCTGATGCCCTGTTGGAACTTTTGCTTGCACGGATCCTTGATACGTCCGAGAGGAGTGGCTTTCACCACCATCTCGTCGTCCTGTTGTCGTTCGTGCAGCTCGTGACGTCTGACCTCCTCCTTTTGCTTCGTCGTCTTTTCCTGTTCCTAACTGCTCCGCTGTGTTTTTCGTTTTTTTCCGGCAACCGGCGATACCTGCCCTCCAGCATCCTGCATTTCGTTCTCCATGACATCCCCTTTTTATTTTTGTTTTGGAAAACAACTCACTTTGAAAGCTCCTGCTATAAAACGCGAGAAACCACTTGAAAACACTAATTTGAGGGCTAAAACCCCATCGAAATGAAAGACTGTAACTTTTTATGACTTCAAGGCACATACAACTTGTGCATCAGAACAACAAGTCATTGAATGGTTAAGATCGCGTTTCCCTTCAACGGCGGCATACGCGTCGTGTCTCATGCCTGCCAGGTCTCCCAGGTGCGCGTATCGATAAAAGACACGTGTCCGACGCCGCATTCGCACATGCGTGCTCTCACCGGCGCTCTGCGGCACATGCGGCAGCTGGTAATTTAAGAAAAACGAAAAAGCGGACATTCCCGCGCGGATGATCTGAGCTTACAGACTTTCAATTCTATTGCGTTTCGCCCCCGCTGCAGTGTATATGAGGACGTCGAAATAACTGTGCAACTTACCGTATATATCGTAGGTAAATTGTCTGCAGGATATATTCATTACTGAACAGCTCATGGAGGACTGCGTTCATCCTTCAGGTCAGTCGCACAATAATACGCAGATGGTTGATGAACACTGAAAGTAACAAGTAGGTAAGCACCGCACCAAAAACTGGTATTCTCAAAGACTGCTAGCGATCAGTGGTAGAGAGCGACTCTTCGCTCACCGTACGGAAAGTTGGAGCGACGATAGAAGCCACTGCGACCGTCTCTGTTTCTCAACAGCTTGTTCACATTGCCCTGAAAACGCTGGGATACATTCGCAAAAGAAGACTCCATTCATTCACGGCCACCTTCCACCGGAATTGTAACGACAGCGCTCCGGGTACCCAGCGATCGGTATGAAGCACAGGGTCGCCGGGTTTGCTTTTCCATTCGTTGAGACTTTCTTCGGACGCAACGGTCGGAGTATGTATGGGTATTCGCGAAGCAGGGCCCCCGTTGTAAATACGATCGAAATCGAAGAGAACGAGGATATCTTCATCAGTCTTAGCTGCAGTGGATTCATTTGACGGCCTCAGTTTCGCACCTACGGAAGGCGCATACAACAGAACCCTCTTCGTCGGATCATCGAAGACTTTTCTCAGACGTCTGGTGACGTCCTTCGATTCCACAATGTTGCATTTCACCATTCCCCTTGCATTCGAGTTTTTACTGAATCTTTCGGGATAGAGCTGCTTTCCATTCCTCCGTGCGCTCCTTGATTCAACGCCATCGAGGGAGCATTTTGTATCGTGAAACGTAATGATCGCTTTCCTTGCCGAATCGCTGAAGCGTCCGGCGTACGGTGCCACACCAGGGGCGCATTTCGTCTTTTTTCCACACGTCCTTCTCTGTCCATGCAGGTTCTCACCTTAGTGCATCAAGAAGTGTGTTCGTTTTGAAGAAATACAATATCCAAGAGATTAGCTGGGGTGTACACTCCAGAAGGTCGAGATAGAGAGTGGCCAGCGAAGCGCTTCGGCGATAGAAAAGCACGAAGAGGTGGCAGAGCAGCAAACGGCACAGAGAGAACCTGTTCGAGGAATCTTTGCATTAGTGCGTCCAACCAGAGGCAATCAACGTACGGAGTTCGTGGACCAAGACTTCAACGCCGTCATCCATATCAAACGATGCGTGGTGCGGATGACGAGATTCGCGGACCTGATACGATCCAACTTTATGGGCCAGCCGCTCAGGCTCAACGTGTACAAAGAGAAATTGGAATCGATAGCAGGGGTCCGGTCTTTAACGACTGGGAGGCGTCTGCACGTCGGTATTCATTTACCCTCCATAACTGTGAAACATTTAGTGTTTCACTGACTCTACAGAAGACGGCAATGGACTTGGGCCTGTGTCCCCTTAAGGATCGATTGCATTGAAGCATGGGTCTCCGCTTTGCACCAAGGCGACATAGACTGATAGAAATATCTGGATGAGTTCCCAATCTTTGGTTTTTTCGGGTACTTATCGCATCATGGACAACATCGCGCACCGCAAATCCTCGATTCACTGGAACAGTGAGCGCTTGCGTGTGCAGCTGACAACGCACTCGCATACGGGATTGTACAGAAGAAGCGCGCCATAGCACGGTGCGACACCGGCGAAGTAGATTGCATCTATCCCTCTGGACCCTTCAACGGCATATACCAAGCTATAAACCAAGCGTTTTCGTGCTACAGGGCGACACTGGAATTACGCAATGTGGTAGACGCATAGGAACATCTCATGAGAGTCAGGTGTCACGGTTGCGAAGCGCTCAGCGAGGCTGTGTACCTAGAACTTGAAACAGGCCTGCGAAGCGTAGGTCGCAACTCTCGCATCTGCACGGAATGCACCAACGACTGGCAGAAGCGGTGAAATCGGGACCCGGACACTGCTATCCACAGCCTTTCGACAACGAGCAACGGAACTGGAGGGAAGGAATACCCCAATACATATAAAAACGTAGATGAAACAGTGGAAAAAGAGACCAGTTGAAGAAAAAGCTCCCAATGACTGGTATTGATGATCGTAGGAAAACCCGTAAACACTGGAGTGTATGCCGCAGTCAGCAAAACGGACCCTTTCCAGGGTCGTCTGACATGACAGCATCTGGAGAATCCACGAATGCGCAGCTGCAGCAGAGGCAACGGCAGCGGCAGCAGCGGATGGGCGTGCTCTTCACCAAAATCACGCAGCGGCGCGCTTTTCCGGCAGCGCGCTCGAAGCCGCGATGGTGAGAACAAGATTCACACAGGAACTGCCGCGGAACACAGGAACCAGACGAGTATTTGTTGCGTGACTTGTTCGACAGAAGCCCATGTTCGTTGGTGCACCTTTCTACGGTGTTGGCAGCTTTGGTCCATTCGACGAAGGACGTTTGCAGAGCCCACAGCGAGGCTTCCGAACGCGCACCCGTCGTGCGGGGCACTGCAGCGTACGCACGCTTGCGCTTCAGGCGAGCGGACCGCACAGAGCGCGCAGCTCGCGCAAGAAGACGAAACGGAGAGCAAGTCAAACCGAAGGATCCACCGAAGAGTTTGAAATAACGGATATACCTCTGAGCAACTTCAGCTTTATTCAAGCGGACGGCAGTGTGGACTGGGAGCGGTTTGAAACCTTCTCCAGCCGCAGCTGGGAGGAGACCCAAACGGTAGTTCGGGAGGTACCAGAAGACCTTCCATTAAACGCTGATCCTGACGTGATTCAGGCTAGTGACGAGCAAACGACGGAGCTAGGCGCTGGACCTGGTCCAGCGGCACTGACGCTGTCACGGGACGAGCTCCAGTCTCCGGGGAAGTATGAGCGGATTACGAGCCTAGGTGCGCTTGGCGTTATCGCACGTGACGGCCTGGTCGAACCGCTGGATACGGCCGCTCGAGCGTTGCGCGAGCAGGAACTCGTCTATGTGACGTTCAGTGTCTCGCTTGAGCGAGACGGGGATGCATTTGTGCGAGGTCGTGTCCGCACTCGCTTTCGGAATGAGAGCTGTGATCGATGTGCAACTCGCTTGGAGATGGAGGTCCGCAGTTCGTTTGACGTTTGGATGGCGTCTCGTGAGGACGCCGTTCCCAACGCCGAAGCCGGCGATCCGCGCATCGAGGAAGCCATCGAGCCTTTCCATGCTGGTATTGAGGCGGTCGACTTTACCAAGCATGTCCGGGAAGCCATATGGTTGGGCATTCCCTCTCGGGTGCTTTGCGCAGACCAGCAGTTATGTCGGACGCGGATGCAGCAGATAGGTTGGCAGTTTTCCGGCAACAGTGGGGACGCCACCATCCAAAACTTTGGGCCTGACGACCTGGTGACTCGAAACCAGCAGCGGTCGCCATCGGTAATCCCTCAGAAAGATGCCCGGAAAAGTTCAAAGAAAAAAGAGATCCAACCAGGACAGCGACAACCGCAGACTACAACTCAGGCGATGGCTGTCGACACACGAACACTGCGGAGCCTGGCAGCGCGCAACCCAGAAGCTGCCAAAAAGCTCTCCGAAATACGAGAGCGCCTGCTCTCCGGTGAAAATGAACAGCAGACGCCGCCCAGATCGCCGTCGTCGGAGGGCCCTCATGAGTCACACCCTAGAATATGAGTGCATTTCGCTGCCGACACCGACCCGTCACCACCCTTCCATGGACCGTTTCGATTGCGAGTAGTGGAGAGCACCTGTTTCATCAATACAGCAGCGGTTACCTTGTCGAGATGTACCAGACCTGCAATAGATCAGTTTGCGAGCAGGCAACTCGGATCATTTATCAATCTACCTCTGTGAACGGAACTCTGAGGTGAATATTTGAGAGCACCTGCTCGGTTATTCGTTGCGAACACACGGGCTCAGTTTCGCGACGCTACCAGGCGCGTCGGCACGAACGCACCAGCAGCCACTGGTGCTGCGAGTCGCTGGAACGGGTGCAATTGCCGTTATTCAATAACCATAAACGAATGCCAAGCGTTTCAGGATCCACGCAAGGAGCTTTCCCTAGAGCAACGCATGTTGTACATGAAAACCGGAAATATAAGCGCTCCCTTTGGACCATGGTCTTCATTTTACTCGTGCTAGACTAGATCGGGACATGTCCGATACCTCGGGCCTATGATCTCGTATTGGGGTCTCTTGTTATTGTCATCAAAACTGGCCTTTTGGGGCTTTTTCTGTGACTGCTTCCGTTTTCACGATCTCTTAGCTCCGGATTTCTAAACGCAGGTCACTCCTGTCGCATTAGGTCCGCAATCTCTAACCAACGGGTGTTGAAGGCAGTTGTCAAGTCCCGATTACGCCACTTCAGGCTACCATCAACGCTTTTTTAACGCACGTGGAGGGTATAGTTGGGATCTCTGAACCGCTTGCCATTTCCTTTTTCTCTGGATACAGCGTCAAAGCGCCTTTCGCAGCGGTGACACGTGACCGTGTTCAGATGTTCCCGCATATCCATTGTAGCTCCGGCTTCGGTCGCCGTCCTGTGGCGCGTCAACGCTTGCTTCATCGTTCTGCGAATGCGCTTGACGAGTACGGAACGCAACCCTGGATGACCTGTTTCGTTTCCGCGCCCGATACCGTGCCCGAGAATCATCGGGGTCTGCTGGGCGAGCCTATCGCCGCGTACGCTACCCGCTGCACACGCTAGTGTATGCAGTTCGATTCGATTCAGGATTTGTGGGACGTGATGTTGTTCACAATGAAATCTGTACTAGGAAGAGAACTCCGGCTGGAGCATTCGTCTGGAAATTTCGATACGTCTACGCAATCTATTCGCGCACAACGGCAACGAACTCTCCACTGAAAACAAACCCTACAATGACGAAAACCGTGGCCCCAAATCCTTCTCCTCGGCAACAACAGAAGAGGTGGGAGCCTCTGGGGACGTGTCCCCGGACAGGTGTCACGTTACTGCTGTCGAATGCAGTTTCGTCGATGGCCACAAATCAGAAGAGGATTTGTCTTCTGAACGAGGTCGATAATTATTTGATTCGAGAATTTTTGTGAACTTTCGGCATGAGCTCGTAAAAAAGACGTCAAGCATTTCTACTCGTCAATGCAGTGGCTTGAATTGCCGCACCCACCAGTTGCCTTGGAAGAGAAACATTGAAATCCTGAAAAATGCATGATTTGAGCACACTACGCCAAAGACAAGGAGAAGAGCCGAGGATTCCGCATGTGAATAGGATGACGATGTCTGCTGTTTTATGAACAGCTATTCGAGGGCGTCACGAATCATCCTCTTTCTGCTGAAGCAACGATATCCAGCGGCAAAGCGTCTTAGGGGCCAACCCGAACGCACAACCGAGAATCCTAAAATACTCATGAATCCGTAGGCCCTTGTTCCTGCTATTCGAACATCGAGGCTGTGCATGAAAAAAAAAACTACGCAAAAGAATCGAAAGACATGAAAACAGCGATCCGTTCAGAGTCCCATTTTAACCTGAACCCAGTTTTGTGCACCCAATATTCAAGAGGATCACGATCTCTTCCGACGATTGATGAGCTGCCTCTCCGGGACAGCATGCTTGCATACGAAAGCACGGAAATGTACACATATTCATATTTTCATGCGCGTGCATACACACGATGAATCCACCGCCCTCTCCGCAAACCTAGTACAGACAGCACGACATTTGACCTGGTGCATTTTGCCTTCGACGAAGAGACCGCTGGAGCTTACCGGGGCATTCTAGACTCCCGTAGCGCACGGCGTCTGATGCACCCGAGTTCTCAACAACGGGTCGGTGCGATCAAGACCTTGTTCCTTTTGGCACGTTCCAGATACCGCATGCTCTGAAAACACGGTATGATGCGCCTGTAAAAACGAGGGAGCCAGTTGGCTGCACGACGCTGCCGATGCATATAACAGCGCTCCGCAAAAATTATCTTTCGGGACAGTAGATCTTTGGCTGGCGACGGAGCCAACGCTATACGCAGATAAGCGCCGCATCGCAGCGCTCCGTCCACCGCAGGCTCTATCCATTGCAGAGTGTTCCGCGCCGTGTCTTCCGAGCCACAGAGTCTGTCCAGAAGCGTCTCTGAGCACAGATCATACGTCTGCGATATGCGGGTGCAGCAGCACGGCAACGATACCAGTGCAGCCGTGTCGCACTTCACAGCTAGAAACGTCAAGTATCCCATCTACTGCCGCTCTCTACAACGCAGTGTATCCCAGCACTCGACGGGCGAACTCGTAGACCCAAAGAGTGATCATCGTGTGCGGCCCTAATCGGACGTATGCTGGTACCCAGCCTTTCAAGAAGGCGAAGGCGCCTTCTTTTCTCCATATCTGTACCGCGCAGTCTAGCATGCCACGATAAGCACCACGACGCGAGCCCTGTTGCGTCGTTTTAATCACGTCGAATGCAGAACTCGAAGTTGTCGAGAAAAATCCAGCCATCATTGCCGAACTCAGAAAAACACGGGTATCTGTTGCGGGCCATCCGCTTATGTCCGCGATCTTTGTCTTCACGACATCATAAAGTCCGACCTGAGTCGCGGTTATGGTCGCTGCTCGCACAGCAGTGGCACTAGCGCCATTCCAGAGGCCCCAGATGACGCCAAATCTGGAGGAGCCGGCGTGTGCTCGCCCTTCTGCGGCCATTTCTTGAAGTACTTGCCATGTGTTGCGACACGGATACCGTCCAGACTGCATACGTACCTTGGCAGCTTCGAACGGCGTTCCGACTAGTGCTCCGAGAGCACCGGAAGTAGCACCAGCGGCCAGTTTGACGAGGACCGGCGCAGAAGGTACCGAAGAGGCCTCGGGTACCGAGCCGGCATCTGCTGACGTGTACCTGAGGCGTCTTTCAAAGACGCCCGCATACCAGTCACGAATCGGCTGATAGAGACCTAAACGCACGCCAGAGTAGGTCAGTGCTCGCCAGAACGCGGCCTCCAGACCCGACCACAGAGCTAAAGGGCCCTCTTCCCGAATGATGCGGTAACCGGCGTGGAGCATCCCACGATACCGCTTTGTTGCCCGATGTGCCTCCACCGTTGAGGCGTCGCTGTGTTCACTACTATCCAATCTTTGCAGCTGTAGGCGCGCTTTAATCAAGTCAAAAGGAGCGGAAACGCAGGTTGCCGTTCCAGCCGCGAGCGATCCCACTGCAAGCTGCGCGAAGAGTCCCGGTTTGGAGCGCTGTTGATGCACCGCTTCGGTGCTCTGGCGAGCAACCGTACCATTTGAAGCCTCTGGAGCTTTCGTGGACGGAACCGTGCTTTGCATAAGGTATTGGGGCCAGTGTGCTATTCGAGGCTGGGGATTTCACCGTGAGCTGTGATACTCGTCTCCTGGAAAAGGTACCAGAGCGTAAACGATACGTTCGCGCGAGCACCGCAGCCTCGCCTGTTTTTGACGAATTATACAAAATACCGCTCCCTGAATCAAAGGAAAAAGTCGCCGGATAAATACACCGAAGCAGTGCCTTTAAATATCAAGAGTAAAGGAAAAGATCAGCTTGCTTTTCAGACCATGAGACTCGAAAACTGGTGTTCCGTACGTTGCGGCGAAGCGAAACGCAGTGGCACCGCACGCGCACGGACTGCGGGGCGAACTTCCGCGGAGTACGTGCGCACCATGCCCAGAGCCAGTTGTAGACTTGATCAATCCAAGGCGTTTTTTCACGAAGCAGGCTGAAAATTTTCTCCTGATGCTATCCTTAATTTGATTTGTGGCAGCGTGCTTGCATATAGCGGTTGCATCCAAGTGGTGCACAACACGGTTTATGTTTCCTTGGGTTGCGGAGCTGCGCTGGCGTTGTGGCGCGCTCGGTTGCTTTCCTCAGCACGAAACTTCGAGAAACAACTCAAAACGCCGTATTGTCAGATGAAAAAAAAAAGCAGCAACATGGGCTTGTCGAGCGCCTGGATTGAGTCCGCTCTGTCATTTTCGTCGCTGTGTTTAGACGATGCAGGGCCGAACGTCATTGGAGTGAGAAGAGCCCTCCGACGATGACATTGCGACTGATGCCGCGAACTTGTGTGCGACATCGCCTACTCCGCTCCCGAGCGCGCCATAAAATCCTGAATTTCTTTGGAATTTGTGCTTGTGAATTGCACGTGGGTAAAAGCGCTGTGTCGAGGCCCAGGTTTTCCACAGCGGAGGTGCAGTGCAGGCACACCCAGGACCCGTTGTTGCTTGCGAAGCCACGCGCAGAGCATTCGGTCCACTCCAGATGCCGGCACGTTTGCACTCTGCTGAATGCAGTAGGAGGAAGGCGCAGCTGACTCGGCTCTTGTCATGCAAAGAAACGATTCTTGGGGTGTCTCTGAGAGACGGACACGCATGCTCTGTTCTGCGTATCTTGCAGTGTGGTGTCTGATGCTCTGGACAGCGCATGATGCAGTATCTCTACCAGAATGCCTTTATCGCCTTTCGTCGTTTTGTCGCAGGTATCCAACAGAAGGAATGTATCCTGTAGATTGTGGACAGGTGGAGGACGGACTTTTGTCTGACGCAGCTGGCTTGCAAAAAACCGTCTTAGTTGTACTATTCAGTAACTCTGAGCTCAGCAGGTGAACGCGCCGCCTTGCTCGTTGTCCTCGTTCTGAAAATGTCAAATTCGAAACGTAACTTGTTTAATTCTGTCTCCGGGACTGTTTCCTCGTAACTCCAGTCCGATTCGTTTTTCTCAAAGGAATACGACAAAAGAACTTGCAGGATGGAAAGTTTTTGGACTGTTGATTCGAATCGTGATGACGAGCCGCGGATGCACAAAGGAACAGGTGCGCTTCCCAGGAGACGATTGTACCTTAAACAGCATGGAATCGACTTGGAACTAGGAACGGAAACGCATACGACGCAAGGGACAGGTGTTCATCCCGCTCGATTATTGGTCATTTGGGAGAATTCTGCGACCGATATACGCGTATCCGAAGCGACAGAGACCTTGTCCCGTCAAGAGGAGACAAGCGAGCGTGATGCCAATATCAGCGCTGGTGGTCATTGAAACGGGTGGTCGCCTACCAGTCGCCAGATGGACAGAATCATTCTACACCGCATGCTTCGTCGAAGCACCTCTTGGACTCTTCTCAGCCGATTCCTCTGCCCTTGCCTCAGACAGTGTCGCTTTCCATCACTCAAAAGAAGTGAAGGAGCGCGCAGCTGACCCTGGCTTTAGGACGCTCTTCGTGTCAGTCTTTTCTGCCCCTGATGGAATCCAGTCGAATGCGATTTGTCCGTCGTTACGCGCCGTTTTGGTGCCCAGGGATCAATCGGCATTTCGTTCGCATCCGTAACACCGTTCTTCGATCAGTGGCTCTCTATTGTCGGGAGCCCTGGGCTGCCCTGCTACCTCTCTACCCAACCGCGGGAGCCAGTGGAGAGCAGCGCTTCGGTCCATGGGCTTGCTCGCGACAGAGAAAGGAACAAAAGTACCTGAGGAATCGTCAATAGGTGCATATACGGAAAAGGCGAGTTTCAGGCGCAGCATCAATCCATTGCGTCTAAATTCCGGGGAAAGAGATTGCGTAGCGTTTAGCGAACACATCCATGATAACACGCAGGTAAAGGAGATGACAAAGACATCGATGAACTCTGTGAGCAGCGATGGAGCATGAGCGCGACCTTGCGTCGAGCCGTGGCAGAACTCGTTTAAGGTTTCTCGGTTACCGGGAGAAAATACAAAAAATTTACAGGTTCGATGGAGATCACCAGAATATCAATCTGCTCGCACTTTGTGACATCTAGGCCTGTATCGGGCAGCGCGACTTATTTTGCAAACGTTCAAGGTAGATGAAGTGAAAGACTTGGTCGTGGGGATGCATTCCGGGCCGAAAGCGCGAAACTGCCGGTGCGGTATCCCAAAGTCGTGAGGAAGGAGCCAAACCCCTGAACGTAAACCAGAGGGAGCTATCCAGCATTTGCATTGCCCGGTATGATCGCGAGTTGGGCATCACGGATGCGCGAAGGCATAGCAAGGAGTGGAATGATGGCATCAGGGCCTCGTTCGTATGCTCTGAGCACCGTATCGAGCTAAGAGGTACGCTGTGTACGATTCATTCAGTGGGCACAAGGCATGTCCATGGCTCATGTGGACGAACTTTGGTTGAAGCATATAGGACGGCGCTGGGGTCACCAACGCTTGCGGTTGGACAGAGACAGGAGGCACGCACTCGCGCCCTTCTTCGATGAGCTGGAAACCGACTTGACCGATACCTGGCGTTGTTTCGTGAGAGCGCATAGCGCTGGACGGGCTGTAGCGTGCAAACGCTGCACTCCTGGTTTCATCGACGAGGTCCTCTAACGAGTGCAGGAATCAATTCTATTCGATGCCCATCGATGTGTTCACGACGACGCGTATGCGTTAAGAGTCCGAATGCAGGCTGAAACCGCAATACTAGAATAGCACGAAACACAGCCGGATGCGTTGGATGGTGCGTGATACACGCAGCAAATTTCTGATGGAGAGGCAGTCGCAGATGAGCCGCTTGCCACGGTGTGATGCCGCAAACCACCACGCGTACAAGCACTATCTGCATCCAGACTCGAGCGCCGCGATCAACATCCGGAATTGTCTCGAGCCTCGGCAGCGTCCAATGACTTGGCGAATTTTCGAGCGAATCGTTTCGTGCTCACCGTTGGCACTATGCTGAGACGCCGCGGATCGTAGAAGAAAAGATTAGTCATCAAGAAAGGCAGGCTTCGATTCTCGCCCACAGCTCGACAATGCCATGGTACCGTCCAGCGATCCAGCAATGCTCGAGCGCCGCCCATATGTACACGAACCTCAAGGGCAAGTGGTGAAAAACAGCAGTGTCCTGGCATTCGAAATTAGTCAGTATACGCGGATCCTCTGGGATGATATTACCTGTGTTGACGATAATGCTGGATGAAAAACGAGTGCACCAGCGAGAGAGAACGATCATCATGCATACGCACGGAAACGCAGTACCGCAAGGCACAGCGCTTTTCTACCGACGTGTCGTCGATCACGGGTAGACCTTGACCTAGCCAACGGGTGCTAGCGTTGCCTCCAGTCCAACCAATTCGTCACCGAAAATACCGGGACTTGGCCTCGTGCAAGCACTGAGAGTCACTTGGGGCTAGCATTGACCGCGAGCATGTTCACGACCATACCGCATTCCTAGAGTGAACGATGCCTGCTTGAATGATCTGTTCTCTAAAATCTACCTCCCTTGTACTCCATCAACGAAACTGGTCCCTACTTCTGTATGTGTTCTTCTCTGTCAATCTTCGACTCGTATCCAGCTGCTGACATGAATGCAGTTGCGAACACAGGCAGAGTGCATGCGACCCAAGCCCGCTCGCTGCCGCATGCTCGTTCGCTTCGTCATCATCATCATCAGCGACATCGACATCAGCCTCTTGACACGACCTACAGGCTTCTACACTGAACCTGGTGCCGTTGTTGCACGGTGCTGGCCTAGTGGTGTTCCCGAGTATATCGGGGCGTGCTTGCATTAGTACCTTTTTAACTGCGCACAAGCCCGTGAGAGGCCCGGCGCTGTCGCCATAGACGCACGACACCTGAAACGTCCAGTCGAGAGCACGTCGTGTGACAAGTGCTCAGAGCGCTGCTCGCGAGGTTGATGTTTGGTCTTGACCTGGCCAATGTCTCCTCTTTGTGTTGCTCAGCTTCGATCAGTGCATGGATGATGCTTTTCGTTCGAGTCATGCGTATGGTGTATTGTATGCTAGCCGCGCAACGACACGCTCCCTCAACAGGAGCCCAAGCAGGAAACATATGCAAGAAGTCAACGCGTTCCGTTCGACTGCTGCTACTACTGCTGCTCTGTTCTAGTCTGATGGACCCACAAAGCGCTCCCGGCCACGGAACAGTGGTCAACAACGGTCTGTACCTGTTTAGAGAGGCTTATACACCGACTCCGCACGACTCACCCGAGTTTCCGAACGCAACGCTGCCGTCGGCATGGAAGCGCTTCAACTACCATACCTATAGCAGCATGGTGATCACGCTAGCACGCTTAGCGTATTCATATCCTGCTTTTGCTCGTCTGTACACGACACAGGCAGCATTTGGACTACCAGCAGCTGGCGAATCATGTTCTATCGACACGCACCAACCCATGAGCCAAGAGGCGTTAACGGGACTCGACCAGAAGCAGCGCCTCGCTGTAAAGCGCCTCATCGAAGAGCTTCGCACCCAGGATGGTCTGTCACGCAACGCTTGCCGTGTATGGGTACTCGAGATCGCCGACAGGTCTTCGGTTGCCCAGGGATCCGTCGGAAGCGTGCTGGATCCTCCAGCGATTCTCATTTCTGGTGCATTGCACGGTGATGAGCGCATTGGCCCGACTGCGGTTACAGAGCTTGCACGCGTGCTCCTCGAAGCAAGCCGGCTGCCTGCGGGTTCAGTGGACACTCATCGTTGGCGCGCCTCAGCTGCCGAAGAAGCCGACGGATCCATTTTCGGTAGCACTGCGGGTTCGCTGTCCTCGTGGCTGCGTTTCCTGGTCGGACACCGACGTATCACCATTGTGCCTGCAGCCAATGCGATAGGGTTCGCGCTCGGCGAACGCACCGAACTGGGTGTCGATCCAAATCGGGACTTTCCCTGGAATCAGCCATACGGGGCGTCATGTTTGGAAAGCGTTGCCGCTCGCTCCATTCATGAACTCGTTTTAGCAAATACTTACCAAATGATGCTGACGTTTCACGGTGGAACAACGGTAATTGGTTACGAATGGGGCGACCTGACGCATTGCCCTGAGCAGCAGTATTGCCGTCGCAACTCGCCAGCCCCAGATATAATTGCCATGCAAACGATTGCTTACGCTTTGCGATTGCATGCGGGGAACGGGACGCGTTATGGGGCGCGACCCTTTGACATCGGGACAATGGGCGATACCGTTTATCCGGTGGCAGGTGGAATGGAGGACTGGGCGTACGGCGCATCGGCCCCGGTGCAGACGTCACTTGTCTCGATTTGTAACGCGAGCCGATACGGCGGCTATGCACCCGTTAAAGTGCAGGCAGTGCGGCAGCTCCCCGTAGCGCGCATGATTGCCCTGCTCATCGAAACCGCTGATGATAAGCAACCTTCTGTGGAGACATTGGGCGTTCGACCGTTGGGCGCTGCCGGCAATGCCCCCTGGCAGGCCGACGTTCGACTCATCACCGAAACGCCAACAGTGTCCGCGGATGGCTCGGAGTCAGATTCTGAACTGGTTGTCGAAGGGCACGTGTGGCGGAACTTGCGCCTCGCACTCCAGGCTATCGATATCCTGCAACCGTATGCGGCATTCACACGGTATCCCGGCGATGGACGAACGCAAGCAGCGGACAACGCGACGGCCGCATCAATAGTCTGTTGGCGGGTCGGTGGAGCATACCACGTTGCTGAGACGCAGTTGCAAGGATGGTACGACTCTGGGGCTGCAGCGAGGATACGGCAGAATCAGGACAGTGCCCCGGACTTTGTGAGCGAGGCCTTCATAGACGCGTCTCCCGATCCGGTACCTTTCTTTCCAGCTGTTCGACTAGGACAGGGTACCCGCTGGTCTCCTGATAATCATGGAGGTCGCGAGTTTTGTGTGAACCTCCAGCAGCAGCAGCAGCAGCAGCAGCAACCGTTCACCGGAGCAAAGCGTCCGCCACGGGGCTCCAGCATCCTGCTGCGCGTGCGCTTCCAGGCCGACGTCGACTGGGGTCGCTTACCGCCGAGTACGCTCGGAGCGCAGCCACCAAACACCAGGCCCTGGAGTTTTCTCGCCCAAAGTCGTGTGGAGTACAACTCTAACTCCACTAAATTTGCTGACGAGCGTCCGTCCACGTCCGAAGAAGACGGTGTCGCTCGGGGCACAAACTGGTTCTCACGTGGACTCCACTGCCGAGCGTCTGAGGTGAGCACAGGGCATCAGCCGCAAGTCTGGACCTGCGTGCACAGTGAAGTCGCTAGAGGAACCGAATTAGGCGAGTCAGGGGCCATGTCCGGCTGGAGCAAGCTTTTGTTGGCGATCTCCGTCTTCCTCCTGGCGCCAGGGTCGTTTCCGCTGCTCCTGTTTCTCAGCTTTCTACTTTGGCGTCTGGTGCGAGGCCAGTCTGTGCATCCCGCTGAGGTATGGTTTGAGGCACGTCAACGAATGGAGATGTGGATGCAGGGACTAAGGGCGTTGGGACGGGCGCGAGGCCCAAGTGGAACTCGAGTTTCTGGGTCGTTTGCGCGTTCCACTGACCTCGACGACACGAAACGCCGTATGCTTTCGCCGACAGCCAGCAGCGCCGCCGCAGCCGAGCGAGACGCTAGCAGCAGTGCACATGACCTGGACTTGGAGGCGAGCACGCGGCGCCCAGACAGGCCCTGAAATGCGTCCAATTGTATGCACTGCATTGCTTGTATTTATCGTCACATAACGTGACGAGTTACGCAGGAGTTTTCGCCACGTGTACCCGGGTATGTTTGGGCCGGATACCCGGAGACCGCACTTTGCTTGTATTTCACGGTATATATTGAAAGATGGAGGGCGATGCGCGGAGCGCTCCCGGAGTCGTAACTACATTCATTTCGCGGACTTGTTGTTGGTGTCATGAAACCGCTTCAGGTCAGTTGCCGCATGCCTGCGGACGACGTGTCGCTCGGGTGGTTGCCCGAGTAGCGCCGCGATACGCCCGCTCCTGGTGCGCATCGCCAGTGGAGGCGTTTCCATTTGGGTTGTACTCCTGCTCGAGTGATCCACGGCGATGACAGGTATCCAAAGTGCTCACGTAAGAGTGACTTGCATGGATGAATGATGATGGTGAAGTGCTGCGATGCGTCGGAAGCACCGTTGTCCGTCTGAATCGTGTGCGCTGCTTTCGTTCTGGCTGGAGCGGAATGATCTATTTCGGGAAGGAATACGCGCAGTATCGCTGGGGCCGCTGCAGACCTCGCTTCGATAGATGCTGGCGCGTTACTTGCGTTTTCTTGTACGACATACCCGAGAATACTTTCGATGCTGCAACGTCGAAGACGTAGAAATGCTGCAGCAACTATTCGTGTTGCTGTTGCTGTGTAGGCGTCTTTGTGTACAGCCAGGCTTGTGCGCCCGTGTTCGTCATCGTCGATCGAGGCATGTACACAACCATTCTTTTGGACCAAACGCTCCACTTATGTGACGGGTACCGATCCGAGCAAGGATTCCTGGAAGCATGTGCGTGCATACGCGGGCTCTCTTCCGGTCTCGTGACCAGACGGTCGTCCAGTGGGATGCTGGTACCGCAATCAGCGCCGCAGTGCTTGCGAGCGGCTCGCATGCATCCAAACTCGTTCGCCGTTCACGATATCATGCCATGGTGCGATGGAAATTAATTCTTCATCGTCTTCAATACGGCTAGGAATTAAGCTGGGGTACGGATACGCTGCTGGCGAGCGCGTTTCAGCGGACGTTTGGCTCACACGCTGACGCTGCTCATTCAACGGTACATGTGCCCGACGCGCCTGCACTCGCGACAGCGGCGCGCTGTAGCGAGCGGCTTGCCACGAGATGCCAAGTCGCGCACAGCAGTAGAACGCTGACGTGCTGCAACGACTCGTAGACGCTGGGCCCGCGCATTCGCCCTGCACCGTCGTACCAGAGCAGGCGCAGGGACGCGTCCGGATGCAGGGTGTTGAACGTACGAGCGTTTTCCAAAAATATACAGAAATGTTCCGTTTGTGCTAGATGAACAAGGAATACCAGGCGTGTACTGTCGCCCGATCGGTGCTTGCGAGCCACATCCAGTAGGGAAAAAATGTACATAAATGTGCTGTATTGTCTAGACACCCTGATGACACTTGGCATGCCCGCTGCCTCGTTGCCATTTGGACCGGGAAGCGCGGAACGGCGGGCGCGCAGACACCATGCCTTGCCCGCCTGGCATCAGCGCTAGCAGCGCAGGTGCGGGTGACGTCTTTGAACTCGAGTATGGTCTGCCGCCGCTTTCTGCAATCGAATGCATTTTCGCATTGTATACCATTAGATCGAAATGAGCATGCCGTGTACCGAACAGAACGTAGACATGTTGCCTGCAGAAAATGTTCTGCAATGAACAGTGCAACGAGGACTGCATTCTTCACTCTATTCAGTCGTACTGCAGTGCTCTGATGGTTGAGGAATATTGAAAGAAAGAAGGATATGCGCTCCGTGCCAAAAAAGATAGGCTTAAAGACTGATTGCGTTCAATCGTGGAACAACGATGCGTTCATCAACTTATGGAACGCAAAATCGACGATAGCAACGGCAACGAGTGTCTCCGGTTCTGATCAGATTGTCCATGTTCTATTAAAAACACTGGAACACAGTCCCAAAAATACTTCTGTTTCACGCACGGGCATCTTCCACCAAAGTCGTGACGATAGCGTTCCTGGAACGTTACGATCGGTATGAAGCGCAAGGACGTAGGGTTATGTTTTCAGTCGGTGAGACTCGCTTCGGACGAACCGTTCGGAGCGTATACGGGAATTTGCGGAGCACGGAGCCCGTTCTATGCACGATCGAGCTCGAAGAGAAGGCTCATACATCAGCACTCACTCTCTCGAATCAATGAAGGATTTTGCCGGACGTCTGACGACCTTGCTCTACTGGACAACGTCGCATTTCACCATTTCCCTTCGCTTTGGAGCTTTTTGCCGATGCAGTCGGGGTAGAGCTGCTTTTCATTTATGTGCACGCTTCGTGGTCGAACCGCATCAAATGAGTTGTTTCTGTCATGAAACGTAATGATCGCTTCACTGGTCGAATCCCTGGACCATTCAGTATAGCGTGAAACACTGGGACACTAGTCGTCATTCCTGCGCAAGTCCGTCTCCGCCGGGAAGGACCTCACCAAGGTCCATAAAGAAGTGCGTTCACTATGAAGAAATAAGAAATCCAAGGGGTGAGCTGGGGTGCAAAGTCCTGCAGGTCGAGATGGCTAAAAAGCAGCGGAGCCCTGATGATATATAGAAAAGTATGGAGCGCTGAGAGAAGAGGAAACGAAGGGATGGCGCAAGTTCGAGGACTACTCGCACTGGCGGGTTTAAGCGGCGAGGGCAATAAACACGTGGAGTTCGTGAACCGAGACTTGAAAGCTGCTATCAATATCAGGAGATGCACGGTGCTGGAATGGAGACCTCCGGAGCTAACACGATCCATCTCTGTAGGACAAACTTTTAAGGTGGAATTATACGATAATGTGTTGAAATCAGTTGTAGGCGGCCGGTCCAAGACGACGGAAACACGTCTGTACGTCAGTCGGAGACGTTTTGTCTAGGGCGCTGGTCGCCTGCTACTGTACACCGTTGGCGTCGTTCGACTTTAGAACGGCGTTTGTCGTTCGTGTGCAGTCGTCGATGTACGGGTTAGGCTCTCGAAACTAATCGTATAGAGTAGACCTGAATACAGTACGCGCTTTTGTCAAGTGCCTCGATCGTGCCAGGCGAGATGCAAGGCTCAAACCTCATGGCAGACATGGACGCTACCTGTGTGCACTGCCTCTGCCAAGATCGCCGGATCCGGAGGACGAAGCAGGCACCATAACTTGGACAACGACAGCAGCATGGAATTGAATTGAACTGCCAGCAGTTCCAGAACATAACACGGGATAGAAGCAAAATTCAGGTCAGTTCCTTAATCCGGCGTCCGTGCGGCATGCATAAGAAGCATAGGGATGAAACGTATATCCGTGTTCAGGAACACCACCGTACGTTGTTTGGTTACGATCAATAAAACTAACGAAATTCCTAATGAGTAGAGCGATGCACACCTCATCCGCACGAGCGTAGGATACTACGATGGCTACGCTTTTGATTGAAGCGTCGAGAGGAATCGTGTCAGGCGCCTGCATCCCCTTGTATGTCAGGGCGGTACTGCGATGGGCGGGAGCGTCGGCACCAGCGACATAGCCTATAACAGGAGATCGTTCTGCGTGAGTTTCCGATCTAGGACACTTGCTTTCCGCTGCAGCGCGATGCGAACACGCATGTGCCAATGCGGGGTGTCGGACACGTGTCCTTCATCGATCGGTGAGGCGTCTCGCGCGGTGCACGCATCGCGCTCGGTGAGTGCACCTCGTAGATCGGGCAGTCAACTGACACGATGCGCATGCCGCCGTTGAAGAGTAACGCGATTGGGATCAGTAGCGTGTAGCTGTAACGTAAAAGCTGGATTTCAGGTGAGGTCTTAGCCAAGTACAGTCTTTCAGTTCATTTTTGTTTCAGCCCTCAAACAAGTGTATTCAAGTGTTTTTTTCGCAGTGTATAACAGAAGCGTTCAAAGAGCGTTCTTGTTCAAAAAAACTAAAAAAGGAAAGATATGAAAAAGCAAGTCGACGATCCTGGAGGCACAGGGTCGCCGGCTGCCAGAAAAAAAAACAAAAATCAGTACCGAGTCCAGAGGAAAAGGAGGAGAAGAGGAAGGACCGAAATGGGGAGGTCCTACGTCGAAGGCGACAAGAAAGACGACTTTACGACCAGATGGTGGATAAAAGCTGTCTTCTTAAACATATCTATGATCCCTACAGGGAAAAGTTGCGAGACGCTATCAAAGAACGTGTTGCGTCATACTCGAAGAGTATTGTCAAGGCGTCATCAGGACTAGTGCATTTGGCGAGGGAGATGTATCGCGACGTGGCGCACATGGAAACGGTCGAGATTCCGGACGAGTTTTTCGACAAGACCTGTATTCGTCACCTGATGGTTGGTAGCGAGGAAGCGCGGAGGGAAAATATGCTATTGCATGCCCTGCACGAAAACATCGCGGAATTCTGCTTCGAGGGTACCCCATTCAGGGGTGACCCGGATATTTACACATACGGGGCGATGAAGTACCTCACGAACCTGAAGAACCTTTTGACAATGAACCTGGACCGTTTCGTAGTACGCGCCGTATTTTTGTGCTCTACCCGCGCGTCTCTCGCAACGGGATATGGACAATTTCAATGCCATCACGAAAGATCGTAAGCATGAATATGAGGTCGAATTTGTCGACAAGAAGCCGTCACGCAGGAGAGCAAATGATGATTCCGTCATCCGTTTGGTCATACAAGAGCACCGTGCGGTACTGGGGTTGGCGAATCCAACAGAAAGGATATCAGAGTTAAAAAACGATAAGGAAAGATACGATCGCCTCATTCTGCGGTATTTAGTGCTTCTAGACCTAGAACTTGAATGCAAGGCAGAGATGAAGCTGAGTGGGGAAAAATGAAGAGTGGGAGAGACGGAAGGCTTTCCTTATGGGTAAGCGCTTCAACGTCGTACCAGTGTGCAACATCAAGTCGCATTTTGTGACCGTCGACTCCATAGTCCTTTACAGCATCATGATGGAGATCAGTCCGGAGTTGAATGTTAGCAGGGAGGAGTTCACCGGCGAAAACCGGGAGACGTACTGGAAGAGCATCTTCGATTTCAAACGTCTCAAAGTAAGCAAACAAAAGGTATTCACTGGGATGATCGAAACCGATGGAGTAGCCATGTGTGTACACTCTCGGCGGTTGAAGAAAGATCGTCCTGGCCCGCCTTTGGCTTCGCCCGTGACGAAGGATGAAGAAAACAAAGAGGAGGATCCTGCGATGTAGGAGGTAGTGGGCAACAACGTTGCCGTTGACGTGACGAAGTATGAAGATGAGAAGGAGGCGGAACCTGCGACGCAGGAGGTGGAGGATAACGACCTTGTCGTTGCCGCGGCGAAGTATGAAGATAAGAAGGAGGCGGATCCTGTGATGCAGGAGGTGGAGGATGACGACTTTGCCGTTGGCGCGGACCCCGGAAACACAAATATCATCACCATCGCAGCACCGAAGCGTGCGGAAGATGGTACTGGCGGCAACTTACGCCAGAAAGACATGTGACTTTTGAGGTTCTCGAGCGCGAAATACTATCGAGAATCGGGAATAATGAATGCGAGGAAACAATTCGAGATATGGTATGCAGGAGTGAAAGCGCATTTGAAGCGATCAGCCAGGTGACGAGCCGTGGAACGAACTTTGAAGCTTTTCGGATATTCGTGAAAGTTCGTGTTGCCCATTTGGAGGCGCTGTGGAAAGAGTATATAAAGCCCAGATGGGCTCGTTTGCGTATGAATCTGTACTGTGGTAAGCAGCGTGCGTTCGCGAACTTTTTCAATCATTTGAGCACCCTGAAAGAGGACAAGACTCAAAGGCTCGAAGTAGCGTATGGGGAGGGGCGCTGGCTCACCCAAAAAGGGTACACACCAGTTCCAACGACAAGAACTTACTAGGAGTGCGCAAGGCGTTTCGTTACGGTACCGATCGATGAGTTTCGAACATCGTACACACACCACGAGCTGGGGTGTACACTTCAGTGGGTCGAGATGGAAAAGTGTCAGCGGAGCTCTGAAAATACAAAAAAGTACGGACCGCTGACGGAAGAGCAAATGGAAAGGAGGGCGAAAGTTCGAGGGCTACTCGCATTAGTAAGTACAGTCAGTGGCAAGAAACGTATCGAGTTTGTGAATCGTGACTTTACCGCAGCTATCAACAGAACGAGATGTGCGGTGATGGAAGGTAGACCGCCAGACTAGACAAGAGAGAACTTTGTTGGACAACCTCTCAAAGTGGAATCATATGAGACAAACTTGAAACAAGTAGTAGGTGGCCCGTCGAAACAGACTGGCACGCGTCTGCACTTCAGTTGGAGCCGTTTTGACTAGGGCGGGTCACTCGCCACTACTGTATACGGTCGGCGTCGTTCGACTTGCGAACGGCATTCTCTAGCGGTGCCAGCTTTTAAACGCGCTCGAGTCGAACGGAAACTCGATTTGAGAAACCATGGGAGACGCTGGTGCGCCCACTTCGAGTGACAACGTTCCGAACCTGCTGTACTGCGCTATTTGTCGTTGGGAAGACCGTGTGGTCCTTGCTCGGTACGCTGCGCCCCGGGCAGGAGTCGCACTCGCTGAAACCGGTGCGAGCACCGCCGCCTTCGCGGAGACCCTAAGACGCATTCTCCAGTCGAAAAAGATAGCCGAGCACAAGCGCTTAACCATTGAAGAAAAACAACTGGGAATGATCCACTACGACAACGACGGTACCTGCATGTACGTGGTATTCTGTCGCGCGTCGTACCCGCAGCGCCTTGCGTTCCAGTTCCTGAACGAGCTGCGGTCGGAGTTCTTGCGCACAGTCGGTAGTCGCCCTGAAGACGTCGCTTCTGCGACCGAGAATAGCTTGACGAAGCTGTGTCGGCCGTTGATGAGCGAGCTCTGTACCCTGTACGATACGCCTTCGGGACTGGATAAGATGTCGCGGATTCGCATGCAGGTCGAGGAGGTCAAGGGCCACATGCAGGACAACATCCACCAAGTTATGAAAAACACCGACGACTTGGAGCAGCTACAGACGCAGTCGGAGGGTCTGCGCGGGGAGGCAAGTGCTTTCCATCGTTCAGCTGGCACCGTGGAACGCAAGTACTGGTGGAAGAACGCTCGGATGATCTGCGTTCTCGTCGTGCTCGTGATACTCATCATTATCGCCATCATCGTTCCGATTATTGTGACACGAAATAACAACAGCAGCAGCTCCTCTGGTTGAGGGTTTGACGAGTCTGGCGCCGAACGCATTCGCGAAGCAGTGCGCTGGAAGGCGAGTAGCTGCCGCCTTGGTCCAAGGACCTGTTGCCTATTTATCGTCGTCGACGGCGGACGCGTTGTCGCAACGAGTGAGCGCGTTGGGGCGCTGCATACAGGTTCACAGCCTCTGACACAAGGCCGTGGACGATGCCATAGCGCGTGGGGCTCTCGGGGAACGCGCGCGTTCGCCCACCTTGAAAAGCGGGGTTCGGACGGTGCACGATGCACGATCCCGTGTTCGGGCATCAAGCGCCAAAGACATGAATGCACCACATGAGAATGCTCAAGAACGAGTTTATTGTCGAGGGGGAGATTCTATGGGCGCTTGCGCAGCTTTGCAGCGACAGAGCCGCCGAAAACCCGACCGCAACGGGACGCCATAAAGGCAATGGTCTTAACGGGGATGCCAGTGCCAAAAAATGCACTCCTGCCCTGTATCGTAGACGACGAAACAGTGGCAGGACAGCGCTTCGCGGCGCGCGAAAAATCCATGGATTCTGCGTCCCGTCTGTTCGAAAGAATGGTGTGCTTGCGTTTCACGCGGCACTACAGCGTTCACATCGATGCAAGGCGTATTCAAAGCGCAGTAGACAAAGGCGTCAACAACGGCGTTTCGAGTGAATGCAGGGGAATCGATGCATGCATACGCGCCTTCATACCTCTGAGCGTATCCAGGACAGTCACAAGCGCTCTCATGTGGTCAGAGCCACGTGCTCAGCGCATCGACGCCGTCAGCTGCCCCCAGGTATCATTGATTCGGAGCACGGTCCACATGCCGAGCTCCGCAGCCGAGGTTAACGCGCCCTGTTGTGCGGCTGGCTCCAACCAGAGCTCTACCAGCGCTCCATTATCCACTTGAATCTGGCCGGTTAGATGCGGAGAAGCGTCGAGCACACTTCGGATCAGACACTTGCAAACGTATCCATGTGTAAACACAAGCACGATCACGTCAGTCTGTTCATTTTCCTCGAGTTCCAGTGACAATAGCGACAGCACCCGCTGGCTCATCCTTGACACCGCTCGCAGCACGCGTCGTTCGACATCCGCCTGCGCTTCGCCTCCGGGTGCTCGGAACTCGTACGGGTTCCGCGCCATAGCCTGGAGCGTCTCCGGTGTGTGGACCTCGCTACGCAACGCGTCTTCCCATAGACCTTGGTATACCTCGGCGAGGTCGTCAACCGGCTCCAGCTTCACCGGCTGTGCCACCTGCTCCAGCACCAGTGCTGCCGTCTGACGGGCACGCAGCAGCGGCGACGTAAACGCCACCGGAGCAAGCACCCGCCGACGACCTGCATCACCCGAAACTCCACCTGCATCACCACCGTCGACCCGCAGAACCTGTTCCAGGCGTATGGCGACCGCCTCCCCGACAACGCGTGCCTGGCGTTCCCCGCGTTCCGTTAACCGCGCCGCTTCAGAACGTCCCGCGATGCGCCAGCGCTCCACAACATTCGCCTCTGACTCCGCGTGGCGAATAAAAAACCACCGAATCCTGACCATGTATCCTTAGGACTCACCCAAATACACTCCAACATGCATCACACAAACGCATCCTACCATAAAAAGCTGCATGAAGCGCCCCACTAGAGAAACATCCCGCTGTGTACCAGCAGCACCGCATCGATGGTGCACGCGGCATCGAGTTGCGCGCCTGGCGGGGATCGCCACAGCGCCGCCTCCAGCCGCCGCGTCGACGCCGGACACGGCAGGCAGGTATACAGGGATACAGGTATTCAGGGATACAGGTATTCAGGGATACAGGTATTCAGGGATACAGGTATTCAGGGATACAGGTATTCAGGGATACAGGTATTCAGGTATACAGGTATACAGGTAGGTAGATAGATACGTGTGTTCCTCAGTTTCAAGGACGGCTGCTGCACAGCGCTTTTGGACCGCGATCAGAGCAGCTGGCTCTAACATGAGCGATCAAACTAGACAATTCTCGGAGAAAGAACAGGAGAGCGCACAACCTCGCAAGGAGGAAGCAGTGCGTTCATCGTCACCGGAGCAAGCATCGCGAACACCTCCTGCGCCTACCGGGTTTCGTTTCGTCGTACCTACCACTGCCACTGCTACTGGTGGTGATGCTGGTCAAGGTAGTGATCGTGAAGCGAATCAGAGCGCTGCACCGGTGAAAGCTCCCCAGGTCGTTTTTGGCGGTGTCACCGAAAGCGTCGACCAGGACGTTGGTGCCGCTGATGACGACGGTGCAGCGGAGACGCTCGGCGAGGAGGACGCCTCGACTGCCGACTGGAAGCCCCTGGTGCAGCTTGACTTGGTTCAGATTAAGAGCGGCGAAGAGGACGAGGATGTCGTAGCAAAGTATCGAGCAAAGTTGTACCGCTTTGATAAGAGCATGCGAGAGTGGAAGGAGCGCGGCACCGGCGAGATCAAGTTTCTCAAGCACCGGGTCAGTGGACGCATCCGCCTGCTGATGCGACGCCAACAGACGCTGAAGATTTGCGCCAACCACTACCTTTTACCAGAAATGCGACTGGAAGAGAATATGGGCTCAGATCGATCCTGGGTATGGACGGCCGTCGACTACGCGGACGAGGAACGCGACGAGGCGGTTCTAGCGATTCGCTTTAAGGACTCGGAAACGGCAAAGCGGTTCTACGATACCTTCGAGGAGCTTCGCAAAGAGATGCAAAGTTTGCTTGTATCCGGCAAGTCGGCGACAGAACAATCGCGCCAAGGTGAGCAGACGGCAATCTGAAGACGAGCTCCCCCAGCGGCGTCTCGGCGAGGGTGGCAGCGATGGGGCCTCAGTGCGTTGCAACCAAGGACGCTGGAGAGCGCGCGGCGAAGCACGCGGCTTGGCGGCACGCTAGTCTGCCGTAGACTCCCCAGACGCAGCATCTGCGGAGCGTACTGTATTCTGGATTCTTGGCGTGGTATGCGTTGGGCGGGGCTCGACGTGCCGGTACGCTCTCGCTGCCGTCCTGTGGAGTCCAGCAGCGCCGCATTCATCCGCGACCTAAACACACGAGACGGCTTGACGCGTGACGCTCGCGAATGCGGGGCACCAGTTTTCCGCGAAATCTTTCACGTTCTTGTGTATGTATGTGCGTATGTGTGTGTGTGTGTGCTGGACGGCACGGCGCTGCGTCGATGCGTACCGGTGTGTGCCGCAGGCCGACGCTCCAGTAGCGTATCGCATGGTGCAGCTGCTGTGCTCGCTGGAACAGCCTCGTTCAATACGCAGCAACCGCATGTATATGTCTGTATCCGCATGAAACGCTCGACTATATACCGCAGACGAGAGATGACGCGCTCGTCAGCGGGAAACGCTGCAGCACTCAGAGCGCATTCGGCTTTGATGGCGGCGAGGCGTCTCGTCGTTACCGAGCGGGCGCCAACGAGCACCTGCATCCATACCCGAGTAACCAGCGCTGTCGACTGGTGACATCCCGTCGCTCCAGCTTAGTAAAGATACCGTTGTTGCTGTTTCGCTCCGGCACGGGAAAGCCGTTCCAGTTCCCTTTCGACAGACTCGAGCTCAGAACACAGCTGCAGCATAGGACGTGCTCGTTCCGCTTTGCTGGCCGTAGCCGTCAACGACTGCCGACTTGTGAAGCGACTCCGAAGGACACGCAGCGTTGCCACGAGTGCCGGGGTAAGCGCCACCAGTGCTTGCCAATCGGTAGAGGCACGTGCAAGCGTTGCATAGCCCGTCACAGACGCATCCAGTTGTAGACTGTGATCGAGGGTGGTATCCGCGAGCGCCATCCAGCGCTGCACCATGCCCAGAAGCGAGCGTGCCCACCAGTGTTGCGCAGCGAGGCTGAGCCACCACGGCCCCAGGCCCGGAGGGAGCGCGTGTGTGACCACCACTGGCAAAGGGCCATGGTGTTCATAGAACGCTTCCGGATCCTGGAGCATCTCTCGGTAGATATGCACGAGGTCCGTGCGCGGAACTCCGATCACCTCGACTAGAGTTGGTTGTAACCAGTTCAACGAGAACGCCTCCAGGGACCAAGCAGTCACAATTTCATCATCATCATCATCATCATTATCGTCATCGTCATCGTCATGATCTGTTGTGCAAGTCGGGTTCACGGTTTCCGGCGCACGCGCGAGTTCAGCTTGAGAGAACGCAAGCATTTCCAGCGAAGCAACCAACCACTCCAACGGGAACGCTATCGGCGATGGATAGAATACTTTTGCCAGGGCAGTGAAGCGCTGCTGGAGCGTCTCTGGGGTCGGCCGCAGGCTTTCCGCTTGTAGCGACGTATCGAGCGTGCTTTGGGTGGCCTTAGTTGCGCGTTGCCGAACGACGCCTGCGGATAGCGCCAGCTCCCTTGCTATGATATTATTCCAGAGACGTCGAGAGAGCTCCGGATCCTGGTGTCCAGCCCAACGCAGAATATCCAACTCTGTTTCCCAGAGTGCATACGGACGCGCAATCTCGACGTAGAGGGTGTTGGGGTCCAGCAGGCCGGCTGCTGCCTGGTCAGCCCCGCCGCTGATGCCCTCTAGGCGCTGCTCCAGTTCGGAACGCTCGGGTCCTGATAAGACGACGCGACGCACTTCATCAAGCGCTCGTTGTTGGATATGGGCCACCTCCAAAGCGTCCTGGAGCTCGGGAACAAGGGCGAGCGCTCTTCCGTCGCCGAGACTCGCTCCAGCGCGTGCAAAGTGCAGCGCACGGATGAGTAGCGCTATCCTTTCATGAATGGGTAACAAGCGCGTCCTCCGCGGCGATAGCACGTCCCCGTTTCGCAAGGTCGCTCGTCGTCGTCGCGGCTGCTGAACCAGTGGCGTCAGGTCCTCGGTCGCTACCTCTGATGTCCCTGGATGCCTGTTGGGAGCAGTCGGCACACCAGCAAGATCCGCAAGAATCATCGCCGCTTCGACAAAGCGCTCTTGCTGCGCATAGAGCTTCCACGCTAAATCGATATCTTCGTGGAGCAGGAACCATTCAAGCCGTTGGAGTGCCTTGGTGAGCTGCGCATTTTTGCGGAAGCTTTCCTCTGACATGTTGCCGAAGTTGATGTCCGGCTGCTTTGCGAGCTGCGGCAGTTGCAGCAAGAGCGCTGACCCTGCAGGTCCCATTCGTAACAGAAAACGAAACAATTGATCCAGTTGAGTGGTCTCGTCTGTGGCGAGCGCTTCCACTAGACAACGCCGCTGAAGCGTTTCCCGGTCCGCACCAGTCCCCAGTGATGATGATTCCGTGCTCGATAGGTTCATGGCCGCTTCCAGCGTCTGAAGTACGAGCTGCTGATCGCCCGCGAGTCGAGCTAGCGCCACCAGCTCTGCGAAAGCGCCAGCTGCCTTGAACTCGGTTACCAGTGGAGGACTCAGGGTCAGGTGCGCAGCCACCGGACGCAGCCACTGCATGGTCTGCTCGATTTCGCGCTTCCGCAGGTGTCGCAGTGCCCGATACACAGCTACCTGCGTCTCGCCGAAGAATACTGGACATCGCGCAGTGAGCGTTTCCAGAAGGGATTCCATCGAGTCACTGTCTTCTGGGGCGTACGACTCCAACACCTTGAAGATGATGCTCGTCATGAGCTCGGCTTCCGCAGGGCGGGTTACCAAGTCTTCGAAACGCAATTGGCGAAGGCGGGCCTGATCAGTGGGCTCCAGAGACGCCACCAGGCGAGGCAGATGGGTGCTCTCCGCTAGAGTCCGCACAAGTTCCAAAGCCTGTGCACTCCTCTCCGCCAATCCAAGCAAGGAGGCAATAGATTCCAATTCAAGACGCCGAGCTTGATGGAGTGCGCTGTTCGAATGCCTCAGAGTGGCTTTGCCAGCGATCAGGTCCGGGTGCCAGGCGCTGGCGCTCCAGGCGCTGCCAAGGGTGTCGGGCGCTGTTGACCGTGCCCCAGTTGTTGGCGGTAGCATGCCCGGTGCAAGCGATATCCTCGTTGTTGTTCTTGTTGTCGAAGTGTCACCGATCCGTTCTTGAGTGTCACCGTACGAGGGACGCTCCCGGCGTGCCGCTTGTTCGAGCTCGGCTCCAAATAGGCGGTACAAGACGCGCTCGAAGGCGCGAAGCTCAGCATGCGTCGACAAGAGTACCACGAACGAGAAGCGCAAGCGCGCGAGCTTATCACCAGTCGTGACGGGCTCCGACCAAACCGGCTGAAGGATTCGCGCTAGCAGCAGCACCACTCCATCGTGACGTCCCGAGTACCGCAGAGGTGCCTCCGGCAGACTCACGGAGCCCACGGAGAAACCGTCGGCAGTTGTCTGCCACGACGACATCGACCTGTCCGCTCGCATCGTGGTGTTCACAGCACCTGCTGCCGGAGCATCGCGCTGTCGCGCTTCCTCGACCTGACTCAGTGCGCTGTCTGCCGGAAGCGCTGCGGTGCTAGCGAGCAGCTGCGGTTCGCCTCCGAATGCGAGGCATGCTCGAAACGCTTTGTCGACGAGACCGATGGCGCCGCTGGGGCGTTGCTCTGCCTGCAGCGCCAGCTCCAGGCACCAGGAACAGGCTTGTGCTGCACCGTAGCGTCGGAAAAAATCCAAAACCTCCGCATCTTGTGGACTCGCCCCCAGCAGCGTACGTAGCGTATCTAAGGGTCGTACTGGACACAGCAGGACCAGTGAGGCTTGCGTCAAACAGAGCCAACCACGGGAAACATCCTCACGGGTCAGCAGACCCGCAGGTTCGCGCTCATCCAGGTGTCCACCAGCCGATACGCCTAGATCCCCAAAGAGGGGCGCTTCAGCCAACGCGTACGCTTTGCCGCTTATCTGCAGACCGCTGACGCTCTCAAAGATGCGACTTTGGGAAACGGCGGCAGCGGAAGCTATCCCAAAACTCCTACGCTCTGCGGATGGAGCTGTTGCCGTGCGACTCATGAAAAGACTGCTCTCGGGATCCTGACGAGGAAGGAACTCCAGAGGTGGCGGCTCGGCGCCAACCGCTAGCAGCTGGTCCTGATCGTCAGCAGCCAGGAACTGCCCCTTGCACCAGAACGCCAGGTATATCGAGGCGCTTAGGTTTGATACGATTGGACTCCTGTAGCCAATAACGCGCAAGCACGCAGGATGCTCGCCCCCGACTCGACCTAGCAGGGACGGCGCGCTCGCTCCAGCGGCCTTCGTATCATTCGTCCAGCGAGTAGAAGGCCTGCGGACCGATGCCTCACCGGCAGTCGTGCAAAGCAGCCGCTCTCCCGCAGTGGAAACGACGAGCAGATGAACGCGACGTGAGTATCGAAGAGGAACGGCGTGCAGGCTCAGTGCTCGCGCTTGTGTGCTTACCATTCGTCTCTGAAGTTCACTTGCCGCGTCGAGCGAGCCAAGCAGCCGTAATACTCCCGCATCAAACCAGGAGCGCTTGCTGGATACCAATTCCGTGTCGCACTCGGAACAAGTGCGCTCCAGCCGGTACGCACTGACTATTCCGCGCTGCGACAGCGTATACAGAAGCCCCCGAGAATCATCTACCACCAGGTCAATGAGCGGGTCATCTGCATGGAATAGGCGGCGCAGGAAAGCTGGTACGAGCGCGGCAGCGGCAGCACCAGCAAATCCTCGGGAGCGATTCACTCGCCGTGCTTTGGGTACGTTTCCGAACCAGGACTGTGGCTCGTAGACGAGCTCGTGAAGACTTCCATCGCGTCCGGCCATAAATATGCGCCCAGTGTGGTGACTGACCTCGATCTTCAGCATAACGACCCCATCGGTGGGCACCGACAGGCCCGTCGGGACCAGCGTCACCGAGTCCGATCCCCGGGAGCCTCTGGAGCGCGCTCGACTGTTTGGCGAGCGCACAATACCCAACAAAACGACCTGCAGTGCCGTTGCTATCACCAAAAGGTACTCGATTTCGTCAATAAACACACCGGGTCGCGGTGTTGCTAGCGCGACGCAGCTAATAACTTGGTCCAGTTCCTCGTACACGGCAAAGTCGCTGCCTTCGACATAGTCCCACAAGAACAAACGATGATCAATGGAGATCCACGCTCTTCCTATCTGGGGCAAGAGGCCCATAAACGACTTGCTCTCCAGGTATTGGTACTGCGCCAGGAGCGCTGCTGGAAGCGGTACCGTGCGCTTGGCCAAAAACTGAGACTGTGACGGCGGGTAACGGATGTAGTCCGGTTCTGCAGTTTCCCATGATCGCCGCACGGATAGCCACTGCTCATCCAAGTCGATCGCGAGTTCCAGGTCGGCAGCAGCTGCCTCGAGAGCGGCCAGGTTGTGCCCTTTGGCAGTGCGGCTGATGGACGCGTCCGCTGTCGACGGTTTGGATTCGAGTGCGCTCAGACCACTTTGAGTGCGCAGGTCGAATCGACTCTCACTCGAATCCATTAGGGTGCCGATCCTCTTGGTCTTTGGAGCTTGCGCGTGCCGTCAGGGTGCAGGTCGCCGCTCGCGAGTTGCGTTCCGGTACGCAGCGCAGCGTCGCTCCCTGCCAGGGACGAGTGCAAGTGAGACGCCTCGAGGGAACGTCGCGAACGCCCGAGTCGGTACGCTGTGACGGTTCCTGTTGAAAGATGCGAGACCGCTGCGATTGATGAGCAAGCACAAGCGAAGCAGCCAAGAGAAGAGCGCTGTAACGCGGGTCGGAAGACGTCTCTTGAAACACGACATCGCCCTGGGGCCGCTGAGCGCTCGACGCGTTTCAGACGAACATCGGGCGATGAACTGGTCGCTCGATACCTGCTGGGGGATGTATTTTTCTCGAACTGTTTTTTTAAATGTATCGTGTCGATCGTAGACGAGCGGTAATAAGGGCTTACGGGTTCGTAAGTGGTTTTAGGATTGTGGGTCGTGTTGCACAAGTGGCTGCTTCGACGCTTTGCTGCTCGATTTCGTTAAGGGAATCAAGATGATTCGCGATGCTTTTGTAAACCAGATTCCTAGAATACTCGATTGCTTGATGCAATTCGTATGTTCAAGTCTCCACTCTTGTCCTTTGCTTACATTTCGCATGATGAAATCACGCTTTTTTCAAGTTTTCCTATTTCTTTTTTCGAAGCAACTGGAGAGCGCAGCAATACTTTCCACTGGATTGACGAGGAAAACAAGTCGACGTTGTCAACGAACGACTTGTTCACGAGCTCGTGTGTCCAGTGTCTGCAGAACGATTCACGTCCCATAATCGGTTCGGTTCGAAATACGCACCTTAGGTTCTTTGTGGCCGTCTGGGAAGCGGCATTCGACACCAGCTTGGTATATCTGTTCAGAGACACTCCATGCGGTTCCCGCCTCTTCTTTTCACATGGAAAAGGGTATTGGACACGGACTCCAGTCACTTCAGCGATCGCTTTCCGCGGAGCGCATGTCTCTGCTTTCAAGGAAGCGAGCTTGGACAGATCGAAATTTCTCGGCCTGTTCTCTAGTCTTTAGTTCTGCTTTTATTTGTTTCATCCTGGAAAGCATTGCGTCGCACAGATCCTCCACCGAAAGCAAGCGTATGTGCTTGCAGATGCAGCATACTCGCCAGGTGTATCGCCACAAAGACGCCCGTACCCTTGGGTACCGCACTGGGCACGTAAACGATGGATAGGTACGTCTGGACCTGTCAAGGACGTGTACCGAGCGACGGCGCTAGCCCTCTGGTGCCACACGGCATCTCCTGAAACAGAAGGCACAGTGAACTTGCGGGAACACCTGACCACATGGAAGCGTTGCTGCTACGAAAGCCGCACCGAGGCCAGATACGAACACAATGAGAATGGCGAGCGAGTCGTCATTGCAACGACCGTCGGTGCATGAAATGCGTCGACAACAACCGGGAGCAGCGATATCGAGACTTGAATGCGGCCATCAGCATCCTTCAACTACGAAAAACGGATCTGGAAGCAGAGGTGAGACGGTGTTAATGACATCGGGAGATCAGAAAGGAGCAGAGAAAGCAGTCGCGGAAAAAGTCCACAAGAACTAGTGCTGACGCTCTGGTTACCAGACGCATCCCACTTTATGCTTGCATGGGTGCAATTACTTACAGGTTTTGCGGTAGAGTCGCTGGACAAAGCGTTGCTGGATCGAGCGAGTACGCATCGCTACGTGGAAACCCCCAGACTGCTTTTGATGAAGTGTTCAGAATTTGGTCAGGGAAATGAAGTCTTCTCTCCCAATAGAGGCAGTGTTTGCGCTTTTGTTACCTTGCAACGAGCCGCGTCTTTGCTATGTTGTGAGAAAACAGCCAAGAATGCTATGGTCCAAGACACGACGCATGCGACAGTTCTGGGTTCCACGGAGCTCGGCCCTTGAAACACGATGAAATGGACCTCAAGCTTCGACGTATACCCCGCAGTCTTTACCTGAATCAAAGTGTGTTTCAGGAACGCCATCATTCACAGCGAATAGCCTGAAGGCAGCGCTCATGGTTTCTCGTCTTCCTCAAGTGAGAAACAGGGTGAAGAAAGCGACACCCATGGACCGTACGCCAGAATCCGTTCCCTTGCGCTGCTCTCTCTCTCTCGCGCGCCCTGCTGGTGAAGGTGTGCGCAAAGCCTCAGCCGAGTTCCGCAAAACTTTGGTAGCTGGCGGGGAACCGCGTTCTTTGGCCCTGCATACCGAGAGCGGATCTACAGCGTAACGCCATGGGAGCGTCACAAGCACCCGTCGCACTGCACTTGATCGGATGTTGAAGCACCGGTGTGATGACCACCACCAGCAGTCTCACGGGATACAGTGCTTGAATGACTCATGATTTCCCCAGTAAGCGACTATTCGCAGTGCCCATACGCTCCCGTCTCTCAAGTCGTGATCCAAAAAAAGCGTCGCACCGCAGCGTGCTCGCAGACGCTCGGAAACGCCAGTGATGATACCACGTTTCTGAGACAGGTTTGCAGCACCCGGCCCTGTTGCCAACGATAAAACCGCAAGCCTCTGTTGAGGCTGCACGACCTGACGCGAATGCGCCTGGAGCAGCGCAGGAACACGCCACGAATGTGCTTGTCCCGGGCATCCTCCAGTCCAGTAATCCTGCGTCTCCTGCATGGATCCGAGGAATTCCATCAATAGGTCGATGCGAATCCCTTATCCACCTGATTTGTTGGACTTTAGCGTACCCATAGACATTCGGGACGAACCTCATAGAAAAGGACGTAGGCATCCTTGCTGGTGATCCGTGCATTGGACGCGTCCGGTTCCGTGTCCTCGCAAACCGTTCTACATTCCACGGAAACTGACTCGTCATCGAACACGAACCACTCTGGATATCGACCGTGCCGCACATGTGCGATGTAATGGCCTTGGTCGATAGATCCGATGTGACTTACGTACCCGATCAAGTCGTAGAGAATTCGTGGCCCAGAATCCTGCAGTTCGTGGTGCATACAACGGTGCGGATGCTGTGCTGCCATCGCTTCCGAGCCAACACCGTTCCTTCGCCGCACGGACGCACTCATAAAAGGGGTCATGTCGAGCCCTCGTACCGGGAAAATAACATCGACATCGAGTTTGCTCGGCGTTACCTGGCTACCGCTACCACTCTGTTTGAAGCGCTTCAGATGGAAACAGATGACAGGTGGAAGCTGTTTCAGTGAGAGCTGCTTCGTGCGAATAGGTGGCACGTCACCAGCAGACCGGGCCTCTTCCTCACACGAACAGGATGAGGTTGCACCAATCGCATCCAGCGGCTCCTCCTGAGTAAATCGCTGCAAACAACCTGTGAGCGTATTCGGCAGCGATCGTGCCGCTGACGATGTTGTTGTCGCTGTTGCTGCTGTTGCAGCCGCACTGCCTGCATGCTCGTCTTCGGGACGAATGAGGTCCAGAGAGATGTCCAAAAACTCCTCGTAACGCTGTGAAGATGTCAAACATTTTGTACAGCAAATCTCACTTTGAATGAGACCCGCAAAGGTTCGATGCGCCAGGCACGAACAACGCAGCGACAGTTGCGCTGCTACCGACTGCAAGGCCAACTGCTCCTCGGAAGCGCTCTCTACGAATCGCCGTTGAAGCTGGAGGCGACGTTCCCCATCGTCGAGCGTAGGCGTCCAGTGCGCATGCATGAGGTTCAGAGCCGACAGCAGGTACTCGTGAGCGTCATGCTGAGCGTACGTAGCGAGCGGCTCCATAAACTTCCAGGTAACATCGAGGAGCTTCTGCGGCACGAGCACTGGCACTTTTAACGGATAGCGCACGTATTGCGCTTTCTGGAAGTGCTCTGGCATGGGCTCTCGGTCCGTTTGTTTGTCCGATAGGAGCGCTCCCTTGGTAGCGCTGGTACTATGCGTTCGGGCAGCGCTTGATTTCTGATCGTTTGGGCGCGTTCGCTCCCGGCGCTTTCGTTTTCCAGAGCCGCGCAGCCTATCATCGGCTTCAGTAGTAACATCTGATAGGGTATCCTTCTTTTCCAAAGCAGACATGCGCTCCGTTCCACGACGACGTCTCCCTTGGAGCGGCTTCGACTGGTTCAGAAGCGCGATTTCGTGTGGACGTGCTGCTTCAGCAGACGGCGTTCGAGCATGTCGCGCTGCTCGTATGGATCCCGACATAGACGACGAGGACGACGACAACGACAGCGCTAACGAAGACGACTCGGATGTGGAGGAAGATGAGGCATGCGCTGTGCCCGGCCTGCCGCTATCCACAAACTCCTTGGCAGCGCTTGAGGCACTACGAACAGACCCAGACGCGCCAGTATGCAGATTTGACAGCTGCGTCTCTCTGTCCGATAGCGCCGCTTCTGCGACAGGTCGCCAGTAGCCATGCGACTGTGCCTGGCTCAGAGACGCCAGGTACGACTGCGTCATCAGTGCATCTAATGCACAATTGAAGCAGGTCCGCTCCGGGTCCTGGCTCTGAGCCAAAGCCTCAACACGGCGCAGACAAAACGACTGATGAAGATCTCCAAGAAAAAAGTTGCGCACCGGGCATAAACGCATGAAAACCTGGAGCACAGCAGACATGTAACAAGTGTTGCCGAGGTTGGTGAGGCCCACCACACCACCATACCGGCATCGTGCCGTTCCAGTGCACGTCGATAGTCCCGAATGCGCACAACTCGTTTCTGACGCGTCTCGGACTCGCGTCGCTACGGAAGCATTCGCAACGTTTCCGCCGGTCGCCATCGTCTGGTGTTCCTGATCCATTCTCCGAGGCGGTAATCGCGAATCATGACGGTACGCGTGCGCCATCGATGCCATCCAGTCATCTCGGAACTCATCATTGTCTTCGCACTCGTTGTAGGCCCAGTCGGTGAAATGTGCAATGGCGTGTTTCTCGCGCCAGCTGAGTACCCACGAAGGTTCGCTTGGCCTTGCCGCAAAGAAAAGCAGCTGGAGTTTGCGTTCTTTGCGCCACAGATCCCGATGCCGCCGTGCCAGCACGCGGTTTTGTGACTGCTGACAGGTACCTGGTAGTCGCTCTGCGATGCCGTCTGCTCGAATCGAGGCATCGACCGCGAGGCCGCCTTCCAGCGTCGAAAGCGGCACGTTCGGAAGAGCCTGCATGGACCCGCTGAACCGCAACAGCATAGAACGAGCAAGTGAACGAGCCTGTTCCCTCCAGATCGCTCCTTCGATCAACGGGTCTGGCACGACTCGATGCAATGCAACGATTTCGGCTGATCGGCTGTGAGTCACCGCTTTGGTGTCTCGATCATCGTGGGGGCCGCTGCTCACGGATGACTTTGCTTTCTTTCGTTTTGGCATTTGGGAGGCACCTGTCGATTCTAGCGTCTCCATGGTTACATGATCATCGTCGGATGCTGTATGATCTCCACCTGATCCTCGTCGACGGAGTGCCTGAATGATCGGCATTGCGTCGTAGATGGCGAACGAGCCGTCCAGGCGCATCCAGAATCGAAACACACCTCCCGAGTTCATGTTGAACTGGACAATATGTTGCGCACAAGAGATGATCACGCGATGCAGGCAAAAGTATAGATCATCATAGGGCCGACTGCACGTCACATCGAAACAGTGCAGCTGGGGTACGGCCGGCGAGTGCCCCGGACGCCCAAAGACCGTTGACCACGTGTGCAAGAAACGCGCAATGACCCGTACCGCAGTTATTCCATTCGTTTGTCCGGGGTTCTTGTTACTCAAATCCAAAGCCTGGAACTTGAAAAGCTGCATAGCTCGGTCCTCATCGCGCAAGGGTTGCCGCTGCAGCAGATTCCAGAGCGCTACACAGAGCGCACTTTGCGAAGCAGTAGCAGAAGTGGTCAAGGTTTCCACTGCTGACTCTTCCGGTTCTGATACTGGCGGATACAACTCTGAGCAGTCTGCAGCGTTGAAGCGGACGGATTCAGAGTCCTTGTTCCAGACTTGCGGGCGTGCCTGGCTCGGTACCCCAGTATTCGCTGCCCGATTCGATGCCGTCGTCGGCGCCACTGGTGTCGCCGCAGCATCCATCCCAGAAGTGATGCTTCCCCACTTCGCTGGTTAGTTGACCCAGTACTCCAACTTTGCGCCCAACTTGTGATTCTTGGGACGTTTCTGAGCGCCGTCACCGCACGTGTTCTGCGGCTTCGTAGCACGTGTTTTCGGCTACCGGACAAGCATTGATGCCTCTTGGCGTTCGCGCGGCAACGGGGCGATCACCAGCAGCTGTGCAGGGCTACATCCACAGATACGACTCTATGGGCTGTATAAGGTGTTGCTATCTAGCGAGATGTATGCTTTCAATGAAATTACCAGCAGCTGTGCAGGGCTACATCCACAGATACGACTCTACGGCCTGTATAAGGTGTTGCTATCTAGCGAGATGTATGCTTTCAATGAAATTACCAGCAGCTGTGCAGGGCTACATCCACGAGTCCTTCGCAAGAGACGTGCTCCTAGCAATGGATGGGGCAGCGATACATTCCATGTCGAACGGTACAATCTGGGGTCAGTGGATACAAGCCATTGTACAGGATTACTGAAACCTGCATTGAGCCGCATTCATTAAGGCATTGAGGAGAGTTCAGAAGATCCGTTAAAGCGGTGGAGATAAACTTACCGCCAAAAGAACCTGAAAGCGCACAGCATATGGCAGTGGAAAGCGCTCTGGTGAATGCTGCAATCCTCCGAGTGGCTGAGCAGCGCCCGCATTGCTGGAGTTTTATCGAGTCAGCACCAAAGCGATGGAACTCCGGAAAGCTCCATCTACCGTATGACAAACTTCATACGTCGATGCTCAAAAATTCAACCGTATGCGACGATCTGCACCATGCAACCCCAGCGGCTCCAGCATTAGCCGAGCATGACCATCATCCATGGTAGCTTCAGATGCTAATGGATCTCTTTCGGGTGCTGGCATATTTTAAATGCGGATCTACAGAGTGTAGCGTGACATGGCCTTGCGAGATACAGGATAGCGCGAGAGCATCTCGCCAAGTGCGCATCACAGGATGCTGGCCTGGAAACGGTACCCGCCGCGTTCGTCGACGAGACCCGTTCGATGCCTCAGTGCGTAAAGAGTCTGGCGAGCGGTTCATTCTGAGCAGCAGAAAAGGTCTTGAATTTGTGCAGCAGCAGCAGCAGCAGCGTTACCAAGAACTGCTGCAAGCGGGTCGAACGGTACACCGGTGCAACAAAGAAAGCAGGTGCGTTGCATACGGGCATTTGCCTTGCCGCGTGTACCTAGAGTCCACCACATACAACGAGCGTCATCGTCATGGATTGCCATTCGCCGACCAAAAAAAGTCGCAGATGCATCGTCCAACCATGACACTGGGACGTCTCAGACTACAGCGAGCGATGATGATGGACGCCTCTCTGTGTCCAGTCATACATTGAATCGTAATTGCCCGATAAATCACGCCGAACGGCGTGCTATGTGGCATGAATCGCGGCATGTCGTCCGCTTTTCTTGCACATGTCGTGGCGAATGGCTATTTATGATCATTTTTATCTGAACTCGGAGGAGCACGACGTATCTCGATACTGCAATCGTGTCTGTGGCCAACGCGAACGGCATCAATGGTAGATGCTCCCGCAGTGATTTTGAAACCCATCGAGGTCCTTGAAGAGTGCTGGATTCCTATGTATCATTCATAAAATTCTAATCACTGCCGCTTGTGTTCGGGTCACGACTACCAAGTTGAGCTGCGCGAGCCATTCAGCGTACTCTGACGACAGACGAAGACTCCTCTCCCGGGAGCAAAAACAAGTCTCGTTCGTTCGATCTTCAGCACTCTGCAGTGTAACCGAATCAGCAACAGGCGCCCCGAAACGAGCGCTCTATCTGCATCGCGCCTCTACGAGCCGGACAATGCTGCTAAGACCCCGGATCACTGGACGCTACAACACGCGTCTTTGCGTTGGTCATGCGGTTCGTGTTTCGCTACCCGACGTGACTCATTCCCGGAGTCCGTCGGACGGTGCCCTGCACTCGCGTGCGGCGAACGTTTCGGCAGCTCGGTTGCCTTCGGTCCGGCTTGGTCGCTCTTGGGCCGCTCCCGCCGCGCCTTCAGACCCGCCAGAATAGCTGCGTCAAAGACGGCCTTGAGTCCGACCTGCGTCAGGGCGGAACACTCGAGATACTGGATCGCGCCGATCTCAGTGGCTAGGCGTCGACCCATGTCCGCCGTGATTGCGGTTTCCCCTCGTGCTTCCAGCTCTTTCACCACCGGATAGCTTTCTCTTAGATCGAGTTTCGTGCCCACTAGAATGATGGGCGTCTCAGGGTTCGAGGCACGCAGATCAGGGACCCACTTCACGGCCACGTTCTCGAAACTCGCGGGCGCTACCAGCGAGAACGCCAGGATGAAAACGTCAGCGTTCCAGTACGAGAGCGCTCGCAGCCTCTTATAGTCTTCTTGACCAGCTGTATCCCACAGCTCAATAGGTACCTCTTGCCCGTTACAGAGCACCACGGCGCTATAGTTATCGAAGATTGTCGGCACGTAGTCTGTCGGGAACTGGTTGCTCGTATAGCTCATCAACATGCATGTTTTTCCAACGCTTCCATCACCTACGACCACGACTTTAATGGCAGAGTCGTCTGCATCAAACGTCTCTGGAGGAAGGTGTACTCCGTGCATGGTCGCCAGCAGACAGCCGCACCAAAGTACACGGCCTCGGAATAGCGCTCACCCCCGAGTGATAGGACTGGTGGAATTCGCGCGATTGCTCCCGCGCTCGCCGCGACATCGACGCGCGTGGACACGCCACCCGGGGGTCCAGGGACGGTCGATAGTAGCGCCTTGTCGTTTTTTTCTTATCGTTACACCGGGGTTAGGTGAGCATGGGACATTGAACAGCTCGCTCTATTTATGTGTTGAGCATGTTTCTCCCACCTTTTTATTAGGTACACGGCGTTGACACTCGAAGTGGATCAATTAGGGTGTGAGGAATCGTAGGTAGATATGGGATTCCTGGTCGTATGTTCGGAATGGCTCCGTCGACGCTTTGCAGCTGGAACTCGCGACGTTCCTGGAATCCGGGTGATTCGCGACGCACTCGAACAAGCATTCGTAAAAAAACCGATATCATTATCAGATTCGTATTTGCGGGCCTCTACTGTTCTGCTCTCCTTACGTATTGCATGCTGCAATTACGAATCCGCCAAGTTGTCGATCTCTGTGTGTCAAGGTAACTTGTGGGGGCAGCAGTTCGCACTGCTGATCCAACGAGACAAAGCTAGGCGTCTTGTTTGGCGGCTTGTCCACAAGCACAGATCGAACGTTCTCTGAACTTGACACATCAAGGAATCGTTATCGTTCGCAAGGCAAATCCTCCTCGCCTAGCGAACATCAACGAAACAGTATTCGACGTGGGCACGATACCTCTGAAAGGATATGTTTCGAGTGACTTCTGTCTCCGCTGTTTGCATGGAGAAGGGTCCTGGACGTATAGTTGAGTTATCGCGTGAATCGCTTCCAGTGCGGAGTCTGTCAACGCTGTGAACGCAGAAAGCGTGCAGGGTTCACAGCGTCTCGACTTGCTCTAGTACCTGAATCGTTCATCTGGGTCTTGTTTCATCATGGGAACCAACGCGTTCCACAAATCCTCTATCGAAAAGGAAGGCTTGCACTTGCATGTGCAGCACGCAGCGTACTTGCCGAGGTGATCGTCCAGAAAAAGCCCTTAATCATTGGACACGGCATCGGGCACTGAAACGCATGAGAGCATCGAGGGTAGCCCTCTGTACCCGTCAAGGGCATATACCGAGCGATGAAGCGAGCGTACACGCTCCACTGGTCAACGCCTGGAATAGCAGGCGGCCTTATGGGAGTATGGGGAAATCTGACGCGAATGAAGTGTCAGCACTGAGCACAGCGCACCGAGACAGTGTTTGAAAAAGATGCAAATGGCAAGCGAGGCGTAGATCGCCATCACCGCCAGTGCATGAAATGCGTCGACAACGACAGGAAACTGCAAAATTGGGACTTGCACGCCAAAACCAATATCCTTCAACTGCTGGCAAAGGAGCTGGAGCGACCGGAGAGACCGGCATTTTGAACGCCAGAGATAAGCGTGTTGGGAATGAAGCAATGGCAGGAAAAATCCGCAATTCCTGTCGTTGATGACAATATGGCGAAATCCAGACGGTAACGTCTACGCCTAGTTTGGCTCAGTGGGTCTGTTCCATTTTATTCTGACCTGGGTAGTGTAGTCCATCGTTGTTTCATAGGCCGCATGGGCAAAGCGTCACCTCATGCGGCTCGCCATGCGTTTCTCGTTCGACTGGCGCTTGAATCTCGCACCAACATCAAACGTCCAGAAATTGTATGGTGCGCTCAATTTCCTACCATCTCAGACTTGAGTTCACTTCGAACATAATCAAACGCTGAAGCAGCACTGAAGCTGAATCCTCTATTCTCGGAGCTTTTCACTATGCTAAACTGACTTGGGACCCGTCGGCAAAGTTTTGAAATAGTAGCGACAGCATGTTTCGCTCCCCAAGCGAGTCGTTGCGGAGAGTTCTGCGCTCTCCGGCGAAAGCTGTTGCACGACTCGGGCGCAAGGGCTCCAAGCACATCGTCTATTTCCGGATCCACCGGCTTGTTCAGGAAGAGGAGGCTTACAAGTCCGCGCTTGCAGGTGTCGTAGACCAAACAGACGGTCGCGATCCGGACCAGACACGGGCTTCGGCGTTGAAAGCTCGTTCACTGCGTGTGTGTATTCAGTTTCTGGACGATCGGGCGGGATCTGTTCTTCAAACGTCTTCGACAACGAACGGAGTCTGGGAGGAAACTCTGGAATCGAATGTTACACTTTATCCACTGGCCAACGAGAAACGCTTTGAACCGCTCGTTGCTCAGGTGAAGTTGTACGATGTACAGCGGGACCAGCCCATAGGCGTTGGCGAAGTGGATGTAGCCCAGTTTGCGCCAGCGTGCGTAAACCGCAACACTGGGGACGGTGCCGAAGCACCAGCGGCACACCGTTTTCATCGGCGCACGGGGAGCACGGACTTTGGAGAATGCCTTCTGGAGCTCAGGTCCTCAACTAGCGAGAGCAGAAACACACCAAAGTCGAATCGAATCCGAGCGGTGCTCCTCATTAGCATCAGCATTGACCAGCCGCATACGTTCACCGATGTGTCTGCGTCGATCGGATCCCGTGACAGCGCGAGCCAGGCTTCTTCAACAGAGTCCAGTGCAAGCGTACCCGATCTAATGAGCGCCAATCGAAACAGCATGCCAGAGCCGTTCAAAGGAAACCGCCCAAGGGCGACTCACGGCACGCGAACGGTGGCTGCAGGCGGATACCAGGGAGCACCGCTGACCTCATCGACAGCGCAGGCGTCGCTGACGGCTTTGCGAGCGTCGACCATGGCTCGCGAACGAATCCATTCAGCTCAGAATGAGGGAGGCAGCGAGGATTTTGCGAAGAAGACGAGCGCTGGGGGCCAGGCGTCGACGGCAGCGTCACCGCATGCCCAGAGCTTGCATCCCGCGGCTTCGATGCCGTCCAGTGTGACATCGCTACTGCAGGATCGGGACCGAGGACCCAACAGCGGTACGGCGGAACGAATACCGCAGCCTGATGAAGCATCTCTATGGAAGAGAGAACGTGATCGGTTCGCAAAACAACTTTTGCTGCAGGCGGAAACGTTTCAGGAGGAAATTCGCGAGCTTTCCGCGACCAACAGTGCATTGCGTGTTCAGTTGGCGGCGCTGTGTCGCGAACGCGAGGCGCAGCAGCTATTCAGCGTCCCTGCTGAGAGGCGCCAGAGCGCGCGTACGCACCCAGGCGACCATGGCCTACCGCTCGCAACTACTGGACTCGCTTTAGCACGCAGCACTGCAAAGGAGGATATCGGTGCTGAGCTGGACCCTGTTCCGGTCGACTGGGATCGAGAGCGGCTCGCTCGCGAATGGCAGATAGCGCGCGCCGGCCTGCGAGCGGCGGTCGCCCAGGCACGTCTGGAGGTCGAGGCTGCGCTGCGCGATGCTGCCTCGAGATCCATTGCGAGTTTGCGGTACTTTACCCACTGGCATCGTCAGCGTGAGGATGAAGCACTCGCTCCTCACCATGATCTTGCAGCGATGATGACCTCACGGGATGCTTCGAAGGAAACTAGCGCCGAACTCGATCCGAGCTCGACTGCAGGTCGTTCTGCTCCAGAAGAGACGGCGCTCGTTCGGGAACTCGAGCAGCAATTGATCGCGACGAAACTGGCACATGCCGAATCCGAGGACAAACTCGAGGAGCTTCGACGTGCGCTTCGAGAGATGCAAGGTCGTTTGCTTCGCGAGCAGCAGCGGACCGTACAGCTCGCGCAAGAGCTTTCGCAACTCCACGGGCAGCAGGTTGTCACGGCAACGCCAGCGGCAACAGCAGCAGTAGCGGATGCGCTACATCATCGCACGACGGGTAGTACGCAAAGCAACGCTGCCGAACTGGTTTCAGGCGCATCAGAAAGTAGACTGTGGAGGCGGTTCTCTGCATTAGATGAGACGCGCACCATCGACACGACTGCCGCGCGAGAGCAGCACGCTCATAGAGAAGGTGCCAATGAAGCTACTGATGCTGCTGCTCGCCGTCGCGCGTTCTCTGTATCGAACGACGCGTCGCTAGCGAGCGGCGCTGGCGACGTATCAGCCACTCAACGACGCTCTGTAGAGCATGCGCGTTCTCGGCGTTTTTTCTGGAATCGACGTCATCGAGCGAACAGCCACACAGAGCCTTCTTCATATGGGTAAAAAGGAAACGCGCATCGTGCAGTTCCGGATGAGATTGGCAAGCCGCCCCCGCACCTGGACGCGTAACGTACGTGGTGCCGCTGCCGCCGCCGCAACAGCAGCAGCGAGCATGCCCTGAATACGCTACGCATCGCTCCGAATCAGAAAAAGAACAGAAATGGACCACGAATTACCGGTTAGAGAATCGTATCTTTCCTGCTATACGGTTCGCGTTGACCGGTTATTCGAAATTTTACGTTCTAGGCGGAATGCTCCGCTAGCAGGACGAGTCTGCCAGGATAATGTTTCGTGCTCCCGCCAGCGACAGGTGATGTAGCGAGACATGAACAACTCGTCCGCAACGCTCTTTATTCTGCGACTAGGGACAGTTAAGGTGCGTATGGGCGCCGCCCATGTTGCAATTATCTCCTAGCATATCGCTTCGCGCTGCCTGCAGCAGCGCGTCTGCCTGCACAGCTTGCAGGCTCCGAAAATGATAAAGAATCCCGACTCCGTATCAGGTGAAGCGTTCCTCGATCCGACGCTCTCATTGGTATGGCAAAGCCGCTCTGTCTCTGTGCTGCATCCGTGCCAGAGGCATTGGCGCTATTGCTGGTGCTCAAAACAGGTACTCTGCGCAAGACGGAACGCACGGAACGACCATTATCTCTGAGGGGCATTGTGCATACTGGAACTCGGACGTAGTGCTACGCATGACAGACGCTTTCACCAGCACCGATATCCATCACGTAACCTGGAGCTCCTTACACAAATATATCAACGTTCTGTCGATCGAAATCGATATTCTCTCAGTATCTCCGAGAGGATGGATGGGTAATGGACCTTGAACATACCGCGAAGCATGACAGGCGCTTTCACGGACACCGATACTCATCACGGAACCTCGAGTTCCAAATCCAAATATATCAACGTTCTTTCATGTAAGAAACAGGATCGCCCCCGAATCGATGATGATAATGATGATGATGACGTGCAGCCCGCCGCCGCCGCCGCCGAAGATCTCTGCACCCAGATGCCGTAGGGCAGCTGCCTGGAGGCAAAGATTTCAAATGCCCAGGAGCCTGTTCTGGAGGCCGTCGTGCCTGTTAACGCCGCTTCCTGGACGGTGTTCCGCGGTGACCCTAGCATCCAAGTTGGGAACACCAGCAATGCAATGGGGAAAGTTCATAGATGCGTTCGGGAAACCGATTGAGAGAACTTCGGCGAAAGCAGTTGTTGAGGAGCCGTTTTCCACGGCGAGGCGCAGTGCAACCGTAGCGGCTGAGGCGAGTCCAGAGGCAGCGGGCCGTGGAGGAGCTTTCGACGAAGCCCTGAAACTTGTTCAGGACCTCGAAGACCAGAACGAGTGTTTCGATGGCTCCAAAGTTGAGCAACTGTGGTTTTTGCTGCGTACAGGCATACTGGATAGGTGTAAATACGCACTAGATTCGGAGACGTCCTCGAGCTGTGGCGGGCTCAACGCCTCGGGACAGTGCCCGTATTGCCAAAGCCTTGACGCTATCCGGCCAGACTGGGAGAGGTTTTCAGCTTTGTTTCGTCAACTTTCGTTTGGAAGCAGTGCTGGAAGGTGCACAAATGACACTGCGTCACCGATGAGTGTCACGAGTTGCCGTGCACCGTCGAACATGCAACAGGTGCTTCGTGATTCAAACGATGTTCACGACGCAAGCACCGAACTACAAGAACGACTCGAAAGTTTGTTGCTATATCGCGACGTTTTTCTCGCCCACGCAACGCAGGTCGTTCGCGCCCGCCTTGAAGAGCGGGCGGCATTGCAAGAGGCGATCGCTGGCAAACGCGACCTCATCACAAAGTTGCGGAAGCGAATTGCTGAGATCCAGCGATTGGGTTTGCCTCGGGAACCGCAAGTTCCTCTGACAATGCCAAAAAACGAGGGCACGCCTCGCGATGCGCATGAAGCGACTGCCTCGCCTGTCGCACTAGACGAGTCCATCGACGACGCAGGCGTTGCCGGGAACAAGTCCCCAGCAATCGGTACAGGACCTCTGCCGATGATGCATAACGAGCTGACACTTTCAAATGATGATGCCCTGTCGTCCGGAGCGTTCTCGTTATCTTCAGCTCGTTCGGGTTTTGTGAGCGAACATGTGCGGGTCGCGAAAACGACCCACGGCGACAAGGTGTCTTCAGTGGCAGAAATCACGGCGTTGAACAATCTCGCGAACGTTGCTCTACAGCGCCTGCTGGGCTCCGAATCCCCGAGCGCCGCCCCGACTGCGGTGGTATGCGGAACCTCACCGCATGCATTCAACGCAGTCAGCGCGGATGTGTTACCAGTGCGGAATGTGCTCAGGGCATTCACCCGACACCCCGAAGGCGTACCCATCTCCGAGCTGCCAGCAATGATGCTCCGAGAGACCGGCGATCCCGTGGTAGCAAATGAGATCGTGGAGTCGCTTTTGAACGCTTGCGTCCTGGAATACGATGAAAACTACACCAGCGTACGACTTTTTTCTGAATTTCATCTGGGGTAGTATGCGGACACCCAGGCTCCCCGGTTATTCCCGAACCGATTTGTTTACGAGATAGGATCGATGTATCGATCCAGGGATCCCCCGATGCGCGTTGGTGATCGGCTGCCAGCGAAGCGATCACCGATCTGTTCCAGAGCTCTCGGAATGATGCCTTGCCTCGTGCGGCCGACCTCCCGGGGAAGAGCTTGTTTCACGCGCACCCATACCCACGGACGACTTCTCCAATGTCAAAGACAGGCCTGAGCTAGATTCACAACTCAAGTGTGGTGTTCGATTGGCATTCGCGATCACCTGCAGCGTTGGAGAGGTGCGCTCGCCCAGGACATATCGCCCGTTTTGCGTGCAAGTATCGATTAGCTGGGAACTGCTCCTGCAGAACGCGGAAAACGGCCGCCAGTAACGCATTTATTTGTTGCAAATTCCGCTTGTTCAGAGACTCATTCGGGACTATGCTCCGAATCCCTTGTATCCAGGACGAATTCGGTGGCTGTATCTACTTACAAGATTCACTCTAGAAATCGCTGAAACGTGCGCAAGAATGACGCTGCCCGACACGCAAGTCGAGCGCAAGGCGAGCATTCTTCCGTAGACAAGCAGCAACGCCCGGCATCCGTCGCGCGCGTTACCACAGCATCCGATAAGCAGGTCAGTTGCTACGCGAGCATTTCGTCATTGGCGTGCAGTATCCACCTGCAAGCGTCAAGCGGATAGCGAAGCGTCATGTTGGGGATCCGCATAGCGACGATACCACACTGCTTGCTTCTGGTTTCTTCAGATTTGCAGGAAAGGATGTTCCAGCACTTGCACCGCTGCTGGACGACGAGCTTCGCAGTAGTCCAGAAGCCTCTGAACCAGATCGATGGCCTGTTCTATCACGTCCTGATCCACGTCGTTGTTCCAGCATCGATGAATTCGAGCAGCTATGTTATCAGAGCCGTGGGGAGACGACACGCTCTCGGTATGCGATGCTGGTGCAAGCGGCTGCTGCTTGAAGCACTCTGGCGGATTCCCCAGCAGGTCGAACACCGTCTTCAGCGATCGTAATTCACTCATCGCCGTGCCAGTGCCGCAATCGAATACCGGCTCACCGGCCTGGCGAAATAGCAGCTCGAGAAGCACACATCCAGCTGCCCAAATGTCACTCGACGGGAGCCGCCGCGTCTCCCCGAAATAGAGCTCCGGTGATCGCATTGGCGCATAAGTCAAGGTCGGTGACGAGGCCCCATCTGCGTCAGTGTTCGCACTGCATCTGCGCAGCAACGAATAGTCGCAGAGGAAAAAAGTCTCCGCTTGGGGTAGGCGACCAGCTTGGAGCGACAAGCCAAGCGCTTCCGGATCCACCCGCGACAACACGTGATCCAGTCGAATGTCACGATGGACGAATCCATGCGCGTGCAGATGTGCCAGTGCGCTGAACAGTGCCCGACACACCACCCGAATGAGCCGCAGCCATAGCGAATCTGATACAAGATTCTGATCTCTTTGGAAGAGATGAGCAAGTGGATAGCCCCGCTCCATAACGAGTGCCAAATCCGGCTCGACGCCTTCAGATCCCAATCCAGCTTCATTCGCTTCTTCTGGGAAACTCCATGGCAACCAAGCAATGCATTGCACCAGATTTGGATGCGGTGGTATCTGCGAGACGAGTTCTCGCTCCCGTTCAGCATAGTCGATTGGCGCCGCGTTGGATGACGGTGCATTCCATAAACGCCAACGTTCCAGTTCATGGTTACGCGCAAAAGGATAACGGTGCAGTCGTTTTATAACGAACTGGCTGTCGGAAGCTCTCGAGACAGCCAACCAGACTTCACCATAACTCCCTTGACCTAGCAACTCGACGAGCTTAAACGTAGCAGGCGAAGCGAACGGCACGTCCAGGCTGGAGGCACGCGGCGTTGCCGGCAGTGATCCGGGTTGCACGGCCTCTTCGGAAGGATGCTCCTCCGCATGTCTTTCCGCAAACATGGTTTCTGAATCATATTCATTGCAATCGGTAAACTCTTGGCCTCCTTTGCTTGCCATGACACCAGTGTCGGGCTGTGCATGAAGGTTTCTTCCGCGGAGAAGACGCCTGCTCGCCCCAGCTCTTGTTCCGCAGCGCTCAAAGTCCAGCAAACCGCGCCTTTGTGTCAAAGCGCTTCTCTATCCTAGAAGTAAGGACCCCGCTTCGCGATGTTGAACGTCATCAAGGCTCACTCCGTCTTCCGTAACGCTGCAGCGCCGTGTCGCAGCGGCACGGCAGTTGCCAACCCGTCCGCTGCCGTGCGGAACGCGTCGGCGTTGATCCTCCGCTCAATAGCATCGTACCTGTTCAGGAAACGAACGAACGCTACATACCAGGTCAGCGGTGCGCTCAGAACACGTCGAGTGGGGCGAGTTTGCAATCAAGAACAAGGCTCTCGCTGTTCGTAAAAGTGCTTTTTTACCACCGGCACAGTGCATTAGACCGCTCATGTTCGCTCTTGTACCCGAGTGGGCGACGCGGAGCCGTTTACGCTTCTGTGGCTGGGTTTCGAGACCAAAACGTAAACCATTCGACGCCCAAGTTCATATAGAAAGGATCAGAAGTACCACAATATCCCCTACGCGTACTGTACGACGTCGACAGATACAGAGGGTTTCGCTTCGAGCGCTCGCTGGTCGAAACCAACCATCAAAAGACGCGCCTTCTGCGGAAACTGGAGGCGTCTTACCGCTGGCGACCAGTGCCGTGTCGGACATCTGGGAACTTGACTTTTACTCGCGTCCAGTTGTTGGTGCGGATGGCAAACGTTTATGGGAGCTCGTTGTTTGCGACCGGGATGGGAGCTTTGTGCACGTCGAGGCTTTCCCCAACAACATGGTCAACTCACGTGAACTAGCGCGTGCCGTGAAAACACTTATCGAAGAGTCGAGCGTCAGACCACGAATCATCCGATTCTTCCGAGCTCAGATGCGTAACATGATTCAGATCGCCATGCAGAATATCTCTGGGGTCGAGACGCGACCAAGCCGCCGAACGTATGCGCTCTTTCTAGCCCTCGCGTACCGCGAACGGAACGTATACCCGCGCTTACCAGGTTATGAAGGTAAGTCGATTGGAATCGGTAATCGCAGTGGTACACGGGGTGCGGAGCTCTCGCTCGCTGAGAGCATTGGGAATATGCTGAAAACGCCGGTGGATCTGAAGGTGGCGGCACGCTTGCCCGATGAGCTCCAGGGGGATCGTTTCGCTTTCGTAACCATCCTCCTGAGGGATGTGACGCAGATGAATGCAGCCGGCTTTGGTGAACTATGTCCAGTGTCTCTATCTGCTGAAAGCATGAACTTGGATATCCAGATGCGGACGTCTGGCAATGCGGGGTCAACGCAGAGCGCTGCCCTGGACCTGGGAGCCCCGAGCCCGGAAACACTGGTTCCTGGGGTGGTGATTTACAGTCGTCGGGCACTGCCGCTCGCAGCGTGGTTTAGTGGTACGGAACTTGCCTACATCATTGCAGATGAGCAGCAAAAAGAGATATATCTAGAGTGCGGCCTCGACGCGGCGTATCTCTTTGCCCGAATCCAGCCGAGTCTCGAGGCAGAAGCGCGGGCGTTTAACGAGGCGAAGAAAGCTGCTCGCGGTTTGCATTTCCTGGCGATCCAAGAGAAACCCGATGATGAGGATGTGTGTGGATTTTGGCTGCTGCGTGATGTAGCCTATCTCTAGTGCCGGACGGGGGCTGTTTTTTGTTCCACCCGTGGACACCAGGAATAGATTCCGCAACAGGTTGCGCTTGCGATAGCGCGGAGGCATTCGATAGCTTTATCTCGTGACGCTGATTCAAACAGTGGTTTCGGGGGCGGGACAACAAAGTCGTATGGGTGCGCCTGAAGCGTACCCAGGGTTTCCCCGGGTACGCTTCACGAATTGGCGCTTCTGTAGCCGGTGGTTGCACTCGGAGCTAGCCAAAGTCGCGGACAAGGGTGCGTTCCCGAAAAACCAGCGATCGCCATTGTCGATGAATCCGCGGGCATATTACCGAGAACAAAACCTCGACGATGCAGAGGTGCTCCTTCTATGGGTATAGAAAAAGTGTCGTCCGGTGATAGATGTTCCATGCATTCGACTTGCATTCTGGCCTCTGTCGTTGCAATGAGACGGAAAACACTGGTTGTCCGAGCAGCGGCGCTACCCTGCCAGGATTTCCATGTAAAGCCTGACTGTGGTTCCGAATTCAGGGAATACTGCAGAAACAAGGATCATCGCCTTTGGTCTCATCCCACGATTGGCAATCGCTTGTTTCCCCGAAACCGAAGACATGCTGTTTGCAAGCCAGAACCCTCGGGTAAATGTCCATGGTCGTGGCAAGCCTGGCGGCAAAGGTGCTGAGGCAGGCATCCCTTGAAGCAAGGCCCTTGTAAGCATCGTGATGCAGCATGCTTGACGCCTCTGTTTGTCGTCAAGGTCGGTTCCGTCGGAAACGTTTGGTGCGTCCACGTGCGAGGGCACGACATCCGTGTCGGATTCAGGTGGGAAACTGAACTACTGGCTCTGTTCCAGCACTTTGATTTCTTTCGAACTTTATGATAGATGCATAGTCTTGGCATTTGCAGTTCAGTGGCAGACGCTCACAGATTCATTCGTTTTTTACGGAATTTCGGTCGTCACTTTGGCGTGGTTTCTGCGACGGTTCGCTGCTGCAATTCGATACGTCACAGGAATCAAGGTGATTCGCAACGCCGTCGAACAAGCGTTCATAGCGTAACCGGTATCATTATAGAACCCATGTGTGCGAGGCCCCACGCTTCTATGTTGCTAATGTATAGGTTGCTAAAAAAAGCGCATTCATCGAACTCTTAATCTTCTTGTTTGAAGGAAGTTCATGAACCGAGTAATTCGCGCGGCTTCATTGACGTGGACAGATGCTCGGTGTGGTCCAGTGACAATTCCTTCACCAGCTCTTACAGAAAGTTCACTGAAGTTAACATTCCGACTGAAGGATTTTCTTCAAAGGACGAATCCGCTGGAATTTTATGGCCATCGAAGAAACGGCATTCAATACCAGCGTGATACCTCTTACAGGATATGCTCGTGAAGGCTCCTGCCTCCCCTGTGTCCCTGGACAAGGGTCTCGAACTTGATTCATCGCAGCGAGCGTTTCCAAGGGAAAGCGCGTCACCGCTTTGCCAGACGGTAGATGAGACGGACTGAAAATGGCCGACTTGTTCTCCAGTCTTGATTTCCCTTCCTGTTCTCATTTCGTCACCGATTACATCGCGTTCTGCTGTACCCTTATCGAACGGAACAACGCGCGCTTGCGCGTGCAGCGGTGAGCACGCTAACCAGTGTCATCGCCCAGATGAAGTACGTGGTCCCCGGGGTACGGCAACGGGTGCGGAAACCGAACAACGCATTCAGGTCAGTATCCTGGACCAAAAAAGGAAGTGTAGCAAGGTTTGAAGCGTGCATTTACACCCGAAATGTCGGGCCTCCAACCAGGTGGTGTTCTGAGCTTACGGAAGCATCTGACCACAGCCATGTGTTACCCTTACAAAATGCGCTTCGTGACTGTTTACAAAGGAGATGCATCGGCAAACGAAGTGTAGATGCAGCTTTTGCATCCGCATCGGACCCATGGTCGAGCGTTGGAATCGTCGAAATCGACATTTATCGCTGTGATCAACGTCTTACGACAACTGATAACATCGCTGGGGATGCCTACGAAATTGAGGTATTCAAAGCCCGACACAAGAGACAAAATGGAAGCAGTCGCAGCAAATCCCGCAAAGGCTAGTTATTCATTGCAATCGGATGTGATCCAGGCCTTAGAGAGGACGCCTGCGTCACAGGACCCATCCTGTTTTCTTCTGACACGAATGTTGGCAAGCGTTAATTCATACGAGCAGCGCTCCCGCGGATTATTGGATCCAGCACATCCCGTTGGCTGCTCGTTTGTGTATCTGGCACAAGGGCATGTGTCGAAAGCGTTGGTCGCGCGAGGGACTCAACTTGCGTGCTTCCGACTGAAACCAGGGGCGGCAGCCGTACCGAAATGCAGCCTCTCTTCTCAGACGGGCGGTTGGTTGTGCATTTGCGCACGACGATGCACTCGTGGGCGTCTGGGCCGAATCCAGCACGCTTCGTGGGGCGACGAATTCCTTCTGGCTACCGCGGCATCGCTCTAAAGCTTTGGAAAAGTAGCATTGCTGACTCTGTTATATGGTCATGCATGAACACTTGCAGCTTCGGCACTAGGTTGAGGACTCCAATTGCGGTATGACTTGCATTGTGAACTCCGCTGGACCTTGAAGAGCTTTATGTTGCATAAATCGTCTTATATCCAGGGACAGATGCGCGCCGATCCAGTCGATGACCTCTCGTACAGCTCCCTCCTTTCAAGCAGATTGCACCGGGATCTGGGGGCAACGTCCGGATAGATTTGGAGGAACCGTCCTCGTTCCTCGCGCTGCCCAAAACATCGACCGAACCGTCAAGTCTCTGCTCACAGAGGAATACCGGTCTTCAGATGGTGAAAAGCGGAAGCGGAACCATGCGTACCCCGACGGCCGGCTTCGGGTGCGTACCAGTGGGAGTCCGCCTCGTTCCATCGATCCGACGTCGTGATCTGGTGCTCTATACAACAACCAAACTGATCTGCTCCAAGTGTGTCCGCATAGAATCAGTTGTGTCTCGGTGAACAGAACACGTTTGCTTCAGCACTTTGTTTCCATTGTGCGGTACGGTGTCGACGCGAATACGCCACCAGTCTCTGCACAAGGAGCGCCAATCCTGCCACGCAGTAGGAAACGCATGCCAGGCATCGCAGCAAAGCCGGCGCATGCGTATCATTTTCTGTTGGACGGCACCCGCGGATCCAGGTTGTCGAGCGCACAGTGACTGGGCATCTTGCCAACTGGGCCGTTCATTCTGCACAAGTTTTCTACGAGGCCGCATCTCGTTCGAGACGGATTTCAGCCCGGCATTGCTGCTTCTTCTCGACAGAATGAAGCTCGGTGTACCACACCGCTGTTCCACGTCGTTGCCCAGACGGTACCTCCATGGTTGCCGCGATTCTTCGACGAGTTATCGTCCAGCTGTGGGTTCCGCGAAAAGCGCACGCCAGAAACTAGTCCTCTTCGCGCTATGCGTTCTGATGCATAGCATGCAACCAGTTACGGCTTCCGCATTCAAAGTTTCCCGTTCATTCCGAGGATCTCGTACAATCACAGTACCGCTCAGCCGATGGAAGCACACGAAGAAGCTTCTGCATGGTGCACCCATGCAGAGGCAGTCCGGATGAGGAACTCAGCGAGTTTCGGGATCCTACACCGTGTGCTTGTGACGGCATCATGTCAGGTGGCGCGCTGTTGGCGCTGCCGCCCATTCACCAGAAAACGAATGGCCAGCATGGAACGGATTTCGACGCACGGGCTGTAGACGATCTGTTGCCATAGATGCGCTAATGTTAGTACTGTTTCCGTAAAAGCGCTGTTAGAGACTGGTTACCCTTCGTAGAGGAGCAAGACGCTGCGAGGCTTTGGGCTGACTTATGGCTCATGTCTCTGAAGGGTCTTTCGATGCGGACCAGATTAACCAGATACGGCTCTCGGTGAGTCGCCCCACGAGCAGCGAGTGGAGTCAGGTGCACCTGCTCCGCGAGCGCTTAGAGCGAGCCAGCCTGCTCGTAGATCCGGTCATACGGCGTTGGGCGACTGATCGATGTCTACGTCGTTATCTGAGAGCGCGAAGTCACAACTTAGATCGCGCTCTTGACATGATTCGCCGGTCTATTCAGTGGCGACTGGAGTACCACCCGGAGCAGCGGTTTTGTCGAGCGTGCAAGGCGAACCCGCGCTCGCACACGTATCGTCGGGTAGGTCGCACGTTGACGGGACAACCCGTGATGTTCTCGACCTTTGTCGGCGTCGAGAACTATGATCCAGCGGATAACATTGAGCACCTCTCCTCTGGAATTGAGCACGCAGTTGGTGTCAACGCAAGATGGCCCGATCTAGACCCTTTCCCCGAAACCTATGTATGGGTTTTGGATTTCGCTGGCTTTCATGCAAGACACTTGAGTCCCGGAGTTGGGCGAGCGAGTTTGGCACTGTTCAGTGATCACTATCCTGAGCGGTTGCAGCTCGCAATAATTCATGATGCTCCGGCGATTTTTCGCGGACTTTGGTTCGCATTGAAACCATTTATCGATCGGCAAACATGCAAAAAAATCCTTTTCATCCGACGAGCACATGCTGCAAAGTTGTTCGAGAGAATCTTTCCGCCAGAGCTCTGTGAATGGCTCGAGAAAGAGCTGCGCGAGGTTCGCGACAAACGTGTCGCCCGTGAGAAGCAGTGGTGGCGTGAATGGTGTCCTGCCTGGGACGACGACAAGAAACCGCTCTCGGAGCTTTTCCCAGGAGTGGTTATACCTGAAAAGGGCCCTCTCGAAGGCAACTCGCGTTGCACGCAGTGGATCCGCATGGGCGCCGTCGACGATGCGATGGAAGTCAGCAAGAATTCCGATGAAACATTCTATGATGCAATGGAAAACGACTTTGGGTCTAGTACGTTCGCGAGGCATCACGCGGCTTGACGGTTCCGTACGAGTTCCTGTTCTAGAATGGGTACTTGCTTTGGCCTTGGAAGGTTGTCCGCGAATCACTGCGTGTGGAATGGAATCTCGAAACCGCAGGAAGCCCGACGCATGAGCCCGCGCGATGGGATACTGGACGCCGTATCGAGGATGAATGCCCTTACGGAATCCCGCGTTTTAATCGGAAACCTCTCTTCTGTGAATTAAGTCGAATGAGTGAAATACGTGAACGAAAAAGAGCATTCGATTTGCAAAGGATACGTGCAACGTTCCCCGAAAGCCGACGACTGGAGGTCGCTCGTGGGAGGGTGCTCGTCCGCCTCGACAGGACGATGCGCATCAGCGGTGCTAGTGAGGCTCTCCATTCGTGTGCGAGCGTTCTTTCTCGCGATACGACGCTGCGCTGTGGAAGGATGCCCCGTCAGAGTGCGCATCTACTCGAGGGCAGGCCACGGAATACAGCACCTCACGAGCAAAGACACGGACTCGCGCTAACGAGTCCAAATAAAACTCGCTTCGTGCAAATATCACGAATTGGCAACTGTTTTGGAGGCATGACGATGCACGAAGTGGATCTATCTATCGCTGAACCACAGGATTCTCTGATACTTTAAATGAGGGCGGAAGCAGTGCGGTTTGACGGTCTCGTAAGCGAACTCCTCTAGCTCTGGTCAACTGGCAACTCGTAAACTGTTCGCATACACATGCGTCCCTGTAAGTCATGGACTTTACATCCTGACGCAACCTATACGTTTTATGCGTCAACATAGGAGCAGTCCTCATACCGGTAATGATACCTATTCTAGGATGCTTCTGCAGCTTCAGTCGGCGCTCGAACAAGGCCGGGTACGAGAAAACGCGGATATCGTTCGAGGCGACGCATTCTACTGCAAGATGCTCGATGCATGTGCACTGGGCGTTCTTGGTTCGCTCGGAAACGTATCGAAAAGCCTTGCTCTGCGAATTATCTCGCGACGGTGAGAACACCATCATCAGATCGACATCGATCCTGCTAAATGATTTCCCAGCGGAATGCTCGCTCGGAGACCGCTGCTGGTTTCGAGCGTAACCGTTCAATGTTTGAGCACGGACCCAGAGAAAGGGTTTACAGGACGCTGACACGATAGTCTAGAGAGCTACGTCGCCGAGCGATGGAGCACCCAGCGGGGCGTCTTCATTCGTTCTCATGAAAATCTCATAGAGGACTAGCGACTTTTGCAGTGTGTGCAACCCATGCATGCGTCAGTACCCTCATTTGCAACCAGAAACGAATCGTTCATCGAGCACCAGTCTATGTGGGATGCGATCGCCTCTAGTGACGAGAAGGGATCAACCACTCTCTGCTCAGGGACCAGCGCGGCCAAGCTTTTCCTTGAGCACTCGCAAAAGTGGCTCAGCCTTGTCCGGCTCCAGTCGGGGCCCGCCACCGGGATGGCGGATCAAACCATCACCAGGTTTGCGCGGAATAATATGGATGTGCACGTGCGGCACAACCTGGCCGGCCTCCCGTCCGTTATTTACCAGTAGGTTGTATGAGGGTGCACCCACCGCCGCTTTGATCGCTTTTCCTAAGAGAGGCACTCGCGCGAAAACCGCGGACACCTCCTCGGGAGGCATCGTCTCGAGCACCTCGTGATGCGACCGCGGTACCAGTAACGTATGCCCCGAAGTTGCTGGAAACAGATCGAGAAACGCAGTACAATTCTCGTCACTGAAAACCTTGTAGCATGGAAGCTCACCACTAATGATTTTACAAAAGATGCAGTCTTGTGCTGGGTCTGACGAGGCCATCCTCAGCGAGCGTCGTGAACTTGGCTCCGGAGTACCACAGCGCACCGGCCGCCTGCAAGTGAAAAGATATTGCTTCCGTGCGCACCTGCTCGCCAACTTCCCGATAGCGAGACTTGACGCGGTCCAAGCGGGTAGTGCGCTCCTCTGCAGCGAAACAAACATAGAACCACAGTCGAACGACCCCGACCGTGTACAGTAGTGACAAACACGCCCTAGACAAGAAGTCGCGAACTGGCGTACAGACGCCTCCCCGTCTGTTTGGACCGGCCCCCTACTACTGCTTCCATTTTTTTCTCATATAGTTCGACTTTGAGAGGTTGTCCAACAAAGTCCTCTCTTGTCAGCTCTGGATGTCTCTGCTCCAGCACCGCACATTTCCTTATATCGATAGCGGCATTAAAATCTCGATTTACAAACTCCATCCGTTTCTTGCTATCATTCGTTGTACTAACCAGCGCAAGTAGCCCTCGCACTTTCGCTCTCCTTCCCATTCGCTCTTCCTTCAGCGCACCCTACTTTGCTATGTCCTCAGGGCTCCGCTGGCACTTTTCCATCTCGACCCTCTGAAGTGTACAACCCAGCTCGTGGTGTGTATACGATGTTCGAAATTCATCTATCGGCATTGTACCAAAACGCCATGCGCACTCCTTATACGTTCTCGTCGTTGGAGCTGGCGTAGTTCCTTTTTGGGTCTTCCATCGCCCTGCTCCGTACGCTACTACGAGCCATTGACTCTCATCCTCCTTCATGGCGCTCAACTTATTGAAAAAGTTGGCGAACGCCCGCTGCTTCCCACCGTACAGATTCATTTGCAGACGAGCCCACCGGGGCTTGGTATACTTCCCCCACAGTGCATCCCAACGAGCAACGCGAACTTCCATGACTTTCCGAAAAGCTGTAAAGTCCGCCCCGCGACTCGTCACCTCGCTCAAAGCTTCCAGGTGATCCTTCATTCCTGCATTCCATGTCTCGATTTTTTCCTCGCATTGATTATAAAGGATTCTCGGTAATGTCTCTATCTTTAGAACTGAAAAAGACACATGTCTTTCTGACGTAAGTTGCCGTCAGTACCATCTTCCGCACGCTTCGGTGCTGTGATGGTTATGATATTTGTGTTTCCGGGGTCTGCGTCAACGATAAACTCGTAATCCTCTACCTCTTGCGTCGCAGGATCCTCCTCTTTCTCATCTTCATGCTTCGCCGAAGGCAAAGCCGAGGGCGGAACATGGCGATCCGCCTTCAGCCGCCCATAGTGTACACACAAGGCTACTCCATCGGTTTCGATCATCCTAACGAAGAACATCTGCTTGCTCACTTTCAGAAGTTTGAAACTGAAGATGTTCTTCCAGTACGTCTCCCGATTTTCGCCGGTGAACTCCTCCCTGCTAACATTGAACTCCGGACTGATCTCCACCATGATGCCATAGAGGACTCTGGAGTCGATAGTCACAAAATGCGACTTGATATTGCACATTGGAAACATGTTGCAGCGCTTTCCCATTAGGAAAGCCTTCCGTCTCTCCCACTCTTCATTTTTTCCTCACTCAGCTTCACCTCTGCCTTGCGTTCGAGCTGTCGGTCCAGAAACACGAAATAGAGCAGGATGACTTGATACCATCTTTTTTCATCAATTTTCAACTCTGATACCTTGTCTGTTGGATTCGGTAGCCCCAGTACCGCACGATGCTCTTGTATAACCGCACGGATCGCGGAAGCTTCATTCGTACTCCCTTTTGACGCCTTCTTGTCGACGAATTCGACCTCATCTTCATGCTTGCGATCGTACGTGATGCCATTGATAATCGCCCATTTTCCACTGCGAGAGATGCCCGGGTAGAGTGCAAACACGGCGTGTAACATGAAACGTTCGAGGTTCACTGTCAAATGGTTCTTCAGGTTTGTGATGTACTTCATCGCCCCATAGCGGTAAATATCCCGGTCACCCCTGTATCGAGTACTCTCGAACCTGTAAAAGGGATGTGTTTCGTGCAAGGCATGCACTAGCATATCTTCCCTCCGCGTTTCTTCTCTACAAAGCATCGGGTGACGAATACAGGTCTTGTCGAAAAACTCGTCTGGAATCTCGACTGGTTTGACGTCCGTCACTTCGCGATACATTTCCCTCGCCAAATGCATCAGTCCTGACGACGCCTTGAAAATACTCTCGGAGTACGAGTCGACACGTTTTTTGATAGCGTCTCGCAACTTTTCCCTGTAGGGATCCTTGATATGTTTGAGAAGACAGGTTTTCACCACCATCTTGTGGTACGGTCGTCTTTCTTGCAGCCTTCGACGTAGGGCCTCCCAATTTCGGTCCTTCTTCTTCTCCTCCTTTTCCTCTGGACTCGGCACTGTTTTTTTTTCTGCCAGCCGGTTACCCTGGGCCTCCAGGATCGTCGACTTGGATTTTCATATCTTTCCTTTTTTTCGTTTTTTTGAACAAGAACGCTCTTTGAACGCTTCTGTTATATACTGCGAAAAATCAATCGAATATTTTTACTTGAGGTTTGAAGCACAATCGAACTGAAAGACTGTACGTTGCTATGACCTGAGCAAAAATACAACTTTTACAGTAGATCTACACGCTAGAGATCAGGATCACGTTTCGCTTCCATGACGGAATACGCGTCTTGTCTCATGCCTGCCCGATCTACGAGGTGCGCTCGCTGAGCGCGTTGCGCGCACCGCGCGAGACGCCTCACCGATCGATGAAGGACACGTGTCCGACGTCGCTTCGGCACATTCGTGTTCGCATCGCGCTGCAGCGGAAATCAGCTGTCTTAGATTGGAAACTCACGTATCTAGCGCCGATTCGCGCGTAGCGCGCCGTTGAGCTCGCACCGGCGGCCGTCGTCGCCGCCGCCGGCCGCCGGTGCCGGCCGCCGTAAAGCGCCTCTGCGCGCCAACGATTCGCGTATCGCCAGGACGTATCGTTGTGGCTTGTCTGCGGTCGGTTGCAGTTCGTACTGTGGTGGCGCAAACGTCGTCGGAAGTGTCTTTGGAGCTGAGTTTGTTGTGCGCGCGGCGAGCTCACAGTTCCCGCAGCAAAAAGTTACTCTTGCCGGTTAGTAACAGTTTTCCGACGTCGTCTTCTTGAGACCTTTTCCGATGCAGGAACGGAATAGGGAGAGCGCAAAGGAGCAGTCAGCTGGCGAACCAGCACAGCAGGTGGACATGTGGGCGTCACTGATGGGATCCAGCCCGATTCTTAAACTCGAAAAATTGAACAACGTCATGATGGAGGTTCCTCCTTGCGTCGGCTCGCTAGGAATTGAGCGTTGGTACGGACAGGACGCGCGCTACTCGAAGGACGCTAGTGCAGGCGTCGGTGCGAACGAAGAGCAGGCGCCCGACACAAGCCGAGACTGCTCGTTTGATGAGACACTTTCCGTGTCCAGTAGCTCGACAAGCGCAGTGACAGGCGCACCCACTCTGAATACTGATAACAGAGTAGACGCACCGTTTGTCCCTGGAACAACGGCAGGCACGAGCGCGCTCCGGTTTGTGTGCCCGCGTTGCGAGCGCTCTTTCTCGTCCGCATCACACTTGCGTCGGCACACTCGCGACGTACACCAGAACGTGAGAAAGCACGGCTGTGATTTGTGCGGCATGGCCTTCAAACGACGACAACACTTGACTTCGCACTATGAGGCGTGTGCCCGCCGGTTGAGGTATCCGATGCGGCCGGATCAAAATGCATGTTTGGTAGGGACACACCCGTCGCATGCACCGGCTGGGGTCATACAGGAGCATGGGCCCCAGCATGACGTCGCTTGCAGGACATCTGATGTGATGTTGACTGATGCGGAACGGTTCCTACCGCCGCTGAATCCAGTTGACAGTGCCCATCGACGATGTGTTCGAGGGCCAGCGGCAGCCGCTGCCGCCCCTGTGGCCTCGGAACGTCGCAGCCGTTTGCAGAAACGCGAGAAGGCGCATAGTTGTAGTGATCTGCTGCTACTCGATCAGGCGGAGCGCAATGCCGCGAAACTGTATGCGGAGTCCCGACCCCCTGCGGATTGGTTCTCAGAACTTCATAGTTCATCGCTGGCCTCGAGCGCGGCCTCAAATGAAACCGTTCTGATGGGTGAAGTCGAGTGTACCGGCGGCAAACGCGGTAAGGGACTAGAATCTTGCTACGGCGTGCCGGGCTCCACCCTCGAGGATCGGCTAAGCTTCTTTACGAATAATTCTTCCGGGACAGGCTCGTATCCAGACTGGCTGGCAGGATTCCGAGATGCCTCCAGTGAGGTAATGCGCGCTCGCAGTGCCTCGGATCCGAGCACCTGCATGCCGCCTCAGGATGCCCGTCGAGCAGTGACGCTGTCGCAGGCAGCACCTCATGCACAAGGCGCTGCTCTCGACACTACACTTCGAGCATCAAGGTCAGATTCCCGAGAATCCGCTGATCCGGAAATGTTGCGGATCCTGGATTCTTATGCCCGATATGTTTGTATATCGAAACTTTTTGAAGATACCGTGACCAAGTTGCGTGGCACTGATACCGGATCGGACGCAAAGTCGACAGCGGCGGCATCATCTGCAGCGAAGATGCAGCCTCCGATGCTGGATGAGCTGTACGCTATCATCTCGGAGGGTTCGCATCTGGCCCCTGATTCGGCAAGTTGTCCACATCATCAGAGCATGCCCGTGAGCTCGACCGCACCAACTGGTGCCACCACCAATGCGGCAGCTCCAAAACGGGGCGAATCGCTTCATGCTGACGCTTTAATGGCACCTGCACCACTCCCCACCAACCTCTACACCCATATTCCATCGGACACCTGTGGTGATGAGCGCTGCTGGCGAGATGAATCGATGCGATTTCATGTTGGTGAACGCTCAGGGCGCTCGAGACCTTATCGTGAATGCCCCCAGGGCGTATCGGCAATGAACAGTGCGGGCTCAAGTGGTCGCAGCAGAGCGCCTTCTGCCATGAAGAATCGAGGGCCACCCCAGACTGGAGCATCTGGAGACGAATCCGGGTCCGGAGGGCTTTGAATAGAACAAGTGAAGTCTACGACAAGGAACATTATTATTTGGCGCGCAGCATTCCTGGCGCCCACATGTGCTCAATTTACGTGCGTACGCACTTGCCAGTGTGCAGGCGTATGCGTCCATCATACCATTGCGTGCGGAAGCGCTACTTGGCAGCCTTGAATGCAACCTAAAATTCCTCCGATGGGCTGGCATGTTTGCTCACGCTCTATCCGTAGTAGATTCGATTCGAACGCGGGCCCGCACGCATTGTTGCTGCCTGTCGATTTTCTCCCCGAACTTTTCTTAAATGGTCAGCCTCGACATTTGAAGAGCAGCAAGAAAGGCACACGGATTCATTCGTACACTTAGGATTTGTGATCGTGTTTTTGGAGTGGCTCGTTCGATTGAATACTGCTGGAATTCGGTACGCTACCGGAATCGATGGTAGTCGCACCAGACTCGAACAAGGGTCCGTAAAATAACCGATATTACCATTGGATTCCCATGTTCTCGAGTGTGTTGTTCTTTTCTCCTTGCGTGTCGCATACCCGAGTCACGCATTTATCAAGTTTTTGATTTTTACGTTTTACGGCAACTCGGGCACGCAGTCACTCGCGCTACTGGAATGACGAGGAAATCAACGCAAATGCGCTCCTTGACGACGTGTACACCAGCCCATATCGAAAGATCACTATATTCATCGCACCGAGCAATGCATTCCGTTCAAATCGAAAATGCTCCTTTTCTTTATGGCATTCGACCAAACGCGATCCGAAGGCAGCGCGACACGTACGACCAGATATGCGCTCAGAGGTTCCAGATTCTTCGATTTCCATGGAAAGGCTCTTGGATTCGCACTTTAGTCATCGTTGCAACCGTTCCGAGTCGGAGGTGCGTCGCTTCTTTGCATCAAGGGAACGTTAACGGATCCATGTTTTTCGAGTTACGCTCCCGTCTGGATTTCCGTTCGTTGGACCTGTTTCATCATGGACAACATCGCATTTAGCATATCCTCTTCTGCTCGTTGCCCCGTTCGTTCATGAGTGCGGCTCAAGTTACTGGCGAAAGGCACATTGCTCGTCTCGTGCGTCTCGTGCCCTTGATCAGCGCCTCTTTTGCTTCGATGCTCCTACTGTCGCTTCGATGAATCCAGGATGCCTCGGCGTGGGCGCCCGCTCTCCCCCGTTGCGATCAAACAAGACATGCCCAATTCGAGGCAATGGTACAGACTATCTGGAGATGCGTTAGGAAAATGTGGAAATATCTCTTCTTCGTGGGATACGAAACAGCTTGCGAGAAGCAGAAGCACCATCGTTTCCGTGGGCGACGTCTTCGCAAGCGGCAAGTCCATCTTCACCTCGGCGCCTCCGTCTACGGTCGATATTTAACGCATACTTGTCATGCTCACCCTACCCTCCGTGCTGAAAGGGTTCCTACGACGCGCCGCTCGTGAAGAGCTCCCTGACGCCATAGCAGATGATGACCGAGTCGTTGACCGCTCTACTCTACGTCATCAATTCCTACAAGCATCTGTGGATTCTAGCGCTGGCATAGTACAGGTTCGCAAAGTTTTTCTGGCCAAGTACTTGTCTGCGTCGTCCAGGCTGCACTGAGCCGCCAAGAGTACGAGGTCCTCGACACTCGCAAAGCCGTTAACCAGAGAACCCGAGGTGCGCGCGATGTCGACGAAAGCACGGAGCAGATGCTTCGTATCCGACAAGTGCTCGAGCCGGGCAAGCGCATAAACTGCCTTCGGTGGCAATAACGCTTCAACGAAGCTCCCCATTTTTCCAGCGCGCACGACAGCCTCGAATTACGCGGACTAGATATTGAAGTGAGAGCATTGCTGGAGCGTGTTGCAAACAAGTACGTGTTCTCGGACGCGGGCAATGTGTTCCGGCAAAAGCGAGTACATCCCGAATCATTCGTTCATGATCGCAGTGCCGGATAGTGGCTATGATTAGAGCTCCTCGTTCGAGGGCGCACCCACGAGATGAGGTTCTCGCTGGAAGTCGTCTCGTCTGAAAGTGGCGACGTTGTCCAGGAGCGACGCGTACAAATCTTTCGAAACGCTCCATGATATCTATGCTGCCCGTACCCCATTGTTTCCCTGGTATATACCTGGTGTGACTAGGCCGTGCCTCCGTTGACAAACAAGCGATACATAGCTTTTTATTATAGCTTGTTCGTCTCTTTTCTTCATGCATGCAGCACCATTTTTGACGCGAAAATTCCATGACTTGCACAAAACAGGTGCCGACGAACCAGGCGGCCTCTGTCGCGGCGCCAAAAACAACGAGCACCAGTTCATCTCGCGGACGATCCGAGTTACCGAAACGTTCCCATTTGCTCTGCATCCGTTCTTCATGCCGCGAAACTGTTCTAAATCAAATGGATTCATGGAGAATAAGTTGGATTGCTTAAGCTGAAGCTTGTTGTTTTTTTGGTATTTCTCGAACAAAAGAAGATGCTTCATCTTCAACATGTCATAAAGCATGTACTCGGCGGAAAATCCAGACTAGAGACGACGTCGAGAAAATTCGATCTGTGCACACTTCTGTTGCCCAAAGTACTGACGAACGCTGGTCTGGGAGCGATTGCTGCGATGATGCGGGTTCTCAGTCCCATTTCCATCCAAACAGAAAAGACGAACGCCTCTGGCAGCATGTCCCTTGTGAGGTGCCACGCTGCTGTTGTGGAATGCCATTTCGTGGATGGACGCAAGACTAAAGGCATTTGTCTTTCAACTTAATCTATGATCCTTCATGAGAAGATCAGTGACCCTGCGGCATGAGCTTGTGAGCAAGTCGTACAGGGATAATGTCGAGTTTTTCTCGCCGTCAATTCAGCGGCGCCAATTGCTAAGTCGTCGAGTTGTCTCGAAACAGAGAGGGTTGAAAGTTTGACAAACGCGTGATTTGGCCATGCTAAATGTAAGAAATGGAGAAGAGAATAGGCCAGCATGAATGCATTGGATCATGATACCAGTTATTTTACGTATACTTGATCGTGCGCGTTGCGAACCATCTTGTTGATGGTAACGTAACGAATGCCATCATCAAAGAGTCGAAGAAGCCACTCCATAGACACGCCCGAGAATCCTAAAACCAAATGTGAGCCTCCAGCCTATACTGTTGTTCTTCGCATGTCGAGGCTGCACATTCAGATCAACGTTCAGAAACATATCGAAAGGCACGCGCAGAGTAACCAGTCAAGTTTTCGGTATCAAGTCTGACACAGGTGTCGCTCGCGAGCGGCCGACACTGTGCAGCCGGCGTCCGCCACGCTGGTTTAGCGTCGCTCTTCCCGCGACTTGGTCAGAATCTCTGCGGGAGACGACTGGGATCCACGAGAAGCAGACGGACTCGAAGTCTTTATCCATATGGGGGCTAGCTGGGAGGATACGCCAGCTGCGTCTAGAATAGAATCAAACTTTCACGAGTGGATCGAGTTACAGTACGCCGCTGCTGGTTCGACAGAAGCGGCAGCGCCAGCGCGGCAAACCATCGAAGCCTTGGTTCGTAGCGCTATCTCTTTAGATGGGTTGCACGCTCGACATCCGAGCAGCACTCGATCTAAACTATTTTATGCTTGGATAACGGATCGCTTGGCACGTGCGCTTGCTGCTGCCTGGCAGCGCTCGTCCACGGAAAGCACTGCGGGGCTAGCAGTGTTGCCTACGACGTTTCGTGAAGCTCGTTCGCGATTTCCAAGTAGCGATGCTTTCATTGAGACTTGCTTACTTGTCTCACAAGCTGTGCTTCGTTTGAGTTGCGCTCAACCCGATCTCCCTGGATCGGAGCTGTTGGCCGGAGAGCGGGGCGCGTCTTTGGCACTGCTAGCCCAGACCGTCCTTGACGAGCTCTTCAGCTTGAAGTTTGAACAGTGCGGATGGCTTCGCTGGAGGCGTTTGCTTCAAAAAAATCGCTGGTGGATTCTTTTGTTCTTATCCAAAAGTGAAGCTTCCGTTCTACAACAATTTGGTGAAGCTGTAACGCGGGCACTCAAACGCACTCCTGGACAGTCATGGGGCGCGCTGACGCTTCTGCTGCGCACACTGCTTCCGAGTCGTTCACGGACATGCACCAAGATGACGCAGACGGATTGTCGTGCTCGTGCTGGACGCATAGCTCCGGGCTCGATTGCCGCGCTCCAGCAGCTGTTGGAATACCATGTGCTACCCGTGCTGCCGAGGGCATTGTGTAGCGAGTCGCTGGCTGTGCAACGCGCCGCGGTGCGGGTTGTGCGGCTGAGCACCACAATTGCTGCCCATAGCGGCGCCGGTGCCGAGAGCAAACCGTTCACGTGGCATGCCGTGCTGTTGGAGCAGCTCCAATCCACGCACGGGGCTCGCGCACAGCCCGTGATTTGTGCGCTGCGAGCGCTCACGCTCGCAAACTCCGCTGGTACAGATGCCGGTTTGGCAGCGACGTGTGCCGCCGACGCGATGAACGCACTGCTTGGTTGGCTCGCCGCTGAGACGGATCCACCAACGCGCGTTGTTGCTGTTCGTTGCCTCGCATCCTATGTCGCTGTGGCATCTTCGCGGGCCCTGATCGATGCTGCACAACGACGCAAGCTCGAGCATGCCTACAGCGATGCATTCGGCATGAGGCAACAGCTGGACAGTGCCCCTGAGTTTCCGACGGCTCCCTACATTGCCGCCGAACTGCTCGCATGGGCACGTATGGATCTCGATCTTCGTCATAGGCGCCTGCGTTCGACAAACGCCTCAGAGAGCCCAACCACAAGGCCAAAAGAGAGACGTACCGCCGCAACTGGAGCGGTTGCAGCTCCATGCTCAGAAGAACACAAGGAACGAACAAGAAAACTTCAGAAGCAGCCTTTACTAGCCGTATGTGCATATGCGAGCAGCATCGAGTCCGAAGCGGATCGCCTAACCGTGATCGAGCCTACCGAGCTCGCTGAAATGCTAACGCTGTTGCAGCATGTGCAACGAACGCTAGCGCCGGATGATGGCATGGCGATCTTGACTGGCGGCAGCCGGATCGGCGCAGCGGCACTCGCAACGTGTCCAGTGGATGCGTGCGATGCGTGCGATGTTGCACGCACATGCGTGATCGCTGCACGCATGTTGTATCGGTGGTGCGTGCGTAGCGTCACGACGCCTGCGTTGCTGCAAGCGTTTGCGAACGTTTGGTTGGCGTTCTCAACACTAGACCTGCGCGTCTTTACGCCCAAAAACGTGACGGCGGATACACATGCTGCGCCTGTGGAAAACTCGAAGGAGAACTGGTTGCATGTGCGGGAAGTTGCTAGACTCGCTCGGTTGGAGTTGAGAGCCACAGATCGCGTCGACGTTGCTGAAGCGCTGTGGTCAGCATTGCGTTCAAAGTTTGTTCCCAGCTTGCTGGATCGTCTCGAACAGATCTGCATTGCTGTCCCGCGGTACGCAGAGTACACGAATGCCGCGGGTGTCTCGTATTGGCCCGTATACTCGACACGCCGGGGCTGGCTACGGGGGTTTCGGAAGCGTTTCGCGGCACTGATTGCTTCGATGCCCCTTGATGTACAGTCGCCAAACGCTATAGCTAGTGCACTGATGTTCATGGTGCACCCTTTGGCGACGAGGCAAGCACGACGTCGCTACGAGGCTTTCACACAGTGGCACATGCCAGAGGCGCCGCTCTCTACGCTGCTTCGGGAGATGAGTAGCGTTGCCGACACGCTGGGCCGCGCTCCTCACACTGCTATTGCCGAGTTCTCAATTGATGCCCTCGGTTTATTGCGTGCATCGATACGAACCTGGGGCTGGCTCTTGATTGAAATCGGACTGAAGCACTTTCCCGATTTGTATAGTCTCTCAACGAATGTGTTCGAGACGTTCGTGTTGCCAGCGCTGACGGAAATCTGGCGCGAATCATGGACAGCTGACGACTTGCGGCTGGTGCACGACGCGATGCCGTCACCGCCACAGCCGCCACAGGAACCTGTTCGCAAACCGCCACGAGATCGCAATCCTGCTGATGGAATTTCAAGCAATCGCACGAAGCAGGAGCAACAAGCTGAGCGTGATCGCTACCAGACCGCAATGATTCGCTATGAAGAGCTATTAAGCATTTATCGCGAGAAGGAGCGTCGACGCGAGCATCTGTTGCAGCAGCAGCGCGCGTTGCATGACGCTTTAGCAGGAATCTGGGCCGGATGGTGCGAAATGCTGACAACGCTCCGTTTATCAGAGTTCGGCTCTGAGCTCTGCGATCTGTTCTTGCTTTCGATGGAGGTACTGCATCGCGTCACGAAGCACCTTGATAGGAATCGGGCTCGGGAGGTTTGGATGGCGCTGCTCCGGTCGGTGCAGCGCTTGGTGCATTCCAGTCCGATGGCAGCCGAGGACAGTGCGCAGAACGCTCGGCAGCGAATGCTGGCCGCAGTGCTCAGCGTACCGCTTCACGCGGACGCCGTGGTAGAACATCACGCGCTCAGTGGTGGCATCCCTGCGTTGCCTCGATACCCGTTGGATTTCATCCGTGGAGCGCTCCCGATTGTTCTCGCGTCGATGCAGAGCACTTTGCGCACAACCGAAAACCAAGTCCTCACGCTCGCTCCCTGGTTGTTCCTGGCGGAGAGCATCGCACTCGAGCCGCGAACTAGCCGCGCAGCGCTACCTGTCCTCCTGCCTCTCTACAAATTGGTGACCGACGAGATCGATCACGGGCCGATGAACGATCTGTTGGTCTCGTGCGTATGGCGATCTTTCGGGCTCACTGTTCTGCTCTGCTTCCTGACCGGGCAATGCGGCCTCGAATCAGTGGAAACAGAGACCAGAGAGGATCTCGAAAGCATGCTCTGGAAGCAGAGTCGATGCTGGCGTCGAGCGATGCGCTCTGACAGGGCCTCTGCAGAAGAGCGGTGTGCGGCATCACCGAGAACCGCGTTTGAACCGCTCCCGCCAGAGATCGAGAGCCGGCTTCTCGCGGAACTCCGCGGCCTGCCGGGGCCTGCGGGAGCCTCACCTCCCAGTGATGATGATGATGATGATGATCCGATTGCGGCAGCGGAGACATCCGCTAGCTTTTGCCGCTGGCGCGATGTCCTGTGTCGGGCGCTGCCGTTTCCCTGGTCGAGTCAAGGGCTACTCATTCATCGCTCGATTCTGGAGCTTTTGCCTGGAGTCCTCGGCACGAACGCCTCCGTTCGTTCCGTATGCGTGTTCTTGGCAGAGCAAATTCCCGCAGAGTGGCGACGGCACAGTCTCGCCTGGAGGCTCACGCTGACGCTCGCGAGTCACGATCGCGTCCAGGAGGTAGCTTGGAAAGCGCAGCAGCTTCTCGAGCAACCTATTCACGACGTCAGTATGCTGGCGCCATGGCTGGAGCATCCTCACGCGTTCCTTCGACAGGCAGCCGCCGATGGCATCGCGGATAGCGTGGTACGCGCTGCCGACCCGCTTGCACTATTGCGTCAGTGGCTCCCTGTATGGTTTGCGCGTTTTCCCAAGCCAGTATCCATCGACCCGAGAGCGTCACCTGGTGCTCCGCGGAAACGCCCCGAGCAGGTCATGCACGCATCAGAGCAGTTCTTTGGCGAAGGTTTGTCGCAGGTGCTTATCGCTCTGGCTACGCGAGACGAACGTCCCGTCAGTGCGGACCTACTGCCCATGATATTCACGTTTCTCTGTGCTCGCGGTTGGCTGCATCTAGCAGCCTCTGTACGTCAGCGTCTGCGACAAGCTGCGATTTGTTTCATTGAGCAGCACGGATCCGTCGCTGTGCACACGTTACTGGCTTTCCTCAGCAGCGCTCTGGAAAATCCTCCAGCAGATCTCGAAATTACCCTGCAAGATCTGCGACAAGAAAACATTGTGATCGCTCTAGGCATGCTGGCGCTCCATATTCCGTCCCACGAGCCAGCGCTTTTGGGAGACGTCGGTGCTCGGCTCGCGCGCGTGGCATTGGCGACGCCCGCCGCAGACGTCCAGCAGGCAGCTGCGGATGTGCTCGCGCGACTGATTCCCAAATGGATGATCATCGATGATGCGACAGTGCGCGAGCGTATTGAAAGCTGGTTTGAGTGTGCTCTGAGCTCAGGGAGCTACGGCGAACGCCGGGGTGCTGCACTGCTCTGGGCGGCTGCGCAGAGCGCAACCACTGGAGCAGCAGCACCAGCAGCAACGTCCTGGAGCGGCTCTCTGCCAGCACAACGGATCCGCAGGATTCTTGCTGATCGCGATGCTCCTCTGGAGGCACGTCTGGGGGCGCTGACGCTGCTGGAAGCGCTCGCGATGCGCCTGGAATCCGCATACGAACCCATCGGTGTGGAGATGTTACCGCTGCTGTTGCAGGCTTCGGGTGATACCATGACGAGCGTGCGTCAAGCCAGCGCTGACGCATCCCGCGCATTCATGCGCCATCTGAGTAAGGCACGAATGTCGGCGGTGCTCGATTCACTCATTGGACAACTTGATCAGACTGGTGCTGCATGGCGAACCCGCATGGCCGCTCTCGACATGCTCGGCAGCATGGCGGACATGGGTCCCGAGCAACTCTCCCAGGCACTCCCGGAAATCGTGCCTCGTCTGGTGACAGCACTCACTGATGTACATCCGCGAGTGCAGGAAACCGCTTCGCTAGCGCTTTCTCGCATGGCTGAATTGGCGATGCAGGTCCCAGCAGAGGAACTCGAAACTGAGAATGACAACGCGAAGCTGCAGCAGGCACTTGCTCGTTCCTTGTCAAAGCGTCTCGTGCAAGCATTGAGTCACCCTGAACAGTACCTGCTCCCCGTGCTTCACGAGTTGCGGCGAGAGCTGCAACGGACCCTCATGCTGAGCGGCATTCGTGGCGGAGGTTCAAGTGCTTCCGTCCTACTTTTGGATGCACTGCTGCTGCCGCTACTCCGCCGGGCGCTCTCACATCGCCAACTCTCGGTACGCGAGGGCGGCCTTGATGTGCTCCTCGAGCGTATGCGGACCAGTGATCGGTGCGCAGGCTATCGAGGCAGCAAGGCATACGATGCACTGTCATTTTCGTGGACACTAGCGCAGCTCGAGCAGGATGTTGTGTCGGTGATCTTACGAGACCCGTCACCAGAGCAGAGGCACAGGGCAGCCCTGGCTCTCCGCGAGCTCATGCGTCCGCTTTCGTCTGCCGCAGACGCTACGCCTTGGCAGCGAGCGACCAGGGATTGCGCTGCGCTGGACGCAGTGGCCGGCGATGTCAGCGAGCGTGCGAGCACCACATGCGACACCGCGGAGCGTTCTGGGGTGCTCGTCTCCGCTCGGGATTCGACGGGTCGGATCGCGTCGCCGCCTGACCCTGGTGTATTTCTAGCAAGTCTCTGGGATCGACTCGTTGCGGAGCTATTCTCGGAACGCAATGCGTTTACGGAGCGAAGCGGTGCTGCTGAGGCCCTGGCAAGTCTCGCCAGTCTCTGGTGGCGAGGCACAGGAAACGAAGTGCGCACAGGGACTGTTGCTGATGAGCAAACGCCAGTACCGCCCCCGCAAGCCGGTCATGTGGCAGCGCGACACGGTGAGCGTCAGCGCTACGAAGCATTTTTGAGGCCGCTTGTTTGGGATGCACTCGAATCCGGTGCTCCTTCGGGCAGTTCGTCGAGTATCCGACGCGAGAGTGCGCTGTTGTTCGTTGGCGCTTTGGCGCGTCACGGCATTCCGGAACACACTTCGCTCTGGCGAGCTGTTCTCGGCTCTCTGCACGATGCCCAGGAGCCTGTGCGACAAGCGGCGCTCAGTGCAGGCGCGGCACTGATTCACGCAGCACTGCAGGAGACTGCACGTTCAGAAGCGACCGGGTACAGTGCTCGGGAGCTGCCGTCGCCGGGGACGTCCTCGCACGATGCGCAGCAGATCGCTCGTCGCGGAACGCACGGGTTGGAGCACTGGTTCGAGGCTCCCTGCTGGCAAGCACTGGAGCAAGGTCTCCTCGCAAGTCACTGGCGGGAACGATGGGCATGCCTGGAACTCGGCGACCAAGCCGGTCGTTGTACCGAGCTGCTTGTCACAGGTGACGTCATCGCGCAGGCACCAGCAACGTTGCTTGTGGCGGGCGTGCAGGCGGGTACTTCGGACGCCGCCCTCTCCATCAGCGTTTCGCAAGCGAATGGCGTTACGACGAAAGCGCGCATCCCGAGCCAAGAACCCGGTACCGCATTCGCAGACATCGGCGACTTGGTGTTCAGGTCCCGACCCGGGTTCGTCGCTCGCCTCTACATCCTGCGCTTTGATCCGAGCACCACTGTGCAGAGCCGCGCAAACGCACTCTGGAAGAAATGGGTACTGAACCCGGCGCGCATGCTACATGCGCTTGCATCCTCGATACTGGACATTGCGCTGGTGGGTTTCCAATCCGCTTCGCGCAGCAGTACTGCGGTCACGGGTGACGAAGATTTGATGCAGGCGCTGCAAGGCGCGCTCGCGGATCTCTGCGGCAAACTCGGCACGAATGTGACCGCTCGTGCACTGGACGCGCTACAGCATCTGATTATCGATGATGGCAGCAGAGAGGGCACTGTCGGTGCTACGGCTGCAGCGCATGCGCTTGTCCAGATCGTTGAGGCGCTGCCCTATACCGTGCGCGAGCAGCTGGGTGATCCGCATCTGCTCCAAGTTGCGCGCCATTGCCTGGAGCAGGACTCGGAGGCATTCGAGCCGGTTCGGCAGGCGGGCGGAACGCTTTTATCGCTGCTGGTACCTGTCGTCGGCGAGCGACGCGTGCTGGATCATTTGGTGTTGCCGCTGTGGGAGCGCTTTGAGCGCGCAACGCCGATCGGGGCCACTGCTGCCGTCGCGCATTGCAACGTGACACAAAGTAGCGCATCGACTACCACGAGCGTGCCGCCTCTCGGTGATGCCGCTCGCGGTCTGGTGCAGGCGCTGAGCCTTGCGGGTCTGGGCGTGCGGCTGCAGACGCTCCTTGTGCCCCGTTGGCTTGACGCCGGGCGTTGGGATGCACTCGCTGCGCTGATCGCTCTGTTGGACACGGCACTCGCTCCAAACCTGATTCCGGTTGCGCTGAGTCGCCTCTTTGAAACCCCAAGCGCAGCGCAACGGGACCTCGTCTCAGACGAGACGATTTCGACAGTGTTCGGCTCCGAGGCGTCGACGAAAGCGGCAGAGGCTCTGGCGCGATACATGCCAACCGCCGTGGTTACATTCGCACAGGACGAGTTGGCGTCTGCAGACGTCACCAGACGACGCCGAGCGATAACCCTGCTGCGGTTCATTTTCGTCGACAATCCCGTGGACGCGCTCAGTAGCCAGCGCTTGATCGAGTCGACAAGTCAGACGCGCATCAGCGACATATTTGCGCGACTCGTTCGCGCACTGGCCGACACGGACGACTTTATTGTCCAGCAAGCTGCCCAGGTATTCCAGTATAGCGTCGCACGAGTCGCTCCGGGGGCGCGCGTCGCAGCAGTCGCACCGGTGCGCGAAGCGCTGCGCGCACTAGGCGGCGGCACTGGAGAGCCCGGCGCTGGTACCCCGGTTCGTGGACTCTGCTTGGAGCCGTACAACGTGCTCGGCATTTCGCCTGTGCTGAGTTTATACCAGCACGCGCTGAGCGACCCAGAGACGCGACCGGAAACCCAGGAGCAGGCGGCACTGGGCATTGCCGAGTTGGTTCAGCAGGTGCCGCCGGCCGTCGCGCAGCCGCATGCGCTGCGCCTCATGGGACTTGCGATCCGCCTGTTATCGGACCGACAGACGCACTGGCCAGTGACGGTGGCACTGTTGAAAGCGCTCACGGCGTTTTGGGTGCAGGCAGCGAGAAGCGCTCGAGCGTTGGCCCCCGCGCTCCAAAGTGTTCTGCTGCGATACTTGCGCGACTCGCAACGCATGGTGCGACACGCCAGCGCCGAGGCGTTCGTTTGGTTGGTACTCGAGCATCCGCGCCCCGAGACAGCGCTCTCGGAACTAGCACGACTCGCCCAGAGTCAGGACGTGAATGCAACCCAGCGTTTGGTGGCGATGGAGTGCCTCGCCAAGCTGCTGCGTGTCGCTGCAGAACGACGCAGCCGCGCACCATCACATCGTGATCCGGTTGAGCAGTCGCCGATCGCGACGCCACTCGAACAAGTGCTCAGGTCCTCGGGTGTGTGGCCGCAGCGCTTGCAGGAGACCGTGCGTGCCGCACTGGGGTCGGCGCTGGACGCGGAGCGCCTCTGTGCTGCCCAGTTACTGGCGGCCGTGCATCGGTACTGGTTCGAGGATGTCGAGGTGCGGCACCAGTGTGTTCAGATGGCTGTGACGCTGGACACTGGTCGAGAGCAATCCAAGAGTGCCGTCGCCTGCCAGCATGGCCAGCTACTTGCGCTGCAGACAATGCTTGCCGACGGGGATCTAGCCTGGAGTCCCAAGCAATTGGCAGATATCGACGCACAGGCACGACGTTATCTAACCAGTGAGGCAGCACCGCTGCGCAAAGCAGCGATCCAGGTCATTGCCGCACTTGCGCTGCATACAGAAGAGAGCACCCAACATCAACAGTGGACGCGTCTGGTGGTAGAGCGTCTCCATGAAGACACGTTTTCGGAGGTGCGCGAAGCAGCACTCCAGGCGCTTGGTACTGTTGGAACGCTGGACACGGTATTGCCGCTGTTGCTGCAATGGTCGTATAGGCGCAGTGGAGAACGCGCACCCTCGCTTCGCACTGCCGCCATTGAGGCGCTCCAACAACGACTCGTCGACGACTTGATGGCCGCAGTGCGCTGGGATGTGCTGCGTCAGGCGCAGCAGCTCATTAGGGGGAGCGGTGAACCCGATGCAAGCTCCCAGAGTGATTGGCTGGAGCGACTCGCGCTCAACACGGTGGCAAGCAAGAGCCTCACGAATCGCTAACCTCGCGCATGTTCGCTGCTGTATTCATTTGTCGAGCATTTTGGTGAACGAGACGATGATGCGGTATTCGCATACTTGGGCAAATGCTAGCGTTGAGGCGCGCGCCGCATTCCCGAACGAACACACTGGCGTCCTCAGGTATTCTCGATCATCGTCAGGTCGTGCGTTCCAAACGGGCGCTGCGCCTGGAAGGAGCACCCGCGTTCACGCCTGGAGTATTCATGCGGACGCAACGCGGAGACGGAACGGCTTTGCCTTGTCCGTGTGGGCGTCCAGAGCATGGCCGCCGTTGATGCGGCGCGCACCTGCGCTTCTGCTGCTTGTGGAAAGCATGCACGCCCTGCATGGATTCGCGGTCGATGCGTAACGTGCCTGCACTCACGAGGCACTCCAGGCGTCCTCATCGTCGTCGTCGTCGTTGTCGTCGTCTTCGAGCGCTGATTCATCCGATGTGATGGCACTCTGGGGCGCGTTTTCCTCATCATCGGACTCGTCATCGATTTCGGTATCTTCGTCCAAGTCGGCTGCGACCCGCCGCTGCGCTTCAGAATCCTCTTCAACTGAAGATGCCGATGCTGCTGACGTCGAAGACGATGAAGCAGAAGATGCCGGTGGCTTCATCTCGCTACTCTGTGGCGCCTTGCGGGAAGCGCGTTGCATCGCCTCATGAACTCTCTGTCGTTTGGCAGAGGCTCGATGTCGACGACGACCGCCAGGCGCACTGGAACCCGCGTCGTCTCGCTGCTCAAGACGCTGTGCCAAGTCCGCTTCGAGTTCAAGGGCCCATGCAGCAAGCATATCGTCCTGACCCCGTCGATAACCGTGCTTCTCGGGGTTGCGCACAAAGTCTGGAATTTCGTGCTCCTCAAGCAGCGGCGGATAGTATTGCGACAGGTCTTGTAAGATGGGATCGTGAGAATCGACGCCCCAGAGTCGCGCCAAGTACTCCCGATCTATCTGACAGAATATTTCGTACTCTTCATCGCTACGGGCCAGCAGACGATTGATCTCTTCGAGCGTGTGAATACGCGCTCCCCGGCGTCGACCAGGATTCGCAGCAGCATCACCATCATCACCATCATCCTCATCATCTTCTTCTTCGACTTCGTTCATGGCAGACTCGCGTATTAAATGCCGTAAAAACGCTTCACGATCGCTGTCTTTTGCCTCTTGATGAAACATGCCCGCCCGAATGATTTTCTGCTCCAAGTCCAGTTTCAGTTCGGCCTTGTCGAGGACGTGCTGCTCGACACTGCGCGCTGTGACGATACGCAGCACGCGTACTGCTTTCTTCTGACCGATACGATGGGCCCGATCCTGGGCCTGTATATCCATCTGGGGATTCCAGTCCGAATCGAAGAGAATAACCGTGTCGGCTGTTTGGAGATTGACGCCCAAACCACCAGCCCGGGTGGTCAACAGGAACACGTTGTATTTTGTACCTGGTCGGTTGAATTCCTGGACCAGCTCACGTCGCTCGTCGGCAGTGGTCAGTCCCTGCAGACGCAGGAATGGAATATTGCGTGCTCTAAGGAGGCGCTCTTGCAAATCCATAATCCGCGTCATCTGATTGAAGATCAGGACCCTGTGGCCAGTGCGAAGGAGTTTCTGGATACAGGAATCGAGGATTTGGAACTTGCCGGAGGCCCGCACGAGTTCGTTCACGCCGCCTTTTTCGTACTCGGGGTGGAAGAGGTACGGGTGGTTCACGATCTTTCGCAACTGCATCTTGCTATTGCTGAGACGATCGTGGCGATGACGGCCGCTCTTGTCGGTGAACACCACGCGTTCATGACGGATTAACTGGCGATAGACGAGCCGTTGCCAAGCACTCATGTCGCAGAGAAAGAGCACTTCGCGCTTCTCCGGCAACTTTTCGCCTCCGCGAAGAATTTCGTTCTTAAGTCGTCGTAACAAGAACGGACGCAGCACCTTGTGCAGCCGGTTGATAATAAGAAGCGACTCCTCCTCGGTGAGCTCCAGATGTTCACCGGGCATCGTTGCGAACGGCGCATTGAACCAAGCCTCGAATGTGTCACAGGAGGAGAAAATCTGCGGCAGCAGGAAATTCAGCAGGGACCACAGTTCGGAAAGTGAATTGTGCAGCGGCGTTCCGGTTAAGAGCAACCTATTTCGTGAACGATACTTTTGACCCAGCACTTGGGCAAGTTTGCTCGCAGCGTTTTTGATGCGATGACCCTCGTCGACAATGATATAAGACCAGATGATTTTGGAGAGGGCGGCTCGAGCGCGCAGTGCATACTCGTACGTTGTGAGCAGGATATGGAACGGAAAGCGCCCCGATGCGTCGCGCACGAAAAGCTCATTCGCTAGACGTCGTCGAGCGGTTCGATCGCCCTTGAAAACCGACACCTTGAGTGAAGGTGCCCAATGCGCCAGCTCGCTCTCCCAGTTGCTCACCGTCGAGAGCGGGACAACGATCAAAAAGGGGCCCTCATCCTGCTTGAACTCGATGAGATGACACAGAAGCGCAATGGTTTGAACAGTTTTGCCGAGGCCCATTTCGTCCGCAAGAACGCCATTCAAACGATTGTTGTACAGCGAGAGCAACCATTCGACCCCAACCAACTGGTAGTGTTTCAGCTCGCCACCAGTTAGGAGCGAAGACTGATTCAGCACACGTTCTCGAACGCGATGCGCAAGTTCGTAGTAGCTATCAGCGGCTCGCTGGCCGGCCATGCTCGACGACGACAACGACAACGACGACGCAGGGTCAGCAGCATCCGCTGCACGATCCGTCAAAACAGAACGATTCTCGCTTACAATGGCTCCGAGCTGCCGCAAATAGTCGTCGGTTTGTTCCAGAATCAATTTCAATCGTTCATTCTTTGTATTCTGCACCAGTGCACGATACGCCTCTTCGTTGTTCTCGCGAAGCGCCTGAATCCGTCGCCGTTCCTCTTCGCGTTCGCGTCGTTGATCAGACCTTTCGCGTTCCTCAAAAAAGCGGTGAATCTCGCGATTCAAACGTAGACGATTCCTCGTTTTCTCTTCCCGAAAGAACGCACGGAATGACGTTGCGTATTCTTCAACCGCTCGCCACATGGAGAGCGTGTGACGGCGTTGCTCGCGCTCGTCTGCTTCGCGAGCCCGTCGTTCCTCGCGTTCATAGCGGGCCAGCTCGCTGCGTATCCGTTTTTTCGAGAGACGGCCATGGCTACTGGCATTCGATCCGCGTGCTTCGGTACCTGCTTCGAGAATACGCTCCCGAATTCGCTGCTGGAGGCGGAGCAAGCGAAGCATGGCATGGCGTATCCGCACGTGCACATAGGTGCGCACCAGATGTTCGGGAATTGGGGCTGCGTCTTGTGTATACGCTGCCCGGAATTCACTTTCCAGGGCATGCAAAATGGTATCCAGCGCTCGTCGTGCTTCATTGAGGCGATGATGAACTTCTCGGTCGCGCTCTCTGCATACCAGAATCGGATCGAGCGGGGGTGGTCGCGAGAGCTCGACTCCCTGTGCATTCATCACCTTGCCAACGGGTAGCCATCGTTCTCCGGAGCATTGCGCACACACCTGCTCCGTATACTGCGCCTCTGATGATGCAAGGGCGGCCTCAGCTGCGTAAAGCTCTTCCCATTTCGGAAATTCGCTCTGACATTGCTGTTCGATTTCGGTCATAACCTGTAAGCATTCTTCTGTGGAAGGCATCCGGGTGCCGTCCGGGAAGCGTCCACAAATCAGTCCGGTTACCATCGCCCGACGGAGTACGGCTGGTAGTACAGCGCCTGTTCGACGGAACACAGCACGAGGATGCCTTCCAGCGGCGGTGGCAGCTCGAGCTGCAGCCTCTGCGAGACGCAGGTAACGTTGCGCTTGTAGCTGCAGCTGAAGCGCCTTCAGCTGCGGAAAGGTAAACGCTCCATGACGCTTAACGCATGCCTGAGCCGCCAGTAAGCGCAGTACTGTTTGATAAGGCCGGTGATACTGCAAGAGCAGTTGTCGCTGATCAGGCCCCTCGTCTGCCGAAGCATGGATTGTTTTCGCGACCTGTTCGTTCGTGGGGGGTTTCGGTACGGCGCGAACGAAAGCAGCAAGTGAAAGTAGCGCGTGAAGCTGGTCAGCGTTGAGCGGCCGCCTTCGCCACACGACTGTGGCCTCCGACTTTCGAGAGCCGGCCGCCAGCGACAATCCGGCTTGCACTTCCTCCAGCTTCTGCGCTGGTGCAGCAGTCGTAGATTCGTCAGTCTGAAACTTAGTACTGACCTGTGGTTTCCCGTCCTCAGCGCACTCGTGATTCGTGCCTTGTTCCTGGTTCCCCAGGGGTTTCGTGGCCGGCTCCGCAGCTGCATTCGCCTGCCATACAGGTTGTACGTCCCGCTGCGAGCCAGAGCTACTTGGTGTCGCCTGCATGCGACACCGTCAGCCTCGTCCACAACCTGGTTACAAGTCAATAGCCGCACAAGTCGCAATGTGATCGCCACCACCCCGCTCAATGGAAGCACAGTCAAAAGCAGAATAGCGCTCTGCGAAGACGGCAGGCACTCGTGCCGAACACTGACATGCGCTGTGCCGTCGTTGCCGCGATCGCCGTGCACTGTGATGGACACGTGTTGCCGGTGCGTCTGCGCCAGTGCACTGCTTTCTTTTCATGACAACATGGTTATATGGATCATAGATTCCAGTTTGCGGTTTGGATAATGGTAATCAAGAAAGCGTCCGTTATGATACACTTTACTTCCAAGTTCCATCTCTCATGCTTCCTCTGGGATACACTGGTCATTTCGTACGTTCTATCGTGTGCCAAGTGCCTGTCTTGCTGTACCCGTAATAGCAGATATGAAGCCGGAGCAGATGCATGACGAAGACAGAGCGGCTTTTGCTATATTACTGAGGGCATCGGAACGAGGAACGCTTGATCTGACACGGAGTCGGCGCTCATAATCATTCTAGGAACGAGCAAGTTGTGCTGATAGCCTTACTGCCCGCAGCAGCTCGAGGCGATGGTAGAGGAGTCCACTGCGACCAGGGCGATACCCAGACGCAGCCAAACCGCCCCTGGTTCCAGAATGAATTGCGTGTCGGACGAGTTGCTGCTCAGGTCTATTCACAGCACTAGGTACTGGGAAGGTCAGGAAGCACTGGTCTGGCAGACTCGTCCGGCTCGCAGGACACGCCGCCTGGAAGGGACACGATCGACAATTCGGAAACCTGTTCCCTTTTTTAAAGTTTATCGTTGAGAGGGAGAGAAATTGTTATTTCGTTGCTACCTAGACGCTACTCTCTGTTCTTTGTTCCATATAGTGCGGTCGATACACGCACCTCCATATCTGGGAGGCGTGAGAAACGAAGCGCATCTGGCCGTTGAAGGGAAACGTGATACTAAACATGCGCGTGTTATTCTAGCGTAGAAGTTGTATTTGCGTTGAAGTCGTAGCAAAGTATAGTTTTTCAGTTAAATTGTGTTTCAACCCTCAGCTTAGTGTCTTCAAGTGATTTTCGCGGTTTATAGCAGAAGCGTTCAAGGTGCGTTCTATTTCAAAAAATAAAAAAATATGGAAAAGGATGTGGAAGATTCTGGAGCACAGGTAGCGCCGGCGGCAAGGAAAAAAAAGATAAAAAATGGCGGAGCAAAGAGGATCAGGAGAAGACGAAGAAGCTGCACGCGGGCGACAGTACGACGAGATCGTGACGAAAGCCTGTCTCTTTCAACATATCAAGGCTCCCTGCATGCAAAAGTTGCGAGACGTCATCAGAAATTGTGTCGATTCATACCCCGGCAGTGTTCGTAACGCTTCTTTAGGACTGATGCATATTCCGAGGGAGAGATATCGCGATGTGACGGACATCAGAACAGTTGAGGTTTCGGAAGAGTTTTTCGACAAGACCCTAATTCGTCACCTGATACTTGGCACAGGGGAAACGTCGACGAAAAATGAGCTCGTGCATGCCCTCCACGAAAACTTCGCCGAATACGGCTGAAACTGTACTCGGTATCGGGATGACTCGCCTATTTACTGCTACGGAGCGATGAAGTGCCTCACGAACCTGTAGAGCCACGTGATCGTGAACCTCAAACGCTTCATGGTACGCTCCGTCTTTGCACTGTACCCGGGACTGTTTCGCAAACGAATATGGGCGATTACCAATGGAATCACGAACGATCGACAGGATGAAGATGAGATCGAATTCGTCGACAAGAAGACATCACGCAGAAGAAAGGATGAAGCTTCTGTAATCCGTGCGGCTATACAAGAGCACCGTGCGGTACTGAGGCTGGCGAATCCAGCAGACAAGATATCAGAGTTGAAAAAAGATACTGAAAGATACGAACGCATCGTCCTGTGGTATTTCGTATTTCTGGACCAAGAGCTCGAACGCAAGGCAGAGGTGAAGCTGAGTGTAGAGACAAATGAAGCGTGGGAGAGACGGAAGGCTGTCCTAATGGGGAAGCGCTTCGACGTGGTTCCAATGTGCAATAACAAGTCACATTTTGTGACTATTGACTCCACAGTCCTTCATGGCATCATGAAGGAGATCTGTCCAGAGTTCGATGCTAGCATGGAGGAGTTCTCCGGTGAAAACCGGGAGACGTACTGGAAGAATATCTTCGATTTCAAACGTCTCAAAGTGAGCAAACAAAAGGTTTTCACTGGGTTGATCGAAACCGATGGAGTAGCCTCGTGTATACACTATCGGCGGTTGAAGAAAGATCGGCCAGTTCCGCCCTCGGCTGCGCCCGTGACGAAGGATGAAGAAAACAAAGAGGAGGATCATGTGATGCAGGAGGTGGAGGATTACGATATTGTCGTTGACATGACGAAGCATGAAAAAAAGGAGGCGGCTGGTCCGGCGACTCAGGAGGTAGAGGATAACGGCTTTATCGTTGGCGCTGCGAAGCATGAAGATGAGAAGGAGGCGGATCTCACGACGCAAGTGGTGGAGAATAACGACTTTGTCGTTGGCGCGACGAAGCAGGAAGGTGAGAAGGAGGCGGGTCCTGCGACGCAGCAGGTGCATGAGAAGCGCGTTGTCGTTGGCGCGACGAAGCATGAAGAAAAGAAGGAGGCGTATCCTGCGACGCAGAAAGTGCAAGATAACGACTTTGTCGTTGGCGCGGACCCCGGTAACACAAATGTCATAACCATCGCTGCACCGAAGCGTGCGGAAGATGGTACTGGTGGTAACTTTTGTTAGAGAGACATGCGTCTGTTGAGGTTCTCGAGAGCGAGATACTATTGAGAATCGGGAATCATGAATGCGAGGAAGAAAATCGAGACGTGGAATGCAGGAATGAAAGATCACCTGGAAGCTTTGAGCGAGGTGACGAGCCGCGGGACGGACTTTGAAGCTTTTCGGAAATTCATGGAAGTTCGCATTGCTCACTGGGATGCGCTGTGGGAAGAATATACAAAGTCCCGCTGGGCTCGTTTGTGAATGAATTTGTATTGTGGTAAGCGGCGGGCGTTCGCGAATTTTTTCAATGAGTTGAGCGCCCTCAAAGAGGATCAAAGTCAAGGGGTCGTAGTAGCGTATGGGGAAGGGCGCTGGGCGCCCAAGAAAGGGACTATGCCAGCTCCGACGACGAGGGTGTACAAAGAGTGCGCAAGGCGTTTCGTTACAATACCTGTAGACGAGTTCCCAACATCGTATACACACCATGAACTGGGATGTACACTTCAGAGAGTGGAGATGGAAAAGTGCCAACGGAGCCCTGAGGAATTTGCAAAGTACGGACCGGTGACGGAGGAGCAAATGGAAAGGAGAGCGAAAGTGCGAGGATTGCTTGCATTGGTAAGTACAACGAATGACGGCAAGAAACGTATGGAGTTCGTGAACTGTAATTTTAACGCCGCAATCAGTATAAGCGGATGTGCGGTGCTGGAGGAAAGACCTCGAAAGTCCACAAGAGTGAACTTTGTTGGACAATCGCTCAAAGTAGAATTATATGAGACAAGATTGGAAGCAGTAGTAGGTGGCCGGTCCAATAAGACGGGGAGGCGTCTGCACGTCAGTCGAAGACTTTTCGTCCAGGGCGGGCTTCTCGCCACTACTGTACACCGCCGGCGACAACGTTTTTCTTTTGAAAGACGTTTGCTGTTGCCGGTGACGGCTGCGTAAAGCTTTCAGGGAATCACAGAAGAGGGCTTGCTTTGGTGCTGTGCAACCACGTTCTAGATCGTGAACTATGCGCTGTGTTCGCTCCATCGGAAGGACTGCCAGCGCTCTAGCTCGGAGTGGGAAAACAACCTTTTCCAGCACATGGACGTCTTGCTCCAAGGTAGCCTCCATCGGAGGCTGCAAGATCTCGACAAGTGTGCCACGCGCGGTGCACGGCGTGGACTGTTTCGGGCGCTTTGCTGCCGTACCGGCGTCACTGACAAGCCTACTGATTGGGTACGGCGCGCGGACGTTGGCGACCAAGGCAGGGTCTACGACGGCCTCGTCGGCGAGTGCAACAGAGGTCGCTTCAGCGGGAACGGGGAAAGCGAGCTCAGCCAGTGCTGAACACAGCGCCACGAGCAAACGCCCGGGCTCGCCTGCCACAGCGGTATCGCGCGGTCGCGTGTTGCAAGTGATCGGTGCCGTAGTGGATGTCCAGTTTGATGGGACTTTGCCGAAAATTTTGGATGCGCTTGAAGTTGAAGGAACAGAACACAGGCTCGTGCTGGAGGTTGCGCAACACATCGGCGAGAATACGGTGCGCTGCATTGCAATGGACGCTACCGAAGGACTCGTGCGAGGCCAGGTCGTGATCGCCACTGGGCAGCCTATTATGGTACCCGTGGGACCCGCCACCCTCGGCCGCATCATGAACGTGATTGGCGAACCGATCGACGAGCGCGGTCCCATTGAGACGGAGCACTACTACCCCATTCACCGGCCGGCGCCGGCTTTTGTGGACCAGAAAACGAGTGCATCTGTACTGGTGACCGGTATCAAAGTCATCGATCTGTTAGCGCCGTATGCGCTCGGTGGCAAGATTGGTTTATTCGGTGGTGCCGGTGTCGGCAAGACTGTCTACCTCATGGAGTTGATCAATAATATTGCGAAAAAACACGGTGGTTATTCGGTTTTCTGCGGCGTCGGAGAACGTACTCGGGAAGGCAATGATCTGTACCATGAAATGATCACCGCCGGTGTGATCAAGTTGGGTGGCGACAGCAAAGCCTCGCTTGTCTACGGCCAGATGAACGAGCCGCCGGGTGCCCGCGCGCGTGTCGCGTTAACCGGCCTGGCGGTCGCGGAGTACTTCCGGGACGAGCAAGGTCTCGACGTGCTCCTCTTTATCGATAACATCTTTCGGTTCACGCAGGCGGGTGCCGAGGTGTCGGCGCTGCTAGGTCGTATTCCTTCGGCGGTGGGTTACCAACCGACGCTCGCTACCGACTTGGGTGGTCTCCAGGAACGCATCACAACCACAAAGAAAGGATCTGTTACATCCGTACAGGCTATCTATGTGCCAGCAGATGACTTGACGGATCCCGCGCCAGCGACGACCTTTTCGCATTTGGATGCAACGACGGTGCTGTCGCGTTCGATAGCAGAGCGCGGCATATATCCGGCGGTGGACCCCTTGGACTCCACCAGCAGAATGCTTGATCCGAGTATTGTCGGCGAGGAGCAGTACGCTGTTGCGCAGCGCGTGCAGCAGACGTTGCAAGCATACAAGAGCTTGCAGGATATTATCGCTATTCTGGGCATGGATGAACTGAGCGAAGCCGACAAGTTGGTAGTGGCGCGGGCGCGCAAAATCGAACGTTTCCTCAGCCAGCCGTTCTCGGTCGCAGAGGTTTTCACCGGCTACGAAGGTCGCTATGTGGAGCTCCAGGACACGATCCGCGGTTTCAAGGGCATTCTTGATGGAGAGTACGATGACCTACCAGAGAAAGCATTTTACATGGTTGGTGGTATCGATGAAGCCATACGTAACGCAAACCGAATGGCAGCTGAGGCTGCAGCAACCGCTTCCGCGTAAAACTGAAAGGTATCGCTACGGGCCGGGGTTCGCAACGCGTCCATGGCACACGAGTTTGCCCCCACAGCACGTCTGTCGAAGAGACGCGTTCGCAGGTTACTGTCCAAGCGCACAGATGCCGCAACTGGGGGCGCTGCCCGACACGACCGCTCGCCGCACAGCACCGAAATGAGGGTTTGTGCGGGGTCAGCGCTCGATTGCGAGTGTGTCCCAACGCTCGTACCGCACTGGTCTACAAGTGCGTCACTCGTTCTCCTCGAGGCCGAGACGGAAAAAGGAGTCCGAGATCATCAGTGGTCCTTGATCGTACCCAATGATCTAACCGTCTGCATCTATGTCAAAGTAACTCGTTTTGTCTCGAGGATGTTTCAAGAAGTTCAGAACACCTCGGGAGGCTGCTGAGTCGGCAACAGCCCAAAGCGCTTCTTCAGCGTGACCCGCTGCTTCGAGAACTTGTCATCTGGACTGAACCGTGCCGGATGCGCCGATACAGTCGGCTCTTGGCACTTGGGACATAACTTTTGCAGTGTGTACCCGTGCTTTGGATCTTTTGAACACTTCATCAAGTACATGGTATCGCCCAGCTGCCACGAACGATGGAGGCTAGCGCGTCCTCGTTTTGGGTAGCGCGCGTGCGCTGCGCGGCCGCGTCGACATGCGACACGCTCCTGCCACGAGTTGATCAAAAGCCTCGCTCTAGGTACCTCAAAAAGCTTTTGCGGACCGCAAGACGTGCAGCGACGCAGCGCCTGTAATCCAAGATCGATAGGCTGGAAGTCTTCAAGGAGAAGCTGAAGCCGGCAGCATGCGGCCGGTCAAAGAAAGGCCCGGAGGCGTCTCTAAGTGCGTATTCATGTACATTCAATAACGTACCATAAACGTCAAAGGAAGGGAAGACCTTTCCATATTGTCGAAAGTTTACCGCCTAGGCGGAAGGTCCGCGAGCCGGACGAGTGTGCTGCGCTAGTGCTTTATCCTTCCTCCAGTGGCAGGTGCTGTGGCGAGACCTGCACAGCTCGTCTGCAACGCATTTCATTCTGGGACTAGACACAGTAAAGCCGCATATGGGCGTCGCCCTGGTCGCAGTGGACTCTTAGCATATCGCTTCGCGCTGTAGCAGGCAGTACGTCTGCATGTACAGCTTGCAGGCTCCCAGAATGATTACGTACCCCGACCCCGTGTCGCATGAACCAAGCATCGAACCGACGCCCGCAGTGGTACGGAAAAGCCGTTCTGTCTCCGTGCAGCACCTGATTCAGCGGTACAAGCGCCAAGGCGGGTGTTCACGGCAGGCAGTCGGCGCACGATAGAACGTACGAAACGACCAGTATACTCGGGAGGAAGTATGGGTAATGGAACTTGATGGTAGGTGCTTCATCGTGGACGCTTTCCCGAGAGCCATGATACATTCCGAATTCTGGGATCCGTGGTCAATGTAAACGTTTTGCCATCTGAAGCAAATGGTGTTGATTGTTCTTCCTGAGCCTACCATACCGCGCGGTACCAGGGCGCTGCACTGTAGATGCCTGAGTTTGGCTGGTGCCTCGCGAGTGGACGCGTGTAAGGTCGCTCGCTTCGCTGGTTGCCGCTCGGCATGGACTGCTACAGACGTTGCGGCAAATGGATCGATCCGGTGAAGAGCAGCGATGATCGTTGGGGATTTTGAAGACACATCTATGATTAGAATCGTAAGGAGATAAAGCATCTGAAAAATGGCTGGGAGTATGCTCCATTCATCGATCGTGTGTGGTGGCAGGTATTTTGTGCAGCGAGGTGAGCGCGCGTCATCAGCCTAGAACTTGCACCGGGGAGCGTTCAAGTCCGATGCATTCTGAACAGAGCCGGGGGCTTGTCACCTCCGTCGGTCGAGTTATTGATGAGCACGATACGCGTAAATGCGCTGCGAATCGCCTTCGGATCCTTGCTTGACCTTCGCAGCTGCCACCAATATCCGCTCTAAGGCAAGTCCGACGCTGGCATTCCAGAAAAGCAATGCGAGCTTATTGGGCAGCGATCCTGGCCCCGCGTATCTCCTCGCGCTATGCCTGTTAGCAATCCTAGACTGGCATTCCAGCAAAGTTTCATACATTCACTGAGTACGAGTTGGGGGCCTCGCGCATCGGTGCCTTCCCGGCATCGTAACCACTGCCACGAGAACGACAGCTGCCTTGCGCCGATGCCCGCGACGAACGTCGAAGCTGTTGCGTGTCTGTCGGAAGCTTATATTGATGTATCCAGCGCTGTGGCAAGTGTCTGGGCTAGGCTCGAAGTTCGTGGGGTCACAGAAGCGGGTGCAAATGCCAGGAGCCGTCACTGCCGTTTCTCAGCGGAGCGACTCGAACCTGCTTCCGCAAATAGCGCCCATTGCCTAGCACGGCACATCGCTACGCATGCAATCGACTGGTGAAGATGGGCCTCTCGACAGGCTATGTGCTCGCTGACGATGATTTCAGAGGCCTCGAAAAATTAGCGTTGAAGGACGACAGGGAAGCATACTTGCCTAGGGCAAGCAGCATACTGTGGATAGGGACGGAGCAACTGAATCCGTTTCTCTGGTGCATCCCGGAGACAAGCAGGTAGGCAACCAGCCAGGCGTTTAGGTAGGTATTTAAGCAGACATGCAGAGACACATACACTCTGATGCACTCGTATCCGATTCAAATGGTACGAATCCACTAACTTGGACGAAGGCAATAAAGTTTGATTCTCTTATCACTGTCATAAATACTAGCCTTCATGGACGATTTATGCGACTGCTTCGATTCACGCGCTCCTAGCTCCGGCTTTGAGTACGCTGGCCTCCCTGCCTGCCTATCCAACTCCGTTGCAAATAGTCACAGCATGTTGGTGGCAGCGTTCAATTACCGATGCTGATGCTTCCAGATGTTTTCGACGCATTTCACGCACAGGCAGTACCCAGCATCTGCGCTTCGCTTGCCATTGTGATCTTCATTTCGTTCAGCGTCGGTGCGCCGGTCGAAGCGACGACGCTCGGCCTTGGTCAGGTGTTCCCGGACGTCGACAATGCTCCGTCTCCCGAGATCCACGCTGTGGCACATGAAGGTTCGCTTCATGATCCGGGATATGCGCATCACTGGGGCAGAGGACGCTGCTCGATGCCCCGCCTCGTTACCTAACTCGGTGCATCACCGACATAGGATTACCGGCTTCATCTGAGCGACCCGTCGATGGTTTGGCGTCGCCATTCTACGGAGGATTTCTGGAACACGATGATTTGCATGACGGAACGAGTACCGGACGGCAGTCCAGGTTGGGTACGAAATTTCCAGAGATTCCGATCCTTCTGGGCATTGCTGGAGCACAGCGGATATGCCGTCGCGAGTCTACACGAATGCTGCAACGACTCAAGTGTGGTCCTTGTACCCTTTGCCACGGAAACCGAAGAGACGGCATCCTCTTGGTGCATATCCTGTGACAGGTAACCTGTGGATGCTGTCGGATGTCGCCACATGGGTTGCCACGAAATGAGCAGGGATTTATACATCGAACCGAACCGATCACGTGACGTGGCAAGTGGAGCAAACTTCTGGCTTGAGCATACCCCCCAATTCGTGAACGACGGACGTCGAGGTTTTTCTCTTCGCCGGCCCAGCTGCGGGAATACCTGCGCCCACGACTTGCCTCGAAATAGAAAGAACGAAACCATGGAGAATGCCTCATTGGGGCATGAAACACGTAACGATAGGAAAAGAGTCCAGGCCTGCACGTATGTACTGGATCGTGGTATCCATTGCTTGGCGAACGCGTGTTCAAAGCAGTCGGGAATCATCTTGATTCCGGTGACGTAAAGAGTTCCAGCGGCGCAACATCGAAGCAGCCGTTCGCAAATGAACACCGAGCGTCCCTGATTTACACATAGGAATCCCTAAGCCCCTACTGTCGTCGTTCCAGTATCGATACTACACAACGAAACAAAAAGTGCGGCAAATATCGCGAGGCACAACCTGGGCAAGCAGTTCCGGGCACGTTCGGCATCGGATACGTGTGTCCACCCTCTAATAGAGACATTTATGAACATTAGAGACATGAAACGGAACGCCACGCGCCCGGCGCATTCGAACGCGCGAATCTGCGTCAGCGGCGCACGCGCATCGCACACAGCCGTTGCGCATGGCGGTGTGCGCTGGCCTGGTGCAGCGGCATCGTGAACGCCTGCTTCCATACGCTATCGGGCGCTGGACGCTCCTGCCCACTACAGGGACGCTGGACTGTAACTCATGGGACTCTCGACGATAGATGCCGACGTTCTTCGGTCGTACACGGAGGTTGTCGAAGCAGCAGCGCCGGCAAGCGAACGAAAGGCCGGATTTCTGGTTCAACAGCACGGGGCGCTCGGTGATGGCGGAGACGCTTCGCAACCCGCTGGTGGCGCCACTGAGGCTGGCGCTGCCAACAGCGAGGGCGACGCAGGCTCCAACGTTGACATGTTTTATTTCGAGCACGCGCTAGCGACAGCGATATCCAGCCAGCAGCAACACAGCGCTGGCGGCGGTGGCGGTGGCGGTGGCGCCCCAGACCCGTCTACGGTGCATACCACTGGCTCTGCGACCACAACTGAAGGCGTGTCAAACCTCACCAGGCTTGTAGTCGAGGAACAAAAGACACTCGATCTTTTCCACAAACTCAAGTTTAACTGGCTCGAACTGCAGACAAAACAGTACTTCCTCGAGGTTCTTCTAGGCTGCCCCAAGGGCGTGACACCGAACGATCTTTGTCCATCGGACGCCGCCATTGCCGAACTTGAAATATCATCTGCTCAAGCGAAGCAGGAGCTCAAAAAAATCAAGCAGCAGACGAAAAATTTGCACGAACAAATGGAATCACTCTGCACAGAGCTGGCTCGAGCCCACGGGATATACCTAGCGTCGTTCAACGAATGCAGAACGGCCGTTGAGGATCTCTGCGCTCGCGTTCAGGAGCGAGCGTATCGAGATCAACTTGTCGAGCGTGATGCAGAATTAGCGTCACTGCGGCAGCAGGAAGCTGAGATGCTCGCCAAAAAAGCCAAGCTCGAGTGGGAGACGCGACCCCTCGAACAGAGCATCGATGCATTGCGAGAAGAAATCGCAGCTACCGAGACGCGACTTGAAAGTGGTAATTCAGCGAGCGAAAAAGAGCCAGACGCCGCATTGCGAGCGCGCTACCAGGCCATGGTTGCGTGGTATCAAGCCATGATCCCATTGCTCGAGTCTATATCTGGCATTCGAATCGAGCGCTTTGAGACTGATCGCCTAGTGATCAGCATGGAACACGCTGTTTCCGACCAAAAACAACAGGCCGTGCTCGATCTCATTCCCGGTTCGTGCTTGATATCTCGGATCACGTTGGAACCGCCACCGTCGCCAACAAGTGGACTCGACGCCGCCGAAATAGAGACACTTCTTCGCCGTGCGAACGAAACGAACGACATGGGCTGGTTGATTCGCACCCTTCAACAACGACTCTACTTGTGCGCCCGCTAGGTTCCAACAGCCGACTTTGAGCGCCGCGAACGCCTCCCTGGGCACGCGACGTCGCACTCCGTTTAAAGACACAAAGCTGCGCATCCGTTTCCGTAAGGCACGCTATGCCTCCTTGCCACTGGCGTTGCTCAGGGATCAGGTTCACAGCGCAGTACAGCCTGTACAAGTGCGTCAACGGCGGTCGCGAGTCGCTCTGCGGTTCGTGCCCTGTCGGCGTTTATGAGTTGCTCCGCTTTCTCTTGCAGCTTTTGACCTAATCCTTCCGTTGTACCAGCTAGTTCAGCCTGCATCTGTCGAAAACTCGCTTCCTTCCGTTCACGATAGGCAGCAATGTCTTTCTCGGCCTCAGACACGGCTAGACGCAAACGGTCCTCGCGCTCTTTTCGAGCAAGCTGGATACGCTCTGCAGCTTCCGCCTCGGCCTGGAGCAACAGACGAACGGTATCGGCCGTCTTGTTGGCTTCGGGACCCAAGCCCCCGTCCATCTTCAGTCCGGTGCGCTCTTTACTCATCAGCTGCGTAACGTGCGCACTCCACACGAAGCAGCGCCAAAACCAGTGTGCGCGCTCTCTCCCTGTTGAGGACGCTTTGGGTACGCGGTGCTTGACACACCCTCCAGGGAGCGATGCGCCGCGGCTCTGCTGAAACTTGAGTACGCTCCGTAGCCGACCGTGTGCCTGAGCCTAAACGGCCACGTTAAGTGCTTCCCCTTGTGAGAGAGTAGCCGTTGTCGGCAACTCAGAACGCCCTAGAGCCACACGAGACTAGCCAGTGGGGTTCACGAACGTCGTCGAGACGGTTGCGGCGGCGTTGCCGGTGACGCGTGCAGCCTTGCCGCGGAGCGCACCTGCGGCGTAACACACACCGATGTGAGCAAGTGCCATAAAACGGATCCACTAACTTGGACGAAGGCAATAAAGTTTGATTCTCTTATCACTGTCATAAATACTAGCCTTCATGGACGATTTATGCGACTGCTTCGATTCACGCGCTCCTAGCTCCGGCTTTGAGTACGCTGGCCTCCCTGCCTGCCTATCCAACTCCGTTGCAAATAGTCACAGCATGTTGGTGGCAGCGTTCAATTACCGATGCTGATGCTTCCAGATGTTTTCGACGCATTTCACGCACAGGCAGTACCCAGCATCTGCGCTTCGCTTGCCATTGTGATCTTCATTTCGTTCAGCGTCGGTGCGCCGGTCGAAACGATGACGCTCGGCCTTGGTCAGGTGTTCCCGGACGTCGACAATGCTCCGTCTCCCGAGATCCACGCTGTGGCACATGAAGGTTCGCTTCATGATCCGGGATATGCGCATCACTGGGGCAGAGGACGCTGCTCGATGCCCCGCCTCGTTACCTAACTCGGTGCATCACCGACATAGGATTACCGGCTTCATCTGAGCGACCCGTCGATGGTTTGGCGTTGCCATTCTACGGAGGATTTCTGGAACACGATGATTTGCATGACGGAACGAGTACCGGACGGCAGTCCAGGTTGGGTACGAAATTTCCAGAGATTCCGATCCTTCTGGGCATTGCTGGAGCACAGCGGATATGCCGTCGCGAGTCTACGCGAATGCTGCAACGACTCAAGTGTGGTCCTTGTACCCTTTGCCACGGAAACCGAAGAGACGGCATCCTCTTGGTGCATATCCTGTGGCAGATGCGCACGCCGCGCAACGGCGATACCGCGGCTACTGTAAGCTGTCACTGCGCTAGAGTGCAGCTCGCAGGAGCTTCTGGGGAACGCTGTGCGTCGCTTTTTCCCATGATCAAGTCGTTTTCGTAGTGGTTCCTCGACTAAGAATAGGCTGCATCTAGCGAGAACGCTCTCTAGGATGCCCGTCATCTCGCTGGGACGCATCGAAGACGCGCATGAAAAAGGTGTCTGGGCGATAACGAAGCTTGGTAACGGTAGGTTTTTGTCCGGAGGACTTGACGGGGCGTTGAAGCTCTGGCAGTTAGGGGCGCAGGAGCGAGGTCCGGTGGACGCTGCGCCCGCTGCCTCAGCACAGGAAGGCGACACCGCTACCAGTACGTCCGCTGGAGATGAGGTAGCTGAGTTGGTTGCACACTGGCCTCAAGCGCATCATTTGGCAGTCACGAGCCTTGATTCAGTGCCGGCACAAAATCTAGCAGTTTCCACCGGATTCGACGGCCGCATCCGAGTGTGGAAGCTCGACGCTACGACTCCAGAGCAGGCAGCGCTCAGCGAGCACCAACTGAACCCGCTGGAGGCGTTCCAGGTAGCCGTATCCGCGGGTGCAGACTCTGTGGCGATAGGCGGGGACGTGTTCGCGGGAGCTTCTCAGCCGCAACGCATATGTCTTGCCGCTCTCTATAGACTGCCTCTGCTCGAGAAAGCGCATAGTCTAGAAGTTGAACGCGACGCTCGTCTCGAGCAGTATCGCTTCACGACCTGCGTGCGCTTTGCCGCATCCGCGGCTACAACCGCACCAGCGAACATGCTACTTTGTGGAGGTAACAATGGCACGCTTGTGGCTGTGGACATCAACACGGAAGCATGGGACTGTGTGACGCTTGCGTCTGATCATCAAAGCGGCGCAAGCGTTTCAGAAATCAAGTCAAGTGGATTACCTGTTCGGGCGCTTGCGCAAACCAAGAAAGAGCCATCGATCGTATTTTGTGCTAGCGAAGACGAATGCATCCATGTCGTGGATTGGCGTATGTGCGAAGAGGCGAGCATCTTTGCGACGGCCGGCTCGGGGCCGCTCTTCGCGGTAACAGTCACCGAGGAGGAGCCGGTGTTAGTCTTTGCAGCGGGTGCTGATGGGCAAGTTCGAGCCTACGATCGGCGCAGTGGAGAATGCGTCTACACGCAAAATGCTGAGACGCGCAAAGCGATATGGTCGCTGGAATCGATCGACCGCGAGGGTCTCGGTGCTCCGCGTATCGTGCTTGGTGGTGATGACGGATACCTTGAGGTTTTGAAGGCCTGAACCAAGCGTTGTGAGCCCGAGGCATGCTTTCCGTTGTTTTTCATCCGTTATTGTCTATCTACGCATACACAACTGCTACAGACGAGCGGCAAGACGCAACGAACAAATCCTTCGTTCGGATGCATCCGCGGCCATAGTATGGAAATGTTAGGCATTTTTGCGCAACGAGATGGATACTCGAGCGTTGATCGACCGCGAAGAGCTTGTAGGTCGCTGCACAGTGCGGCGATCGTTATCTAGCTGAAGCAGGGGGTTCTTTGTTTCTTTCCAGTCTGACACTGGGTGGGAACACGCGTTGCCGACCATGATCTAAGCACGCGTATCATGCACTGGACGCTGTGGACGCTGCAGTAGAGCAGTGCCTGACTTGGCGGCAAGACAGCTGCTCTCCAGACTTGAAGCCTCTCAACGGCGTTGCACATGCGACAAGCGCTTGTGTGGACGCCGACGCCACTCGCCCGTGACGTCTGGAACGCAGCCCGCCGGCGGACGGAACTACGAGAACTGTTCTCTATCCGCAGCGTCGCATCTCTCGTGTTGACGTCAGCGCATCCTACGCTGTGGGGATTAGGCCATCGATTGCCCTTCGTGGTTACTTTCGTTATACGTTGCCATGATCAGATGCAAGGATGTAGGGCTGGTTCAGCGGCAGTTCCGTGTTGCAGCAGACTTTGCAGCAAGTCCGGCACCGGGTGCCGCATGGATACACATGGCGGGCGGCGCTGGTGTCGACTGCGGCTGCTGGGCACCCTGGATCATGAGGTCGCGTTCGAGTGGTAGCGCATTGACGCTGCTCAAGTCCGTGGCGCTCAACATGGACGATAATGGGAGCACCCTGGATCATGAGGTCGCGTTCGGGTGCCAGCTCATTGACGCAGCTCAAGCCCGTGGCGCTCAACATGGACGATGATGACGAAGCAGGCTTCAGGCACGCTCTGCTTCTGGTGTGTTGCAGATGGGGAACGACCCGCCTCTGTCTACCAGTGCGCTTGCTTTTTGGTGTACACGGCATTCGTTAGCAACATGGAAGGAAACGAAGCGGGCTTCAGCAAGCTAAACACATATTCCCCAGCTTTTGATTCTGTATCCTGATTCGAGGTAAACGACGGGAGCGTTTGTCGCTTCCCCAGAAGCATGCCTTCGTTGAGACTCGTGACGGGCTTGTTGAACCTTTCGAGTCTACAACTCAATAATGAATCGAAAACGATGCTGCCGAATTCTTTGTTGTTTGCATCATGGATCAGTGTGCATGCTTTGCGACACTACCATTTATCGAAACATTTCCCTGCAGCATTGATACTCGTTTCCCGGGATACTGTCGATCCACGCGGTCGCTGCTCGACAGCATCGCGCGCTTCGTCTCTAGAACAAGGGTTACGTTTTCGCTAGCTACTGGTCAACAGTCGGGTGTCTGGGACCAGCTACAGGTCGTGCTTAGTGACCAATCTGGTAAAATTGGTGGCACCAGTTCTTGAACCGGGAACGGAACCAGCTGCAGACCCTTGTGCTGGGCGTGGCTCCGGACACATACGCACCTTTCAGAGGCAGGCGGGTGAGTCTCTTCCCAACAGTCGCTTCTCCTCGCTTTGTGTGGTTTAAAAACAAATAGTACGGTTCATGCCGCGGAATTGAAGCTTGCCAAAGCAAGGGGACGGTTCCGTATTCACTCGGTGTCTGGCAACTGTACCGCTTCCGTGGCGAGGACGTTCTTTCGTAACTGCTGCTACTAGAAAAGCAGATGCTCGATGCGGACTTTGGGTTATGGTTGCTCCTGCTCGCCTTTTTCCATATTTCCGAGGGTTTGTTTGCCTATGTTAAGCACGGAAAGCGCCCATCAGGGCGCTCTTTCCTGTTTTCCGCTCCGTACATGCTAGCGTTGGCATTGGCGACTGCGGAGCACCTGCTCATGGGGCATTGCCTATGGGCGCGGTCCCAGAGCACTGGCGGTTCCTCCCTGGCATCTCTTCTCGTCATCAAGGACCACAATCGCTCTGTAGGACTTGCTCTCTGCATTCTCGGTGAAACGATACGAAAAACGAGCATTTTGACTCTGGGTGACGCCTTTACGCATGAGATCGCGGTGAAGCAGCGAGCGAGTCATCGGCTCCAGACGCGTGGCCTATACGCCGTTTGTAGACACCCAGCGTACACTGGTTGGCTGCTCTGGCTTGTGGGCACCCAGATCCTCCTGCGGAACGTGGTATGCGGCATTGCGTTACCATGTATAGCCTGGAATTTCTTCCGCCAGCGCATTTCTTTTGAAGAGGATCATCTGGAGCGATTTTTTGGGGATGCTTATCGGGAATATCGTGCGAAAACCTTCTCAGGCATCCCGGGAATCCCATGAGCACATTCGCATCTACGAGATGCAATGCCTCTCTCTAGATGGTGCTCCGACTGTTCTAGCACACGATGCTGTGCGTTCGGGGGCATCTACGCGTTGCTGCGAGCCGAGCAAGTGTTACTCTGCACGATAAATGAAATCACACCACTCACGGCATTGCGTAGAGGTTCATCTTCTTGGTAGCACGGCTGCTTCTGTTCTGGAGTGCACATTCTATTCGCGACTTTTTTCCGCTGATTTCCCACAGCGCTGCCCAGCCAAATGCGTCGGCGTTTGGAGCTTCTCCGGAAGCAACGCTTCAGCAGCATTCGAATCGCTACATGTGAAGTGGGCCAGCCAGCAAGCGACCTTTGAGCAGCATCCTATGCAATATCACCGGTGTGTTTGTCTGCGCGTCTACGCGCCCAATGAAGGATTTCACTCGCTTCACCATTCCTATGCTGCGACAACGAATATCGACACTGCCATATGCACCAGACGCTGAACGAAATTGGTGCATCACGATATCTCATCTAGAGCCCGCGTCCATAGCGCAGCCCGGAGTGAGCGGCCAGGCTTCTGTTGTACGGCTCGAGCGGATACAACGCATTCCCCAAGACACTCGAAAAGTCCGCGTTCCTCTTCGGATTCTTCCTAGAGAACGCACGAGACGACCTTTGGGATACGTCATACACCAGCAGGTATTGACGTGAATGCAGCGAGCGCTTTAGAGATCATCACGTGGTCGCTGGGGTCGCCTTTGCGTCGGAGCAGCCTGGTCAGCCGTCGGAGTTCCAGACTTGCGCTTGCGTGAAGCGTGACCTGTTGCGTTGCCAGGCTGCACAAGCGCAACACGAAGCAGAGCACCAGCACCGGATGAAGATACGTGCAGACGGGGAGTGCGGGGGCCCCGAACACCCGTGCCCACATATTGGGCCGTACGGAGCGCTACGAGATAACCCCACAGCGTTGCCGCAAGCAATGGGGGTGCAATCTTTCAGTGGGCGCGCCCCCCAGTTCTCGACGCACCAGGAGCCTTCAAGTTCCACGTTAGAGTGCTTTCGTGGAACATTACAAAACCACTTGAACACGGATGCACAGCAAAACCCAATAAAACCAACTATTCATCCAAGTCCAGAAGCACAGACCTTGCACGATCTCGGAGTTTCCTGGCGTTTCCCGGCCCTGTCATCCCTGAGCTGTCACCTTTCAAGCAACGTTCTCAAGTTGTCAGCGAAGGGCTGCCTCAAGAGCACTTTGCTATCACTTCGCTTCCACCAACTCTACACAAATACCTCTAACTGCTTCCGTCGAGCCAAGCGAGTGTGCTGCGTGCTCACCGTTGGAAGGCACAACGGCCAGTCGGCGGTGTTACCCTGCAGCAACCGGCACACACAAAAACCCTTACCCGAGGGGGTTTTCGGGCCAGCCTCAGGTCAGTCACCGCTCAGCGAAACCCAGAGACACCAGTGAGCTCCTGGTGTCGAAAGCTGTCGTTCTGGGATACCATTTCCGCACCGTTCCACCCTGAGGCTGCCTCGTGTTCAGGCGTAGCTTGTGCGTAGACGCGGGCGGATGCCAGCCCGACGTTGCGACTCGGTTGCCTTGTCGCCGCAACCGTTCTGGAGCGTACGTGCTGCCCGTGTTGACACGTCGCCTGGTGGCAAGCCGCTGTGGATGGGCGCTTTTTGTGACCACTATCTGGTACTGGTTATCCACGGGGTTGGTGACCAATATGCGGATAACAACTTTATCACCAGTCTTGAGCGCTGCACAGAGGCACTGGCTCGCCTCATCGAGCGGCAGTCCAAACGCATTCGCGAACAGCTGCGGAGCACTAGTCAAGCACGTGGTTGCTTCGCGGATGCGTTACTGGAAAATTGGCCAAGCGTCGACGTGCGCTGTATAGAGTGGCACTCGAAACTCCAGTACAAGCACGGTTGGAACCACATGGTCGAGCGCGTCACCCCAGCGGGTATTGAGGAAGTTCGTCGGATCATGCGTGAGACTTTCGGCGATATTGCGCTCTTCATGTCACCCAAATGGCACCAGGTGATCATGGAAGAAGTTGTTCGTGAGCTAACGCTAGCATACGAGCGGAAACGGGAGCAAGTTCGGCAGGCAGTGTCGCTGGACGGAGCTGTTCCGAGCGTTCGCGTTGCACTGCTGTGTCATTCGCTTGGGGCCCTGATCGGCTTCGACTTGATTCGGCTCGGCTATGCGCTCCCGTTTCAGGTAGAGCATGTGTTTTTGTGTGGGTCCCCACTCGGAGCGTATTTGTCCTTGTTGCCAAACGGAGAGCAACTCGCCCGCAAGTACCTGCTCGATCTCTGGATAGAGCGGCAACGAGACGAGGACGTCGTTGGAAAAGCCACTCCGGCCGAGCGCTTCGCATCGAATACGCAGATGCGATTACGCTCAGGCAGGGCAGATCGAACCGGTATCCGGCATACACGGGAACATGTCGATGGGTATGCCGCTTCTTCTCGGAATGCTGCCGCTGCCGGTGCGACGCTTCAACCACGGTTCTATAATCTGTTTCATCCGTTGGATCCGGCGGCGTTTCGCCTCGAGCCGTGGCTTGATCCATCCATGGCGCTGCAGGAGAGCGTGGAACTACCGCTCCCGTTGGAGTTGGAGCGATTGCTCAGCAGTCGGGCTCCTGCACAGGTGCCGGCAGCACCGCGAATGCAAACCGCCGCCACCGCCTTTACCACAACCAGCGCCATGACTGCGCCTACTGCTACCAACGCTGCAACGTTGCCGAAAGGCATCGACGCTTGCCCTGAGCAACAGCCGCCTCGGTATGCACCGTGCGCTGCCAGCGCACTATCCGTTGAGGGTCCCGCTGCGTCTGCTGGCGACGATATGAGTGCGTCCTCCATTCCTGATGATGTCGATGCGCAGAGCACGGGCTCCTTCTCTTCCGCGGAGGTGTTGACGAGAGCGTCCTCGACACGGCGATCGCTATCTTCGCCGCGGCTCTCTCAACTCGGAGGCGAAGGCACTTATCGAGATGATCCGTTCGCCACCACTGGACTCGGTGCCGCCCTACGAGGCAGAACCGCTGTTGGTCTCAGTCGATCGAGCTCGAATCCCGAGTTTACCGTTCCGCTCACCGCTGCGGAGACGGATCTGCCGGCGAAGGACTCCGTACCTGCCGAAAGTCTGGATCCGGATAGGATGGGTTGTACTTGCGGGGAAGCTCACTCGCTCGACAGAAAACGGTTGCAATGTGCGATTCGAACTTGCACTCGTCGGGGCGCCAAGACAGGGCGTTCAGAGCAAGCGAAACAGGTAGAGTTACCAGGCACGCAATTCCCGGATTCCGTTCAGGACTGGTGTCGTCCGTACCGCGAACCAGAATTCTCCCTAGACGATACCCGGGTGTACAAGCGGCCGCACGGGAATCCCGAGGTGGGGTGTTATTTTCGGCGTGTCGATTACGTCGTCCACGATCCGCAGGTCGCCCGCTCGGGACGCGTCTGGCAGTTTGTGCAGTGCCTTCGCTCCCATGCGTGTTATTGGACAAGTGATGAGGTTGCCTCGTTCGTGGTGGGCATCCTCTATGACTGTCTTCGACAGCCGCGGGCACGACTCAATGAAATGGGCGCCTTGATGGGTACCGACCTCGGCTCCATGGCGTCCGCACAACGCTTCGGCAACGGACATGCTCGTTTCTGCACAGATGCCGTGCCTGATGCAGTCGCCAGTCTCGCAGATGGTCGTGACGCTAACGCACCTGCAGCGAATCGAGAAACGGATACCAGTGCACCAAGCGGGAACGGCATGCTCGCCCGAAGGCGTGCATCGCCGGCTCGGCGAAGTGCTTCGGCAGCTTCACTGGATCCTGCACAACGGAAACCTGAGTGCTGCCAACAGTGCATCCCTGGCGCCAGTACCGTTGCATTCACGTCGGTCGGTCGCCCCGGCGAGTTATTGACTGTGAGCACCAAAAACTCAGTTCGCAGCAGGAACGGTGCAGGGCATCGCGCGAGCGTTTCCCCAACAAATAGCGCATACGCTAAGCATGGGTCACCGGACCCCGACGAGAATCATGATCATCATACGGGTCAATTTCGGCTTCTACACGAGGTCTCATCCTTGTCACCGGCACCAACTGTGGGATTTCTCGTGGGTGACTCGGCGCCGCGCCCTTTGCGTATGATTAGTGACCTGCTGGAAAAACTTGTCACAGAGGGCCGTTGGGTCGCAGCGCTCATGCTTGTTTCTGGGGCATTTATTATGAGCTGTGGCCTTGTGGCCTTGATTCTGGCGCTTCTATTACGTAGCCTCTATGTGACACTTTTTCTGAAGCAAAAACATCCACTGGGCTTCTTGTCATGAGCGAGTCCGCTGATTACCGGGTTTCAAGTCCCTAAAACACTACTGACGCGTCGATCGCTTGCCAGATATACGCACCTGGAACGAACGAACGCAAGTGATCAGCCGCAATCATCCAGCGCATTCTGGATGAAACTTCGCGCCTGCACCTCGACAGCGACAACATGTTACACCGCGGGATATGTACACCGAAAGGCGCGCTCCGGTTCGCGGAAGCATTCTATCCGATTGCTCTTCGAGAGCGAGCCGGGTCCACAGATGGATACGTGGCCGTCCAGGTCCAGTCTGCGGCAGCATCGATTGCGGTTCCGTCGGTATCCAGTTTGTCTCGCGTTCCTGCCGTCATTCGATCCGCGATCTTGCAGCGGCTGGGTGCGTCTTCAAGCGATGGCGCTGGGGCCCGCCACGCCTGCTCGATCGCGTCACACACGCCTTCAGCCGTCGACTCGCACCGTACACCGCCATGATGCAGGAAATGTGCATTGATCATCTTTAGGGATGCCGCCGCCCGCATCCACTCCACAATGGGTTCCCAGTAGCCGTCAACGTCAAATAGCACGATGGGTTTATTGTGGAATCCGAGCTGACGCCATGACAAGACCTCGGCGAGCTCCTCGAGGGTCCCGAGGCCCCCGGGCAGCGCCACGAACGCGTCTGAATCGAGGTAGAGGCCACGTTTGCGCTCCGCCATGTTTGTGACGGTGCGCACGGATGGCAGTTCCGGGTGACAGTTATGGACACGAAAGATATCGAGTATGACGGCATCGACGCGACCACCAACGGACAGCGCACCTTCGGTGAGTTTCCCCATGAGGCCAAAGCGGCCGCCACCGTTGCGCTGCGACCAACCGCGCTTCGCAATCGCGACACCTAGCTCGAATGCTGCCTGTTGGTAGTGTTCAGGGGCATTCGCAGACGACGACGCGTAACACGTTACAACGGGAGTGTCTCTGGGGGCGTCGGGGTTGCCCGCCATGACGAAAAAAAAAGATCGCCAAGCGCGAGCCTCTTTTGTTCCCGTAAAGCGAGCACTATCGACGCCGATACCTGTCGCTTGGGCCCAGAACGGCTTTTCGAAAAGCCAGTGTATACATGCGGCCTTTCGGACCGTCCAAACACAGAAGCTTTCGCACTTGGAAGCGCGTTCAGGGGTACAGGCGTACGGGAGCGTGCGCGCGCGCATCTTCGCCGGATACGCGCCTTTAACGATCCGTCATGAAAAACGGGCCAAAAGTGGTTGGTATAGTATAAAAAGAATATTTAGGGATGAAGTGGCCATAGAGCATGGATGACGGGTGTGTCGTTTGCGTGTGGCGCACGCGCGCATCGATCACGGAATGATCGCCATACCACCTCAATGCATAACTCGATCCATATGCACGACTTGCTTTTCGCTGACTTGCAGACTCGGTGTGTCTCACCGGCACTCTCGAACAGAATAACACTTGCTTGAGGGTCACGCTTCTTCTCGTGTGGAGTTCGAGCTCCGTCATACGCGCCCTGGTCGAAGCAGTGTGATTGACCGGAACTCGTGCAGCTCGTCAGCAATACCTGCACCCTGGGAGCATGTTTCAAGTCGTGCCAGCGATTCAGCGCCGAGTGCCTGGCCACCAAAGCGGCTACTCCTGGGCAACACGGCTCGAGGCGAGGCGCCGCCGCCAGCTTCGTGCTGGCCGTTTCACCATGCTGTGGCCGTTCGGTGCGCTGGAGAAGCGCCGGCGCGCGTTTGCCGAGCTCTTCACCAACCCGAACTTCCCGCCAAGCTGGCCGTACACTGCGTCCGATTTTGAGCGTCTCGATGAATCGCCGGATGAGTTGTTTTACACACAGCCGCGATTCGTGACCCATATTGATGACGACGCAATCGCTGCGCTCAAGTCGTTCTACGGGGAAACACTGCGTGATGGAACCGATCTGCTCGACTTGTGTTCGTCATGGATTTCGCACTTACCGGAGCAGTATCGACCACGCCAGGTCGTTGGGCTCGGGTTAAACGATCTTGAATTGAAAAAGAACACTCGCTTGGACCGGTGGGTGGTTCAGAACCTGAACGAGAACCCGGTATTTCCGTTTGCGGATGATTCGTTTGATTACGTCACATGCGTGGTATCCGTCGACTACCTGACCAAGCCGTTACAAGTATTTCGCGAAATACGACGGGTACTTCGTCCCGGAGGAATGGCCATCATTGCCCAGTCAAATCGATGTTTTATGCAGAAAGTGATTGCGATCTGGCTTTCCACGAATGACCTGGAGCACGCTTATATCATAGGATCCTATTTTCATTACGCCGGTGGTTTTGAGAACTTGCTAGCACGCGACATTTCACGGGGACGTGGCGACCCCATGTTCGTGGTCACCGCTACGAAGCAGAGGACATAGTTGCTGCTGGCGCTGCCGCTGACGAAGATGATGACGAAGGATGGCGCTTCGCGTCTCGGAACATGGACGCAAAGAAGGCCTTGTCGCGGCGATCCTGTTCGCGAAGAATGCGCTTCAGCTCCTGGAATTTGCGTTGCGCTGGTTCATTCCGAGGTTCGAGTTCCAGGATTCGCCGCAAGTCGCTCGCTGCTTCGTCGTAGTCGGCGCGAGCGATGTACGCGCACGCTCGTCGATACAGCGCCTTGGTTTGGGCGCTTTCGCGCTCGAGCACCTTGTTGCAATGCTCTATGACCTTGTCAGGGCGCCGGCGTTTCTCGTACACAGCGGCAAGGTTGAGCCTTGCTGCCCGCATGAGTTCCGCAGCCTCTGCTTTGAGGTCAGCCGGCAGGTCTGCATCATAACTGAATGCATTCACAATAAAATCATAATGGGGCTCAGCTCGATCGTAGCGTTGCTCTTTGTACAGTTTGTTACCGATTTCCTTGTGGCGTCTGGCGGCCTCAATTTTCTCCTGCGGCGACATTTCATAGCTTTGCTTGCCGTTCGTGAAACCGCAAAGCTTCACGTGATAGCTCTTCGGCAACTCACTCTCTGGCGTTGCTGGATCAGCGTACTGCTTGCTATGGATAGTGACAACCGCCTCCGCGCCTTTCTTCATTTTTGCGAGTGCCATCTCGAGGCCCGTGCAAGCCATACTGCCGTCGCCGAGCGTGACCTCTTCCTCGATGCCGCCACCACTACCATCAATGACGATTCGGCACCGCGAATCGATCTCGTTGGGACGCTCCCAGCCTTCACCTTCCTCCAGCACCTTCACCGTTACCTGACCGTCTGCAAGACTCGTGGTGCGATGCCATTTTGCGAGCCGCAGCTCTATCACCGCCGAATCGCTCGCGCCAAGTCCCAACGTTGTAAACTCCTGTGCATATTGTGGCGCACAGGTCAGCTCGACGACCTCGCCTTTCTTCATATCCCGGATTGCTCGCTCTACACAGCGCGGCACAGGCATGCCCTGGTAACTGGGGCGCATCTCCGTATCCCGTCGAACAGCAAAGATGAGTTCATGCTCAGCACTGTCCTGCACCGGTTCTCCGTTTCTCCGAACGAGTCTATAGAAGGTAACTGCCTCGTCTCCATCGCGCACGTGCTCCCATCCGCTACCCTCGCGGATCACTTTGCGAACGCAGCCACGATCGCCGAACAAGTCACGCACACTGTGCCAGGACAGAAGCTCGATCTCGAACTCGAGGGTAGCGTTCGGAGGGATTTTCGGCGGTGCGCCCGCCTCACCGTACGCATAAGAGGGTGCAATTTCGAAGACCGCAACTTCGCCCTTTGCCATCGATTTCACTGCGATATCCCATCCTTTGATGACGCTACCGCTGTCGAGCGTGAACTCGAACGGCTCACCGCGCTCGCGTGAAGAGTCAAACTGGGTCCCGTCGGACTTGAGGCGACCTACGTAGTGCACGCAAACCTCGTCTCCAGACTCTGGGTGCTCCCACGACGTCTGGGAGCGCTTGATGACTCGTTTCAAAACGCCACCGTCGCCAGTAAGGTCCTTCTCCTTATCGTCCTTGAGCGGCTCCGCGTCATCCATGTCGTCGTCTATGCCGCCGCCAACGTTTTCGGGTGCGAGTTCGTCGAGACTCTCCCCGTCGCCTTTGAACTCGGACTCGTCAGCCGCTATCGGTGTTGGTTCAGGAAGGCCTGTCTCTGGCTCGGTGACTTTTTCCGTATCTTTTGTGGGCTCGCTCTGTGCTTGGTTCATGGCTTTGTTTGCAGTGTCCTGTCGCGTAGTTTTCCGAGACTTGCGAGAGCGCAGCGTTACCATACACTAGCGCAGACCCAATCCTGTTTCGTGTGAAGCCCAAATCTCGCACAGTGCTTGAGTGTATGCCACACGCTCCTTAGTGCCTTGTGCGAAAACGAGCTGCAAACAACCCGTATTAGATTGGCCTGGAACAACTGGCGGAGGCGATCCGCATCGCACCCGGGTCAAGACGAACTTTCCAGAAGACACGCTAGGCGTGTTGTCGCCCTGAGGCGAAGGATCATTCACCTAGACTGTATAAATATGTATTTTTTAGTATATTATAGGTAAAAGAGGACGGACGACCAATGGTCCGTGTTACCTAGCATGTCGATCGCTCTGAGGTATTGCCCCGCAACCGGTCTCCATCGTTGGATACGAGACAGGATTCACGCTGATCAAGCACGAGAGCGTAGTACAACTTCTCGGGTGCAGCATCCAAACGATAAAACTCTCGAATAGCTGAGACACAGCCGCTGCTGGGCCGCCGCACGGTGACAAATTTCGAACGCATGGCGTGGGCGTCCACGATCGTAGTCGTCTTTTAACTTTATTCTATTCCACGTTCAAGTGAGTGTAAACAGATGCTTTTCGCAGTTTATAGCGGATACATACAAAGTGCGTTCAAGTTCATAAACATATCCTCATCTTGCGGACCATCGGGCGAAGAATAGCAATTGACGAAGAAGAAGACGGGAGATACACGAGAAAAGGTATTCGCCTAACGGGACATGGCTGAGATTGTAGTGGCACAATGGGCACGAGTTCTGGCAATCCTTGCAATGATCAGTTGCGCCAAAGGCGAAAAACGCATGGAGTTCGTGAAGTGAGACTTCAACGCCGCCATCAATAGCAGACGATGTGCGATACTGAAGACGAGACCAGAGGAGCTGACGCAATCATACCTCATGGGGCAGTCTCTCAAGCTCGAAGTCTAAAAGGAGAATCTGGAACCTATAGCGAGGGGCCGGTCAAACAAGGCTGGCAGACGTGTGCGCGTGGGTATTCATTAACAGCACATAGAAGTGGGTCATTTTTTGTTTCTCTGAACACATTGTATCTCTGTACCGCAGTAATCGGCGCTTAAAAGCTCCGGTTCCTGCTGAGTGCATTCGCTTGCTGGCCGGCCGGCCAGCTCTGTGGTCCCATTATGAGCTACCCGACAAACCCCTTGTCTCTTTGCATGTTTTCTATGTCCTTTCTAGCGGGAGCACGTTGTCTTGCCTACTTGTTGCAAGGACGCCTGCTCGCTCATACGGAGACTCTGGACGGAGGTGGGTCTGCATCTTCGGCCTCCGATCTCCTGTTTTTCATACGTCGTGGCATCATGGTCGACATTTTTAATGGCATCTCGTATTGCCGGACTTTTCCTTGGATCATGGGTTTCATTCAAGGCGCTGATCCCGTCGCTATCTGAGTCCATGTAGCCTGTATTCGCACAGGCACAGGTACAGGCGCAGCTCAGCATAGCGCACACGCCAGCATCTTCGTGGCAGACAGAGAGACACCACCACCATTCATGGATTGTCTAACATCACTCGCGTTCGACAGCATCCAAGGCAAGCCACGCCATGCGGCCGTGTCGTCGGCGTCGGTTTTCGTCGAGCGTGTATGCTATAACCGGAGTCGACATGTATCGAAATGTTCATTCATTCGGTTATCAATCCCACTTAACACCTGACCTTGCACAACACCAAGAATCAAGTTCTCATGTAGAGTCAAGGGGCCAGGTTCATGCTGTATCATCGCAGCACGCGGCTCTCGCCAGTATTCAGAAGATTTCCATAACAGCGCCTGTAGAGGTCCACTTGACGCTCATAAAGTGCCGCAACAGCTGGATGTCGCAGGGCTTCGCGAAACTCGGCAGAACACAATTGTTCCAAGAAAAAAAGCGCAATCGGCTGGGACACGTGCTGCCGGTACGCCGGGTCCTGCCGCCAGCGCTGCAGAGTTGTGAGTCGTCTCTGCGCCACGACGTCGTCGAATCGACGCATCTGGCACAAATATGCCACATAAGACGGCGACGCAAGCGACTCTACCCAAGCAAGCTCCTCCAGAAAAGATGCCGCTGGCGGTATGCTCTCCAAAAACGACTCGTGCAAACCGCCCGAAGGCATCTCCTGTTGCTCCGTGTGTGCAACACCGGCAGCGGTGCTGGCGCTAGCGTCGGCACTGCCAACCAGCGAGGTGCTCTCCGAGCCCTCCCCCGCCTCGGGAGCAAGCTCCGCTGTCTTAGCTGCAAGTTTCCGTTTGCGTCCCGGCATTGGTGCAGCGTATCGAGCGGTTTCCTCAAGCGCCCAACCGCCAAAGCTGGCAGGTACCGATACGAAACACGGAGTGTGTCCGCTATCGTCGGCTAAGCGTTGCGCTTCGCCACCAGTGATCGTCAGATCCCGTGCCAAACCCGCCCAACAAACGCTGCAGTCCAGGAAACAAAGACACAGACGCTGCAACTATTTCCCCTGATCAACAGATCGTTCACATGAACTACCCGGAGTCACGAAAGCCGGGACAGCGATCCGCTGCGCACGCTCGAGCACGCCACCCGCGCACACATCGCAGGAGCGCGCGGACACGTGTCTGCGCTGCCTCGCAAACTGCGGCAGCCGCAACGGCCGTCAGCGCGATCTCCCGCGTCGATTCGCGAGCATTTGCCTTGCATCAGCGGCTGTGCTGCTGCTGCTGCTGCGCGCCGTCGCCGTGCACCGCCACGAGCAGCCAGCGCACGTCGCGTGCTGCGGCAGACGACGCACCTCGCGGGGCCAGCGCGCTCCATTCAGCAGCGAACACTGCGATTGGGGTCGCCTGAGCGCCTCCTGGAAGTGTGTGCTTCAGTGTTCCCTGGACTGGTGTCGTGCACCTGTGATCACTTGGGTTCTCGGTGAGCTACTCGTTCGTAAATGGTTTTCGTTACATCTGCAGGTATAGCAGCCGCAAGGTCTGGGTGCTCTTGGTTCGGTGCCGCTCGTTCACCGGCTGCGTTGAGACGTACTGTGTGCAGTCGACGACCTCAGCAGCTGTTGGCGTCAGCGTACCCGGGCTCACGACCACCGCACGCCCACGAGGCTGTCCATCACGACGGTGCGCATCGGCCTGGCGAGCGAAAAGGTTTCGTACAGGAGATGCGGGTTGTCGCCATGCGCCTACACACGAAAGATCAGGCGCGAGAGGGGAAGCAGGAGGAGTCAGCACTGCCTATCACGGAATGGCGTCCGACGCGCGCCGACTTTTTGCAGTTTTTGGTGGACTCCAAGGCAGTCTATGATTTTATGGAGGGTTATGTGGCCGGTGAGGCCTCAAAGGGAAACCCACTCTTCAAACCTTTCGTGAACACGGGCCTGGAACGCGGTCAGGCGCTGGCCTCTGACATTGCCTGGTTCCGCGACGAACTCGGCTATCAAGTACCCGAGCCGACCGAGGCAGCGCAGCGTTACATAGACTATTTGCGAGGTCTCTTCGAACGCAGTCCAGAGGCCGTGCTCTGCCACTGGTACAATTATTACTTCGCACACACCGCTGGTGGTCGAATGATTGGACGGAACATGGAGAATATGCTGTTTGGCGACGGGCCCAATGCAAAGCGCTTCGAGTTCTACAAATGGGAGCGAGACGTCAAACAGATCTTGGATGAGGTACGTGAGCGAATTGATGAAGTAGCCAAGGATTGGCCCCGGGAAGTCAAGGATGCATGCTTGAACGAGACCGGCCTCGCTTTCGCGTACAGTGGAACCATTCTAAATAATCTCGCGAAACGCGCCGAGGAGCCGGCACCAGCATCGTGAAAGTTTATCGAACCTGTTTGTGCGTAAAACGTAGTTTTTGTATGTATGGTCGCTGTTTGGCATCCGGGTCCCTCACAAAGTCTCGGAGCGGTCGCGTATGATGCACCGCCAGCGCCGTGAACCCGCTCGTTGCCCGGCTGCGGACAGCGCGTCGGCACTGCTTGCCGCATGCACGCCAGCAAGACGAGCTCGACGGGCGCCTGCGAGACAACTCCGTAAAAGCGCGCTCTGCACTATGAGAGACAAGCGCACGACGTCCATGACACCAAATATGATCTGGTACGCGGGGATCGAGTTTCGTCGCTGACCACGAACGAAGCATTCCCGGTGCGATCTGTAAATGGAACAGCTAGGAGATGCCCGCAGACGCTCCGTTGACGAAGACGCGTATATTAAAGAAGACCATGCGATCCTGCTGGTCATCGTGATCGTGCGTTCTGTGCTTCTGGTAGTGACGAGCACAGCAGGCGCAACGCCTCCGCTCAGCTAGTTTTCCATCGTTCCAGTGCGGCAGCATCGTATATGGCATCTTCGCTACTGGCGCTGCACACACGCCTGCGATCTGCTCTACTGAAGAGTCCGCGAGACGAACGAAGCAATCGCGGGATATGCGATGCCTGTCAGCATTCAGTTAATCGACGACCGCTGCACATCAGACTTCGTACGTGCCGAGAACCCGGGGCAAGACTTGCCTTCGTGGATCACGATGCAGCGCGGGAGCGCTCCTGAGGCACGGCACGCGGGACATCCGCGAACGCATCCATGGTGTTGTAGGGGGCAGCCAACCGCCATGCGGTATCGAGGATACCGCTGCGCCGATGGACAAGTCCAAGCGAACGTTTACACAGAACCGTTGAATGCCGGGGTCTCCTGCGAGCCTGCCTTGGCCATGCGCCAGACGTCGTCGCCTCGAGCGAGCAACTCTATCAGGTGCAGGCCGCTGGGCGTCTCCACGATGCCACTCAGTTGGCCGGGTTCCAGGTTGCGAACGGCTCGTTCGAATTCTGCATGCATCTCACCGGGCCCAAAAGGACGTATCCGACCGCCGTATCGGCTGCTTTTGCAATCGCTATGCTGCAAGGCCAGCTGTTCAAACGAGACGAGTCCGCTTTGTATCGTTTTCTGGAACTTGGACAGAAGGGCCCGCGCTTCCGCTTTACTACGCACAATGGGGTGGCCCTTCAGGTCGCTAGGGTTTCGTGATCCGGTATGCTTCAACAATATGTGACGAACATAAAAGACATCGTCCGGTGCCCGAGTCGCGTTCGACTGGGTCGCATCTGTGTCGCCACCGGTGATGCCGCTCGCGGGTGATGCCTGCTGCTCCGGACAGCGGCGACCGAGCAGCTGAATCAGATGGAAGCCAGACGAGGTCTCCACAACGTCGCTGATATCGCCGGTATGTTTCAGCTCCAGAAACGCCACTCGGGCAAATGGCTCCTGCATGGTTGTGTAGTCAAACCAGCCCAGGTCGCCACCTCGTTTGTAAGAATTACAGTCTGATTCGATTCGAGCGACCTCCTCAAAGCTTGCTTCCCCGCTGAGAATGTGTTGCCTCAGAGACTCAATCACAGCGCGTGCCTCATCTCGGCTAATGCTCACTGGTTGTCCGGTGCGCTTGGATACCGGGTTCCGCACGTCGCGATGTTTGATAAGGATATGGCGAGCGCGCACCTGTCCAGGAACTGGAGCCGCCGCAGTGCTCTCCGCAGGCGATTGACGCTCTGGAGCGCCACCAAGCCGAAGCCTCACGTATTGGGAGCTAGACCCGAACTCTATACGCGAGCCTTCAGCGATTACAAGTGGCTTAAGCGGCTCAACTTGTTGTCCACGTACTCGCGTGGCCCCAGCGCCCAAGTCGATCAGATAAAACTTTCGATGTTCGCGGTGAAATGCGACGGCAGCGTGGAGCGCTCCAACGTCAGACGCGTCCGCGAGAACAATGTCAACTGCAGTGGCCTTTCCTTGGCCGTTTCCAACAAGCAGGTAGCCCCGATTCGCCGGAAAAGGAACTTTGCGGACCCGCTCGTTGCTCTTTTGAGTGTAAACGTCTAGACGTGCGCCAGACGGTGCAGCCCCTAGCCAACGTGGTTCTTTAAAGGTAGGTTGGGCTTTTACACCAGAAGCTTTGCGAGCAGCTTCCATAGTCTTTCCGTGCGACTTACCTCCCTGAGCGAGCGCGGTTTCGCCAGCGCTTTGTTTCCCTCTGTAGTAGACACGACCCACCGGTTTGATAAAGTATACCGCTTCTTTGCTCCCAAAGGTTTCCACGAACAACTAGAACGCTGTAGTCTCTACAAATGCGCCCTTGAATATGGAACCTTTCATTGCTACTGAAGTCAGACAGCCGAGCTTTTGGTGCCACAGCTCGAGACGGCTGCGTGCACCCCTCTGTAACGCAGGCGTCGTGCCGCCGAACGCTACCCCAGCGAAGTGCGAGCTCGTGCGCACGGCTTTAGCGCCTTTTGCGGCAAACTAGGTGCGCTGGTCTCGACGCTCACCTTGGGCTACGTCGACATTCGAACGATATTCATCCTTACTGCCGCTGCTGCCGTCATCGGTTTCCTGGCGACGTTCATCTTCCTTCCGGATGCAACCGGGTTGGATCTGCGCGAACATGACTGGGAATGGGACCTGACTCTTCGTAACCACGCTGAGCTGTACGGCGGCGAGGCCGCCAATCTACGACATCTGTCGCTCTGCGAACGCTGGCAAGGCAGAGGCAAACGCTACACGCCGCACTGGCGAGCCCAGTTGCGCAAAGAGGAACGTTCAAGTGATGCAGCGGCAACCAAGCTAGCAACACCGCCGATCGCGGCGAGCACCCTCATACCGTCTACTGCTCCTGACAATCGCTGAGCATCGAGCGAACGATCCGGTACGATGATACGGAGTATGGATGCCGTGCGCGTTGTAAAGGATCAAGTGATATCTATTGACGCTGAGCGAAAGCGTGAGCGACGTACAACTTGACACTTGGGCGCAGCAGCGCGACGACACGAGCCATGTTCCCGTTTCGAAACGCGAGCACAGCACGAAGGTATCAGCAGTACCAGCGGGTGACTGCGGTAGAACGAGCACTCGCGCTGCCTGGCAGCGTCTCGCGCATCGCATGGAACTGGAACTCGTGCGTTGCGTTTACGACGAAAGCGCTACACCTGGATCCACCTAAAATGGAATAGGTCTCATAATTTGGACGCGCTCTCTAAAGCTCGAGACTGTTTCCACTGCCGCCAACACTAGTGTGTGCGGGGATTTTCTGCAACAGCGCCCGTTTGCTCTCTCTTATTTCAGATTTTAGATACGCCCGTCTCTCCTTTCTTTGCGGCTCCGATGTCAGCAGTGAAAGCACGATGGCGGTAGCGTCAGCATCCCGATTCGGACGCTTCTGGTTGTTTGCGACGCATTGCGTTCACGGACGGGAGATGCAATCTACGGTTCGCTTGCCATTTCGAGCCTCTTGGTATGCAACTTCTGTGCAAACTCTCTAGCTGTGGCACTTGGTTGTGGTCAGGCCCTCCCGAATGCATGTGTCAGACCTGCCCGTGCTCCGAGCGCTGCTGTGTCGCGCGTCCAGGCTCGCTGCGTCGCTCTGTTCATACCCCTTCGGATCCAGAAGGCTCCATTGGATGCTGTTCTCGTTTTCAACGCTCAGTGCTGCATCCAACGATCTGGGGCTTCTTCTGAGTGATGTCCTCCGGGAGTATTCTGTCTGGTGCACGGGCGGTTGCAGGCTATTCCCGCTGACCGAGGATGTATGGAACGTGATGAATTCCATCATAAATCGAATACCAAAAACAAAATCCAGGCTGGAGATCATAAGCACAAGTGTCTGCCCGTCACCGTTCCCATTGTGCAAAGCGATGAAGACGCTCTCCGCTGGACCCAGTGGATGCGATGACTCAATTCCGAAGACAAGAGCCTTTTCGATGCAAACAGAAGATACGGAAGCGTTTGGGAGCGTGTCACCCGAAATGCAGCATGCCGGTGCTGTCGAATGCAGTTGTGTCACTGGTCACAGCCACAGGAGGGTTTGTCTTTCGAACGCAATCGAATATTTGGGTGAGAAACTCAGGGACTTTTCGGCTTGAGCTGGCGAAGAACGCATCCTGGAATGACGCCCCGTTTTTTGATTCCCCTTCAATCCCACATCGCCTATAACGTTCCTTAGCGAGAGATCCATAAAATTAAAGCACGCGCGATTTGAACATCCTGCACATAAGGAACGGAGAAGACCGGAGGCTTATCCATATGGACTGACGATTGATATCCTTTGTTTCACGAAAACTAGTTCGAAGGAGGCGTGAAACGTCCTCATTCCGGCCACGTACCGAATTCCAGCGGCAAAGCGTCGAAAGAGCCACGTCGAACAGCGTGACATGAATCCTGAGGCTACTTGTATGCGTCCGTAAGCTGTTACTTTTTGCACGTCGAAAACCGACTTTGCACATCTAAATTTTCGTTCGAAAAATACTCCGAGATGTAGGAACAAAGCACAGCATCCCGTGGTGCACTTCACTCGGATACGTATGAAGCGTATGCCGCTCTTCGACGAACGCTAGCTCAGCTTGTCTGCTGCTTGCTGACCTCGAGGCGACCAGTGAGCGCCTCGAAGCACTCGAGTTGTCACGCCTAGGGTATGGGAAGCACGCAGGATGTGCTTTTGATGAAACGTGAACTTCGAAAGCGCATGCGGGAGCTGCTTCGGCAGGTGTCAAGGAACGATTTGCGAGAGCGTTCCGCGGAAGCCTGCCGACAGCTCACCAACTCGGAGGTGTTTCGGTCTGCACGAACTGTAGCGGCATTCTGCCACATGCCGACTAGCGAAGTGGAGACGACTGATTTGCTTGCCGCCTGTTTTGCTGAAGGGAAACGCGTTTTTCTGCCCCGTGTGGATGAAGGATCAGTGCGAAAGATGTTGTTTTTGGAGGCCCACGGTCTGCAGGACGTCGAGAGCTGGCCCCTGAACGCCATGGGTATTCGGGAGCCGCCTTCTACGTGGAACGGACAAGTCAGAAGAGAAGTGCGCACGCTGGTTGAGCGAGAGCGAAAACCTCTCGACCTCATTGTCGTGCCCGGACTCGCCTTTGACACGTTCGGTCGTCGACTGGGTCGCGGCAAGGGCTACTACGACACCTTTCTGGCGACGTGTGAGCATTTGCATCACGAGATGCAGCTTCCTCCGCCTCGAAGAGTTGGTCTTGCGCTTTCATGCCAGATGGTCACCGAGGTGCCGGTATCAGCACATGATCAGGTCGTGGAGGCAGTCTTTTACGCTTGAGGTGTCCGGCCATACCATGGAACGCTATGGCAAACGGGCACGCAGCTATAGCCATAGACGCTCGTACGCGCGCAAGCTTGACGATGAACGATAGCCCCGGGAAGCGCGAGCGTAAAAGCACTGACTCGGCACCGTGCACGATACAGATACCGCTGAACCTATTCATCACTGCATCGAAGCCGCAAGGCGAACTTTATCCGATCAAAACGATTGCTGAAGACTGCATGCACGACTAGAGGAGCTAGATGAAGGAACCTCTTCTGCAGGTGCATGCTCGCACTGCGTCCTATGCTGAAAAGCAGATCCACCAACAATTCATGGGGAAGCGTACATTGCCACTGAGCACTTCACTATCCGAAAGCATCCTTCGGATGGAGTCCTTTGCCAAAACCGCGACACGACAGAGCGCTGATGGCAATCATTTCAGAAGCGTGATTATTTGACGTATGTGCGTTGCCGCGACAATAGAGCCGGCTAGGTTCGGGGATCTGGTATCATCGTAAAGAACGCAGTGCAATTCTGTGTCTTCGCGCATTGTTTTGCCCCGGTGGCATTGCACAAAGAAGTCCCTGCGTCTGAGGCAAGGCCTCGGGGTACACGCTGCACCCGGGTCTCTGATGCCAGTAATGCTGGAGTGCTGCACTGCAGCGCACACAGGCTCACCCCTGGATGCAAAAGGCGCGTGTTCCTCGCAGCGTTTATGATGCGTTTTCCCAAACCATGCGACAGTTTATCAAGGCCGCATCCAGAGGGCATGCACAGTCTGCGTTCCTTCAAGTATCGGGATTCTGCTGGCATAGACACAACCACGCATCCGTGCGTACAGAGCTGGTGGTGCGATCGGTATTCGCCCAGGTGCCTCAGAGGCTGTGCAAGGCTCTCCCGCGCTCAACCATTCCACCACCTGCCATCGTTGCGCCATCGGACTCATTACAGCGCCCAGTCCTCTTCATCCAAATCAGATTCATCATCTTCTTCCTGGTCTAGTGATGCGATATCGATTTGGTATCGCAGAATACCTCCAATGCCACCAAAACCTTTCACGAACTGACTGCCCTCTGCGGTTCGATCTGTCACCAAGTCCAGATGTGCTCCGAATCGCTTGTAGTTTTGCGCGAGCCAGTCCACCAGGGACTCTGACTCTTTGATTTCCATGTCTGGTCCGCCGTCCTTGGCCGTATCACTCGCCAACTGATCCAGCTTCTCCTTCTGAACGATCCGCACAGTCTCTTCGCCCGACTGTGGGTTCATCAAGACAACACGGTCATACTCGAGGTTCTCCCAGACAATTAATTTCTCTACTGCGCCCATTTCCAGCGCCTTCATGGTATCGTCGACCCCGTAGCAATATTACCCAGTATCCAGTGCGATCTGGTCATAAAATTCCTTCAAAAGCCGCTTCTCACGTACATATTTCACGTTTGACAGACTGTCAGCAGCCAGTTCAATCGCTTGATTGAGACCAACCTCACCGCCCTAGCTGATATCTACGACCGCGATCACTTTGGCCTGTAGACGGGGGTCGAACAGGTCGCTGCGTGCGAGCTCATTCTTAAAGTCCGCGGAACCAGCCAGCACGATGCCGCTCACATTAACTTTGTCGCCATCGGGAATAAAGAGCCGCACCGCATCTTCGCCAACACGTCGTAGATAGTTATGCCGTTTTTCCATGCGGAGACGCGCAAAACGGAGCGCGGACTGACCACCTCGACCATGCTTCTTCGGCAAATCGACCGTGAAACGATGCAGAATCTCGCGCGTATTCCCCGAAAGTACAGCGGAAAGCGCCCCATTCCCGTCGATGATGATGAACCCGAACTTTTCATCACCTTCAAGCAGATTCATCAGTGGTTCTACGTGGAACCGCGAGTCGCAATAATACAACGACGTGTTGATCGGCTTGTGTGCCTCGAAGTCGATGGTCACTTGTTTCTCGCCCTTGTCCGTTAGAACAGTCCCACAGTAAATTGCTAGACCGTTCGGTGGAACTTTGTTGTAGAGCTTAAGGCGCTGTTGCGTAGATGTGATAGCAGACAACACGGAAAGTCGGTTGACACGGGACTTGATGTTGGGGGCTGTTCCCGCTTCGTCTGCGAGAAGTTTCCCAACCTTTGCAACTTGGTCGCCCGGTGGAATCAGTAACGAAATCATGGACGTGCCGTTACCACGTGCTGCCTCCAAGCCTTTGAGCAGTTTTTTAATGCGGAACATGGTTACCGCCCGATCCTCATCGTCCTATTCGTGGTTGTTCGACGGCAGTGCGGCGCCCACGGCAGCAGCAGCTACCGTCGTGATGGATGCCATGCTTAGCGGGAAAGCACACGAACGCGACTCTCTGAACGCGTAAAAAGTAATCTCTATGCGATGAAGGCTTTTTGCTCTGCCTAAGAGTCACCCTGGTTTTAACGCAACAGCACCACCAGTGCTAGACAACGCGTAGCCGAACACTGCTGCCACCCGGTGAGAAGACCCTGGGTCGAGCGCGCATTGTGGCAGCCTTCGCCGGCGCGCCGCATCATCACAACGTCTTGGGAGAAGAGCGCTTTTCACACAGTGCTTCAGGATGTTGTTCGGTATAGCAGAGACCTGATTGCGGTAGGGAATCGAAACAGGTTTCCAAGCGACAGCTTGAACGGCACGGTTCTAGTTCGACAGTTGCACGCAGCCTGCTGCGTTAAAAGCGGAGGAAAGCGCTTTTTCGCTTGGAGCAGGATTTGCTGCCTGTTGCAGCGAAAGAAGATTCGCTGAAAACGACGCTTTGGGCTAGCGTTCTATCGCCGAACTGGTGTTGTTGCAACGAGTAAACTCAGCATGCGGCTATTGTTGCAGCGTTGGAGCCAAACGATGCGGCACGGGAGCCGCAACGCGCTCGGGATCGTGAGGCTGCGATCCTTTCCTGGTTGCCTCTCTGGGTCGGAAAGTCGATCACACTGGAGGCCAGTCACGGTATGGAGCACGTGTGCAGCCGTCATCGCGGCGAGCTTAGCGAGCGTTCAACGCCCGGAATGGCGACCGTGGCTCTGCTACGCTGAGGCGTCCACCTCGCTAGAAAGTACACACAACTTCACGGCTGCTACGGAAAAAGTTGCACCCTTGAGCGATGCAGCGGAACCGGCAACAATACTGTGGAAACAACTGCCTGACTCGCTTGCAGAGCTGCGCAAGGCCGACATCGTGCTTTACCAATATGAAACATGTCCATTCTGCAATAAACTCCGGGCCTATCTGGACTATTGGCGAATACCGTACAAGGTTGTCGAGGTGAATCCAGTAGGCAAGAAGGAGCTAAAATTCAGCTCCTATCGCAAAGTACCCATTCTGGTGGTGAACGGCACACAACTCAACGACTCTGCTGCTATTATCAAAGCACTGGCGCGCATCACGGACCCGGACCGTGCGTTAAACACGCAATGGTTCGACTGGATCGACTCCTGGTTTGTGCACACCTTACCACCAAATATATACCGCACCCGTCATGAGGCGCTGGAAACGTTTGACTACATCACGGAAAAGGAGAAATTCTCGCCGTGGCAGCGCTTCACGATTCGCTACGTGGGTGCTGCGGCCATGTATTTTGTGAGTCGCCGCCTCAAGAAGAAGTATCATATCGTCGATGAGCGCCAAGCACTCTATGATGCATGTCGTGACTGGCTCCAGGCTGTCGGTTGGCCAGAACGTCGTTTTCTGGGAGGTGCACGACCATGTGCTGCAGACCTGGCCATGTTTGGCGTCCTTCGCAGCATCGAGGGTTTCACAGCGTTTCATGAGCTCGCGGCCAATGTGCCGGAGATCGTTCAATGGTATCGGATCATGAAGGACCAGGTGGGTCCGTCTGCGCGCATTGATTCGATGTAGAAAAGTTGCCGAATTTTCTGGTGAACTGATTACCTGCAGAACGCAAAGAATGGAATTTTTTATCTATTTTGATGGATTGAGGATCGAAAACAATGCAGTGTTGCGTGTTGAACGCGAACGGCACAAAGAATGCAACGTTATCGATCTGGATTGATTGTGGGTCTGGGCTGCGCAGAACGGTCTGGAAGATAGACGAGTCACCTGTGAGCACCCTCCATATCCTGAGCAAAGTACTTCGTCATCCGTGGCGAATCGTGTGCATATCTTGGATTTGTCATATGGGCAATTTTGATTGGTAGCCTGGTGCATTGCTGGTACACGTCATCCACCGAGATGCTTTGACTGTCTCATACCAACAACCCATTCGCAAGAACGCACACGGCATCGTGTTTTGTTCCCGTAGCGGGAACTTCCGGTAGTAACCTCAACTGAGGAAGGAGCCGCTCGCTCGTGCTGCGCCCAAACCTCCAGCTGGGCATCATCATTTTTCATATCTCTGTTCAGTGCGACGAGCATGTAAAGGCAAAACTCATCAGAGATAGGCAGACGAACTAGGCACTTCCCTAGTAGCGAGGACTCTCGTTTAAGACGCCGAGTTGCCGGTGCGTCCTGCAACGTGCACCAGCGCTGTTCTCTATCGCCATCCGCTGGCTCACGCGGTACACCCAAACCTAGTCTGCGGGAAACTTACGCAAAGTTTCCAGGATCATAGCTTTGGGGCTCCTCACTCCCGAGTCGCGCTGTGCGTGACCTCTTTTCGCTGGGTTGGCATCCCCAGCGACCGAACGAGGACGACGTTTTCGCCTTTGAGGAGGATCGTCCCTAGAGCAACCGTCCGCCGCTTATGCTTTGCAGTACTTCCCCACTGCTCCACGGTGTCGACCAGAACTAGATTGGTGTGTTCGTCGAAGCCGCGCAAGGTGCCTTCCAGAGAGTATCTGGTGTTTTCGAATAACCAGACCTCAACGCGGGCTTGTTGGCGCGCCAGCGTTGCTAACAACTGCTCTGGAACTATCCGTCTGTCCAGAGCGTCCTTCGGCATCTATGTTCACCACTTAAGTTGGCTGCAGGCGTGCAACCAGGGGATTTTGCCTGCTTTTCACGGTTTGCTCGGGAGCAGATAACAGCGCGAATGCCGAAGCGAACAACGTTACGTCAGCGCAGCAAACCCGTTTCGCCACAATATCGTGTACATGAATATCCACCCGCAGACGTGTCTCAGCCTTTTCTTACAGGGTTCTGGTATCGGTTTCAGTTTCTCCATATACACTCCGACGCTGTGAGGCTGCCCAACAAAGTTAGCTTGCCGCAGCGCTGCGTGCCTCGCATTCAGCACAAGCATCTCCTGATATTGATACCAGCGTTGAGGTCTCGGTTCATGGACTCCATGCGTTTGTTGCCGCTGGTTGATCTCACCAATGATAGGAGACCAGAACTCGTGTACGCTGTGCCATTGGGTGCTCTGTCAGCTCTTCGTGCTGATTTGTCGACGAAATGCTCCGCTGGCCTCGCTCCAACTCAACGTCCTAGGGTGTATATTCCAGCTCATCCCTTCGATTTTTCGAAAATGAACGCATTTGCTTATAGCCTGAGATGAGAACCTTCCCGCATCGAGCAGCACATGCGGAATAAAGACCAAATGTGCCCCGGTTGGTCACCATGTGCTGAACGCTTCATCAATTCGCCCGGTGGAGCGATCGTGACGATTCAGGACCCCAAACTCTCCTTCTATGGGGATGAACCACGGGTGACAAGAAGGAATGAAACCAGCTCTACCCCTCGATAGAATTGGCAAGTGCTCGAACTGAAGCAGAACGGCTGAATACCACTGTGTCCAATAGAAGGACCTTACCAGACGTTTGGGACAAGTCTTCAATGACTCGACAAAAAGAGGGCGCTGCTGCATGAGTGTTCTCTTCAGCGGAACTGAGGCAGCCAAATGAATCCACCGCAGCTAGAACAGATGATGATGTCGACGTTCTCTACGATTTCGAGCGTACGAGCAACGGGCTCCCGCTCAGCAAGTATTCATCTGCGCTGCGATTGTCTCGTTTGAAGCAAGTCTCATCGAGTGAGAAAATAAACTGATGTTCCTGTGCTTCATACCGATCGCGACGTTCCAGGAACGCCGTGCCTGCGATTTCGGTGGAAGCTGGCCGTGAATGAACTAGCACTTTATTGCGATTGGATCCCGGTGTTTTCAGGATCACGCGAATAAGCTGTTGAGAAACAGAGACGCCCGTGGTGGCTACTATGGACGCATTTGCTTCCCGTAAATTGATCAACTGGTCGTTTTCTATCACTGAGTGCAGGCAGGCTTTGAGAATATCAGGTTTCGGCCCGGAGCGCATATACTTGTTTCTTTCAGTGCTCGTCAAGCATCTGCGTATAGTGGTATGATTGACATCGAGGAGCAACGCAATTATCATTGCATTGTTCAGTGAAGAATACATATGCCGTATGCAATTCCTCCACAATCTATACAGAACATTACCTAGTGATTTCAACCTCCTCCTACACACCGCAGCCGCGATGAAAGAAAATTGAGTTGAAAGACTATCAACCGAAGCGCCTTTACGTCGTAACAGCGTCTGGTACTCGAAATTCTAACGCAGCCACGTACCAGCAGCGGATCGAGACGGTGAACGGACGCACCAGCGTATACCTCTATGTACGGTATTCGCCTCTACCAGATACGCAGCATGCCTGCGATCAATGCGAACAGGCATCGAAGTGCCCTTGGTACCCAAGTTTTGCCGTCCGAGCATGCCTTCCTCGAAGACGCACCTTGCATCTATCCTCAGATCGTCGAAAACGACACCAAACATGCTTCTGCACAGCGTCCTGTCGTACAAGCGCGCCAAGTAGGCGTTTGTTTTCAGCACGGTGCTGTCTGACGCTTGGACTGCACGAGTGTAGATGCTACCGATCCCGACCAGGTCCACGGCACCTGATAGCTGACGAGCAGGTTCCGCTGCGACTCCAAGCCCGGCAATTGGCAAGCACACGAGTCGCGCTCAACTTGCAGAGCGCTGTGTCGATCGCCGATGCTGCCCTTGGTCTAACGATTCAGAGTGGCAATGTTGACAGCAGGCACGCGCCGCTGACGCACAGCTTGAGGATCGCTTCGATTCGAGACCACGGCGACAATACGCGACCATTTCAGCGCACCGAATGCGACTTCTCCGTCACTGGCCTGCAGCTCAACTAGGCGTCGTGCAACGCGCATCTTAGCTTCCAGGACCTCGAGGGAAGCGTCCGTCGGGTCGCAGAGCCAATCCACAAAGCCCGCCATACTAGCCAACGCGACAACTCCGATTCTCGACAGACCTAGCGCAGCGAATACCGCCGCAGCAGCGAGCCGCTCTTCTTCCGAAGGATGCCGTGCACAGTCCAGGACAATGGGCAGTGCATTCGTGAACGCCTTGACGGGATCCGCATCCCTGATCGCATCAGTGAACAGATGCAGCACCCTTTGCTGCCGAAATTCGAGGTCGGATTCGGCGGCTCCGTACCCTGAGACGGCTGCTGATGAAAGCGGCTCGTCGAGACCTGCCAGGAACACACTCAAAGCACGCAAGGAGGCCACTCGAATATCGCACACGCTCGCCGTTTGAATGAAACGAAGCGTTAGTTTCAAGGTGTCAACGTCCGCAAGCAGCACGTCCATGCCGCGTTCACAGAGCCCCAGAGCGCCAACCGCGGAGATCAGATGCACCAGCAGTGTCGTCCGACGAACTTGATCAAGTCGTACGGACCAGTGTGCTGTCTCAGTCTCGCCATCTACCACGTGAAGCAAGAGAAAGCGCCCAAGAATCTCTACGAGATTGGCGTTCATCCAAGCGTGGAAGGCGCAACGACTGGACCCGGCACTGGTGCGCACGAACCTCAGAATCCCACACATCCAAATAAACCAGCGTTCCGCCAAGTCGCTCGAGGCAGGCTCGTCTGGCGCCAACAAATGGGCAAGGTGTTGGCGTAGCAGCACATCGAATACCGAAATTTGGTCGAGCAACTCGGCTGCTATTGCACTGCGTTGCATAAAAGCCCCAAGCACATCCAGCAAGTTCAAGCGGAGTAGCAAGTCCTCATCCAAACGAACAGGAGCTGCGATTTTGGCTACAAGCACGGTTGGCAACAGCCGACGTGCGGCAATCTCTGCAACAGACGAGTAGTCGCAGATCTCAAGCAGGAAGCTCAAGGCTCGGATATGCGCGACCGCACCCGCTGCACCCGAGAGCATCTCCTGTACGAGGATTTGCGCGCCTCGTGCTTCGCTGAAGAGCACAACTGCGCCGCGGAACGGCTTCAGCTGTACCAGGTTCTTCAGGATTTTTTCACAAAGTCCCGCAGCTTCGGTGGATGGATCATCACGGAAGCTCAGCAGCACCAGTGACAGGATATCGCTGGCGTGCTGTGCAGTTGTGCTGGGAGCGTCCACTTCTGGACCTGGCGCTTGTGCGGCCTCTATCTCCGGACGAAGCTCGTTCGTACTTTCAAAACGTTCGATAATGGTGTCTGCAACTTGCTGACAAAACGCTTCAGGCAAGTCATTCCGTTCAAGAAGGAGACAAAGCAGACGGAGCGCAGCTGTGCGTACCAGCGGGTACCGGCTGCTCAGACCGAGCTGGATGAGCTGGAGCACCTGCTCTGTAGGTACGACGTGACGAACTCGGGCACTTGTTGCAGAGAGCTTGACCAGTTTCTCCATTGTTTTCGTTAATACCCGGATGGAATCAAATATGTTGTCGGATGGTACCGCGTCGCTGTCTGAAGCCTCGAGCGACGCCCGCACCGCGTACTCCTCCAGTGTCCAGCCCAGCAGCGGTAACGGCAAACGCTCCAGCAAGTCCAGTGCCGCACACTCCGACAGTGCTCCAGCGTCTACATATTCCCTCACTGTATCCAATACTTTATCGGGAGTCCAGTCATTGTGGTGAGCGTTCATTCAGCAACAGGTTATCACGCTTTGAGATAGACATATCCAGAAGCAATCTCCTGATCGGCGGCGGGGCGCAGGACAGCCGCTGCGCGTGCACGCGCACCTGGCAGATCCGGCGGGCACGAGACACGACGCTCTGGTCGCTCCTGAGGGGAACAGTGATCCTGATCATTGGCGTGCTATTCTACTGTAAAAGTTGTATTCGCGTTGAGGTCGTAGCAAAGTATAGGTTTTCTGTTCCATCCTATTCCGACCCTCAATTGAGTATATTCAAGTGTTTTTTCGAAGTAAATAACAGAAGCGTTCAAAGAGCGTTCGTTTTCATAAAAAATTAAAAGGAAAGGCATGGAAATGGAAGTGGAGGATCCCGGAGGGCCGATATCGCCGGCTCTCGGAAAAGAAGGATAAACATGGCGGAGCAAAGAGGAACAGGAAGTGATGAAGAATCAAAAGGGGGCGAGGTTCTACGTCGAAGGCGGCAAGAAAGGCAACTGTACGGCGATATTGTAGTGAAAGCCTGTGTTCTTAAATATATCAAGGATCCGTAGAAGGAAAAGTTGCCGGACGCCATCAAAAACCGTCTCGAGTCGTACTCCATGAGTATGATAAAGGCTTCTTCAGGACCGACGCATTTGGTGAGGGAGATGTATCGCTACGTGACGAACATGGAAACGGTCGAGATTCCGGACGAGTTTTTCGACAACACATTTTTTCGTCACTTGATGCTTGGCACAGGGGAAGAGCGGAAGGATATAAGAGCTAGTGCATGCCCCTCACGAACAACATCCCTTTTGCAGGTTCGAGGGTAATCGAAACAAGGGGGACTGGGGTATTTACGACTATGGGGCGATGAAGTACATCACGAACCTGAAGAACCATTTGAAAACGAACCTCGAACGTTTCATGATACGCGCCGTGTTTGCACTCTACCGGGGCCTGTCTCGCAAAGGAATATGGGCGATTATCAATGGCATCACGAACGATCGAAACTATGGAAATGAGGTCGAATTCGTTGACAAGAAGGAGTCAAACCAGAGCACGAATGAGAATTCCGTCATCCGTGCGGTTATCGAAGAGCATCGTGCGGTACTGGGGCTGGCGAATCCAACAGACAAGATATCAGAGTTGAAAAAAGATAGGGAAAGATACGATCGCCTCGTTCTGCGCTATTTTGTGTTTCTGGACCGAGAGCTCGAACGCAAAGCGGAGATGAAGCTGAGTGAAGAGACAAATGAAGAGTGGGAGAGACGGAAGGCTTTCCTAATGGGTAAGCGCTTCGACGTGGTTCCAATGTGCAAGATCAAGTCACATTTTATGACTATCGACTCCGGCGTCCTTTACGGCATCATGAGGGAGATCTGTCCGGAGTTCGATGTAAGGAAGACAGAGTTCCCCGGTGAAAACCGTGAGACGTACTGGAAGAATATCTTCGATTTCAAACGTCGCAAAGTCAGCAAACAAAAGGTATTCACTGGGTTGATCGAAACCGAAAGAGTAGCCTTGTGTATACACTATCGGAGGTTGAAGAAAGATCGGCCAGTCCCTCCCTCGGCTGCGTCCGTCACGAAAAATGAAGAAAAGGAGGAGGCTGGTCCTGCGAAGCAGGAGGTAGAGGATAACGACCTTGTCGTTCACGCGGCGAAGAATGAAGAAAAGAAGGAGGCGGGTCCTGCGACGCAGGAAGTGGAGGGTAACGACCTTGTCGTTGACGTGACGAAGGATGAAGAAAAGAAGGATGCGGATCCTGCGACGCAGGAGGTAGAGAATAACAGCTTCATCGTTAACGCGACGAAGCATGAAGAAAAGAAGGAGGCGGGTCCTGCGATGCAGGAGGTGCATGAGAAGGACCTTCTCGTTGGCGCGGCGAAGGATGAAGATGAGAAGGATGCGGATCCTGCGACGCAGGAGGTAGAGAATAACGACTTTATGGTTGACGTGACGAAGCATGAAGAAAATGAGGATGCGGGTCCTGCGACCCAGAAAGTGCAAGATAACGACTTTGTCGTTGGCGCGGACCCTGGGAATACGAATATCATCACCATTGCAGCACCGAAGCGTGCGGAAGATCGTACTGACGGCAACTTGCGTCAGAAAGACATGCGTCTTTTGAGGTTCTCGAGAGCGAGATACTATCGAGAATCGGGAATCATGAATGCGAGGAAGAAAATCGAGACTTGGAATTCAGGAATGAAAGAGCACCTGGAAGCTGTGAGCGAGGTAACGAGCCGAGGAGCGGACTTTGAAGCTTTTCGGAAATTCATGGAAGTTCGTGTTGCGCATTGGGATGCTCTGTGGGAGGAGTATACCAAGCCCCGGTGGGCTCGACTGCGTATGAATCTATACGGTGGGAGGCAGCGCGCATTCCCAAATTTTTTCAATCAGTTGAGTGCCCTGAAGGAGGATGAAAGTCAGAGGCTCGTAGTAGCGTACGCAGCAGGGCGCTGGAAGACCCAAAAAGGGACTACTCCGGCCCCAACGACAAGAACGTTCAAGGAGTGCGCAAGGCGTTTCGTTACGATACCTGTAGATGAGTTCCGAACGTCGTATACGCACCATGAACTGGGGTGTACACTCCAGAGGGTGGAGATGGAAAAGTGCCAGCGGAGCCCTGAGGACACAGCAAAGCACGGACTGCTGACGGAGGAGCAAATGGAAAGGATGGCAAAAGTTCGTGGACTGCTTGCATTAGTGAGTACAACCAGTGATGGTAAGAAACGTATGGAATTCGTGAACCGTGACTTTAACGCCGCTATCAATATACGGAAATGTGCGGTGCTGGAGAAGAGACCTCCAGAATTGACAGGAGAGAATTTCGTTGGACAACCTCTCAAAGTCGAACTATATGAGAAAAAGTTGGAGGCAGTTGTAGGCGGCCGGTCGAGAAAGGCTGGGAGGCGTCTGCACGTCAGGTAAAGAGTTTTGTCTAAGGCGCCGGTCGTCTCAACTGTACACTGGCACCATCGCCGGTGCATTCGACAGATGGTGTCCATGTTGTACTGAATTTACCAGTCTCCGGCGTCGTGCAGCCGCGGCCCCGCTGCAGCACTGGCAGTGTCGCCACCGCCGTCCTTTCGTTCGCTCATCGGGTATCGTCTCCAGTCCGACTTGCTAGTGGCCCGCCTTCCCTGTAGAGGAAACAGGGACTGGACTGTTCGTGACCTCGCTACCGAGTTCCGGTCGCTGTTTGAGTTCTCTTGCAGTTGCGGTTTCCGCTAACTACTTGTCTTTCGCATGGCGCGTGGCCCAAAGAAGCATCTGAAGCGCCTGGCAGCGCCAAGGCACTGGATGCTCGCTAAACTTGGCGGCATCTGGGCCCCTCGACCTTCAGCTGGCCCACATAAGCTTCGAGAATGTTTACCTCTGATCATCATTCTGCGAAACCGGTTGAAGTACGCGCTCACTGGGCGAGAGGCTATGCAGATCCTCATGCAGCGGCTGGTTCGTGTGGACGGGAAAGTTCGCACAGACCGCACTTTTCCCGCTGGCTTCATGGATGTTATCCATATCGAAAAAACCAATGAGACATTTCGTTTACTCTACGACACAAAGGGGCGTTTTGTGCTCCATCGAATCACACCCGAGGAGGGCAAGTACAAACTGTGCCGCATCAAGCGTCAACAACTGGGTGCCCGTGGCATCCCGTACATCGTGACACACGACGGGCGCACCATTCGGTATCCAGATCCATTGATCAAAGTGCACGACACCGTCGTCCTTGATATCGAGACCGGGAAGATCACGGACTTTGTCAAATTCGACATCGGCGCGCTCTGCATGATCACCGGAGGCCACAATATTGGTCGCGTTGGTGTCGTACAGCACCGCGAGAGACACCCGGGTGCGACTGAAATTGTGCACTTGAAGGACGCTGCAGGGCGAGAGTTTGCGACACAGATCAGTAACGTGTTCGTTATTGGTCGAGAAAAGTCGCTCGTCTCGCTACCGCGTGGCAAGGGAGTGAAGCTCTCCGTCGTTGAGGAGCGCGAGCGGCGAGGCCTGCTCTAGACACACACATGCAGCGCGCTTGGCAACATACGCCGTTGGTTGACGTGAATCAAAGCGGATTGGGAGCCTTCCAGTGTCTCGTAAAGACGGAGAACCGTTTGCGGGAACTGTTCGAGGAACATCGGTTGGGACACCTCCCGTGAGGAGGCGGGACGCTCTGCCTCCATGGATATTCCCTCAACGCAGCACCCGTGTCAGATAAAAATGGAATACTGTACTACTCGCCATGTGACTGTTTCTCGATTTTTTACGAATCTTATCAGATGTACGGCATCGGCATTCGAAACGCAGCGGTGAGAGCTTACAGGGTCATGAATTGCTTCAGGATCCCTGACCGTATGTTCGTTCGGAGTAGCTCCATCGATGTTTCGCGTCTGGGAGTCGTTATATCACCGGAATCAAGATGATTCGCGACGCGGTCGAACAGGGGTTCGGAAAATAACCAATCTCATTATCGGAGTCATGCCTATAGGCTTCCAGACTTCTCATTTGCTTACGTGCAGCACGCACGAATCACGAAGTTTTCACGTTTTCGAGTTTCAGTTTCGAGGCAACTCGTGCGCGCAGCGATCCGCATCTGTTGACGGATGCGGAAAAGTGTCGACGACGTCCGTCGACGACTTGTTCAAAAGCTCATTCCGGAAGTTCACTGACTATTCTACCTCGAATCATCGATTCCGTTAGGAAAACAAATCCCACTTTCTTTGGTGCGATCGACAACACCGCACTCTACGTCAGCATGGTAACACCCAGGGTAGATGCCCTGGAAGGATCCCGCCTCTTCTGTCTGCGTGGACAAGGGTCCTGGAATCGGACTTGCCAAGTCGCAGTAACGTTGTCTCACTCTAGAGTGTATCGTATACTCGCACAAAAGGACGCGGAGACGGATCGAAATTTCTCGACTTGTTCTCCATCATGAATTTTTTTCCTACGGCACTTGTTTCATCATGGACAGCATCGTGCTTCGCCAATCCTTTATCGGATGCAACGTTGTGCGCTTACGTGTGCTTCGGATGAAGTCCTCGCCGGGCGGAGTTCCCCCAGAAGCAGCTCACGATCATAGGGTCTAGAACCGGGCACAGCAACGGAGGCACGCGTCTACGGAAGAGCCTTCTTCGCTCGTCGAGGACGTGAACCGAGCGATGAACCGAGTGTGCACGCGCCAAAGTATCGCCCTCCGAGTTCTAGCGGGATGAGCGGGGGCAGGTGCAGGCGATACGGTACACATTCCCTAACACATGACGACAGCGAAACGTTATCGCTACGACGGGCGCATCGAGGCCTCATCCAAAGAACACGAGCACGGCAAGCGAAGCGTAGACGGCAACGTTTGCTTGGACATGAACAATGTTGACAACAGCCAGAAGCGTCGATATCGGAATGCCAACGCTACCACCAACACCATTCGACTGCTGAAAACGGAGCTTGATAGACACGATTGACCGACGGACTTTAAAGCCGCAGATGTTCTAGAGGAAAAGAAAGCAGTCACAGAAAAAATCCGAAAATGCTGGTGCTGATTACCGAGGGAAGCGATCCAGAGTGTGGCGTGCACGCCCGAGTCACAGGGCACGCTCCATTACATGCTGACACGGGTTCCGTGCCAACATCCAAGGACGTTGCTTCCAAGGATATCGTTCGGATCCAGACCCCGTGAACACGCTACCCGAATATGAAACGTACTTTCTGAGGCGCGCTACTGCACCTTTTTCCACTTCAGGGGCGATGACCGAAGCGTGCGCAGCAGTAGCATCGCAGCGGTCGTGCAGCGGCGTCCGCGGAGACAACTCCAGCGTGCCCAGCGCGAGCCGCGCGCCGTGCACCTGGCAGGTACTCTGGAAGGCACGAAAGCTGCGGAACGTGTGCTTCTTGTCATGCTTTGTAGCAGGTACCTGTGAACGTGCCATTCCGGTGCCCAACGGCTCTTCTTGCTGATGCGATGTTTTAACGCAACTTGCAGTAGACGGTCACTGAGCACACTTGTCGAGCAACCTTTGCGTGGCTAGAAGCGTTGCGCGTTCGAGACGCTACTGGGCGAGCAGGCATCTGGAGGGCTTTTTTTTTCGGAAAGCAGACGGCTCTCGGCCGCGTATGCGGACGACGCGCCCTTCACGCAGATCAAAGGATGCAACTGAAAACTCCGAAGAGGCCGTTAGGGCAACGCTGCAGTTTGTTGAGCGGCTGCTCAGTCGGATCGACAAGGACGCGCTTCTCTTTCCAGCAGGGACGTTTTACGGCCCAGGCGGAGTTCGAGCGGACCCGCTTGCTCTGGAAAGACACTCACCGACCGCACGCACGGTGGCAGCGGTCCCAAGTCGGGAAGCACCGGCGCTTGCACGGCCCTGCAAACTGGAAAACTGCACTGACTCGAAACTGAAGAAGAGCCTGGTCCTGTATTTTGAAACGCACGCTACCATTGCCGTTAGACTATGGTTCTTATACCGCAGTCTCACCGAGGCGGAGCGCTGGCAGTATGCGGAGCCGTCAACAACGGAGGCGTTCGAACAAGCTGCTGCAGCGCCCGCTGCGCAGATGAGCCATCCACCAGCCGCCACGAACGAGGCAGAAATTCGAAAAATACCCGAGCCTTTTGTGAGCAAAGAAAGCTCCCAGCCAAACGAAGCTACCCAAAGGCGCAGCACCTCTGGTCCATGCGATGTGCACCAGTTGGCGCGGCTATATGAAATAGCCCAGTGCTGGAGCGCGGTTTGCCCGAGACTCTACGTCCTTTCAACCGTAGCCGGTGCTCTGATTGCATGTCACCCTTCTCGAAGGGATGAAATCGCTCAGGATTTGCTTGAAATGCTGGCTGGCGTTCAGCACCCGCTGCTGAGTCTGCCGCTGCGTACCTTTGTCGCCAAGCTGCTTGTGGATGCCTGGAAGCCACAAGAAGGGGCAACGGATCTCGAAACAGAGCATCTTGTGGACCATCTCATGGACAATTGGGAGAACATGGTGGACGCGTTGATGCGCGTACCCAGCTACGGTTTCGAGCTGCGTCCGCTCTCGTCGAGTTCAGCTCGAAACGATCTCGCTGCATGTCGCTGGGTGCTGGCAGAGCAGCTCAGTATTCTGCTTGGTTCACAGTTTACAGTGCTAGCGAGGACTGCATTCGTGAAGGGTGCCATATTCCGCGAAAAAATGCTTCCTATGCTATCGCAGCGCATTCTTCGCATCGCTGAAGCGCCCCTTCAAGAATACCTGCTCGAATGCTTGATCCAGGCGTTTCCAGAGGAATTCCTCGCTTTCGCCGCCCAGCACTACCTTGACATGATTCAGCGTACTCGGGTCGGGGTTCGTCACGCACGTCTCCTGGCTCGTTTCTGGGAACGTCTTCATCGCTGGTTGCAGCGGTCACCGGCGTGGACGCAAGCTGTCCAGGACCTGCCGCTGGTTGTTTGCGGCATCGAGGCATTGACCTGGGCGTCGCCCGTTCGGACTCCATTCGAATCCGTTGACCGTCTGGACGCATGCGAGATGCTCATAGAACTCGCCCTGAAAATGGGTGGTATTCATCATACGAGCTTGAACGAGCTCCTGACACTCTATCTTCGGGCCTGGAAACGTGCATATGCCGACTTGTGTCCGAAGAGTCCAGTCTCTGCGAGATATCTGGTGCCTCCGACAACAACGACTTTGGTGTCGCTTCCGGGAGCGAGGTCTGCATGTGAGCTGACGCCGTCGCAGTGCCCCTGCGAACTTCATTCGCCATGTTCACCGGATATGGAAGAGCGCGTGGATCTGGGGGGAATATTCGCGCCCTGTGCCCGTTCGACAGAGGCAAGCTCGTGCACCACTGAACAAGCTTATCTGGGCGCCGCGAGACTCGTGCGGCTCTGCAAACGTCTCGTGCGTGCCGCTGGGTGCTGGTCAGACTTGCTCATGGTGCCAGCGTTCAACGATTTGTTGACGCTATTGCCGATGGATGATCGGCGTCGCCTCGCTCGCCAGCTTGCGCTTTGGATCGTTCTGGATCGGCCATCGTCAGCCACGGTGTTGCGTCCTGAGCTTTGCCTTCGCCGCACGAATGCAGAGGCGCTGAAGATTTCACGGCACTATGCATCGATTCTGATATGGCTTGATGCACTTGTGCGCGGGGCAAAAGCACTGGAAACCGATGAGGAAATCGGGTACCAAGAGGCTAGTCAACACTCAACGAAAGCAGCGCGACAGCAAACCGCGCACGACCTTGACGTTGACGCCGCCGGTTGTCTGCGAAGCATGCCCGAACCGACCACCGATGATGCTCTCTATGATGTCATGCTCTGCAGCTGTGTGGTGGGAAAATTCACCTGGAACGACATACCCCTTCTTGACCAGCTCATGAACTGGGTCCTGGGGACACCAGCTGCTGCGAGACGCCAACTGCTACCAACCTGCGCAAGTACAGTCATGAGGCTGCTCGCGGAGCAGGCATCCGCGTCAGAATTCTTACGCACCCAGCTATGGGAACGAATGCACGCGATGCTTGCAAATCTGGCACAGATTGAAAGCGCACAAGCTGCAGTGCTATCGATAGATGCAGCACTACTGGCTGATCAGGTGGCAGTGGATTCACCGGCACTCGTGAGAAACCTCCTCGTCCAAGCGCTGGTGATACTGGAAGAGGACCGCTTAAGTGCCCGCGCCTATCGCACGATTCTCCTCCGCGTCATCGATGCGTTGCGCGTTCTCGAGCGGCTCGAGTACGATGCGCTTCTGCGACTCGCCAGCCAGGTAGCGCATCAGGCAGAGTCGTGCTGGGTACCCGTCGATCGTTGTCAGGCGCTCTGTGCGGTTGCGAATCTCTACGCCTGCATCGCTGCAGCGCACGAACAATCGACAAGTGCACCCATGCTGCAAGCGGGTACGCAAGCACTTCAGTGCTGGAAACGTGCGCTCGTCATCGCTATGGAAGCGTGCGGCGTTTCTGAACGTGCGCATTTGTTGCTCGATGTTTACCGTGCTGGTCGACAATTAACTGTAACGGTTTGCGCGTCTGGTTTTCCTGACTCGTTCCGGGATGAACTAGACGCGACATGTTTCGAATGCGTAGCCAGCGTGCAACAGATCATTCGGCAGTTCGGTTGGAGCCACCACGCGGAGCATTTGCATCTCGCGTGGGCCCGACTTGTTCGACTTGCCGCGTCTCGTGAGGTCCCTCGTTAAAACTTATTTTCACAGCACAAGCCAGCTACGCAGGAACACATCAGCTCCAATCAGAATCGCTCGGGTGTTTTTCGTGGCCAACCTGGAACGGTAGCGGGAACAATGCAAGCGCACCAGTTTTGTCGTTTGGGGTTCGGGCATGTTGCAGCCGATTGATAGCCCATGTGATGGGGTATGCAACAGTATCCTGCAGTCAAATGGAGTCATCACGCGCTGGTGCAAGCGTCTTTGTGAATGCGTCGTACGGCAGCGTGCTGACGACATGTTCGGGCACATAGATGCGCTGTTGCGAGGCATGTGTACTGGGTTCTGCTCAGCGCCTCTGTGCCTAACACGAGCACCTTGAGCCGATGCATTTTCGCAGGTGCAGCAACGCCGACCGAGGTCCGCAGTGACGCTCTAGGTACTGTTGGCGGGGGTACTCTGGGCAGGCACTTGGCACCCAGAGGAGGATCTTTTCAATGCAACGTGATCCTCAAAGGCAAGTCGAGGTGGTGGTTACAGCGCTTGCTTCTGAAACATAGAGGCAGGGCTTGCAAGAATAATAATAATGGTAATGATGACGACGGACGCTTCCCGCCCCCTGTATCGATGCCCGTCGCGCACTTTGGTATCGCCTGGTCATTCAAAAGTCCTGATAATCCAACACGAACATCTGCGGAGCACCAGCAGCACCAGCATCGATCTGGCACTGAAAAGTGTGCCCTGCAATAGACGCGACGATGGGTGTACGACTCCTGCAATACAGACGCATTTGTCGCCTGTCTTGACATTGTTTCTCTTCAAGATACGAGGCAACTGCCACAAAGCACTTGCGCGTGTCCGTGTGAACAAGTGTTGACGTCAGTGAGACACAGTGAGCTTGCGCGCGAAGAAGGGATCCGCACTGCACCGCACTGCACTTTTCGTGGAACTTGCTTGATTCAGCGACACCGCGAAGCGACACAGTGCAGTCTCTCGTTGCGTAACGCTGCTCGAGCGACGCGATCGTCCCACGTCAGACTGGTTGGATACGACGAACATGTTTAAAAAGTTCGATGCAGATGAGCAAGTCAGTGGACAGGCCCAGCTCAAGTCGTCGGCGACACGGGCCCTGCGCACAGCGGTCTGCACCCAGATGCCTCGGTTTGAGCCCTATGTCGACGACGTGGTTCCAAAGAAGGCCCGCATTTTTCAAGTACGCTTACATAACCACTACCAACTTCTTTGTGACGAAGCGGGGCGTGTTCTGTTTCTCCAAGACCGCGACGGACGGCTCTATCCGACATTGCGTCTCCTGCACGCGTACCCGTTTATGCTGCCGTGGGTGCAGGTCGATCGAGGCGCGATTCGTCACGTCCTCCGGGGTGCGAATGTTATGTGTCCCGGCTTGACGAGCCCTGGAGGCTACGTACCTCCAGAACTTGCCGCTGATCAAGTGGTGGCCGTCATGGCAGAAGGAAAGGCCCGAGCCCTCGCCGTCGGTAGGATGCTGCTCTCTGTTGCACAGGTTCTGCAACAGAATCAGGGCGTGGCCATCGAAAACGTGCACGTACTTGGCGATGAAATATGGAAACGAGAACGATGGAGTGCGTCCGGGTAGACAGGTCACCTGCGTTTCGCCAGAGGGCCACAGGATGCGCTTTGCGCAGCGTCACAGTCTCATATTCTTGTTCTTGTGGAAAAGGCGATTGAAGCGTCTGTCGGGGCGACGTCTGTTTCGCGTTCCGCATCGGCAGGTGAATGCGTCGACGGCTCGCAAAGTCTTGTGGTACGGAGCGAGTGAGCTATCTCGATACATAGCAACCCACACGGCGATAGAGGCGCCTCGTCAAACAAAGCGTCTACCTGGCTAAGGCCATTTGTCTCTTCGAGAGCAAGCCCTTTTGTGCACAAGGTGCCTTACGTAGCAACGCACAACCGAATGCTGTAGCCGGAAAAGAGGTGCCTGCAGATTGACGCTTTCTTCAGCAGCAAGGCGTACCGCGCCAGCGACGGTGAAGCGTCCAGCCGGTTATCGAGCAATGCATGTGACTCTATCACTGAACGCAACGTTGTACACCGGCAGACACCAGAGACGTCTCCGTGGTGCCACATACTTGTTCTTGAACGGAGCGTTCAATTTGAAGGCAAGCCTCTGGGCCGTGGCGCGTCCTCGCTAGCCATTCACAGCGCCAAGAGACCGTGCGGACTCTCAGGCGGTGCGTGGCCCGCTGCTTGATTCGAACCACCATACAGCACTGTAAACAGGTGTCCTTGCTTTTGGAGTCGTCGATACGCCTCCCTAATATGGCGTGGTTCGAGCGGAGTCAGCAGCGCTCCATCCGGTCCAATTGGGGGAAGCGTGCACCGCTTCCCCACGGGTGGCGATTTCCCGATTTCGATCCCATTCGCACTTGATCTGGACCGCGGTCTCTACCAGGTCGCCAACGAACATCTTGCCAAGACCCTGTAGCGCAATGAGGAACGGATGACCCGGTGCGTACCCGCTTGCACCACCAACGAGGGCATTGACAAAGCGTCGCAAGTTCTGCGGTCGTAGGGCGGCGCGTCGGAACTCAACATAGCGCTCCTTCTGGGCCTCTGTCAGCATCTCAAACTGCTCATTGGTCAGCTCCCGGAACGACCGGAACTCGTGCTCGGAACGCTCTGGTTTTGCGAGCGGATTGCTCAGAATAGCACTGTATTCCGGAAAGATTTGCGCGTCGATACCATCAAGCAGGTCCGAGTCCATGCTGGTATCGAGATCTGCTGCGTCAGGTTTGAGATCGCCCAGGACTTGTTCCGCATCATCCCCGAGCAGCACAAACTGAGACAATGAACCTTGTTCTGGGGCGCGCTCCTCCGAATCCTTGTCGAGGGCGGTCTCTGCTCGGTAACCGCTTCCGGGTGCAGGGGCTGCGGTGCGTCCGCCCCGGGCGTGCCGCTGTGCTCCGGCAGTGCGACCACCACGGCCTCTTGGCCTGCGGTACGCAGCCTCGCTTTGAGGTCCTTCCAGCTCACCGGTTTCAGTTATACGCGACCTGCGACCTCTGCCTCGTCCCCGCGGGGTCGTTGTACGTTTCTGGGTAGCTTTTGCTTCCACCGGTGCACCAGCGCCAGCAGCAGTGTCATCCTTTCCGGACACAGCCTGCTCATTCGAGTCAGTGCGTTTTCGGTTGCCATCCGAGCGTCGGCGTTTCGGTTTGGGCGACGCACTACTCTCAGGTGCGGCTGCTGGCCCGGATTGCGTTGCAACCGACTCAGGGGCGTCACCAACACCCAGCGCGAAACGAATGCTGGCTCCACGCGCTTCTTGGGTAGTCATGTTGCCCGTCTAAAATCTGGAGCCAATCGATTGCCGCCGCGACCGCTGATGCTATAACAAGAAAGGACTTTTACCAGTCGCCCATGTGCACGTACAGAGAGATGTATGGTATTTTCGACTGGTTGAGCTGCTGGGGCGAAGCGCAGGCGACCCTGTTCGAACGCATTGCATCGTTTCTGAGTCTGTATCTAAATAGATATTTATATACATTATAGGTATGAAAGGACATCAGATACGTGTCCGATTTCCAATGGAGCCGGCCATACGCTGTCGAATGCACCCACAAGTATGCAGGATGGAGGAGCGAGGTGCACCACGAGTTTGCTGCGAAACGGCATTGTTTCACAGACCGAATATCATTGACGGAACAGATTCAAACTCTGGGTCTCCTGGGCGACGGAAATTGTCGGCAATTCCAGTCTCCCAAGTCGCTGTGATCCATTTGTAATGAACACGAGTTTCGCTTCTGTTCGGGACAAGGTCTTGTGCGTTGACAGCATATGCAAATGTAACGGAAGCTTTAGGCTGTAAGGGTGTTTTTTCTGTGAGGTGGTTCCGGTGTAGTGGTGTGTGCCTGCTTCGTGCACAAGCCGGAGTATATCGCAAACAGCACCTGGTTATCGATACGAGCTGCGAGCCAGCTTATCCACATGCGTTCTGTTCCGAGCGGACGCCTGCCAAGGCGTTAAATCGCCGTTCTGTATCCGAACGGCATCCGCAGCGGCGCCCAAGTCGCTGTGGCAGGTTTGCACGGCGGACTCAACACCTAGGGTATCGTTTCAACGGATCATGATCCCGAAGAGGAGACGCATCCGTGGCTATTGGATGTGTCGGGTCCAGAATGTCGCCGTGGTCGCTTGCCGTGTTGCCGGCTTTTAGCATCTGCGCATCTCCCGTGGCCCGTGCTTAAGCTTATCCATGATGCACCATAAAAAATAGGATTATTCATGCGATACTGGTACGGTGTCTTTCTCCGATCCCCGTGGCAATCGAAGCAAAAGGCAATGCTACCTTCAATCCGAGCATTCGCGGTGCAAACAAGCTATCATGGAAACTTCAGTAGCCAGCACGCAGTCGAACTAGTCCGTTTGCATTCAACACAGGAGAGGTATATTGTTTCGATACACACGATCGTATTCAGCGCAGATTTTGCGCCTGTCTCTGGAGGCTCTCAAACGTTTCCTGGAAATGCGTCGCTCTCTGGGGAGCTCAAAAAGCAACAAGCTCGATGTCGATGTTCCAGTAGCCTTCTAGAATGCCCCAGGGTTTCATTCACGAGTCGCCGTAAACAACGCTTTGCCGATTGGCCAGATATCCCTCCACAACGTTGCCCCTGACAAGACCGAGCGGATCCAGGTGCGGTGTCAAGATCCGTGTGCAATCGGCACGCTGCACGTCGTCCAGCGACACGACATGGTCCGGTCCGTGGACGGATTTCGTTGGAAAGCGGCATGCGGGTGCCGGTGAATCAGCATCAAGGCAAACGCGCATCGGACTCGAACTGGACCAGATTGTTGGATGCACACACAGTGTCGACAAGTGCATGCAGAAACCCAGCTCCGGTCCAGCCTGGGTATTATTCCGTTCCTTAGCACGCGCTGGGCCCGTCCTACGCAATTCTGTGTACGGGAGAGATCACGAGTTCATGGAACGCTCTACGGGTCTGAGGTTCGTGCGCGCAGCTCGTCGGTAAACTGCTTATGGGGCATGTCGCACCGCGCACCGAAGTATCGCTTCCACATTGCTTCATAGAAATATATTCTCTCCCTGAAGCGGACTCAGCAAGTGACGCGTTTCGCAAATGTCACCACTACCCTGGCACTGGCCGTATTGCGGCAGCAATTTACAGTCCTCGTGCGCGTCTTTCGCAACCAAGATCATAGAAGCGTGTCGGCGAACTCGCTCTCACTGGTCACCTCCGTCGCTAAGACATTACTCGGACGGTAAGGAGTCCACGTCGCAGAACGTTATCCGCAAGCCCATCGCAAAGATAGTCCCCCGCTATCCCCAATGCACTGTCATCGCTCGTGTCCACACTCAAGCAAAGAAAGCTGCTTATGCACTCGCGTCGTACTGCAGCTTCGGCGGCACTCGGAATGAAGCTCTTTAGAGCCGCCGACGCCTGCGTGCTTTCGCGTGTCCACTGGGGCCAACGCCCACAACGCTGCAACATCGCCTGTGGAGCAGAGGTGCCAAGCGGTGCAGCACAATGCCAACGATAGTGGAAGAGGGCGCGTATCTGCTGTCTCCTTTTATCCATGCACTTGCATGTTCAAGGCGGCGAAGCATCTTACGATGTTGCAGCAAGAGCCTATGAACTAGCCCGCGTTTTCCTGCACCTCAAACCAAGCAAGGTATAGCCGCTTGGCTCGCTTGTTCGAATCCAAGTCGACGACACTGCCGAGGACTGACCCTTTTCTCTTGAGACCCAAGTTCACCGGTACTCCGGGTTTGTACGGGACTCGACAGATGCGATGCTCCTCAAGCGTTGTTGTTCGCGTTGGCGATCAGGCCGTTCCACCCGGTATACGAGCGGACCTAGAACACCAAAGGTTCCCAGTGCAACGCTCAGGACAAGCACCGGCTGCTGCTGCCAGGCAGTTTCAAGGAAACTCAAACACCGTCTCCACATAAGCAAACAAACTCCAGAGAACGCAAGTCAACACGCCAGACGCCTCTGGACTAAAGCACAGGTATCCAATTCGCTGTTTCAAAGCGAGACTCCGCCGCCACTACGTTGTGGTCCGGCTGCGCAGTAGCAACAGCGCGCAGTCGGCGCAGCACTAGAAACACCCCGCTAAAGCCCTCTCCATACACTTTTTGGTCTCGTTGGACGCAAGTCTGCGGCGAGGGTTGTTGTCTTTTTGCTTTTCGAGAGAAGCAGCTCGATTGCAGCGGAAGCCGGTCTCATGTGCCTGTAGCTCGAAAACTTGAGAAAATTTTGAGCTGGAGCACAGGTAGAACACTATGGGACGCGGCTCGCTCTATACAGCTCGGTTTGCTGCCATCAAACGCATCGTTGAAGAAGATCGCTGTTGGCGTCTTTTTGATGCTCGGGATCAAGTACTGGGACGGCTGGCTAGCCGCGTGGCTTGCATCCTTCTGGGGAAGCATAAACCTTACGCTTTGCCGTACGTGAACCCTCAACCTGGCGACGGGGTTATCGTTATCAACGCGCGACACGTAGGCCTCACTGGAAAGAAACTAGATCAAAAGCTCTACCGTCACCACACAGGGTACCCTGGTGGCCTCAAATCGGAACTTGCTCGGAGCCTACTGGCTCGAAAACCGGAGCGCGTCATAGAGCTCGCTGTTCGGAGAATGCTGCCGCCAGATCGTCGACGACGCAACCTCGTCCGAGACTTGCTACGAGTTTATCCGGATGAGAAGCATCCTTTTCCGGAGGAACAGCTTGTGCACATGGGTCTTGTTTGGCGTCGAGTTGGTGAAGGCGGGATCGCAGACGACACGGATGAGGAGCGGTACCGTGCCCAATTCGAGTTCGAGTGGAATCGTCTTGTTCTGCTGGCGTCTCCTGAGCGGGTGCGAGAAATTCTCCGGGAGGAGTTTGCAGCAAGCCGAGTCATCGAAAGAAAAGAGGTTGCAGAGCAGTCCAATGAACGGGATGAAGACGCTTTCAGTTCGTAGCCGGCCCCTGATTGCGCGTCATGGTGGCGCGCTGTCCGCGAGGCACGCGCGCGCGATGAGGCGCCTTCGTGGCGAACAGCATGGACTCGCGTGTCCCTCGGTATCAGAGGGATATACCGGAGCATCCTCAGACGCGAGGACATTGACTCGAAGCAGCACCCAAAGCGATGCAAACTGCCCCCGATGTTGGACGGATACGCGGAGACACTGGCAGCTGCGAACGCCGCCACCATGAGCCAGACGAGCAGAGGCGTCAACGAACATTTGAAAGGTTTCCGCGCATCTGTGGCGCGATTGCTCGATGCGCACATACTCTGGTGTAGGGCTCAAGCGCATCGGATCCGTGCTAGGGCGTGCGCAAAACCTCTAGAACAAAAACACGTAGCAGAGCAGTATGACGGGAACGCTTGCTGCTTCCGAACGAGCCTCGCAGCCAGCGTGACGTTCTATCGGCTGCGTGGGCCCCCATCCAGAGCGCACCGTATCTAGGCGCGAAGCGGCTCTGCACGGCGAAGACGCTGCATAGCACCTATGTCGTTCGCTCAAGCGCGTGACGCAAGTCTGCAGCGTGCGACAGGCCAGAAACCGCGTTTTATTTGATAGACGACGATTCTCACTGGAATACGCATCGCTGTGAACGCGCGGTTGCGAGAGCAACCCGCGATGCAGGTCGCGAGTGCCCAGGGCACGAACGCGCGCCCTGTCCGTTTCTATGTGTCGCATGCGTAGCCGGTACTCGCTGATGTCTATTGCCTGCGCTAGCGTTTATATAGGATTAAAATCAAAGCCTGAACTACTCGCTCTGTCCCTGGAATGCGAGTGCTTCCGAACTCGTTTAGATACGCAGTTTCGATGTTCCAAGTACAGCAACAAGGGTGTGCTCGTCTAAACGTAGTTCAGGGTTGGCTGGTCGGTTATTCGGGGTGGCGCATTCTGCTTTTCGGCGCTAGAACTCATGACGGTATCGGAAACAGGATGATTGAGATGTGCTGGAACAAGTGCGCAAACAATATCGGTTATTGATTTTCTGATTCGTACGTAGCAGCATATATTCATTCCGCTTCCTGACGTGCTGCATGCGTCAAGTTTTCGATCCCGCTTCGATGCGGTAACTCGCAGGCGCGGCGAGTGGCGCTTCTGGACTGGAGACGAAACAATGCCGATCTCGTGCCCGGATGGCTCGTTCAGAGGCTCTTGTCGAGCGTTTACTGATATTCTCACGTAAACGAATAATAGAATACGTCCGAAAGCCAAATGCTTATCTCATTGTGGTTATTGGCGAAACGGCACTCGAGACGAACAAGACGCTTTTCACGGGGAATGCCCCCAGAGGCTCCCTTCTCTCCTGTTTGCATGAACAAGGGTCTTGGAATCGGACTTGCAACATCGCAGCAGCGCCGTCTCAGTCGAAAGTGTATCGTATATTCGCAGGCAAGGAAGCGTACACGGATCGAAATTGCTCGTCTTGTTTTCCAGCCGGGATTCCGCTTTCGTTGCCTAATTCACTTTTGACAGCGTTGAGATCCACAATCCTCAATCGAATGGGAAAGCGCTCGCTTCCACGTGCAGCCGACTGAGAACTCGTCGAGCGGGTCGACCAGAGCAAGCCGGTGATCTTCGGGTATGGCACCTCAGCCGGCATCGGACGACGGCATGGAAGCAAGGCTTCTGTGCCCGTCACCAGCATGTATCGATCGATGAATCATGCGTTTATGCGTCATAGGGCAACCACTGGAATCGGAGGCGGTGGCATCGATACATGGGAGTACCGAACCACAGTAACGTGTCACCACGACGAAGAGCACACTCAGGCCGTATACAACGTAGACGATGACAAAAATTGGATCATCGATCGCGAAAACCTTCTCTCTATCAAGTGCGTAGACAACAGCAGGAAGTCGCGAAATACCAACCTTTCACGCTGCTATCAAAACCCTTCGACTACTGACAACGGGGCTAGATGGACAGGAGTGACCGACGCACTGAAAGCCGGAGATAAGAGAGACAATAAGGAACGAGTCGTAGAAAAAAGTCTGCGAAAGCTAGTCGTGATGACGATCGAAAGAGACCCAGATTTCAGAACGGTCGCTTGAGTTTGGTGACTGTGTAGACCCCCGTGCCATGCGCTGCACGCAGGGGAAGGACGGCCCTGGACCGGCACCAGCGCGATCGGTGGAGCCAACCTGTGTCTGCAAAATCCCTAAAGGTTCAGTTTCAGTAGCAACGGCGCGTCGCCAGCGGGCACCATGCCGTGCACGATGCCGTCGACCGCATCAGGCTTCTTCATAGAAACTGTAACTAACTGGAATAAAAGGACAGCTTGCGGCGGGCTCGTCGCCAGCCGCCGTCGCACTACGACGGTCTCTCCCTGACCCAGAAACGTCTCTGGACTTGCGCGTTACCGACTGGGTCGACGTCGAAACGAACTCGTTTCCGTTGCTAGTACTGACCTCCACATACGCGCATCGTAACGCATCGAACAACACACATACGTTCCGAAAAAAATGGGTAAGGAAAAGACGCACGTTTCCGTGGTGGTTATCGGTCACGTGGACTCGGGCAAGTCGACTACGACGGGTCACTTGATCTACAAGTGCGGCGGCATCGACAAGCGAACGATCGAAAAGTTTGAGAAAGAGGCGAACGAAATGGGAAAAGGTTCGTTCAAGTACGCGTGGGTGCTGGATAAACTAAAGGCGGAACGGGAGCGAGGGATCACGATCGATATCGCGCTGTGGAAGTTCGAGACGGACAAGTACTACTTCACGATCATCGACGCTCCTGGGCATCGTGACTTTATCAAGAACATGATCACGGGTACGTCTCAGGCGGACCTTGCGATCTTGGTGGTTGCGTCTCCTCCTGGAGAGTTTGAGGCTGGTATCTCGTCGAACGGACAAACTCGTGAACACGCGCTGCTCGCGTACACGCTCGGTGTGAAGCAGATGATTGTGGCGGTGAACAAGATGGACGATAAGAACGTGAACTGGTCTCAGTCGCGTTATGATGAAATCACCAAAGAGTTGAACTTGTATTTGAAGAAGGTTGGCTACAACCCGGACAAGGTTCCCAAGGTACCAATCTCGGGCTGGACTGGCGACAACCTGTTCGAGCGAGTGCCATCGGACCATCCGCTTGCCAAGTGGTACAAGGGACCAGCCCTGCTGGAGGCGCTTGATGCCATCGAGCCTCCGAAGCGCCCCACCGAGAAGCCACTGCGTCTGCCCCTGCAGGATGTGTACAAGATCGGCGGTATTGGCACGGTGCCCGTCGGTCGGGTAGAGACGGGTATCCTGCGGCCAGGCATGGTGGTTACCTTCGCGCCCACTGGTCTGACGACTGAAGTCAAGTCAGTTGAAATGCATCACGAGTCACTCCCCGAGGCTGGGCCAGGTGACAACGTTGGCTTCAACGTCAAGAACGTGAGTGTCAAGGAACTGAAGCGCGGCTTTGTATGCGGAGACAGCAAGAACGACCCACCCAAGGCCGCGGAGGACTTCAAGGCACAGGTCATCATTCTGAATCATCCGGGCGAGATCCGGGCCGGGTACGCGCCCGTTGTTGATTGCCATACTGCCCATATCGCCTGTCGGTTTGCGGAGCTCTTAGAGAAAATCGATCGCCGCACCGGCAAGAAGATCGAAGAGAACCCTGAAAAGGTGAAAGCCGGCGATGCCTGCATGGTTCGAATGATTCCGTCCAAACCCATGTGTGTGGAAACGTTTAGCGAGTATCCACCACTAGGGCGGTTTGCCGTTCGTGATATGCGCCAGACGGTGGCCGTAGGCGTCATCAAGGAGGTCAACAAGAAAGAGGCGGAAGGCAAAGTAACGAAAGCAGCAGCGAAGAAGGCATGATCATGATACATAAAGGAATCTGAGAAGTGTATGCACAATGTGCCCATGTCCTCAGCACATGTAAGTAGTAGTAGTAGTAGTACGCCAGGAGAAATACGGAAATGTTCGCACCCTACTCCCGTTTCAGCTTACAACGGACCGAGTTCACGAACGGTGTCATACGCGCTAACGTCTGGGCATCCTGCTACGGGGCATCAACAGGGGCCTTTATTTGCTGTTTCTGCGTCGGCCCCGTGTCGTATTCCTCTCATCTCCTGCCTTTGAACGTGCTGGTCGCTCCGTTTTCTCCGGCTCTGTTGGGCACAGTCGAGGGCGGCTAATGGCAGCGTTCAGGTTCCGATATCGCCGCTTTCGGCTGTTGTCGACGCAGTTCACCTAGAGGCAGGCGTAGCGATCTACGCCTGGGTGCTCAGGTTCGCCATCTTTGTATACAGTCTAGGTGTGCTCTTCGCAACGGTAACACTCGACACTAGTCAGATCATCCCATTTGTGTCCACTGCAACGCATCCGCCTCTATACGCCATCTGGTGGCGCTTGACGGCTTGCTTCGTCGCTCTGTACTTGCCCGTAAGGTATACAGAAGGCACCACTCGATATCCTGACGGTTTCCGCGCCCGATACGCTATGCCACGATCAAAGGTTTTCGCTGGGCGATGCATTCGGCGAGTCCGCAGTTGGCTGCACGCGCAAGAGCATGCTGTACCATTCGATGGCGGATTTGTGGAACTTGATTCTGTTGATGAGGAAGCAGGTACGGGAAGGAGTATCCGGGCTGGAGAACACGTCGAGACATTTCAATTCGTCTATGCTTCTTTTTTCGCCTCTGTGGCGCACGCTCTACTTGAAGCGATCGATGCAATGACGCAAATCGAATTCCAGAACCCTTTTCCATGCAACCAGGAGAGTCGGGGGCCCTTCCGTCGACGTCCACAAAGAGAGATGCCTTTGTCTTTCCAACCGAATTGATTACTAGACATGACAAGTTCAGTGAGCACACATGACGAACTTGTGAACAGCTCGCCGAGGGACGGAGTCGAATCATTTTCGTCGTGAAAACCGGCGGCGCTGATGGCTGCCCCTATTCGTTGGCTTGAAAACTAGAGTCCGAAATCAAGATACATGCTTGATTCGAGCTTGCTGCACGTCACGAAAGGACAAGTACGGAGGATTGTACGTATGCATTGGATGGTGATATCTGGTATTTTGCGCACCCTTGATCAAGATCTTTGCGAATCATCTCGACTCCAATGACGTAACGGAGTCCAGCAGCAACTCGTCGAATGAATCACTCCGGGAAATCCACCAAGCATCTTAACAATGCCTATGAAACCGTAACCCCATGTTGCTGTCCAGCGACTATCGAGACTGTCCATCGAAACCAATCTCGGAATAAAACGTCGTGCGGGGACAGGGCGTGCGCTTCAGGTTTCCATTGTAAGCTGACACGTGTTCCGGCATTTGTATCCGAAACCAGGCAGCAGGGCGTTGACGTGTACCAAGCACCTCAGTTGCAAACCCCGAACCTGTGCAGCTACTGCCCATGATGACCATGATCCCCGCACCCACTTAAATATTGCGTTCTGACTCTGGTATCTCGACGCCACTGGCGCGCTCGTCCAGGTCGAATGGCTATCAGGTCGCTACGGAACCACAAGTCGTTACCGCGCTTTGGTCATGCCTATATCAGGCCGCACGGAGATAACGCGGCATCTCCTCAGCCGACACCGCTCCAGCGCCCCCCGTCGCAGTGCATTTGTAAACGCTGGAGCACGGGTGTCTGCATACGCGTCGCGGTTACCCATTGATACCAACCGAGCGTGCACTACCGCGTAGAATATTCGGAATCGGAACGCCACATTTACAACAAGTCCTTCACCACAAGCCGTACCGCAAGTATCTAGAATCTCTAATGAGCAAAAGGGTATCTGATTGGGCCCTAGGACGACTCAGGATGACGCTGGGTGTACGAACCTGCCTTGCAGAGAGCCGCACCTGCCTCCGTGGCATCGTTGTGCTGTGACTACTGCTCGTGCAGTGCGCGATCGCACCGAAGAGGCCCACACGATAGCTGCAGCCTCCATATATCCACGTGCTTCTGTGCATATCTCCTTGCACAGTGCAGCGTCAATTTGCAGGTGTGCATAGCGAGCAATTAGCGGAGAGTGTCTGTGCAGTGCAGCACGCCAAACGACTTGCCAACGAGTGATCGAGCGCTTCACGATCGGGATAGAGTGTGTTGAGGTGTCGTGCGTTGCTCGCGATGGGTATCGTGCTTCATCGAGCTGCGCAACGCGCACTGGCATACACATCGCATGGTTTGGTATTGGGCAGCATGCGACACATCCCCTGCATACGTTTGGCGCTAGTTTCTTCTGCAATACACGTTCGCTGCATGGCGGATATGCTTCGCAAAGCGGTGGCGGCGTCCAAAGATCGTTTGCGGTGCCGTTCCACCGCCAGCTCCCTTGGCGAAACCTTCTGGCGCGTTTGACGATATCGCAGCCGAAACAGTATCCGCAGCAGTCACGGTGCTCGTATCGGTACTGTTGATGCCTCCAGATCAGCTGCAATGATGACACCAGGCCGATGCGCGACTGTGTTGACTGCGGCGGCACTGGAGCAGGTCAAGCGACAGCGGACGCGGGGAGCCTCACGGCGACGCGTGCTCGTCGTCATTGCCACACGCGAAGGTCCATGATTTCACTCGTTGCCGCTCAGCTTCACTGCAACAGACCTGCCCGCTACGCGCTGTCTCTCGGTCGACTGAATGCTGGGACGAATTCCCGGGCCTCTGCGTTCACCGTACAGTCCATGTCGGGCTTTGCATGCCGCGCTGTCGCTGTGTACAGCGAGCTCGTGCATATGAGCAGTGCGTTCGCACTGCGCGGATGTCGGGAAAGCATCAGGAATTACCGTTGCCAACCAGGCGTCGTCCGCTGAAGCTGAACGCCTGAGCACCATCATCCAGCGCATTGCGTTCCTCGTCGTCACTGTCACTCAGCGACTCGAGTTCACTTGCACTACCATTGGATGCCGCCCTGGTCGTATCGTGCGCCGAATCAGCGGCAGCGTTCGCAGTCGCACCCTTAGATGAAGAGGCCAGGGAGGATGTGCTCGGTTGGGCACTCCGGCTCTGCTGATGGCGACGCAGCGCCTGCGTTCTTGACGCCACTGGATAGTCCTCCTCGCGTGCATATCGATTCACGAATTCTCTCACTTTCTGTTGGAAACGCTGTGGCTCACGAAGATGCAGTGCCGCCGCTTCGCCGTTCAGAGGGTCCTGGCTGTTCGGATACGTGAGCAGCTGCGGTAGGAAAACCTCGAAAACGTTCAAAAGATCGAAGAGCGGCGACCAGGTCTGGTTAATCACATCCAAGCACACAGACCCACTCATCTGGTCGATGTTCGGATGATAGATAGCGTTCACGAAGCCGATACTTGGAGACTTGTATGGGTAGGCCTCGGGGAGCTCCACGTGTACCTTCCAGACACCGCCTTCGTAGGGCGTGTCCTTGGGACCCCGAAACTTCACGTAAAACTCCGCGTTGGAGTCCTCGTTCGCCATTTCCACCTCGTAGTCCGCCATGACCAACTTCATTATGTCCATTTCGCGACGTCTTCCCGGAGACGACATGCTCGTGACAACGCAGAAAGTACTGGGCTTTCGCAAGTCCGTGCGCACTGGCCAACCTTTTTTTAGTTCTCCAAGCAGTTTCACCTATGCACCCTGAAAATAAACGTCTTTCTAAGGAAAAACGCTGCCACCGGCGGGCGCAATACAGTCTTGGCGAGAAACCCGCCCTGGACAAGACTTCTCCAACTGACGTGCAGACGCCTGCCAGCCTTTCTGGAACGGGCACCCACTACTGCTTCCAATTCTTTCTCATATAGTTCCATTTTGAGAGGCTGTCCGACAAAATGCTCTCTTGTCTACGCTGAAGGTCTGTTCTCCATCACCGCACATCGCCTTCAATGGATAGCGGTATTTACGTCCCGGTTCTCAAACTCCATACGTTTCTTGTTATTGATCGTACTTACTGATGCAAGTTGTCCACGAACTTTTGCCATCCTTTCCATTTGCTCTTCCGTTAGCTGTTCGTACTTTTTTATATCTTCAGGGCTCCGCTCGCACTTTTTCATCTCAACTCTCTGGCGTGTACAACCCAGTTCGTGGTTTGTATACGATGCCCGGAACTCATCGATGGGTATCGTAACGAAACGCCTTGCGCACTCTCTGAATGTTCTTGTCGTTGGAGCTGGCCTAGTCCCTTTTTGGGTCTTCCAGCGCCCTGCTCGGTACACTACTAAAAGCCTCTGACTGTCCTCCTCCTTCAAGGCGCTCAACCCATTGAAAAAGTTTGCGAACGCCCGCTGCATCCCCCAGTACAATTTCATAATGAAAAGAGAACACCGGGGCTTTGTATATTCTTTCCACAGCGCCTCCCAATGGGCAACACGAACTTCCATGAATTTCCGAAAAGCTTCCTAGGCCGCTCCGCGGCTCGTCACCTCGCTCAAAGCTTCCAGGTGATCATTCATTCCTGCATTCTACGTCTCGATTTTCTTGCTTGCATTCATGATTCCCGATTCTCGATGGTATCTCGCTCTCGAGAATCTCAACAGACGCATGTCTTTCTGAGGCAAGTTACCGTCAATGCCATCTTCCGCACGCTTGGGTACTGCGATGGTTACGATATTCGTGTTCCCGGGGTCCGCGCCAACGACAAGGTCGTTATCCTGGGGATTATACATTTCAGGGCCCACCTCCATCTTATCTTCATGCTTCGTCACGGGCGAAGCGCAAGGCGCGATGGGACGATCCACCTTCAACCTCCGATACTGTACACACATGGCTACTCCATCGGTTTCGATCATCCCAGCGAATACCTTTTATTTGCTCACTTTGGGACGTTTGAAATCGAAGATATTCTTCCAGTACGTCTCACGGTTTTCACCGGGGAACTCTGTCTTCCTTACATCGAACTCCGGACAGATCTCCCTCATGATGCCTTGAAGGACTCTGGAGCCGATGGTCACACAGTGTGACTCGATGTTGTTCAACGGAACGACGTTAAATTGCTTCCCCATTAGGAAAGCCTTTCGTATCTCCGACGCTTCATTTTTCTCCTCACTCAGCTTCATCTATGCCTCGCGTTCCAGTCCTCGGTCCAGGAACACGAAATAGCGCAGGATGAGGCGATCGTATCTTTTCTTATCTTTTTTTTCATCTCTGATAACTTTTCTGTTCGGTTCGCCAGCCCCAGTACCGCACGATGCTCTTGTATAACCCAACGGATTACAGGAGCTTCATTCTTTCTCCTGCGTGATGTCTTCTTGTCGAAGAATTCGATCTCCTGTTCATTCTGGCAATCCTTCGTGATGCCATTGATAATCGCCCATATTCCTTTGCGAGCGATGCCCGGGTAGAGTGCATAGACGGAGCGTTTCATGAAGCGTTCGAGGTTCATCGTCAAATGGTTCTTCAGGTCCGTATGGTACTTGATCGTCCCGTAGGTTTAAAGATCCGAATCACCCCTGTATCGTGTACCCTCAGGGCGGTACTCGGCGTGATTCTCGTGGAGGGCATGAACCCGCTCATTTCCCCTCCGCGTTTCCCCTGTGCCAAGCATCAGGCGACAAATCAAGGTCCTGTCGAAAACGCTTTCGAAATCTCGACTGGTTTGATGTCCGTCACTGCTGCTGTGCCAGGGAAACTTCGTGCGCCTGATCGCACGCTGGAATGTGTTGTCGACGGGGCGCACTTCGGTGCAATGGATGGAACGTTGCGGAGCGGAACGCTGACAACATCTCCGTTCGGGCGCACAGGAACGACGCGATGCTTGGCAATGACCGCTGTCTGTTTCGACTTATCGGTCTGCGTAAGCGGATGTAACCAAACGGCACCGAAAATGATACAGGAGCGAGCGCACGATCCGCTCGCGCCCTGCGGGGGTCCGTTGCTCCCCTGCGATGCCCTCTAGCGATGCCCGTTGTCTTTACGCTGCATTCCCCGATTCTCTTTTCGCGAAAAGCTCGTACTCAACCTCTAGACTATCGTTTGTGGGATAGTCGGCTACAACCCGCTCGTACAAGTAGAGCGCATTCTCGTTCGTGACACTCTCGTCGATGTAGGCGCGTGCCTCGCGCAGCAGACGTGCGCTATCTCGAGACAGACCCCACAGATGCAGCCGAATACCATAGCTCCTATACTGACGGGCTAGGGAGTCTAGCGCCTCTAGCGCTGTCGCGTCCCAGATGCGGCTACCAGAGAAGTCGATGATCACGTGCTCATGGCCTTCGGCACGATCCCGTGCTGGGTCGAACAGACGACTGAAGCGCTCCGCCGTGCCAAAGAACAGCGGACCGTCAATCCGGTATCCCCGCCATCCGCGCGTTTGCTCGTCCTCCGAAATAAAGCTCTGGGCGGTAATGCGTCGCGACGCTTTATAGGCAAAGACCAGCGCCGAGAATACCACACCAAACAGGACCGCCAGGGCGACGTTGCGCGTTGCTACAGTCATCAGGGCAACGCTCACAATGGTCAGCGAATCAGCGAGAGGTATGGCACGAAACAAGCGCAGCGATGCCCATTCGAATGAGCCCAGCGCCACCAGCACCATAAGGCTTGCAATGGCTGGGACGGGAATCCGAATCATCAGTCCGCTCGGATTTCTCGCCAACACGAGAAGACACAGCGCCGCAGTCAGTCCAGAGAGACGCCCGCGTCCCCCTGATTTCGTGTTCAGAAGCGACTGGCCCAGGAGGCCGCAGCCGCCCACGCCACCGAATAAGCCCGCGGCGATATTCCCTGCCCCAAGCGCTAGACACTCCCGACGCGTGCTACCCCGCGATTCCGTGACTTCGTCTACCAAAGTCATGGTTAAAAGAGATTCCAAAAGACCGATGAATGCGAGACCAAGCGCGGTGCTCAGAATGGCCATCCATGCCAGCGGTGTTGACGGCAGGGCTGCCCAGGATACGCCAATGGCCCCTGACTGTGCCAGCGTGTCGCGCAAAAAGTCGCCAAGCCGCCGCACAGGCGCTTGCGTCACCTCCGCATAAATGGATGCCACGAGGATGCCCGCTAGTGGGCTTGGGAGCCAACGCAACAGCTCAGCGAGGCGGTGCTGCCACCGATGGGTACTATCGGGGCGCCGGCGCTCTAGTCGCTGAATGATCAAGGGCCATACATGGGCGACTCCAGCGGCGAGCGCTGCGACGATCAACGCTGCACGCAACATGTTACCCTGGAGCCAGGGTGCGCCCGGGCTCAGCCCGGTTCCCGCTGGAAGCTGAAACGCATAGACCTGACTTGTCGCCGTCAAGATGGCGATGCCGCTGATGAATCCCAGAAAGGTAGGGTACGATATCAGCCGCACAAACTTTCCCAAACGATAGATCCCGAAGAAAAGCTGGAGTATACCGCTGAGCACCACGGCGGCAGCGACCGCTGCTGCGCCGTACTGTTGATAGAGAGGCGCTTGCAGAATAATGAGCGCTGCAGATGTTCCCGAGATCATGCCAGGGCGTCCTCCCAGTGCGGCAGTTATCGCACACAGGAGACCAGTCGAGACGATTCCAGCGAGCGGCGGCACGCCCGTGGCCAACGCGCAAGACGCCGCCGCAGGCAGCAGCGCCATCGCCACCGTAATGCCCGCCAGCACTTCCTCTACCGTCGAGCGTAGCGGATAGCGCGCTGTGCGTTCGTCCAAAATCCGACGCTCTCCAACGAAATAGCGCCCGATATCCTCACGTGGTGCAACGAGCGGGAAGAGCCCTCGCTCACCAGGCTTGGGACGGTGCCTCGCTTCGGCGTCGGGGGTACCCCCTGGCGCCGAACCTGTCCCCCGTACGCGAGCAAGTGCTCCGCAGCGCGTACGCCGCCTCGCGCGGAACCCAGGCACCACCAGCGAGTTGCACTGGCTCCGGTTCCGTACGACGAAACGTACGCCGCTACCGCTGAAGGTATTCGTTACTATGAAACCGCCTAAAGCATTCTCAACGCCCATGTTCCGACGAAAGTACCTTGCGTGTCCAGTGAACAGGCAGTGCACAACAAGGCGCTCGTGCATTGCCGATGCTTCCGACGCGAGCGCTGAGATCCGTACATGCAATCTCGGATGGCGGGCAGTTTGATCTCCGCATGAATCTATAATGTGGGGAGTATCGGGCATTCGCAATTTTTTTTTCAGTGAGTTGAGTGCCTTGAAGGAGGATGAAAGTCAAAGGCTCGTAGTAGCGTACGAAGCAAGGCGCTGGACGACCCAACAAGGGTGTACACCAGATCCCACGACGAGAACGTATACGGAGTGCGCAAGGCGTTTTGTTATAATACCGGTAGATGGATTTCGAGCATTGTATACACACCATGAACTGGGCTGTACACTTCAGAGGGTCGAGATGGAAAAGTGCCAGCGGGGACCTGAGGATATAAAAAAAGTACGGACCGCTGACAGAAGAGCAAATGGAAAGGATAGCGAAAGTTCGAGGATTGCTTGCGTTAGTAAGTACAATCAACGGCAAGAAACGTATGGAGTTTGTGAACCGAGACTTTAACGCCGCAATCAATATAAGGAAATGTGCGGTGAGAGAGGAAAGACCTCTCGGGTCGACGAGAGAGAATTTTGGAGGAAAACCGCTCAAAGTTAAACTATATGAGAAAAAGTTTGAAGCAGTAGTAGGTGGCCGGTCCAAAAAGACGGGCAGGCTTCTGCACATCAGTCGGAGACATTTCTTCTAGGGCGGCCCGGTCGCCACTACTGTACACCGCTGGCGTCGTTCGCCTCCTGAACAGCGTTCGGTGTCGGCGATGGCGATGGCGATGGCTTTCCAGGCTCCCTAAAACAATTTGTTGAACACCTGCAAACCTAATTCGATAGCGATGAGCGCTACAATTGCTCTTTCAACGCGATGGGTGGTAGAGGTCGCCAGTTCACTATTCAGCAGCGCTAAAGAATCCTGTACAATATCCATGCGCTTATCCAAAAGTCGTGCTCGCTTCTGTAGATCAACAACCTGAACACTCTGATTATAAACAGTTTCACTGCTGGGGTACTCCCAGAAAATCTCCGGGGTATCCAGGATATCTGAGAGCAGTGCGACCGAGTATTTGGCGGTGAGAAGCTGACCGATGCGTCGACGAAGATCGTCTTGGGCCACTGTGCGGAAGCGCCCGTATTTCGCGAGCTCTTCCGGCAGGCGTCGCGTCTCTTCCACCAGTCGATCAATGCTCAGCTCAAATACGAGCAATTTAACGCTCTGTGCGAGCCCAAAAGAGATCGCGAGCATACTCAAAGCGTCCGCATAATCATGCAGAAAAATACGGTCGTTGCGGAACTGAGTCAGCGAGTTGGGTATGCGCTCTTGATTTCGAGACAGCGGCGCCTGCAGCGCTGGACGAAGCTTCGCACGACCAAGGGCAGACGGCATCGGCAGTGCATGCTCAGCGGTCGCCAATCGATTCGGGGAGGCTGGCGCTGCGCTCGCCGCAAGTGCGGCACCCCCAGAGGGCGAAGTTCCATCCGGTGCATCGCTTAGAGTGTCGGTGCTGGACTGTGCGCTGTCCATGAGGTATGAAAATTCAAACTCATGGTCGAACTCCTCGAAGGTGACATTGGAATTGTAGCCGGGTTGTATGTCGCATCGACGTGCCAAGCGCAGCAACTCCCGCCGCGTCTCCTCGTCCACATCCCAGAACACTGCTGCGCCTGACTCGAAGAAAAACACATGACCATCGGCATGTGGCATTCGGACCTGCTCCTGACGAGTCGCAGGCCGCACCCGACAATGCAGTACGTCCCGGGAAAGGGTACTCGCATCCACGGTGGTGACCAGTGGGACCGAGCGAAGCAGGTCGCGCAGTTCTTCCAAGCGATACCCCGAAGCGAGGCAGTAAGCAGCACATATGCGTACTGCCTCGCCAGACGACCCGGAACGGGCCTTTGTTTTCCGCTGTTTATGAACCCGCAGTGTGCTAGGCGAGCTTGGCGGTGGAGGCGGCGGCGGCGGTGGTGCAGCGGGCGTCGAGATGCCACCAACATCGACAACACTCGCCGTCGCCAGCGCTGCAACCTGTAAAGCAGTGCCGTGCGACTGCATCGCTGCAGTGCACGGCGTGTCGGCAGGCACATGGACACGCAACCACCACTGCGTGTGTTTTCTAAGGTAACTGGACAGCGTCCGCTTCTGAAGCGAATCCGTCCATGTTCGCCGGAATCCATTGGACGGGTAACCTAGATCTGAAGAGAAGCGAGCTTGCAGCTGCAAGATCCAGTTAATTCCCCCCTGTCGTCTGCACGCTTCACCAGAGCTGGTGGTCGAACACGTTCCAGCCCAGCGCCCGAGCCGCTGGTGCCGCAGTATCGCGCAGCAGCGCCCCGCAGTTCGTACAGCGCCTATTAATGCAGAGTTCATGCTGCGCTGTTCCCATTCACGAAAACTAGAGCGAAAGCTTCACAGGTACCTTCGCTGGTCGGGAGCGTCCAGACCCGCACTCGCAAGCGGGCAGCACAGCAACTACCCAGGCGAAGGCCCTTCTGGGTACCGCTGTGGTATACGCGCGCGTACGCCGCGCACAGGCGACGCCTTCGTCGACAACCAGTATCACGACCTTCTTAGACGCCCTGGTTGCACGGCAGCTGTTTTTTTGGGCGCGGCTTCACGACAAACTGCTTCGCTGTTTTACGGATTGAGTCTACTGCTAAACTTTGTTATAGCTGTACAGTGCTATCGTCGTTTTCGCTCCAGCTGTGTGTGTGTGTGTTTTTGGTGTTAGCGGTGTTGCATTCAGTGTAACGGTTTCGAGTGCACGAACACTATGGGGTATTCGAAAAAGTCTAGTCTCAACGGTTTCATCGACACGCCGACAGTCTAGCTGCTGGTAAGTATTTCCAATTGAAAGGGGCACCTGTGCGTTTTCATGGCTTTTGGCTCGAGAACGCTTAACCCGCCTTGACGACTGCAGTTTGTGTGCCATGTCTCTCAAAAAAGTTCAATGGAGGCACAGTCGACTGATACTTTTGTATTGCGTGGACGGTCAGGGACCCCGCGTACAAGGACGCTACCGTAGCTACCGACACTGCCGTTTTCCAACATCGAAGCATGCGCTGGTTGTCTGATGTGCACAGGCAAGGGTGCAGTGCAAGCACAAAGTGGCGAGCGTTCTATTCGCGGATCTGTAGAGAGCTTTACAGAACCTGCAATGTATAAAGCGTTTTTTCACATCATTTTATTCGCATTCTAGCTTCCAGGGCGATTTCAGGGCGAGTACCTGCATCTGAACGTTCATGAGTCCATGAGAACGTTCTCGCATCCGACTACTGGATGCGAAGCATGCGATGCGCAGTCTCACCAGCGCCGGACTTCGACCAGTTTCAGGACGAAGATGTATACGAATCCAAGACTGGATGTTGCCGCAACGTGTTCCGCTTCCAAGTTCGCATGCGACTCGCAGTGACTGGCAAGCATCATGCGGCCGGTGACGGTCGGCAATCGTTCCTTGAGCGTGTGCATTTCCGGTGAATCCTCCAGCGCCATTCATGGCGATGTTCCGACTCGCATCATCCGCAAATTATAGGTTCTGAACCTAAATAAACATGCATCGATGCGGAATGAAGCGCGTGAGAACTGCAAGCATCCAACGTGACTGCCACACCTGCGTACCGATACCTCTCTAGGCCCTCTATACTTGAATCAGGACATGCCTGGTTCCAAGATGTCGATGCTTCAACCAAACCCGTTGCTAAAACTCAGAAAACACACAAAACAACGTCTCCCAAATGCTCGGCACGACATGACGACTTTCTGGACCATAAGCACCAATGTTAGGATGGACACGTTCAGTGCCCTGAGCTGCTCACGAGTATTGCTGCCGGGATCAGAGCCGGCATCATCGCCGTCTAGGAACATGCGTCACCAAGCGCATTCTCAGTAGAGCTCTAATCCACGAGCGCATAGATATCACCGCGCTGCGTGCCGTAAACGATACCCTGCACAAGCTGGGGGTAATTCGCAGAATACATCGGCAGAAACAGGGCGCAGTTAATCCCATCCACTTCCTCGAAAGATCTCCAGTCAAGAGCAGTCGAGGCATCTCCGGGTGCAATGCCAGCATGTGGCCTCGCTGCCGGGATCGATCGGAGGCAGTGCATGGACCCCGTGCGCAGGTCCGCTTCAAACAAGTCCAAAATAGGTCTCATTTCAGCTGCTTCCAGCGTTTCCGAGTGTGTCATACTCTCCCGATAACTGTAACCCGCTAGAAAATAGATTCGATCCCTGTCGGGCGATACCTTCCCGAACCCAGTATTCGGGGATGGTACAAACCGTAGATTCGTCAACGCCCTCGTATGACATGCATCCAGGGGCATACGAGCCCGTTCTCGAAGCTCAACTGAAGAAACCGCACCATCGATACTGGTTAAAAAACACGAATCAAGGACAGGAGATTTTCGCGCTTGTCCCGATACCGCAGAAACAGGTAGGATCTCATAGATAACGATGTGCGCGACAAAGGTTGAGGCACCACCACTGGGAACACGTTCCTGGGCAGCACGTACCCAAACGTTCCGCGACTCCAAGCCTGCTGGGGCATGTGCGGTATCAGGTACTGGGGAGCGCACTGCGCTTCGAGGTACGCCGGCTCCATGCGAGCGAGGCGCGCTGCGCTCGGTGCCACTGTGGAGGCTGCTCGCGTGGCTATCGCTCGGACAGTGGGGCGGTGGTCGGCGTAGCTGTGACTGCAGGATGCAGACGAGCAGATACCGACCATCCGTGGATACGCTGATACCCGCCTCGTTGTATGCGACGACCTGAGGTATTTTGCCGATCAAGACTCCAGGGCACAATGTATTGCACACGGGCGTGCTGCGGCTTCTCTGGAAGCCGTAGCCGCTGCCACCAACGTCACCATTACTACTACTGTTGGGAGCGCTGTCGATATATCTCAGCGGCTCTTCTCTCAGCTGGTACAGCTGAATATCAAGGGTGAATGGAGCGGCCGCCACACGGAAAAGTTCCGCTTCCTGTTCCGTGGAGAGCACCGGTGAACGCGTCCCAACAAGCAGGATGGAGGCCCCTGCGAGTGCATTCACCAAATGAATTGGTACGCCTAGGTAATAGCAGGCAGAGCGCTGCTGCGAGTCCTCTACCAGGGTTTCGTCGGTGGATTCAGCGGGATGCCGCTCAGGCCGCCCCGCAGTTACTCGCTGCATGTCCATAGGGTGCTGCGCGCTGAGGTCAGCTTCATCTGCGTTTTCGTTCGAACGTGCATTCTGAATCTGCCGGCTAGCGTGGCGTGCTCGCCGAGTTCCCACGATCCCTGCCACTGAACTGGACCCAACGGCTTGCCGTTGTCGCTCTCGGTCCGGAGGCCAGGGAAAGCGTGAAGCGCTCCCCAGGGAAGTCTGGAAGCTTGCAGCGTCACCAGCGAGCGCCCCTGAACGACCAGCGCCGATCGTATCGAAAGATGCAGCGGTGTCGAGCGTGCTCGCTGTGGCAACGCTCGAGGCGCGCGTATCTCCCCGAGTCACTCGATCCTCCAGAGCAGTGCGCGTATGGATATGAGCTTCACGACCCGCACTGTAAGTCGACGCTCCCACGAGCACTCTGTTCGTATTGGTCGTTTGCCCAGCAGCTGCAGACCGACGCCCTCGATCTCCGTACAAAGCATGACGCGGAGAGGGCTCTCGTGTGGCCGCAGTACCCGCTCCAATCATCGGTCTTGTCATCGTTCGAAGAAGTGTTCGCGACCAGAGCGTCCGCCGCCATTGCCAGAAAAAGAGCGACCGTCGCGCAGCAATGATGACGACTTCCCCAGACGGATCAAAAACCACACAACTGATGCTGGATGGTCCATATTCCGGGAAGAAGGCAAAGTTCTCCGGGTGCTGTTCACTTACAGTGTATCGCGCTACACATTGATCACGATACCAGACGTAACAGTGACCTCCGAGGCAACCGCTCACCATGAGGTCGGAGTCACGCGGGTGAAAATGCACACTCCACGGAGTACGCGGATGACCGTACAATTCAGCGCTTAATTCGAGTGAGAACGAGCAGCCAGTATCCTGGCACAGTTCACGTACTTGCGAGGATTCCGGGCGCGCATTCTCCGTTTCTCCTCGACGTATTCGATAGGTCCGCACTACATGGTCACCATGCGTCGATGCGAGCCTGGTTCCATCGGCAGAAAGACTCAGCGCGATGGTGCTACGAACGTGCTCAGCTCCGTGGCGGTTCGTCGCGATTCGAATGCGGCGCTGTAATCGCTTTTGCAAGAGAAAGCGCTCCCAGTTCAGCGCGTGTTCCCGGGTATCAGGAGCAGCTTTTGATGGAGGTGTGAGGTGCAGCTCATTGCAGACCCTCTTTGCGGGTCGGAATTCCACTTCTCGGTGTTCTGTCCAGGTCGTCAACATGTCGCAGGTGCGCGTACGTCAGAACTAGAATGTGCGCACCAGGCTGCGCGTAAACTGCAACCCACTAGTTCCCCAGTATGACCTGTTATCGCAGAATATAGAGAGCGCAGCGCTACACAAGGAGCTTCTAGCCTTTACGTCCCGGTCGACGGCGAGCAACGCGTCGTACGTGGCTTCTGCACCGAGGCCAGAACGAGTCCCCAAATGGAAAGACTGGGCGCTTTGGAAAAAGGTGCTTGGCTTAAGATTCCCAGTAAACTGTAGAACGCAGCAGACAAGTTCGAATCAGTATACACACAGTTGGAAACAGCAGCGTTGCTAGAATCGCGCCGCTGGAACACCAGCAGCCGCGAATGCCACTAGCGCCACCACCAGCTATACCCACTCTGGCCAGGAAGCCACGCGATGGACACCACTCCCCGAGCAGGTACACCTACCAGCACGAACTTGAAGCGTCCCGTGGTGCCTATTGAAAACGACTGATCTCCGGGACGCCCACCAGCAAGTCGCTGTACGATGTTTATCGCAGACGTGTTTTAGAGCGCAGGGTCGCACCGGGATCACCCGCTTCGCTTCACCGGGAGGCTCGAAGCGTACCTCTCACCACGAGAAGGCCATCGTAGCCGACTGTGCGTTAAATCTATATCGAGTTCGTGTCTGCTACTACTACTACTGCTGCTGCTACTGCTCCAGTTGCGGCGAGCCCCGCACACCCTAGATAAATGCTATCCCCGTTGACGCAGCGGGTGCTTGCCAGGGCTGCGCACCAGCGATACGGCGCTTTCGGCCACAAGTTCGGCGTTGCATTGGTGCGTTACTGCAGCTCAACTACTTGAACACGAACCTGAGGTGTTTGGGCGCCGACGTGCTTGTCGTACGACGCGTCAAGGCCTTGATATTCTTGGGAACTTGAGGGCTGTTTGAGAGCAAGAGCGTCTTTCCGGAAGCGTGCCTTGGGAAACGAACGCTGCACCCTGCTGCGATTGCAGTTGAAAAAAAGGTGAGTGCGTCGGCACGTATCGGAGTTTTAACGCATCCCTGGCGGTATTCATTAGATCTCGGAAGAAGCGCTATTCTTTTGGGCAGTCATGGCGCACCAGACAGCGGAAGTTCTTCGTCGCGTGCCGACAGAGGAACTCCTCAAGGAACTGGAACGAAGGGAGGCAACACGAGGAACCAACAAGCAGCAGCAGCAGCGACTTGTGCTGATTGGACCTCCTGGAAGCGGCAAGGGGACGCAAGCCTCTTTCTTGAGGGAGCGACTCTGCTTATGTCAGTTGGCAACCGGTGACCTTTTGCGGAATGCTGTTGCTCAAGGCACAGAGCTCGGAAAGGAAGCGAAGAAAGTTATGGAGGCAGGTGGCCTCGTAAGCGATCAAATCGTGCTGGGACTGGTTCGTGAGAACCTCCGCAGACCAGAGTGTAAGAACGGTTTCATCCTAGATGGATTTCCGAGAACACTGGAGCAGGCTCGGAAGCTGGATGAACTGCTTGCCACTGACGGTATCGGACCCTTGAGCGCTGTGCTGAACTTCGCCGTTCCAGATGAACTGCTGAAGCGTCGGATTCTTGGGCGATGGGTCCATCCGGCGAGTGGACGGACGTATCATGAAGAGTTTCACCCGCCAAAGGTGCCCATGCGAGACGATGAAACTGGTGAACCGCTGGTGCAACGCTCTGACGATCAGCCGGATGTGCTCGTGAAGAGACTAGCGGCCTTCCACGCCAGCACGAAACCGGTGCTCGATTACTACGAAAAACGAGGTATTCTGCATCAGATCGATGCGAGCAAAAGTATACCGCAAGTACGCCAGCAGCTTAGTGAAGTCCTGAGCGTTGATCTATCCGATAACACGGAACGCGCAGAGGCCAATGGCTGAGCGCCTGAATGGCGCAATGCCGAGCTGCACGATGTTGCACTGACTAGGATAGGTCGAGAAACTCATAAAGCGTACCCAAAGCGTACCAACCGAAAGGAGTAATGTCAAGCTGCATGACGTTGTGCGAATGAGAATGTATCGGGACATGCATCAAAAGCGCTGAATTGGCCGCAACGACATTGAAAGTTCCACGGCCTGAGGGAAGCTCACGAAAACTCAACCCAATGCATGCATGCTAATAGCAACGTGCTTTCAGTCTGAACAAGTTTGCGAAGCTGCTCGTATCGTTGGCTGATTTATGCATCATCTGCATTCACTCTTGTAGCGTGAACGACCAAGCGAAGCACACAGGATGCTGCACACCAATCCAATGCGAATCGTTTAACCGATCGTTTATGCTCAGCATCAATGTTCATTTTATGGGCGTATACATTCCAAGCGTACGGGATGTGTCTCCGTGGATACCGATCGTTTATGCTCAGCATCAATGTCAATTTGATGGGCATATACATTCCCAGCAAAAGGGGTGTGTTTCCGTGGACTCGACTATCTAAGGTAATGTTGGTATCAAAGCGCAGATGATTCCTCTCCCCACCAAAGAAAGACCTGTGCACGTGCATGCGTTCCCGGAACCGCATCGATAGCATCACTGCACACCAGGGGATCCTATCGGCGCCACGGAACCGGCATTATCCCGCTGGTGCCAATACTCGCCAAGAAGAAAACCCATCCTCATAGAGCGCTCCACCTATAATCGATCCGACTTTGTCGCGATGGACCAGGATGCTCTCGTCTCATGGGCGTTCCCTACTGGTAGTCGAATGCGAATCGACTTGGTCATGCTCAGCCACAGAGCTCCAGTGATTAACGTGATGCCACTAATGTGTGTGTATGCCAATCAGCCTCGCCTGCAAACGCGCAACTGGAGCGCTTCGAATCCCTGGTGCGATGCCACCAGAGTGAGCATACGCAATTGCATGCACAACTCTTGGACTCCGTCCTTCCAGCAAAGCGCCAGCTTCCTCCTATCGTGTCGTACTGGCGGTGAATTTCAGGGTAGAGCCTCACACCAAGCAATGCCTCGATATGAGACGATACCCTGCTCGATATCTTCGACGCAGGCTAGAGTCGCACGCTTTTTCGTGGCAACGCCTAAACGACCTGCGCTAATGATATCTCGCGGGCGTAGTATGTCGTTTTTGTTGAGGACGATCACGCAGAGACCCGCATGAAAAAGACATGGATCATGCGCATATGCTAGAAAATCCGCACCAAACTTGTGTCCGCTGGTTAGGTAGAATCCTCGGCGCCAAAGATCGCGGAAAACGAGGAAACGAGGTGAGCGCGTGATGCTGCGCCAGAATTCATGCCCGTAAACATTGGTATGATCAAGCAATACCGTTTCCGCCGTGTCTGCATTGAGGACTTCAAAAGGCGCCCTCTCGGTATGGATTCGAATTCGATACGGTCGTACGCGCTTTGAATCCGCTGCGCTCTGAAGCGTCGCCTCTCCCTGGGGTTTGGATGAACGCGCATGTTGTACTGCACTCGCTGGAACTGTTTCCCAGTCGCGTGACTCAGAGCGATAGCGCTGACTCAAAACGCTGGATGTGAGCACGTACGCAGTACTCTGCCAACAAGCTCTCGAGGCGAGCCAAACCCGCCGAAAGACTCCGAGCAGAGATTCCATGTGGACGTGCGAGAGCAAGCGCGCAGCTGTTCGAATGGGATCCACGTTTTGCAAGAAGCGTGGTCGCTTTCTCGGAGGTGAAGGCTGGCCAGCATCTTCACACAGCGGCACGTCTTGAGCAGTTGCGGAGCCCTCGCATAACTCGTCGGCCGCCTGGTAATGTCCATGGACGATGCATTCACCGGAATGAGGCCGCTTTCTTGCTGCTGTTTGGCCGAAGCGTTTACGCTCGCGTGCGATTCTCCACTCTTCGGCAGCCATGAACTGTAGCCTTCTCTGTTCTGCAAGCTTCGCTTCGGCGGCCAATTGCTCTAGCCGACTCGTCTCCCGTTCGCTTTCAAACGCCTGACGCAGCTCAGGCGTACAGCCGCGATACCGCGTCCAGGGAGCCTCCTCGAGGGTAATAAAGCCCTCGGTCAATCCGAGTGCCACCTCAACTACATCCAGCGCCAGAGGTAAACCGAGAAACTGGTTTTGTCCGACGTGATTCGCTGCACAGCCGACCAATTCGCCGATAATTCGGTGAACAGAGCGCAGCTGCTCGGCTTCGCGAATGGACCAGACGAAGAACGCCCCAGGCCCACTAGAGACGACGCGAACGCTTTGAGAACTTGTTCGTATTCTAGTATCTGCCTCAGAAGTTTCCAAACTCTGGACACTTGGATACATCACACGCTCCGTAAGCAAGCTCCCAGCACCCTTCGCACTGTAGAGGTCAAGCACGGCGTCCTGGTGCTTTGCCTCGAGATCCACGCGATCACGATCTTTATTCAAGTGCCGAGTAGATACCCTAATATATCCCAAAACACGCAGTGTTTGCGCACGATAGAGCTTAGGCCTGTTCCAAGCCGTCGTAATAGCTCCACCCACAAGCACAGACCAAAGCTCTGGATATAGACGCGCTGGTCTGCGTCTTGACGGATGGGTTGCACCCCGCCGCACTGGGACGCTAGCACTCGACGACATCAATCAGCTGGCATCTATTTCCTGTCTGAGGACGCCCCTCGGGGTCGTTCTTTACGTCGTTTGTGTCGCTTGAAACGGTATGGAGGCATTCCCAAATGAAAACAGACAGGTTCCAGCCCGTTCGCTCATCCATGGAGCGGCATCGCTACATAGTAGCGACTCAGTGCGAGGAGCAGTCGGGCCTCCTGAGATTGACTCCGAATCCGCAACCGGTCTCTGGCGGGACAGAGCGGCATCCTCAGCAGCGGAGACGTCTGTGGAGGCATTGCTGGCAGCTCAGAACGCACTCGCAATGCGCGAGCTTAGCATCCGCAGGACCTACATCGCTGGATTGACCTATCGTATATCCCATTAAGCATTCGTGTGCTGGAGGTCGTAGACCGTGCAAGCGTCCATAAGTAAAATGTTGCTGAGGCCCCGCAGACGGATAGAGATTCCTTTTTGCAGCAAAGTCTATTCAAAGTTATGCAGCCGGTGCCATAGCAGGGTCCAATGGTTTCTGCTCCGAGTGCAAAAGGAAGTCAGGCATTGGGAGAATTCTGGATTCATGCATCGACCGTCGACCAAATCAAGGCTGGCGAAGGCATGCACTAGACCCGTGTCAGATTAGAAGGAAACACTGGGCTAGTAGCTCGGTTCTCGGCTTGAGATTTTTCTAGATTGTTTAGATTGCACGTCTCGAGGTTCGAACGGCAGCTAGAGGGCCTAACGGATTCATACGTAGTTTCAGGATTCTCGCTTGTCTTTTCAGAGTGGCTCTATCGATGTTTGGCGGCTCGCATCCGTTCCATGAGAGGAATCAGGATGATTCGCGACGCCACTGAACATGGGTTCCTAAATTAACAGATATCTTTATCGAGTCCTTTGGTGCAGGTCTGCAGTCTTCTCTTTTTCCTCCCTGTAGCATGTTCAAATCACACATTCATCATGTCCTCGATCTTTATGTTTTTGAAGGTAACTCGTGGGCACTGATGTTCGCGCCTCTGGATTGGCGATGAGAAATGCTGGACGTCGTCCCGTGACGACTTGTTCACAAGCTCATACAGAAGGCGTACTGAACTTGTCACGTCGAATGATTCATGCCCTTCTAAAGACAAATTATGTTCCCTTTTGTGGCCTGCGACGAATGGTATTCCAGAGCAACCGCATGATACGTGACACTGGATACGCTACCAGAGGCACCCGTGTCCTCTGAAAGGAATCCAGAGCAACAGCACGATACCTGACACCGGATGCGCTACCAGAGGCACCCGTGTCCTCTGTTACCGTGGAAAAGGGTCCTGGACCCCGACTTGCATCAACGTCGCAATTACTCCCAGTGGGGAGTGCACCAACGCTTTGGGCGAAGGGAGCGTAAAAGGGTCGAAATCGCTCGAATTGCTTTCTAGCCTGAGTTTCCCTCCTGGTGCTTGTTTCATCATGGACAACATCGGGTTCCACGAATCCTCTGTCGAATGGAACATCCTGCGACTGCGCCTTCAGCGGACTGAGAACTCACCTGGTGAACAGCGCAGAAAACGTCACTGCTGGTATTATAGGGTATCGGGCTCGGCAGCCGAATAGATGCAGCGAGCGGAGCCTTCTTTTCCCGTCAGGGCATGTACAGGACGATGACGCAAGTGTTCACGCCCCAGAGGGCAGCGCTCGGAGGAAGGTTCGTGGTGGGCATATGGGAACACCTGATAAGAGCAACTAGTCACCACTACGACGGGTGCATCTAGATTGCATACAAAAAGGATGAACAGGACAACCGCAGATCGCAGCAATCGCCCGTATATGAAATGCATCGACAACAACCGGAATCGGCGAAATCGGAACTTGATCGCTGCGATCAACATCCATCGACTGCTTGCAACGGAACCGGAAGAGGCAGGAGAGACCAGCATGTTCGAAGTCGCGACATAAGCGAGAGGAAAAGGAAGCAGTTCCAGAAACTGTCTACCAAGGCTCGTGTTCATGATAGTGGAAGAGAATCCCACCGTAGAAAGTACTTGCGTATGATCCAGCTGGACCCGTTCTATTTTGGTGTTATGTGAGCATTGAGCTCACCAGCCTATGAATTAATAGGCGTTCACAGCGGATCATGAGCGTTGAGCTCGGCAGCCTGTGAATTGATTGGCATTCACAGCGGATCATGAGCGTTGAGCTCGGCAGCCTATCGATGGATTGGCGAATAGCGCTTCAATTGGCGCATTCGACGCTGCACACATTGCGTCCGTTGATCCCCAGTGAGGCGATAGCAGGTAAACCTGCGGTGTCTTGTCTCAAGCGCCCGTTGAAAAACTCTCGGTGTCTCCGCTTGTCGTGCAAAAAGCACGTGTTCTCTAACACCGTTTTTTACAGTCACATGTACTCATGCTCGAAGCTGTTGCGCTTCTTGCTCGTAGTGATCGCTACCGGACTCAGTCCCGGCGGTATGGCGCTAGCGAAAGACGTGTGCCCGTACTGTGCAGACCTCGGCCGAGCTTGTCAGGTTCAGAGCCAGCGCTGTGTGCCGTGCACCAGCTCTGCGAACTGCTCCTCGCTCCAGAGCTGTAACATCAACACGGGCTACTGCGATCCAAAGTCGCTCTTTCATCCCTTCGTATGGAACGATGGGATCATGGTGCCGCTTATGTTCATTTCATCCGCAGTTCACAACGCTGCTGGTACTGGAGGCGGTACCAGTTACATCGCTTTGTTTGTGCTTGTTCTTGGCTTTCGAGTTGCAACCGCTAGCGCCAACTCCCACGCTTTCATCTTTGCTGGCATGATCGCGAATGTGCTGGTGAACCTGTGGGCACGCCATCCTTTCCGTGATATGCCTCGGATCGACTGGAACCTGGTTGCAACATCAGTGCCGCTCTTCTTGGCAGGCTCCAGTATCGGCGTATTTTTGAATCAGTTGTTCCCAAATTATTTTTTGTCACTTCTCCTGGCTTTCTTGATGCTGCTTCTCACGATGCTCGTCGTCTGGCTTGGTGTTCGTCTGACCTGGCGCGAGATGAAGCGACATCCTCTGGAGTCGAACAGAGATCCATGCCCAGGCGATGTCCTCGCTGAACAGGACTCCCTGACTTGCGGACCAGAAACCTCGAAGGCACACACTAAGACCGCCATCGCCACAGACCTGAGCATGGAAGACAAAACATTGCTGGAGCGCTCGAGAACGTCGACAACCGGTTCATTGGAGGCGTCGTCATGGACAGCTTCCACCGCGAAATCCATGGAAGCGTCGACTGCAGTTGCATCGCCAGGAGAATCTACACCGATCCCGCGCCTCGAGGGCGGAACCCTGCCAGGTATATGGCTACCGCGATGGCTGGACCCGCTGTTACATTCGCGGACGCTCGACGAGATGATGCAATTTGAACGACCCTGGTTTCAATGGCGATATTGGTTGTTTCTCGCCTCATGCTGGAGCGTTCTTTTTGTTGCGCGATATCTTTCGGGATCTCGTGAAGCACGATCGCCCGTGGGCATGCCCCTTTGTGGCGTTGTTTTCTGGGTTGTTTTCGCTCTACAGGAGGCGTTTCTTGTAATAGCGGCCTTGGTTATGTGCCTACGGAACATTCGTCTGCGCCGACTAAGGGAATTACTTGGTTTTCCGAGGTATGTCGACGCGAACGACATGGGAGATTTCCCGCTCCACAGCGGATTTCTCGTCCCGTATATGAGTTTCACTTTTTTGGCTGGCATCCTCGATACGTGGATCGGAGTCAGCGGGAGTGCGCTGCTCGTTCCCTATCTCTACGTCCTGGGGCGCGTTGAACCTTTCACAGTGCAGAGCTCTGTTTCGGCGGTCATTTTCGTGACGTCATCTGCGGGTGCAGTTCAGTTCCTTGTCTACGGCAAGCTGATCATCAGCTACGCACTGTTCTATGGCCTCTGGTCACTGTTAGGATCACTGTTCGGTGTAGTTCTGGTTTACTACATTGCCCTAAGGTATCGAATGAAAGCCATCTTTCTGCTTGCACTAGCGGCTGCATGTGCATTTAGTTTCGGTACATTGGTCTACGTAGGTATTCGGAATGTTGTGCATGTAGCAGCTGCCGATGCGGGCTGGGTCTTTAACAGCATATGCTCGGCTGCCAGCAGGGCGTGAATGAAGGACGCACCCAACGCGCTGAAGCGTCGGTGCGCCTGGAAGCCCATGCGTAGAGTTCCGGTTTCTTCTACCGTGAAGTGACGCTCCTTGTACGTGAAAACGATCAAGAGGGTGCCCTCAGGCGTTGATAGAGCCACACATGAGCATGGCTGATTCCATGGAAGCCCGAGATTCGCCATGATTAGGGTATCGAAGAGAAGTTCACTGCAGGGATCTACGCCGCTCCGAAGTCGCCGTTGCGCATCGTAAAGCCAGCCGCAGCATCCGATCAATCGATGTGTTTCATGGGGTACGGACGACTTGTGGCGAGTCTGGCGCACCTGCGGCTCGCCAGGGTCCGGTAAGGAATATCGACCGAGCGGCGAACTTTCAGTGCAGTGACGTGACGACGCAAGTACTGTGGGAATCTCTCGCTTTCGTTGCGCAGCGTGACCTTGCTTTCGCACACGCTGCATGGCGCAAATGCTTGTAATGTGAAGTCATGGTAGACAGGTACCTGACGCGTACAACAGCACTGTAGCATTCTGAATAGAACCTTTAAACTGTGTAGCAAACATTGGCCATTGGCAAAAAAATCCAACTGCCTGAACTGCCACTCGGTTGTTTAGCAGAGCCTGTGCGTCAAAGCAGCACCCATTGCAATCGTGCGAGTGCAAACCGCAGCGGCCGCGCACAAGGTATGCGACGAAAGTTTGTTTTCTCTGGACCGTCACGAAAAGCGGTTGTGGACGCTCTCACAGATACCAGACTCCAGTATCTCATTGAAAGGTACTCACAGCTTCCGCGCACGTCTCATTTAAGAAGAACCGCTTCTGTTAGTTCAGCATCATGGGAGCGCCTCTTTTATTCCTCAAGAGTTCGAGCACCATCGCGCTATTCTCGCGTTCTCCATGACCTGGTCTCCCGTCACCTGGTTTCCCGATGTTCGGCGTGACGGTACCTGTGGGGCTCTCTTTGCAGTGCAGTTGTGGGTACAGAGCCAACTTGCTCTTGCCTCATATCAAATCGATGAGTCTGTTGAGGTTCTCGAAGACGCGCTTCCATCGCCTGTAATCAGTGACAAGACCGCAGTTCCGCCACTGACGCTTTGCAGTTGTGCCAGCTACTCGCCACTGTGCCCGTCCGGATTGTAGGATGGACTGGTGCAGCAAACCTGTAGCTAATGTTTCTGTCGCGGTCGCTGCTCGGAGGTACAACCGATATGGTGTACCCGTGCGGTGCCTTTCTCGAAACACTAGTGCAACGGCGCTCTGGACTCGTAGACACTTTCTTGTACAGAATGCCAGCTCGCCGAACCTAGACCAGTGCCCCTGGACGCATGACTTGGACCGGGAATCAGGGCGGAATCCACCATTCCTTTCAAAACGTTTCCACACACTGAACAAGCTTCAACCGTGTTTTCCCGTCCAGCACGCACACGAGATCCGTTCAAAAGCCATTCGCATACCAACTCGACTGTCAACGTTTGCTGCGTTTCTGGGTGAAGCACAACTGCCGTCAGCGCTGCGCAGTCTGCTCGAGATCAGAAGAGCGCGCCTCCGGGCCTCGTGCCGCTCCCGTTGCCTGCACTGGAGCGCCCCAGACGCGAGCGTTGCTGCATCCCGGCAATCATAGACACCGATCAGAGAACTTCGCACTCTTCTCGTAGTTTTCGATGGGATCGAAGCGATACACGCAATCGAGGTCCCAGAAGAGATCCAGTTGTCTGTGAATCGATCGTGCGCATCGCAGCGATCGTTACTTCAAACGGCAACACAAAACGCTATCAGCCAGCATGGGCATCAACGCGATCGTGTGAAAATCACGTCACGTTGGCGAACGTGCGGTGGCGGCGCTGGTATGCGATGACGATCGAATCACAGCGCTGCCTGCTGCTGCGCTGGTACCCGTGCGGTGAAGCGCTGCCACAGGCGCAGCGGATAGACCAGGTGTGGTCTCGTCTGTACTCCACCAGCTTCGGTATTGTCACCTGCACCTCACGAATACAGGAAAGCGGAGTGTGCGCGCTTTGAAGCTCTGATAATGGAGGCGGGTATAGGTTCGGAGCGGGCTGCTTACGTAGCGGGTACGGGGCGCGCGGAAACGGCAGTTGAAACGGTGCACGGACCGCCTCTAGTTCCCGAGCACGCTGACGTTCGTGACCCACACGGGCTTCGTGACTTGCGGCCAAGCACCCGGGGTCTGCGTTCTGCTCAGTTTCGAGCGCTTCTCATCAAAACGTACCATTATCAGCGTCGCCAATGGTGCGACTCTGTCTGCATCTTTCTCATGCCCTTCGTTTTCCTACTTGCGGCGTTTATTCTCGGGAAGATCGTGAACTCCTCTATCACACACAAACAAGTAACTGCTGCAGAGCAGAATCCGCGAGGCGGATTCGCACCGACTTTCTTTGACCCTAACCTCTGCGCCGAATACGGCTCCTTGGGTTGCGAGCTTGGGCCTTTTCTGCCCGCAATCGACATTGCAGTCGGCGGGGTTTCCGTGGACGTCCCACTGGTGTTCCCGTACGCGGGGCCAGCGAGCTCTGCGACCAACCTCGGCCGCGTGAACTATGCTATTTGCAATCCCCTGTTTTCGACTTCTGCTTGCGAAGCGCTTGCTGCAGCCGGACCGTCTGTCCGAGAGGGACTCTTCGGGAACTTTACGCTGCTCCCCTTTCTGTACAACGGCTCAGATATCTACAACGTCAACGATCTGTTGCTCAAGGTGTTTAGTAACGATACGTCCAACAAGCGCTACCAAGCCCTGGTCAATTCCTCAAAGGCATCGCCCTCGTATCTGAACAACATCTATGGACTGAGTGTGGAGAGCTTTGGCGATGGATCCAGTGGCCGGGAGGCGCTTCTCCGCCAGCTGTACAATGTCTTCTACACCAGCGATCGTTACGCATTTCCGCAGTATTTCGGTGCTTACGTAATCTCCGATACGAGCTCGTTCCCGAATATCTCTGCGACCGTCTACTACAACAATACCAATCTGAATCTACCGTATCAGTCGCTTCCGTTGACAGTGCCTGCCAATGAGTTTTGCTATCCAGACGGCAACTGCCAGCTTATCGCGGGAGTCAGTCACCTGTACGACGTTGTCGCCAAGGCGAACGGCAAACTCGGAGTCGAGAATTTGCTGCGTATTGTGCCCAAGGTCAAGGGTATTCAGTCCAATTTCAATTTTGTACAACTCGTGACCGCAGTGCTGATTGGCATTCTCCTGCATTTCATGATACCCTCAATCCTACGGAATCTGGTGATGGAGCGTGAGAGCGGCATCCGCCAAAACATGCTCATCATGGGCTTGCGACTCCCGACCTACTACGTGGTGACGTACCTCGGTTTTCTGTTGATGTACCTTTTGGTCATGATCAGCACGGTCATCTTCGGCTTAGCATTCCGTATTCCTTTCTTTACGCTGAATACACCGCTTCTGTACTTTGCAACGTTCCTGCTCTGGGGACTAGCGATGATATCCTTCTGCATGTTCTTGGCGCCGTTTTTCTGGGAACCGTCCACTGCGCTGATCCTGGGCTGGACCTATGTCGTCGTCATCAACTTTATTGGCGGCCAGTATATAGGGAACCTATTTACTTACGGAGCGTCGTCGGCGACGTTCTTGGCCACATTCCTGCTGCCGTCGTTCAGTTTCTTCTATTCAGTCTACTACGCCGGTGGCGTCAACGTTGCCGGTGTTGGCATCCATGTCAGATCCGATAACACCACCGTTCCAGGGGTCAATCTGGGCATGTGTGCTGGAAATTCACTCATTTGCTACTCATATTTATACCTGGCTGTTGAGGCAATCGTTCTGCTGCTCATTGGTCTCTACTTGGACCAGGTTATCCCGCATCGGTTCCAGGTTCGAAAGCATCCGTTGTTCTTCCTCGGTTTCAAGCGCCGCGTAGCGTCAAAAGTTGTCATCGATGAAGAGAAGGCGAACACGCTCACATCCAAGGCGGCTATCGACAGTAGCGTGCAGGCCGAGGAAGAGGCTGCTGCTGCAGCGCTTGCCGTTCCGTACGATGAGAATGCACCGAGCGTCTGCATTCATAGGCTTTCAGTCGCTTATCCCGGCAGGCCACCGTTCCACGCGGTTCGGGGCCTCTCGCTTGCATTGCGACGCGATGAGACTTTCGCAATTATCGGCCAGAACGGTAGTGGCAAATCCACGACCATGAATTGCCTTACCGGCCTGCTTGATATCACGTCGGGCGATGTGCGTATCCTTGGTCTCGAGGTCCCAGGCGATCTCAATGAAATCCAACTACAAATGGGTGTGTGTCCGCAGTTTGACGTGCTTTGGAGTGATCTCACCGGAGAGGAGCACCTCTACTTCTACGCCAGGCTGAAAAATGTCCCGCGGGCAAAAATCCGCTACGCTGTCCAGGACGCTCTGGAAAGCGTGCGGCTGGATGCGCCCCATGTACGGCACCGTTTGGCGCGAAAGTACTCCGGTGGGATGCGTCGACGACTCTCTGTGGCGATTGCCTTGATCGGGGGCAGCAAGCTGGTCATTCTCGATGAACCATCCACGGGTCTTGACCCCCAGTCGCGGTACGATTTGTGGGCCTGTATTCAGCAGCACCGTGCCGGGCGGACGATTCTGCTGACAACCCACTCGATGGAGGAGACGGAACGTCTCGCCGACCGTGTTGGCATCATGTGTATGGGTCAGATGCGAGCCATTGGAAGGCCGAATGAATTGCGTTTGCGTCTGGGCCAGGGCTATCGACTGGTACTGCAGACAACACTCTCGCGAGCAGTGGTTGCACACGAACGCATTCTGGAAAAACTGAGTAGCAGGGCGGTTTTAGAAGCAACTGTTGGTGGTCAGTTCGTGTACATGCTTCCACGGGAAGACTTGCAGCTCTCGCAGGTGTTTGATGTGATGAACGCCATGCAGCTATCAGGCATCGTTACGGACTGGAGTGTTTCACAGGCCACCCTGGAGGATGTTTTTCTGCGTGTAACCCGCGAGGCAGAGCGCGAAGCCGAAGAGCATCGTGACAAGTGGGGCCTCTGAGCGCCTCTGTTTTTTTCCGCTTGGTCGAAGCTGCAGCGCATATCTCGAGTGACGTACCTGGTCTGCGTCAGATCGATGCTGTTTGCACTGGGACACGGGAGGAATGCACCGCGCTTCCCCGCGGATCCGTGGACGCTACAAATCATAACGCTTTCGGTGCGCTAGCTGCTACTGAAGCTATTCCGCCATCGCGCCACAGAGAAAGCGCCTCAGCATCTGTTCAAAGGCATGGTGATGGATGCAAGACTCAGCCGCCGTATCCTGCACCGAATGCAGACGCAACGTCGCCTCATGACAAAGAAGCTGACACCAGCCAAGTCGCACGTCGGGGCGGGAACTCCAAATGCCTGTCTGTGTGTGTTTATTTTTACCGAAACGCGTACGATGAACATTGTTGAGCGTTTGCGTTTACGCTCACCAGTATGCGCTTGTGTGAACGTCTCTGTTTGTATTTGTGTTTGCACATATCCCGCGCACTTGCCTAGAATTGTAACCATGTTCGTTCGTAAAACTGTGCAGCGTCCACACGATTCAGTCTGGATACCCGTTTGCCCAAATTACGACCTGGATCCCGTTTCCAGGAACATCTCACTTGTTGTTCAGTGGTTTCGTTCAGTTACGCTCGCATTCAGCGAGATCCCCTAGTCGTGCATGATGTGTACGGGTGTCAAGTTCAAGTGAGCGTGCTCTCAACATCGCCAGTTCTCCGGCAGCTGGCGCGTCCCAGAAGCCCTCCACCAAGCATGGAATTTGAGGTCAGGTACACGCTGGAGCGCTCTCCGGGTGCTGATCACATCCTCGCTTGAATTTATAGCAGTACCCTCAGTACAGTTCAAATCTTGATCAGCAGCATATGTTGGGAGCGGTTCTGTTCCATTCGGGGCGATCGATGTACTTTCTACTGCGCGACGGGCGCTTCGAACTAGGGCGCCAAGCGTATAACCCGCGACTCTAAAACGGACTCAAAGAGCGGAGCGTTCGCCTCCATTCTCTACCACTCGGAAGGCACTTGGCTTCGTATTCGGGTAAGACCTCAGGTAGCCATCGAATGATCGCAGCAACGCGATCCTCATCAGCTGGATGGGTGGAGAGATAGCTCGGCGGTGAGCGATGTCCGCGCATAAGCTTTTCACGCAGCGCTTTCATCCTTTCGAACATGGGCGCCATCGCTTGTGGATCGAAACATGCTGCAGCCATCAGATGCAAGCCGATATAATCCGCTTCACTCTCCATGCGTCGACTGAACGGCAAGGTCAGTAGCAACTGCATCAGCAAGTTCGTCAGGAGACGCGTATCGATGAACTGATTGATCACAATCTGCAGTAGCAGGAGGATTTTGGCAAAGGCCAGCTTCTCCGCGCCGTGTCGTGCGACTGCATGGGCAATCTCATGCGCTAAAACTGCTGCAACCGAGTTTTCATCGACGAGGATCGGCAAAATGCCGGTGAAGACCGCGACTTTGCCACCCGGTAGACAGAACGCGTTCGGTTCGGGTGAATCGATGACGACAAATTCCCACTGATAGTGAACGCCTGGTGGACTGATCGCCTCCGCTGAAGCCGCGATTCGTTTCCCTATTCGTTCTACGTATCTACTCGTGGCAGAAGTTGCCGGCAAAATACGTCCATGGTATTGCGTCAGCACCATTTGGAAATTTGCCTTGCCGATGGCGGCCTCCTGGTCAGCAGATATATCGATCATGCGTCGCCGTTGGGTCAGCGGTGCCCGATCGATATGCACCACATAATAGACAACCCCACCAGCAAAGGTCACACCAATGAAGAGCCACTGTCTGGATGAGGGCGAGCCCCATGGAGAGGTTTCCTGCGACTGACGGCGACTGAAATAGACCTTAGTAGGCGGCCGCGGTGGTGACGGAGGAAATATTCCGAACCTGTGCTGCGCACTGCCAGTTCGCAAGTGTCGAATCGCCTGCCAGGCGCTCCGCAGCAGGTGCATGACGACGCGCACCGCACTCTGCTACCGACAGTCGGCAGCGCGTAACGTCCGCTGGCGACAGTGTGCAGACACGATGCCGACCTTGTTCACCACGACCGTGACAGGCACTATGCACTTTAGTGTCTGCTGAGGCTATCACACCACGTCGAGACAGGGACGCGGCGAGCAGAAGCGTACAGCGCTGCGACGAGAGCGCTCCGGCAACGCCTACGAGCTGGCGGCGAGTGTCCGAGCGTCACTGTGCTTGCTGCTCGCCACCGCTGGATCGCGCCTGTATCTATGACCGATCAGACTTTTACGGGAGTGCACGTCACCGGAGAGTTGAATACATGGAAAGCATTTTCGTTGTGCGTAATATATGCATAAGGGGTTCGCTGCGCCCCTCAACTACGCGTGAAGCAGGGCGCGAAGTGCGGCGAGGCTGGCACGCCGACGTGCTATCGTGTCCGTATCGGGGGCAATCGAGGCAAGCTCGGCACCCGGAGGATCGTGCGAATAAATCATGACTCGCAAATGATAGATATGGAGATACATCTTTATTCATGAATGTATGACGCGCTGAAGCGCTCTCTAAGGAATCGCAATGACGCTACGTTACCATGGTGCATTTACACAGGCGTTGCGAAAGACATTGTTGCAGGCAATCGAGGCAAGCTCGGCACCCGGAGGATCATGCGAATGAATCATGATTCCGTAAAGCAAGTCTGTATGGTGGCAATGTTGGTGGCCCAGTGCCTTGTTGAACATGAAGCTCTAGTGCGGCTGTATGGTTGTTTCCCTAGATGACGAGAGCAATCCTGCGTTTGGGAATTGCTAGGTAGATTCAGTGATCCTGCAGCATGGAAATGCGCATATGCCTCCGTACCTACGTAGTCGACGACGAATGGATCAGTGGCGTGCATCGTCGACGGTCTTTGTGCTGCTCTTCCGCTCGGTCGTCATGATCTGCAGTAATGCGCGCATTTCTTTGCAGTATCAAGAAGGTTGATGCTCCTGTAGTGGGCAGTGTTGGCGCATCCGTGCGCGTCCGGTTCGACTCGACGATGAAGAACCAATATGAAACCGGCGACAGTGCGTCCAGTGGATCAAATAGCGGCAGAGGCAATGCAGGGATCCGAGCGCCTTCGGAATCTCCATGCGAGGACGCGCGCTTTCATACTGCCACAAATCGATGCATCCAGAGGACTTTGAACGATCCTGCAGATTCATAGGCTTCCATGAACAAAAATCTAGACAAGAGATCCGTCCGCAAAACACAGTGATGTTTGAGGGTTAAGGAGGCACCCGTACAGTCCGACCTCGCCTGCACACTTTGCACCGCTGCGACAGGGTCGGCTCACGATAGAACCAGAACAATAACCAGTAGATCCGAGCGAAAGTATCGGTAATGGACCTTGAAAGCAGATTGAAGTATAATAGACGCTTTCCCTAATGCGAATATTTATCGAAAGAACCGGAATCCCTGGACAATGGAAACTTTGCGTCAACCTGGCTAGTGGACACGTGTCCCCGTGGGCGAGCGCCTGTGCGTCAAGACGAATTCCTGAATGCACTGGGACACGCCGCCACGCAGTCCGCGTCAGCAGCGCTGCTGTTTGTCGGGGTTGCTCACACGTCTTTGCGTGCTACCTTGCGCAGTGAAGATAGCAATTCGCTACCCGTAGCGGTGCTGGGGTTTGGGACTAGTCTCCATGGAGACTACGTCGGACCATTTTGCGGCGGTGAACCGACGACGTCTCCGGCCGCAGAACTACAAGTGCCCACAGTGCCCGCAGGCGTTCACGTCGAAACAGCACCGTACGGTTCACGTGCGTGTCATCCACGAGAAACGTCGTGACTACGGCTGCGGGACCTGCGGTCAAACATTTTCTCGAAAAAGCGCACAGGTGAGTCATATTCGGTACGTTCACGAAGGCCGTCGTGACCACGAGTGCCCGATTTGCAAAGTACGCTTCGGGCGCCGGAACGGCCTCAACAAACACGTTGTCGCTGTTCACTGGAAACGACGAACTTTCAGATGTGACTGTGGTGCAGCCTTTACCCGAAAAGATTGTCTCCTACGGCATCAGCGGGGTGTCCACGAGGGTCAGAGCCGACCGGGGCAATCAAGCGTGCAGTCGCCCTCGTACGGGAGCGGCTTAGCGCACGGCTCCGCCGCCCTAGTGCGGACCCCGGTGCCCTCGAAAACGACCACGTCAAACGCTTCTCCCCGCTCGCCTCTATCGAAGCCGATGGCGAGCTCGGGTGCGAGCGGCGCTCCGAGTTCATCCGGTGCGTTTACGCAATCATACGCCGACAGGAATAGCCCTTTAGCTGGAACTTGACGCGCTCTCTGTATAAAGTCGCTGACGCTGAGCCTTGGTGCTCGCGCCCCGGCCGCCGACCATCGCCGGCACTCCATTTTTCACCAAGTAGCTTCCAAGGAACTCGAGTGGTAAACGCAAGGGAGAGCACCAAACACTCCTGGCAAGCGGAACACATCATTCATGCTCACGCAATACGCCTTGTGCTGCAGTTGCGCTTGCACACGTCATTACGGGATGCAAGTCGCAGCGAAGATTGCTGTGTCTCGTCGCACACCAGCCTGCTACGTATGCCGTACGTCGGTGCTAGCGATTGTGGTGTCGGTGGATGAGGCGCTCTCGAATTCTGTCCGAGAGCGTCCGCTCCGGGGCCCGGACAGCTGCGAATGCTCCACTCGTGCGACACGGTCTAGCGCAAACGATCTGTCGTACGCACTTGCGAGGCGACATCGCTCTGGAAAGATGCTGCCTGAGAGACGCTTCCGAGACTCTCGTGGAACAAGACCGGGTAGCAGTCATGCCGGCTTCGCTGATGCGCCTTCATCGATTCAATCGAGTGCGTACTGGAATAGGCCGCAGTAGTAGGATTCGATAGCGTCGATATTACTGCTCGAGCAAATAGCATTCTATTCCTCCGGCATTTACCTGGATAGGTGCATGGAGCGAAATGCAGAGCGAAGCATTGGTTTTGCGTACCCAATGACCCTCGGTTCTCGTCGTCGGTATGCACAAAACGCTCTGCACAAGATCAAATTCGAGGTCGCTGGACCTCTGTGGCTTCTATCATTACACTACGATGCGTCCGGATGCCAACGGCAGCATGATCTCGGCTGTATGCCCACATTCGCGCATGACACCCCCTCGCACAGCGTCAAAGCACTGCGTCATTCGCGTGCGATGGACACCTCAGTGGCGCTCGTGCCAACCAATGGTGAAGCCGCCGCTCACGGCTCGCTCGTGCGTACGCCCCGCTCAGGCATACGCCCCCGGGGCATACCGTGATGCGACACCGCCGCCAGCGCCAAACCTCGGCTACGCAGCGCATATGCTGGCTCTCTTCGAAGGCGGCCTTCAAAGCTCGACATCATCGCTTGCAGCACGCAAGGGTACCATGCCGGGCGGCTACCGAACCTGTACTGGGGCTCTTTCCTGTTTTTTCTCGGGGCTGCTCTCAAAACTGATGTGATCATGCTTTTCCATGGCATTCGCGTTGATCGTTGAAGCTTTTCTCGAAGCAATTTGCAGTTTCAAAATTGAATAATAGGTCACGCCAGCCAGTGCAATAAGAATGCCGAGCAAATTCATCATCTCCAAAGGCCGCCCAAAGAACAGAAAATCGGTCAGGATAATTGCGCTCGTCTTGGCGATGCCGAGCACACAATACGTCACCGATGAGGTATAACCAATGACCATGAAAACCGAAACATTCACGCACAGTGCCGCGATCCCGGAATACGAAAGGAGGCGCACATTCTCCGCGGTGTAGGCATAGTCGATGACTCGCCTGCCGGGCTCTTTGCTGAACAAGTCCGCGACAAGAACAAACGGTATCAACATGGCGGCTACCATTGGGGCGACGTAAAGCTGTAATTGCAGCGGATTTGCATCAAGTTCCTTCTGCAAGCGCCCGGTCCAGACCGCGTAGCACGCACAGGCGACGACGCTGATGAGCGCGAAGCATGTTCCCAGAGCATTGAGGTTGAAGTCGGTTGCGAACGCCACCACCATGCCCGCCACCATGATCAATAATGAACGAACCAGCGACGTATCGAAGGATTGATTATAGAAATAAAATTCTATAAACAAAACGACCGGAGTGGACAGATGTTTCATTAGCTGATAAAAAGCCACGGAGTTATGCTGTAGCGACAGGTTACTAAACACGACGAACGATATATTTCCCAGTGCGAGTCTTGCGCACTTGCGCCAGTCCAAGTGTTTCGCTTGAAAGACGCGCACTTGCAAGAGAAGCGCCAGGCCCAGTGCTGTCACGAAATAGTGCCAGAACGTCAGGCTTGTTGCAAAGTGAAACGCCGCACGAAATACTTGCTTGTTCGCTGCGACGATGCCCACGGACGACAAAAAATTGAACGCCATGGCGGCGATACTGCGGGACGCCCCCCAGTGAGACGCTTTCGGTAGCATCTCCCAAATCGTGTGAAATCAATCCGATACAGATATTATTCGTGTGGAGCGTTCGCGAGCGCGCGCCCCCTCTGAAACCACCAGCCGCTCTCGGGTATCGTCAGCGGGCTCTACGACGAGCACCCGAACCCTCTCAACAACTGAAGTAACACGTAGAACCAGTGCCTCTATCTTAAAAACACATTCAAAGTTGACGCTACGTTCTGCAGGAAGAGATCTGCGTTCTCGAGTTGAACAGTACGGATACCGCGTATGCTCCAGAAACGCGTACCGTGCTGCGTGTGCTGTTGCCGGGAACACGCACGCACGTTGGCGCGCACGCAGCGTCGAATGCACGCATACCAACAACAGATGGCGGCGGTGGCGGGTCCCGGCAACCGCGCATCATCCAAACTGGGACACTCTCCGCATTTGTTGCTACAAAAGTGTCGGATTCGAGTAGAACACCGAATGGATCCTAGTGCTCATGCACTGAGATTGTTGCGAACCTGTTTATAGGCGTGCAGTCTCGATTCTCGACGTGCAGCGAGAAGGGCTTACGCATTCATGGGTCGTTTTCGGATGCTCGGGTGAGTCGACGCTGTGGCTCATTCGACGCTCTATTGGTGCAATTCTTGAGTCTAACGAGTATTGTTATCAAGAGGGATCATAAATTTCTAGAAGACGAGATCGTAAAATAACCGATTTCCTTAAAAAGCCCCATGCATACAAGTCTCGGTGATTCTTCTTTTCTTACGAATTTTCCGCTCAAATCACACATGCTTCAAGTTTCCGGTGCTTCTGTTCCAGGGCAACACCGGGGTGCAGCAATGCGCGCTTCTGGATTGGAGCGTGAAACGAGTCTACGTCATTTTTGGAAGACTTGTTCGCAAGATTACGCTGAGCGTTCACTGAAGTCGTCGCGCGAAATCATCGATTCCGTTCGAAAGACAAATCCTGCTTTCTTTGTGCGTGTCGCCAGGACGTCATTCCACAGCAGCATAATATTTCACACAGGATATGCAACCATAGGCTCGCTGTCACCTCTGTTTATGTGAAAAGAGGGTCTTGGCTGCGATTCGGACACGGGTCATCGCAGCGATCATCGCCAGTCGAGCGCGCGTCACGGGGTTGCACGCAGTGAGCCAGAAGCGGATCGGAATTTCTTGACCTGTTGCCGAACCTTGATTTTCCCTCAGGTACTTGTTCCATCATCGTGGACAACGTCGCGTCCCAAACATTCGATATCGAATTAGACAGCGTGCGCTTGCGTGTCCAGCGGATAGAGACCCCGCAGATGGGATCCCCTGCAAAACGCCCGTGGTCAAGGGGTACTGCATCGGTGCTAGCCTTCGTTGGCAATCAAGGGCATGTAACGAGCGACAGAGCAATCGTTCACGCGCATCGTGGCGGGCCTCGGAGCAGGAGTCGGTGTAGTAGCAGATATGGTGAACACACGGGAACAGCTTACCCCAATCACGTGTCGCCGCTGCACAAAGCGCAAGCAGGCTGTCAATGAAAAAGATAAATCCCGCGACATCGCTACGTCGATGAGCCAGACCGCGTTCCAGAATGGATGACGAGTCATTCGGCCTCGAGGCAATTCATAACGATCGCCCTGGCGTCCAGCAGACAGCTCGTGCCATCGAATGAAGCTTACAACCAAAGTATGCGCGTAAACCTGGGCTCCGTTCAGGTTCTTCGACCAGCAACGACTCCCCGGTATCTGCTTCAGAACCACGGTCCAGTGTCGCTTCCGAGAACTGGCCTCGACGCAGCGCCAGTCCATCCGACAATGCTCAAGAAACACTGGCGGATAGTTGCGTGCGGTCCAGCGCGCTGTGCCCAGCAGCCGGGCAGCACCAAGACGCTCGCGAACCGAAAGCTGCTCCGCGCTTCCTTCACTTGCCGCTGTAGAGGAAAAGGTCGCACATTTCCCAACAGTATAGAGTTTACGGTTCCTTCCAGGTACAGAGGTACGCTATGATCGCGGGGTTTACATACGGTGGACCGAAGCAGCCGCGTGCACCAGCGTTCCCATATTCATCAGGTCTGCCGTCGGTGCACGAGGTCACCGAGCCCACCACACGAACCAGCGCATGCTCTGCCTCACTTGCGATTCACGGGAATACGCGCCCGCAGCTTTTCTCTTTGCTCGCGAGTATCCTCCGGAAGCGGCTGCAGGTACGGAGGCAGTCCAGGGAACTTGGGCACGTTGCCAGTGTCCAGAATAGAGCGGCGCGCTAGCGTTGAGCCCGGACGATTTTCTGCCTTGGGCGCCGCCGCAGTAGCCACAGGCTGTTGCTCTTGCTGCTGGGTCGCTCCAGTACGCGCTTCCGCAAAGGAACGCGCCTGTGCTGTCCGCTGACGCTGCTCCTCTTCCTCCTCCTGCTTCGTCTTCGCGCGCTTGGGCACTACCTTTGGACGACCGATTGCAGCCATCGGGGCGCGGATAGGAGGTTTCGCCGCCTCTGGGACATCGTCGTCGTCGTCCTCCTCCCTCCGCTCCGGAACATCTTTAAAAGGAGACTTGACAACACCCTTCTTGACCAACTCACTGGTCGGCGCTGTTTGCGTCACTGGCGGCTTGTAACCCGGTTCACCGGGCTGAGGTTCCGCCTGCAGCTGGGAAACCAACGCTCGCCGCGCCGTCGCAGCCCGTGTACGCCGGCTGCAGCGCGACTGAACCGCACCAGAGCGCGTTCCGATAAAACCTGAGCTGATAACAAACGCCATCGCACCAGCAGACTGTATCCGAAGCAACGCACAGTACCAAACGCGTTCTTCTATGACAGGTAACGCGCACGCGACAAAAGTGTTGGCGTCTGCGTTGAACGCAGCTCGATGCCATCGCGCTGCGGTTTGCGCAGGCGGTTTCCCGCTGCGCCTCAGCGGTGCGCTGTGATCTCCGGGGTCGCCACGAGACGCCCGTCGACGCTGCGCCAGCAAACGGCGCGCTGCTGTGCGCCGAGGAACGCGCTGTCCCGTATCTGGGGGGCAGAGGTGCGCACAATCGGAAGTTATGTACAATATATAGCATAGTTATATATTTATGTCGCAGGCCAGCACACGGCGCGCTGCTGTGCGTCGAGGAACGCGCTGTCCCGTACCTGGAGGCAGAGGTGCGCACAATAAAAAGTTATGTACAATATATTGCATAGTTATATATTTATGTCGCAGGCCAGCACACGGTGCGATGTTGTGCGTCAACGCGCTGTCCCGTACCTGGGGGCAGAGGTGCGCACAATCGGAAGTTATGTACAATATATAGCATAGTTATCTATTTATGTCGCAGGCCAGCACACGGCGCGCTGCTGTGCGCCGAGGAACGCGCTGTCCCGTATCTGGGGGGCAGAGGTGCGCACAATCGGAAGTTATGTACAATATATAGCATAGTTATATATTTATGTCGCAGGCCAGCACACGGCGCGCTGCTGTGCGTCGAGGAACGCGCTGTCCCGTACCTGGAGGCAGAGGTGCGCACAATAAAAAGTTATGTACAATATATTGCATAGTTATATATTTATGTCGCAGGCCAGCACACGGTGCGATGTTGTGCGTCAACGCGCTGTCCCGTACCTGGGGGCAGAGGTGCGCACAATAAAAAGTTATGTACAATATATTGCATAGTTATATATTTATGTCGCAGGCCAGCACACGGCGCGCTGCTGTGCGTCGAGGAACGCGCTGTCCCGCACCTGGGGGGCAGAGGTACGCACAATAAAAAGTTATGTACAATATATTGTATAGTTATCTATTTATGTCGCAGGCCAGCATGTACGGGTGGCATGCATCCATCGTGGTGCCATGATGTGCACTGCGCGATGAAACCTGTCTATCCGCGAGGGCGAATGGACTTTCTCGTGAGCGCGTCAACGGTGCAAGAACCCGGACATAGCGTGCTCTTCTTATGGTGCAGGGTCGTTGCAGCTGACATCCTGCTTACCGATGTAAGGCATTCGCGCATACGCATACGACGATATTGAGGCGACCAGCAGGATTGTTCTCAGAAACGAACACCGCGTCTCCATGGTTTGCAGAGCTGCACTCTCCATGACTCGCAAGCGCATGATCGACAGATCCCGAACGCTGTTCTCAATGAAGAACAATCAGTTGCAGCGACGGGATGCTGGTCGCGCTCTCATTGCGTTGTACGCTTCCCGTGAAGCGACATTTCGCCCCGATACCGTAGAAGAAGAATTCGTCGGCGATGCAAGCCAACGGCCCCGACGAGCACCGTAAGCTTACCAGGTCGTATCAATCCGGAATCACCAGCGCCAGCCAATGCCTGACCCCCGTGTCGCATGCGGACTCGTATGCAGCCCAGTGCGTTCGTGGCAAATCGTCCCCGAGGGTTGAGGCTGCGTCAACGCAGCGCTCCATGTGCATTCGGGGATCTACTGTATTGGCGGCTTCTCCGGAGCATACCCAGCGCCTCGGAATAGGTGCCGAGCGGCCGCGAGCCCAGTCACCAGGCGATCTCGCGGATGGAGAACGCAGCAAACTGGTGACCCCGGGGGTATGCGACATCGAAAAAGCTCTGCTCCTGGTTGTCGATTCAGACCAGCGTTTGCTCCAAGAGCGCCGCATCGCGTCGAGCTTTTGTCCCCCAGCGCGTAGCTTCCGTTGACATGTCGTCGAGACGCACGCTAGCGCCACTTGTCCGCGACGTGCTTCGCGTTTACGGCGTTTCCGCTGTGCTTCGTACTGGCATGTGTTCCCGCGGACTCATGCTGCGCTGCTTGCAGCAATTCGCACGTCCATGCATACACGAACGTGCAGAACGCGCTGGAACCAAACAAACAAAAACAACGGTTTACATGCTCCAACGAACAGGCTCAGGCTCCGACAGCCCGGATGCATACAAACTGTGTGTCTCTCGCAACGCTCGCCCCGGTCGCCGCTGGGCGCTATGCCTCCGGTACGGCGCTTTGCGAAGTATCACTCGAGTCGTATGCCTTCTCGTCTGGTCGCTGCGCTAAACCCGAACTGTTCAGTCAAAGAGAGCATGACGCCGGGTCCGGTAAAACTCGTAGCGGCCTCTAGCGTACTGTCACGCAACTAGCAACATATCGCTTTTCCCGATCAGCTATATCGCAAACATGCTGCGCAGCTCAGCAGTACTCCAAACGTGCTTGGACTGTCTCGTGACTGCTACGTGGGGCGTGTGTGAAGGCACCCTCGAGCGACTAGCGTCAGGCATCGCTTTCTCCCTCTACAAAAGATACATACGCATGCAAACACATATCCATACGCAACCCAGACCCTCAGACAGTACGAATACACTGGATGAGAGAAGAACGCCCATCGCAACAGGCGCTGCTTTCGGTTCCTCCCGAAGAGCGCAGCCTACGCTGCTGCGTAGCGCTTTGCAGGTATGGTTGCATCATAGGGTCCCGCGTCCAGGTCCTCCACCTCTAAAACTCCACATCGATTCCATTGAACTTTACGCGTAGTTTCCTCGGTACGACGAGAGCAGCTTCTAGCCACCGCAGAGTCGAGATCAGCCTGTCAGAGGTGTATAGGAAACGAGCCTCAGCATGGGAACCTCAGCTGAGAGTGAGCAAACAATTGGTTTGGTTGTCATCATTTCTCGAAACCGCCTGCTGGCAAGCGTGCCACTCCAGTCGCAACTACCAGGTACCTGGCTTGTCTCGACGCAGCGGGCGCACCCGGCACCCGCTGCGTCGAAAGCACCCGTACCTTGGCAAACACCGCGTCCGCCGGTGCGACATCGTCCGGTCAAACCGTCCAACGAACACATGAACCAGTTTTGAGACTAGTGGCAGTAGCCTGCTAGCCTTTGGTCAACTTCGTTGCAGCGGGCCTTTGCCAGCGTTGCCCCACGAACGACACGTGCCCGCAAACACCTCAGACCTTGTTCCGCTTCGCAGCAGTGCCAAGTGCACAGCGGGGGCGTTCCCTGCGTAGACACCGTCCGCGGAACTCCGCTTTGTAGGCGTGTCGCGCTATGGAGCCCTGGTACGCCTCCAGGGGGTCGTCACAGGTCTTTCACCGGCTCCTGGTGCCCTGGCGAGACGAACACGAATGGCTGGAGGTTTGCACCGACCTGGTAAACAGCCCGGCGACGGCGATCGCCTCTACGACCTGGCAACAGGTCCATGTCTGGAGAGCAAGGATGGCACTGCCACCAGCAATAGCGGTGCTCGTGGACGCAACTGGAAGCATGGAGCAGCTGCTCCAGACGTGTGCTGCTGTCGCAGTCGAACCGGGTCCACCGCAGTGCTCTCGGTCGCAAGCGCTCCAGACACAGCGCCTCGCAGCAGCACTGGCCTTGTCGCGGGCAGTGAGTGTGCTTACCGACCGCGTACAACAGCGACACAAGTATGCCCAGTCCGTGGGCAACCTTGCAAAGACGCTGGGAATCCCGGCATTGTTGGTGGAGGTTCGACACGCAACCGTTCACCAAACGTTGCCGTCGGTGGCCGCTCTTGTCGAAGCGTACTCTGCCTGGACAGACTTTGTCCGAACACGTTATATTGAAACACGAAAGCGATCGATCGCTTCTTTCGAGAGCAACCTCCGAGCGCTGGCTCGGATGTGGTACTCGACGAGACCCGTACCGCACCACGGCGAGCAGGGTCCAATGCAGCAAGTCGCAGCGCCTCTGCTGCAGGCACCCGGTACCGCGGATACCGACTCGACAGCTGCTGCCTTTGCAGAAGCGCTCTTGCATCCCTCTGCATACGTAGAGGTGCGCTGGTTCGCGGCACTAGTCGCTCAGCACATGCTAGAGTACGCGCGTGAGACCAGTGCATCGGACAACGCGTTACCTTCTCGCGAGCGCCTCGAAGCATGGTTCCGGTATCTCTGTCCCTTGCATGAAACCTGGCCGCACTTTCTGCCGAGTCTCGTTTGTGCACTGGTAATGGCGCTGAGGACAACCGCCGTGGAAACGGAAACTGCCACAACAGACGCAACCGGGATTTCAGGGGCAACACATTCGCCAGCAACTCCACACGCAACAGTGGTGAGCGCTTCCGTGTGGAGACCAAGCGCTGCGGTGCTCCTCGTGGGACTTTTGGAGACACTGCGAGCGCGTCTTTCACAGGCGACCTCGCTGGAACCCTGGGTCATCGATCACGACTGCCACTGGCTCGAGTGGCTTCTCCATACCCAATTTGCACAAGAAAACGATGTATTACGCCTGTACTGCGAGAGGTGGATCCAACAGAGCCGGGTCGGGAAACGTAGACAAGCACCGCGGGAACGAACAAGTCGCACCCTGAAGAAAACGCCCGCCCTGTGGCATCAGACGAAGCGCTGGCGTTGGCGTTGGTGCTGGTGGTGGCAACACAGCCTTCGATATCGAGCGGCTGTGAGCTGGAAAACGGGCCCTTCGCCGCGTTGGGAGCCCCAGTTCGGGCCCTTGTATGGTGCCTGGCGTCGCTGTGTGAGTTGGCCAACGTGCCCGCTGGGTACGCTTCCCGTCGGTTACGACGCTGCAGCGGTTCAGCGTGGAACCTCGCTGGGGATGTGCTCCGCGGATCCCGCTACCAACACCGTGTTCACTGCGAAGGAGAACGAGCTCGCCCAGCGTCTTGTCCAGCGGACGCTCTACCTGCTCGATGAATACGACCAAGTCGAGCACCAAGCAGGAATGAGCGCTTGCGCGGATGCGTCCACGTAGACCAGCGCCAAGCGCCCAACACGTGTGCCACGAACAGCTTCTTGGCACCACACAGACTTTGGCACCTACTCGGAGATGCTAGGGGCGCGCCTCTGACCCTGTACAGTGGCGTTTTCGACGAAATGCAACACGTTCCCTTGGCGATGATGGACTTCTTCTCAGCGAGCGCACCGATAATGATGCTGGCGTTCTCTCTGCTCCACAGGACGACGCTGGGCGGCGGGCGATACGCTGCAGGTCTCGCTGCATCCCGGAACGCACCCTCTATGCCTCGATCACACTGCGTACCTGTCTCTATACATACCGATCATGCAGCATTCCGTGCTTCAAATGCCTTTGCACGCCCCAGTGACTCGCAGAGGCGTTCTCGATATCACAGCGTATCACTGCTCCCGAGCCTCCAGCTGCATCTCGATGCGTCCACCGCTTTAAAAAATATCGGGGCATTGCGACCAGTCGTAGCGCTGCCTCGCTGACCAGTAGCGCCCGTTGAAGCTCCACTCGATATCTCCGGACTGGGGGTCGCGCTCCGGCTCAAACCAGAGGGGTTTCCAGGGTTTGCCGGCTTGTTCCCGCGCTTTCCGGGCGGCGCGTTGTTTTTCCTCGAGTCTCAGTTTCTCTGCGGTTGCTTTGGAGTAGTCCGCGTTCTCCAGGAACCGCTGATCCGGTCGAAACCGAGAGTCCGTAGGCGGCAACACCACTCGAAGTTCCTCGGTCAACTCGTTCAGTGCAATGGCGAACTGCGTCATATGAAAGGGTCCAGAGGCACCCGGCGGTGGCTCCACCGGTCTTGTCCAAACGGTTTCCGCACGAAGCACCCGCGGTTGATCCCCGAGCGGCTCCTGCAGAAACTCCACCCGGAGCGCCGACAACCAGGAACCCGCGAGCCGCAGAGGACACTCGCGTCCGTCTGCGTCGAAAACTCGACCAGACACCGAACCGTATGTGTCGCGTGATCCCCAAAAGGCTCCAGTCTTGGTGAGTTTCACCACACACCGGTAACCGTTACGATGGTTCACAAGCACCATTTCCCCGTAATTATCGATCCACATCTTCCCCACGAGAATGTTATGGACACAAGTAGTCGCTTTCCGATATGTGATGTGATCGTCAAACTCCGGAATATGTACATGGCACTTGCCATACGGGAACACCTCAATACTCTTACCCCAGAACTTGTTGCGCACCTCACAGGTAGTGTGGTAGACCCAGCGCTTGTCACGACCGACGGCATACGAGGCACTTACCGGCGGATGATGGCTCACTTGTTCACAGAGGACGCGAATGGAGGAGGGTTCCGGCGTCACGAATTCGAAGGTCTCCCCCAGGAGCGGGTTAAAGGGTTTTCCGGTGCGACCCAAAGTAGAAGCGTAGTGCGACACCGCAAACGCTGCCACCAGGAGCAGACGCAGTGCAGGGTCCACGGTTGCCGCAGCGCGATCCAGGAGCGCTGCACCCTCGACATCCTCGACTAATCGTTGTAAGAAGGAAATGGGCTCATTAAACACCACAGGTATGGAGATACGGGAGAGATCCTTTCCGACAGCGTCTTTGAGAATGCTCCATAACGAAGGTTTCGGTGGCGTCTCGCTATCTGAAATAGGAAGGCGCCGACGCGGCTCACGAGGTATCGTCACGAAGGTTTCGTTTTGGGGCACTACTACAGCGGACGCACAGCTGCTCGAGGTCTCGGTAACAGCCGATGACGTCGACGACTGGAGCTGGTTATCGGCGCTCGCTGGCGGCTGCGTCAACAGGTTTGCTTCGCACAAGTTCGGCGAACGACGACGGGCCTCCGTGCTCGCCCGTCGGAGACGTTCCAGCACACGCCAAGTGCGCTCGGCTAGTGACTCACTCGATGTCGGTACCCAAGAGGGGCGTATCGCCGACGAGCCTGGTGTGAGGCTCGTCGCCGATATGCCGGCTTCGACTCCGGTCGCTTCTGTGGCGGTTGCTGTGGACGGGCTCGACCATGGCGTCGACACGACACTACCAGAGCCAGCATCGAAGAACTCATCGGTATCGCCTGTGCCATCATCCGTATCCGCGACAGAAGCGACGTGTTGACTAGGTGAACGTGACCGGTCGTTGGTTTCCCATTCAGGAGACGCTTGCGAGAACCATTCGATGCGTTCTAGTTCCCGTAGAAGAGCATCTAGTTGGCGTTGGAGTGCTGCGCCCTCGGCTTCTGCTCTAAGAGCTCGCGCCCTCTCCGCCACAAGGCGATGTCGCCAGAGAGCCCCGTCTGACTGCAGCACATGAATACACCATGTGAGCAGCTCAAGAAGCGCGCTCAGCACAGCAACCACATCGTGCGTACCACCGGCTGACTCCGTGGACGGCTCTTCATTCCAGAGGCCTTTCACGAGAACGTGCAACAAGTCCGGAGGCGATAACTGGGTTACCGCCTCCCGTACATGCCCTTGAAATCGCACCAGCTCGGCAAGCAGCTCCTCACGAGCCTGACGAGCTTGCAGCGTTGCCTCGTCTTCCTCACCGAACTCTCGTTCCAGGCGTGCATCCTCGTCTTCTTCATCGTCATCCTCGTCGGTGGCTGTGCGATCGGCTTCAAGTTCCCCGCGACTACCCGGAGCACTTTCCCGTGAAGCTGCGACAACGACACCGGGAGTTGGACTTCGCTTGCTGGGTTGCCCGTTAGCACCCGGCTCGGACCTGCTGCTGTGGTGCGCATGTTCACTCGGTGGATGATCTCCGGCCGAGGGGTTCGCGTCTCCGGGGGTATCTCCAACTGCCTTCAGTCGTCGTGCGGCCGCTCTTCTCGCCAGGCGTTCAAAGTAGCTCTTCGAACGCAGTAATGCATCGAGCCACTGTTGACACAGGTCATTCGATTCGGCCCGCAGATGGTAGATCTGAGTCCCCGTGTCAATGATCAAACGCGATAACTCCGTATCGTGGCGAGTGATCACTGCCAGCTGCAAATTAATTCGCCCTTTGCACGCTCGTTCAACCTCTGGTGATTCAGGAGCATTCCATGAACCGAAAAGTCGACGCGGTGACAGCAGCGATGCCACACCCGGAGCGTTCGGGTTCCCGGAAGCTGCCGCGTTCGACGTAGCGCTAAGAGCGTGGGCCTCGTCTGCGGCTCCTGCGTGAGCCGTGCGTTCGACGTAGTAGCTGAGCACACCGTTCTCGAGGACGAAGAGTCGACGTTGCCATCCCTTGAGGTAGTTGGTCCACTTGTAGAGGTGACCTTCCATTCGCGGAACACCACGAAACGGCAGGCGATCGGTTTTCGTGGACTTTAGCCTTCTGCTCGCCGGCTTGTACTCGTCTTTATCCGCTGCTGGAAGCAGTGACTGGGGCACAGCGTGTTCGGTTACAAGTGTCGTTTCCGTTGGTTCAATGGATGCTTCCTGGGCAGTGCTGGGTTGCACTGCAGTCCCTGGATCCGTTTCGCTCGCAACTTCAGCCCCAGGCACGCTGCACGTTTCTCTTTTTGCCTTTTCGTCATCCATTTTTGGACTTTTTCTACTAGCGCCACATTCAGCGTCTGGTGCACCGCCACTAGTCACAAAGAGACCCTTGTTGTCGTCGACGGCGTTGGACGCGGGCGCCGGCACCAGCGTCGACTGCGCTGCTCGGTGCACTGGAGTCAGCTGCGCTAGGTTTTCCTTCGTCAACGTTCTTTCGCGAGCATTCGCATCTAGAGCGTGTTGTTCCTGTCCTAGAAAAGGGTCCCGTTCCATAGTGCCCAGCCGGGGTCCACGCTGCGACCCAGGTCCAGCTGCGTCGCTCCCGTCCAAGGGCGTTGTGCGTCGAAACGGCGGCGTTTCTAGGGACAGGCCCGCTGGCGCTTTCCCGTACGCTCGCTAGAGGCTTGCTTCTGGGGTGTGTTCCGCCCGCAGCTGGGTATCATGAAATGCTTTTTCGCCGTTTATAGCAGATGTGTTCAAAGTTCGTTCATTTGGAGAAAAAATATGAGAGAAAGGTATGATGATGATTGTGGGGGGATTCTTATGGACCGTCATCGCCATGTACCTGGAAAAAAATCGGAAAAATCCTCTTCTCGCCGAGCATCGAGCGAAGAAGAGCAAGTGACGAGGTCGCAGACCGGACACAGGCGAGAAAAGGTGTTTTTCCCGACTGGACAACGTCGAGAGTGTCGTGATACAGCGGGCATGAGTTCGAGAGATCCTCGCTAAGATGCGCTCAACCAGAGGCAGAGCACGCCTACGTTTTTTATGGCGAGCAGGCTTACATCCCACAAGCTTCAAGTTTTCCATCTTTTTCTTTCAAGGCAAAGCGCCGCGGTGTAGCAATTGGTGCGGCTGGATCGACGCGGAAACGTTTGCCGCATTGACCCTAGACGACATGCATTCAAGCTTTGGGACCAAGTTCACTGAACCTGTCGTGCCAGCGTATCGATTATGTTCGAAAGCCAAGCAGTCCCGGCTTTCTGGGTATCGGTGAAAAGATATTCCATACCGGCATGCTTCCGCTCGTATGCTATGCTTCCAGAGGCTCCCGCTTCCTCTGCCCTCTCAGGAATGGACCTCAGGCTCGGACTGCGGTCATCAGAGCGAGCGCTTCCAGTGGAAAGCGTTTCATCGCTTTGCACGAAGGGCGCATAGACGGATCGATACTGCCAGAGTCCGTCTTGAAGCTGGAGTCTAATTCCAGTCCACTTTTCGTCATGGATAAGATCGCATTCCAGAAATTCTCCAATGAATGGAACAGCACGCGCTTGCGTGTGTTGTGGAGGGAGCACTCGCCAAGGAGATCGTCAAAAAAGAAGCCCGCGTTTGCAGGGCATCCGGCACACGACACGAAGCAGGGCATCGGGCGGAGCCCTGTGTGTACTCGTCAAAAGAACGTACCGAGCGGTGAAGAAATCGTTCGCGCGCCCCCGGGCGCTGCGCCGAAGAGAGCGTACGCTGGACGGACGGCAACATCTTACCACGATCAAGAGGCAATGCTCGAAAGGGCGCACGAAACCCTTATTCAATGAAGATGAAGATGGCAAGCGAAGCATAGATCGCACCCACCGGCTCTGCGTCAGATACGTGGGCAGCAACTAGAAGCCGCGGAATCGATAGGTAAACGCTGCCATCGACACGCTTGGACTGCGAAAAACGGAGCCGAAGCGTGAGCCCGGCGTCAGTAAATCCCGGAGATAAGAGATAGAGAGGAATAGCGAGCTGTCGCCTTGAAAGTACGCAGAGGCTAGTTCCAACGACAACGGAACCCGACCCGAACTTTATCGCACACGCACGAGGAGTCTATGTGAATGCGGTCCGTTTCATTCCAACAAGAGCGTCCTTGTCGCTGCGTTGCAACAGGCAAAGCGCATTGATACCGTCGACGCAGTGCGGTGCAATTTCTCTCAGGTATCACGAGCTAAATCCTTAAACAAAGCGCATATCTCGTCGTCCGGGTTCTGAATCTCAAGTACCCATATCCGAAGATTGAAGATCAAAGCATGATTCGAGCTTGGTCAGCTTAAAGCGGCTGCGAGACACCAGCATGCTACGCGGTCGGAAGCGCGCTACCAAAGCTCCCAGCACGCTCTGCGCACTACTGAAACACCCTCCGTGCCTTGCTCGCATTTCTGGCGGAGCAGGCGCCTGTCCAAACCAAGTTTCTCGGTGTGTCACATGCTGCTGCTGCTGCTGCTCACAGCGTTGTAGACGTGCTCGAACACAGGACGCAGCAGACGAACCTCGCATGCCGTGGGCACAAGACGACATGCATAGTATGCTTGACGTACATGTTGTATATAATAGTACAGATATATATTACTTATTATATTAAATGAATTTAATGCACATAAAGGACACCACGCAGGCAGCAGCTGCCCCTGCGGCTATCGCGGCTACCGAACGCACCACTTCAGACCGTGCTTGGGGCTTGTACTCAGGAAATTGCCCTGAGTACCCGCCAACGATCCGTCGCTTGTCCGGGGCCAGGACCAGACTGAACGGTGCTCATGGACGTTGGTGTGGAATCGGCTGCGGTACGTCGCTCGGTGCGAACAAGGAAACGCTCGCTCCGAGCTGAGGAGGCCGCACTCGACGAGGAGCTCCTCCTGGAGCACTTGGACGACGATATTGAAGACATTTTACGCTACGGTCACGATGAAGATGAAACCGAAAACGATCTAGACTATGAGGCCGAATTCGTTACCGATGAAGCCGACGGCAAGGCCGTGCAACGTCGAAGCCGTGGGAAAAGACGCCCCAGCGACGCCGACACCGACCGCTCGGCTGTTCGAGACGCTGCAGCTGAGCGACGAGCGGCAGTCCTGCAGGCTGAGAGCGATGCCGCGAAAACCTGCTTTCGAGTTCCCACGGACTTGGCGGAGATCGCAGCACTCGAGCAGGCGCAGCTGGCAACCGGCCTTGGCGTTGACTACGCTCGTGCCTTGCACCTGAAACCGGACCATGTTCAGCGCCCCATTTGGGTGCTACCGAACGGACGAATCTTCCTGGAGGCCTTCTCACCACTCTACAGACAGGCGAGTGACTTTCTCGTTGCCGTTGCGGAGCCATATTCCAGGCCAGAGTGGATTCACGAATACCTCCTGACGCCGTACTCATTGTACGCGGCGGTGTCGGTTGGCCTCGAAACCGAGGCCATCCAAACCGTTCTAGAGCGCCTGAGCAAGACTGAACTACCGCTTTCCGTTGTCAAACTGATTGACAAGTGCACGCGCACATACGGCAAAGCGAAACTCGTGCTTCACCACAATCGCTACTATGTACAGTCACCGTATCCCGAGGTACTGCGCTTCCTGCTCCAGGATGAGCAAATTGCTAGGGCACGCGTTCAGCCGGCAGAGGGTGCGGAAGAGTTTGGTCGGATACGTTCAGAGGCGCTTGCTGCTCAAGCCGACGTGCTTCCATGGCAGAACAAACCGCAGCATAAGGAGCACGAAGCGGAGAAAACAATGGCTCGCGAGCAGCTCATTGAACAACTCGAGCGGCAGCTCGAGGATGACACCGCCAACACCAACTCCAACACCAGCATGAGCACCACCAGCACCGACGATGAAGCGGATCTGCGGTTACCGCAACGACCAACCGGGACCACTGGCAAGCACGCCACTAGCGGAGGACGAGCCGGGCCCAAGTTTTTATTATCATCATCATCATCGCAGGCACCGCCACGAGACGATGAGGAAAGAGCGTTGGCAGCGGCTCGTGAGCTGGGCCTCGACGCAACCATGTTTGCGGAACAGACGCGCTTTCGAGACCTGCTCTCCTTCGAAGTTCATCCCATGGAGGTAGATCAAGTGAAACGACGCTGTCTGGAGCTGGACTACCCGTTGCTAGAAGAGTACGACTTTCGGAACGATACCGTGAACCCATCCATTGTGATCGATCTGAAACCGCAGACTCGTATCCGCCCGTATCAGGAAAAGTCACTGGCGAAGATGTTCGGGAACGGACGTGCGCGCTCAGGTGTCATTGTGCTGCCCTGTGGAGCCGGCAAGACGCTCGTTGGAGTAACCGCCTGCTGCACAATCAAGAAGACGTGTCTGATTCTGTGTACCTCGGCGGTATCGGTGGAGCAGTGGCGACACCAGCTGCTTCTCTGGAGTACCATCGATGAACAACGCATCACCCGTTTTACAGCAGAGCAGCGACCAAATGTGCTTGGTGATATTACCATCACCACATACACCATGGTAGCGTTCGGCGGTCGTCGCTCGTCCGAGTCCGAGCGGCTTCTACAGCAAATCCGTGAACGCGAGTGGGGCCTCATGATCCTCGATGAAGTGCATGTAGTACCGGCGAACATGTTTCGCAAAGTGCTCGGTATCGTGAAAGCGCATTCGAAACTGGGTCTCACCGCGACGCTGGTACGAGAGGATCTCCTCATTACCGATATCAACTTTCTGATCGGGCCGAAGCTCTACGAGGCCAACTGGTTGGATCTGCAACGTCAGGGCTACCTGGCAACTGTGCAGTGCGCGGAGGTCTGGTGTCCGATGACGGCAGAGTTCTACCGCGAGTACCTGCAACGAGGTTCAGCCAAACGTCGTCTTCTGTACGCCATGAACCCTACCAAGTACCGTACGTGTGAGTTTTTGATGAAGTTCCACGAAGCGCGAGGCGACAAAGTCATCATCTTCTCAGACAATATATTCGCGCTGCGATACTACGCGACGCTCCTGCGTCGACCTTTCATCTACGGACCGACTTCACAGACGGAACGAATGCGCATTTTGACGCAGTTCCAGCGGAATCCTGTCTGCAACACCATCATGTTAAGCAAAGTTGGCGACACTTCGATTGACTTGCCGGAAGCGAACGTCATCATTCAGATCAGTGGACAGTACGGCTCACGTCGCCAGGAGGCACAGCGACTGGGTCGTATTCTGCGTCCCAAGCCGCGACCCGATCAGAACTTTAACGCATTCTACTACTCATTGGTGAGTACCGACACCAGCGAGGTGTACTTTGCCGCCAAACGACAGCAGTTCCTAATCGATCAGGGCTATGCCTTCAAGGTCATTGCGCATATTCCCGAAATGGAGACCAGTCCGAGCACCGGCATGCCCGACAAGGAGAGCGAATTGAATGCATTGGCGGCAGTTTTGGCTGCAGAGGATGCCGAAGGTGCCGATACCTCCCTGGCCGATGAGCTGCAACGTCGTCGGCTAGCGCAACTGGCCAACGCCCCGGTACCGAAAGCTCGTCGCGTTGTTCACACCAGCACCCAGAGCTTGACGGGTGCCGGCAACCTGCTCTACGGAGAGTTTACGCACGACGATGCGGTGCCAGCGGCAAGCGTGCCGCCCATGCTTGAACGGCGCGTTGTTCAGCATCCTCTATTTCGAAGACGTCGTCGACAACAGGCAGCTGCAACGAAACGTGCAAACGACTGAGGCACCGCAACCTGCGTTTGCACCGGTCGTCTGCACCTAGTCAGCAAGCTCTCCTGAATTGCACGGCTTGTCGGGCGCGACTCGGGCCTCTCACATGTTCGCTCTGCGATAGGAGACGCAGGCGCGCGGACATAAGCACTGGTGCATGTAAAAACCTCCGGCGATACACAATGCGCTTCTACCCCAGTATGGATGCTACGCGCTGCACCATGAGAGTGCTTCGTTTGGGATGCTCCTTCGCTGTGAGCAATCACTTGCCTGGTCGGTGCCACCGCTGCCATTGTATACGGATGCAGGGAGCAGTCGCTGGCGATGAACGCAGGTAAAAGAGCCCGCAAAACATCGCCGTTTATCGGATTCCTCAGCAGGTAAAACATTGTCGCCGAGCAGACGCCACGTCGAAGCGAGCAGGACATTTGCCCTGGTCGACGTGATCGGCTGAGGTCTGCAGCATCCGCCGTGCTATGCACACACACACACACAAACACACAACGAATGTACAACACGAACGGCAGCGCTGATGCGAATGTGCAGTATCCGCCGTGCTATGCACACACACACACACACACACACGAACAGACAACGAATGTACAGCACGAACGGCAGCGCTGATGCGCATGTGCAGTATCCGCCGTGCTATGCACACACACACACACACAAACACACACGAACAGACAACGAATGTACAACACGAACGGCAGCGCTGATGCGCATGACTTGACGTCTCCTGCAGAGCCGGTCGAAGCGACACCACTACGCTGACGTGGACTCGGAGCTATCACCATCGGCCTGCAACCGCATATGCGGACCGTTCCATACACAATGCATCACCAGCTGCTGGTTATACTTCAAATCCAGCAGCAACTTGGGAGAAACGAGCAGCGTCTGCGGAAACTGAGACGAGGCGTCGTCCGAGACTTGTGCCTCTTCCATCATCATCTGGATGATCGCCCGTTCATTGTGAGGGTCCATCCCTTGGTTGATTTCATCGATCACGCGTATCGGAGGACGTGCATGACGCTGCATGGCCAACAAGAACAGCATGGTGGCGACCATTTTCTCCCCGCCCGAATGATGCTGTGCGGAGAGCGTTCGAAGCGGTTCATTCGCCCGAAACTGGACCTGAATCCGCAACGCGAGGCGCCGAAGCTCCTCGTCCTCAAGCAGGTCCACTTGTCCCGCACAGTGCAGTTGCTGCAAAAGCCGGCTGAAAGCAAGCGATATGGAACGAACCAGGGTACGGAGATCACGTAGCCATCGCTGGGATTCCTGGTGGAGCTCACGAAGCGCAGTGGCATGCTGCGCACGTTCTCGTTCTAGTTGCTGGCGAAGCGCTTCGATCTGTTGCTGCCGTCGCTCATACACCTGGACGACTTCCGCTGAAACGCTGGTGAGGGCATCGGCCCGAGCCTGTGCCCGAGCGATGCGTTCATCGAGCTCCTCGACGCTGGTCGGGAACTGCCACGCACGGAGCTGCTGTTGCAGCGCTGCTGTAAGCGGTGCGACGGCTTCGGCCTCCTGGCGTTTCTGGCGCATCCTGCTTTTGGCTTCATCGACGCGCTGACGTGCATCGTCACGTTGTTGTAGGAGGGTCTGCATTTCCAGTGCAGCTGTGGCAAGTGAACGCTCTCCTGCGCTCAGCAGCCGTTGCTTATCGAGCATGAGCCAGGTTCGCTCAACGAGGGCAGCGATGGCGGCCTGATGCTGTGCAAGTTGCTCGGCACCAGCAATGACCAGTTGCGCATAATGGTGCGCTGCTTCCGAGGCAGCTCGCTGCCACCGTTTTCGTTTCTCGTCGTCCTTTGCTGTGTTCTGCAAGTCGCGCGCAATTGTCTCCATGAGTGAGCGCTGCATGGTCAGTCGTTGTTGCGCGTGGCGGAGTTGTTTCCGATCCTCGAGCAGGGAGGCGAGCTCCTGCTGTAGACTTCGCTCCTGAATGCGTAGCGCTTTCTCTTGCTCGGCTAGAGCGGCGGCTTGGGCTCGCCAATGTGCCCGCTGGGCATCTAATTGTGCGAGTTGGTCGTCCAGCTGCGCCACTTGTCGTTCATCAGGCATCGCGTAGAGGCCAGCTCGTCGCCGTTGGAGCGCCTCTACCCGAATCGAAACTGATTCCGCGTTGTAGCGCGATAGACGACTCCGGTAGCCGTTCTGCGGCGTGAAGACCGCATACACGCGATGCTTGAGCGCGAGCTCGCGAACATGTCGACCAGCCTCGGCATCAGCGACTGCAATCAAATGAATTGGTACAGCGTCGGCGAGTGCTTTTTTCAAGTTTTCCGGTGCTTCGAAACAATCGCTGAGAAAGGCACGTACGCCAAGGGGCTCCACGCTCGCCACCGGGGCCGGTGGAGCTAACGAAACATCGGGACGCACCAACGCTATCGTATTGACGCGCCAGTGGTTTCGCTGGGACTCTTGAAACACGATTCGTTCATCCTCGGGATGCTCGAAAACGAACACCACTTCCAGCCAGCCCCCTAGTACCGTTTCCAGCACATCGCTATAGAAAGCGTCGCTGGTGCGAACTTCCAGCGGCAACGGACCCCAGACTTGACCTCGAAAGCGTCCAGCTTCTCGTTGTGCAGTTATAAACTGGTAACACTCGATAACTTGACTGTGCGGATTCCGACGCTGTATCAGCGCGAGTCTCTGCTGCCGAATGTTACGCAGGCGATCGCGTTGGTTCTGAAGCTCTTGGAACTGACTTTGCAACGGAGCCAGATGCTGCTGTTCCAGGTTGCGCATTGCATCACTTACCGAGAGCAAGCGTTCGGCGATTTGCTGTCGCTCCCGTCGCTTTTCTTCGATGCGCTTCTCGAGTTCCGCTTCTGTCCCAGTACGTTGCATGAGCGCTGCAAGCTCCGTTTCCAACCGCTCGACCTTGTGCTGGCATCCTTCATAGTTGCGCTTGCGCTCGGCAAGGTCCTGGGCAAGGCGTGCGAGCGCATCATTGGCCTCATCGAAACGCGCTAGCGCCTCGTTCATATCGGCCTGCTGTTGCCGAGCTGCAACCGATAGGTCACTCAGAACTTGTTTCTGGGCATCACGCTCGTGTTGCAGTTGCAGCCACTCCTGCTGCATGGCCCGCAGAGGCGCACAGAGACGCTCCCAGTCTGCACATTTGGCCCGGTACACACGATCTACGGTTTTGAACGCGTCCCTTGCCGCAATTGCCTCTTGTCGGCAGATCTCATAGATGCAGTACGGTCGGTAGAGGCGCATCTGTTCGATCTCTTGCAGAAGCGCCTGTCGCTCCTCGTAAAAGCGAAGCTGTGCCTCGAGCGCCTCATTTTGGCGAATCCAGTCTGCAAGTCGAGCTTCATGCGCGGCAAGACGACTAGCCCAGGCTGCACCATTCGCTTGCTGCTCAGCAAGCGCCTCGAATGCCTCGAGCGCTGCACTGCCGAACACTGCTCGAATCGTTTGCCGCAAAAGCTCCGTGGGTGTGCACTCGACCAGCTCCGGCACGCGCTCCTGTGGCAGAAACGTGCAGATATTGTCTAGCTGGATATCGTAGTGCGCACAGAGCTCCTCAATGGTGCGTTTCGAGACCGACTCCCCGTCGAGGGTGAATCCGCCACGACCATCGCGACTAAAGGAGCGTGATATGCGCCGTCGCGTGCCACTGGCATCCGGGTCGAAGAGTTCTACGTCAATGCGCGCTCGTTCGCAGCCGTGCTTGATGTAGGAGCTGAGCACTGGTGCTCTCGACAAGAGCTCCAGCTTGCCTCCAAGTCCGATGCATATTCCTGCTACAATCGAAGACTTGCCGCTGCCATTGGGGCCCACCACGAGATTTAGGGTCCTCCCAGGCCTAATCTCCATTTCATCGAACGCGAGAAAATGGTGCAGTCGGAGACGCAGGAGTTGACCTCGACGCCAGCCCGCTGTCTCTTGCCCGGAGTGACACGATTCGGTCACTGTTGCAGCAGGGTCCAGTTGAATATGGCGCTTATCGCGATGTAGTCGCGGCCGCATTGCTGTCGTCGCCGTCGCGGCATCCGCGGGGCCAGGTTGCGATAGCGCAGCGCTTCCATGTAGAGCACTGCCTGCTGCTCTGGATGGACCACTGGATGTGACCAATCCAGTGGCAACACGTAGCGCAGGAGCTGGCGATACCTTCCCTGCTGTGTCCGCGACCTGATCCGGGCCAGTCAGAGTCTCTGCAGTAGAGCAGCGTCCGAGAGCCGCGGGCAGCGCGCTCGCCTCGCTGTGCGCTTTCTCGTCATGAACGTCGCTCTCATCGTCGCTGCTTGAGGCAGCAGTAAGCGCTCGTTGGCTCTCGGGCCCGGTGAACGTGTTCAGTGCGGGCGGTAACGTGCGTGTGCTGGCCGTTCGGGAGCACTGGGGTATCGACTCCGGTGAAAGTCGCTTCGAGGGCGACTCGCTGCTGTCGCGCTGTGCGCGCGAAGCTACCCGCACTACTGCTGCTTCTGCTGTTGCAGCGGCGGGAACAGTAGATCTACCGTATGTGCTCGATGCGCCCCTGAAAAATTGTTCAAGCTCTTCTTCGGGCACTTGTGCACGTGTCGATGACTTTGCCGCATTACCTCGCTTCCGAACGTTAAGACGTGTCTCGCGTGTTCGTGGTGATACCTGTGCTTCCGCCTGGGAGCATTCCGCGCCTGTTGCGACTTGCGTTTTCGATGTATGCTCTGCCGTCGAGCGCCCGCTTCGAGCGGTACCGTGCTTGTGGCCTTCTTGTATCGTTTCAGGGGCGGCGGATGTGGGTCGCTGCTTGCGTTTCGCAGTAGCTTGCCTGTCCGAGTCCGCCGCGGACGTCAGGTCGGCACGACTGCCGTAGTAAACATCTACCCTCTTATGGGCCGCATGCCTTTCAGGTTCTTTTCGGATGTGCGTTCGCTTTCGGGACGGTGAGGTCGCCACAAGAGCGGGCTCGTGATCGCTCTCCGAATCACTGCAGAAGGCAAAGGGATCATCGCTTGCCGCAGTGGGTGACTCAGCGTCGATGCCCCGTCGGAGGCTGCTTTCTCGCCTCTTTTGTTGCTTTACCCGAGGCATAGAGCAGCTCTCGACGGAACTGGAATTTCGTGCAACCCTGCTTGGAACCAAGGGGCAAGACGTAGAAGCGTGCCAACGACGCTGCTGCACTGTCAGGCACGAGGTCGCGCCAGCTCCCCAGGCACCGCAAGCGTGACGCTGTGTGCCCGAACCTTGCGATCAGCACCCTCGTAAGCTATTCAGCGGCTGCAGTACCTGAAGTTCCTCTTTCTGGAGCGTTCCGTAAACACTCACTGATGATCAACCGCTTCGTTGGAGTAAGTTCCGCAGCAAAACGCGCCAAAACGGTGTGAACGTTTTGCGCGCCGCTTTTGGCGCGTTCTACGACACCTGCTGAAAAGTGCGCTGTGCTGTGCTGTGCAGCGCTGCATACGCATAGAGAAACTCAAAGAGCAGTGAGGTTTTGAATACCTCGATCAGCGTGCTTTTTGTTCTTATTGGTTCGTATGTCAGGTATTGAACGAATGGGGAGCACCCAGTCGATAGGGAAAATGTCAAGGAAAGCACTTGTGCTGTCACAGTTAACGAACGAGACGTGTCTTTGTTCGACCTGTCAGTTATTCAACGATCTGCGGGGAGAGGAACCATCCTTCTCGTTGTCCTTGTTCTAGAAATCGTACACCCAAAATGGAACCCTTCAAACTCTATTCCTATGAGTTCGCTCTTGCCAATTAATTCCATTCTATACGTTCTTTAAGACCTAGTACAAAACTAGTCACAGGATGCCGAGGTTCCGTACTGCTGCTTCGAAAGGTGATGGGTAGACGTGAACGCTCGAAGCAACCGGTATAATTGTATTGGAGACCGTGCCATATTGAATGACAAACTATTGGCTTCGTCCTGAAATACGAACGCTTCGAATATGGAAGAAAGATGCTCATCTACCTCGATGAGACTTCATTCGGGGCAAATGGTACACCCTAAGACGGGTACTCAGAGAGCGACAAAGCGCTGTCTGTCAAGGACGTATAAGCGAGCGCTCGGATAATATCAGCTCCTGAGGCGATACTGTTATGGCATCGCGTGCCGGTCACGGAACGGGCAGGCTGGTTCTGCCCCAACTCCATTTTCGAAGCACTCTTCGTGGCTTCTCCTACCCAGCTTCTTCACCCTCGATCATTCACGAATCCGCTTCTCATCACTCAAAAGCGGTCACGGAGTTTGCAGTTGCGACTCTCGTTGAGCTGCTATTCGTCCGAGCAAGTCCTTTCTAGTACAATGCAGTCCAAGGTGTCTTCTCTGTCGTCAAAAGACATTTTTGAGCTCACAGTCCAATGGACGAGTCGTTCGTGCCCCTGGCACCATTCTGTACCGAAACCGGCCCTGGACTGCTCGGGTGCTCCTCTGTTCGTGCGCATGCTCGAGTAGAAAGACGCGCTGCGGTCTGTAGGTATGCTCGTGACGGAGGAGTCACGAAAATGTACCCAGGGATTCGGGAATAGACACAGAGATGGGGTGAGCTTCAGTCGTACCGTCCACAAAGAGCGTCTGAATCGCGAAGCGAAAAGGCTGTCGTGTCTGGCCACGATAGTCATATCGTCCCGCTTTTTCGAAGAGAATGCGATGAAACCAACGGGCTTCGAAGAGAAAGTTCCTTCCCAAGACAGGACCAGGAGATACCGGAAGAAAAGCATTTGTTCCAGAAATATACGTCAGAAAACGTTCTTCAAAGCCCTGCTGCTAAAACACATCGACGGAGAGAATCTTCCCATAGATGAGATGCAGGCTGCCACTTAAGGATCGCATAGGATCCTACTTTTGAAAGGCAAACCTTGCTTCGCTCGCCTAGCCGCACCTCGTTCTCCAACTGTTCGTAGGAACTCTGGACACGGGGCTGCCAACTAACCACATCTCTCCGGGATTTCTCGATCAAACTCTCGAATGAAAACACACCTGATGCTCGGTACAGAGGGCTACCATATGGCCTGATCGAAGGATGAACGATGCCCAGCAACGCCTCCCAGAATACCTTGACACTTCGCTGCTGCACACCTGCGGCCAGAATGGCCATAGCGCAGATGCCATAAAGTATGATACCATCCTCAAAACCCATATACGGGGCAAACATTGTCGCCATAAAGTATGATACCATCCTCAGAACCCATATACGGGGCAAACATTGTCGCCATAAAGTATGATACCATCCTCAGAACCCATATACGGGGCAAACATTGTCGCCATAAAGTATGATACCATCCTCAAAACCCATATACGGGGCAAACATTGTCGCCATAAAGTATGATACCATCCTCAAAACCCATATACGGGGCAAACATTGTCGCCATAAAGTATGATACCATCCTCAGAACCCATATACGGGACAAACATTGTCGCCATAAAGTATGATACCATCCTCAGAACCCATATACGGGGCAAACATTGTCGCCATAAAGTATGATACCATCCTCAAAACCCATATACGGGGCAAACATTGTCGCCATAAAGTCTGATACCATCCTCAGAACCCATATACGAGACAATGTTGAACGCCTCGTGATGCGTTCCACGTGCTCGTTGTATGCTCAGGCTACCGGCGTAGAGAAAGGGAGCGCTGATGGGAGGAGTTCTGTCTCGTGTCGATAGAAGCAGTTGACGAGCTGGCTGTGGAGCAGGCATCGAGATGGTAGCGAACCTGGAAGAGATGCCGTCGCAGCGACAGCGACCGTTACTTCAGATCCTCCAAGCTCATGGTGTTAGGTGCCGGCCTCGGAGCTACGCAAGTCGTATCCCGAGGACGGTTCAAATGCGACTACTGCCCTGCACCTTGCGCTATATCGTGCTCCCGAACAGAGCCGCTCAATACAAATCAGAGTTTCTCCCCGCACAGAAGCGCCCTCATATCCTCTGGCGTATATTCGATATGGTTTCCATACGTAGGATTGAGAATCATTATATCACTGTAAACAGTTTTGTGGTGTATGGGTGCCTCATTGCCCTGCGACTGATCTCAACGATTAGGTGCGTAGTATTGCCACAATGTCGCGAAAAGGATTGGCGGAGCTCGCTTACGGTACCGCGTTCATATGGGGAAAATCCAAATAAAATCTCAGACACAACGGTGACCGACGGAATATCAGTTCGCACGCACTTGGTTGCACATAGGCCAAAGTGGACCAACGAGACTCATTTTGAACTGTGCAACGTAGACGAAGAGCAAGACTCGGCGTTGCGCGAGGATCCTGGGTAGAACGGCGTCCTGGTCGTCGCCGTGCCTCTCTTTTTAATCCAGACTACACAGCCCAATACCCGACGGCAAACCAGTTGGAGATGCTCGGCTTTTCCAGACCTATGTATCAAGAGCGTCGAGCATGATTGACACCAGCAGGTATCACAAGAGAGGGAATCACGGCATCGTGACCCTGTTATACGCTCTGAGCACCGTATCGTACTGAAGTGTATACTTAGTACACTCGATCCAGAGAGAACGAGAGCATCTATGTGGCACGTGCGGACGCACCTCGGCAGACGTGTTTGAAACCGCTCTGGGATCGCCAACGATTCGTTTGTACAAAGGCCAGAAGTCCGCTTTGTCAGCTTGTTCAATGCCTTGAGAAAGGAAATGCGCGATAAAACTCGTCATTCGGATGTAGTCTACCGCGCTGGACGTGTGGGCATGCGCACGAGTAGCACGCCATTCCCCTCTGACGAGAGCGTATAACGAGTGCAGGAATCGATACTGTGCGATTACCCCTGATGCCTTCGAGACGACATACAACCATTACGAGCACAAACACAGGACGAAACAGGTCGAGCACAAGATCGTGAAACGGTTATGGGTGCATGACCTGGTGTACTGGAAGCTGACCGAACCTCAGATATTTGAGCAATCGAAGGTGAGAGGCTCGCTGTGGAGCGATTCCACCTGCAACAGAACGTGCAAGCACTTGCTGTTGCGCGACTTGATCGCTTCGCTCAAAATCAGGAAATATCTCAAGTCCTTCCACAATTTCTCCCGGCTTTTTGTCGAGCAAGCTTTCGATAAAATCACTGAATACTCGGCATGCGCTTGGTGCTCAAGTGCTGCACGCTTCCGGTGAAAATAAAACAGGTGGCCAGGAGAATCAACAATGGATTCCCCCCTGGAGCAAGGCATTAATTGGGTACATTCAACGAGCCAGAAAAGCTGGAGCGCTGTTCATGTATCCGTCGGGGACGATTCTCGTGGGCACTGTTGAACCGTCCTGGTAACCTCCAAGTCTACCATACGAGTTCAAGAAACATGATCAGGATCATTCCATTCCATCCACACGTTCAACATCGACAAGCTAGCTTGGGATGTTCAGTTTACAATCTAGAAGAGCGTAAACTATCCTGGATATAAAACTAGAACCTGACAACACCACACAAACAATGCTTTATGGAGTGCGCTTTTGCCAGATCTTGTCGCTTTGGAAGACTAGTCGCCGATGTCCATTTCCGTTCGCAGCGCGTCAAGCAAAGAGCAGCAGACGTTTTCGGTACGGCGTTACGGAACGTTTCTTTGCTGGTCAGCTGGGCGGCAGACATCAATCACCCTGTGACTGCAAATAGGCAGAGTTGCAGCGGGGAAGCACACGCGCTTCCACCTACAGGAGACCACAGACGGGACTCCCCTGAGGCTGTACGAGCCTTTGTACGAGTTCCGCATGCAATCGGACGATGCAACGGAGCTCGGAAAGCACGCCTCTCACCAAGATCGAGAAACGCACTCGCCTGAGGATTCAGCTACAAAAGCGCGTGCTCTGGGTACAGCAGCCGACCCGCTTGAGCGCTACAGGGCCCTGCTTAGCGACTCGCGAAGCTCGAGTTCCCGTCCGCCAGAGCTGCCTCTATTGCAGGAGCTCTATGGCGACGTTCACGCTGCCCTGGTAGACGTATGTTGTACGTTTCTAGACCGACTCGCCCGACTGCTCCAGGACGAGGCAGCTACGAGTGCGGCGCTCGGCACTGGCGAGGCGCTGCTACAGCACAACATAGCTTTACTCACCTCCGTTCGAGAGGCTCGCGCTGTGCTCCTGGATCCGGCACAGGGCAGCCTCTGGTTTCCTTTGCGAAAAGCCTATGCGTACAGGTCTCGCCTTGCAGAGGCCGAAAAATGCTATCAGATAGCTGTGCAGGCGGAACGTATCGCGAGACACCTCGCAACCCAAGACGTTGTCCACGACTTGACCTCTTTTGGCCGCACCCTCGCGTCATTACACGAGTCATTGGAGGAACTGCGACGCTTTCCGAGCCTCAAGGCGGCCACAGAAGAACTGTTTTCGCTCGAGGAGCGTTCCTGGTCACAGTTTCAGCAGGCCTGGCGAAAACAGCTGGCACGCTGGCTAGCCGAAATGCAACACCTGCCGAGCACAAACTTAGAAGAAACGGCTGTGAAATCCTATAACTGGCCTGGCATCGAAGTGTTCTTCCTTCGATGTCAGAGACAGGCGGACTTTGTTGAGATTGTAGCCCGCCTTACCGCCGAAAGCATCGAGCAGCGGTTGCGAACAAACGCTGCCGTTGCACGAGTGGAAGAAGCGCTCACCACGCTTGCCACCGAGAGCGCTCAACCAGGAAGACAATTGCGGCTCGTGTGGGGTCCGGGAGCGCTTCTCGCGGACTCGATGACAGCGACGTGGATACTGGGCGGCAAGGAGCAGCTCGAAGCGCTCCAGACGCTGGCAACGCATGTCCCCAGTGCATTAGAGCAATATCAGGAGCAGCTGCAGACGTATAGCAGGCTCTGGCAAGAACTGCTGGAGACCTCTGCTCCGGCAGCAGCGAGGGCGCCTGCTCAAAGTCCGACGACTGATACCGACTTCAAACGAGGCACCAGTGCGTCTGTGAGCTCCTCGCCGCTCGATGAGCGACAGCAGGCAGCGGCGAGCGACGCCTCCTCTGCGCAACAGCCGGATGCCTCCATATCCACCCGTCATGCTGCTCTGGTAACGATGCTCTTTCGAATGTCCTTATCACGTCTCTGGAATGAATTCACCCGCCTCGCGTCCCTGGATACTTTCCGTTCACAGCAAATCCTGGAAGCGTCTACAGCGCCAGACGGGTTCGCTCTAACCCCAGTGGCTGCGCTTGCTTCGCTCACACAGACGCTGTACCGCTCCGGTACCGAGACGCTGCGTTGTTTGTGGCACACGCTGGTGGTAACTCCAACCGACACGTCAACTGTGTCGACAGTTCGCAACGCACTGCTAGAAAAGGAACTGATTCGCGTATACGATCTCTGTCTGATGCCACGCTTGGTTGTCGCTATGAGCGCAGGTCACGGTCTGCTGGCACCGCAAGTCCTCATGGAGGCGCCGCTTCATCCAGAGGGAACCGAAGATATCCCCGAGGTAGCTGCACTCCAGTCGCTTGCCTCAACTGGTGATGCATTCGCTATGCACTCGCCACGAACGCTCGAAGCACTCTGTGTCGAGATGCGGGCCTTATGCGAGCAGTCTGCACAGCAGACGTGCTCGGAACGCACGCAGAACATGCGGAAAGCGACCCGTATCCTGAAGAAAATGACTGGGTTTTCAGTGAGCCTACGTTTGGCATTTGGGCGTCGACTCGAACAGCAGTGGAAGGAGTGGCTTCCCCAGGACTGCGGTCTCAGTCTACTAGGTTCACTGCTTCCGGCAATGCAGGATGAAGTGGTGCGTTTTCAGACATGGTTTACTGAGGCTTTCTGCAGCATGCTGCATCTAGTGCGCGTACAGCGTGCCGAGCCGTCCACCACAGTGCCTAGTCTATCACCGGGGTTGACGTCGAACGGTAGCATCGCCGAAGAGCGCTTGTCGGCGAACGATGCGAGTGACTACTCTCGAGCATTCCAGACCGTCTTCGAGGCGCTCCACGAATTGTTGAGCTGGACGCTAGATGTCGTAGCGTCCGTTGCACATCAAAAAGACGCCACACGACAGGTGCAGGAGACACAGCGGCTTGCAGAGCTTGTTCAGCTACTTGAAGACCAGCCGCTCGCTTTGCAGCGGGTTTCAGAGAGTGCCGTGTCTGCGTCAGCGTCACCGCTCGCAGTCCTCTGGGCACTAGCTCGGGATCCTGCGCTTCGGGACACCTACTTTGCAGACTGGAACGACACCGAGCACCCAGTAAGCCGTTCCGTAGAGCAGCTCGCCAGGAGTGTCGTGCCGGCGCTGGTCCAGGCTCGAACACTCATTCGGGCGCTTGGCGAAGCGCTCTTCGCGGAGACGCTGCTGCGGCTTGAAGCGACACTGCGACTTCCTGGCGTACACCCGGAACCCGACTACGATACCTCGCTGGATCTTCCGGCACTCTCCGAGCATCCCAGTGAAGCGATGATTGCCTTCGGGGAACGTCTGTTGGCCTTACCATCGCTGCTGGAACCGGTATTGTCCAATGTGCGGAGTGTTGTGCATTTGCGTTGCCTGACACTGCCCCTGTCGCTGCCCGACGATACCGCGATGCAGAGCAACTGGGAGGCTCATATGCAGCGTATCGTTGGGCAAGTATACCGCGATTCGAGGGATATGGAACGATCGCCACGGGGATCTGGTACGAGCATCGAACTCGCCACTGCAGCGCGATCCTGGCTGCTCTGTATGCTGACACCGCTCACCGAGAGGGCGTTTAGGGCATTGCGGGGCGCAGAGACTGAACCCTCGTTATCGCAGCGATCAAGGCAGGTTTCCGTAGATCGGACGTACCTCGAGCAAGTGCTTGGACGTCTCGGCTATTTCGGAAACACACGATGACAAACAAAAGTACATCGGTACTCGTGATGCGCTCAGGATCGCCTGAAGCGCCAGCTCAGACGACTTTGACAGTTGCAGAGCGCATGTTCATGCAGGTCGGTGAGCGCTTGTCGGGTACTCAGTGCGGCAGCGCGTACAACAGTGATACGCTTTGTCGGCATGGATTTCCGGAGCCTGCTCTAGAGACCGCTCGTTCTGGTACTCGGATACGTGACATTTCCTCTGCTAGAGAACGTGTCCAAATGGCTCGAGTCAGGTCTACATACTGGCAAGTTTACTGTAATAAGTGCAACGCTCTGGGCTCAGCGGTTGCTTCGACTACTGTTTCTGTTCTTGTTCCTACCATTCCTCCCATTGCGATTCCTGTTCCTGGTGCCTCCAGTTACTTTACACCGCAGACGCATGCATTCATCAGCACACGACACGAGCTCTATGCACGGGTACGGCGGTATGAAAATCGCTCAGGCGCTTGCTGTTGCCTCACGTCAGCAAGTCCCGTCGGTGCCCCGCCGCATCCCTCGAAACAACCAGCGCGCGATGAAGCAGGTTTCGCGAACCAGTTCTTGTTTGTACGGGATCCGATGTTCGCAGTTGTGCCTCAAGCAATGATCGTTGCCAGATACCTGTGGAACCCGCCTGCTTTTCGATAAAATGAGTGCATCTTCGACGCTCCCACACCGACGATCAACACGGAGCGCCCATGTATTCGCTGCGGATTGTGGTGACGCAGCCAAGCCCTTGCAGACAAACGCAGGCATCTGTTCTGGTTGCCTGCGAGCATACCGACGACGCCAAGGCGTCCGGTAACCCAGCACAGGTCTCAGAGCGAATTCTGGTTTTCGTGCTTTCCCTCGACAACGGATATCTCTGTGGATGCCTCTGGAGCTAGACTTGCCTCCGAACTGGGTTCTGCCTCGGCTGCACTGGACCAGAGCCAAGCAGCTGGTTCCGGAATCATCGGCTGTGCGGTAGGTAAAGCTGGTGGCTGATCATCCCTCCCAACCAGATAGATATTCATGTTCTGGTTGGCTATGGGTTCGTATATCCTCATAAACTGCATCTCCAGCTGGGTGAGCGCGGTTAAAACGCTTTCGCGCTGGGTTCGCTCCCGACCGCACCAGGTTTTGTGCACGTGCCTGCGAGCCGCCTCCAGGGTTTCGAACCCGTCATGACAGGCGGCGAGTGCTGCCCCGCGGTTTTGCTTCTCGGTCTCATCCTGGGACCATAGGCTCATTCCCTGAAGCATACGTGCCCACGCAGTGCTCGTCCGCAGCCGAAACCGCAGATACTCTACCCACCCCTGTAAACGCTCTCCATCGACCTCTGTCCGCGAATGCGCATCGGTGGGTGTGATGTCCTCCAGCACAGTGAGCGCTTCCTCGAAGCGCGCCATTGCCGCGTGCGCAGACGCTGCCCAGCCGCTTAGATCTTCATGTTGCGGTAGTGTGCCGGCAGTTGCTTTGGGAAGCTTTGCTCGAAATCCCCGCACAACTGCCACCATCTCCGCGTGCCCCAGACACTGGAGCAGCAGCGCGTCAATCACGGCATCCTGGAGATCAACTGGAAGCGCGGATACTGCCTCTTCATTGGGGTAATGTTCGTTCCGAATCTCCTTCAGAGCTTGAAGCTCTTCTGCTGCTTCAACAAGCAACTGTTGAACGCGTTCGCGCCGCGTATCCCACGCTGGCGCTTTGCGGGGTGCGCTCTGCTTCCGACTGCCGTTCCGGCGTTTCGAGTCCTGATCCGGGATGCGTTCCGGATCAAAGACGCTGTCCGTGAGCTCCCCTTCTGGATCGCTCGCTACCCGCTTGGCTCGCATCAGCGTCGATAACGCCAGTGCGTACACAACGTTCACCACTTCGAAGCCGCTATCGCCTTTATGAAAGCGATCCCCTGACGCAAGCAACCCCGTCCAGGCGTACTTGGCATTTTCCTCGGCCGAGGCGTCTTCTTTGGAAAGCGCTTGCAAATATTTCGCAACGCGAGAACGCGTCAGCCTTTTGACGTGAACCCTGGTCGCCTTCGACGCCCCCGCACTGTCTGCTGCAACGTACCGTTGGCGTAACGAGAGCGCAGTGTCCGCTGCTGTTGCCTCTAGTGCTCGGGTGTACTTGCGCCCAGGAACATAGACGAAAAGGTCCACTGGAACAATCACCTCGAACTGTCCTGTGTCATGTCTACCGTCTAAAAGTGAATAGCACCCACCCATTCCTGAGACAGTGAGCGGTGCGTGAGCTTCAGTTGAAGGAGGAATTGTTTTTTTAGAACATTGGTGCGCGTCGCACAGCTTCACGTCGAAGCGAAGCTGCGATCTCCAGCGGACGCCCGCTGGCTGCGTGCACCGCGTATCGAGCGCCGTTTTTGCGGTGCGCATGATGCTGGGAAGTTTTGTCGCAGATAAAGATTCAGCCTCTCGTGTCGCCTTCGACGGTGCAGGACTGAAGCACCTATGCGCTGCGCAGCATCAACGCGAACGGTTAGAGACAGACAGAAAGGGAATCGCCAACGACTCTGTGTGTTGCGTGAACTTCAGACAGAGCTTGCACACCGTGATCAAGGTTCGTTCAAGCGCTCTTGGTGGTGCAGTCAAGGGTGTTGTGCGTGGCTATCATAGTGCTTTTAGCGCTGGTATCGTTGCTGCACGGAGGCGGAGCGGCCTGACAACGTCTTGAGAGAGACGTCGGCTCCAGAAAGTGCGGCTTCCCGTTGTGTGCCCGTCTAGCGCCTGCATCTGGTTCTTATGGAGAAGCGCGTTCCGATACGGCTGGAAGCGTTGTCGGTGTGAAGGCAGCGCCATCGTCTCGCCGAGCACGGTGGCGCTAGTACGCGCGAATGCATGCCGGGCCTCCGCTGCTGACTGGCGGTGCTTCACGTGGCAGCACGTTCACGCAAGGAACAACAGCGCGTTCAGAGCGTTGCGTTGCCAGCGAGTGCCGGGGTTGCACTGCGCTACAGCCTAATGGCGTTGCTCACCTGCATGGACTAAGTGCCAGTTGGTGGATTCTGCAAAATACGGGGATTCGCTTTGATCGAATGCGAGCGCACGCCAGATGCTTCTCGGAACGCAATATGTCGTGCACGCGATCGGCATTGACGGAGACCGCACTGAGTGTTTCTTATGCAAATGCACTGAACAGTAGCGCATTGCTCGAATAAGCCCATGATAGGCGTCTTCCATGGATGATGTATATCGTTCGTACGTAATTGCACGAGCGCAGATACACTGAACAGTAGCGCATTGCTCGAATAAGCCCATGATAGGCGTCTTCCATGGATGATGTATATCGTTCGTACGTAATTGCACGAGCGCAGATACACTGAACAGTAGCGCATTGCTCGAATAAGCCCATGATAGGCATCTTCCATGGATGATGTATATCGTTCGTACGTAATTGCACGAGCGCAGATACACTGAACAGTAGCGCATTGCTCGAATAAGCCCATGATAGGCATCTTCCATGGATGATGTATATCGTTCGTATGTAATTGCACGAGCGCAGATACATAAAAGGTTTTCGCTCGTTCATGCGGTATCCTCGGCGATGCATCCATCCCATACACACCAAGCATCGATGCTGCGTCGAGTGTAGGTCACCGTAATCCGTACGAATCCATTCCCGCCCCCGGGCAACTAGGACTCCATGCTGACGTCTTTCATGCGACTGCAACTAGGCGACGGATTCCGGTTCCGCAGATGCTTCATAGATTGTTTGCTTGTTTGCTCATCTAGTTACACATATTCAAATGACCACCAGACTTGCATGACGAAAACGACCGCGTTGCTGCACGATCATCTCGGGCTAATGCGAGACTCGTCCTCATGCACGAAAGGCCAAGTTCGGGGTTCATTCAAGTTCTTCCTAGCGATGCCACGCTCTTGCAAGCGCTCGATCTACACCGATGATCGAGACCGTCTCCAGACCTAGTCAGGACGCAAAGTCCATTCTGAGGCCCGCTTCTCGTCCCGTGACGATAGAGCGTACGTACCTCAATTATAGCGTTTCGTCGGTGAGTGTGCGGCGCATCATAGCGATGCTGCGTAGGCCAATGGTTATAGCTTTGTACGCTGTGCTGGGCAGCCGAAGGAGTTGAATGCCGTTCGAGTGCTCTGTCCGCTCTATATTGGACGCGAAACAACTGCTGTCACAATTGACCAGAGAAATGGCTATCCGGTTGGTTAGTATTCGGGAGAGAACGCTCGAAAAGACTGCGCTCTACCAAACGTTCACTTTCTTTATGCAGTCGTTGCGCGTCGCATGGACTTTGGGATGCATTCTGAACGAAGGTTACGCTTCAGGTAGTATCGGCCTGCACAAGCAGAGAGTGAGAGAGACAAACCTTGTCTGTGCTGCTCTTTGTGGGCGAAGGCCGATACAGTCTGCGCATCTTTTTTTTCTGGCAGCGTCTGTGAACGAGTATTCCGCGCCTTCATCCCCGACAACGCCTAATCAGGACATCATGGACCTCCATATGCTACTCTGAACACACCCATGTATGCCACATCATTAATAGGCGTCAAGGACTCAATGTTGGGATCTTTTATCCTGCTTGAAGATTGATCAGTTCGTGACAGGCCTGAGATACCACCAACGCACACCTGGCACAGTTGGAACGGCGACGACCGCCTTGCCTCTCCAAACGCCCGGCGCACCGTATAGTCTTTTTGGCTACGAAGCGAGCCCGTTGTCGTGCCGAGCTCTCGAGCGGTCCGCATCATACTTCGCGGACGGTGCTCGTTTCACTTCGTGCTCAATGTTGCGACTAGGTCGAATGCGTTCTCTGGCGAGCGCAGCAGCGGCTGCAACTGCGGCTGCGGTGCTATCGCTCACCACTGTTGACTCGGGCTCGAACGGGTCTCTGGGAACGCCACCAGCGGCTTTGCGTTTCAACGCGTTACTCAGACGCGCGGCTGGTACCTGGAGCGCAGAGGCACAGTCCCTGGATCTTCGTCTTGGTGGAGGACAGCTGGTCCTTCGGCCGGATGCTTGGACGAGCTGGAAACTGGTACGAGCCACAGCCGAGACGCCTACCACAAAGCGACTTGTTCTGGAACCTATCGCGGATCCTGAGTCCGGTATCACCGTTGCGACAAGCACGCCACTAGAAATCCCACCGATATCTTGCGTACTTTTCCGAGCTACCCCCGGAGAGCCGGCAGGCGAACCCGTGGTCAGACCCTACAACCCTATCAGCCCGCGGTATACCAACGGCCCGCTGACATTCCTTGTGCGGCAATACCCGGACGGACGCATGTCGAACCTGTTGCACGATATGCGTCCGGGGGACACCATACAGCTTAAGGGTCCTTTCGAACAGTATCGTTTTGTGGAGAAGGATCATGCCAACCAGCAGATTGTCTTCATTGCTGGTGGCACCGGGCTAACCCCGTGCCTGCAACTAATCCATGACCTCGTGGAGCGACAGCGGGAACCGGAGCCAGAGAAGCGACCCTCCAAGTTGACGTTGATTTTTGCCAACAACACGGAAATGGAAATTTTGCTTCGCGAGGAGCTGGATGAAATGGCTGCATCCAGTAATGGTTTCTTAGATATTCATTATTTGGTTCGGGAAGCCCCTCTGGTGCCGGGACCGCAACTCATGCAAGGAATCGTGTCGCGGCGGTATCTGGAAGAGCGCCTGCCGCCTCCGGAACAGAACCCACTGATTTTCGTGTGTGGCCCACCGGGAATGATGGAGCTGGTAAGTGGACCTAAGACCAAGGATAAGAAGCAGGGGCAGCTCGCTGGAATCCTCCGCGATCTCGGGTACACAGAGTCCCATGTCTGGAAGCTGTAACGCAACGATTTATCCGAACTTGCTGGAGTGGTACGCAGCGGCACCTCTCTAGGCATCAGGTGTGCGAGAAGCGTTGCCGTGTCCAGTAGCTGCCGCCGCCGCCGCCGCCGCCGCCGCTGTTGCTGCTCGTATGCGCACAGGAGACGTCCCTGGGTGCGGCTTCGAGCTTGTTCCTATTAGGTCTGCGTTTATCCAATTTTTGGCTGTAACATGGAATGGAAGCGCAACATCCAGCAGGAATGCTACTTGCTTGGTTGCCTGCGGTGCGCTGGACCACGGTTTACCCAGCACTGTATCAGCAAACAGGAATACCTACACGTACCCGTGCGTGGAGCACTTGCATCGCCTCCTGGTGATTCGCAAGTGCGAGCGCTGCTTACACGCTACGATGAAAGTGCATTTGCATCCAGCGCAGAGGCTTTTGCGGTTCCTCGCGACAACCATTGTGCAGGGCATGGTCTGGCAGATGGACTAGAAATAGCCTTGCTGTCCTTGAAAGCTGTTGATCAGAGCGGATGGCGGTGGAATGTACCCCGAAAGCTTCACCTACGAGCAGACTCGATGGATTGCGATGCTGAAACGTTAACCGGAGACGCCTGGACGAGGGTCCAGTACACTGCGGTTGGTGAGCGCTGCTCGCTTGGTTACGGAATGAACCCCGTTGTATGATTGCGTAAACGACTGGAAGTATCATGTAAGGAACGAAGTACGAATCCTGAATGTAGATGTTCGGGTGGTCTGCCGAGTGCCCTGGTCCAGGGGCGCGGTGCCGCCGACGCTCCTCACGCAAAACGTGGACGAGCAGGTCCGATGAAGGGCGCTGCCTGGCAAGCGCCCTTTTCTCTCTGTTTCTCAAATAGAGGTGCGAGGTGGCTACCCCATGTGGATTGATCGCAAAGCCGAGCAGTTGATCGCATCCCCGGATGTCGCCAGCGCTGCTACTGCTGGTACTACTACTTCTTCGTTTGAACTGATGACTGCTTGCGAGGGTATTGTATCCCAAGCGAGTATTCGCAGTCTATTCCGTACGCAGAATCACATTGCAGCTCTGGATGCACCCTATTTTGAAGCGAATGCGGGTACACCCACCAAATAAATGGATGTTGGGCACTTGATATACTAACTGGAGTTCACAGCCATCGACAGGATTTTCACTTCAATGCGCAACGGATCGAAGAGCGCGCCCACTAGCGAGCCCATCAGCACCATCTGTACTTCAACTTCGGAATGAGATGGAACGGATCGTCTAAATCAGGCGCACACTCGAAAGCTTGGGTCTATTCTCGTTGTCATTAACAGCATGATTTATGAGCTTTATCTGTAATCACCTCCCTTTCCTCTTTCTGGCGTTCAACGCATCGGACCTGCGAGTCCCTGCAGTCACGTTGTCAGCAGTCGAAGGATGTTGATGGAAGCACTCAAGTCCCGATTTGGAAGTTTTCCAGTTCTCTCGATGCATTTGGTGCACAAACAGGAGTCGTGATCTACGTTTCGCCTGCGATGCAAGATTTCCCTACGTATGAAACCTCAGTGCACCATTCGTAATAACGACACGTGACTGTGGTCACGTGTTCCTATAAATCATCTGGTAGTCCGTCTCCAAGGGTCACGCCACAGCGTGCGCAGGCCTGCTTCATCATGCGGCACATTCCGTTGACGGGTAAAGAAGGTGCCTGACGGTGGACTCCACCGAACCCGCGCCCGGTGCCATATCCTAGGATCACGGGCTTCTTCTGGACGATCCACTCCTCGAGTACTCTGTGCTCAGCATGCGCAAGTGCACGCTGTCGCATTCGATAGAGGATACATGGAAAGCGATGTTGTCCACGATGGATTAGGTACCTGAAAAGCAATTCATACTGGAGAAAAAATGACTTCGATTCGTCTACGCTCCCTTCCCGCAAGAACGCTGACGCGTTTTGCACTGGAGGCGATCACTACGATGATTCGTGTCCGAGTCCAAGACGCTTCTCGATGGAAACCAGACAGACAGAAGCCTCGAGGCGTACTTCCCGTGATCGATATCATGCTGATGCGGAATGCGATTGCATCGATGGCGACGAAGAGATGAGGAGTTCGCTTTCCAACGAAAACGACGAACGGTTTACCTGAAAACTTCGTTAGAGTCTCTGGATGAACGGATGAGCAAGTCGTCAGTGGATGGCGTCGAGTGCTTTCCGTCGTCGTCCCAGGTGCGCGGCTTGCCGCGCCCACAACTTGCCCTGAAACGGAAAGATCGAAAACATGAAGCATCCGTGACATGGGCATGCTGCAGGGAAGCAACCGATACGAATGGGTCCCTGTAAGTGCAGATCGGATAACGTTATTGGTGTTTCTACGAACCCTCGTTCGAAGGCGTCACGAAGGTGCTTGAATCCGGTGACGCAACAAAATCCATCTGCCAAGTATCGAAGGTGCCACTCCGAAACGACGACCAGGTATCCTACTACTACGACGTTCGGATGTGTCATTTTTTATCGCCAAACGTCGAATGTCCAAGCTACAGATCTACAAAAAAGGTTGGAAGAGAACTCGTAAGACAAGAGCAGACCGCGCACATCCGTCTTTCATGTTCATTGAAGATGCGTTCAGATCACGCTGCCAGCGTACCGTGTGCTAGATCGCTCCTCTCAGCTGTTGCTCGAGCAGCTTTTCTCATAGGTGCGCCAGAAACGCCTACCTTTCCTGATGGTCTCGCTGCAACATCGCTGTCTCAAAGCGGGCGCTTCACCCATATCAAAGCGTTCCAGTCGGGGCCAGGAAACGCTGATCTTAATGATTCGACGTAGAGGAGGTTTCTCGTACGTATTTCTGTGTATATGAAAATGCTTCACCCGTATCGGAGCGCTCCAGCCCGAGGCAGGAAACGCTGATCTTGCCTATTCGACGCAAGCAACTCCTTGTATATCCACTGCTCGATCCGTGTAAAGACGCTCACAGTACGCGAGGCATTCTACAGTGCTTGGCTGACGAGGCAGTTTCCCATTTTCAGCTGCTGCCTGTAGTTCTTGGCGCAGTCTTGCGAGCTCGGGACCTGGCAGCAGATTGAAATGGATCGCCATTGTCGTTTGGATACCACGCGGAAGTTCCACAGTGCTACCCGCCCGGTGCGCTTTCTGTGGGTCCGTAGGCATTGACTGATGTCGCCTTTCCTCTGCAGCAGCGGTAACACGCTCTCGCCACAGCCGATATTGTTCCACGAGTTGCTCTTGATGACAATACACAACCTTAGCACCTTGTGCCGGATCGAGAAAAGCTTTCCATTCTAGCTGACCAATGGCGCATACCTGGGGAATTAAGGTTTCCTGCCGAAAGCGCTGCATTCGCGCCTTGATCCTGGGACTCGGGACCAGTCGGAAGAGACGACGACGTGGATCCCAGAACGATGGTTGATAGAGCATCAGGCAGGAGCCGGGAGCGCGCCAAAAAACTACTCGATAGGGACCTTCAAGGGCGGCCTCTAACGCTTCTAGGGATAGATGGCCCCGAGCCACAAGGATCCCAGCACCGATGAGCCGCCGAATCTGATGGAGCACGAACGACTGACCTCGAACACGCACGAGGAGAAAGTCACACCCGTGATCATCCCTGCTCAAAAAGGGCTCTACATGGAAACGGTAGAGCGTTCGAAGATAATAGGGTCGGCGGAGGCGATCCAGGTGCGCAACGGGATACGCGACCTGCACCATGCGGCGAAACGGCTCCCGCGCTTCCAGCTGAACGCAGCGTGCATCATCGTGCTCGATAGGAGCCCGCTCCTTGTCCGGATGAATCTCTTGAATGACTTGCTTTGCGATATCCAGTTCTTGTTGAAAGCGTGATGGCGGGCGTGTCGTTGTGCGGGCTTGCATCGTTCCCTCCATTTCGCCTTGTGCACTGGCGTTGTTCCCGTGTCCATTCTGTGATTCGGATTCGTGATGAGGAACTGGTCCATGCGATGATCCATCCGCATCGCTCTGTTCTTGTTCGTTTCCCTGCAAATCTGCACGATTGCGTTTGGCAGCTGCTGCCTGTACGCTCGCCCCCGAGCCTGATCGATAATGCGCCGCTGGAGATGTTGTACCAAAAAAACCTTGCGCTCGATCATCCCGAAAGCGATGCAGTGATGCGCGCCCCTTCTCATCATCATCTCGCTCGCATTGCTCGCCAGCCGTCGCATTCATCCATGTCCGGGTAGAAGCATCGGCTTCAGCGCCATCACTGCGGGATTCATGATGATCATCTCGATCACAATCGATAGCCTCATCCTCATCGTCATCCCCATCTTCATCGTCGACATCGTCGTCATTGTCATCATCGGCCCCGTCCATGTCGCCGTTGAGCACTTTCGCTAGCGCATCATGACTCGTCTGCTTCCCGCGTCCTTGGATTCTGCGCTCTTTCCCACTAAAATTATGAAAGCGATGTGTTCCTTCGAAGCAGCGTAATGCCTGAAGGAATAGGTCCTCGCGTCCATCCAGCACCCAACGCGGCAGCAGGTAATCGTACTCACGCAGGGTGCACGCGGAACGAGCGCGGAAACCCTTGCTCATGCGTTGGCCCCCGAAAACTCGAATATTTGGTGGCAACTGGGCGTTGAGTCTGTCCACGAAAAGATCAGTTAGTTCGTCATTGCTCGTGAGGTCGCGTCTGAGGTCCAGTAGCAGTTTTGCCGACACGACATTGGCCACTGCGTGCACGCCCTTGTCGGTACGGGACGCTCGCGACCAGCAGATCTTGCTCAGTTTCATAAAGTTCAGTTCCGTTACTGCACCAATTCGATAGAGCGCTTGCGCAAGCTCGCCCTCAACGGTGCCATCGCGCAAGTCCACGGCTCTATCGCCCGAGCCGGCCTCGTTGGCGGCAGTTGCCACTGGTTGCCGGCGTCGCGGCTCAAGAACCTGTGAGCCACGAAACTCCGTGCCAGCGTACCCGAACCATAGGGCAATATTCCTTTTCTTCAAATTGTCTGTGGACTCAGAAGAAGCAGACTCGCTCATCGCTGAAAGCCACCGATGAGCAGTGAGCCTGATTGGCCTCGCTAGCGGGTACCAAAGCCGCTCTGGTTTGCAGCCACTAGTCCCTAACTGCTGGTCTCTGCGTAGCGTACGTGAACCTAGTTGCGTAGCGCTTCGTGTCCAAGGAAGCGTCCGTCCTCGAGAGAGGCAGCCAATGTCGGAAACACCCCAGGAGGACCAGCAAACCGTCCACAGACGCGGCATACAACGACGACTCGCCCCGAGTCCGCCACCCTGAAAGGAAGACTATCTAGCGAAGCGCCGCGCTGCAAAGTCGCAGCCGCCGCCAGTTTGGAAGCGTTGGTGCCGTCAGACAGAGCGGCTTCGCTGCACTGCCGTACTTGGGAGCAGGTACCTTTTTGTCGGGGACTGGGGGTCGCCAGTATTTGGGGACGTGGTAGCGGGCACTGCCGGGTTGACGAGCTCAGGTTTGCACGGGTGCACTGCAGGGCGGGCGGGCGGGAGGTGCTGTTGAACTGGGGTCCTCCGGGGCACCAGCTGTCGCTCACGCGCTGACAAAGTTGCTCGGGTGCTAGGAGCTCAGATCTGAACCCAAGTGACCCCAGTGAGAGTCTTTGCTGTCACAGGCAGCCTTTCATTGGACCGGTTGTGGTAAAGAGTGCGGAATCGAGGGAGGAGTTGGTTTCTGCACCTAGCGCTGTGTGCTGGTGCGGCTGTGGCTGCTCTCTGGCCTGAAAGAGCAGCTTCCGAGCCTTGGATTCCGGTTGCGGTAGACGATCAATCTGAAGGGCCAAAGACCAGGAGCGTTGTATGTCCAGCTCTGAACAGACTAGAAAACACAGCAGTTCCGTTGCGTTTGTGCTCGTCATGCAGCTCCTGGAGAGTGCTCGTTGCCTTGGAGCGCCGCATCAGGCGAAACGGTACCCGCCTTTGTGTTTTGGTCCAGAAAACAAGCTCTCTTTAGACTGAATACGACTTCGAGAGTTCTCTACCTGCAAGCTCGTTGCGGAGAGCTGTCCTTGGTTTCCTTGCCCAGCGGCGCGGTGCGCGAAGCAGATGCTGATACGGGTCTCGGGTTGGGAGCACTGCAGGCGTGTCGTGGCGGAAACAACTCGGCCTTGCAACAGGCAAAGCCGACACCTCGGCCGGACATTTACATGTCATGGTATTTCTGAACGCCATGGCAAGCCCAGGTACCCGCGTGGACAAGCATAGATGCGAGTGTTGCGTTCGCAGCCTGGACGGATAGCGACAGGGTCACGACGAGCCCCGTGGCGTTCCAACAGCGCTCACGAATGGGAAACACTTTGCGACTCATCTCCGGAGATACCTGTTGTGTCTATCGAAACTGGATATGCTGCGCGTCCGATTGCGGGCCTCTTCGATTCGGTCCTTGCTTTTTACGATGGACAGCATCCATCGTTCATCAGAGGAAGAAACCGCCAATGTTCACAGCAACACATTGTTTACCGCTTTCTGCTGGGACACCACCGAGTCTGCATCGTGAAGACAGAATCCGCTCGGGCTTGCAATTTGACGGCAAAGCGAGCTGTGGCATAGCCAGAGCGGGTACAGCGGCGGGCATCGTCTCGTGCCTCGTTTCGCCATGCAGATTCGAAGCGTACGTCCAACGATCTGCTCCATGAGAGACATGCCAAGCAACGCCAACAATGACGATGCGCGACTCTTCCCGCTACACTGCACGCGGAGGTCCGCGATTCTGTACAGTGCATTCACCGCTGTCGAGGCGGAAGCATACTATGCAGAGAGCCCTGCCCTCATCATCGAGCGGTAGATGCAGCAGCAGCAGCAGCAGCCCTGCTGCACACCTTTCGCAGACAGGGTGCTGTCGGTGTGCGGACTTGATCACCACGAGTTGCATACATCCTTGCAGGGTTGGTATTCCCGCCACGAGGCGACTGCTAGAGCACGCGCTCGTTCTAACGAAACGGGAGCGCTATCGTGAGCGCACGCGATCCAACATCATCGAGAGCGTTTGTCGGAGCGCCTTCCGTCAGCATGCGCTCCGCTACCCCCTGTAAAGTACCTAACTCATGCCGCCCCAAATCGTCCATCGTTGGCTATGAGCAGACAGCGCGTCCCATGTGGAGCTTTCTCGGAAAGATCCGGCTCTGCCCAGCTCTCGCGTTCGTGAGATCGTCCTCGGAGGCATCGAATGAATCTGCGCTTTTCGTCGTCACCGCCTGGACGGATCGCGCTCAGCACAGTCCTTGATATTGCTACATTCAGCGCACTTACGATTCTCGTCGTGTCAAAAAAGCGCTTCCGTTTGCAAGACAAATCTTCCTTTCTGTGTGGCCGTCGATACACCGACATTCGACAGCGGCAGCACCATTCGTTACATAGGATATGCTCCCAGAGGCTCCCATATCTTCGGTCTGCATGGAAACGCGTCTAGGACTCGGAATTCAGTCCACGTAGTGATTGCATCCAGTGGAGCGGCTGTCACTGTACAGCACGACGGATGCGTCGATGACTCTAGATTTTCGAACTTGATCTCTCTTCTGGACTTTCATTTCGATACTTTAAAATCTTCATCATGAACGACCCCGCGTTCTGCAAAATAATATTCCATTTGGAAAAGAGCGTACGCTTGCACGTCAAGCGGACAGCGTACTCGCCGAGCGCACTCTCCAGCGGAAGCCGCCATGCTTCGGATACGGCTCCGGAAGCAGAAACGAGGAGGGTTGTCGCGGATAGCCTACTGTAACTGCCAAGAGAAGGTACCGAACGGGTCACATCTCCCTATATGACAGCGCTCAGGAGTGGAAGCGGCCTGAAGGATAACCGCACAGATATCTAAGCGCAGTTCCGCGTCACCGCCGTGAAGTCCACGCTGATGCTCGATACAAAGCGGAAGAAAACAGCAAGCATATCAAGGATTGCATGTATCGTCTCCACTTGAAATGAGTCGACAATAACCAGAAGCAACGAAATCAGGATTGGAACGTTCCCATCAACATACCTCGACTGCCTGCATCGGATGTGAACACAAGGTAGACACTGATGTCTCTTACGCTCGAGACAAAAATAAAAAAGGAAGCAGTGGCAGAAAAAACGCACCCAAGCTAGTGTTGATGACAAAATTGGCAAGAGATCCAAACATGAGCGTATACGCCCACGATAAGCCCTTGCACCCGTCGCATACGATCCTCCTGCCAGTTGATCCAGAGGTAAATCCGCATCTTCGAAGGATCAAGGCACGAGAGCGTATACACCCACGATAAGCCCTTGCAACCGTCGCATACGATCCTCCTGCCAGTTGATCCAGAGGTAAATCCGCATCTTCGAAGGATCAAGGCACGAGAGCGTATACGCCCACGATAAGCCATTGCACCCGTCGCATACGATCCTCCTGCCAGTTGATCCAGAGGTAAATCCGCATCTTCGAAGGATCAAGGCACGAGAGCGTATACGCCCACGATAAGCCATTGCAACCGTCGCATACGATGCTCCTACCAGTTGATCCAGAGGTAAATCCGCATCTTCGAAGGATCAAGGCACGAGAGCGTATACGCCCACGATAAGCCATTGCACCCGTCGCATACGATCCTCCTGCCAGTTGATCCAGAGGTAAATCCGCATCTTCGAAGGATCAAGGCACGAGAGCGTATACGCCCACGATAAGCCATTGCAACCGTCGCATACGATGCTCCTACCAGTTGATCCAGAGGTAAATCCGCATCTTCGAAGGATCAAGGCACGAGAGCGTATACGCCCACGATAAGCCATTGCACCCGTCGCATACGATGCTCCTACCAGTTGATCCAGAGGTAAATCCGCATCTTCGAAGGATCAAGGCACGAGAGCGTATACGCCCACGATAAGCCATTGCACCCGTCGCATACGATGCTCCTACCAGTTGATCCAGAGGTAAATCCGCATCTTCGAAGGATCAAGGCACGAGAGCGTATACGCCCACGATAAGCCATTGCAACCGTCGCATACGATGCTCCTGCCAGTTGATCCAGAGGTAAATCCGCATCTTCGAAGGATCAAGGCACGAGAGCGTATACGCCCACGATAAGCCATTGCACCCGTCGCATACGATGCTCCTACCAGTTGATCCAGAGGTAAATCCGCATCTTCGAAGGATCAAGGCACGAGAGCGTATACGCCCACGATAAGCCATTGCAACCGTCGCATACGATGCTCCTGCCAGTTGATCCAGAGGTAAATCCGCATCTTCGAAGGATCAAGGCACGAGAGCGTATACGCCCACGATAAGCCATTGCAACCGTCGCATACGATGCTCCTACCAGTTGATCCAGAGGTAAATCCGCATCTTCGAAGGATCAAGGCACGAGAGCGCGAAATCGCGCGCCTCTGCCGTTGATCCAGCGCGGGATTTCGCGCGCTATCGCCCTCATCCCTCGAGGCATTTTCCGTTGTTCTTGTGCTTGTTCTGTGAACGAGAGAAATGTTTTATGCGACCAGTCTCATCAAACGGCGCAGTTCATTCGCCAAAGTTTGGATTGCAGCAACACTCGGGACCGAACGTCTTCCTCGGTCCTTTCTGATTCGTGTAAGCATTGCTCGTATCTGCAGGGAACTGCTAGAGACGATCCATATCAATGCCCTGTCATTGCGACTGGAGGCACTGCTTCTGGTCGGCATTGCGAGAATCTATGAGCGACAGGTACTACTGTTTTGCACGCTTGCGGAAGATTGGTTTAGCCGGGAGCGGTTACAAGCACGCGTCTGTATACTGTCCACCGATGGACGACAGCACGACGATTCCGCAGCGGCAGGCGCAGAGGTGGCATCAGATGCTAGTGTCGCTACAGACGCGAATGCCGCGGACGCTGACCAGTTTGCTGCGAGGAATTCGCGAGATACGCGCTACCTGTTGCACCGGATCGGGGCCAGCAGGCGGAAGCAGCTCTGCGCGCGCTACGGCAGCATCACCTGGGGCCCAGACTCGCGATCCTTGGAGCCGGTGCCCCAGCAGACGAATGCACCACATACATCTGGTGAATATTTCGCCCATGTTGATGTGCTCTGGCATCTGTACGACTCGGAGCTTTACGGGCGTCACGAAAGAGCCGCGTTGCTCGCTGCACCCCAGCATGGGTTGGTGGCGACGGCGGCGGCAGCCATGCAACCCTATGAGCTTGCGGCATCTGTTCCCGAAGCCGCCACCGAGCCGAGCGGGAGCGTCGAGCGCGCCTGGCCGCTCTCGCCGACACCGTTTCGTGTCAACGACCAGGACACCATTACATTGAGACAGCCGCGAATTGAGTTTTCGTCTGGCAGTCTGTCGATCATTCCCCAGCTCGATGAACGGGAGAGATTCCCCGAGGACCGCGATGCAAGCGGTGACTCGAGCATCGCTCCCCGGCGACTATTAGAGGCCCTCGATGCTGCTGCTCTGGCGCTGATCCCAGATGACACAAGTGCACAGACGAATATGGCTCCATTACCCAATCATGGCAATGAAACGACTACTGGGCATGCTCAAGACGCACCGCAACGTCTTGTCCCGAATTCGGTGCCAACGAAGGAGCAGCAGGAACGTTTGGGATCGCAACGATCGCTTCGTCGTCGCAATGCATTGTCGAGCGTAGCCTGTTTGCAGCTTGATGAGCTGGATGCGCTCGCGCTACCACCGAGGCGATTGCAAATGAATATGCATCACACACGGGATCTCGTGCTCGCTTGCCAGCAATCAAATCGCAGCACCAACAGTGCCACTGCAGCGCAAGGTCCCTATCACCAGTCACCGGGCACGGAGGCAGGCAGTGCTCCAACGCAGTTGCAGCGTCTCACACAGTCTCTCGATGAGAACACATACGTAAGCAACTTGCTCGCGACAAAAGACTTCGTTTATCGATGTCTTAGCCAAGGTATCTTTGCGGTTGCGGTGGCACGCACCAGCCGCCTCAGAGCTATTTTCGAGGCAGTGCTCCGCCCACATTTCGAAGCACAGCCTCAAAGGCCAGCTACGGATCCAAAGGACATGCATGGCATGCCACATGCTGGGGAAGAGCGTCATCCGCCACCAGAATCTGAGGACAACGCTCAGCTGCGAGCATCATTGCCGCAGTCTGCGTCATTTTCTGGAAGCGCTCCGGAGCGATTACGCGGTTATGCTACGGCTGATGGATTCGAGGTGCCCTCACTGGATACAGACACACCAGGCGCCTACGCGGTTGCCCTTCGTGCAGCCTCATCCGAGCACTCTGCATCGCTGCCGAGAATGACGGTGCCTGATCTGAGGCTATCGGGTGTTCCTGCTGCGCGGTCTCCATTGGATAGCGGAGACCAATGCTCCCCAGGTTTAGCGATGTCAAGAATACACACAGAACTTATGCCTGTCATGGAGAATGCAGGGCAAGGCACATCCCATGCCTCGATAGTGTCCATCGAGGGCGACCGCAGGCCAACCGTAACGCCTCAGTCGTATCGCGAAACACTCATTCGTTGCATCGAGAGGCAGCGCGCCGGAGACGCCAGCAGTCCAGGTTCATGTCGCTGGGTCAACTTTTCCGCCCTGCTCGGTGCTTTTGTTTCCGCGTTCGACGCCAAAAACGACACACCAAGCGCACAGAGCACAGAAAATCAAACAAAGCCGTATCCCGCGGCTTGGAGCCGGCCCTGCGCGGCGCTGCTGTTCGCCACCACTTTGAAGCTCGCGACCACAGGACAGGTTACCGCCCACCAAACAACGCCGTATGGAAGCATTGCACTGCACTGGAACGGTGACAAGGACCCGGGCACCGCGCCGATTGCGGCGTCCTAGCGCATCCGAACGAGGCGAAACTTGAGCGGGTTCTCCGTCCTCTGAACCTGCACTTCACCGTTTTCTATCAAATGGAGCAAGATACCGTTGTAGTTCACGTCAACAAATCGCAACGTAAACGGAAATTCCTCGTCTTGCTGCGGCTTTCGCCAGAACCACCGTCGAGTTCTCGGGCGCGTCACCCAGGATACCCGCGGCAAGGGGCTTGTGTTCGCGATCAGGCCAACTGCCTGACAACAGCTACGAAGGAAGCTTTCTTTACTCTTCCCAATATCGAAGACTCGGACGAACTTGGGCGCTGGTGGTTTCGCCTCGCTATAGATCGTGTCCTCTTCCATATGCAACCTATTTGTCGGGTACGGATAGCGTCAAACGCACGCTCTTACCGTCGAGTCTGTGATACAAAAGCCTGTCCTTCGAACACTGCAAGCAGCGCAGCAGCAGCGGCGAGCGCAGGGTGCAATCGCCACCTGGGCGACGACGGCGCCGCAGCGCGCTCGTGTCGAAGCACTCTGCAGTGTAGCTGCAGTAGCAGCACTGCAGCTTAGCAGCAGAGATTTTCTGGACAAAGGCGGAAATGTGCTGCCTGATTAAGTGATGGACGCTGCTGACCTAATCGAGCTCGTTGTCGGATCCGAATACGGGGTAAGCTTCGACGCGCACGGTGAACTGCATTCTTTTGGGGTACATGCCTCGGGCGCAAGATCGTTGCATATAACGAGGGATGAGCGAGTATTTTACTGCTGTCGGCATGAAAGGAAGCGGCTGTCATTCCGTGCCAGACCTCCAGTGCGTGCACCAGGTGTGCGGGTGTCCGGATCCGGCACTAGAACAAAAGCTGATGAGGGTCGCACACTCGCTTCCGCCCTAGCGCAGTGATTGAATGAATCTCAGCTGTTACGCACTTGCCACCTTCTGCTTCATCACCTATGCAGGCTAACGCCCGATACAATCAGCACAATCATGATGATGCTGATGGTGTTGGCAGTCCTGGTTCAAGAATGTGGCAGCGCAAAGATAATGCGCAGCGGGCTTTCGTCTCTATAAGCTGAACTTTTACGTGTACCTGATCCTGCTCACGAGCCGAATTTGTTGCTATTTGCGCGGGCATGCCGCATCACCGTTCCACAGCCCAGGCGTTGCTCGTCCGTAACACTCCATCGTCATCCGAGTCGTAGCACAGCATCTCAACGTCTGCCGCGGGCTCCCAGTGTCCCGGTCAAACAGCTGTGTCTCTATCCAGAACTGGCTCTATTCAAGAGCGCAAGGATCGCGCCATATCTAAAAACTGTTCCATGTTCTTTCCAGGCAAACGGCGCCCAGGAAACGCTTTCCAGCCCTTGCCTTGGTCCATAACCCGTGCCTGCGTCGGATCCACAAAAGTCGGCCCCGACGGTAGGTTCGACTGCGTGGTTGCCGGACGCACCCGCACACCCGGCGCGGCAGCGCCACGTGCCGGCGTCCGCGACCCCGTTTTAGCTGCAGCAGAGGCTGCACTTCCGCCACTCTTCGCAGCTTTGCCCGAACCAAGACTTACCTTCGGAAGCGACGGAAGAGAGGGTAGTTTACCGGGCAGCTTAGGAAAACCAAGCTTTGGCAGCTTGATAGCGAACCCCTGGGCAGGAGCGTACCGGCCGCGCAACTGCAGGTCACCGGCGAGTGCCACACCAGCACCCAGAACAAGCGCTGCAGTATTCCAGTGCGCAGCACTCAAAGCACCTTGTGTGAAGACCGCTGCACTATTCATGACGTATATGAGCAAGAGTCGACGAAACCGCACCCTGTCGATACACAATCGTCGAAGAGCGCTGCGCGAAGTTCCTTAATGTAGCGATTGAGCTCGCGCTGAGCGCAGCGCTGCCGCCGGAGGTGCACGATCGCGGCGAGCTGCACGCGCTGTCAACATTCGATGCGGGTGACTGAGGCGCGTTCGCTGCGCGCTGAACCGGACACGGCAGTAGGACGTAAGAAACGACCAGAATATCCGAGAAGAAGTATAGGTAATGTAACTTGGAGGTAGGGTGTTTGATGAATACTTCACCGTGCACTGAAAAAAACACAAAAAGAAAGGTAAAAGCGCGCAGTCGGAGAATACTAGCCAAAGTAAACGTTCTGTCAATAAAAAAACTAGCCGCAGCGGTCTGCGCTGATCACACATTTCCTATTGCCGCTGGTGCCGCTGGTGCCGCTGCTGGTGCCGCGAGAAGATTGCGCTGTTGTCTCTATATCCTTGACCACGTTCTCGTTCGTAGAATCCGCTTACGCTTCGTGCTCCGGGGGTTCTCTCATCAGGTTTCACTTGGAAAGCGACTCTGGGCGAATCGCTTCGGGAGCAGAGCCTGAATGGGTATCACGGAACAGTTGGACGAGACGGTGTCGAAGACCGAGACAAGCGGCGTGCTTCCCTCGGTGAGCGCCGTTGCCGAACTCGTAGCCGGGTGGTTTGGTTTCGATGAGGTGCAGGATCAGGATCTATACAGCGAGACGATTGCGGCTGCTGTTGCGGTGGTCGCAGGAGGCCTGATCCTCAAAGCAGCGTGGAACCAGCTGCACTGTCCACAGGCGCTGTATGCGGATAGCAGTAGCGCGCCTGCTGGAAGCAAGTCTCAGGTGCTCGTTGCTACCAAGACGAGCTCTGCTGACATTGTCACCAGTGTAGATCGTCAGATAGAAAGTGAGATTCGACGGATCCTGGTACCAGCGTTTCCAGGCTATGCCTTTATCGGGGAAGAGTCCGCGTACGTCTCCAGCACAGTGACGATGAACGCCGCAAAAACGGGTGCACCAGCGTGGATGGTTGACCCCCTGGATGGTACGACCAATTTCGTGTCAGGTGTACCCCATATTTGCACCTCTGTGGCGTTACTCCGGGAAAGACACGTAGTTCTCGGGGCCGTCTACAATCCGCTCACAGATGATTTATGGGTAGCAGTACGCAACCGTGGTGCCTTTCTCAACGGTAGGCGCTTGTATTGTCAGCGCCATGTTCCCCTGTCGGATGCGGTTGTTGTGACAGAGTTTGGGTATGAGCGCAGCGCCGAGGGCGCCCGGCGTATGTGCGCTGTGGTTGAGCGGCTGCTCTGTGAGCGCGTTCGAGCGATTCGCATGCTCGGTTCGGGTATCTTGGATTTGCTGTTTACAGCGCAAGGTGTCGTACATGTGGTGTACGCGGGAATTGCCGGCGAGGGCTGGCAACCCTGGGACTACGCTGCTGGTGTTCTGATTGCCAAAGAGGCCGGCTGTGTTGTCGCGTCACTCGAGTCACCACCTGGGATGACTTGTGACGGCGAGTTCCTGTCGCGCTGTGCCCATGACTTTGACATTTTCGGCCAGAGCATCCTGTGCGCATCCAGCCGTGATCTCGCCCTCGAGGTGCACCACGTCATTCGGGAAGCCTGCGATCGCGTCTCAGAAAAGCATCCGGCCGATGCATGAGACGCGGAGCAGAGATCGCGTTCGCTGTCTACGCTAAACTGCCTGTGAAGGTGTTGCCTATAGTGGTGCCGCTAACGCGTTCTGGGAATTTTCTCGTTGCGTGCGAGGAGCCGCACCTCTGATGCGGATGTCGCAGCGTTTGTCTACGGAACAACTCGGGGACCTCTAACCAGCCACCAAACGGCACGCTTACGCTGGGCGATCGGTGGTACCCGTTTTGACTGAAGGCCGGTTATGCATCCGCGCGCGTTCACGCTTACGCAGTCTGCAACCAGCACAACAGTTCAGTTTCGATCATTGAAGTAGATGTATTGACATGGTGGGAGGCTTTTGGTGTGATGCCGCTCGTTCAAGCACCAGGGCGATCTTCGAATGCGCTGGGCTGGATTCGGGATACGGGATCTCTGAGTGAACGGCTGCGGCATGGGTGTCCGCTGACGGCAACGGCGTCCACGGCATCCAGGCATGGATTCCCTGCCTGCCCCAGTGAAGAGCCGTGAGCGTCTCGACGCACGTTTGATTACGATGCCGCTGTTCGCGAGCGCGGTACCAGGACCCGCCAACAGCCTGTATGCGTCCGGCGATGATCGTGTACGCGATATGCATAAGAGCAACTTTGTGCAGGAAACGCTCGACGGAGCTGCGGAGTCGGCGACGCAAGCGCACATCGCGTCTGAATGACGGACCTTGTTGGTTCTGGGTGACAGCGTCGCGAGCAGCACCTCGTCCTGGTTTTCACATCCGAAAAAGCAAGTTGCGCCCGTCATACCTCCGGTACAGGAGGTACTGCCCATGAACTTGGGCATGTCGTCGCATGCACATAAAACGACTTGCTGGCCTTGGTCTGATGACGTTGGAACTTGATACCCGGCGATGACGCTGCGATGTGCGGATACGCGTTCTGCTGCTCGCTGCTGCGTTCCCAGGTCATCATACAGGAAAAGCGACGGGATTCCTGCACACAACAAAATGGATGCATTGCCTTGGACATGAGCGATTTTTCAACAACGTGGCATAGTAGCGGAGACGAGCAGCATTTCGGAATCTCCCGCTTTCAAGCTGCCTTGGCTCTCTGGGACATCTCGCGGACGCCCGCAACTATCCATGCAAGGTCTGCGATTCGCCTGGCCGACGAATAAGCTTTACGCATGCGTTATCGTATCCAAGTGTAGCCGATGAAGATGGCAAGCGTGACGAAAACGGTACAGATCAACCACCCGCTCCCAGCTGGGATGCGCGAAACGGGTATGTATGCTAGTGGCGTCACGCCTTCTCCATCAATCAACGGTTTCGCTATATTAAACGCTGTACAAAACAGGTCCCACGCTTTGGCGAGCCGGGCCGGTGTGGGAACAGGGAGCAGCACGCGGCCACATCCGAAAACAGCCACCGCAAAGAAGTGCGCAACGAGGAGCGATGGTGACGGCTCCAGTCCGCCCAGCATTCGAATGGGATCCGCTGCACAACGCCCGCCTAGCTGCAGATAGTCCAAAAAAGCATGCCGCATATCCTTGCGCGCTCGCTCGGGAGATCCACACAGTATGCCGTACAGAGCATTTGCCAGAATGTTGATGGTAGCGCTAAGCGGCCTTCGGTTACGATAGAACAATTCCAGATGGAATCGCAGAGCTTCATCATCATGCAGATCGGGAATCAGACGCAAGAAGCGTCGGATAAGCGCAACATCGGAGAGCGCGACCGTCATGCCCCCTCCCGTCAAAGGGTGACGCATATTAAACGAGTCACCGAGAAGAATAGCGCCCTTTAGCGCCAGCGGACGCGCCGGCATCACGCGATTGGGCATCGAGCGAAAGTCCTCCTTGGCAACAGCCGTAAGAAACGGGTGCTGCAGCGGCTCCGGAATCTGCGGGCCGATGACTTGTTCCATATAAGTCCGTAAATCCATTTGACGACCATTGGCATCGAGCGGCAACTTGCCACCGGGTACGTCCACAAGGCAGCGCACCTCCGAGCTCGAAATCGGATAAAACAGCACAGGGGCACGATCCGTGAGCACAACGTGACCATGACCGGGAAACGGCAGCGAGCATTCCGTCAAAATCAGGCCCACAAAGTTCGACGGGACTTGATGCTGCGCCGACGGTAACGCTTGCTTACGTAGACGAGACGCACATCCGTCACACGCAATAGTGAGCGCAGCGTACGCGACCCGCTGCTCCGTGCTCGACGTACCAGCGCGGTACACAACGCCAACCACGCGAGGCGGCCGCTGCCCCGGCCGTGCGTCAAAAAGCAGCTCTGTCACCACGCCCTCAACGAGCTCACAATTGGGCTCGGCCTGCGCAAGCTCACGCAAGCGTCTAACGAAACGCCCGTTATGGAACGAGCGCCCCAGTAACAACGGTTGCTCAGCGGCCTTGGCGTTCTTCGGCTCCCTGCACGCTTCATTGTACTCTATACAGGAACGCCGACCCTCAAGAAACAAACCGTAACCGAACACTTGTTGCGCATCAATTCCTTCCAGTGCTGCTTCGAGACCCAGGTCTCGGAGCTTTGCGCAGCCTCCCGGCTGCAGCAGTTCACCAACAATGCGGTCTGGTTCACGCAAGTCGCGCTCGATAGCCAGAACTCGACGCCCATCACGCGCCAGAACTGTCGCTAGTGCTGCCCCAGCGACACCAGCTCCAACAATAATGACGTCGTGTTCATTCCGAGGTATCTGTGTGTCGGTCATGAACAGGAGCGCGTTCACTGTGGACCTCAAGGAGCGCCTCAGTAAGCAACCTCTGTCCTACGTTCATCGCCGCTCGGTAGCGCTCGTCGACGTCGTGGCGCGCTGGACACGTCGCACTTCCGCTGGCCGATCGCGGGCGACATCCGTGGCGCAGCGCACGCATTGCGTATGGTGCGTGTTGATCTTCGATTTTCGTCTGATGGAACGTTTATGGATGGTGCAGGGATACCAGCTTCCTTGATGGATATTCGTGCTTGGCGTTGCGTCTAATCGTTCGTCTTCACTCTGCCTTCAAGTTCCATGATTGATACATATCCACTGGGTGTACAGAGAGACAGTCGATTTTCGTCTGATGGAACGTTTATAGATGGTGCAGGGATACCAGCTTCCTTGACGGATATTCGTGCTTGGCGTGGCGTCTAATCGTTCGTCTTCACTCTACCTTCAAGTTGCATGATTGATACATATCCACTCGGTGTACAGAGAGACAGTCGATTTTCGTCGGATGGAACGTTTATAGATGGTGCAGGGATACCAGCTTCCTTGATGGATATTCGTGCTTGGCGTGGCGTCTAATCGTTCGTCTTCACTCTACCTTCAAGTTCCATGATTGATACATTTCCACTGGGTGTACAGAGAGACAGTCGATTTTCGTCTGATGGAACGTTTATGGATGGTGCAGGGATACCAGCTTCCTTGATGGATATTCGTGCTTGGCGTGGCGTCTAATCGTTCGTCTTCACTCTACCTTCAAGTTCCATGATTGATACATATCCACTGGGTGTACAGAGAGACAGTCGATTTTCGTCTGATGGAACGTTTATGGATGGTGCAGGGATACCAGCTTCCTTGACGGATATTCGTGCTTGGTGTGGCGTCTAATCGTTCGTCTTCACTCTACCTTCAAGTTCCATGATTGATACATTTCCACTGGGTGTATTGCTCATTCTCCACTTCCTATCGTGCGCCAAGCCCGCACTAAGTGTCCACGATATCACCATAGCGCCGGTTCGGATGCAACACGAATACTGGACGGCTTTGGCACAGCACTAGGGGCCCGCGGCGCGAGGCGGCATTCTCAAGGTGATGTCGAGGTCGTCAGTGCGAGCCGATCGAGGCGCACGAGCCCTGCACACGTGTCCATGTTGAAGCACCGATCGTACGCAGGCGAGCGTCCGTGCGAGCATACGCTTCTTAGCGCCTCTATGACAGCACTCAGGCAGCCTGCCAATGAGTTCAACAACGCGCAGATGCTATGCGAACTGCCCGTACAACCGGTAGGAACTGGTAAAAAAGGTTCGTCTTGGTCATGCAATGCAAACGCGTGAGCGCACTGAAAGGCAGGTTTTCGTTCCGCATCGCAGCATGCTGGGCAGTCTGAAACGGAGGCTACAAATGCCAGGATTCCATACGTGCCGTCAGTAGATCTGCATTCAGAGCGCGTCATCCACGGCAGCGTGTTCTTTCTGTTGCTTCTGGAGCGCGAACGGGCGTGTCAGCGTGATCAACGCCTAGGTGTCTTGGTTTCCCGGTCTGGCGCTTGTTCCGGGGAACGAAGCACGAGGAAACGCCCACAGTATCGAGTGCCTGCGCAGGATACATGCGCGTACCCTTTACAAACGACAATGTTTCCCATTTCGCTGTGCATAAACGCAACACCATCTTCAACCGATGCGGATCCACACGGGTCGCAGTGCGCTTTCGGCGATGATGGATATGCAGGGGATCCTCGCACTGACCGGTTTCTTCTGGCCAGGATTGGGTACAGCATTGAACCGCATGCTCGCCGCCATGCAGGCCTATGCGCGACACGTCGATGACCACACTAGACGTTGTCCACGAGCGGCTCCGGCGTACGGAGGCGGCTACGCAGTCACGGAGCCAGGCTATGCCGCGGATCGCAGTTTACTGTTCCGTGGCTTTCAAGCCATCCTCGCGTCCATAAGCACCATTTTGCAACAGGAAATAGGAGACTGATGCCAGGTTCCAGCGTACTGGACGCGGTATCCACGCCCTACCCAAATAGCCGCTTTTCCGAACGCCTCTGTCCCGTCGCAGTACGGGCTTTCGATGCCACCTCAGACTGCTTGTTATTTTTCTTGCACCTGGATCCTGTAGTGCACAAGCCACTGCGTCATTGCAAACGAATGCAGGCGAACGTAGTGCCGCTCAGCTGGCATCGCGTCGTCAGCGGGCACAGGCGTACCGCTGCGGCGGTTTGTCCGAACGTTGTCACCGCACGAAGGGCATCGCTGTAGGCAGGGCGCCTCTGACGTTCATTCAGAAGAACGCATCCCATATGGCAAACACAACTTCAACTGCCAGCAGCAACAAAATCATTCGTTCAATACGACTGTTGATGCGGAACTCGATTTGCGAGTTCATGAGCACTAGCCCATCGCGAAGCGTTGCAAGATCAGGCTCGAGGTACGCTAAGCGCTCGCGCGCGTGAAAAACTTGCGCATCAAGTTGCTCAAAAGTGCTGCCTCGCGAGCGCCCGCGGTCCGACATCCACCCTGAACGGTATACCGCGCTCTGCTGTTTAATGAGCTCCGTTCGGGCAAAGAGCAATGCTCCAAGACTGCGCACAACATCCGGTTCACGCGAGAGAATCGTCACATCGCCACCGCGTGCCATCTGTGACGCTACTGACCGCAGGACATCGGTGAGTGCATCCACCGTCTGGAAAAAACTCCGGCACTTCATGTAATAAATAAGTGCATCGAGGGCTTCGTCCAGATATCCATCGTGATGCTCTGATATTCGGAGTTGCACTCGCCGCACCCAGGGCTCTTCAATAGCATAACTGCTTGCGCTGCCGTACAAACCGGACTCGGTGGTTGCCAGGTGTTGTCGCAACGCCGCAAGCACCGCCTCGCTTGGGGCAAGTGCTTGCATGGTGGCAACACATGCAACGCCCTGCGGACACTTTCCGATGCGTTGCGCAGTTGCTCCTGGCAGTGCCGGTAGATTGATCCTTGACTGAGGTTCGTCACGCAGCTGCTCAGCACTCTCGTCCCCAAAAGCTATGAGAATCAGGTCAACCGTACTGGAGCCGCTCAACGACTGTGCGACTGCGTTTTCCAACTGTGCAGCACATGCCCGCACTTGACAACGTCGGCGGCAGTACGTCGCTCGAGCGAGTCCGGACTGCAGGGCTCCATCACCAGCTCTCGGACACAGAGACTCGGCGCGTTCCAGTCCCCAGGGTGAACACCACGGCGTTCGTGCAGCAGACGTGCAGCCGTGCCTCCGCTTTACCGCCCAGGTGGTGCACCACATGAACGCGAAGCTCCAGACACCGAGTAACAGTTGAACGGCGGCACTCCGAGAGCGAACCTACAAGCCCACTGGCTTGTGGAAGTTGAATGAGACGCTGCTGCGTACAGCGGGCCCTCGGTGAACAAACTGTCAGGCTTTAACGTCAGGTCAACTGGAATGCAGTTGCGCTTGATCTGCTCGGCTGGGGGGCCGTCCAGCGGGGAGCGTGTGAGAAATGTGGGTGTTTCTTCAGCAGAACTGGGCAAGCTTCGACGTTTCTTCGTCGGGAAGAGTGTCAACTCTGCTGGGTGCATGTGGTGCACGTCCGAACAAGTGGCGCTAATGCTGCGTGTCGAATGAATTCGGCTTTGAGGCCTCCAGCAGCGCTCTGTTTGTTGTTGTTGTTGTTGCTGCTCACTGTCTGGTTGGTGCCGACGTTCCCGTGCGAGCAGGACGAGTCGCTTGTCCGAAGACTTGGGTACGTGACAGAAAACGATTGATGCAAGGGCGAAAACTCGGTGTCTGTTCATTGAGAGCAGGCGCTGGTATCCTTTGGACGAATACTTGGAAGCGGAGACACGTTTTCTCCATATTTACGGTTGGACACGGGCTTCGGTACCCACTAGGTTCGGGTGTCGACGTTGCCGGCCTTTCGTGTCTACACCTTGAACCTGCGCCCTGAGGTCAGCTGCTGGTGACACAAAGCCGCGACTACGCTCTGACATGTTTCCCGGAACTGACCATGAGTAGTACTGGTCGGATAGCGTCTCCGCTATGGATACAGCACACTTTGCAGTGACCCAGTTCGTCCGCAAGCACCTTATCAGTGCACGATGAAGCGATGTATGCTGAAAGCAGCGTCGAACGAGGATCATAGTTTGAACGACCTCTCCAGATACTTTAAAGATGCTCCAGTTTGCTCCACAGCAAACACTGCACGGAATCTGCTGCGCTCTATCGCCGCGGAAAGGAACGCTTGCGGATCGTTCGAACTCGCAAATCTGTGCATGTGGTGCTCTGTTCATGTCAGTACGCATGGGCTCGCTGCACTTGACGCACTGGAGCGAGACTTTGGAACCCGCACGACTCGTGAACTCGGGCTCATCTTGTCGGAAATGCGAACGAATGACCGCGCAGCTCGGAGGCGAAACGCCCTTTCACGTAACACGTAGACAACATGTCATCAACATGGGTACTGCGCACACGTACTCCCCAAACATGCTAGACACGGTATGGTAGGTCACTTCAGCGTCCATCGCATGAAACTTGCAACAAACATGCTAGACACTGTATAGTAGGTCACTTCAGCGTCCATCGCATGATACACACGATGCCTCACAAAGCGCAGTCCAGGTACTTTGCCAGCGCAGTGCACCAAATCCGCGTCAAACCTGCAACCTCAGACGCTAGAATTCAAATGAAACTCTACGAGACGCCTTTTTTCAAATCAAACATATCCGTATTCGCGTACCACAGCGAGCACGGGGAGCGAAGCACAACCGAAGCAGACTGCACAGCACCAGGTATGGACGTGAGACATCACCGGTCCCGCAGCACCTCCACAGTCGCGAGCGTTCAAGAACAAGCTCAGGGAAACCGCAGCGTTCGTGCTTCCACGAACGTAACCTTGGATTCCTCACTCATCAACTTTAGCGATGCCCGTTGTGCCGCACGCGTAACAGCATACGCGCTCTGGTGGTCGCTCATGCGCTCGGCTGTCGCCCGATACTTTTCATTCCATACACGCGCGCATATGTCTGCCAACGTATCCGCGTCGATACAGGCGCCTCGTGTTGCACGCCCGTCACGATAGCTCATACACACACACACACGAGGCGTCTGCGTACCAGCACACGGGGTATCCGACGCACACAGCGCTTCTATAGCGTCGTTACCGAAACAGCCAGTGCAGTTACCGCGAGTTTGTGACCCTCGTACGTACGAATGACAGAGCCGCTTGACAGGTCCCAGAGGCACGCTCGGCGATCGCTTGAACAGCTGAAAAGAAACTCGCTGTTATCGGAAAACACCAGATCCCATGCCCATTTCTGGTGGCGTCCCAGCACCTGCGTCTGCTGCCAAGTGGCACCGACGCTCCGCTGTACGCCCCAGAGTCGGATGAAACCAGAGTCCAGGGCCATGGCCAACATTTTTCCATTTGGACTGAAGCTCGACTGGAGCACGTACCTGGTGTGTGCACTCCAAGTCGTTGAGGGTTGAAAGTCGACCGGTTCAGTGGCTGGTGTCCCAGGTCGCTGAACAACTCGCTGTCGGCTCGGGCTGCGGTTCCAGTGCTGCATTTCGGTGAGGTCACTATCTGAGCGGGTGAGTGGTATCGGTGAAGCGTCACGCAAGCGCTCGAGCTCGTAAAACTCCGCGTCTGCTTCGCCGGTGCCGGTACCGGCTTGGCATACACGCCATACATAGCAGGCGCCTTCATGGTTACAGACCGACAGCAGACTACCGTCAGCAGCGAGGGCCATGGTACTAATCGGGACGTCGTCCTGTGGCTTCAGTTCACGATTCAGACGATTCGCGATCAGATCCCATGTGCGTACAGTCCCCTGGCAGTCAGCGGATATCAGCTCCCTTTGCGATGGATGCAGACACACCGCCGTGACCCCAGCGCGGTTACAGAATACGTGTGAACGCTTCCCTGACCGCGGATCCCAGGTGCAAATGGTACCATCTTCAGACCCTGAATAGAGCCAGCTTCCAAAAGCCTCGTACCCGACACTGACAACGTTGCCGCGATGTCCCTCTAAGCCAATGACTGGGCTAGCTACGTTGTTCAGGGCGTCGAAAACCACGATCCGCGGGTTTGCAGCCACTGCAAGGAAGACCTTGTCTGGTGAAAACACCAGTCGGTTGATGTGAGACTCGGGAAACTGAATCGTGCGGAAGCAAACACCACTGGCAGCCTCCCAGAATCGCACAGTATGATCGTAACCCCCGGTTGCGAGGATGACTTTCTTGGACATCAGTTCGTAGGCTCCGTCTACGGGCCCTTTGACTCGCTTCCGGGGTAAGTCCAGCTCTCTGTAAGCGTTCCAGCGAAAAAATATACGTAGCTTGCGAGGCTCGTCCCAAACGATCGACCCCGAAGACTACGTTGCTTCGTTCAAAAGCATACTTCGGTGGTTATCCAGCCCCTTTAGCTGTGTGTGTGTAGTATGTTTGAACGTCGCAACGCCTCGGCAGGTATGCACCAGGAAAAGACGAGCAACGGAAACGCTTCGTTGTATGGGACCGTGCGGATGCTGCAATGTGCACATCGGCGCTCTCTTCCGAACACTCATCTCTGGATGGAATAGAACGGTTTTGTCTGACGGACTTGATTGCGTACAGTAAAGTTTGGGTGCTTTCCCGCTATGATCAGCACGGGCCTTTTCTTGTTTTTCGTGCTGCAACTTCTTTTTCCTCCATCGTTGGTCCGGTTTTCGAGTACGCTGGTCTCTTGTTCTCCTGCAGCAACGTTGACAGCTGTCCAAGCAGGATGATAGCAGCGCGCAAGTATCGATTTCAGTATTTCCAGCTGTTGTCTACACATTTCATGCACAGGCAAACAAAAAATTCGCGGTGTACGCTTCACTTGCCATAAGCATGATCCTACTGGTATAGAACTCGTGTGCGCCCTTCGCAGTGGTGACACCTGGTCGTTGTCCGGTGTCACTTTACATTGGTGGTACCTCGGCTTCGGACGGCTGCCTTGTGGAGCGTAAACGCTTGCTCCCGAAGGATAGAGAAGTCTCGATCCGACACATTCATCGGTGACAGCGCTCGGTTGCATACCCTAGGATCAATGTGCTGCTTCTGGACGATTCCCTCGGGGATGAACCCATCGCCTGCACCCACAATCGGATGCTTTTCCATTCGATGCATGATTTAAGGGATTCAAGGTTGTCCGCGATGGAGCAAGTGCCGAAAAGCAACTGCTGGTTGGAGAACAAGTCGAGAAACCTGGGTCCGTCTACGTCCACCTCGTGCAAAGCGCGAGCACGCCCTCGACTGCAGCCGACAGCTGCGATCACCGAACGCCGACTCCAAGACACGATTCCATGTACACAAAAGACACTTCGTTTTTCGACCGTATATTCCGTGACAGGAATCATGGCGCTACTGTTCACTACCTTTCCGGCAATGATCAAGAAGAAGGGATCACTTGTCTTTCGAGCGGAGTCGATGATTTGACGAGAAAAGTTCACTGAACGTGCGGCATGTGCTTGTGAACAAGTCTCCATGGGACCAGGTCGAGAGGTTTCTTCGCTAGTTCAGCGACGCGGACAGATTCGACCACGGGTTGCCTTGCTGCTAGTCTACGGAACACTTGACGAGTGATGATTTGGGTGTGCGACACACAAGCAAAGGAGAAAAGTGGATGCTTGCGCCTATGCATTTGATTATAATAGCGCTTATTTCAAGAGTCTTTTCTCGAGGGCACCGGGGATCATCTCGATCACTTGTCCATAACGAATTCCAGCGGTGTAGGATCCAAGGAGCCACACTGACAACCATAAACCGGAATCCCGACACTCTCCATGAACCAGGACGCCCTGCTCGCTGTACGTCGACTGCCGAGGCAGTCCATCTGTAAAGTTCCAAGGACAAATCAAAAGCCAGGCAAAGCGTGAGCATTCCGAGCTCCGTTGCAAAGCGACACAGGTAGGGAAAAGGAGCACACGGTCTCTCGCCATCGACCTGGAGTACTTGCACAAGACGGATAACGCGCCTCTCATGAACGTTATAGAGGCAGACAAAGCGTCAAGTCGCTGGCGCTCTGCGTACATACGGGCGGCGTCTATCATGGGCCCCGAAAGCCATTATCCATTCCGAATTCTGGGATCCGTGGTCAATCGAAACGTTTTGTCATCTGAAAATAAAATCTGTCAAGCACACGACGAGAACTGCAACCGTTGTGTTCGGGCATGTTTTCTCTAAAGTTATTTCGGTCCTGCGCCCTATGATTTAGAAACACTTTAGAAGTGTCTGCAGATCCGCTCATCTCGAGGCTCTACCAAACACAAGAATCGCTTGTGTTGAACAGACTCGGATGATCGAGTACCTCGCGATCGATACATCCATTGCCGTCTTGCACCCTTCCGTGGACGTCCGGATGCCTCCGACGAACCATGCATGCAAGCATCGAACTTGGCCTCTCCACAGGCACCGATGTATTCAGGAACGTTGCTCACGCTCCATAAGCACCCACGGAGGTGAACAAGAGGACCAGGTTCAGCGTAGGCGATGTTCTCGGCATTTAAGTGCGGCATTTTTCAAATAAGGATAGCGCACTCGATGCCAGCTGGTTCGGGAGTCAGCTCTCCGAATGATCTGGATATGCGGGAACCTTGGTGCTGCATAGAAAGCCTGTCCACTTCGGACAAAGGTCGCGGCGTGCAGAGAAAAAAAGTTCATATGGATTGGTCGTATTCCATGCATTCTCGAAATGCCTGGAGCGAACGCTGTCATGCCCTATCGCATGGCTTCTTGGCGTGTTCCTGCAATGCTCGCATCCTCTGACTCGATCGAATGATGCCGTTCCTGGAATCCGTGGCTGGCAAGTCTTAAAGTATCCTTTATTCCAAAGGTATCGGTTGCCATGGATAAGCCCGTTGTGTACCAGCGTTGCACGTGATTGGCACGCTGCCCTGCGTCACGTTCAAAGGTGCTGTTCGAGGCTGTTGGTGCGTTTCTTGTCCAGAGGTTTCGCGTCTGCTACGCCGACGCGCATGCGGACCGTATCCCAGTCGCGTGCCCGAGGATGTCGTGGTATTCATCGGGACGTACACAGCCATCAAGTATCGATAAAGCATGCGACGCACCAGAAACCAGGTCTGTGGATCTCAGCAGCCGAAGCTCGACGACACCAGCATATCGCTTTTACCCAGACGCCTACCGCACACAGCGCACTGGTGGAAAACGTAGCACACGACGACGTTGTGGACTTGCTCCCGACAGCTCCACCTGGGACCTGCTTTCCCAGATTGTAACTACCCAAGCGTTGCTGTCGGGACGCGGAGCTGAGCGAGTCTCGGCTCCTGACGCCTGCCTACCAGCGATCACGCGACATCGTCTCGTTTCTTCACTGTCGCCACTGAAGCGCTGAGCTCCCAATCGATCTGAAAGCTCACCGCATTCCCCGATCATGCAACAGGCGATGCAGCAGAATCGCTCCAGCCACACTAACATTCAGCGAGTCTACAGCGGCCAGCGCTGCATCCTCAGCCGCAACGAGTCCTCTTTCGATAAAAGCAAATGCGGTACATGCGCGTTCCACATTGGTGCGCAAGCCGTGACCCTCATTGCCCAACACCAGTATCGTCGGAGTGTGCAGCGCCAGCTCCGCACATGGCGTTACCGGGCGAGATGCTTGCGCGTGTCGAGGAGCGCCACCACCATCCGACAAGTGCTCACGAGTCTGCAAAATCATCCCAGATGTCGGTAGAGCAGTTCCCAGAACGCGCCATCCGTGGACACGATGGGCTTGTTCTAGAAATCGCGGCATGTTTGAGACAGCGTGCACTTGCATGAACTCCATGGCACCACTGCTTGCCTTGCTGACCGTCGCAGTCAGTCCAGCAGAGTTCTTCCTCGATACCATGACGCCATCACAGCCGAAAAAATAAGCAGATCGTAGCAGGGCTCCCAGGTTTTGCGGATCCCAGACCTCGTCAAGTGCTAACCAGCACGGGTGACGCGGTTCATGGTTCTCGTTAGTCGGCGAGTACACCCGAGGCCTCGGCTCAAATGCCTCCGGAGATACCATCGGTACCGGTTCCAGAGCAGAGCACTCCAAGACAAAGCCCTGATGCGGTCGATTTCCGCACAAGGTGTTCAGCGTACCTTTATCGACGCGCTGAATCTTCACTCCCTGCTGATTCGCAGCGAGAAGAATCTGCTCTTCCACTGCTTTTTTCGTTTCTCTTCGCGGGACCGGATATTGTTGTTCTTGATGCTCTACAGACACTGCCAACCTATCCAGCAGAAAGAGCTCGTAGAAATGCGCTCGCCGACGGGCGCTCAGCGCTGCGAATACCGGCGCCAGTCCATAGAGAAAGTCATGGCCGCTCTGCAGTTTTTCCTGCAACGGTGAAAGTACATCGCGCTGACGAGGAGGCCTTGCACCTGGTCCGCGGCGCCATTGCCGTTCCGTGAGCTCCGTTTCGGGCTTTGGAAACGAAGGCGCTCTGTCAGCAGAGCGCGGAAACGGTGCACGTTTTCCGCTCCGCTGTTTCGGGACTTGCGGGCGCGGCTCCGACTCCGATGCAGCTGCGTACCAGCGAACGCGATAAACGCTTCGTGCGCGCAGCCTCCTACCTAAACCAGCACCAATGCCTCCAAAGCGCGAAGCAAGAACGGCTGGCGTCCAGCGATGAAGCCCCGCTATCCATGCAACCGCGGGATCCATTCGTTGATCGAGCGAGACGCAGTGCTCGCTAGGCATCTTGCGGAATTTATCCCTCCAGTCAAACTCAGGCTGAGCGCAGAAGTTTCGCTCCATGGAAACTGCTTTCAGTTTCGCACTAGAGCGGCCCGCTGAAGTATGCACCAGCGGGAAAGCGGGGGCGGTCTGACAACGGTGCAGCCGCTGCACGCTATACGGAGCTTCTCCAGACTCAACTTTGATGTACCGAGTGGAAACAAGGCACGCTGGAGAAACAAAGAGAAAGGTTTGCGTAACAGCGCAACTGAAGAAAAACAGCAGTCAATACGACAGCAAGCAAGCAAAGCGTTTCGAACGGTGCTGGTCGAGGAAGCCATATGTCGAGGGGGCGCTCTCAAGTCTGTACAAAGTAGTACAAAGCTTTGAGGACGTCGTTTGTCTCCTCGTTCGCATATACTCGCTGACGTTCGTGTTGGACCAGGTTGTTGACGGGGCGGAGGTGTTCACGATTCGGCAGGCATCACCTATTCTGTAGCGTCCAACTGGACTGGAACATGTCCAGTGATAATGGAGCGGTACCTCGCGGAGACTCCAGCGAGTTCCAGGACGCAAACTGGCCGGCAGATGCCGCCCCAGCACTGAGCGGCTTTCTCTTTGGCAACGTCGACGCCGAAGGCCGTCTCGAAGCAGACTACCTCGATGCGGACGCGAAAGCCTCGCTGCACGTCATAGCACCAATGGTGCTGCCCGACGATGCCGAGGTGTTCACTGTCGCTACAGCACGCGCGAGCAAAAACTTCAACGACGGACACGAGCTCGGAGCGGACCCGAGGGCCTCGAGTGCGCTCGGGAGAGGCGTGTCGCAGGTGCTCACCTCCGCTCCACTGAACGGGGATACTGGTCTGGTGCATGCTGCCTCCGCTGCGCCTGAGACCGAACAAGATCGAGTGAGGCCGCTGCGCTCGACCCCGTCGCTTGTCCAAGACAGGAGCGCGTCTCCCGAGAACCTCGACTTTTACGATGCGTCTGATCTCTCTGAAGACCTCGATACCAGTTTCGACTCCCCGGGATTTATGAAGCCCTCTTCGAGCGCTCCACAGCGGACGTTGGAAGTGGTCGTAGGGGCATCGGAGGGCGCGCTGCCTTCCGCTGAGAGCAGCGAGCATCAACACCGGCACGGAGACGAAAACGCGTATAGCCTTCATGAGCAAGCTGCTCGCGAGGCGCTGCTCTCCACGGACTATGACGCCCTAAGTGAAGGCGATGATGAAACGGGCGACTCGAAACTGAAGGTCGCCGAGCCCGCCAGACTCGGACCTGGAACCTCATCTGCGGGCTCTGAACGAGCGTTGCTGTCGGCGGAGAGAGCGCCCCTGCAACCTCAACCGGCTGCGAAAGCCTCTTCGCCTCAACAGAATCTTTGCTCAGATACGGATATACCGCGTTTCACGCGCTTCCTTGTGCCAGAGGAGCTGGTGCATCCATTTCACGCCACGAAGCGGAAACGAATCCGCTGGCAGAGCAAGTCGACACAAGCAGATGATCCGTCCGAACGCCTGGTCGGTGAGGAGCTTCTCTTCCAACGACCAGAGGATCTCAGATGGATCCGTTTTCCCTATGCCTACCTGATTTTAGACGACATGCAAGAGGTACAGGAGCTCTTGCGCAAGACGATCCACCGACGTGTCCTAGCGGGCCGCGCTGGTGAATCCAAAGCGAATACCCGCCGCTGCACACCGCTGGTAGCTGAAGCGGTCACAGAGATAGCGTCCAGTCGTGAAGGTACTCCAGCGACACCAGCACACCAAGCCGTCGAGGCGCCTGTAGCGGATGCTCACCGCTCTAACGGGCGATTGGCTGCAGGGGAGCGCACGCGAGCCGCAGCACCTTGTGCTCGTCCACATACGACAAGCGCGGACGATACCTGCGCTGCTTTTCTGTGGCAGCAATGGCAATGGGAGCAGGATGTCTGCTGGGAAGAAACCAACAAGTCCACAACATTGCGATATTTGCCGGCTTCAGAGCGACTCGAACATGACGCGCAGCGAAATGAAGCGCTTGTCAATGGCGCCTGGACGCAGCTGGTCGCCTGGGAAGGACCGGCACCTGTGTGGCAGCGCTGGCGTCATCAGCTGGGGAAGAAAACCACCAGCGTACTAGAACTAGATGAGCATGCGATTGCCATCAGCAGACGATTCAGCTGGCTGCATCTGGATGAGAATGATCCTCAGCTGATTCTGTGTCGCGCTGCGAATCGGCTGTTAACACAATCAGCGCCGAATCTGTACCTGCCGCAGCAGTTAGGCCAGATAGAGTCCCTGCTCATGAATGCGTCCAACGATCGTTTTTACGGTATCGAGATGACCGGGCAAAGGCGACGGAGTGCCCGCACCGAGGCCCTCGCAAACTTGCGTCATGCACTGAAAGCGCGCCAGGGCTATACCTCGGCGTGGTGCTACGGCTACACGGAACCCCAGAGTTACTATCGACCGAATATCTTGCCGATACTCTGGCAGTTGTGCGGTCAGCGTGCGGTGCCGTTGCTCCTATTTGCGGCAAAGTCGGCGCCCTCGATGCTACCGCACGAGATGCGTGCCTGGGTCCCGAAGAGCTGGAGCGACCTCTCGGGCATTTCGCCCAAAGCAGGCGGAGATATTTACTTGTTTGAATATCCACTGGAAGCCGATCCTTTTCTGGTCCAATTGCCAGGTATGGCTAGTCGGCTGCTCACCTATAGTCGCCGTGCAGCTGACGACACGGTCTCGAATCCCAGCGAAGACCCCGATACCGTCTATCTTGCCGCAGACGACTTGCCTCCGCTGCACACCGGAGACGTGCGCCCCGGTCAGGTGTTACGCGTCTATGAGAACAATGCGTTTGCGGCTCCGTTTGAACCCGTTTCGCCACCTCAAACGGACTTTTTGGTCGTCTGTTCCGCTCAGCGCGGATTATACGTACGTCCAATCAAGCAAGTCCTAGCGATCGGGCGTCTCGAGCCACGGAACCGGCCCAAGGTCATGATTCCCAATAGTGACCGCATGAAGCGTTTCGTGAAAAACAAGATAGAACTCGATGTAACTCGTGAGCTGATTCGGCGTGGCGATACCGGGGTCGAGCGCTCCGAGGTCATTCAGATGTTCCCGCGACGTCGGGTTTACCCCGAGACCACGATTGCGAGCGTGCTGCGCGAGACTTGCGACAATGCCCGGAACCGTTACGTTATCAAGAAGAACTATGTAGAGACCGTATGGCCCAAACGTGAGCTCGAGTTGTTGCGTTTCGTGACGCCCGAGGAAACCTGCGCCTTCGAATCGATGGAAATCGGCTGGGAGCAGCTGTCTGCCAAAGGGATCACGATCTTTTCGAGCCCGTCTATGCAGGGAAACATCGTTGGCGGAGCCGAGAAAGCAGGTCTCGGAGCCCGAGGTATCGAGATTGCTCGCTACATTCGAGAGGAACTGGCCAAGACACGTTGGGTTCGCACTGAGGTGCTCGTGCGCGCTCAGAAGAGTCTCCAGTTCGCGCTGCGGAGTGTACTGAGTGCTGCATCCCTGGCGATGGATATCTTACGCGGCAATCCAGCTGCGGACGATCGACTCAAAACCATGTCGCGGGATGATGCGCTGCGGTTTTTGAAAGTGCAGTTCTCATGCAACCTGAACCCTTCCCAACGCGCAGCCATTGACGTTGCCGAGACCAGAGCTGCCACCGTCCGTCAAATTGCCCTTGAGAGAGCCCGTCAACGCCCGCTTGTACCGCTTGCTGTTCAAGTGCAACGTCTCATCGATGAACACGTCCAGACGGTACGGGCGCTCTCGCTGGAGCACCAGCTGGTGCTGCTACGTGAGGGATACCCCCGCAGCGCCACCGGTCGCCCTAGCGGCAGCGGCCTCAACAACAACATCGGCAGAAAAGCGCTGCAACGCATGGAGAATTCTCGGGCAACGAACATGCCCAAACCTGCTGATGACTGGGAGGAGCGGCAGGAGCTGTCACGTCTGTTGGCCTCGCAGCGGCGGAGTGTGCCGGCTCCGATGGACTCGGGACTCTCCGTATCCGGTTCTGATCGGCGCTCAGAGGCGTCAAGCGCACCTGTGCAGTATGTGCGCAAGCGTCGCTTGAAGATCATCCGCCGAATCAACGGTCAGGTGCAGGTGCTGTATCTGGAAGATCCCCAGGAGATAGAGGCGTATCTTCAGCATCGGCGGATGCGTGAGGAGGCCCTCCGCACCGGCATTGGGGGCGGGATCGGATTCGCTGCTCGCAGTATGACACAGAGTCGCAAAGCAGGTAAGAAGGGAACCGCAGAAGAGCGTCTCCGGGAGCGCCTCGAAGAGTTGGCTGAAGCAGCGCGGCGCATCAACGCGTGGATGCTGGGGCCCACGACGGCGCTCGGTGCCGCCAAACCTGCAACAACAATGACAACAACAACAGGAGCAGCAGGAGCAGCGACCAGTGCTTCTAATGGTGCAAGTACCGCTCAGAGCTCACACGCTATCGCGGAAGCGCTCTCTGGCGCCGTGCATACGATCCGAGAGTCCATTCGGATCAGCGGTGCCTCAACAAACCAGGCCGTAGGCACTCTGGGAGACACCGGGCGCCTGCAGCAGCGGCCTGCAGCGCCACCGGCAACGTCCATGAGAGCAGAGACAGGTGCTGCTTCTATGCAGCATCATCAGGCGGGTCTGTGGCTGGACGCGAGCGCCTCCAACTCGACCGATGTCTCTTGGTTGCGGGTGACACTACCAAATCAGCAGCAGCAGCAGCAGCAGCAGCAGCAGCCTGCAGGAACGCCTCCAGTAGCCAGTTTTCGCAGTGTAGCCGAACGCGACGGTGAGGCATCCCTACTGGAGCCTAGCCAGGCCGGGTTCCCCGCTGCGCACCGCAAGCCCGACACCATCGAGAGCGGTCAGCACGGAGACCAGATACCTTCTGTCGAGCACAGTGACCAGCAGGGAGCATTTGCGTGGCTCGCCCCGGATCGAGCGAATGCGCTCACCTCAGACCTGAGTCAGTCATCGAGCCGAAACGCTTCCCCGAAACCCTCATCACTCGTCACCAATGGCGCTGGTGCGCCCAGCCGCCTCAAGCTGCGCATTCCCGCTGCACTTGCAACCGAAGCGCCGGGGCTTTCTCAGGGAGCTCAGCTGCACGGCACTGCGGAGAGTACGAGTGGCGTGCCGGCACCGGCGCTGACTAGTGAAGCGCCCCCCTCATCCGGTGTGCCGCGCATTTTCATTTGGGCACCCAAAGATGAGCCTGAGGGCTCGCTATCCGCATCTACGCGGACGTCGAGCGGATTCGAAGCATCCACCGCCCTGGCGAAGGATACGACCCTCTGGGTGGAACAGGGCTCATCACCGCGACCTGGTCCCCGAGTTCGGGTCAGCAAACGTAGCAGCGGCAAAGTGCACCTGAACAATATTCTACGGGAGGTGGAAACCTGCGTTCGCGATGCCGAAGGCGTTGTTGTTGCCACCACGCCCTACATCTCTGTGGTGCGCGTACGTCCGGGTGAAGCGCTGCCCCCGGGCGGGCTCGATCGACCCGCCAAGCTTGCCGTAGCCGGGAACATCGACTTTATCAATCCGGTACGTGACGCTGCGTACCGCAAGAAAATACCGTTACCAAAGCAGATGTACTTGCAGAGAATACGGCGCAAATGTGAGGAGGTCGCCTATAATTCGGTGGACGAGTTCCTGTCGGATATGCGCCAGATTGTAGAGAATGCTCGTCAGTACCATACAGCTCCCGAAGCACACTGGGTCGTCCAACACGCCGAGTACCTGCACGAGGCAGCCGAGGAGGAGCTCAAGAAACGACAACAGGATATCGACGAGGCGATTCAACGGGACGCGCAGGCACCCTGAAGTTTTACACCCGTGTCAGATAAAAATGGGACACTGAACTGGTTGTTCTCTATATGGTTTTCCATGTCGTATCGTGGTTGTCAGATGCTCGGCCTCGACACCCATAAGATACCAGGACTGGTGTACCGTTTCGTACGCATGAGGATGCGCGGTTTTGTTTTGCGAGCGCTTTCTTCGACGCTTTGCCCCTGGCATTTTCAGAACGTCATCGGAATGGTGATGATTCGTGGCACCTTCGAGACCGGATTCGTCCAACGAATGAATTCTTAATCGATTGCATAGGTCGGGGCCTTCAGTGCTCCTCGTACCGTATGTGTAGCGTGTTCCATGCCACAGTTGCATCAAGTGTTCGATCGTTCTGATTGCAGGCGCTTCGTGAGCGCTGGCACTCACGACGCTGCATCAACGAGACAAAGATTCTCGAACTTGTCCCTGAACGACTTTTTCACACCAAATCAGAACGAGCGTCCACCGAACTTTTCTGATAGCATTATCGATTCCATCGGAGAGGCGAGCGCTGCTCTTTAACCATTCGTAAACGAAACAAGATTCGTTAGCATCAGCAGCATCAGCAGCATCAGCAGCATCAGCAGCATCAGCACCTGGATATCTGTCTAGGGATAAGCGCACAGGAGTTTCCGCCCCTACGGTTTCTAGGGTAAAGGTTCCTGGGCTCGGACTTGGCCTTGGGCGTGAATCAGCGCTGCGAACGATTCCAGTAGCGAGCGCTCTACCGCTACGGACGAATGTCGCGTAGAACGCTCGGCAAATCCCGAGGTACGCGCGCAAGCCGCGGTTTCCCTTTCGGTACCTGATTCATCATGAACTGCATCGCCTCCCATCCATCCTCTACCGAATGCAACAGTATGCGCTTGCGTGTGTCGCGGAAAGAGCACTTGGCTGGGGAATCGCTCAGAAGAAGCCTGGGATCATAGAGAACGGCACCGGGCGCGAAAACGGAGGATGGCATCGAGGCGAACCCCGTGCACCCATCAAGTCCATGAAACGAGCGATGACCTGAGCCTTCTCGGATGCCAGGGCAGCACTTGGAGCAGTAGCTACGGTGACAACGCGGGAATAACTGACCCAGGTCAAGTGTCAGTGCTACGAGCAGCGCACCGGCGCTTGATCCATAGAAGACCACGCAAATGACAAGCGATGCATCGATCGCAGCTTCCGCCTGTGCATGGTACTGGTCGACGACAGCCACAAGCGGCGATATCGGGACACGGAACCCTACCACGAGTATCTTTTCATTGCTGACGATGGAGCTGCTGGCACACGGGAGACCCGTCGTACCAGTAGCAGGAGATGCGAGAGACACCGAAAAAGCCCGATTATGCTGGTGCTGAAGACAACGGAACGAGGCATCAACTTGAGCTAGGACGCTGGAGTCAGCCAAGCTGACCCATTCCATTTTTTCTCTGCCAAGGACACAGAAATGAACGATGATCAGCTGCAGGGCCGAACGCGCAGCACCATGTTCCTCGGTGATGTACCTGGGTATGCTGCAACAAATCAGCACGACTGGAGACTGCTCGCTCAAGGACGGATCGTCGAAGCCATCCTTGTTCGACTTTTCGACGTCGTCGGATGCCTGAAACCTTTTCACAAGCGTGCGGCTCGCTTTGGAACCTCAGCTGTGCTGTGTTCAGCGGCTCGCGAACGCCTGCGCAAAAGCACGTTTCCTGAAGGCAGTCCAGAAATACAAGGACTAGGGAAACGTCGGCATCATCATCAGGAAGGTTTCGTATTGCCATGCCATCTCCCGAGGCGCAGCGATGTTGTGCTCCATCGTCCGTCCCGTGCGCAATACCGTAGTGTTTCCGTTCAATACCCGCCAGGTTGCCGTACTTAACTCGATGCGCTCCAGCATCATTTACCTCATGTTCACAGCTCTCCGTGTACATCATCGCTTTGAACTCCGTCTGGCGACAGTTCACCCGAGTCCACGATGGTGACGAGTCGTTTCGGGGTTCCAGACGCCGATCCAACTGCCTCCAGCTGGGCAAGGACGCGTTCGCTCTCGGCACCTACGATCTTACCAAAGACAACGTGGTGTCCATCGAGCCAAGGTGTCTCCTGGAACGTGATGAAAAACTGAGATGAACCCGTATGCGGACCCGCATTCGCCATCGAGACGTAGCCACGTCCTCGATGTCTCACGAGAAAGTTCTCGTCAGGTAACCGTGGTCGACCATCCGCACAGATACCTCCGGTACCGTCACCAGCAGTGATATCGCCCATCTGGATCATAAACTTGGGAATAATGCGGTGACTGTGGCTTTGGCGGAAGCCAGTGCCCTTGCCCTTCCCATCCCCGACGCCTTGGTTGCGTGCGAGTCGCAGAAAGTTCTGCACAGTTCGCGGCGTCGTATCACCAAACAGACCTATTGTTACTCGACCTATACGCTCCGAATCAATCGCCATGTCCAGGTAAGCGTAGTGCGTGATGCGTTCCCACTTGCTGCTCGGGTTACGCGGGCGTTCCGCACCTGCTCCAGCAGCGAGCACACAGCGCCCTGAAGGCAAGAAGCGCGTACAACAGACCAGTGCTACGAGCGTGCCTAGCAAGAACAGTTTGAAAAGTGAAGTGCCCGCTTTCATGGTCCGCTCAGCGTTTCTCTGAGTTTGCAAGCGATGCGCTCCGAGTGATAAGTCGGCAGCTCTGCAACCTCGCGTAACCAGGGTGTGCTTGACGATTTGTTGACGCTGCGTCTGGCCAGTGCGAACGAACGTCGTTTTCTCCAGTGGACGTCGGCTGCCGACTCAGAGGGTTCCTGCGATGAACCGCTGGAGTGCACAAGGTATGGTGTGTTGTACGTGTGATCGATAAGACGCACACGAGAAGAGTGAAGGCGACGGAACCGCGGTAACCGCACTGGCGCACAACGTTACCGCTCGCAGTCGGCAACGCGAACGTTAACTTCTGTCTGTCTGTCTGTCTGTCTGTCTGTCTGTCTGTCTGTCTGTCTGTCTGTCTGTCTGTCTGTCTGTCTGTCTGTCTGTCTGTCTGTCTGTCTGTCTGTCTGTCTGTCTGTCTGTCTGTCTGTCTGTCTGTCTGGGGTTTTGTCGTGCGCTTCTACTGCTGTAGGAGTCGGAGCGAGTGCTCCGGATACGACGAACCCGCACCCGCTTTTCCGGGCGGTTTCTCGTTGCGTGTACCTTTGTTGCGCTTCAAAAGCCGTCCTAATGGTGTAGGCACTAGCGTCTCGTGCTGGTGGCTAGTTGAGGTCAATGCAGGCAAGCAGTCTGCAGGACGGAATCAGGCATAGAGTCCTGAACGATACAGGACTTTACAGTACTGTTTAGATGCGAAAGATCAAGTTTGAGCGGTACATGATAAGGCCCATTGCTTCCAGTGCCTGGAGGGCGCGCTCCACCTGTTCTCTTTCGATGGTTGGATCTGCGAGCTGTTCAACGAGCTGATCGAATGAGGTGGACTCGCTCCGCTCCGCTGATGTAATGGCTTCAATAGCTTGCTGGACGCGCTCGAGCAGAGCGTCATCGACGAGCGGTACGGTCATAGCGTCCGCCTGTTGGTTGGGCGGGGTCACTCGCTCCCCGGTCACGCGCAGGGCAGCTAAGTTTTCGGTAACTGGTCTTGTCTCCGGGCCGCTGGATATGCCGCCTGCCTGCGGCGACAAAGTCGAATGTGCTGCAATGTCACTCGCCTGGGGCGTTACACTGCTGCCGAGCGCTGCACCTGATCGAACGCGTCGGCGAATGCGCTGCTGCGACGCTCTCGACGAACGTGACGCTGCTTGCCGCCGTCCAGGGCTGTAGGATGGCTCGTCGCTCGCGGATGCATTGGATGCGGCCTCGGACTCATCGCCATCATCACCGTCGCCATTATTGTCATCGTCGTCATCGAAAGCGAACGGATCCAAACGGCGACTCGCTGGCGCGGTTCGACGTCGCGTACCAGAGCGTTGCGGCAATGGCGCTGCAGCCGATGCCGACACCGGACTCGTATTCGCGTCAGGTGAGCGCACGGGGGCAGCTCTGGCGACGTCGTGTTCGCGGTCGATTTGAGTCTCATGGTAAAGGGCGAAATTCAGCAGATCAAAAGCAGCACGCGCATCAGTGATGTCCACTGTCAGGCTGAGACGCAACTTGGCGTGCGCAGTTGCGAGGCGAATCATTGTCTCCAGCTGCCGAGCGGTAATGGGTAGCGTGCGAGCGTCATCTTTGGCTCGCAAGTCACGGTATCGCGACGCAATGTACGCCGCTGCCTCTTCAGTAAGCTGCGGACTCAGCTCACGTGCGTAGTGGATGTATTTCTGTAAGAACGGCACGGAGAGGATGCGATGCGCGGCAGCACCCTGGATAGCTTCGTTGGCCTGGTGCGATACGAACAATGGTGCCGTCATGGGATCATCGCTTGCCCTAGCAGCACCAGCGGCAGCAGCAGCATCCGATTCGAAGCCCTGATCGTCTGTTGACTCCACGGTGGTCGCTTCCGCTGGGGGCGCGTTATTTTCAGGCGTCGCTCGCTCGTCGAGTGGCGTGTCCACGTCTGCGCCGGCGTATCCCGCCAGTTCCGCGCGACCTGCCCTGTCGGGGTTCCGATACTGATGGACGCGCAGCACATGCCTTGCAATGAGCTCGTCTCTTTCGCGGGAGATAGTGTCAAGAACGATGAACACCAAATCGAAACGCGAGAGCAACGAATCGGGCAGGGCAATGTTTTCTGCGGGTTTGCGGCGTCGATCATAGGATCCGTAGATCGGATTCGCCGCGGCAAGTACGGAACAGCGAGCATTCAAAGTAGTATGGATGCCGGCCTTGGCGATCGTTACCGTCTGCTGCTCCATAACTTCATGGATTGCAACTCGGTCCGCATCGCTCATCTTGTCGAACTCGTCGATGCAGACGACACCCCGATCAGCGAGTACCATTGCGCCGGCCTCGAGATGGCGCTCCCCCGTGTCTGGGTCTGTGGTGACGGCAGCGGTGAGACCGACCCCCGAGGAGCCCCGGCCGGTAGTGGATATGGCGGACGGGGCCACGTGAAGTACGAAGCGCAGCATTTGTGACTTGGCTGTGGACGGGTCTCCCACGAGCAGGATATTGATGTCGCCACGGAGGTGGGTGCCATTGCTGAGGTTCTTTTCAGCGCCCCCTACGAGCTGCAGTAGTACCGCTTTCTTAATGAAATAGTGGCCACAAATGGATGGAGCAATCGATGCAGTCAGCAACTCGATACCACCCGGCGTGGAGGCTACCTCACGAATGTTCGCAAGGTCGCGTTCAGAAAACTTGAGGCGATGCTGTGTGTCGCTCAACGGAATACAATGATTGGCCACGATCTTGGTCGCAAAGTACGTCGTCGTCTTGCCTCCCAGAGCGCGATATGTGCCGATAATACGGACGCGCATGCCGGGTTTGCAAACATCGACCAAATCTGCTTCAAAAACAATGTCAACGGTGCGCGGCAACTGGCCCGGTGGTGTACGTTCGGGCATCTCTTGCAGGGTCGCCGTCTGAAAGTCGCGGTATGCCGATAACCCGAATTCCGTTTCCATGGGGTTGCCGTCTTCGTCACGGGTGGGATAGATGGCTGCCCCGAGCCCTCGGTTCTGGGCGACATCCAGCGAGATACCATCGCGGTAGACGCGGTGAACTATTTCGTTCTTCGCGGGGATGAAGTGCACAGACTCTACGACTTTGGGTCGAACAGCAGACACGCGAGTAATTATACCGTCAACGCATACCATCGAGTTCAGCATCGAGGCACGCAGTGAGCGCGGCGTCGCGTGCAGCGCCCCGAAAGCACCCTCGAACCCAACATGGAGGCGCTGACGTTCCCGCCCAGCAGCACCAGCAGCCGCGAGTGCTGTATTCCACTGCGCGATATAGTCTGTAAGGACTTCCTCAAATATTGGTAGAAATCGTAGCGGATTTTCAAACAGAAGCTTTGCTATTGTGGGTTCCTCGCGACGTAGGAGGTCCAGTGAGACGATAAGGCGTCGCTGACGTCCCCGTCGCAGCGCCTCAAGTTGTTGCTGTAGAGGTTCCCACACAGGAGCCTCTGACTCGAACAAGTCCCTGATCTTGGAACGAAAGTCTTGATCCTGATCAGGGGCAGTAAACAGTGATTGAAAAGCCGTCTCCATGGTACCTAAACGCGAAGCAGCAGCGAAAAGCGCACGCTGTTGTTCAGTGGGTCGATGCGCACGCAGCCTGCGTGCACGCATGGGTGCATCGCAGCGATTTCCCGCGCTCGCGCGTCCACGGGTACCTGCTTGCATTCCGCGCGAAAATCGCATCGTGCCTTTCGATTTTGCCACAGGTGCGATTTCCCTTCGTTCGACAGAGCGTTGACACTGGATCAGGCCTCTCCGATAGCGTGCTTGCTATCAGCGATCAAGCGCGAATGGAGCGATGCGCTGCCTGTTCGGGCGCTGACGAGTCATGCGCTTGTCGCGGGCGTCTCCAAGCTTCGTTCACGGATCCGTCACAGATGGTGTCTTAGGGCAGCGCGTAGCTGCCTCTAGAACGCTGTCCTCGACGTGTGCACTCCTGGAATGTGCGTATAACCACAACTCGAGCAGCGCGACGGGCGCATCCTGCTTGGATCTTGTTTAGACCCGCAGGGTCAGGCATCCGCACGGAACGATCGAGCATCCTGCAGATACGTTCCATCGATGCCATGCGCAGCTGCACACGACTTCTCTTCATTGACAAAACGTTTCCATAGGCCAGCGTTCTCCGATTATGCGCATTTTTCTTTTCTTTCTCTTTTGTTTTTTTTTTCAGTGCGAGGTGGAGTATCCATCAAACCCCCGATTTCCATGTTACATTACCTATATATCATCTCGGATATTTTGGTCGTTTCGTACGTCCTATGGTGTGCCGCACCCGCCGAAAGCGACAACAATGGCGCCTATAGCGCCGGTGCGGTCGCCGTATGGAGACAGAACGGCGTTAGCAGCACACGATGCGGGCGTGCAGGCGATGCGCTCGCGGTGACATGCACGATCATCGGGACGCCTTTACACACCGGTGTGCTTTGATTTGCTCTCCTCCAGTCGTGCACATCTGTGTACATAGAGCGGCTGCTGCCTCGGGAAAAACGCCCATATAGGGTCTAACATGAGCGTTTGTGGTGTGGGATGCGAGCGTTCGCTCGGGGAGCGCGTGCGTCGCGTCACCCGATGTGGTAGATGCATACGCTGCGAGCACGACACCTGAACAACTCTGCCAGCGGTGCGCTTTACGCATCACAAAGTCACTTTAACCATTGCGGTCTCAGTGAATGGGCCCTAAAAGCATAACAGAGTCTTGGTTGGTGCGTCGGAAGCACGCTTTCCAGGTATTGTCACATGCGTAAAGATCAAAGAATGGGGCACTGAACCGCTCACCCTCTTCCTGTCTCTCTCCTTTCTTCGGACTTTTCGTAGATGTACCTACTCGACATGACAAGTGTATCAGCAAGGACTTTTGGATGCATACGTTCTGTTCCGAGCTTCGGTCGTCGATTTGGATCGTCCGCTGCCACGTACGGCTCCTGGAGTTTGTCACATTATCGGGATCGAGATGATACGCGACGCCGTCGTACAACGGTTCGTAAAATAACCGATATCATTACATAATGCAGACGTACAAGGCTTCGTGCTTCTCCTTTCGTTACGTGATGCACGCTCAAATCATGTACGCATCAAGCTTTCGATCTTTCTCTTTGAAGGCACGCTGTGGGGACACAACTTCTCGCTGGTGGATTGACGAGTGGAAAGACTCAACGTGTTTCCGTGGCGACTTGTTCAGAAGCTCGTGCCGCACTTTTACTCGAACTGTCAAGCCAGATCATCGATTCCGTTCGAAAGACGAGTCCTCCACTCTGTGTGGCCATCCGCCACACTGGACTCGACACTAGCATCATACCCCCAGGGGAAAGATTCACATATGCCCTCACCTTCTCTTTTTGGATAGAAGACCGTGTTGCGTTCGAGATTCATTCACCGCAGCGATCGCTTTCATCGGAAAGGTCGTCATCGGTTTGCACGAGTGAAACAGATATACACTGGAATTTCTCGACTTGTTCTGCAGCGAAGTCCTTGGGCGGAGAAATCTGCATGGTATCCCTGAGCCATGGCACCGCTCACCACCACCGGCACCTCAAGGCTTCGATGACGCGCAGGCGAATGTGCCACGACTCGGCCAACATCCTGGAAGGCCGGAAAGAGTTCTTCATGGGCGGCGCTTCGTCGAAGCCTATGGGCTTGGATGATAGCCTTATGGCAATTAGGCTCCATCAAATACTACGCAAAGTTCCAGATGCAGATATGAGAATGGAGCTGCTTCCGCTTCTACGTTCCCCGCTTACGAAAGCGAGGACCCTGTCGCATCTGGAATGCTGTTCCAGAGCCCCGAACGGAAGCGTGTTTCCCCATTTCCTAATGCTCTTTTCGGTCGCTCGTAACAGCACGTCTTTATGGGGATGTTCTCGCTTCCTTATGGAGCTGGACGCCCGCGCACAAGCGCCGCAGCTGCGTCCCATGGAGAATCAGGGCATCGACGAACCAGAAAGGCTGATCACAGTTATGGACTTCACGAAGTGGTCGATGCATCTTTCGCCAGAACATGCAAAATTACTCATGAACCATAGGTTGAACAAAAAAGGATAAAGCGGTCCAAGGAAGATGCCGAGCTGAAGAAAACATGCAGGAAAGTGTGGCTCTCTTGACGACGAGGATACGCATTGCTCTCCCAGAGAACGAGACACCAGAGGTAGAGGAAACGGAATCAAACTGAGCAAAAGGCCGCAAAAGCTGTTGTTCATAACAGCGGCAAGGAACCCAAACGTTACACTGCACGATCAAGTTAGAGGATCCGTCCCATGTACCTGTAACCAGTGTCCAGAATATACATCTACGATATCCACGCGTACTGACAAGAACGCAGTGCATACCGGGCCCCGGTTCCGATCAAGCCAAGTGGCCAGCGCTTCCCCCGGCATCGCGTTCATCATCGACCGGAATCTTTCGTTTTCTTCGCCAAGGTTCAGCGCTGGGCTTCGTCTCTCTTTCGAGAACGTCGACACTGGTCTGCCGAGTCATGGAAGCACAAGTCAGACTCTTACAGCTGAAAGAGCAGCGCTTGCGTCTGTATCGAGTTTTCGCGACGGAGCCTTATGCAGAGAGCGTTCGAAAACGCTCGGCTGCCCGTGTGTGGCAAGATCCCGGTTTGCAACTTCGGCTCGCTCGGAGCGTCGCCCAAGGGTGGCTCGCCGCTCCAGACTGCAGTTGTGAGCGTTGTATGGCTATTTTTGAAAACGAACAAGATGCAAAGCAGCGACTTGCCCGTCAAGGTAGCACGGCCCTGGACAGACTAGACGTCCGACGCGTACGCAAGGCACTTGTTCACGAGCTCGCCTATTGCCCGTTGCTTGCGAACTCGTGGCGTCGTGAAGGAGCGCCTACCTGGAGCCTCGAGCAGCGCGAAACGCTTTGTCGAGGACCTGACAAGCGCGCGCGCGAGTCCGCCAGTACGAGGCGGAACGAGAGCACGAGCGCGGGGGACACGAGATCACCCAGTTTGTCTGGAAGCGAAAGCACGACGTCGATGGCCGTGGATGCAGAGATCGAGGACGGAGGCCAAGAGCAATTTCCTGGGAGAGAACCTCCATGGGCAGTGCAGCTCATGGAGCTCCAGCAGGTATGGGAGGTGGCGACGACGCCGGTGCCGCTGCACGAAGCTTTCGCCGCGGCTACTCCATCCCGCGACACCCTCCACGTGCCTGATTCCGATGCCGATGACTCTGAGGATCACCAAAATCCTGTCAACCAGGATGAATCTCCGAGCCGATAGCCCTCACGCGGGCGCGTAATCGCGAAAGACACAACGTCGGCGACTAGATAAAGATGTGCACGACGATGTTCTGCGTACAGTGTTGCTCAGGTGACGTTCTGCGTTGCACGAGCACCACCTCGAAAGCGGCAGCTTCCATTCGCGAGAATATCGATGAAGCCGATGCGGGATGCATTTCTGCGGCTCCCTCTGACGAGTCCCAGGATCTGTTGGACTCTTTGCACAGCCCGTAACTCATTGCGTAAAACATCCTTGAGTGCCGAAGACGTTCTTCACGATGTGTTTGCGCTCCTCGCACAAGGACGCTACAACTGGTTCCTCTCTGCCAGATGATCTGCATGAGGCATGCCGAGCGATGTTCATAGCGTCTGTGTCAGACTGCTCAGATCCAGACCGGGCGTTTCTTGCCATCGCTGCATCCTTCTCGTTGACGAATGGGATACGTTATCTGAGCAGCGCGATCTTCCATGGTAATCGGGACACCTCCGTGAACGGTGCTTTCTCTGCAAGCGTTGATTACGGTCAAACTTTATTTTTATGCATAACGAATCTGTTGCTCACCTAGTCTGGAGAAAAATTATCTATGGGATCCGCGTACGCATTCCAGCAGGCAGCATCTGGGGTCCCCGCTCCCGAAGCAGGCACCAGTTCGGTCACAAAACTTGGTATAGCGGCGTCGTGCTTTCTGACGGCTTCGCGCCTCTCAGAAACCTGTCCCGACGATGCCTTCGCCCAAGCGGTTTCCGCAGCGCGTCCATGCCGAAGAAGCGCTCCAGCGTTCTCAGCGTTCATGTCGCTGGTTGGGGTCCTGATATCATCATCATCATCATCATCATCATCATCATCACGAGCATCCCAGCTATGGCCCAAGCGATCGCAGCTGCCACTGCCACTGCTGGTGTTGTTGCTGTTGTTCCGGAATAGCTGCTGGTGCCCTGTTGCCGATGACGTACCATGCTCGAGGCACACAAGCCGTCTTTGACGATTCAGATTGAACCTGTTGCGATTCCTGTCATCACTGGACAAGGATACGCTTTCATGAAGATCCGGCAATCGGGCTCCCGCGCCGAGCTCACCATCAGCATCAGAATCAGAGTCGCTGCACAGGCTGGATGCATTCGTCTCAGACCAGCTGGTATCGGATTCGAAAGAAGCGCTGTCGAAGGTACTCGAGCAAGCGCCTTCTGCGCTCGAGTCTGTCATCTGTGCAAATGCGGCATCAAACAGCTCATCTTCGTTGTATGTAGGACGCTGTCGCCTTCCTGTCCGGGCGCTACGATGCGGCATCTCTGTCGCCGACGTCGTTATCGCTGCCTCCTGGTCCAAGCACGACTCCCGGGCAGCCTGTTTCGAGATGCGCACTTCTCGTCGCACCGCAGCCAAATAGCCATGCTCGAGCTCAGCAATGACCGAATCCTGGATGCAACTCCACAACCGGCGATTGCGAGAGGACATGGCATCGCCACCGAGCTCCTGGAAGAGACGCTCCATGGCCTGCACTCTGTCTGCATAATCCCGAACAACGACCTCTATCTGAGGAGGTACGCTGCATTGTGCTGCGGCGCCGCCGTCCAGACGCTCCCCGGTCAGAGAAGCGCTACCATTCGAATGTGCCTCAGAGACACCGCCGCCATAACGGAGGCGATATATTCGGAAGCAGCCGCACGCCGCAGCCGCTCTCAGGCCTCCGGGAACCCAGTAGCGCCAACCGTAATCGTCTTCACCAAAAGCATCAATCCGAGTGGCACCATCCCCACGTCGATACACCTGGTCACAGGAAGGCGCTTTCACTGACTTGGAATCGTCCATCGCTGCTTCCCAATCGCTCACAGAGGGTTTTCTGGTGGAATCGAACCCAGTTCGTAATGCTTTCGCTTTCGAGATGCAGCCATCCGTTCGTGAGCGGCCTGCCGCTGCGGTAGTTGATCGACGAGTGTGAAACGGCGCTTGTCGCTGCTCCTGTTGTTTTCGGGCTCGTCGATGTCGCCTTGTGGGCTGTCCAAGGCGCTGGCTGCATTCCTGCTCCTGTTTCGCCATTTCCCAGATCACGCGGCGCAGACTCTCGTTCGTTTCCGAGACAACCTCACATAGCGCTAAGAGAATGACCACACGCATCCGCGGGTGGAGCATTTCATACCGACATCGATCGAGGATGGACGCTCCGTCCTGATCATAAAGGCTGCAACCCGGGTCGCTGCCAGCAGCTGGCCCGCTCAGGTCGTAGAGTTCAGGCCGCGTACGTAGTTCCGCTGCGAGCAATTCTATCCACCCGTCTTTCCCGTAGGCATGTATTGCGTCGACCTTGCGCACATGCAGGCAGTTGAGCAACCCGGCATGTACGCGCGAGAGCAGTAGCTCTTGGCTTGTTCCTTCCTGGTGCGAGGTCGCAGTCGACGACTGAGCAGTTGTGCTTGCGTGAGCGTCATCAGCTGGGGGTCGTTCGCGCAAGCCGTGAACGATGTCCGCTTCCAAGCGCCCCGGATCGATCTGGGGCACAAGCGCATCTGTGGGCTTTTTCGGTCGTCCTGCTCGAAAGTACGTCCGGATTTCCTCATTGATGAAGCCTTGAAGAGCAACGAGAAACTGCAGCACGCTCACGAACTCCGGCATACAGCGTACCTGCGCCACAGCCTTTTCCTTATCCTCGTGATCGGCGAGAATTCTATTATCCGAGGTGTAGTCATATACGACACCGTTCACACAGTCCACAGAGGAACACGCGACAGCTTCTGGTGCAGCACAGTGCCCGTTCATGAGATCGCACCGGCCGTCTGTGGCTGTGGAGCCGGTACCGCACCACCACACTGCAGTCGGTTCAACGTCCAGCTCTTTCGGAAAGCTAGGCCCCGCTAAAGCAAGCCTGAAGCGTCACCGGAGGCACTGCGTCCTTGCGCACACCCTCTACCTCTGTTTTCAAGCTGCCTGTGCAGGCACAACTCGGAACGAGTCTCCGTTCGCGCCAAAGCGTCCTCCTGTAGCCACCTGCAATGATTGTGAGGCGCGCGTGTGTGCCAACCGGAGCGCTGGGCAGAAGCATATGCGCTCGACGTCACTGGCGCTATCCTCGATGATGCATTGCCTGGTTCAGTAGCCGTCCTAGTCTGATGCTGTCGCAGTCCCAACTGGACCAATTGAGCACCATGCAAGGCGGGGAGGCTGGTCCGTTTGCCAGCGTAACTCGGCGCTGGTCGTTGGCACTCGTTTATCTGGACGCCTAGCTGGCAGGCACGGGTAGGGTACTCGAGTGCCGAGTATCCATGCGATGCATTTCCACGGGGCAGTGCAACTCGCATATATATGTTTGGCAATGCCGAATGACAGAATCTGATTATTGTATACGAGGTGTGCATGAGCATCGTTTTCATATTTGGCAATGCCGAATGACAGAATCTGATTATTGTTCACGAGGTGTCCATGAGCATCGTTTTCATATTTGGCAATGCCGAATGACAGAATCTGATTATTGTTCACCAGGTGTGCATGAGCATCGTTTTCATATTTGGCAATGCCGAATGACAGAATCTGATTATTGTTCACGAGGTGTGCATGAGCATCGTTTTCATATTTGGCAATGCCGAATGACAGAATCTGATTATTGTTCACCAGTTATCCTTGAGAATCGTTTTCGGTGCACATAAACGGCGCTCCGGCCTTGATGGGATGTTCATTGCACCATACCGATGTCTTGTACCAGGCGGGATTCCAGTGCCATCTGTCCTGGCTGATGCGCTTTGCGCACCAAAAGTTTTCCGCGTTCCAGCAAAGTGCTCAGACTGAACACGAAACGATTCTTTCGAACTTTCTCTCGACAGAAAGCCGTTGGATACTCAGGAAGCATGAGAAATTTCCGGATGTTGATCTAAGCGTTCAAGTCTCGGTACAGGATGTTCTTGCACGTTATGTTGCCGGTGGAATCACACCATAGCACGCCCAACGGATTCGATGGCCTTGCCGTTCGACGTACGAGCATCTTACCGAACGCCTCTGCTTCAGACGCTTCTTCTCGACCTGTTTCAGCGTGCACCCGGGTTCGGGATGCGCTGATGTCGTTCTCTACGCATCGATAGGAATCGTACAGAATCGATACCTGCACACATTGGACGCTCTCTTCGACGGAGCATGACCTGGGAATTCGCGCACTTCAACATGACAAGTGCCACAGGCTGCGAGCTTACCGTGCGACTGATCAGTTATATCCCTGGCCAACCCAATGAGAAGAGGTTTGCGATTCCTTGCTCCTTTCCTGCGTACAATCGAGTCCTTTTGCGACTCGATCGCGGTCTCATGGATGATTGCCGCGGATCGTCCACAGAGGCCATTTGAACGTTGATGCACGGTACGAGCAAGGAGTACAAAATTAAATTCTGCGTGATATGGATCCTGCCAACGCCATTCCATCGGGTCGTATGATCCATTATATCCCTGATGCCGGACGCATGATAATGTCGAGACCTGAAAGAATCAGGCTGCAATTCATGAGGTGTTCCTAGCATTAGCACTGGTACAAAGGTATGATCGAATCGCTCGGCTGGAATTGGACGCATTGAAGACCTTCCATGGAATCCTCTACGGAAACTTTCGTGAAGAAATGCTTCAAGGCGAGATAAGCTAGGTATTCCATCATGACGTCCAAATTAATATTTTGAAAGATTTTCCCCGTTGGTGACTTTTAGAACGGAGGTACCGACAACGGGTCCACACTGATCTTCCTCCTCCGACAGATTTCCATGCTGTTTCTCTGCGTCCTCTTTCCGGGAGGGTCTTTCACGTTTTTGTCCGTTTTCCCGATTTCTCGTTTACCTCGCTTGGTAGCATAGACGTGGTCGCTGTATCCCATCTCCGTGCTTTCCATTGAATTCAGACGCACCGGATGGGCGACGGAACTGAAACTTGCCTCTCATGTTCATGTACCTGGTGTTGCTCAGGTGCCTTTTCGTCACCCTTACCATGGCGTACACGCGCTTGGACCGAATCGGGCATGGCCTCCCTGTCCCGCATCCGAGCACAGTACCAACAGAGCAGCTCAGTGCTGGTGAAGCTACAAAATGGATTGTCGAAGTCTTTTTGGGCCGCGGATGCGAACGACTCGTCCATGCATGCGTGAGCGTGAAAGTTGCGTTTTACGATACAGAAGACGCATTCGACGCATTGTGCTGATACCGATGAGCGTTGCCACGAGCGACCGACTCGGCAGCTTGCCGCCGCCCTAGCTCCCAATGTCTCGTTTCCGAGGTACTCTTTCGAACGCTGACGCGAGCCTACGCCAGCAAGATGCGCACATTTCAGGTCGATCTGGATGGAACCTGGGTTGCCACGCTCGCGCTTCCTCCATCCCGACATTCCCCATGTATCAACAAGACAAAAAAGGTTGCGCTGTACACCGCTCATCGATCATGTACTGGACGCCGTCGAGCTGGTGCGCACCAGACTAGCCATCATACGCACTACACAGAAACGTCATACGCGTGCACAAGCTTTGAGCATGATCTGCTCCGCTGCTGCCGGGACCTGCCCCGGATCCAGCGCTAGTCTAGTAGCAGCTGCATTTGCGCCACGCTGTGTGCCAATGATGTGCTAGGTGCACCGCTCGAGATCACGCAAACACTCTAAAAATGAAGTACAGAGGCCTCCAAGGCTTGTCAGTTGCGCGCCTGGCAACATCCTTGAGGATCCAGTACCAGCGCCGAGATCTGCAGCGAATCTCCCGGCAGCGCGCGGCGTCAAGACAGATTCCTCGTCTGAAGTACGGACTCGCTGTGGGCCTTTCTGAGAATATGTTCGTTTTTGGAGCTTACTGGTTCGACTGTGGTGAAAGAGCGGTCTTACCTGCAAATAGCAGGGGCGCACTGCGCCCACAGTGCACCAGGCTGCGTTTCTGGCGTGGTCGATACTGGCACCGCGGTGCTGTGTCCGCGTTGAGGCGCGTGCGGCCGCTCAGCGCTTCGACACCGTCGCCGCGGGTGCTCGACGGATCGCAGTCGTTGGCGGATACCCCCGACAACGTTCAGCAGTTGTTGCAGCACATGAGTCAGGAGCTCGACAGCGTTGTTCAGAGTATGGTGCATCTCGAGGAGTACGCACTCGAGCAGGTCGAGAAGTTGAAAGGCGCCATGGAAGCGGACCTACGAAAGCTAGCACTTTACGAGGAGGAGCAGGCCTTTGCACAGAAACTAACTGAGCAGCTCCAGAAAAAGGAAGGTGCTGTTTTTGAGGCGATGCGTCATTTTCTCTTCCATGTCGTGGGCCTGCAGGAGCAGACGGTAGCGATTACCAATGAGCTGCAGGTGCTGCACGAATTCGTGAGCGAGAATCATGAACGAGTCGAGCTCGTTCTCGAGTCTCTGCGGGAAAGGGGCCTATTTGGATCGCGCCAGGACGTTTTCGAGGGCGAGGTCAAGAAGAAACTCGACCGATTCGACCCAGAAATATGACGATCTGGCACTGAACGCCGCAGTTGCGCTGCGAATCGATGACGCTGCCAGCACCGGTACCGACATCCATCGAGGAGCCGTCCTGGAGCGCACGCTTACGACGGGAATGCACTGATCGCACTATTGGATAAGCGCTCGCTTCGAGCATCCGAGAGCATCTAACGGTACGATGTGCGCTGGTGTACTGTGCAGCAAGCCACGCTGGAGCCCAGTAGTGGGCACAAGGCAGCCAGCGGCTTGTCCGGACTACAGGGGCAGCGCGAGCGCCTGCGCAAGGCGATTCGTCGCTGTGTGCCGCCGGGCAATGCAGCCTATCGCCTGTGAAAGCAGCGAGTCGCAGGGCTGCCGCTTATATGCAATATTTGCGCTGCGTTCGCTGGTAATGACCATGATAGCCTACTGAGGAGTAAGTGTCAGGTGGATTACCTGGTAACAGGTGCTGGGATCCATTGGGCGACCATTAGGCTCAAATTTGACGTTTATGTGTCTCCAATGCGAACCTGATTCACAAACAACTGGAAAAGATGACTGCTCGCAGATATCCTTGCATCAGAGTGCTACTCTTGATTTACAATGCATGTAACATATGGGAAAGATGCTCCGCGGCAATCGTGGCTGCGGCGATCGATCGTGCAGTACCGCAGGTACGGGCGATACGTTCGCTCCGAGTGGCGGCTGCACAAAACTGCCCGGAGCATGTGCTTGCTCCAGTGCCCAACCTGGTGCTTTATTTGCGACTCTTTGGGCGCATTTTTAATGTACGCCAGATGCCAGCTACGCAGGATGGACGCGACGCCGTCCATTCTTCGACTTCGGACTCGTACCAGTGCACGCTCTCTACCATGACGTATGTGTCGTGGCAACGCTGGATGCGCTGCGCAATCGCCATAGCGAGCTGCTCTTCGGAAGCCGACCAGCGTGCATCGTCCATGAGCTCGGGTACGGTTTCATCGATCCATTCAGACGTAACCTCTTCGAACACGTAAACGGAACGCATGGGGTATCGTGTGTCGGTTGCACTGTTCGAGTCCTCCAGGCGAAACGCTGTATACTGCATGATCTCGTGGTGTCTGTAGAGACGCTTCGTGCTGCGAACAACACCAACGCCTTATGGGGTGAGTCGGTACCCGTTGAGCAGCAACGCAAACCAGTCGAGCGATCATCTCGAAGAAAGCGTCAGTCAAACGTTCTGAACACACACTGACGACTCTTGTCAAAGACACTGCACTTTAGGAATCAGGCACGACCCGCGTGCCCTGTCAATCCAACAGTGCGCCGTTGATTCGGATGACTAGTCCAGCGGGTCAAGGGCGCTGCGATCGGAATCAACGCTTGACTGACAGTCGCTGCACGATGTAGTGCTTTTGCAGTTTCGCTCTATGAGTGACACAGGTGCGCTATGCAGTCCAGCGTCTTGAGCGCTTTCTGGAAATAGCGTGGTACAGTTCAAGGAGCGAACAGACACGCTTGCGGCTAAGCTTGATCGTTCATGGCGGAAGAGCCGGCGACTCCAGCAGACACCGAGCTGCGGGACTCGCAAGGCGCTGACACTAGCCAGGAAGGGTCCTGGAGCCCCCACGAGTACCTCATTGAGCAGCCGCTGCACGTAAAGCAGCACCAAGGCGACGAGGCATCAGTTGCGGCCGACAGCGCACTGCCAACTGCCGAGACGGCTATGTGCACTGCACCAGCGCTGATGGAATACGAGGGTGATCGTCAGAGCAAAAGGGCTCGCGCCTCGGAGCTGGACTGGCCACCAGCGCTACCTCAAGGCAAAGACGAAGCATCAGCAACTGCTCACAAGACAAATAGTGAACATCGCGGGTCAGAGAGCCCCGACGATGTTGAGAAATCGAGTACGCCAGGTCGTACCGACACAGAACTGGACAGGAATAGCACGTTAGTGTCGAACGCGGATCACGCACGAGAACCCCTGGAGCGACGCCCTGGTGGTGACTATGACGAGCGCGACGCTTGTGCGACTACAGCTATGACAACGGGCGCTGCACCCCAAGACCCCGGGGACGAATGCAACGGCGACAGCGACGCTGCATCCACTGTCGACACAGAGCTCCTATTCGAGACACCGCTCGCCATCCTGAAAAAGTTTCTGGATGGCCACTGGGTAGATGCCGGTCGCGGTCCAGTGCGCATTCTACGCCTACGCAGGTGCAGCGAGTCATCGGGCAACACAGAGACGTTTCTGCGCATGGACAGCGGCCTGCGCCCAGTGCTTTACCTCAGACTGGAGCACGAAACGGCACGTACTGCGCGATGGGAAAAAGTTCGCGAACGAAGTATCCGGTTTCTATGTCCAGTCAGCGGGCAGGGCCCAGTGATGTGTGTGTTGCAGTTGCGCAATGCAGCGACTGCAGACAAGCTGCTGGCCCTGATCGAGCAGGTGGCGTTTGCTGCGGCCGAAAAGGCGCCAGTGGCATCGTATACTGAGCGTTCAACTGGCGTTCAGTACTCGAGTAGCTTTACTGAGCTGTGGACTAGATTCCAGGCAGACACAGTACCTGTTTTGGAGCAGTATCGAGCAAAAGCGCTCGACGATGACGAGACGGCTACTGCTCCTCGGGTTGTGCGCTTGGAGCAGCTCATCGATGCCTCACGCAAGACGCTCGAGCTGCAGGACGCAGCGCAAGAGCGTCTCCTTCAGCTCCTAGAGGAAGCACGCGAGACTTGCACCCGGACAGAGCGCGAGCTCCAGACTGTGCACCAGCGTCTGTGCCGGCGCATCGCGGCCGTGGAGCCGCAGCTCTCCAAGCTGAGGTCTAGTCTGGGACCCGTCGACTCGCCCGCACCGCTGACATCGGATCCTGCGAAAGCGCTCTCCAACAATGACCTGATGATCACGTCGGTAGAGACGCGTGCAGCGGAGGCATCCGCGTATGCAGATCCTGCCGACTTTCTTGGTTTCTGCGCGCGCTTATGCTCGTTTCGACCAAGCTGCTTCAAGCAGATGCGCTTAGAAGAGAAAGGGGCACAGGGCACGGGATATCCGCTTGTTATTGAGCTCGCACTTGGCGGATGGACGTATCTCTTGTCTGGGGCGTTGCACTGTGGGCGCTGCGGGGCCACATCAGCTGTCAGTGAACTCGTGAACGAGTCGGAATCCAGTACACAGGGATGCAGACACCAGCCTGGGTGTCGCTGGCTCAGCGAGCGCTCTCCGACGACTTTTGCGTCGTTTCGTGCGGACTCGTCCACAAGTCGGACGGAAGCATGCTGGGCACTGCACCTCGCTGACGCAGTCCGCTACTTGCGCGACGCACTGGAACGCTCCGCGTCTCCAAATGCCTCTGTTACTGAGCGTGTTGCATTTCGCAAGCTAGCCAGTCATGGTTGGGTATGCCAAACGCGGCAGGAGCGACTGCTTTTTTCCTGTATGTTCTGCGGGACACCGCGTTTCATGGCTCAGGGCGAGATCGAGCGTAGCCTCGACTCGACCGCAGCCGCAGGTCACCATCGCAGGTACTGTGCGTTCGCGGATACCACTGTTGCTGTCGATATCGAGCAGCAGCTACGGAATGGAACATCTGCAGCCTGACGCGTATCGGATGGATTGCGTAGAGCTCATTCGAACATGCATGGATACTTCGCAGGCAGTGCTCAGTGCTCTCTGGGATGGAGAGCAGGTCCCGAACGAGCGCACGTACCTGCCAGCGACGTCTAGACTGGAGCACCCGACAAGCAGCCGCACCAGATCACTTTTTGACATCAAGGCAGCTGGCTGCGTACCATTCGCTGGCCTGTAAACAAGCATGGATGTAGCGTTGCAGAAACATCGACGATACGCAGCACCTCTCTGAAGTTTTATGGATACCGACGCAAGCTGCTTCCTGGCGATGGCGAATGCAGGTGCCTCATGGACAAGCGTTTGATGCAGCGACAGACGCCACGGCAAGCGCGTCTACGCGGTATGCTAGGCCTCTGCTTGCATCGTTGAATGAGGGCAATGACGCTGAAACTGCAAGAGACTGGCACTTTCCATGGTCCAGTGTTCGCCTGTCGAGCGCGTGTCTTACAAGGCCGGGAGCAACCCCAGTTGAATTCGTGAGCAGAGTCACTGCCGCGCAAGACTAGTAGACTCGATCGACTGGGTACGTGACGGGAAGCTGGACGGCATATTGCGCAGGTGCGATCGCGTGGAAGTGGAATCATACCATGGTGGTGCTCTGATAACCTGGTGTACCAAGATGGACAAGGGCACTGGGTTTGCGCTCTGGCAGAACAGTTGCACCTGATGTCGACACTGCGCTATGGGTACGCTGCAGTCGACTCTGGATTCAGTACGTTATTCACCAAGTTTCGTTAACATGTTGACCAGAGGAAGCAACATAGCGTCGCCTATCCGGATCAATCGACGATTGGTACCTCATTGCGCTTCAAGCGGCATACAAGCACGCAGGCGCTTTCTTAAACGTCGCCGCCGTCACCAGCGCAACCTGTTCCACGTCACGATACTTTGACAGACTCTGAGCACCCTTCCAGTCCAAGCGCTTCCCCGTAGACAGTGAAGTAGCAGTAGCGGCACTGGTATCGTCGCTGCCTGTCCTAAGCACTGGATACCGCTGCTCCTGCTTCTAGAATACCCAGGCAACGCTGCCTTCGCCGCTGACAACCCTCACCAATCGATAAGCAACTCGACGCAGCGGGCGCCTTGCAAGCCGTTCTGCGTACGGCTCCCGTCAAGGTTCCGTAGACGTTCGTGATAGGAGCTACAACGCTGACGTTACTTGTCTGCTGCACCAATGTCTGTCTGACGGTCACCAATGTTCATAACAGCACACTGTTTTCGTCATTGTATACAGGGCGTCGGCTCAACGAGCTGGCACACCAGGGACTGCCCTCGGGGACGATCGAAAAGGTGCCGCCCGGTGTGCGCTTCCCGAGCACTCCCAGCGCTACGTGCGACGCAGGATCGTACAGAGACTGCTGCGAAACTGACAGTGGCGAGTAATGGTGATGCTCCAGTTTACTGCTACATCGCCAGTTCACCGTTCAAGAACGATTACCTGGAGCGCGTCCTTAACGCCCGCGTTTACGAAGCGGCCGTTGAGACACCGCTTGACAACGCTCCGCTGCTGTCGCGTCGCCTTGGTCGACGAGTCCTGCTCAAACGCGAGGATCTCCAGCCAGTTTTCAGTTTCAAGATCCGTGGCGCCTACAATATGATCGCACTCACAGACATGAGCCAGTACGAAGGCGGAGTCGTTGCAGCCTCCGCTGGTAACCACGCGCAGGGCGTTGCACTGAGTGCGCAGCTGCTCGGGTTGCGTGCCACCATCGTGATGCCTTGCACCACACCGTCGATCAAAGTGAATGCGGTTCATCAACGAGGCGCTGAAGCCGTGCTCCACGGCGACACGTTCGATGACGCACAGGCACATGCACTGGCGCTGGCAGCGGAGCGTGGGGCGCTTTTCGTGCCCCCGTTCGACCATCCCGATATCATTGCGGGTCAGGGAACGATCGCTCTGGAGATACTTCGCAAGCATCCTGGACCCATTGAGGCAATTTTTGTGCCAGTTGGTGGGGGCGGTCTCATCGCTGGCATTGCTGTGGTTGTGAAGCGCCTTCGTCCCGAGATACGGATTATCGGTGTCGAGCCGTTCGATGCCGATGCCATGTACCAGAGCCTGCAGGCTAGTCAACGGGTCCGTTTGGCGCAGGTCGGGGTATTCGCTGATGGGGTTGCAGTGAAAGAGGTCGGCACCGAGACGTTTCGCCTGTGTCGAGACCTCGTCGATGAGGTCATCCGTGTCGAGAACGACGAAATCTGCGCAGCCATTAAGGACATGTTCGAGGACACACGCTCGATCCTGGAGCCGGCTGGGGCACTCGCTATTGCCGGCTTGAAGCGCTACGCGCAGCGGAACATGGACACTAGCACTAGCACTAGCAATAGCACTAGCAGCAGTAGCAGTAGCAGCAATAGCAGTAGCAGTGGTACCCTCATTGCCATTGCGAGCGGTGCGAACACCAACTTCGATCGACTTCGACACGTCAGTGAGCGAGCAGAGATCGGCGAGCACCGTGAGGCGGTACTAGCGGTTCGTATCCCGGAACGGCCGGGCGCCTTTCGGGCGATGATGAACGCACTCGGGCCGGGTGCCAATATCACCGAGTTCAACTACCGCTACGCATCACCGGAAGTTGCGCATGTGTTTGTGGGACTCTCGGTCTCGGATCGACGCGGTGCTGCAGCAGCAATATCAAAGCTTGCCGCCCAAGGGTTTGTGGCTACAGATCTCACCGACAATGAGATGGCGAAGTTGCACTTGCGCCACTGCGTTGGGGGCATGGGTGGACCACACTTCGCCCCAGCGCACGAGATTGTCTACCGCTTTGAGTTCCCGGAGCGCCCAGGGGCGCTAGCACGATTCCTGAATGGTCTTCGTGGCTGGAATATTACCCTGTTTCATTATCGGAATCACGGTAGCGATGTTGGTCGGGTGCTTGTCGGCTTGCAGGTGCCGCCATTGGAGCGTTCCACCTTCTTAGAGTTTGTGGAGCGCCTTGGCTACGCGTACGTGGACGAGACCCAGAATATCGCCTACCGGATGTTTCTGCGTCTGGGGGATACTCCATGAATGAAGGCATATTTACATTGCGAAATCGTTTCGAGAATGAGCCGGTGAAATGCATCCGAGGATGCCGCCAATGACGCAGCACCTTCCGAGTGCAGATCTCCAGGCAGCAGAGTGTTTATCAAAAGCGCCTATACGTTAGTGTCAGCACGAGTCGCAGAAAGGCTGTGCCTCGTCAAGCTCCGTACACGACAAGTTTCCGTTGTTGGCTTTTTTCCTTGTTCATGTGTGTTCCTTGCCGGATTCGCCGCGGAGCTCGCCTGGCGACCACCTCCACTGAGGCATTGCCCCAATTCTGATCCAGCGTTGGCGGTACCTCAGTTTGTGCGTTCCTGTCTTGCGCAAGCGCAGAGACATCTACTTCCGGTCATTCTTCTTCGCTTGATTCTTTGGGGAAGCACATCTGACACGCGGTGTCGGTGCCTTACCGGGCGCTCGAGATGTGCGTCCGGGTGCTGCACAGCCAGTCAATATAATGCGCACAGCATATTATCAGGAAAGAGGCTCTCGAACAGTGTTGCCGCCTCTAGCGCAACCCAAGCAATCGATGTACAGCGAAGCGCGTCTCATACTTTTCAGAGACGACCGCTTCAACCCAAGACAACACGGAAAACTCGACAGCCTGCTCGGGTGATCGTTCGTGTATGTAAGCGCCTCAGCCGTTCACGGTGCCCTGAGTACCTGCCCCGGAAAGCAACGTGCATTCGTGCTACCTCGCTTTTCGCTCGGTTGGCCTCATCCCAAATACCGTAACGCTGCTCGCGTTTCCAAGGTCTACAGCGCCTGTCGGCCGTCGCGGGTGACACGACTCCAGGGCGGTTTCCGAAAGCGTTACAAGTTCGCGGGTTCCACGACTCTCCCTGCGCAAATCACAACGTTCCACTAGTATACGAGCCAGTTCCGGTTCTGAGTCCGGCTTGTCCCTGTCATACACAAAGCCAGACGAGCAACAGGCTTCCTTGGCGTGCTTCACGCGAGACCTCGAGATCGGAACTCCTTGGTGTACGTGCGTTAGAAGCGAGCGCCCAGCGCCAACGTCGAGCAACTCAAGACTCAAGATCCCGAGACGACGCTATGTGCGCATCAGGGACATCAGTGCAACATTACAAAACGTCAGCACGTTTGCTAAACTAACGAGACTGATCCAAGCAACCAGTACGGACTGCAGCTGTAGGCACGCTCGTCGCTGAGGTAGCACCCGAGCTCGACCTGCCTTGACGGGTAGCGGACGCTTCTGGAGGCGCGTGCACGCTCCCTAGACCGCACGTTTCGAGCTTCACTTTTATTCAGTGGACTGAACAGGTCACTACTGACACCCAAGTGTGTATTCATCGAGTGGGGATATGTTGGTGCGCGTTCGGAAGGAAGACGGCACGGTTGTACGGTTCACTGTGGAGCCGCAGACCACTGTCGGTGAGCTGAAGCGGGAGATCTTGAGGCTCGGCCATAGTAACCGCGTTGATCTCGAGCTTCTTAAGGATCCTTCACTCACAGATTCGCGCCTGCAAGATGAAACTGCTTCCCTGGAAGCCTGCGGTGTAACCCATGGGGACCTGCTGGTCATCGAACGCGACCTGCAGAAGCCTCCCAACGGCGAGTCGGTGTCAGCGCCTCCGTCTGGGGCCCGGTCACCCGCACCAAACGCGACAGCCCAAGGCGGCTGCCAGAACTCCACCGAACCTACCGCTACACCGCAGTACCTTGTGTCCTATGCGCCAAGCGGGCTCTTCACTGAGAGCGAATACGAACGAGCGTGCGAGGCGTACTCGCGTCTGATGGACGAACGACGAAAGCGGAAACAGCACGAGTTTATGGAGCGGCGAGGTCTTGGCGGCCTCAAAGGAATGACAGTGGACTACCTGGAATGGCTTGACGCCCAGCACTTTAGACTGCGCTCTCAGGATGAATCACCGTGTAGTCAGTGCTCGATCGATCGCCAGGCTGCTGACGCCTTCCAGTCGTATCTTTTGCGCATCCACGACTCGCAGATGCGTTATGGGATTCTCTATGGTGACGTTGTCGCCAGTGAGGGTCTGGTGAAAGTAGAGGCGATTTTTGAGCCACCGCAAGCCGGAGACGCCGACCGGTATCTTCCGCTACCCGAGAGCGAGGTCGCCATTCGAGAAGCCGACACACTCGCCCATTATCTTGGCATGCGGCGAGTTGGTTGGATTTTTACGCACCGAGCCGAGGACCGCTCGCATGCGCTGCATGCTCGTGATGTTGCCTATGCGGCTAAACTGCAACTGGAGACTACGGCATACCACCTGGCCGAGCAGGAGCGAGATCAAACACCCGAGGCGTCTTTTGATTGGTCGCGGTACTTTGTCACGATTGCTGTTTCTATCCAGCCTGACGGTCGACGACATTTTGAGGCATACCAGCTGTCTGATCAGTGTCTGTTGATGGCACAAGCGGGAATTTTGATGCCGGTGAGCGATAGCGGTGAGCTTCACACGCTCGATGAAGTTGTTGTCGAAGGCAATCGCGTTCGCCGAGTCGACACGGACTTTTTCCTCGTGTTGGTACCCATTCGCGACCATCAAGGATGGCTCCGCACTGCGTTTCCTATTGAGAATCGCGAAGTGGAGCCCCAGAGCATCACTGATGTACAGCGTGTGCTAGAAAGCGGCTATGGAAAATTTACAGAGCGAATTGCAGACTTTCATTTGCTTCTCTTTCTTTCTCGGATCCTTGGTATGGAGAGCGATATGCCGCTCCTCGCGAATGCTATCGTCGAGCGACGTGACTTGGAACCGGCTGAGTTGGGATACCAGCTACTCATTGAGAGTCTCCGTTGAGCGTGAGCGTGTCTCGATGCATCGCACGTGCTATGCGGCGAATCTATGCACAAGTGGTACCTGCTGCGCGGTGTTTCTCGCATGTGTTCGTGCTTGTTCACGCGACAGGCGCTCGGGTTATCGCTTTCCAATGTTCGTCGTCGGTATCGCGACCGTCGCAGCTCACACCGGCGCCGCAGCAGCTACAGCGAGAAACACGGTACCTTGTGTATCGAACCGTGCTCGCTTTTCTACCGTCCATTGGATTACGAAACCTCGGGGAGATGACTCGACCCGTTCCAGTTCTGCTCATTCTGGAGGAATCGTGGAATCATCCAACGAGCAACATCTGATGTGGAGTGTTTTTCAAGTCGAAAACGCGCTTCTCAGTCGTGGATTAGAGGCGGCGCGTCCGACACTCGCCACGATCAGGCAGCAGCTTGAGCGTCACTTTTGCCTTGCATGGCCCGCGTGGAGTCCTTCGGGAGCAACTGCGCCTCCTGCCGATCACACGCTTCTGTTTCATGTGGCAGGTGCGTCGCAAAGGGGGCCTCGCGAAACTCGCGTCGAGTAAACACATGCCGCCAAACCGTGTTATCCGCTGTCGCTGTCTGCTGGAATCTTTCATGCGGCAATGAGACGGCTTTCAGGACGGGTACCCGTATTCGATCGTAACCGTCAGCGTTGAAAAACTGGGGCATGGATCGAGATCGCATCTCGAGAACTGCCGCTTGCGATTGTTTCCGAGCTGCTCCAAGGTCAGCGATGATGCGCTGGGGGTAGGTCGCACCAAGCTGAACGCCTGCACTGGACAAGACCGACTCAGGCGCTTTCCACGGTGCATGAATATAAGCGTTCGGCAGTTGAGCTAGTTCGGGTAGCCACTTGCGAACGTACGCACCAGTTGGGTCGCTCGACCGGGCGCTGGTCTCTGGATGAATAACGAAATTCCACATGTCCAGGCCGGTGCGTCCCGCATTCTGCCACATCATCGCGTTGATGGCAATGTCCAAATCGATGAGCGTACGATGGAACCATTGCAGGCCGTGTATCCAGTGTATATTGAGGTACTCGACCAGAAACGATGCCGCAGCCATGCGGATATTCTGGGGCATCCAACCCGTTTGCCAAAGTTGTCGCATTCCGGCATCAATGATGGGGTATCCCGTGGATCCCCGCTGCCAGGCCGCGAGCAGACGCGGATCCTCGTTCCATTCCTGCGAGGCATAATGGCTCCGAATGGGCGTCGTGACCGCCTCTGGAAACATATAGAGCGTCCAGTACGCCAGGTCTCGCCAGATAAGTCGACGCTCAAATGTCTTGGATCGCTTTGATGCCGCCAGTCGTCTAGAGGCCGCTCTCGTAGCGTGGAACACCTCCCGTGCGCTGAGCATACCCAGTGCCAGATACGGTGACAGACGCGATACGACCTCGAGGTCTGCTCTAGATTTGTTCTTCTCGTACAGGGGTAGTCGGTGTTCCAGAAAATCCCGCAAAAACGCGCGAACGCGTTCCTCGTCGACCGCCCACGAACCGAGCAGCACCGTATCCCAGCGTTTTGTACCCGGACGCACCGGGTGCAACCCCGTTTCCACCAACGATGTGACAAACTGGAAGGGCGCGCAGCGTGTTGTCCTATCGACAAACGCATCTCCAGCAAGCGGAGGCGGCTTCTCACAGCATGCTGGTGTCCGTGGCTCGCAGCGCTCCAGCGCCGCAGCCGGCGGTAGCGTAGACGGCGCTGCTGCAGGCTCGGGCGGTAGGTCGGCGTTTCGTTGCCAGGCCTGCCAGAAGGGAAGCAGTGTTCCAAAGTGTCCAGCACTCGAGGTTGCATCGCCATCGTACGCTACTGTCCAGGGCTCATGTAGGAGGTGCATGTTGTGCGTATACACCTTCCATTTACGCTGTTTTGTGAGCGTGCATTCCAGCTCCATGTCGAGCTGGAGTAGAGGAGGCTCATAGCGTCGAGCCATCAGCAGCGTTCGTGCTGACAAAGAGGCTTCAAGGAAATGAAACAATTGCAGGTACTCTTCGAGGCCTGCGTCATCGCTGAGACGCACGTAGTGAATCACCTGCTGAAAGCGCATGTTTAAGGCTCGATTGAGTGCATCCACGGCGCTGAAGAGGAAAACGCGTTGTGCTTCACCAAAGCCGTAGTTTTTGTCCGCATCCGCCGATGACCATGTAAACATTATGAAAAGAGGTTCATTGAGCCTCTGCGCTTGCAGCAATAACGGATTATCGTGTATTCGCAGGTCCCCGCGTCCTCGGAGCCACACGATGGTAGCTGCTGAGGATGATGATCGCTTCACGGCCGTTTTCTGTGCGTCTATTTTTGAGAACAACGTATCAGGTGAATCCGTTGCTCGATTAGAGGACTCAACGGGCCGACGCTTTGCTTTTCGCATGCGTAGAAGAGCGCGATACCGGCTCGGTGTCCGTCGCCCGTTGTACGATCTCGGGCGAGCGTCAACCAAGTCCCTCTGTGCCGTGAAACCCTGACTGTCACTGCAGTAGCGCTCACCAGGGCACCAGCCATATGTAGACCTCGGAATCACTTCGCAAAACAGCAACGAGCTGCCGTTCACTGTGACACAATGGTGCATTCAATGCAAACGACAAGGCCGCGGAAGGTCCTGGACGACACCTTCCGACTCACCGAGACCGTTCACGTAGCGCACTTACTGATCAGTCTAAAGTTCTTCGTGTCCAGCGATGTTGTCCACGGTGATTGTCTGCACCGTCCTGCCGGCACGCTACGAGCGCGGTGTTGAACACGAAGTCTACTGTTGAAAAATACCGGTTCGTTAACTGATTGGTTTCCGAGCACATCGCTTGCGGCGACTAGCCTGGTGCAGCAGAACGATTCGTTTCCAGGATGAATTGGGTCGCATCGGGTTCATGTTACTCGATATTGACTTTTATTACCCGGAAGCATGGCACTTGGAAGGATTTCTCTCGAGTTCAAGAGCGATCCGGAGTTGCCGTTCGTTTCGGTGACGTTGCCCGCCGGTGACGTTCTTCGCTCGTGCAAGCCCCCGATTCCGACCTGTACCTTAATCATGGTGCAGTAAGCATGAAAGAGGAGGAGGAAATGATCTAGAATGCTCCTGAGATTTGTTCTCACATAGAACAGACGACACATATGTTTCCCATAGCGTTGCCAGTCACGCCTTGTGCTGGTTGTCCTCCTTTTCATCGTCTTTGGCGCTTACGGTTGCAAAGTCCAAGCCGTCCGCATGACTGCACTGCCATTTTTCGGCAAGTTCTTTTTCAGCAGTGTCCCATATGTGTCTAAGTTTTCGACTAGGCAGCACATTTCTTCCTGCGTTGCGTCTGAAATAGAGTGACCGATGGTTGCACGGCTGCGTTGTACTGATTTGCCCAGTGGAGACGAGAACCACTCATAGCGTCACGCGGCTGTGGCAACCATGTGTTCGACGGATCCAAACCATACGGCGGATGGAATGAGTGATATCGTATCCAGGTTTTGAATGCATAAATGTGCTGATGAGCTCGAGCACGTACGCCGTGCACGAGAAGCGCTGATGATTTCGGAGACTCACATTCATATCGCCAGAAAGATTTGATGCACGATCACGACCCCCTTGTCGCAGAATCGCAAAGCGTACATGACTATGTTGATTGCACCAGCACGTAGTTGGAGAACTGGTGCGACTCACTGGCACCAAAGTAGACGCGAGCGGACCGGCTCTTCGACGTATGCTCTGCTTGTCATGAAAACCGGGGACGGTCACTGAAAACATCGGAGAGCTTCGTTCGAGATATGTCCTCCGATTCGACGAAAGACTTGGGATCAAAATGGTGCCTATTAAAGGTCGCTAAAGAAAGCGAACATGTTTGAAACGAAATCTTCTTCTGCTCAAGTATAGCAGAAAACTGTGCATGCGGAAGAACGCGCAATCGACAAGGTTGCCCGAACTGAAACGTTTTGAAGTTGCATCCATCCAAGTATAGCATAAAACAGTGAATGCTGGGGAATGCCTGATATGCGGACCTGCTACGGAGCACGCAAGCTTTCATGGGCATTTGTGAGCGATTCGGGGTTTGAGGTTTGCACCCGCCATAGCTGCCGCTTTGTTGCCCTGAAGTGCTCTGTCGCCTGTCGAGAAGCACTGCGGTAACATTGCTCAGCGCACCGTCTCATATCCAGTGGGCGCGTTCAGAGGCGCTCGCTGTCGAACGCAGCATCTACACATGTGGATTCTTCATTGGAGCACTTAACTGCTGCGAGGCTCCTGCCTTTTCGATTTTGCCGAACTGTTCACCAGATGTTCAGCTTCGGAATTCGATTTACAGTATTAAGCAATAAAGAATTCAGGGTCAAGTTCAGGAATCTCGGTCGTTTCCACGGGGTTGCCCCTTCGACGCTTTGTTGCCGAAACCCAATCCATCATTGTGAGAAAGATGATCCAGGACGCCCTCGGGAATGGATTCGTATAATTAGCGATACCGTTATCGATATCAACCAAGAAGCCACCACGCTCCCTTGCTCCACACCAGCCGCATTTCAAATTACGTATTCAGTAACTTTTCTATTCCTCTGCTTCAAAGCAACTCTTGGGCACAGCAATCTGCATTGATTGCTTGAGGAGAAGAAACGCGCCCGACGTCACTGGGTGACGGATAATTCACCAACTCATGCGGAGTGTGTACTGCAGTCGTAAGGCCAAAAATAGATTTGGTTCGAAATAGAAATTATGATCTCTTTCGTGGAGACCGACGGAACGGAATTCCATAGCTCGCCCTTGCGCTTGCGCTTGTGCGTGCAGGGAGCAACATACTCTTTAAGAAGATCACCGAACGCAAGCCGATGACCCTACGGTGCGACTTTACTCGTGGAAATGGATGAGGATATCGAGAGACGCACTTGGCGCACGTCGAGAGCACGTACGGCACCATGAAGTCAGCTCTCACGCGCCCCAGTACAGTGCGTGGAAGCGAAAGTGTGCAGGGCGTACGGAAACACCTCAGCAACGATGACTGGCACCGCTGCGGGGGCCGAGCCTCGACTACAAGCAAAGGGGATGAAAATGGCGAGCGAAGCAGAGATTGCAATGATTCCCAGTGCTTGAAATGGAGAGACGAGAGTCCTATGGGCAAATTCTGGAGTTTTAGACTGACGTGAATAGCCATCGACCGCTGACGACGGAGCTGGAGAGTGTGGAGCGACTGGCTCGTTTGAAGCGCTAGCTAAGCGAGGGTATTTAGAAGCAGGGACAGTGAAGGCCCGCACGGGCTGGTACTCATGCCAACGAGAGAAGCGATGCAGACCTTTAGTATGTACATATGTATCAGATGTATGGACTAGTTCCACTGGATGCTCAAATAGGTACACGCTGGCACGTGCATTCTCCACCAAAGAGCGACACCCGCTACCACACTACAGGCGCGACTGATCGATAATAATCCGGTGGTAAATATTCCGGCAGTTCCTCGGCTGTAACCCATGCATAATCTACTGCAGCTGGTGCGCGTACCCCAGTAATACAGCCGCTAATCAACTGTGCACGATAAAAAAAGATTTTGATCCCGGAAATGCCCTGAGCCTCTTGGAGCGCTGGCGAATAGATATGCTTCAAATGTGCACATGGAGCATTGCCAATAAAATGAGCCTCAAAATCGTTTTCGTCATCGCCATCGGTTCCGCCAGTCTCGATGAGACTTTGGAGCGCTTTTTCGGCCTCGCCCCGAAAGAAAAAGGTTTTCGAGCAGCGCGTCTCAGCGCCGCCACTGGTACCTAGCGCTTCGGCGGATGCAGCGGCTGCGTCTGTACCGGCCCGCAGAGGCATCGGGTCATTACTGGATTGCATTAGGCGCTCTTCTTCGATGAATCGCTGAGGGAACTGCCACAGTGAACGGCCTGTCGGACCAAGTTTGCGTTGAACGATAAGGAACAGCCACTGGTCCAGTTTGCGACGCAGGGAACGCCGATCATTGGTACGGTCGGCCTCTGTTTCGCGAGGCGCCGGCACATATTCACTATCGTCGAGCTCAAAAACTTTCGAGTTTAGAAAGGGGTGCTTGTCTGGGATCGTGTCACCACTTTCGCCGAAGAGTCGCTGCATGACCTCGGGAGAAAGCTCTCGGGCTTGCGCGTTGGCCATCAACAGCTGAAACTTGAGGAACGCCCGCTCCTCAGGAGTAGGCTCTGGCATGATGATCGGCGTTCGCTCCAAAATAGTAGCGACCGCATAACGATACGGCAGCCGCTGAGGCTCAGTACTCGGTTTGCTCGCGCCCGCTTTGGAGGCAGAGCCTCTCCGCGGGAAACCGTTCGGCGGCAGCTGGTAGCGTGCTAGCCGCAAGCAACGACGCGACGCTGCCAGTGCCTGATTCAGGCAGCTACTGCATAGGTATCTTTTCCACGTATGCAGCAGCGAAGCGGCCATACGCGTAGCGTACAACGACGCTCGTACTGCGCAGGTACTGAATGAGGCGCCTTGTTACGCGTCGACCAGGATCGTAGATGAACAGTATATTTCATATATGTTTCAGGATATACAGTTATGTACATATAGATACATTTACGAAAAGGGACCACGTGGGCAATGCACCACAGGCGGCCGACGGGGATCTATCCTCAGCAGCGGCGCCTGTGCGCATGAAGCCGCTGCGCAGGCCTGTCAGAAAGTGCGTCTCTGGCGCATGAATCATTCAAGCACACAGCCGGCGGCTGCGGATAAGGTTCGCGAGTTTCGCCCTGTGCCTGATGGGTCATGTTCGAGTCATGTGTCTGCGGTACCAGGTCTTTGTCCCGTGTCGGAGAAGGAGACCGGGATCGATGTTGAGCGATCCACGCAAGACGCATGCTGCAGATTCGTTCAGACGCTGTTTCACCATCAGAGATGTGTGGGGCATCTCTCCATGCCAATGCACGAGGTAGCCGCAAAACGCTTTGCAACAACGAGCCCAAGCACGTCGAACCAAAGACAAGGTGTCTCTTATGGTACCTGACGTACTGGATTCCCCAGAGACCGTGATCGTTGCGATGGTGCTGGACAACGCCGCACAGCTACGGCTGCGATGCACGTGCCATGCCTGCTCGTCTCTGCGAGACAAGTGGCTTGCAGAGCGCTCAGCGACTCGGATCGGATGCACGACGTGATGCATGCCTCATTCCCCAGCATCCTCGTTCAATGCCTGATCTTTCACACCCATCAGGATGCAGATGTTTGTCATGGTGAGCAGCATCTCTGCAGTGCCGTGTAGGTAGTCTACATTTGCCAGCTTCTCGTGATATACCCGCAAAGCAATCACCCCGGCGACGATTGTGCCCAGAACGAAAACTAGCAGGTACGACAAACCGATCTTGGTGATCGTCGTGAGCGTTCGTTCTCGCGTCCATAGCACGTACAGAAACCCGGCGTACGGGATGATTGAGACCTGAAACAAGAACGTTACCAACTCGTCTGCACTCGGGAGCCGATCTAGCGACGGCAGCATCGGTACCAGGGCCAACAACGTACTTGAGTGCCGCACGCGCTGGATTCGACGTCCGAGTGATGCACTCTGCCGGTTGCGAACGCGCGTAGCGGCACCCGTCCCGTGAAGTCTTCCTGCACGCTGCCCTGCTCGTGCAAGGAAACAAGTCCGCAGAAACCGCGGCCGTGCGTTCGAGACCTGCGGCGTTAACCCCGCATCCTTCGAGGGTATTGCAACTCCAACGTAAAAGAGTTGGGAAAGAGTCCTCATCGCAACGTGCGCTACGCAGGATTGCCAGGATCCTTGCCGGCGAGTCGACCAGGGCGCAGCCGCAGCAGCAGCGTACGGAAACAAACGACTACTTCCGGCCGCGGCAGCAGCAGCAGCAGCAGCAGCACCAAAGGCAGTAGATCCTTCAGTACACGGGTTCTTTTGCTAGCGCACTGGTTTGCGTCTCTGGTGAGGTGTACCCGTCCGACAAAGTTTTCCCTCCTGTAACCGTTGGTGAATATTTGTTTTTTGTTGTATAGTGCGCTCGTGTCCATGGTTGTAGAGGTTGGTGCTGCTGGAGAGGCATCGCTCGGCAGGCGACAAGCGCAGGTGCAACAAGACACCAGAGGTGCAAACTCGGAACCAGCGCACGTCGTCTCGGGGGGACGTGCTCAAGACTCGACAGCATCCGTAGCGCAAGCTTCGGTCCAGGAGGAGAGGACGTCGCCACTGGGCGCAGAATTGAACGAGCTGGAGCGAGCAAACGGTGAACTCGAAAAGACTGTGAACGAATATGGCTCTTTAATAGAGCGTTACACGAAACTTCAGCAGCAGCTATGCCAGCTGGCAGCAAAGCAACAGAAGCGACTTGTACACTTAGAACGGACCCTTGCCAACCAGCGGGAGACGATGCGGCCTCGGAACAACTCGCCGGACTTGCGGCAAGAGACACGCGCTGTGCTCGAACGCTCCCGGAAACTATTACGGGAGCGGGTCGAGCCGCTTCTCCCCTCTGACGGTGGCTGGTTTGTGCGTCTCTTTCTGGGCACTATCAACGTGCGCTTTATGGATAAGCGAACACGACTCTCATTCAAGCGCGAGTACGAGCAGTTCAAGCAGCAAACGGCCCCGGCGCTGGTCATTGCTTCTGTGGTCTGTCTGCTGTGGACGTCGTCACGGTGGCCAAGCCTGCTTCTCCAAATGTTCATCGCCTATTATTACAGCGCTCTAGCTCTGAGAGAAAGTGTTCTAGTCGCGAACGGCTCAAATATTCGACGCTGGTGGCGTCTACATCATTACCTGAGTCTGGTACTTGCCGTTGTCGTGCTCACCTGGCCGGATGGGGAAGCGTATGCAGAATTCCGAGGCGAAATCCATTTTCTTGGACTCTACCTGTCGCTGCTACAGATTTTGCAAGCTCGTTATCAGATGTCGCGATTATATACGCTGCGCTCGCTTGGCAAGGCAGGTGAACTGGACGTGGCAAACACCGACTCGCCAGCGCAGTTACACTGGGGCGCAAATATGTCGCTATTGCTACCAGCTATTCTGGTAGCGCACGCGCTGCAAGCGTGGACTGCTGTCCGGGCGTTTCAGGTGTATTTCAAATACCCGCGTGTTGCGCAAGCGCTTCTTGGTGGCACAATCACCCTCATTACGTGTATTGGAAACGTGGTGACGACTTTCCGCACGCTGAGAGAGAAAGCCGTCTTGTCTGGTCAGCACGCTTCGAGCTAACGAAGTAGATTGGGGTCTCGCGTACATACTGGGGATTTATTTACGACCTGATGGATGATTGAAACCGAAAACAAAACCGGGCACTTTTCGTTGCCAGTGCGTCGCGATCGGCTTGGCGAATGATCTGCCGGGGCGGACGCTTTGCGTCTGCATACGCATGTCTTTTATACCATACAGTCTGCGGTTTATGTTTGTGGCGCAGGGAATTGGTCTGCTTGGTATGAAGCATTGGTGAGTTGCGGCTTTCCATGCTTGCAGTTGTGGAACCCGGTCCTGGATAGGTCCCCAGGCAAGATGATGTCGGTACCAGCGGCGTTCCATCTTCGTCATAGCCTTGCAAAACATCGGAATGAGTATGATCGGGTCCTGCGTCTCTGGAGGTACTCTATACTGCATTTAAATTCCACTGTGCATCTCTCGTCGAAGAGCAGCATACACTGGAGGCATTTCGAATGGAGTTACCGGTGAGCACCGCCATTCCTGGGTATGGCGTATCCTGTTGGCCAGCAACACCGCCCGTGAATGCGAGCAAGCTTATCGGTACAGTCCGTAATGTTTAGAGTCGATGCTGCCGCTAGATCTTCCTTAGCCTCCACGCATTTCATGGAGATTGGAAAAGCTGATCTCGACATGCAATGTGACGCCTAGGTGCGCACCGCTGACCGCCATGTGAATACTAGCAGCGCGTAGGTTTCCATCGGAGGTGTCGTTATTCAGTGAGTGTGGTTTCGTAGGTGACCCGCGTCATCCTATGTCAGAGCGTTGTGATAGAACACGAATCTCTCCCAGTACGGATGGATTCGAGGTATAAGATGGATGCATTTTCAAAGCGGCAACGCTATCGGCTTCTCACTCATTCGAGTCATTCCTCACTGCCGCGCGATAGAATGCGTATCCAAACGACCGCCGCAGCGACATCGAAATTCTTTACTGTCTCCGGATGACTCCGGCTCTAAGCTCAAAGCGCAGGAGAGCGATAGGATTCTCGGGCCTTTGTCTCGTAGGATCTTATGGTGCCGTAGCTCGTGGATACCGCACATAACTGACTAGGCGCAGAGGTAACGAGCCAGCCACTGGTAGCGTATGCGCTTCATGTGGCGTCTTGGCGGATGCTTTGAATGTTCAAATGGGACACTGAACTGCCCAGTCCGTTCTCGCGTGTTTAAATTTATTCCGAACCTTGCATCAGATCCTCAGCCGTGGGACTCGGAGTGCGGCAAAAAGCAATTGCGTATTCATGAAAAGTCTCTGGATCCGCATTCGGAATTTCCATGGGGCAGCTTTGTAGCCTTGTCGCTAGAATTCAGTTCGCCAACGCGAGAACGTTGCATCGTGAACTCTCGAAATGGATTCCAAAAATGACAGGCATCACTGTCGAGTTCAAAAATGAGAGACTCAGAGATTTCCAAATAATGCCTTCTGAAGTCGTCAGATGCTTCCATTTCAAGGCAGCACGACAGCGAAAAATTTACGCCTCTCGATCGACGGGGAATCGTCTACGAGGTCACTGGGTGACGGATAATTCACCAACTCATGCGGAGTGTGTACTGCAATCGTAAGGCCAAAAATAGATTTGGTTCGAAATAGAAATTATGATCTCTCTCGTGGAGATCGACGGAACGGAATTCCATAGCTCGCCCTTGCGCTTGCGCTTGTGCGTGCAGGGAGCAACATACTCGTTAAGAAGATCACCGAACGCAAGCCGATGACCCTACGGTGCGACTTTACTCGTGGAAACGGATGAGGATATCGAGAGACGCACTTGGCGCACGTCGAGAGCACGTACGGCACCATGAAGTCAGCTCTCACGCGCCCCAGTACAGTGCGTGGAAGCGAAAGTGTGCAGGGCGTACGGAAACACCTCAGCAACGATGACTGGCACCGCTGCGGGGGCCGAGCCTAGACTACAAGCAAAGATGATGAAAATGGCGAGCGAAGCAGAGATTGCAATGATTCCCAGTGCTTGAAATGGAGAGACGAGAGTCCTATGGGCAAATTCTGGAGTTTTAGACTGACGTGAATAGCCATCGACCGCTGACGACGGAGCTGGAGAGTGTGGAGCGACTGGCTCGTTTGAAGCGCTAGCTAAGCGAGGTTAATTAGAAGCAGGGACAGTGAAGGCCCGCACGGGCTGGTACTCATGACAACGAGAGAAGCGATGCAGACCTTTAGCAAATATTTGCGATTTACAGAACACGTCACATTTTCAACTTACATGGGTGTAATAAGACGGATTAATCTCTCATCATGAAAAAGAAATGCATCATCTCCCGAATTATGTTATTCTTTACATTCTATATACTACATGACTATCTGAATTTCTCTGTGGCCCTCCTCGGCTCATCTCAAACGAGCCCTCCAGCGAGACGCTTACGTTCTCACACCAGTGCTCGTTTGCTGCTTACGAAGGTTTAGTAATATCGAAAAATGGAAACCAAGAGGACTTGCTTCATCCTGCTAGAGAAAATCGTCCGGATGCATGGATATCGTGCTCCGGCTGTGCAATTTATTGAACGTTCCGTTAAAGTGGCACGCTCTAGGTGGGAATCCAGTAACCGCTCCCCTGGCCACTGATGTGTCTCATAGGATTTCAGCAGTTATTCAGCACAAAGTAGAGCGCGAATACGTGACAACTACCCCAAAACTTTCCTCAAAACAGAGCCGATGTACCCGCTTGATGCACGATGAATTTCCGAACAATCATCGAGGCGAACAATTCTCAGTATAGAGATGGCTCGAGCGCATTGAGGTTTGTCGAATATCGCAAAAGTCAGTTTTTCGCATTCGATTACATCGCCATGTGATGTGCAGTCGACTCATTGAATACCATCTCGTGAACCTGGGTCAGGTACTCTCTCTTCTTCCGTACTTGTTTCTGCGTGCAGCCATGCTCATGATGCGTTTATATCCTGATGAACGCACCAATGAGAGTCCCGCAGAATCGAATCCTGTGCTCGTTTCATGCCCTCGTTGAAGGAGCAGTAATGCAGCCTTTACGCGCTACAGAAAGTCCAGCGACCTTAGCCGTTAAAGTGGGACACGAATTATATGTCAATGCCTGTTCCAACACCTTGACCATTTTTGGTGAATGCACACTACCTGCATCAGTGCGATTGGACCCGTTCGTGGCCATGGTGAATTCTCGTTTACTCCTGCCAAGGATCGTCCATATGAGAGAGTTGGACGCTAATGTACGCTGCGAATGCTGCGTGCAGAGATGCCCTTCAGCTCGATCCGGTGCTCAGGGCGACAAGTTGCATATACTGCCGCCCCATTCGATTTTTCTCTGTTCCTCTCGGTATCCAGTATTTCCGACTGGCGATGATGTCGAGGCATGGTAAAACTGAGCAGCTACAACTGCTTTCTGTTCATGTCTTTGGCCCCGTTTTGGATTTATCGGAACCGAGACGGACACGATGCTATTGAACCGCGGATGCACGCCCTTCACGATGGCATTCCCTTCATAGAATTCGAAGCGTTCGACATGCGACCCGTTGCGTGATCCATTCCTAGGCATCACGAAGTGTTTGAAGACAGGCATTTCTTCGGTCTCCATATGCCTGTGAACTTGATCCAACTTCCTACCTGAATCGAGAGCTCTTCCACGTCCGCCCGAGCGCTTAACAAAATAGACCGAATAGATCATTCATGCTCGCAGAGACGATCCGTAGCGTACTGAGAAGGCCACAATTTACGATACGGAAATATCGGGGTTAGTATAAAGCAACGTAATGTGACAAACGGGCACCACATTTCTGAAACCAAAAGGAGTCTGGGGCTCGCAACTTTGATGGTCGGGGCTGCTCAGCTCTGAAGGGCCCTGCTCAGGAAGAACTCGCAGCGCGATGAGCATCCGAGGCACCCTCAGGTTCCAGATATCAACTCGTTCTGACACCCGTTGATCCGAACTTGATGGAACAAATACCGACTTTGGACGATCTCAAGCTATTCTCGCTCCGATTGCGACATATTTTCCGATCTCGGTACCACCTCGATCTCTTCCGCTCCAGTTTAAAAATCACCCGCTTCGATATCCCCAAGAGTCCTTTTAACCAGTACCCTCGGTTTCTGAGTCGCTACCGTGTCGCTCTAGAGAACGCAAGGTGCGGTTTGTGAAGCGCCGAAGCTTGAACGGTACACAATTTTTCCGCTTCTGAGATTGGCTCGATGCTTTTCGTTGCCATTGGCACTTTCGGTGATCTGATTACCGAGATGGCACGCCCGCACTTCAATGCATTCTAAGCAATGGTTTGACGAATCTCTGATATTTTAAACAGATTCTTCGCCTCCTCTGTGCCGAGTATCAGTTGTACTGGTGCGAGAAAGTATGATCCGAAAAATTCGGCGAAATGCCAACCGCTGATAGCCCTGCGTCTTTAGTTCCTCCCATTCGTTGCATGGCGAGATGCACCAAGACGAGGGAAACTGTGCGAATAGTCCCCGAGTGAGGAGCTGCGCGCTTCCCAACGGCTTGCTGCATCTCAAGTTTTGGGCCAATTTCCCCAATGATGTGATATAGTATGGAGGAATTGTTTGCTGTTTTTACTGATCTTTTAAAACAGACTTTTCTCCTTTCTGTGGCTCCTAGTCCTCCGCGAAAATTGATCATTTACTTCTTTTTCCGGTAGTGTTGCCCTATCCTTTGTTGGGCAGGGAGACCTGAATATGGCCGGTAAAAGCGAAACCAGTTTTTTGGCCCTTGGAATTTTGACGCACTTGGTCGACTCCGAGGCTCTAACTTGCTCTTTTTTTCGTCTGCATCTCATACTGCCCGAATACGTGTACACCACCTTCCTGGTCGCGAGCACGCCCACAGACTGGACTGCACTTCTTCTGCCCCCTCCGACGCAAAGACGGAGCAGCGATAGTGCAGTTCATAGCTGTGACTGTAAAAATCAACTTGTCTATGGACAATGGGAAGAAGATCTATATTGCCGCGGATACCAGTGTCGCGTCTCTTGATTTGGGAACGTGAAAAAATGCATTTGACCAAGAAGAGGAAGCCTTCGTCCTAACTGTCTCGTAAAGAAAGGGCCTCAGCGAAGGGCAGCTCAACGCAGATCGCAGCGGCGGACAAGTTGACTGCTCCTGAGTCATGGAATGCGACGATTTCCAAGAGATAGACAGAATACTGTAGGATGGAGGAGCCGTAAAGCCCTCTAACGACAGATTTGCTGAGGAAAGCGTCCTGTCCGTTTTACAATTTCCAGGCAAACACAAGACTGAATCACGACTTGGCGCGATATCGGAATGCTCACAGGTCTCTTCGTTACGACCAGATACTAAGCGCTCTTTCAGCAACCATTTGCAGTCCTCTCTCTCCTAGCGAATGAAAACTCATCGAATGAGGCGAGCAGCCGGCCATCCAGTGGGAAACCTTTGAGTTTCAATATATATTTGGTATATTGTCGTTCGACGCGAGACGCTCCGGAGTAGTGGCGCTCGTTTTTTCGCTTCGAATGGTGTCAGTTCATTTCCGATCCAATCAAAAGTACAGAAACTTCGCACCTTGCGGCTTCTCTTGAATTCGTGCTAGGTCAATGCATGGAGTGGCATGGAGTTTGAAGCACACATTTATGAAGACAGAGTGTCATATGTTCTATTTTGGGTGCGCCACGTTCACGATACTATTTACAAGACCGGATAAAATACACCCATATTTTTTACTGTAGAATGGTTGGCTTACAGAGATGAGGCCGTTACTTACCGGACACCAGTGACCGCCTTGAGTCAGTTCACGACCTTTTACCAATCTACAAAATGCATCACTTTTGCTGAATATGCGGAAGAAGAGAAAACAAAAATTAAAAAGCGAGGAAGCTCAGGAATTCCACAATTGAATGTTCAGCGTATAACGCCGCTTTAGAACGGCGCTCGTAAGGTAACCCTCGATGAGACGCAATTCGCGAAAGTTCCCTCGACGTGGAAAGCCAGTACATTTGGAGAATGCAATCTTTAAAGCCACCAAAACAGAAGCAGATCCGCAGATAGTGAGTCACACCCCAACAATGCGACCTACGCCATAGGCTCTTGAACACCTTCGGTTCCGAGTCCGAACATGTGGGTGCGTTGCTCCTGCATACAGTGGCAACTTTAGAACCCGAGCCAGCCAGAAAGACGATCCTTTCCGGACAACGAAGCACGATAGGAAGCTACAGAATCCAGAAGTTTCACGACCAGCGGCTTGCTTGTCCGTCGCTGACGGCGGCGCGAACTGTCAATACAGGTACGATTCCTGATTCGTAGACTTTGCAACCGTCAATCGCCTCACTCAAATACTGGTTTGAGGCTATTCGATTGTAGCCGCAAAGGAGACTTCTTAGCTTCGACGAGCCGGCAAGGATACAAGACGTACAGGAGCGGCTCCAGAATCAGCCGGCTGCATATTCGTATCCAGTGCAAAGCGCGGCCTACTTTCGGACGATTTCCCCCCGATGTCAACATAGGGTGTCGAGTCGGGCCTCAGGGAGTCTAACGTTTGCTGCGACCGGGTTAGCTGACGCGACGTCGAGCTGCTGCTGTGGTCTGCGGCGGCCACTTGGGAAACATCCCCGTTTCGCGAAGAAGCGGCACGCTCCGTTATCGGATGTAAGGGCAGATCTGTGCTCGCTTCCTCTTCCGCAAGTCGTTTCCATTCATTTGCAAACTTACGACATATCTTCCCAAAAAGCGCGAGCAACTGAGCACTTTCAACCTGCATTTCTGCCCCGAGCTCTTCGAGTGGACGGCGCTGGAGTCCCACACCAACCAGGATAGCCTGCTGCGCCGGCGACAGCGTAATCCGCTCTGCAGCAAAATGGCCTTCAAAGTACAGACGACTCAGCACCGGAATGATATCCAAAATCACGTGATAGTCCAGCAGATGGTTTGCATACGCTTGCAAACGCCGCAAGTCGTGCATGGAAAGTAGCAAGCGAAGTTGTGCCGCGTTCCACAGACTGGCGTCGGGCGGTGCAGCTCGCAAGACGTCCAGCACGAGACCCAAGGGTAACGAGCGAAAGTCGTATGAGAGCAGCGACAGAAACCGTGCTCGCCAGTCCAAGTGCAGGGCCCTAAATCCCTGTTCATGGGCCTGCTTCAAACTCCGAAGCATGATGCAGGTATGCTCCGCAGTGACCTCATTCGGGGTAAGTCGCACGTAGACTGGCAGCATACCGATGCGATTCCAGAATCGATACAGTCCGTGTGAGAGACCGAACGAAACCCCCAGATAGTCCAGATCCGGAACCCTCTGTTCACTCAGTCTGTAAAGCAACGGCTCCGGTACCGTGTCGTCATTGATGCTTCCCACAGACAGATCGGGTTGTGCATCATCGGTTTCTCGCAGAGTCTTTCGTTCATGCTGCTGCACACCGGAGGCCACTCGACGGCGGAAATGTTCCACGAGGCACTCCATGGCGCGGGTGCCGTAGCCCATACCTTGCACATCAGGATGCGTAGCAATGCGGATGACCCGAGCACCTGCCAGTTGAGCAAAGGCTGTCTCCTGGAACTGTTGCGTTAGCGTCCACGGAATGAGGTCCCCAGCAGCTCGCTTCCCTCGCGACAACTGAGACTCGGTGTGTTCACGCGAGAGGCGCCCCTCGAGTCCTAGCTGAATGGCGCACAGCACATCCGGTAGTCGTTTTGGATCAGAGGAAGTTGGCCCCAGCAGCACATACAGCTGCTGGTTCGATGCATCGCTCAGCATCTGAAGATCATTGGGGGTGTTCTTATAGTGCGAGGACACAAAAAGCGCCATTACCCGACGGAGGAAAATTTCCGCTAGGGCGTGTCCACTGAAAAGAACGTCGCGATTGACTTGGCATAGCGTGCACATGGAAGGGTGCGGAAGCGCACGTGTCTGCAACGCTGGCGCTTCTGTCGTCTCCAGGCAGAGGAGCGCGTGAAGCCACGCCTCCACCGGATCGTTGCGAGCGTAGCGGATGGGCTCCTCGAGAACAAGCTCGTGGAAGCGTCGACCATATTGCCGGGTGCTGGAGTCACAGCCGTGCTCTACTGGCGGCTCGATGCCGCCATTTGGGGTATGCGACACATCTTCCGGCATTGGGGGTGGCACAAGCCTACTTTCTGCCGCCACTGAAGTGTTTTGTTGAACATGGCGGCGAGCCTGCGCGATCAGCTTGAGGGAGAGACTACGGCCGGTTCCTTCGTAACCGAAGATCGTCGACGATAGGAAGACGTGACACGATTTGCTGGGCAGAAGTGAGAGTATTCGTTTCACAAGTACCAGCGGTATAGCGGCTGCTTCATCAATAATGACGAGGTCAGCGCTTACGAGGGCACCAATGGTGGCGGCATCCACCCGCCGGATAGCCTCTGGCTCAAGGTACGAGACCTGACGCACCCGCCGCCCAAGCATAGAGAGCTTGCTTATGCAGCGATCGTGTCGGGATTCTAGCACATAGTCCGTATGTTCTTGTAACTTGAGCTCATTCAGGCCTGACACTAAGAGTGAAAATAGAGTCTGGACGTTGTCCGCTGCGGGCGCTGTCACCACAATGGACGTGTAGCCGAGCGCAAGCGCCGCAGCCGCCGCTAGCCCCAGCGCCGCAGATTTGCCCCTGCCACGAGCTGCTGTCAAGACCACCATGGACGCTGCAAGCGCAGCCGGAGTTGTTGTATCGACGTTGCGGGCCAGCAGGGCATGAAGCGTCTCCAGGACACGAGCCTGGTCGAGCGTGCGGGTGCGACGCAGCAGCGGCCCTAGCACTTGCAGGTCTGCACGGGATGACCATAAGATTTCGAGCTGCTTTTGGCGAAACTCCGCTTCCGAAGTGACGTTGGAGTCGCCCACGGTGCCGCCAACTTCCGGAGGCGAACGAACATGAATCCGGGGAATAGAAGCGAGATCTTGCGCCCTGGAGCTATCATCTGCATTTGCAGCCTGAGGTATCGAATATGCTGACGAGCAGCTCGCACCACCAACGGCAGGAAGCACATTGAGTTCATCATCTACTGCAAGCGCCATAGGGCAGGTCTCGAGGCTGAGGACGAGTCGCCGATTAAATCGTGGTACTATATCCGGGCACGATTCCGTGCGATAGTGGGCGTGTACGTCCATTTTCAGCGTGTACAGCTGCCGCAAACTCTCCATGTTATGCAAGAGGAACAATACCAAACCGCCTCCCTGCACAGTCTCGATCGTGCGTGCAAGAAGGTTCGGTGTAAGGGCTCCAAAGTCCTGTAGAACAAGGAGACCATAAGTGTTCCCAAGCACCTTTTCGGATTCAGAGTAGTACGAGAAGCGGATGTTAGCTGTCGAGACGAATAGTTCAAAAAGGTCTTCGGTTTTGGCGTCCACAGAGACTCCACCGTGTCGCAGCTTTTTGCGGAGTTGTCGCAGGCGTTTGCGGCGGTGCGACGAAAAACCCAGTTCCTTCTTATACATCCAAAGGACATCTGGCCGCGGCCTCGTTCCGATCCGAGTAAGTAAGTGGTAAAAGAAAGGGACCTGATCTTTGGCGTGATCACCAACAACAAAGAAAAGCGCGCGGGTGTGTGTCTCGTAGGCGCGAACGAGCAGCTGCCGTACGCGTTCATCAACACGCTTCTTCATCGAAAGCTGCTAACGGTACCAAAGTTCGTTGCAGGTCCGTACCGATCCAAAGCGTAGCCACGCTGTAAAGCGCCGTTCTCAAGTGGAACGTCGCCGGTCGTGTACAGTAGTGACGAGGCACCCGCCCTAAACATAGAGTACCAAGCGACGTGCAGACGCCTCGTAGTTTTGGACCCGCCACGTTCTACTGCTTCCAGGTTTTTCTCATATAGTTCCACTTTGGGTTTTCTACCCCAACAATCACTTTTGTCCATTCTGGAGGTCTTTTCTCCATCATCGCACATCTACTCATATAGAGCGCGGCGCTAATATCTCGGTTCACAAACTCCATACGTTTCTTGCCATCATTGGTTGTACTAAACAATGCAGGTACTCCATCAACTTTCGCCCTCCTTTCCATTCGCTCTTCCGTCAACGCTCCATGCTTTTTTATATCCTTCGGGGCTCCTTTGGCACTTTTCCATCTCGACGCTTTCAAGTACACAACCCAACTCGTGTGGTGCATAGGACGTTCGAGACTCATTTACAGGTATCGTAACGAGACTCCGTGTACACTCCTTGTACGTTCTTGTCGTCGAGGCTGGTGTACACCCTTTTTGGGTCTTCCAGCGCCCTGCTCCGTATGCTACTACGAGCATCTGACATTCATTCTCCTTCAGGGCGCTCAACTGATTGAAAAAGTTGGCAAATGCACGCTGCCACCCACAGTATAGATTGATTCGCAGACGAGCCCACGGAGGCTTTGTAGATTCTTTCCACATTTCCTCCTACTAAACAAGGCGAACCTTCCATGGACTCGCGAAAAGCTTCAGTGTCCGCTCTGGCGCTCGCCGCCTCGCTCAAAGCTTCCACGTGCTCTTTCATTCATGCATTCCAGGCCCCAATTTTCTTCCTCGCACTCATGATTCCCGATTCTCCATGGTATCTCGCTCTCGAGAACATCAACAGACGCATGTCTTTCTGAAGCAAGTTACCGTCAGTACCATCTTCCGCACGCTTGGGAGCAGCGGTGGTACTGATATTCGTGTTGCCGGGGTCCGCGCCAGCGAAAAGGTCGTTATCCTCCACCTCCTGCGTCGCAGGACCCGCCACCTTCTTTTCTTCCTGCTTCGCCGCGCCAACGACAATATGGTTATCTCCACCTCCTGCGCCGTTGGATGCTCCTACTTCTCATCTTCATCCTTCGCCAAGGGCGGAACTGGACGATCTGTCTTCAAGCGCCGATGGTGTCCACACATGGCTACCCTATCGGTCTCGATCAACCCAGTGAATACCTTTTTCTTGCTCGTTTTCAGACGTTGGGAATCGAAGGTATTGTTCCAGTACGTGTCCCGGTTTTCACCGGAGAACACCTCCCCGCTGAAATCGAGCTCCGGGCTGATCTCCTGCATAATGCCATGGATTCTGGAGTCGATACTCACAAAATGTGACTTGAAGTTGCATAACGGAGCGACACTGAAGCGGCTCTCCAGAAGCGCAGCCTTCTGTGTCTCCCACTCTTCATTTTTCCCCACGCCCAGTTCCGTTTCGGCCTTGCATTCCAGTTCTCGGTCCAAAAACACGAAATGTCGCTGGATGCGATAATAATATCTTTCTTTATCTTTTTGCAACTCTGATATCTTGTATGTTGGACTCATCAGCTCCAAGACTGCATGGTGCTCTTGTATAAACGCACGGATGAGGGAGTCCTCATTTATGCCATCGTTTGACGTCTTCTAGCCGACAAATTCGACCTCATCTTCATGCTCACGATTGTTCGTGATGCGTTTGATAATCGCCCGTTTCCCATTACGAGAGACGCCCGGGCAGAGTGCAAACACGGCGCGTAACATGAAACGTTCGAGGTTCACCGTCAAATGGTTCTCCAGGTTCGTGATGTACTTCATCGCCCCATAGCCGTAAATATTCTGGTCACCCTTGCATCGAGTACCATTGAAGCTGTAAAAGGGATGCTTTTCGTGGAGAGCATGCACTAGCTCATTTTCACTCCGCGCTTCCTCTGTACCAAGTATCAGCTGACGAATTAAGGTCTTGTCGAAACCTCGTCTGGAATCTCGACAGTTTCCATGTGCGCCACGTCGCGATACATCTCCCTCGCCTAATGCATCAGTCCTGAAGAAGCCTTTATAATGCTCATGGAGTACGAGTCGCCACGTTTTATGATAGAGTCTCGCAATTTTTCCATGTATGGATCCTTGATTTGTCCAAGAAGAAAGGTTTTCACAATCATCTCGTCGTACAGTTGCCTTTCCCGCAGCCTGCGACGTAGGGCCTCCCCTTGGCTTCTTCTCGACTTCCTTTTCTTCTGGACTCGGCACTGTTTTTTGTTTTTTCGGGCACCCAGCGACCCTGGGCCTCCAGGATCGTGGACTTGCTTTGTGATAGCTTCCTTTTTTAGTTTTTTTTTGAAAAACAACGCTCTTTGAACGCTTCTGCGATATACTGCGAAAAAACACTTGACTAGATATGTTTGAGGTGTGAAACAAAAACGAACTGAAAGACTGTACTTGGCTACGACCTGAACGGAAATCCAACTTTTTTCGGTAGAACAACACGCTTCTGATCGAGATCGCGTTTCCCTTCAACAACGGCATGCGCATCGTGTCAGTTGACTGACTGATCTCCCAGTTGCGCTCATTTAGCGCAATGCATCCACTGCGCGAGACGCTACTCCGATCGATGAAGGACACGTGTCCGAAAACCCCGCCTTGGCACATGCGTGTTCGCATACCACTGCAGCCAAAATAAAGTATCGTAGATTGGAAACTCACGTAGAATGATCTCTTGCTACAGGCTCTGTCGCTGGTGCCCATTGCAGTACCGCCCTGACATACATGGAGATGCAGCGGCCTGGTACGATACCCGTCGACGCTTCTATCAAACGCGTATCTTTCTCTGCGGCTTACGCGTGTGCGGATGAGGTATGCATCACTCTACTCAATAGAAATTTCGTTAATTTTATTGATCGTATATAAACAAGACACGGAATGATTCCTGACCAAGGATATTCGTTTAATCAATATGCTTGTTATGCATGCCGCACCGACGCTGGAATAAGGACCTGACCTGAATTTCGCTACTATCCTGTGCCATGGGCTGGAGCTGATGCCTGTTCAAGTCATTGCCATGCTGCCGTGGTTGTCCAAGTTATGGTGCCTGCTTCGTCCTCAGGATCCGGCGATCTTGGCGGAGGCAGAGCACACAGGTAGCGTCCATGTCTGCCACGAGGTTTGAGCCTTCCATCTCGCCTGGCACGATCGTGGCACTTGACAAAAGCGCATACTGTATTCTGGTCTACTCTATCAGATTATTTTCAAAAGCCTAACCCGTACATCGAGCCCGAACGAGGCACCCCTGAAAACAAACGCCTTTCGAAAGTCGAACGGCGCCAGCGGTGCACAGTAGTGGCGAGTGGCCCGCCCTAGAAATGACATCTCCAACTGACGTGCAGACGCATCCAAAATAAGATACCACCTTTGAAAATTTCCTTATGCCTCCTCTACGGTACTCGTCGGCGAGCTACGTGGAAGTTCGTCTACGATTGTTGTGATCTCTGAGCGCAGCACTGCGGAACCCTTGGCACCAATTACTGATGAGGTTGTTGATGGGAAGCATAGGAGATACGTCTAGTTTCTGAAAAAGACACTGAGCGCTTGTGCTAGATGTGCTCAACGCTAGACATTCTACGGGAGATTTAGGTCGGACTCTGGACAATGGATGGGTGATCACTCGTGCAGCTACGCAAAAGAGGTTTTTGACTGGATACGCACACCTACGCGAGCGATTCTAGCCGGTGACGTGATCGGCAGCTTTGCACCGGAGAAAATCTAATCCAAGAAAATGCAAGCTCTTTTCGTTTCTGTTCCGCTGTACCAGGAAAGACATATTGTTTGCGCGCGCGCTGCAACCCGAGCACCGTTCCTGCTGCGTACGCATCGTGACGGTTACTTCGCAGCTGTACATCGTCACCATTGCCAGCATCCGCTGCCCTTCGTGGTGCAGCGTTCGCCTGCGGTGCGCAGGCATCGTATGCCGCATCTTCGTATGGGTCCGAAGCAGTCGCAGATCGCCGTCATCACTGGCGCGTCCTCTGGGGTCGGTCTGTATGCAGCTCCCGCTCTGATCAACAAGGGCAACTGGCACATCGTCATGGCATTTCGTGACATCGACCTCGTGGAGCGCGCAGCAAACAGCGTAAACCTTCTAAAGGACGCCTATACCGTGCTGCATTGTGTTATGGCTGATTTCGCCTCTGTGTTGAAGTTTGTGAGAGAGCTGTCAAGTGTGGCGCGCGTCGATCACCTGGATACCCTGATCTGCAATGCCGCAATCTGGCATCCGCCGGACAAGAAACGGCGTTTCACGGTGGACGGCATCGAGGAAACCATGCAGGTATGCCATCTGAGCCATTTGCTTCTATGTCGGGAGCTGTTGCCGAAGCTGAAAATATCGCGCAGGCGCATTGTGTTTCTGACGACTCAGACACACTCGCCGAATTCGCTACCGGGAAAGATCCCCCGCAGGCTCGTCTCGGGGATTCGTCTAGTCTAGCCGCGGGGCTTGGTCCGCAGACGACAGGCATGGTAGAAAGTGGTCCGTTTGAGCCCACAAAAGCCTACAAAGACGCCAAAGCCGCGAACGTGTTATCAATGAAGGCGCTCGGTCATTGATACGGCCGCGACGGTGTGACCTCTGTGACGATTTTCCCGGGATGTGTCGCCAACAGCAACCTCTTCCGCGAAAAGCGTGGCTGGTTCCGCTACATATTCTTCCCGATTCATCAGAAGTACATCACTCGGCAATACGTTCCCAATGATGAGGCCGGACGCCGTGAAGCCGAAGTGGCGACCCAGGGACAGTTCTCGGACTCGGGCTCGTATTATCAGTGGCGTGGCAAATATACGTATGGGGGATAGAAGTCCGAACCGCACGTTATTGAACCAACGTACGAAATCGACAAGGCAGATCAGCTTTACGAACTGAGTCTTGATCTGATCGACCAGGCGTTACGGAGGCGAGGCCTCAAGTCGACTATCTTGGCCCCTGTCTAAGGTTTGTTAGTGGTGAATATGGGATGCGCCTTCGAAGCGCAGACCGCTGCGTCGAGGACGCATGTGGGAGCAACAGCGTAACGATGAAACGGCACCCCACTGTCACGATCGGATAGTGATCGGGTGAAAGGGCACTCCTCCTGATGTGGTGAGCCAAAATTGCTTCGCAAGTCATAAAGCGTACTGCAGTAGTGATTAATATAGCTATAGCTATGAGCTATTTCGCATCGAATGCGCCAGAGACTGCCAACTGTGGTCGTTCAAGAGGGCAGAGCGTGTTTATTTGGGTAATCTGTAACTCTTTTTGCCATAAAGGATACGGCAATAGAAGCGCACTTGCAGACGTTTGAAAAATCTGTGGGTATTCGATATCAAAGTGGGTCAACGGGCGTGGATTAATGAAAGCTCGGCAGTGAATGCTCCAGCAAGATATGGTGCATTGAACGAATCCGACCCAAGGATTGTACCAGGCGCTAGCTATGGGTCAGCATTCTGGAACAACATTGAGACTAATCCGATCATATTTGGTTGATTTGGATGTTCAAACACGCTTGCAGTGACTTTCTCAATGATGTGTTTGCATTGAGGAAAGCATTCCCTACTCCAACACCAAAAACTTCGCGGACGCCTACCACCATCTGCTCCAATGAGCTCTGCGGATCTCCAGGACAGTGCATCAACCAGGACGCTTACGAGCAAGTCGGGTGCTGCTTCAACTCCCAGACGAACGCGTGCACCCTGAAGAGCGTCTCAGCGGCCTGCAGCGCTGTTCCAGTGACGCAGCGCGTCCCCTGCGGCTGGAGCTACATCTACCCTGACGATTGCACTGCGATACCGGGATGCTGCTGGCAGCCAACAGCGAACGGCATCCTCGCGCCCTGGTGCTACTACGACATCAACCATGCACCCCAGGCTTCTGTAGCGTTGCAGGAGGTGCAGGCACCGGTTCCCCTCTGCCCGTCACCGGGAGCGCAGCGCCAGCCGTGCGGCAACGCGGGTATCAACCAGTTTACCTGCTATGCCCAGGGCTGCTGCTACGACTCGCAGGCGCAGAACCAGTGGGTGCAGAACGGCAAGCAGCAGTGCGACTTTGCGTCGAACCCGTACTGCTTCCAGCCCGAGAAGACGTGCGCGGTGGGTGAGTTTGAGCGCCAGCCGTGCACGAACGCGGTGAATCACAACCAGCAGCTGACCAATAACATCAACAACAACCAGTTTGTGCGTCTGCTGAACACGCTTCTGTACGGGGAGCAGCACGGGACGCAGCGCACGAGCTACGCGCCGCAGCAGTGCCTGGAGGCGGGTTGCTGCCTGGGGCTTTGCAACGAGTGCTGCCAGCCGGTTACTGAGAACGTGTGCCAGACCTACGGGTACGTCTCGAACTCGCTGAGCGGCACGACCGGCAACGTATCGAACTCGAGCTATATTCCGTGTGGCCCGGAGTGCTGCAACGCCGAGATAGAGAACTGTACGTACAACCCGTTCAGCAACAGCAATAACCTGCGACAACAGCAGCAGCAGCAACAGGTGCTGTTGCCGTCATTCTGTGTATGCAAGGACCCTACAAAGCAGTGCGGGACGTACCTGATCGCTTCGGATAACCTTGTGAACAAGGTGCGTTGTTGCCGCTCTGGCGAGGAGTGCATCAACAACGAGTGATTGTAGATTAGTCCCACACCGACTCCGAGTGCCATTATTGCGACTGCAACTGCGTCTCCAAGTGCGTCATATTGGTGTCGACCACAACGCATGCCTCAGCAAGTGGTTCAGTATGAACCACTGCGTTGACGCCAGCTATCTGTACAGCCCCGCGCGCGACCATAGAACTAAGAATATGTTTCAGTTATTGATATATTCATTCCATGAGGATCTTAGTTGTGCAATATAGTTCGCACATGCATGCACGCAACCTTCCAGTCCGGGTTGGCGGCCCATCATCCAATGTTGAGGGTGTCTGGACACCAAACTTCCCCCTAGACGGGATGCCAACAAATATGCAGATGGCGTGCAGAAAGAGGGAGTTTTTCGTATTGCGTCATAGCGGGCCGGGTCCGAATGTGCGACGGGCATGCTATTAGACCTTTTGGGTGTTTGGACTCTGCATGTGTATCTGAAACACGACTGCGGCGTAGAATGTTAACTTGCATTGCCATTACGAGAACGCCTTCATGAAACTAGATAGCAGACGCTGCAAAATATCTTTGTCCGTTTATTATAGAAATGTCCTGTTGTGGGAGCGCCGTGCGCAGATCTGCGTCATTCAGAAGGCGGTGCTTGACGCGCTTCCGTGCTGCTTACCTCAGAATACTTCGTTGAGCCTGGTGGTGGTAAGGACGGAGACAGCAGTGACAACAGTACCAGCAGCTGGAGTCTCTCCTATCCCTGGAGATTCTAAGCAACTTGTTTCTCTCAGTGGCGCTTTCTTTTCACTGGTGCAGAACCTCTTTCGTATCCCATATGCGAAGAAGATATTTTTCTATATTGAGACTCCTGGTGGTAGTATTGGTTGTGTCGGGCACACACACAGTTCGTGGAGTTTTGTCCTCCGAAGATACTTTTTTATGGACCTGGATCGGTGGTAGTAACTCTACCAGCAGTTCAGGTAGCTACGGTGTTCAGGGTGTGCCAAACACCAGCAACGTGCCTCCGGCGCGGTACGGTGCGGCCTTCTGGACCGGCGCTGACGGGGTGCTCTGGTTGTTTGGTGGTGGCAGCGACTTGAGAGACGTCTTCGGTGATCTCTGGAACTACAATCTAAGCACGTTCTCTTGGACCTGGGTTGGAGGCTCTGCATCCCTCAACTCTGGAGGGGTATACGGCTCCCGCGGAGTTCCCAACAAGAGCAACTATCCGCCTTCGAGGACGGAATCCGCTGCTTGGAGTGACAGCAACGGAAACCTTTGGTTATATGGAGGCCATAATTTGAACTCGGGCTATAGTGATATGTGGATGTATAATGTATCGTCGGGCGAGTGGACATGGGAGCAGGGATCCAACAAGACCAATGTTCCCCCGACATATGGTACTCTTGGGAACTCGTCTTCAAGCAACACGCCTGGCGCTCGTTTCCAACCCGCGACCTGGGTTGGCCTAGATGGCCAGTTTTATCTCTTTGCCGGATCTAGTCCTAATGGTACGTATTACGGTGACTTGTGGCAGTACAACACAGTGACCAACGAATGGAGCTGGATAGGTGGCACTCAACAGCAGATTCCCTCTGGAAGCTATGGTGCGTTTCGCCAGGCATCGCCGAGCAATTATCCCGCTGGACGTCTCGGAGCCACATCGTGGCGAGACCTTGATGGGAACTTTTGGCTCTTTAGCGGTTACGGACAGATTGACGGAAATGGCGGCTCTCTGAATGATTTATGGCTGTACAATGTCAGCTCCAAAGAATGGACTTGGATGTCTGGAAATGACAGTGTTGGTTCGGATGGGGCAGTATACGGCGAGAAAGGAGTGCCGTCATCGAGCAACACTCCGGGGTACAGGTCCTCTTCCTCTGGATTTGTAGACTCGTCAAACACTCTGTATCTCTTCGGTGGTTATTCACCCGGTTTCTGCAACGACCTGTGGACGTTCAATACTACGAGTCTTGAATGGACTTGGGTAGACGGTGACAATACAACGGATGGAGCCTATAGCTACGGCGAGCTTAACAAGACAAGCAATACAACGCTTCCACCTCCGCGAGCTTATGCAGTTCTTTGGAATACCGATCAAAACGACCCGGTCCTGTTCGGAGGCGTAGGCAACTCAGGTTCCCTTAACGACCTCTTCACATTATACATCGCAACACCGACGCCTACACCGACACCAACACCGACACCAACACCGACACCAACACCAACACCAACACCGACGGCATCACCGACGCCCTCCGTTACTGCACCCCCGTCGGCAACGACAAATGTGACGCAGACCGCTGTAGGCGAAGGCTCTGCGGTCTGCTTCCCCGCGGATGCCCCGGTGCTGATCGATGGTCTGGGCAACCATCTGCAGATAAGCGAGCTTCGATCAGGTATGGCCGTAATGGGCGTCAATGGGCGCGGGCAACTGGTCGAAGATAGTGTACTAGGATGGTTGCATAACGAGGCCGGCGCTACTGCGGAGATTCTGGCGATCAAGACGCTTTCCGGAAAGCAGCTGCGTCTGACGAGACAGCATCTGGTATATCGAATGATCGAACACTCTAGAGACTTTTACGGTATGACGACCGCTTTCTCGTGTATTTCACAGAAGCAGCAGCAGCAGCATCAGCAGGAGCACATACGTCAGAGCCTTGAGCTGGGTACCTCCGCCGTTGAGGCAGTTTTCGCGGAAGATATCCGCGTGGGCGACGCTCTGCTGGACGTTGCTGCGCATCTGCCGGACCCCGTGGTGGCAATCGAGACAGTAGTTACGCACAATGGTCTCTATGCGCCGTTGACTCGCTCAGGGCGCCTTGTGGTCGACGGTGTTCTCGTGAGCTGCTACGGGACGTACGCATCGCATGCCGCGGCACATGCTGTGTTGTGGCCTGCGCGGGTCGATGCTCTGCGCAAGATATGGACATCAGGGCTCGGCACAGAGGGTATTGTGGGTATCATGCCATACGCAGAAAGGCTCTATCACGTTTGGACGAGTGCAGCACGTGTTTTAACGGAGGCTCGCGTAAGTGTTGTAGTTGCAGCCTGCTGATCTGGCAATCTGCGCGCAGGACAGGGGCGAGCAGTACCGATGGTACCACTCTAGGTGCCGCTTTTTCTGCCATAGGATAATGTTTGAGCAATGATGGTAATACGCGCTCTATCGCGAAAAAGCATCCCGCAGCATATTGTCAGGCATTTCGGTAAGGCACACAACCATAGCAACTTATACGAACGAGCAAAGTTCCATACAAGTATTCGTATGTGTGTAGTCGTTGAAAGCCGCGGAATACAGTTTTATGTGCGAAGAAGTACAGTAGCGCCAATACTTCCGGAGAGCAAAAGCAGCAGCTGTCGGTTACTTGAGAGAGAATGAGCCGAGCATTGCATACATCTATGCTTCGAAATAGTATAGTGGCTGGGGAGATGTTGAGCGCTCCGCTCGAACATACATTCAGATATGAAAATTGGCTGTTGGCACTGGGGCGTGGTTCTTGGAACGGTGCAGTGAGAGCGATAAGGATTTCACAGTTGGGGGGATACGAGAAAAGCATATGGGATTTATTTCAAGAAAGAAGAGCTGTATTGAACGCAATATGATCAAGATTCGCGACTGAATGTGGAGAAATAGAATTGGTTATAGTCGTACAATTCTACAGCTCCTGCAGTGGAAAGCATGAAAACGGAAAGTTATAAGGCCAAGGAGTAAATATCTCACGGTTATTCGGTTGATGCACTGCAGTCGAGAGGGACTGCCAGGAAAAATATCGGCAGTGAAATGACCCTGGCTGTCAGTAGACTTCACTAGAAAGAACGTAACCACAGCCTGATCCCCATAGTTATAAAGGCAGAGTGTACTGTGCCAGAAGCTCTGCACACTGCTCCAAACTTTGTGTAGAACGATGTTTATATTTATGTTCTGGTGCCCTGGAAGACGCACACTATGTATATACTTCATAATGAATGTAAAGCAAGTTCCCGTGCTGATGAGCTCAGTCGTGCCAGTCCTGCTGATCGCACAAGGCAGCCTACTGGTAGCAACAAACCGGTGCTTATGGAACGATCGACCTGAATGGGCCTGTCGCCACGACTCCGACCGACGAGGCGTACCGCAGAGCGAATCCTGCATACAGTGGAGCTAGTCGGAATGTCCATGATGAAAGTCTAGATGAAGCTCAAGTGGACGCGCGACATTCAACTGGTACCTTGGAGTTTGCTACAGTCTCGTCCAGACAAGCTCCGACTCTTCCGCGGTACCCGCGTTTGGAGTTGTTCGAGTACTGGCTCTAGTGCGTTTATCGGCATGAACCGCTACATGTCCGGAGTGAGCTACAGGTGAAGCCAGTCTGTGCTTTGTGGATACGGTGCCGGCAGCATGTTTCAGAAGCCGCATCTGGTAAACTCTAGGTCATAAGGAATAAAGGCGAGACGCCAAGCAGCAAGCTTTGAACAATAAACAAGAAGCAAGGACGCTAAGGTCAGAGTTTGGGTGCTCGCGATATTTACCTCCAACCAAGCATCCCTGAAGCAGCCGCAAGCAGACTTGTATGGGCGAAAAGCTCATTGTCATATCGGGGCCAGCTGCTCTTCGATGCCGAGGCGGCGCGGTGGCTGATTCCGCCTTCCAGGAACGGTAGCGCGGAACATTGCTATTGCTACTCTAGAGATGTGTAGGGGCAATAACTAGATAGATTAGTGAACAGTGGTGCTTGAATTCAGTGTACGCGTACAAAAAAGAGCATAGGGAACAGTGTTGTGCGTGAATCCAACAAATCAGAATACAGAGCAGAAAAAGAGGCCTCGATCATGGTCTGTTTCTAGTGCACATGTAGTTCCCTGCATGCTGCCCTGCGACAATGTGTTCATTCCTGTAAACAATCTATATGGATGGTAAACAATGTTGGATCTCAGCTTGTATGAGAATATGCCTGGTACCGCAAGCACTACCGAGGCGATACGCTGAGGTGCATTGCTAGACCCTAAAGATCGGCACGGGGGAAGAGTAATCAGCTGTACTGGATCTTCTCAACTTCACTGAAAACGGTATCAAAGTCGGAATGCTCAATACGGGTCGGCAGGAGAGAAACAGATATAACGTACGCTTAGCGCCTGTGGATGCTTGTGGTAAGGACGCGAAGCTAGACGTACATTCAAATACTGAATGGACCCAACAAATTATATCCATGTACCTTGTCTGAACAACCACGACACGCGCATCGATACGTAGGGTCCGTTTCCTGTATCAGACGCTCACTCCAGAAACGAGCCCAGTCGACGTGCGACGCACAGCTGCTGAGCGAAATGGCGTACAGTCCGGTGTGCTGCATACTGCATACCGACCGCGCAAAGTGATATCGGTCGCCTCCTAGAGATTGATCGGTACGCCGAAACGGAGATTGCAGCTCCTATTAGAAATAAGGTGCCCACGGCCACTGTATGGCTGCCAGAGATTTTAGGGCCGGGTCGTCTTTTTTTTCCATTATTGCTCTCGGATCATCCATGAATCGGATCCACACGCAGGCAACAACAGGTCCCGGTCCTACAAGCTGTCGACGAAGAAACCGCACCACAGTCGCCTTGAAGCTAGCCACTAGCAAATTTGAGCTTGGATACGGCTAGTGCTAGGAACGCTGAAAGAGAAGAGATAGAGTTGCAACTGAGAATATGTTCCAAAGAAGATATGTAGCTTTGTGCTTGCAGCTGAGTGGGAAGACTTACAGCAAGTTCATAACCAAGAACGAAATACAAACAATGATGACTACTGTGGATATTCGGAGAGCTCTGAAAACCGGTGGATATGAATGTATGGAAAAGGGCTTGCAAACAACCATCAAACTCGTGTGAAGAAACACGATGAGGATAGTAGAGCTACTAAGCGGAGCAAACAACGCACACAGCGATCGAGCTGGTCAAATGTCGCAGATAATTGAAAGCTCAACAATACCAAGCCATGTGCAGATGTAAGGCCATAAATTGGGTACGACGGGAACACAATTCGACAAGATTTTAAGCAGAAATATATCGAAAATAACATAAAGAAAGAATTTTCTTTGTTCGTATAAAATATTTGCGTTACAATGGAGACGACCTGGCACCGATAAAGCAGCATTTAAGTACTGTGAGATGTTGAGAGAAAAAAAAAGAAAACAAAAAATGGTGAAGAACGACAAACACGAAAGCAACACAAGCAAGGGCGCGATTCAGACCACGCGCGACGGCCGGGGCCCAAAACATAGGTAACGACGAGGCGGTCACATTGATATGCATCGAGAGACCTGCGCGTACTGGAGTCTCCGAATGGCCACCCGCAGGACTCTGATGATAAGGATTCCTCTCGGCTCAATTGCTAGAGACATTACTGGGGCAATGGGGGG